AAATCACCTGGACGAATATAGCAAGGATGGTCGATATTGTTAGGAAATTGAATTCTGCCACAACCACATGTCAGTCGAACAACGTCAACAATAAATAAGAGCTTACCCTGTGTCTGGGTCGGCATCGCCAAGTTCACTAAGTTCGACATGATTATCTTCAGTGTACGCAAACTTCCCACTCCCAACACAACTCTGTAAAATATGCTGAGGATCTTGCGAATGTCGAAGAGAATAACCATCAGTTGCAAACGCTTCGACGTCCTCAATAGACGTCAAGAATCGTGCCTCTGCAGTGAATGCTGGTGTGTCCAAGACTTTAGTAGAACGAAAAGGCTGCATAGCACCGATGGGATGGCTCTGGTCAAGCAAGCGATAGATTCGTCGCAACACCGACAGAGCCGAATTAAAGGCAGGATTTCCCAATCCAACGATAGTAATGTTTTGCCTCGTGATGCGTAAATTGACATGTCTAACACCGACATCAATGTACGTTACTTCCTCTACAGCTGTAAGAATCACTCACCGATTGATTGGACCAAAAAATGACGATACAACAAAGCCTGAGATATTTAATACAACTTCTGGCTGCCCAGCTTCTTTTTTCCAGACGACATAACTATATCGCCCTTTCTTTTTGACACAGAACTGATCCCGAATCAATTCGTCATCGTCGTATTCACTGAGTTGAACATATCGGTGCTCTTCCGACCATGCGCGAGCATCAGTAAGGGTGTTCAACTTTGTATCTAGAAAAAATATCACTCAACGACACAACAAAACGTAGAATATATAACAACTTACTGCACTCCCAAGATTTAGACAACACTTCGATCTTTAAACCTGCAGTTAGACCAGCCATGAAAGATTGAAATCAGACCAAGCGTCAGTCAAGAAGCCAGTACGTCATGAATCAACAAGTGATGTCATTGCTCGTATGACTGCCATTCCGTCAAAAGTCTCAAGGCATTTCTTGACTACTACAACCATGCGTTCGCACTCTGAAAAGTATATTTTGTTACTCTTCTCAAACTGATTCCTCACATAACACCTAGAAAACGAAAAGACGACGAATCAGTAAAACTGTCTGATGCACCTCCAGGCAAGCGACTGAAAACAAGCGACAAGACTCTTCGCGAAAAGCAAGCATCGTTTCTATAACATGGAAATATCTCTGACTATCATCTCCAGAACTCTGGAAAATCTTCAAGTTTTAAAAGGCGTTCCAATGAAATGCCAACTGACAAGTTCTGCACCCAACCTCTCCCACATCCGTCTCGCCAACTTCAATGCGTGTTTCAATTCTGATGTGGTCAAACGATTGCGAGTTCTTGAAGACACTCCAGGCACAAAAGGAATTATCGAGAACCTCGCTTTGGTTGATCCCAGCGACTTTCAGATGAAGAATAAGTTCTTCTGTCACCGCGATGATTCCAGCACCACGCCCACTCGTTTCTTCTTGCTCGGCGAAGTGACAAACAGCTCTCTCCTTAGTGGAGATGTTTCTCGCAACATATCTGTTTGTTTCTCCAATCGCTCCTTTCCCCGCGCTATGGCAGTCGTCGGCGACGCGCTTGCAGAAAAAGCTGTATTCCTTCCATCTTTTCACCAGGGAGTCAGCATCACCACTGCAAAACGACCTCTGAAAGAGACGAGTACGAGTCCTGCAACCATACGAGGTCTCACATCTTCCTCCCAACACTCTGCAGATTATAATTTGCCAGATCCTGGTAAGTCTTTCACAACCACACTTTCGTACGCAATCTCACCACCATCGAAGCTCTTCTACCATGGGATTCAAAAGGTGTATCTGCTATTTCCATTTCCTCCATGATGAAAAACTGATAAAGATATCCAACAGTTCCTGTCTACAATGGAACTCGCCCTTTTCGGCTCGGACAATACAAAGAACTTTCGCAAATTGTAGGCGACAAAATCTCGCCTAATTCCGCCGTCGCCGTCATTTTCACTCTCAGTACGTACCCATACGACAAACTCAAAAGTCACATCAAACATCAAGCTGTCAATACGTCGATTACTTTCAACATTCAAAGTATCATCTGGCTTGCATTCCCATCATCAGAAGCAACAATTGATCCATCTCTTCCACCTGCCGAACCATTTGGAGTCACTTCAGATTATCTTCTTGATGACTCCCCCCCAGTTCAACAGCCAGCAATCAATGTGAACGATAATGAAGATCTTATTTAAATGATATATATCTTAACTACAACCCAATGACTACCAGTTTCGTACCAAGCCTCCCTCACTGTTCTGTACCACCTACAAGACACATCCTGCAAGCGATATGCCGCACCGGTCGCTGCAAGAATCTTCACTGACTGAAAGACTGACATCCAAAAGCCCCAGGAGGGAACCCGTGTGCACAACATCAACGTCGCAGAACGAGTTTGCGGGCGGCGGTACCATGGTCGTTCAGAGATGACGAAGGTACATCGAATCCTTTGACATATCTCGCCGCACATACTCTTCCACCCCACAGCATCAGCGGAAAGCATTCCAAAAATGCGGTGACCAGTTGGTGTACCAATTGCTGGAAATCGATAGATTGCGCGGACGTATGGCTCTAAACAATCCAAGTAAGCACTTCTTCCTGCTGAGAGTCTTCCAACACTTGACGAACGCCTTTATCCAAGCAGCAGTCAACGCCATCCAACATCCGTATACAGTCCGCCCCTAAAGACGGTGTTTAGCGGGCGGCTGTGCGCCGCGTTGAGGCGTAGAAGATCCATAGCGACATAGACGAATACGACAGCGCCGTCTGTCCATTTCGCAGACAATTCGTGTCGCATCATTTTAGCCAGCGTAAACAGGATTTGCGGCATACGATACGTTCCCTGGGCGACATGGTAGAGTCGACAGCGCATCAGCGGAACAAGGACAGCTAGCTAGCGCGGGTAAGTTAGTATTCTTTCCTTCGCCATTCTGAACATTAACATACTTGCACATAGTCGATGTGCCCCCCTAGAGCGGATGGCGATACAACCATTCAACGTCAAAATGGACGCCTACGATCTCAACAACAGTAGTGCCGACGTCGTCAACGCCAATTTCGGGAATATGTTGCATGGCTGCGGTGCATTCCCACAAGCAGAAAGATATCGCACGCACGCAGAGGCTCAGCCTAACTAAAGCGTCTGGCGTGCAATGCAAATATCAATCGTTCCAACCGACGACGCCGCTACGACAGAATTTTATCTTATTGTACTCTAACCAAAAACATCAAAGACAAATTCAAAAAAAAAAAAAAAAAAAAAACATACGCCGCGAGCACAACGACCGCTAGCCAGGAAGCTTGGAAGATGAGCAAGAAGCAACAACCAGAAAGAGGCGCCACCAGAAGCGGGCAGACTTTGCATGCGTGTAGAGGCCCAGCCTAACTAAAGCGTCTGGCACGTCATACGAAGAACCAACTGCCCTGGTGGTAGAGAGTAAAGAACTGCTGCCAGCTAGGGTCACAGTCACAGGAAGACAACTTCAACACGATCACATGACACTTCATCACAACACTTGCCAACGTCTACTCGACTTTAGCGGCAACCTCTACGCGATGAAGAAACACGACATCAAAGCATCCGTTCAACACCTACTTGCATTTATCGCTTCCGACAAGAAAGCTCTGTCCTTGTTAAAAAAAGCTACCGACGACGATAGCCGCCTTTCTTTCATCGCATACATCCTGCCCACCGTCCAAAAGTCATCTTCATACCCCAAACAGGAGCTGATAAAGCAGGATTGGTTGCGAGAGATCAGTAGGGAATGCAACATCAGAAAACCCACTGTTCCTTCATGCGTCTTCGAAGCCTGCAAAATGCGGAAGAAGAAAACGAATGGTCACAAATTGACGAAAAGGCGTTTGAGTCAAAGTCTCGGGTTCACAGCCCATGCCCGCAAGATCAATGCCGCGAGATTCGCCAGTGTCGTCGAAACGTGTGTCAGAAGGTACAGCGCTACCGACGCTTATCCACCTCTGAAGCACTGGGTGTACGAGACAGAGGCGATTCGAAAGCGATGGGAGGAACATCTCTCGTCAGGCAACCGACACGACCCCCGCAACCCTTACCTTCCACTGATGAAAGTCGATCCGGCTCTCCTCGACCACGATATACCCATCGACGATAGCCGCCTTTTTCGGGATTCGGATGGAGAGGAAGTTTGCAATGTCTTCCGCGAATTTTGCAAGCAAACCAGTACTCGCGTCGGTGAACGACATCGTTGAAGAATCTATTGATATCCGCCGAAATTGCCGAGTAAGCTTTAGCATGTCAATCTCAAGGCAAGCTTTTCTGACGAACGATATCAGATGGACGATCCTGGTGATCTCGTCCAAATTGGTTTCTCTGCGGGTTCTCGCAACGCTCCCAAGATCCACTGGGTCAGAAACATAACACGCCGCAATCTCCCAGATCAGGTCGTCGCCGACTTGAACTATCGTTCCAGCTCTGCTTTCGCATTGTTCTGGAACTTATGCAAGGACGTTCTTCCCAAACCAATCATCAACGACTTCAATGCTTTCTTCGAAAAAGACGGCATCCTCCGAATGAACCCTGCAGAGGGAGCAGCAAAGGATTTCGCCAAGGACGAACACCATGCTGTCACAGGCGACTATACCATTCGAATTGGTGACGAAAGCTTTCTTTTCAAGAACGTTGAGCTCGCCCCTCCCTGTGGAGTGTTTGGTCGAAACTATGCAAGGTCCGCACTTACTTTTGCAAGATACATTCTGATCTTCACCATTTCTTAGAGCCATGCACTTCGAAAACCAGCCTCACAAATACGCAATAGCCTGGACGGTCAGAAGAGACCATCCTCCCGATGCAGGAGGCCATTTCTACATTGGCACTTACAAGATTCGCATCCAGGCTGCAGCCAACACTCTCGTCATTTGGAAACCAACCGACATCCACGGAACGAGCTTGCAAGATCTAGATCCAAACGATGAAAATCCCGCCTTCATTCAAACGGGCCTCGCCATTGTAACTCCCAAGCGGCTTCGCAAACTATGGAGAGCTTACAAAACGAAGGCTATTACGTACGACGACGTCATACTTGCCTTGACTGCTAACAGCAACCACGAGGATTGACTTACTTTGTACATACAAAGATAACACCCTATATACATTGTCCTTCGAAATCTCTGTCGTAGCTATCTATCAAACACGAACTTGAAGCATGATTATCGCCCACTAAAAAATAGAAAAAAGGGTCGGCGACCGGGCGGGCTCGCCCGCCGCTAAAGCATCTCGTATTTGGCTACGCGAGTGCCACATGCGATTTGCCTACATCGTTTCCAATCTACATAGAATGCTACGCGAAGGCACTCGGACAGATCATCCAATCTCAGACACATCTCTTGACTTTTTTGACTCCGAACGAAGATCATGGATTCGTCCGGAAAACTCAGGTAACATTTTGAGATCCGACAACACAGTATTCCCATAAGTAGACACTTTTCAAGATCCGATAGAATTTTCTAGCAATCGCAATTGGAGCTATTCAAATTCAATTCAGTAGAGAGTCGTTCGCGTTTGACAGAACCCTCCTTAGAGTCGGGGGATACATATGTGGCTTGACTGATACAATTAAATCTCATAAAACACTTCCGATGCTTTCATCTCTTGTCATTGACTTTGTTTGTACAGCATTTCCTGACAATACAGCAAAGTCTAAGTACTACAATACTTCTTTAGACAATAAAGATGGCGACAGTGACGATAACAATGGTGACAGTGATACTTGCAAAAGTAACTCTGAAAATGTCAATGATAATGATGTTATAGAGCCTGTTAGACTTCAACTTCATACTGATAATGCAGGAAAATTTATCAAAGCCAATCAAATTGATCACTATATTTATAGAGATAGAAAGCTAAAAGATGTTTCATTTTATGACTTTATTTGGAGATTTAAAGTTACAAAGAAAAGAGATATTGCTGTCAAAGATTCTGAAAGTATGCGACTTGGCACTTACCCACGATATGAATTACAGTATCCTCATCCGGCCATCCGCATTACGTCATACATCTACCATTTCAGTCACCCAACTCATTAATACCTCGTCGCGTATCCGTACTCCTTCAAGAAGCCGCCTTACTCCCACAAATGCTTTCCTGCCCCGTCGCTCTCCTTCCCGGTCTGATGCGCTGAGGGCACCCGTGTCAGCCTCAATATCTCCTGTATCTTCAACAACACCAGGGAATCCAAAGTGATCATCATCCACTCGTGGTGCAACTTCAGTCGAAGCGAATGATGTCCGGAACAATATTCGAATGATCAGCAAGGCCGTTAACGACGTCGATGGTGGATCAACCGTTGGTCGTTCATACGTTATCACCGTGCTTCTTGGCGGCGGCGGTTGCCGATTCGTAGGGGAGTTGGTGGGATACGGTGACCCTGCAGCGGGTAGTGTAATTGTGTCGCTCTGAGATGGGTGCTTTTGCTGAGGTTCTGGACTAGACAGATGCGTGAGAAGATGCAAGCGTAGCTCATGTTTTGCCACTGGAGTCTGCGAACACGATGACCATAAACAAGGAAACTCTGGTGTCTCTATGGCAAGAATGTGTTCCAGAAGATGGTCAAACAATTCAGATGGAGAAGAAAACGCTGGTGATGCGCATTGAGATCGATCCCATTGACACTTGAATCGCTCGTTGGGAGCCGAGTCCTTCCGTCGATCAACGCCCCGTACAACGAAACGCGAGACCGTTCCCTGCAAAACCATTGCCTGAGCTTGAGGGAAGACGGCGTTGACGTTTTTTATGACATCAGACGCCACTAGAAGGGGGTATTTATCCTGGAACGGAGAGAAGGCATCCTTGTACAGATTCCAGAAATCAACTTGTGTGAGTTCTCCATCTGTTTTGGCGATAAACATGGTCTTCATCCTGTGAGCAGTAAGAAACGACCACCAGACACCAAATTTTGAAAACGTACCAGTCATAGCAGCGCTGGGGTTCACTTTTCTCGACAAGACCGTCTAATTCCTCCTTGGTTAACTCGTGATCTCGCGTTGCTTGAGCAGTTGATGGAACCGTATGTATTGTACCAGTCACGTCAACGGTAACTTTTTCTTCGAGGTTATGTTGTTCAGATAATAGGAGGCTAACAAGAATCTTGAGAACACCCGGCATCTCAGGACGCAGCAAAAATGCTCGCGCGAGTGGTGGGTGAGAGACATGCATGTATAGATAATTGAGGCATGTATCAACCAAGGGATTATCAATGAAAAGGGGAAGATATCGGAGTGACGCCTCCAAGGCTGGCATAGCAGAGGGAATGTGAACAGCATTTGCAGAATTCGATAGGAGTGCAGTCAGTGCAGTCAACGATGCCATGATCATTGTTCGGTTTGATGATTGAGAGGCAATGGAGAGAAGGGGCGGCAGAGGATTTATATGGTTTGCGGATGAGGGACTCACAAGGAACTTTGAGGCCACAACATGGAAGATGTCGATGATATGAAGAAGCGCCTCTTGATTCTCGTCCCTTGAGAAGTCAAGGTTGTGCAATCCATTTAATATCAAAGGCAGCGTATGGGAGTGCACAGCAAGCTCTTGGGCATTTTGCTCGTGTAACGCAGCGTTTCGTAAAACAAAGAGAGACTCAAGCGCAAAACGACGTTGCCGACGGTGGTCTGGCGCCGGAGAGAAAAGGATGTGTTGGTCGGAAAATTCCTTGTACCCCTCGGTCACATACCACTCCGGCCAGTCGAACAAGCCGTCGATTAGTCCTGGAAGTGATTTGAAGAGGAACTGCTCGTTATGGGTGAGGCGGCAAAGACGATCGAGAGCCCAGCCTATCTCGGAGTGAATCCCAGACCGAAGGGAAAGAGACATCCTGTTGTTAGGTACTGTTTCTGTATACCATCCTGTGGGTTCTAAGTTGCAAGTCTCCGTTTCGTTGAATGTAACTTATTAGACGCACGTTCGTAATCATCCCTAACATCCGCCACCGGCCGAGGCGGCGGTGGAACGTACGCTGCTTGTCGATAATAAGGGTTAGTTGCAGCTACAGGAAGCCCTCGATTAATGAACGTCGTCATTTTACCGGGGGAGTTGAAGGAGATTTGACCGTGACAACGTGACAAGACGCGACTACACGACCATCACGTGCGGGCACTTATAGGGACTTCAACTTTTCAAGTTTTAAGTTTAAGACGCAAGAGAGAATCGAAAAGCACATCGTTTAGTTACTGTCATACGTGCTTTTAGGTAGAAAAATGATCCACTACTGACTAGGCATAGTTACTCATCATCATCCTTATCATCGATGCCTTCCTTCCACAGAGCATACATCTTTCTCCGATTTGAGTCCCGTGTCTCCGGTCGACTCGCCACTTCAAAAACCCTTCTCAGAAGATTTTTATTCAACTCAACGCCTGCTATATTACCCTCAAGTTTGGGGTTTTTGAAACAGGAATTTTTGAGTAGATGAGGGAATGTGGCAGGGTCTGTGTCTAGTTTGATACGTTTTGCGCTCGGTGGCCGGTCATTGGAAGAAGGAGGGGATAGGGCAGACAACAATGGTTCGAATAAAGCCGAGTTAATCCGATCGTAGGTCACACTTGAAGGTGTTCTGGCAGAAAACATGATGAAGGGGTCGATGAGGGTACCAAGAGGTGCGGGTAAAGGGTGCGAATCGGCTCTTCCCATGACCTTGTCCAGTTCTTCGACATATATATCGGCTAAATGGTATGCCAGACTTGCGGGAACCTTGATGTCTGTAGGACTGGAGGAGACGTCAACATTTAAGAAATTAGTTTGAATATAATTTTACCATAATGGACCGCCTTCTTTTACCAAGATGTCGTTGTATTCGTCGCATGAAGTCTGATCCCACTCCGTGCGTATCAAAAGGCGGAAGGTGGCATTAACAAACCGCCGCACAAGCATGTAGTATTTGTCGATTCTGTTCTGCGAATCAAAAAATGCCTCCCAAAAAAAAACTAATACACACACCGAAGTCGATCAATTCCATTCCATTCCCGAACGGTAGCTTCCCAAAATCCGCGCAGGAAAAACAGAGACGAGGGGAATGTTGTTATGGTAAGAACGATTTCGGCCAACTCGCTTGCGAGTGCTTGTTGGACCAGTGGTTTATCGGACATCCAGAAACCTTTGCAAAGAGGTCAAATCAAAATCTCTCATAGAAAAAGGGAGGTACGCACAGTAGAAAATCCCCTTCCATAGTTTGTCCATGTCTGGTTTGGAGATGACATCTCGAGTTGAGTCGGAAAGAAAAACGGACAGGTTTTTGATCGCTTTGTCGCGAGTTTTTTTATCTTTATGAAATGTGTAAGTAGAAGAAGATAGTGCGATGGCAGACAATCCCTTACACACCAGTTGAAGCGAGGGATTTCGCAAGTGGGGGCGTCGACGAGGTAGCAGTAGACATTGGAACTTTTTTTAGTTTCCAAGTCCGAATGCTTCTCCTCCGGCTTACGATCAACACAACAAAAATGACTTCACCGCCTCATTGTCGATTGACATCATCCACCTAGGTATTCTCCTTCTCTGAAAGGCCTCAACGAGAGCCCTTACTTAGCCCACGATGGCCACGTTAAAATCCCCAATAACCTGTCATGGTAAGACCCACCCTACAAATTGAATCTGCGGTTGAATCCATTCAGTCCTCGACGCCTCAACTGGGAAACCGGCGGAGGGTGTCATCATACGCTTGCAACAACTTGAGGTTTCAGGGAATGGAGGTCCAGACATCTTCCACCCTCTTGCCAAAGGGTAGATCTGGCCCGCCCCCTCCATACAGGGATCTTAACGGAATTCTCTCCAAGGTATACGAATGCAGATGGTCGCTGTCTCGACCTTTTGCCCCCAGCAGGCTCCCATGAGGCCAAAACTGAGAAAACCGAGCTTATATCCGGACAAACATATAAGGTCCTTTTCAAGACTAAAGAATACTTTGAACGAACCAACCGTCAATCTTTCTATCCATGGGTCGAGGTGAGAAGCGCTGTAATCATCCAATCGGACCCTTCTCAAGCTTTTACAGATTTCGTTCGTGATAGAAAACCCAGAAGAACACTATCATATCCCATTGTTGATCAGTCCCTATTCCTTCACAACCTACAGGGGTAGTTGAGTGTGCAATAAGAAACACCACAGAGAAGGGGTGATTTCATCTCCTCCTTATCAAGATATTGATTTCGATTGGTGCTAAAAACACGGGATCGGCAGATATCCTTCAAGCTTGAGCGACTTATCTTCTATTGAGTGGCATGAAGGAGCCGTGCGGAGTGGCATCATGTATACGGAGCATGACGCTTTCATACTCGAGGCAATGCAGCCAGGTCATACCATGGTAACATGGTTTGGTCGGCCTGATATTGCCCGACTCTTCTAATTGGCTCCCTACGGTTCGCCTGTTTAACTGTTCACTATTCACTCCGCGCTAGTAGAGTACTAACAAATCAATTAAACAGCGAGTAGGTGTGGATGTACAAATGGTCTAACGAAACACGACTAAGTATGCCAGAGTAGTATGATCTGAACATTCTATCATGCATCTATGAACCGTAATGGATGATACGATGAGTGTTCATGTGCGTAAAGGGTGAAAGTGCAGATGAGAATAGAAAGCAATGAGACAGACAAAAAAACTAGACACCCAAGAAACTATTGGCGAAGGACGTTGTCGTATTGGACACCTTTGATGTTCGCGCCACGCATAGACTCCTTGACATTGCGCAAAAAATGTTCCCTGTTTTTAGTCATCTCTTGAGCAGCCTCTGTTATCGGTTTGTTAGAATGCATACGATACAACGGAACAATGAATATGATCACACCTTTGTTCAAAGGATCATCTGCATTTGGTTCTAAAAACAGATACTGCAGCCCAACCATCACCGAGTTTAGATTCAGCACAGGCTTCCAATCTTCTCGCAGGATATTCAAACACACGTTTCCTTCCAAGTCGACGTTTGGATGATAAATCTATTTGTATGATGTCAAGATCCCAGGATCCCGAGAGTGAAGAGGGAACGAACCGTTTGTGTGCATTTGACCTTTGGTGGGTCGTGTGGGTAGTTTGTATTGATGGCAAAGGAGAAGACAAAGGCGCCACCCTTGTACATGCCTATCGACAAAGGAGGATTCAAGTCAACAAAACGGTACGCTGATGTCGACGTGAATTAGACGACGCGGACCTTCATCGGGTGTGATGGTTAGAGAAAAGTTTAGGAGATCAGCGGGATCAGGAAAATGTGTCTTCATCGTTGCAGGGAGGTCGAGCTCAGTGAGATCTGGTAACAGACGAAAAGGTGGGTAATGTAACAGTAACAACGAAAACGAGTGGCGTACCCTTTTGCACTCGAATCTGGGCGGCGCTTGTCTTTGGCTTCTTCTTTGCCGCAGCGTCCTCATTCTTCTTCATGCTCCATATCTGTAGACTTGTGAGAGCAATACAGAGGAAGTAAGGCGATACTTACTTTCAACATTGTCAGTAGAGTAGGCTGAGTGAAGTGATGGATGGAGGGTTTGTATGAGTCGTGGAGGCCGTGAGTGTCGTCTGCAAGAATATAAGCTTCCCAAAAAGAGACAAGTCAGCGCGACTCATTACCGCGTGGCTGTGTCGTGTTCTGCACACACATGGATGTCGGAACCATGCCAATCTTTAATCTTTCCCGCTCCCGCAAATGTCCCTGTCCACTCATTTACCAGTCATCGACCTTGATATCTTCCTTGCTGGGCCTCGTGATTCTCTGGCGGTGCTTCAAGAGTGTGAGAAGGTCAGATCGTCGTCTTGGATCCAAGTTGCCTGTATCCTACTACTATTATCTAGGCAGCGGAGGCTCTCATCGTCTACGGTGCACTCGTATTACACGACTCCAGGGTCTCTGAGCAAGACAATTCCACGTTTCTCGATCTGCTGGAAGATTACTTCAGCCAGCCAGAGGCAGATCTAAAGAAAGACGAACGTCCAGAACTTAGTTACCAAGTGGGCGTCACTCTCGAAAACACGGAGAAACCCAAGTGCGCCGTAGATGAACCCTGTCTGCATATCATCGAGCGCCTCGAAACATCGGAAAGACCTCTGGATATCTCGGCTCATCAACCTGATCCTAAATGCAGGTTCTTCTGGAAAATGAGCGAGAAACCCCCATATGAAACACAATTTCCTGGCTTGAACTCCCCCAATGTCATCCCACAAGCTGATCATCTGAAGGACCGGTGGCCTCAAACCATGCAGAATTGGGGTAATTTCATGAAGAATGCGTGAGTTGGTGCTACATCCACATTTACGTTTTTCTGAAGTTCCCAGTGTTGCTGACCTCGCCGACATGGTGGCCATCGGGCTTGGTCTATCTGCCGAAACCTTCAGAGATGCTGGAAGATATGGGTAGAGCTTTTCTTCGTTTTTTCCCGACCCTCCAAATTGACGGGTTTCAATAGCCCGCACATTCTTGCTCCTACTGCTTCCGACCTATCGAAGTATAGCGAGAAAGACACTATTTTGGCTGGCTTTCATTCAGACCTTAATTTTTTGACCATCCATGGCCGTTCTCGCTATCCCGGCTTAAATATCTGGGCACGCAACACGGGCAAACGTATACCTGTCACTATCCCGCAAGGCAAGAATTTGTTGGTGCAAGCTGGGAAACAGCTTGAGCATATCACTGGTGGACTGATCAAGGCAGGCTTCCACGAAGTTGTCGTCAACGAACAAACCCTTGCTGTATGTTTTGGTAGCATCGAATTTTTACATGTTTGAAACGAGTCTCTCTGTTTTTCAAGGTCATCGAGCAACGGAAAGTGCAATTCCCCAATCGACCCCTGATTCGAATTTCCTCGACCTTTTTTTGGCATCTGTCATCAGATTATGATTTGGTGCCCATAACCGCACTGGCCCAGCGATCTCAGGATTTTAAGACTGATGCTGAAGAAGAAGAGACAGTTTACCCACCAATGAAGGTGGGAGAGCAGGTATCCAAGTAAGTCCATGGGGTGCTGCATTTCAATGCCCTAACTTCATCGGCATCAGTGAGCTCAAGCACATCGCGCTAATGGCCTGATTTCGTTGCCATACTTGATAGTATGGCAATATCCATAATTATAAAGTCGAGTACTTGGTTGCAATGCAGTCTAATCTTAGTGGTATGACAAGAAGAAATGTAAATCTATCAAAATCAATCTATGACAAGGCTCCGAAAGCACGCAGAACACTCTCTAGTTTGACAATCATCTCATCCCACTCTGCTTCAGCATCTGAAAGTGCCGTGATTGCACCACCAGCCCCAACTATCCACTCCTCGCTGTCCACGGATTGACGTTTCGTCGAGATATCGTCATACTTGAAGCAGCTACGAATGGTGACTGACCAATCTCCCCCGCCACTCACACAAAAGTAGCCAAATACGCCCGAATAAATTCCGCGTTCTTGATCCTCCAGTGTTTGAAGAATTTCAACACTGCGTTTCTTCGGGGCACCTGTCATACTCCCTAATAGACAATAAATTAAACTCTGGCGTAACTAAACACCTGACTTACCTGGAGGAAGACTTCTCTTGAGCACTTGCCATCCAACTTCGTCGTTTGAGCTGTTCTCCTCAGTCAATTTGCCCTCAATAACGCTGACCAGCTGCCATACTGTCTCATACTCCTCCACACCGCAGAACTGTTTCACAGTAACGTCATCGCCCAGAACCCCGTGAAGATCATGGCGAATTAGGTCAACAATCATGAGGTTTTCTGCAACCTCCTTGGGGCTACCGACTAAGGCCTGTTCCGCGATAGCTCGAGTAATTCCTGAAGATTTGCGAACTGTCCCTTTAATAGGCCGTAGTTGACATATTGAACCTGGAGGACGAGAGAAAGACAAAAATCGTTCCGGTGAAGAGGAGAGCAATGTCGACGGGTGTAAGCGTAAGTACGCAGAATGAGGCGCGGGGTTAGCTCGACGCAACCCCTTATAACGCTCCCACGAAGTAGATTTTGTGGGCGAAGGGGAAGATGACTGGGGAATGAGGATGCGCGTTTGTGCGGTCAAGCAAAGTTCATACGAGTCCCCAGCATAAAGATGCTCCTTAGCCTGATGAATGCGTGAGACGTAGCGAGCCCTATCAGGGATTGTAATAACGGGGGAGGGTATGGAAGGAACAGAGGATGTGTTTTCGTTGCGGCGTGGTATGCGTGAAAGCTGTGCACATACATCTTCAATCCATTCTTCATCCTTTGGAATGAGAGATTGGACGAAAATCTTTTTGTCGTGGGTATCTAATACGATGCTTCGTTCGACGAAGACGAGGTTAACATCTGGATGTCTGGTTTGCGTTTCAGAGGCAGACCGGTGAATGGGAACGCGAATGGAATGAACACCAAGCTCATAGCTCATGTATCCTACTAAGCCTCCCCAAAAGGGGATCGTGTTGACTCCTCCGTTGGCTTTTCTGAATCGCATGAAGCTGGCAAGCCATGACCAGATATCGTGGTGTCCGAGTTCTTCAGAGGTACAATTTTCGCCGCGCTTCAATTGGACAACTGGTTCGCCCACCATGTGAGTTATTTGCAACGACGTGGGCTCTAAGCAAGCGATGATAGCGAATCTCCCTGGGTTTGAGGCAGAATCGAGGAGGGCAAACCGGGAACTCTCATCAAATGCCCCAAATTCCTCGCAAATATCAATTACAGATAGGTCTGAAAGCTCGAGCTTGGAAGTTAGCACGGTAGGAAGTTGTGAAGGGGTAGGTGCTGGTGAGTGTGGGTTTGTGTAAGGCCAAGGAGTGCCGATGCAGCAATGAAGGGCGTCGTCACATGGATGTACCTGTCTGCCTGTTTCTTTTGCCCAGGTTTGAGCCAGCCTCCAAAAGTTACGAACGACTTCTATTCCGCCACCCTCCGTGCAAACTGATTCGGGATGGTATTGGACTGCCCAGAAAGGTCGAGTATTATGCCTGACTGCCATCACAACTCGACCGTTTTCCTCGTCGTCTGCCCACGCTAACTCTTTGACCTCGCCATCTTCAGCGAGATCAACGTGCAAAGAATGGTATCGAACCGCTTGGAAAGGCCGCACCTCAGTAAACAGGTCCATGCCAACGTGGTTTACATGCGACATTTGGCCATGTTTCACGACGCGAAGCCGTTTCAGAGTTGCACCAAATTCAATGGAGAGGCTTTGAAGGCCCAGACAGACGCCGAAGATGGGCAAAAGGTCCTCTTCATCGAGCTTCCAAAGATCCTTGACAACACCGATATCTTGGCTAACATCTGGAGAACCCGGGCCTGGACCGACGACAATGACTGAAAAATATTTGAGAAAGGGACGTAGTTCATGCAAGGTGTACTCGTCGTTCTTGATGATGAAGATGGTGGAGTTCGAAATCGATTGATGGCAGAGAGCTGCAAGGCTGAAGAGAAGTTGACAGAACGAACAGAAAGACTTGAAGAATGCTCACTTGTGGGTGAAAGAGTCGTAAGAGTCGATGAGGAGTATATTGTGTCCTGTCATCGACATCACAAACCAAGTTCTGTCCTTGAGATAAGCTCAAAGATCGGAGAGGAATTGAGCATATGATCCGTTTTGGATCCGTTCTGCCGACTAAAGTAATTGAACATCCTGGATGGAAGTCTCGAGGCAATATCAAATAAGGCTGCCCGAACGAGGCTGCTGAACAGAGCCGACATTTTGTAGGTCGCAACCTGTCACATCGATTACAGGCGTGTCTGTCTTCGTCCCACACTTATGGCCGAACATGAGTCGGGTCAGGACGAATTTCAGCGAGTGAGCCATCGCGTCTTGCTTTTTGAATGACATCCTTGTTGACGAAGCTCCCAGTTCAAAGCCATATGTGTTCCTCTCCTGGGCTCATCTCGATTAACTGCATCGTCTCGGCCCATCATATCATCCCTCTTGACAAAGCTCATTCAACTACTTCGCGAGCTAGAACCTCCGCTTTTATCATTATCACTGGTATCCTACATATTCCTTCCTCTATCGACAATTCTCCAGCGCAATGCTTCCTCTGAAATTCCAAACCAAATTTTGGAGAAAATTCTTACTGCATTCAGAATTTTGTGTGAAGCCTGGTGGTGGGAGTGCGATATCAAAGTTTGGGAGCAGATTTTCATGCTTTGTGGCGCCATCATAGGGGGTGTAGAGAGCAAAGGCATAGGTGAACCTCGCGACGATGAGACCAAGGAAGCGGCTGGGCAGTGTCTCCTCGCTCTTTTGCGTCCCCGGACAGAGGACGAGGCGGTTTTTCGATCCCTGCCAAACTGGGAAGCTCACAGTCGTCTGGTTCAATATCAGGAGCACACTAAGGCTTCGCGGTTTGTTCCGATCCTTGGTCAAACTTTGGAGTCACTTTTGCGAGAGGCAGAATCTCAAAACCTGTCACTGCAGCGCGTGTCTTTAGACCTCCTTTTCTTGTTTGTTGATATCTATGCCCCAGATTATCTTATTCCTTCAATATTGCCTGGCGTGGCAAGCAGCATGACGAAAGTCAGCCTCGGTAGATCCAGTAGCAAAGGCTGGGCGAAGGGGGAACTCGTCGCCGCTGGACTTAAGGTCATGCAAGTGGTAATAATTAAAGCGGTTGGGGATGACATTTGCGCCAAGGAAGGAGCGTTGATCCGTTTCGAGGATTTGGAAGACCTTGCCACCTTCAATCGAGAAGAGAATTCCAGTACTCCTGTTGATAGCCCCAAACCTTTCGCCACTTTCCGGACCGCTGCCTGGCTGCGTGGCACTTCATCCCAGTTACACATCGCCCTCAATACTCTCACACCACTCGTAACACATCCCAACCCTACAGCTTTACATGCTTTGTCAAGATTTTCCTCGGCCGTCCTCTCTTCGACTTCCTTAACCTTGCCTCAATCACAACCTTTGCTGTTGTCCTTCCTTCTGTCTCTCTCAAACTCGGACTTCGCGTCCATCTCCTCAGAAGCCCTTCAAAGCTTGAGGGAGTTGCTTTCGTCTACGAGAGCCCTGCAACAAATTCTTCTTCATAACATGTGGGAGAACCTGTCGTCACTGCCTAGGTTGCTATCTATCCAAGCTGACGGCAAAGTCAAGCATGTTGCCGGCTTGATCTCCGCTGTTAGTCGGCTCGCGACACTAGAAGACTCTCATTCTCGACCATCATTACCTGCTATAGCAAGTGGCATTGGAAAACTGTTAGGCCCCAGTGGCGGTATAGAGAAATGGGGTTGGAGTCTTTTGTCCGTGCTCGAATTTGACGATTCCCCAGTGGCTCTCACAGGGGGGCAGTTGACGTTCGAGAGTGATTCAGATACCCCAGAATGGATATCTTTCCCTGGGATGCAGTTCAAAAACATTTCTGCACACGGTACTCTTTATGCCGTGGAGAGCATGTTCCATTCATTGGGCAGTGCCGGCGGAGACAGTTGCTTGTTTTCTGTCGAGTGGTTCACTAGTATTGGTCGTACAGGGACGAGCCCCCCGTGCGTTGCTGCTTTGTGGTGTGCTTGTCGTTTGTTGGAAGGCGTGGCGAATGTGACGCTTTCATCTACGGGCCTTTTGGATATACGTCAGAGCAAACGGTTGGCAAAGGAGAGCCGCGCTTTAGTAAGGGCTATTTGTGAGCTATGGGATAATCCGGATTTGGACGATCTTCTCGACGGCGATTTCGTCAAAGAAAATGAGGATACTCCTCAATTCCATATCCGACATCAGAACGGTCTTGTCCCTCTCCATGAAACACTCAAAATCATCCCTGCCTCTACTTCCACAAAGCCGAAGAAAGTGTACCAACCGACTCTACATCGCTCTCTTTGTTTGCAATTCATCTCAGTTGGAGCAGGCGTTCTGCAGGCCCGCTTTCACTCTTTGTTTATTCACGTCCTATACCCTGTGTTGCGTTCTCTTGTGTCCTCCGCGTCCTTCCTCTCGTCTACTGCACTTGCAACATTGCATTTCATCACATTGGCCACCTCGTTCGCCTCTCCGGCAAACCTTTTGATTTCTAATTTTGACTATGCACTCGATGCTGTATCACGTCGATTGACTCGCCAATGGCTCGATTTGGACGCAACGAAGGTCTTTGCTGTGCTTGTCCGTCTCGTTGGAAGCGACGTTGTGGATAGAGCAGACGATGTCGTTGAAGAGTGCTTTGACCGTCTCGATGAGTTCCACGGCTATGAGGCCATCGTTGATGGTTTTATTGCAGTGCTGACAGAAGTGATCAATGTCATTGGCATGGACCTGAATTCGACACCCTCGTCTGTTACAGAGCCCTCTGAACCCTCGCCCCCCCTTGCTTCTTTGGAAGCACTTGGATTTTTTTCCTGGTTGCCCACTAGAAAAGATGGACTCAGTGAGGAGGCGAACAAAACCGATTTCGGCCCTGCACCAAGGGAAGCTTGGGGAGATTCCGGTTCAACAGGTAACGAAGAGCCAATGCCCGACGCATCGCAAGAGGGTGAGAAGTCAACACCAATACAGGCTTTAACGAAACAGATCATCTCCAGGTCAATATATTTTTTGACCCACGATTCACCTGTTATCCGGGCTCGAATTCTAAACTTGTTGGGTCTTGCAGTTCCCGTTTTACCAGGATCGGCGCTTCTCCCCTCCATCCATTCCGCGTGGCCCTTCATTGTGAATCGGTTATCCGATACAGAGACTTTCGTGCTGAGCAGTGCTGCCTGCCTTGTTGAGGCATTGGCAACGCATGTTGGAGGTTACATGTACAGAAAAATCTGGGATGACGTTTGGCCAAAGTTTAAATCGATCTTGGCTCAGCTTGACGATGCAATTGGTACCACAGCAGTCGCCCGACAGGTCCACAAAAATACCAACGCCGAGTCAGCATATACACATTCTCATCGGCTGCATCGCTCGGTCATAAACACAATGGCAGCCGTTGTTAAAGGAGTGCACTCCCGTGAAGCCTGTCTGTGGGAAGTTATCCTAGCGTTTAGGCGATTTTTAGGGGTTCATGCACATGAGGAGTTGCAACGTAGTGCGAGAGGCTTTTACATGATTGCTGGGGCAGTCAATCCTGATGTGGTATGGCTTGCATTGAGATCAGCGACGGAGGACAGTTATCCAACAATGGGTTTTATGGCGAGAACTTGTGACATCAGTAAAAACGCCGGAATTATAATCAATAGTCTGAGTTGAAGCGTTCACGATGGCTTAGTGAGCTGGAATTCGCTCCGTCTTTACCTTTGTTCACGACGCACCATGGTGATAGATTGTCTTTAATCAGCAATGACAAGCTTAGCGCCCAAATGGAACACTAGTTATACAAATGCTTCATCGGCAATAGGTGGGAACCGAAAGGTACCGGTAGGGTTATAACGCCGCAGCTGGACACCTGCTTGCTCAAAAAGCGAGGCCGATGCATCATCTCTATAAAACTCATTAAGTATCGGCGGCTGGAGGTGGAGGCAACGATGGCGACTGACACTTTGTATGTAAGATTGTAGACGACAGTTTTCACACCTGTCTGGATAATCTTGACTGTGCATCTCAAACAAGGACATCTATCTCCGAAGTCAGATCATTCGTGGAATGAGTGAAATCCGACATACGTATTGCAGTATAGCACTGCGTTGGTGCCCACCCTCTCTCTACCGGCTTCTAGAAGGGCATTTTCCTCTGCATGTAAGCATACACACTCGTATGAATGCGATGGTGAGGGTAAAACGCGTCCATTGCACTGGGGACAACCGCCTTCATTACAATTTTTCAAGCCACGAGGCGTGCCATTATACCTAGAAAATCTTTCACATTTCTTTATTTTGGGGTGTCGTCAAATGGCTCACCCCGTGGCAAGAACGCGGTTTTCTCGGACGAGAACCGCCCCAACTCGGCGCTTCATACAGTTTGAGCGGCGGGAGGCCAGCGAAGCCAAGGTCTATTCAGACTGTTGATATTAACGCCCTACAAAATGAGCTGTACGCACCATAAAATAAGCGTCCCAGCTGGGTCTCAAGTGTTCCTGATCAAGCAGATTAAGGGATTCTAAGTGTGTATAAAGCGCCTCGACCGACGGATAAGAATTTGTCACATGGATGTTGACTAGTTCACGCAAGCTTTGGAGTGAAGTCTTTTTTTGATGAGTTGGAGTATAAGTATCAAAAACGATACTGTCATTTTCTTGAACAAAGTTTTCAAGGGATGTATTGAGGGAGCTGCAGTCACATATCTCAGTTGATTCCCAATAAAACTAGTGCTCTCCTTTACCTTTTCGACCGCCGAAATCGCTCATACAAGGGAGCATCAATACTCAAGAGTAAAAAGAAAGGTCTTCGAACAAACAAATCCACTAGTTCTCGTGTGTCTAAATCGGAAGTCACGAAGTTCTCTTGCCAGTTCCTTGTAACGTAATTCAGAAGACTATGCGGCGAGGGAAAGCAAAGAGGTTGAGGGTTGAACAAAGTTGGAGCTGGCGAAGATGGTGGACTCAGTGACAGAAAGGACAGGTGTTTATTTGTCGAAATAGGTAATTTCAGTGGAGCCGCGGTGGCTGTCGAGTCCGATAAGAAGCTTCGATTTGAGTGCTAGGTGGATGTCAGCCGATGAAGACAACACTCAAGTCACACAACGGTACCTCGAACGATTCAGATTCATCTCCAAGTTCTGAATGAATGATTCGGACCGGAGTAAAGTGCTTGACAGAGATAAAATACTCCTCAATGCTCGATTTTCCCGAACAACGGGTTCCGACGATGGCAATAAACATTGGGCAAGCTTGAGGCAATGTTACAACGGCGGCGTGTCACACCTGTGACGAACCAAAATATAGAAAATGACATTTGGACAACATTTGGATTGTACTCGTAACTCAGTAGTATTACTATTTCTGATGCGCTTCCTGTCGTTTTGACAGTCTGCGTTGCTTGGCGGCTGCTTTCTCGCGTGCTCTGGCATCTTTTATGGCTTTCATGTCCTTTGGTGCTGAGGTTCGGACTTGTTTAATATGAGCGGGGAGAAGAGATTGAGTAGGTTCGGAGTGAGCTAGCCAAGGAACCGTCAAAGCAGTGACAGGTTCCAGCAAAGCCGTCAATGATAAATCCGGAAAAGAATTCTAACGGAGGACGTTTTAAAAAACCACAGGAAATAATGATGCAAACTCACATTAACACCCAAAGTCGTTACTCGTCGAATTCCCAGTTTTTGTGCTAAAGCCAATTCTGCCCCCTTTGGAAGTGGCACAATCTTTAACGTGTTTCGGGCTCCTCCAGAATTGCAAGCTGCAACCAGGTGAGGCAGATGATCTACGAGCAAGGGTGGATCGACATCGGCACGACAGACGAATAGGTACTTCAGGGGCAGTATCGGTTCTTTCATCATAATCGACTCGTCGGATGAGAAGACTAACGATCTGCGAGCGTTCCGTGACTGTATCTCAAGCCTCTTAGTGACCGCGTTGATCCCGTAGACAATATGTCCCAAGACAAGAGGCGGGGAAGGTCCAAAAGTATTTTCTGAGAGCTCTGCCGAGTCTGACTCCCCTGTATGAGGTCCCACACTAGCCAGAGTATCGTCGAGGGTCGTACTTTCTTCGGACCCTGTGAAAACGCCCCCTGCACCTTCAACTGGTCCTTTAGTCTGTCTCCTGGAATTATCATTTTGCAACACAGTTCTTTTGCGTTTCCGACCGACGAGACAGCGGTTACGCTGGTATTCCGCGACCCCCTCGAGAAGAGATACAATATGCGCTAAAACAGCATTTTGCAAATTAATAGGCACGGAAGGCCTTCGGAAGGAAGAAAGTCAACAATAAATCACTGGTGCAGAAAAGAGATAGTCACCATTCAATGCGGTATGGATTGTCTAGTACACTTTTGAAAGCGACTTTCCTATCTACCTTTCCGCTAGCCTTGGCACGGTTAGAAATATGAGAGTGAGTTCGAGCAGCTTTGTCCGACATACGTCGTCGTTTATAGTGGTTGTGATACTGATGTTGACCAAACCATCACCTATACATAACCGTCAACTTCAAGTTGTTGGCACATTCAACTTTGCAAGATTTTAATGTCCTGTGCGGATACAGACTACGCCATGGGACCAGGAACTGGTCTGGTGCCTCCGACCCACACCTCAGAATCAGAAGATATTGCCTCATTGACTTCTTCAAGAGAACTTTGCCGCTCACCAGCCACGCCCCCTGACCTGCCACCACCTATGCTAGATCCATCTAACGGAGGTTCGCGATTCTACGAAGATTGTACACCGGATGATACTACGAGGTCACCAGAGCCACTGTCTCGGCACGGAACCGTTACTCAGAACTCGGCTCAGCTGAAGTCAATTCTGGGAAATGCCAATTCTCGAGTCAAATCTGGGTTTGTGTTGCTGTCTACATCTGAAGACGAGTCATCTCCCAAGCTACGAATGGCTCTTGAAAAGGCCAAGCCTCGCTCACGCGTTGAACTTGATATTATTCTGGAGAGTGATACATGCGTCCAAGGTGGCTATCTTCGCGGTCACATCCACCTTCACATCAGAAAACGAGAAGAAAACGAGCACTCTATCATGGTCTCAGGCGGTAAACTTCGAGTGCTGGGCTTTGAGTGCATTTTACAGGAAAACGAGCGATTTATCTTTTATCAATGCTCTGACTCTTTTTCGTCTACTGGGGCTCATCTTGACGCGGTGTACGACTCATCTCCAGATGACGAGGGCTTTTCAAGCGCTAAGGAAGGGATCTATGTTTTGCCGTTTGCCCTACATCTCCCTCTGTCAGCAAACAACGGAGTTCCGAAGGGCATTCTACATGCCCAAGTTGGAGTGGCGGTACAATACATCGTCATGGTGTTCGTAACATTCCATTTTGACTGGCTACATTGTTTTACTAACACAAAGAATTAAGCTCTCTAAGAGTCAAGGATTCCGTGTCTGGCGCAAAATCAATATCTCACTTCTATCGAGACTGCAGCGTTTGGCCCCGCCTAAATCCGACCATCGTTCTAGCGCCAACGCCACGCCCCATCCAAGTCACTGCTTCTGCGGGACTTTTCCTAGGAGGTACCGGAAAGGTGAACCTAACAGCCGCTCTCCACCGATTGCATTGGATAGCGGGCCAGCAGTGTTGCGTTAAAATTAACGTTGTCAACGGTACTAAAAAATGCTTGAAACACCTTACCCTCAGCATACATCGCTCTATAACAATGTATAAGGCGCGGCCACAGCATGATAGCCAAACGTCAAATTTCGTGAAGCAGGTGGCCGAATCCACGCTCATGATGTGTGATCGTAGCACCAGCGGGCACGCAAGCGCCAAGGGCTGGTGGGTTGGTGTGCCTGCTGGGGAGTCGTCGAGCTTCTCCCATTCCATTCTAATTCCAGTGAGCGTCAACAGTCTCCTATTTTTCTGCCCTAACATCCGAAGTTATCAGCCAGACTCTTTATCTATCGTAAAAGGAAAGCTTCTCGAAGTGGAATACACGTTACGGGTGTCTCTCAGTTCAGGGGCCTTTCTGGCCACTGATGTGCAAGTCACTCTCCCGTTCTGCATTATCAACTTTCTATCCATTGACCCTCCTCTGACCTCGTCGTCATCACCGACTCCTCTAGAACAGCAATATGAAGGCTTTTTTGAAACTGATGATGAAATGTCCAATCTGAACTATCCAAATTCCATCTCTTCCGGAATCAGTTCTCGGTTAGAATCTGATCGAGGGGTTGAAAACGTGCATGAAAACCACACCACTCGCCAAGAGTTCGAAACTACGTTCGACGAGCATTATTCGGTTGATCCCGTACTTTCGCAAAAGCCAGACTCAGAGAAACTGGGAAACCTTGCCTTGCAGGATGACACGGATGAGGTCGTGCGACACGCAGTAACCTCAGCAACTACCGACGCAGAATGCGACCATCTCAAGGACACTCCCCGCTTCGCCGACTTGTACTATGCGTCCTTACAAGAGAGCCTAGACCAAATTTCTACTCCACCCGTAAAAGAACGATCTGACTCCGTGATGTCCCATAGTTCCAGCAGGACACGCCCATCACGCCCTAGAGGCCCATCGAATTTCGCCTTGCGCGTGGAAGAGAAAAAACGGCAAGGACAAAGCTTTCAAGGAGAAGAGTTGTTCCGTGAAGAATCTGGTCTCCTTTTGAGAGAGGAAGATCAGCCCACTTTACCTTTGAAACGCACACCAATCGTGGAAGGGGAACTTTCCGACTCTGCGTCTCGCATCTCTTACTCCTCTGTGCCATCTGAAAGGTCAATTCTGCAGTCATGCAAGGTTAGGCTTTCTCGTTCCATTGAGGCTATTCCCCCGTCAAAAGTGGACACCACACCTCCTGTTACACTGTCAACAAGACGGCCTCGCTTGCTGCCTACGCCTCCTGACAGTTCTTTATTTGCCATTCCTCCCGTATCTTGCGCAGCAAATAAGGAGTATTCTTCAAGGCCTCTTGTCCATCGGTTGGAAACGGGTACCCATCTGAGTAACACACAGCCAATGGAGGAAGACCCGAGGCCCACCCCATCGAAAGAGGCAAAGCAATCTGTCAAAGACAAAATCCGGGAACTAGAGGCGAGGTCAAGAGCCACCGAGGGGTCGTGAATGTGTGATGCGAGTTTGAAAGCTATTATTACAATTGGTGATGTACTATTTAGACATGTACAATGAGGAGTTACAAGCTACTGCGGAGAAAAGAGTAATGAGAAATGCCAAAAAACCCTCACAGGGTAAAACGACATGATGCATAAAAAGTGCGGGCATATCAACCACCTAGCATGGCGAGTGCGGCTCTTAGCTCTTTCTTTGCCTGCTCAGCATCCTCATAATCTAGCGCGCTACTCGCAAAACGACAGTGTTTTTGCACTTTTGCGATGACGCCTGGAGTTAGTTCCGGTGGGGCTTGAGCAGGAATTGACTGGCGTTGTGGAGGGGGTACTGGATGTATGTAGGTGTGGGGAGCATGATGGGGGACCACTGGAGCGAAGGGTGGGTATACGAAAGTGGGTGGCGTTTGAGGTGTGAATTTCGATGATGGGTCGTAATGCTCAGTGGCAGACGGGGGAGGGTTGGTCGTTGGCGACCCTTGAAGCGAAGGCGTGAAATGCACCTCTTTTGGGGGGCTGCCATTGGGTAGGTGACTTGTTTCCAGGTAAGGGGATGTTGGGTGCTGTCCTTCCGAGCCCTTGATGACCCACTCTGTCGGCCCATTTCCAGAACTACTTTCACTCCCACTGCTTGACTTTAACTCCCCTCCTTGTTGATTCTTCCCAGTCGGCCAATCACTGTCTATTGGTGATTCCCGGTCCCGAGCATGATCCTCTTGATGCGGAACTTCGAGATTAGGAACGGTTACATCGTTGAAAACAGCCGTTCCAGGAGTGGCGAATGTGCTCCAATTTTCCCGCCCGGTAGACATACCGTCAGTTTCCCAAACTTCTTGGGAATGAGGGAGGTCAACCTCAATGTGGATTGGCCCTGGAAGTGTAATTGGTTGATCGTAAGGTTCGGAAGGTCGCACGTCAAATGCATCGATGTCAGGAGGCAGCGGTGACGTGCGCCTCGCATGGGGTGGGGAATGGGGGGGAGTACCCCTGGTAGGCGAAGGAGACATCAAGGTAGCCTCAGAAGGATCATTGAAGAGTTGTTCAGGAGGTGACGGAAAAACGGGTTGTTGCTCTGATTCAGTTACAAAGCCAGGAGGACCTGGCGTGGGCTTTCGTCCTTCCCGATAAGCCTTTGCAATATCAGCAGCCTTCCACTTGGCGTAACGAATTTTTTCTCCATTCTTAGAGTATGTAAGTTGAACATATCTTTCTAGTGAAAGAGTGAAAGAGACGTACAGTATCCGAACTGTCGGGCTTGGGAAAGATTTTAAGAACCTCGAGAAAGTTTGCTGCGGCCAAAAACTTCTTAGCAGTCGTCCTCTTTGTATGTCCAGAACGGTCCTCGTTATCAGCCATTGAGAAGATCTTGAGTGCAAAATTCTCAACGTAGGCTGAGCTAGCGACCTCGATATCGATAGCATCGCTAGGCCCAATGTTGGATTTCATATGCTCGAGAACGGACAGGAGAGCGAAGAGGACGTCCCTAGATGCGGGATCTTTCGCTTTGAGACCAATGCCGACCTGAGCAGCATAGTAGGCACCTAGGGATTGTTAAGAGACTTGTTGTCAAACAAGACGGGTGAAAACTTACACCAGTATGCGATAATGGGTTCCTGGTTTTTGACTTCATCTGCGCGTTGGAGGTACGGAGTGATGGACTTGAGTTCTAAAGTGATGGGAGGCAGTCCTAGCACTTGTTGTGTAGTCATGACGTACGGTTGTTATCAGCGTGTTATTCAGATTTATGTCTGCATACGTAGTATATATGTAGTCCTAACTCCAAGGCTCAAGCTGCGCCCCGCAGTATCTTAATCCTCTCCCGGCAATTTCAAACTTCCAAGCGTCGATGCGGGACTATCCATCACCTGCGCCTTTGGACCTAGGGAGTTGATGAGGAGAGTTGGGACGACTCGCCCCTGCGGTTGCGCCGGTGGAGTTACGACGCGTGATAAAGATGCTGGTAGGTTTGCAGTTGATGCCTCCATTGAATTGGCGAACGGAGATACAAGGTTTTCTGGTGCTGTCGTTTGTTTGAGTGGAGTCTTGTCGATAATGTCTCCAACAGTCGCTGCATTGGGAGAAGTGGTACCTATAGAATTATTTCGTGAACCAGGAAATTGGTCACTTGACGGTTGAAGAGTATGGAATTCCGTTAGCGCCTTCGAAAGGTCGGCAAGCTGAACGCAAAAGTCAAACATCAGTTTGGAAAGACAGCCAGTTCGAAGGCAGACCTTGTTCATTATTTCATTGATTGAGTCCTTCTTGCCCTCAAACTGATCAGCCAGTTTAGCGAATTCTTCTTCTCTCGCCCTGTTCTTCTCCGCCTCCTCGTCGCCCATGCTTACGCCCTCTTCGTCTCCTTCAGGCTCTCCTTCTGTCCCGATAGTCGATACATTGCTTATTGCCCTCGGCCTCGTCCTCAACGCCGCACTGTACATTTTTTTGTCATCCTCCACATCCGTCGTACCACCTGGTGGTTGTCCTTGGCCTTTCTTACTGTCTCCCGGCTTTCCAAGACTAATGCCTTCCATTTTTACATGCATGTTCGCTATCTGGCTTTGCAATTTCAGCACACGAGAGAGGTGTGACCATACTATCTCATCCGCGCCTGCGGTGATACATTCGGAATCGACACGGCGAGATGACTCTTCGTGTCCATTAGATTCTCGAGGAAGCAGCACACCATGAGAGGTGCCTTCGAAAGGATCAAATAAGACGTCCACGGCTTGAGCGGCGGGTTTGGGGGTGGCAATGTTTACACTCGATGTTGGACTTAGACCAAGTTCGACACGAGAGCGTGGTTTCTCCTCAACATTGGCATCTAGAGGGGAGTGGGTCTCAAATGGTGATTCTGGACTACGATTTCTCCTTTGAAGGTCTGCTAGGATGGTGTCGTGAGGAGTTGTGTATGCGGTGAATGAATGTCTACTGCCTGACTTATCGAGAGACAAGCGGGGGTCTGCGGTAGTTGAACCAGATGGACGTGAGGGCGCACGCGATAGTTCACTTGTGCGCCGTTGTTCCGTGTCGTTGGACTTTTGTCCGAACCATGAGCTCAACATCGCCGTTGCAAACTTGGAGGTTTGAGTATGTAAGCTTGTGACGTCAGGTAGGTATCTAGGTGTGGTATGGTAAAGGGACGCAACGACCTATTTACTCCCCCTCATCCTCTATCTCGTCATCTTCAGACTCATCGTAAACCTCAAGGGCTCCGAACCTGCCAACGACGCTAGTTTTTGCATTGTTTTCATCAAATTCTTCAACCACATCACTATCCATCTCTTCTTCACTGCTTGCTCCTTTCGCCGATGCATCTTCAGCTTCCTCTTCACTTTCTTCAAGTTGTTCGCTCTCGGGGTCCAGTAGCTTATCTTGGGGAATCCAGATGCCAAGTCCTGCCTCGTTTAGTTCTGAACTCAATGTCTCCTGAGGCGTATCTGGAGGCCAAAATGCCCACGAGATCTTACCCTCAGCCAACGCGCGGAGAACTTAAAATAATAAAACATAACTATTAGCAGAATGCTAAGAAATATATTCATCACGTACGAGCGTTTCCAGCACGATGGACGTCTGGTCTTCCAGCCTTGGCAGTCACCCAGCCCTTCGCATCCGCATAAGCTGTTAGAATGTCTATAGCCGTCCACGTCGGCCGATTGACATCAGGGAGTTCTTCAGGTTTCATGCCCTCCCTCCACGTCCGTTTGTCCTTAACAAGAGGCACATTTGTAGTCGGATGAACCAGTTTATAAATCCGTTCGATTGGGAGGAAGTTGGCCGCATTGTATGCGCACAATGGCACCGCAGAAACGCGTGATATTGGCAAAATTCCGGCAAGAACCTTAAAAATCAAGTAAGCGAATTGGCATATCGACCATAAAAAATATAGCACCTGCATTTCCATTGGGATGTAATTTGGCATCACAAGACCCGGGCAATCCACAAGGCGAACGTCACTGGTCCAATAAAGTGTTTGAAAATGTTTCGTCTACTATGAATGAGAATCGAGCATGGCGATTGCATGTATAAAATTCTAACCTTTCCGGGTGTCTTGGAAGCTCGAACTCTCCTTGCACCGAATAAGGCATTCAGGAGGGATGACTTTCCAACGTTTGGCTGCCCTTGAGGAAGGTGTCACAGGCCGTCATAAACACAGACTATCCGCCTTACCAATCAACCCAATGGTAAGAACTTCTGGTTCTTGAATTCCATCCCCTTGATTTTCTGGCATCTCTGGCAAGCTACCATCGACGTCTAGTTTGTTCTGCGGTACAGCCGGCCCACCAACCACGGCTCCAACTTTGGCACCAGTGGCATTCAGAAGGCCATCCCAATCGACATTTCGCTTGACCGGAGGGACCCATTTTTTAAACCAAGATGGATTACTCTTCACTCGCTCTGGGGGCTCAAGCATCTCTGCGTGGACTTTCTTGATGGCGTCAATAAGTTTCTGTCGAAAATGATGAGGAATACTCGGCTCATACTGAGCCCGACCTTGATGCACAGCGGTAATTTCTTTTTCGGTGTAAGATTCAACGGACACTATAGGTAAGTGAGGATATTGTGCGTGAAGGTATTTGTTCCATGCTTCAACACGCGTTGGGCCAGTTATGTCAACTTTGGTTAAGACGAGGATGGCCTTTCGGCTTTCCAAATAAGCCGCAAGGGATGGAGGGTAATGCAAAATCGGGCATCGAGAATCAAGGAGAACGAGTATGATCTGTGATATCTCAGTGACACGCCATCTAACCGCAGATGATGAATGAAGGTCTTGATCTTAACAAATCCAGAGTGACGTACAATTGTCGCCAAACTTCAATGTTACGTTCATAGTATGACGGTGACGCAGGAACGGCAGAAGATGGTGGGCGTGAATCTTCGGGCTCGGTAGTAGCCTTCAGCATTTCACTCGATTTGACCTGCCACTCAGCAAGGGTTTGATCTGTCTGTTCAACCCACTTCTTGAAAACACCTTCCTCATTATGTTCCACTTCGATCTTTGTCATGTCAAAGCGCCATTTCGGCCTACGAGGACACGTCAGATCCTCCTTTCGCATGCCGTGATCGTAGCTGGCAAACACAGCTTGCTGAGCCATGATTGGGCGTTGCAAAGGTACGGTTGATGCCAATCTCTTGGTTTCTTCCAGATAATTCTCGGGAAGCTTTATGAAGGTGGATTGCAAGCGTCTGGCGGATTCCACTGTGACGTTTTCTGAACCAATGGGCTGCCCTGTTGGGCCGAGCCTGAAACCTTTTGGTTTGCGATGGGGTGTTGGTTTCTTGGGTTCGGGGGCTACATCACCACGTTTAATAGCGCGTTTGAGCTGCTGTTCAGCCTTTTTTTTGTTGGTCGACGTAGGCTTTCGGCGAGCAGGCATCTGAGCCAATTCTAGGAGATGACTTGGAAAGATATTGATATAGGATTATCAGGCTGAGGATCACTGGATAGGTCAATGTTACCACGTGATGGCTTGTTCTTCGATGACGACTTGCTCCGAAGGGAACGGAATGCTCGTTGAACTTACCTCCTCAAGTAGAACTTGCCTTGAATTTTGAAAGTGGTGTTGACTTGTTGCGAATGTTGACTTGCAAGTTGCGAATAATTACCACTGAAGACCGGAGTCCGATCTCCATCTTATCTACGAACTAATCTGGTTTGTGGGAGTGGTTGCGGGTCGAAACATGCGTATTGCTCAGTTAGGAGGTTGCTACCATACCAATATGCTCTACCTTCTCGGCGTACAGAAGGAAGTTTATATACTTATATACTACCTAATTACATACTTGGGCTACCCCTGGCAGTTCGACGTGAGCAGTCGTTGATTGCGCGCGATCAGATGGCACATAGCCCCCATATGCTTTTACTCAAAGCTTCCAATGACTAGATTCGCCCTCTAGATCCCACCCTTCTTGCGTGAGCATACGTCTACATTACAAGAGGAAATTCTTGACGGCCAAAGTCGACCTACCGATGACAAAGCCCTCGTCTCCTCTGCTTACGTCGCTCAACTTAGCTGCATCCACCTTGCCTGAAGGCAAAAGGAATCTCAGGCTAAAAGAGTCGCAGTTTATCTCAAAGAATGGTCATCGCCATCATTCTTACGACAACGAGAAAGCCCCGTATCCTCTATCTTACGATAGCCATGTATTGGAAATGTGAGTTGCTTCTGCCTTTATACCACCCACCATTCTGACTATAACGTAGAGAATCGCTCGACAATCGCCTCGCATATTACCTTCGGGGGTCTGTTTCCTTTGTCAATTTCACTGAATTACCAAGGCGCGCCTTGGACCTTGGATGTGGAGTAAGCAGCAATTGAATCGGACCAGTGGCAAGTTCCTAACCAATGCACTGGACGCAGACTGGTACATGGGTCATTGAAGCAGCGAAGGAGTGGCCTCAATGCAATTTTGTATGTTCTAATTCTTTCATGTCCAACTCCTAGCCACTGACCGCCGACGAAGGTCGGCTTTGATCTCGTAAAAATTCAACTACCGGTGCTGGAACCAGAGTTAGCATCGCGAATACAATGGCAACATGGCAACTTGTGCGCGCCAAAGCATGAATCCTCTTAGTTTTTGCGGTTAATTGCTCTTAGCTTGACAACCAAGCTGCCCTTTGAGGATGATGAATTCGACCATGTGCATATTCAATCCATTGCCAAGGGTGTTCCAGAAAATAAGGCGAGTTAGAGTCTTTTGCTTCTGTGACGCCTAATAACTGACATGGTCTTAGTGGGGTACTCTCTTCGAAGTGAGTGAGAATGGAACGAACCATGGGTGATTTTGATGTTTCTACAGGAGGTCAACAGGGTTTTGCGACCTGAAGGCTCGGTGGAGATAATTGAGGATGGTGCGTAAATCTCCTGGAAACTTGTACTTGCCAAGGTTACTGATGCTATTCAGATGTTTTATTTCCCTCACTGCCTCGGTGGTTTACTTCTGCGCTGCGGGCTCGCCCACGTCGAACATCGTCCATTCACCATCCTGATGGAACTAAGCATGGGTACTTTTCCCCGCCCAGATCAGACGATACTATGCCCAGCCACGACCATGCTCTCCTCGAGTCTCTCAACAGATCTGTTTTCGAACATCGCTTTATCAACATGACCCCGACTGGTGAAGCAGCACTTGGGTTTCTACTACTTACAATATACTGAAAACCTGTTTCTAGCTATTTTGCCAAGTTATTTTACCACCTACTTTAGACAAGTCACGCTGGGACCCGTGCTTAATTTCCCCATGCCACCACTTCCTCCCTTGCGACCCTTATCGCCTCAGCTGGTAACTGCATACGCTATCTCAAGCCTGGATGCACTTGATACTCACTCATGGAGCAATTCTCCCTCTTCCTCTCCTCCGCACAGCAAGAGGCCAGCTTCGCTTTCATTTTCTTCATCAATCTCGACGACGACAAACTCGACGACGGCGTCGTCCAATGGCCCATTACTATTGAGCAACCGCCCTCGTACTGCCTCTGCTTCCTGGGAGAGTTCATTATCCCCAATAGTGAGCAAGACGTCCCCAAGTAGCCCACCTAAAGCTCCGCTAAATTCACATGTGGAACGATTTGTGCTGGACCGCTCGTCCGATGGATATGATTACATCGCGTCATCGCAGCCACTTTTTGCCATAGACCGTCTCATGACATTGAGTGAACGGTCACTTGCGATGCATCTGTACCGCTCGTATCAATCTGTTCTAGCATGTCAAGAGGCCATGTGGGAGGAACTGATGGATCGGGTGTGGAATCGGAAGGAGGAGTTGGTGCCTTTTGGATGGGACGATGACGAAGAGTTGGAAGAACTCCAGAGTAGGAAGAAGTTTGAAAAATTGATGGAACGGTTTCAATCGTGAGTATAACTTTGCAAGGTTATCTTTTCCTTTGATCTTTTTATGGGATGAACAGCGATATGCAAGCGCGTCTGTCATTATGGTGCTCTTTGACTGACATAGGCTGGCTGTTGCCTACTAGAGAACCACTCTCCAAAGCAGAAGTGATTGAAGAGGAGCGGATACGGGAGAGCATGTTGGAGGCTCGTCAGTTTGCGTCTGAAGAGGATTTGCAGACTGCCTGTCGTTCTTTGCGGGTGCTCGTTGGGTATAAGCTGTGACTTTTGTTGGACTTTTGTAGTAGTGGGGGTGTTGTCTTTTGTTTGGCTTTTTCTTGTCTCTAAACTTTTGCGCTGCACTCTATCATGGCTCCGTCCATTGAACCGTACCCACAACCTCAGCCCCTACCCTCAAAAACAAAGCAAAGACCCACCAGGGACTCAGGGGATATTAGGTTAAAAAAAGCGAAAGGAAAACAGAATGCCTCACCGCCCATACCACCAACGGATCCATCCCCGCCCACCCCATGGGAGTGGGCATCTCTGTCAGATCCTTCGTCCAGCAAAACTCCCCCAATATTTACCAACGATGGAAGGTATATATCATTCCGTCTATCCTCCCTTGTCCCACTCTTAATTTAGGTCTGCCAGTTATTTTTTCTCTCTTGTGGGCTCTCAGGTCAAAATACATTCCGTAGCGACTGGGCAGGTCGTCTCTATCTTAACCTCTTCCCCACCTTCCACCACCGAAACATCACCGGATTCGCTGACATCTGCCATTATCAATCCTCACAACGCGTTCCAATTGATCACGGGCTCACTCGACGGAAGGGCGATGATTTGGGATTTCATCAATGCCACTCTTCTTCAAACTATTGATATTGGGCAGCCAATACATTATATTTGTGCGCACAAAGAGTTTAAGGATACGATTTTTGTTGCAGCGTCTCGCCCTACAAAGAAAGGTTTTGATGGTGAATGCTGTCGTTAAGTTCAAAACGTTCTAATATATTATCAGATAACAACGCCGTTATATTGCGCGTCTCTCTAAAACCTACTGAAAATGCGACCGAAATTTTGCCCATTGGAAAAATTCGTTCTCCTGCTGGACTTGCTATCTCGCCCAATGGCGCATGGATCGTCGCGGCTGCTGGACACAAAGTCTATGTCGCAAGAACATCAGATTTGGCTTCTGGGTTTACTAAATACGTATCACCAGAACGCCTCACCTGCTTGGCATTCCATCCTTCTGATGAATATTTCGCAACGGGCGACGAAAAGGGTGTGGTCAGGTTGTGGTATTGTCTCAACAACGACTTGGCTATCAATTCTCGCGGAGTAGAGAAGCGGACACAGACCACCTCGTTGCATTGGCATGCTCATGCGGTGTCTTCCGTTACTTTTACGCCGAATGGAGCCTACTTGTTAAGCGGCGGTGAGGAGGCCGTCTTGGTGATATGGCAGGTGCACACCGGAAAAAAGGAATTTATTCCACGTTTGGGAGCGCCAATAAATGCTGTATCTGTCTCTAATCGAGGGACCGCCGAAGAATATTTGGTCAGACTTGCAGACTCTACACACTCTTTCATTAGTTCGAGCAGTCTGAGGATTACAAGAAGCTACTCGCAGATCAGAGTTGGTCAGTTGGAAGTTTTAATCTATCACGTGGCCACTCACCCTCGTATCAGATCCCTCAATATGTTATCCGCCCTCAGCGCCGATTTCCGTCCCTCTGGCTGTGCATTCATCGTCGTCAACCCTTATTCTTCCCACTTCACATCCATCTTCAATCCAAATATACTCCCCACTTTCCTCCACATCAACGTCGGAGTTAGAGGTATCGCCTTCAAACCGTGTTTCAAGACGAGATGAGAAACCATTGGAGCCTTCTCGGGTCGAAAGCGTGGTCGTGTCATCATCTGGATTATGGATGTCGACGATAGATTCTCGACAAGGCGATGCAAATTTTGGTACCGAAGTCTTTCTGAAATTTTGGATTTGGGACCAGAAGACGCGACGCTGGCTTTTGAACACCAGGATAGACAGGCCGCATGGTCAAAAAAAAGTAAACGACCTCAGTTTTAGTCCTGATAAAGGCAAGAAACAACCGATTACTCTCCTCTCAACTGGCGAAGACGGTTGCATAAAATTTTGGGTATTGCGGAGTCGCAAAAGTGGGTCGGCCTCCCAAGAAGGTTAGTGCCTGATGCAAGCGTCAAAGCGGCTCTAACCTGCTCGTTCGGTAGACTTTTGGATTGCTCGCGCTTCTTTTAGTTTCCGCTCTGCGATGCCTCACTGTGCATCGTGGTCCCCCGATGCTTCTCTTGTCGCTGTATCTTTAGGCCCCCACGTCGCTATCTATGATCCCATTACTGCCACTCTCTGCCAGACATTGATCGCTCCAGAGTGTCAAGACTCGAAGTTGGTTGACTTTATAGGCAACGCAGGTCGGTATCTGGCTGTCGCCGGGTTAAGCAGTATCGTACTTTGGGATCTTGTCTCGAAAACTGGTAGGTATCTGGCATTTTGGTGACACCCATTACTGACCCGTTGTCGTAGTTTGCTGGCATTTTGACAGCCCCTTGGGTGTGTGCCGTATCGTCTCCCACCCCACTGAAGACAAATTCGTCGTCTTTCATGAAACGCCTCTGGACGACGAAGGCCAAAGAACCACCATCTCCGTATTCCACGTTTCTTCCCGCGTTCCCCAAAGGACTTGCACTGTTCCTTTTGGCCTTCGGAATGTAACGTGGTATTGTGCGTCTCCCACTACTACTAACTTCAGTTTCGTCGGCATCTCATATAACTGGAGTGTTGTCGTATTTGGAGATAAAAGTTTATTACGAAAGGGAGAAACGACGACTTTAAAAGAGCTTATTGGTTTTTCTACTGTTCAAGGACGAACACTCTTTCAGGACGTCTTTGGGAAGTCTGCATTCCTTGATGCCTTCACCAGAACATCCCAAGCACCAAGAATTTCCTCCGAGGTTCATACAGAATCTGTTGACAAAGCAGACATGATTTTTGAATATCCTGCCTATCTCATGCCATCTCTTGATCACCTTTTCGACCCACTGTTAGAGTCTTTCCTGAAAACTTCAGTCCAACGGGCAAATCTTTCTCAAGAAGTTGCAGCTGGAGAACAGGAGGAAGATGATGTAGATATGGAAGACCCGATGAGTGCATCGATAACCGTTGAATCGGTTGGACGGTGTCTAAATCAAGTGAAACTGGATGTTGTGACGGATCTTTTCAGAAGACATTCTATCTGTGGTGCGTAATGTATAGTTCTCTATATGTCTTCTTCCATATTCGTTGCAGGTTCCGCGGGAGCTGTCCATCCAACAGTTACCGGTCAACTGAACGACATTGCACAATGTCGCGTTAAAGATATCCAGCCTCTATCCCTTCCGAAATCTTTTCTGTTCAAGAATGGGACGCGCAAAGTTGCCTTGCTTTTGTCGAACTCCACATCCCCGTCACCTGCCTCCTCTGTCCCTGTCTCGTCATCCACGGTCACAACTGGCAAAAAGCGCAAAAAGTCTTTAGGGTGAATTCCTCCGTCTTTCTATTTGCAAGTTGTACCACTCCATACGTCTTGTGCGGAATATCTTTTGACAGATGTCTAAAATATGATATAATTTATGAGGCATCTGATATGAGCATTCCGTAAAAATTACTAAATTTTATCACATATATATGTGGACTACGCAGAAATACTGGTTAAATGGATAACCCTGCCCGTAGTGCCTCTTCTTCTGGTGCCCGAGCGCCTGGCGGGAGTTGTAAGACTTTGCCTGGGTTGATGGCCTCACTCAGCGCGGCGTGCTGCGACTGGTCGAGTTTCTTGTTCATAGGATGGAGGACGTACATCTTTTGAAGAGGGGCACCGATCTTCCTTCGAGCCGCCGTCCATCTGGCAACGATCATCGGATTCATCGTTTGCCATTCCAAAAAAGCCAGCTTAGGAGAAATTACGTGTGCAGGCGGTTCGGAGGCTTTCGATTCGGATTGAGGATCGTAGAGGAAAAAGTCGATTAGCATTTCTTGAACATTGGAGATCCGGAGATATGTTAGCAACGGCATGGACAACAACCATTTCACCATCGTCGCCGCTATCTTGGGTGAGGGGATGATCTCGACATTGTAGATGCATAACAGTTTGAGCTCTGGGGTATGCAAGGCGGTGAAAAACGGTGAGTAGTCTTCTCCGGTGAGATTCATAAGTGTCACGTCAAGGACATGTGGTGCCGATATTTGCGACAAAATGTAAACACCATATGACATACTGAAATCCCCCAGCACCATAATCCTCAGATTATGAAGGACGATCGGGGGATATCTAGTGGCCTCTTCCAATTGCCATTGCGGACCCGCTCCATCGAGAATTAGCTTTCGCAATGCAGGAGAGTTCGAGAGCAGCCCTCGAAACTGTGAAAGAGTCGGGGCACGCTCGAGCGGAATTCGGCGTATATCAAGTGTTGTCAGATTGACAAGTTGGGATTTCATCCAGTCAACGTGAACCCCATTCACGGAAAAATATTGGAAAGAAGGGATGGCCGCGCCGCCAAACAGAGCCATCGGCTGGAGATAGAAGCTGGGTTCATAGCCATCTCCCATCTGCACGTATGGCGATCCGGCACGGTGCATTTCAAAGCGCTCCATTATCAGAGGTGTGTTATCTCTGGCAACGTTTCGAAGCTTGTCAAGCACCAAGAGAGCAGGGTCCCAATCTTGAACGACGATAACGAGAATGCGAATGTAAGAAAGTTTGGCAAATAGTTTATTTAGAAGTTCTTCCATCGCTTGGAGAGACATCGGCTCTTCTTTGGTATCGCCAATGCGAATGTCCAGGGGAGCAGTTCCCGCTCGATCAAACCACGTCCACGATCGTTCGTAGTGAGGGCGATCTCTGAACCATATCGCATTCCAGATTGTAGGATCTCCCAGAGCAACAGTGCGCCAGTGGCGGCAGATCCCAATGACTGTTGCGCGAGCAAGAATTCCATCTTTAGGCTCCCTGCATGACCACACGACATAGTGGAAAATATTGGCGATAATCTCTGTGGGTAGATCGTTGATACGAAATATGCGAGGGAAGTGATATCCGTATTCTAAACGGGTCATCCACAAGGTGTCTTCGGTGATACGTTCTCGGACAGGCAAAATTTGAGCCTGCCTAGCTTCCAAGCGACGAATTTTCTGAATACGAGATATGGTCGAAGCACGACATTCCAAGAGCTCCTGAGGTGAGAGTGGATGGGGATTCCAGTCCTTGATAATTTGACCCATAACCGTTTTCGCGAGCATGGCGTATTGATGAAAATCTTGCATAGTTATTTTTGGGACTTCGCCAGGCTTAAAAACAGCTGGGCCAGGTCTATAGTTAGATCGAAAGGCTTGGAGATGGTTCAAGGGTTGATTGGGGAGGGGCTGTGAAGGCATAGTCGATTGTAACGATCGTGGAGCAGCCCGGGTCATGGCGGTTCCTGAACCGCTCGCGACAGGCCTACTTTGAGAATTGGATGTGGTAGAAGTAGAGGGAGAGACTTGGCTGAAATTCTGACGACCCTGGCGAACCGTATTGGGTGGATACGCTCGATTCAGGCGATCCATTGCGTCAAGAAATGATTCAGCAGGTGGAGATGTATTGTTGGGAACGTTTGGAATATTATTTGTTGAATTTGTGCGCATGATGGTGATGCGGGTGGCTCTAAAACGACAAAGGGCACATAGATTAAAGTGGTGATCAACGCAGAACTGGGGAATGGATTATACCTTGGGATAACGCAGCGGGTTGGAGGGAGAGTCGAGAGGTGAGGAAAACAGGGATATAAAAAAGAAATTAAGGATTGGTTGGTGGTTGAAATACTTGTCGTAGGCCTTTGTTCTGAGGACTTGTTCTCAATCGATGCTACTGTCAAAGCGTGTTGTTTACATAAATAAATCCAGCGCCCACAGAGCCAAAGAAACACCCACAATGATGTAACAACGCCTGAGCCACTCAGTGGCCTGCCGATATTAATGCTTGAATCCAAAGTTTGTAGAAGTGGAGATGTGAATGAGTGGCAAGGGAGATATGGGCTGATCTTCTCGTTAGGTCCACCTCTTTTAAGCCTTTGGCCTCCCTTTGGTGAGTGGAAACAAACAGGTGGCCAGGTGCTTGCCTTGTCCTCGCCATCATATTGATGATTTAAGGATCAATACGCGTCCCTTTTTGAAGCAAAGAGCGTGACGGATGCTTCCGAGGTCATTACGGTGAAGGTGCTGCCACCGGGAGTCCAGGGATGGGCCCAACAAAGGAAGGATTCGACGAATGAGCGCTTACGCCCAACGCAATTTATCGGGCCGATACTCAGGAATTTTTCCAGCCTAAAATCCGGGAAACATCTCATGAGAGCTCTGCGCTGGCTCTGCAGATCGATTTGCACGAGAGGGTCGACCAAATTGCAGGAAGAATTGCAGACTCAGAGTACCGATTGCGTACAGAATCTAGCTCCATAGAAAGTTGAACCACTAGCTTGTGAGGAGCGCAAAGGTGGGTAGCCTGCCAAAGAACATAGGAACGTCGGGTTTTGCCAAGGTCACCGTTAAGTCATCGACATGAGGCTCACAGCCACGTGAGCTTCTTGAGCCCTTGTCCCTTCACAAACATCACAATCATAACCATAGTTCTACTGTACATGTACAAACGACATTCATATTCTTACATAAGTTCTCAAGCAATACGACCACTCAGTGCCATGCACCAGGAATATCCTTCTCCTTTGATCCAGACGCGAAGGCGGGCTTGGGCGACATGGCAAGAAGCTCTTCCAGCAGTGTGGTGACCAAATTATCTTCCTCATCCTTGGAGATAAGGCCGTTGGCAGGCATCTGCGCCTTGATCTGCGATGGTAATAGCGGATATGATGACTGCGTAAAGCCCATCTGCGCTCAACGACTTCAGTGACAAAGAATTCTCATTGAACAACAAACTTACATCTGCCAACCGCTTGGTGATTCGGCTCAACGCGCGGGCGGTCAAGTCTTCAGAGGTCTTTTCGCCCCGTTTGTGAGATGAACCGTGACCAAGATGAGTGTTGTGTCGACGCGGAACACTAAACATTTCCAACTGAGGGTAAGGGCCCCTGGCATTGCTGATAATTTGTACAGGAACCTCGGGTGCAGAATTATCACCTAGAGGAGATGATGTGGAGGGCACTGGTTGCGGTTCTGTAGTATGCTGTATGGCACTTTACAAGGAGGTGTCAAAACGGGAGAGTGATTAATTAAAAAATTCGCTTACGCATTTTCGCTGTTGGCAATGTTGCGGTCCCTGTCCTTCTTGCGTTCCTCCTTCTCCTGGCGGTATCGCTCCTTCTCGGCTTTATAAAGGAGCTTAGCTGCCTCAACCTGAGCGCGCAACTCTTGAGGCGACGGCTTAGAAGGTTCAGACGACCCCGATGGCGGCCTGGGGTTGTACGCCCTAAATCCCCAAGGGGAATGTGGCGGCGGCGGCGGCGGTGGTGGTGGTAATGGGTGGCTTGTGCTGAAACCCCGAGGGGGTGGTAAGTGAGGAGGGTACGCCCCACCAGAAGAATTGTAATAGAAGGGAGGGAAGTCGTAAGGAGCCAAACCAACATCGTGAGGTGAGTTACCAGCATGTGGGAAGTTGTTCGGTCGTGGAAGAGGCCTAGGAGGGCGCAATTCCTCAGCAGCGGCAGGGCCACTGATAGGTGGCTGTTCCACGGGGGACGTTGAGGTAGGCGCAGGAGGGGTTACCTTGGGAAGGGGGTTGGGTGCTGGCGAAGGAGGTAGCACAGGGGATATCTGGGAAGGTGAGCCCAGAGGAGGGGGAGGGCCTGGTGGAACGGGGATTTGATGATCCTGAGAATCGTGATGACGATAGTCATTGCGTACAGCGGTGCTGTGAGGAGAACCGTGACGGAACGAAGGTCCGTGGGCGTGATAAGTGTGGGCACGGACTGGAGGGGGGCCACCCCAAAACCCCCAGCCTGGACGTGTATTTGAAATACCCGGAATCGGTGGGTGACCTCGCATACGGTGACGGGCAAAATTTGCACGGGGAGGTCCATACCATGCTGATGATGCCGATAGCTGAGCTCCGTGTCTTGAGTCATCAGTTACTGGATTAGCAGGAAGGTCAGGGGTAGGATTTGCCTGCCCTTCTGAGAGTGATCTCAACATCCTTCCGAGCACCTCGGAAATCCGTCGTTCTGCCTCTGATTCGACGTTACGGCGCACCTCGTTTGAGGACAGTTCCACAGATTGTGCAATGTCAGTCACGGCCTGTGATAGTGCCTCGCCATGAACCTGCCAGTATACGCCACTTGTAGCGTTGCGAATGATATTGCGAAGACCTTCCGACAGTTCTGGGTGAGCTGAAACGACAGTGGTCAACGATGTAAGGAGAGCGGCAATGTCATGTGAAAGGGACGGAGACGTATTGACTGCGTCACCAGTGGTTGGAAGAGGAGGATCCTCAATGACCTCCGGCAAAGCAGGCAGGTCCACCCTGGAGCTCTCCTGAGGCTCACGAGAATTTAGATCTTGTGCATTAGCTTTCGGGGTACTTTCAGCGGTAATGTTATTGTTTGTATTTTGTGGTGGTGAACTGGATGACGCTGGATTTTGAGAGTGGAGGTCGTAGACATGGATGGGATGCTTGAACGGTGATTCCTCCGCAATCATGGAAACAGTGGAGGCTGCAGCAGCAGCCACTGTTCCGTTGGGGCTTGACACATCCTTTGCCTTGCCCTTATCAGACTTTGGAATCTCGCAGGTTGGTTGAACAGCAGAGTATTCATCATCTGTTTGATTGTCTGATGTATTATCGACACTCGGTGACACACTGTTAGCGTCACTGTCGATGACTTCGACGAAGGCATGAGGACTCTCAACGCCTAGAGTCCTCCCCAGAAACAAGTCCGAGATGCCGTGAATGGTAGGGAGGCGCTGCCAGTCATCGTCAAGGTCAAAAGATTCGTGGCCAAAGGTGTTTCGATTTGGTGGGGCTTCAGACTTCTGCCCATCCCGAGAAGACCTTAAATCGAGAACAGCAAATTTGATGACTTCATTAGAACGATGAGACAGTCGATAGAAGTCCTGTAGCTCATTGTTTGAGCTCAGAGTGATTTCGTCGTTGTCATTGTCGATGTAAGAAACTCCAATTTTGTCGAGTGGGATAGCATAAAGGTGCTCCAACCTGGACGCAAGAGCCTCCCAGGTTGGAAGGTCTGGAAATACAATACGACGGGTATGGCCGTCTAACTTGGAAAGCTTGAATTGTGTTTGAGGCATTGGTAACCTTGGGATAGAATTCGACGTGGGCGTGGGGCACTGTACGGTAGTCATTGTCAATTAGCGCGCTATATAGCCAAATTTGAAACTCCGCGCTGCGCACTGACGCTGCGCATAGCATCGAGTCATTTGGCCACTTGTTGACAGCAATACATACTTTTGGATTAAGGCAAATAAATACGCGCTAAGCGAAACAAGAGCGAGAATCGGCATACATCAAGCGCGTCCAAGCGCATCCCTAGCGTGTCCGAAGTGTCACAAGGAGTCACGACGTTTGTGCTAATCTTTTTGCTGCGCCAGCATCACGGCGACGTTTCGATCATGCAGTTTCATGTCCTTGGTTTAGGACCCATTGGCTCTCTATTATCATATCACTTGCGCCGCAGCCTCCCACCTTCGCACTCTGTCTCTCTCATCTACAAAAATATTACCCAAGCCCAAGATGCCACCGCGCGAGGTGGTATCCTGCATGTTGACCGGAATGCTATTGTCACCAACGCGAGTGGGTTCAAATTGGAGGCTTCTATAAACCCCTCAATTGCAGAAGGGGAGCCAAATGACGTTGTCAGGAATCAAGACTTGGGGGCAGATTCAGATCAAATACACTCTCTTTTCATCACGACGAAGGCGCATCAGACCTTGCCCGCGATTCGACAGCTTCTGCCGAGGCTATCAGCGAACTCAACAATTGTTCTGCTACAGAACGGCATGGGTATCTATGAAGAGCTCATTAGCGAAATATTCCGCAATCCAGAACACCGTCCGCATTTTATCCTAACTTCCAACACACATGGCGCATTTTTGAGAAAGCCAAATCACGTCGTGCACACGGGTCTGGGTTCCATAGAATTTGCTATTGTTCCGGATCCCGGCGGGAAGAACTTTGAGAAAGGCTTCGAGGAATCCTCTCCAGCGCGCTCTCCCCAACCCCGCCTCTCAGATATAACATCGCCTGGTCACCCAGAATTTACACGTTACGAGAGCCTACGGGCCACCGTTGCCGCTCTACTCCTTTTGAAGCTGCTTGATGTTTCTTGGCAACCCATGTCTCAACTGCAGTTAGCGCTGCGTAGAAAACTTGCTGTCAATGCAGTCATAAATCCATTGACGGCCATTATCGGTTGTCGTAATGGTGATATATTTTCAAGTCCATCATCTGATCTCATTTTAGACAATGTCTGCCGCGAGGCTTCCGATGCTTATGAGGCCCAAGTCTCGTCAGAGACCAAGGAGTGGTTGCAGGGACTTTCAATACAGGGGATAAATGTAGAAAATGTGATGGTTCCCCGTTTTCCTCTATCCTTGACCCAAGCCCGTCTAAAATGGGAGGTCTTACGCGTCGCAAAGCTCACAAAAAAGAACAAATCCTCTATGCTGGACGATATCCTACGTGGACGAGCGACAGAAATCAAGTATATCAACGGATACTTGTTGAAGCTGGGCAATATATATCAAATTCCCATGCCTACAAACGAAATGCTCAAAAACCTAGTCGAATTGCGCAGCGATATACCTTTGGATCAGGGTTTATGAAACGGATCGAGAGATTTTTAGGGCTTATCTACACCTCGCTCGACCGCCCTCAGACGAGGATTACATTATACATTTGTGCCTCGAGAGTGCAACCACGCGAAGCCTCTAGGCACAAGTTTCTGACCCACATTCTTATTACCCCACCATCTCATCTTACAACATCTGCCGGTCAGTTGTCAGCATCATCGCGTGAGATGACAGGAAACACAAACGAACACGTAAGAGTTAGAGCCCCTTCCTAAAAATGACGAAACTAAAATCTTGGCCTTTCGCTAGGGGTTGACTGCCTTCTTGTCAAGCCCCAATGCAAGTTGCAATGACGATGTTGAAAGAAACGTGGAATTGATGTTGTTGGTCACTTTGAAACCTTTGCATCATGTAGATCGCCGGAGGTATGAAGGAGTTGTGTGCCTCAACATAACGTCTATTTCCGCCCTTACATTCGACTCACACACAGGCCTTCCTCACATCCTCACAAACCTTTTAAACCTAATACATGACGCACACGTAAAATTTGGAGGCTGAATCATTGTTGTGATATGCCTTGCCTTGCAAAGCGTGAAAGTTGTTGGCTAGGGGGTGATCACATCCCCCACTTCGCTTTTGGATTTTCCACAGATTCAAAAAGATTTCTTGGCAAGGTCGGCGCGAAAGGAAAGGGCGAATTCCCTCCCGATGTACTCTGAGCGTCCACCTCCAGAGTATCATATATATTCAATGTCAATATCGAAAGTTGTGCTTGCGATCCCGACCAAATCCCGACCCAAGTTAACCTTGAGCTAACCGCATGTACTTTGTTTGGTAACTTAGCTCTACTTAGACTGTCTGCCTTGGCTGAACTGTCAAGGACTCCAAGTGGAAGGAACGGACAGATATTAATGCAAGTAAGTACGAGGAAAGGTGAATAAAAATAACGATGAGTTCTTCGTCCATGCTTTTACAATAATGTATCGACATAGGTCCATTCCACCTCAGTACCGATAGCGGGAGCGAAAGTTCAATGGTCATCTGCGCCAAGCTTTCCCCATCTGACGATTCTGTAAGGACCATCCTGCCATGACTGGGTCCGTCGTCGTGCCAGAATTGACATTGTTGACCGATCCGTCCCAACAAACCCAAGCCCACCTGATTGAATTGCAGCGTCGATGAGCACGGGAAACCTTGGGAAAAATCAAAATTACAGCCCCCCAGGAATGAACTTCGGATTGCTCACCATCCACCATGAAGTTCAGCTGTATTCGAGTGATCGATTTTATACCAGCCTTGGGAAGTGACCTCCTCCCACCAGGTAGCATTCTTCTCGTCACTTGTCATGACGACATGCTGAACAGAGATTCCCTTGCGATCGAGGATTTCCTTTTTTACTTCCTCGACTCTCCGTGCGATCACAGATATGGGTGCAAAGCAGTCGCTCAGAGCCATTCCAGTGCACCAAGTTGCAAAATCACCATGACGGATGTGGATGGCGATCCACTAAAAAAATCTGTCAGAAATAAATGCGCGAGGGCCAAAAACACGCACAGGCGGCGTCGCTTGAGCTTCTTCGAGTCCGATTGCCTTTCTAACGTACTCATCTCTAAGATGTTCTAGCTTCGGAGTCCAATGCATGTGTTGGCCGACAAATCTCCATGCCGGGCTGTAGTCAAAGTCAAACTCATAAGGCTAGCAGCGAAGATCTTTGTTAGCTTGAAGAAGCTATCTTTCTCGGTCTGGACGAACCTGGTTCGCACAAACATAATATAAATAGTCGTAACAGAGAAGTTGTTCATCAGGTGGAAGGATTACATGGTCATTGCGCGACGGCATCGGTGGCAGCAAATTGTCGGCCCGAATTTCTGGAAAAGCCAGGGATGCTAAAGACCAAAAGCTGGCATGTGGATCGTGCTGAAAGTGGGGGAGAAGTTTGATCCATGTCGGGGCTTTGGTATACGATATGTCTAGAATTGGAAATTTAAGACAGCTGCCACGGGGAGCGTTGATGATGCTAACTGACCAAGGGTGAGGAGGTCAAGAAGGAAGCTATTACGAGGTTCCGGCTCTCGCTCCTGGACAGCTTGCCACACACTCCAACAACCAATCTCATCGCGTTCGTGTGCACTCAAATTTTTTATCTCATGCCATTCGACGATTGGTATGCGTAGCGCCTTGCTCAGACGGGGAATGTCGAAAACTTCTCCAAAGTTGATGGGCGGAACGTGACCACCAATGTGAGTAGGAGTAAACATTGGAATCACAGGTATGCGTTCTGTAATAATGCCCAGGTATATCAAATTCATCTACGGATGACCTTTAGCCCTCTGGTCAAGGTTACAATAGCGCACTCACGTAGGTCATAACGTCGTTGGCTTGAAATGAAATTATTTAGCGCGATATTGCAAAGAACAGATAGATAGCGGACATACTCCACCCTGCCGATATCCAAGAGGTTATGTATTTCATGTTGGGTCGTAGATTATCTATCAAGTGGGATTTGTAGATGATCAAAGGGTGAAGGGAGTCGATTACCTCGGAAGTGAGGGGTAGGTGAACCATTTATGAAATTAGATGAAAGCAGAGTAGAGTCAAAATTGGTTTCGGAGAGAGCAGGGTGTGTCGGTGTAGGCGAGGGATCGTCGGGAAAAAGATATGTGGTCGGTTGTGAAGTCCAGACAGCAGAAGAAAGCAGACCGAGGAAAGAAATAACTGCTAAGAATATACAGGTACTCAGGAGAAGACGACGCCTTTCCCTAGGCTGGCGAAGCAGGTCATCGAGAATCATGGAGGGGCGAGGCCAGAGCGTCGACGGAAAGCGAAGGTGTGTATTAGCGGGTATGAAGTGTAACAAGGATCATACAAGGTATAAATAATTTCAATTGGCAGCTCGGGCCAGTAGTGGACCTCGAGTGGACCAGCTCGCTCATGATCAATTGCTCAGCGCTGTTGAGCGGATATCTCCGCGTGCCTGGCTAATAATAGTATTCGATGTGACATGTGACAGATTAGTACATAACACACCGTTCTCAATGTCATCTTGGCTCTACCCAAGGCTCTACCCCTCCTTGCCCTCTTCAAAATGCCGTCTGACCAGGCAACCAGGCTTCAAGTTGCAGCCGTCGTTGCATTCTACATGACGTCGGCCCTCGTCGTAAGTTCCTTTTCTCCTTCGTCCTACACTTCTCACCCCATCTCTTCCAATCATCAGATGGTCTTCGTGTGCGTCTCCCACCATCCATTATTTCATCTTCTCATTCTTCTTTCAAGTAACAAGGCCGTTCTGAACAACACCCCAGATCTTCCCCTGTTGTTTCTACTTCTACAGCTCATAATCGCTGTCCTTCTTTTGCATGCATCCGCCTCTCTTCATAAGGGTATCGAAATACCAACTTTCGACGTACAAGTTGCAAAGAAACTCCTTCCCGTAGTCTCTGTCAATATTGCTGGCCTGGTTTTTAACACTCTTTGCCTGCGTGATGTCGATGCATCCTTTTTTCAGGTGAGGTTATTCACCACTCACTTACCTCGTGTCATTTAGCAGTCTCTGCCTAGATTGCCAGAGGTCTTGTCCTACCCCTCACAATTGCCGTGTCTTCGGCATATACACACAGTGCGCCGTCCCGGAACGTTATCATTGCCGCAGTCACTGTCACTACTGGCTTCATGGTGGGCGTTGCCCCTTCGTCGTCCACTCCTGTATCCGCCATTCCATCCACCCTCTCCTTGTTCTACGGCGTTCTGTCGTCGCTGTTCATTGCTTTCCATGCTGTTCTGATCAAAAACTCCCTGCCGCATTGCAATAATTCCACGATTCAGCTTGCGTGGTGGACAAACTTTGGCTCGGCCGTAATGATCCTACCCTTTGTCCTCATCCGAGGGGAAATCTCAACTCTCTGGGCGATGTCACAGGCTCAGGAATGGAATGGCACCATCTTTGTGTGGGGTTGCCTTGTGACCGGAATCTTTGGTTTTTTGCTCTGCGTCGCCGGGCTGCTCAGTATCAAGGTTACAAGTCCTATAACGCATATGTTCTCCAGCGTACGTATTCATCGGTGCCTCACAATATCCACTGACCTGAAAACGGAACCTATGATCAGGCAGCACGATCTGTTCTTCAAACCGTGCTTGGTGTCTCGATCTTCAAAGATGTTCTGACTGTGTAAGTACACCATCACTTGCACCTTACAATGACGCTGATACTTTGTGCGGGATCAGGAACAGAGCGGCTTCGATTTTAATAATTCTCGGAGGAACCATGTAAGCAAGATCATGCCACTCATTCCCCCGAAGACAGTGTGTGAGTCTGATGTTCATAGGTTTTACACTTGGGTCAAGTCGTTGGAGACGTCGCCAAAACCTGCGACACGGAATGTGGACCTTGAGATGGCAGACAAAGATTCTATTAAGCTGAGGGAACCGAGCCGCGTTACAGGGGAGGCTGAGGAAAAGATATGACGGCAGTTAGTGCTTGAGACGATGGTTAGATTTTTGACAAGGACACGCATCGGAGTCCGGACTAGTGGATAATGGATAATTACGATACTGATAGACAGCCTGGGACTTTATTCAAGGGGGAGGGGATTTTGTACTTGTTGTATTCTCCTGTACAAGGCCTCATTGACATTACGACGAAATTTACCACTGATACTCCTAAAACCCCTTCTTTCGAACCTATCTTTTTGTAGATCATTGTAAATCGGAAATACTTTTGCTCTTCGGGTACACAAAAATCTAACTGGGTAAGTATGTGTAATGCCACGCTTTGCCACGACGTCGAGATTTAAAGATCCTATTATTGGTTCCGCAACAATCCAACTCGAGATCAAGGCGTCATGATGGGACGAACGATATCGAACTAGCTCAAGTACTATCATGTTGATCCCCCCGAAGACGGAATGAAAATCCAATGAGAAGGCTGAGCGCTGACCGCCTCTTGACACTTAAAGCGCGTCTGCTCCGAGTCCTACTAAATCTTCCCCTCCCTAGGCCTGCCAATAGCCCTTCAAATCCGATCGTCTCTAGAAAAAATGGCGGAAAAGCCTACTATAGAGCTCGACGCAGATGCAGCGCATACAAAGCGTTCCGAGCGTCAGTTGGGCGACACAGAGGTGTCATACTTCCTGCCTTCCCGCCAATCGGGTGTAAATGATATGTAAATCTGCCTTTCTTTTAAATTGTGCGTATGCTTACCCAAACCCCCCAGGTACCTCCACCTCGGCTGTCGCGCTTCAGCATCCATCCTCCAGCGGGAACGTGTCTGTCTGATATGGGCAATCCTTCGATTGAGGCATCCTTTGCTGGCATCCCGGGTCGAGATGCTTGATTACGAAGATATCCGTTTTGTGTATGCCCTCCTTCAGTTTCGTTCTCGATGTACATCTAACTTTCCTCTGATCAAATCGGAAGATACGAAGCACCTCCCTCGCCTAAACATGCTCTCGAGGATGCGGACAAAAATCTCGCTTATCGAACTCAATCGGCTGAAGGTAGCTCTGTTTTATTATCTTTGAGGTGACCCTTGCTTAGCCTTCGTAATATTCAGACCTTATCGACGGATATTTGAATGGATCACGTACATTGTCCAACGAGCGCCTTTCTTATCTTGTTGTATCAACAGTCCAGAATACTTCGGACATCGCAAAGAGTGCCGATGCGACGCAGAATTACGACTTCCTCATCTGCGCTACACATTTTTTGGGGGATGGCATGGCTTTACATCGATTTGCAAACGACTTTTTTGGCATGCTTGGTGGTTTACTAAGCGAACAACAGCTTACGGTAATATTGGAAGATGAATGCAAGCGCTGTTACGAGACCTTGAATGTGAGTTCAAGTCCCTTCCTCATCTGCCAGGATTTTGAAAAATCTGTTCCAGGAAGCAGCTCTGCCGGAGTCCATTGAATCAAGACTGCCATCTTCTCCCGGTGGAAAATTTTACCATGCAGCATCCCTCGTTGACTTCCAGATCGGTCAACACAAACTCACAGTTTGTAGTATCTTGACTTCTCCGTACAGCGTCTTGACACACCGTTCTAGGGGGGGCATAGTTTCCCCCGTCGCAGTGCAAAAGAGCGCCGTACGATCGTGCCTACAGTTTCGTTTGACCCGGCTCGCACAAAGTACATCTTAAGCAAATGCAAATCTCGTGGCGTCTCCATTTCGAGCGCTTTGTTCGCAGTGTGTAACGTTGCGTGGGCAAAAACTTACGGCCAGAACTGGCAATTACCCATGTATGCTCATAAATTTCTGTCCGTATCGCGATACTGAAGGTTCTTGATAAATAGGATGATGTATTCGGCTCTCAATATGCGTCCATTTTTACAATCCAACAAAGCACTGAATGACTCCTACTGGTATATCGCTATCGGCTACTTCAACATTGTGCTTCCGACCTTCCTACCTCGGTCTGGTGACGTAACTCCAACCTTCTGGCTTCGAGCTCGCTCAGCAAAAGATCAAAGTACAAGAGCCGTTAAAAATCCTATGATCATCCCGCGGAGTCGCCGAATGGCTGAAGAGCGAGGCTCACGTGCTCGTCAGTGGGCTAGGGAGGACGATGGTGTAAAAGCCCTTCCACCCCGAAATGTGGCACCCACCATTATCAGAGGTTTCGATAAATCTCCTTCCAGCGCTCTCATGGGGTTATCCCTCCTTGGAAACCTTGACGGCATTTACAAGCATCCAAACTTTCCGGATATCAAGTTACACACCCTCACTACAGGCTCTCGACAACGATCAGGTGGGATGCTCCTGTTCGGCTATACGTTCGCCAGCAAGTTGTGGATCAGTTTTGGATATGACGAAAATGGATTTGAAGAATTCACAGTTCAGGAATTTTGGAAAAATGTGCTTCTCTCCGTTGACGAGTTTTTACTTGTTTGACATTTTTGATATTCAATTGGTACAAGTGAACATTGTTTTGGACTCGTAGTTGGTCTTCCTTTTTAGTTACAATCACTGGACTCAAGTGGACACTGTTTTATTTTGGACTTGTAGGGGCCCCCGGAAAAATGTACTTCTCTCCGTTGACGAGTTTTTACTTTTCGACACTCGATTATTCCAAGTGGACATTGTTTTGAACTTCTTCCTTTATGTAGTTACAATGAATAACGCTTACGAAGGCGAGAGGAGATCGAAACATGGATCACCGATTAAAGGTCGGGTAACTCTCGTTGTATCAAGCGAGTCCAGGTGCTCTCCTTCCACCAATCATTCATATGGTCGATGCGCTCCCACAGCGTCTCCTCATCAACACCATATATTTCATACCTCCCACCATCTAGTGGCCGACCTTCGCGTTTTGCCACATCTAGAGCAGCTTTATTTTCTCCTCTGCGACTTGGTAAGTACAACGCAAAACAAAAATAGTGGGAGATGCATACTTAAGAAGCTCAAGCAACTCCTTTTTCTCTGGAAAGAATAAGCGTGGTTCGAGGACACCAAGTATCCCGAGAGATGCTCGGTATAGAAACGAGTCCCCTTCAAGAAGCAGGACATCCCAAACCCTGGCACAGGCTTCAAACGGCAGGTGATCGAGGAAGAGGGGGATTAACCAGTCCGGAAGGTAGGAGGCAGGCGAGATTTGGTGCTGTTTGAAGTTGAAGTAAACTTACAAAGTTCAGATAAGAGAAAAAGCTGGGAGGGAGAGCCAGCTCACTTTTCGGCATGCCATCAGCTAGAAGTGTGTCGAAAATCCTACGAAGACAATGTCTGGTTAATTCCCTAAAGAATGCGCAGAAACTACCGCCTTCACCTGTAGTATGCTTCGACCTGTTAAATTAAAAACTCTAGAACCACAACAGCTTCATTGAGCTAATAATTACGTACATCTTCTTTGGCTCTGTCTCCTCCAAAGAAACTCCGCATACAATGTCTTTCAAGCAAATTTCGCATAACGATGAAGGCTTGCTGATTTGGCAGATTGATCAACATCATTGCAGCGATCTTGGCGGCCCCAAACGTATATCCCAACCCTTCATCGCTTCGAGACACTACCCAGGCTGATAGCATATCCTTCAAGTCTCCGTAGAGTGGGCCTGATTCTGGATGAAATATGTGCAATGCGGGAAGGGTAGTAGAGATATCGCGTTCAATCAAGTCTAGGGTTGTTTGCGGAAAAACACCAGAGGCAAGGGCACGTTTAGCACGAGATAAACAGGTACGGTAGTGATCTGGACAATATGTTTGGTCAGTTGCTTGTCGAGTACTGGAATCCCGTGAAAATTGCGTATTGGGCTAGATCATGGATCAAATATCTACCTTTGTTCAGTGCCAATGGGTTGCCTACAGCCTTCTCCCACATTGAGGCGCGAAGTTTTGTGGGTATTCCGCGCCACCACAGTTTTCTAAGAGAGGGTTTTTTGAAAACAACTCGCCAATCAGGGATCACCTCAGTTTCCCAAATGTGAAGGGATTCCTCTATAGCTTTTTCTCGCAACAGGCGACGCTCTTGCAAGGCCTTCCTGCGCTTCTCCGCTATCGTGGTATCACGTCATAAGAAGAAAATAAGGGCGAAACAGTGTATCCTACCCGCTGTACGGCTCAGCTTCATCATATGTTGCCAATCAGCCATATGCTTGTCGTCCTCTTGACGAGGCTTTGGAGGGAGGAAGGATGGGCGTGTTTTGCTCCTCACCTTTTCCAGAGCGGTAGGGCCCGCAGAACGGTTACGCCGATGACCTTGTGGTTTCTCAGTCAAAGGTACACTTGGCCCAGGAGGATCTGAAGACAAGGTAGAAACGATAACAGACTGAGGAGTGGACAGGGAGTGCGATGCAGGCTCCGCTACCAAAGGTAGACTTTTGGCGGTTTGCGTCACTAGAATCGGTGGAGCGGAAATATCTGACGTGGTGTTAGACGGAGGGCCTTCAATGGGCTGAGACAAGCCTGATGTCGAGTGAACTCGGCGTGGTGGCGGCTCAGAGGCGTTGACGACGACGTTGGGATGCGGGTGATGGTTGACATAGGCTGTCGGGTGCTCTCCTGGAGATTCATACTCCTGAGCTGGCGTCGAAAGGGATATCTGGGAAAAGTAGGCTGATAAAGCAGATCCCACCATTGGGGACTCCGGTGCTATCTGAGGATCGGAATTAATGTCTAGGGTAGAGACAGAAGTATTGGAGTCGTCAAAAAAGCCACCAGTTGATGCAGCATTTTCGATTTCCTCCCAAGAGTCGTCTTCTACGGGCATACTCCTTGCAAACTCCTCTCGGATGGCATCAGGAGAGAAAATGTACGGAACGTCGGTGTCGTCGGAGTCATTGAAGGCATCATCAAAATCGAAAGATGAAACGTGATGGATGGGGACTGATACAGGGATGTTGGCGAGGGTGTCCATCGCACGCGACGCCAGAGGGGAAACTACCTGCGACTTGGAGGTGCCATGATCTGACATGCGGTGTGACAATGACATTGACCCAGACCGTGACGTGATTGACGCGCCCCCATGATTTGCTCATGAAATGATAGCAGAAATTCTCCTCCTTCTGGCGGGACATTCATCGTCTCTATTCACCAAGGATTCTTCCCTCAATCCAGCTCTTGCTCCCCTTCTACATCCAGGCGAACAGCAGTGTCTAGAATCACTCGGCCTCATTGCATTTCGGTACCGAAAAATCAAGGTCTCTTGCAGCACTCTTTCGCGCTCGTCATCTCGCTATATATGTGCTCTTTGTGCGACTCTGAGCCATATTCTGAAAGAAGAATACGAATCTTTAGTTATCGAGACAGAGGCAAAGATCCTAAGGCGCGATTCTGCGCTTGTTGGAAGTGGTGCGTTTGTGCCATTGTCATCTGTACGTGCGATCTTTTCAGAATGGGATGCCCCACTCGCCGCCCTTTCCACGCTCATGGATGAGTTGGAATCAGAGAAACAATGGAAACCCGGACCATTGATTGATATGTTATTGGCTCGCTCAAGGACGGGCGTCTACCGCATTGCGGATATTATCTCGCGAATATCGATCACCGTTCAAGGTGTATGGCGAACCCAATTGACGGCGTTCATCGTCCACGGGTCTTTATCACCAACGGATCCTCTGGCATCTGAGGACTATGTACTCAAGGAAGGGCACATTCCTTCTTGCGTTTCAACTCAGACCCGGGACTCCATTGCATATGTGGGTCGAGCCATCGGAACCATCAATGCTGTGAGGTGGCAGAAGCAACTCCCAAGGGATATAGCTTCTGAGCATACTATGATGTTAGAATCCGTGCTGCCAGAAGACCAGCATGCATTCGACCTTGTAATCTCGCAGATCAGAACAAACGTCGGCGAGTGGCTTTGGCTTAATGTTCTGACCCGCAATGATATTGAAGGCGCTCTCGACTCATTGTATGCCTTCTTGCGTCAACTCTGTGCAACATAGCTTACGAATTTTGTAGAGGAAACTACTTCCTTCTTCGGAACGGGGAGTTTAGTCTTTCTTTGATTCGTGAAATCGAACGCCTCAAGACTTCGCGTTTGGCAACACGCGCGGGATCGACATCCATGATTCGCGAGCAGGATCTCAATTTAGCTCTCCTTCGCGCTTCCCTTGGAACGACGGCCCAGCATGACCCATATCTAGCTCGCTTGCGTTTCTCCCTTCCTTCTGGACCTCTTCGACCTCTCCTGCCGTCTTTGAGCAGCCCGAAAGGACAATCCTCGCTACCATCAACTCACGGGGGGGCGTCCAGCACGTCACTCTTCAATACTCATCTTCTTGGCACACCATTGTCATTGTGCTACTCCATCTCTTGGCCTTTGGATTTATTTCTTGATCGCGCAGACCTCTCGGCTTACGCGACGCTTTTCGCCTTTCTTTCTGCACTACGCAAAACACATACACGGGTAAACACCTGTTGGACTTCTCTTTCTAATGCGCAACGCGCACGTCGGCGGTGGACTGGTCTCGGCGAAGGTGGAACCACAGAAGATTCAGATGTTCGAAAACGACTATTAAGGTGTGGATGGGGGATTGTAAGGGATATGGGGTGGTTTTTAGACACGCTCTCCGGGTATGTGTTGATGGATGTCGTGGATGTGGAATTCAGAAAACTAAAGGATCGGGTGGGCAAAGAAGGAAACGGTTCCTCTGCACGAGCTGAGAGCAATGTCGCCTCGCAAAGCCATGCTGACACCCACAATGCCTCAATACCATCCGGTACTTCTTCTCATTTAGATTTTACCACCCTTCGAACCATCCATACTGGCTATCTCGACCGCCTGCTCAATGGCTGTCTTCTGACCAACCCCTCACTCACCGCCATCCTCCAACCGATCTTGGATGTTTGTGAGCGATTCGTAGCTCAAGTTGAGAGGTGGGGTGGTGATGTGCTGCCAGCATTGTTGTTTGAGGGTAGTCTGAAAGAGGGCGACGACCAAGTTGGTGCGATGGTCAAAGAACGCTGGCTTGTTGTAGCTGAAATCGATCAGGTTCGTTTGGTAAATTTGCTAGAGGAAGTACTGATTTTGTCTGCATAGACATTGCGTGATCTACTGGAGTCTTTCTATGAGCAACTGACAGCATCTACGTCACAGCAGCCTTTCTCATCTGGGATGGACACATCTAAGTCGATGTTTCTGCCAGGTGCCAACCAAACAACTGCGAATATGTCGAGAAATTCCAAAGGAGTTGAGGGGACAGACGACAGTCGAAGGCACGTTGAACGATTACTGCTTCGTCTTGATTTTAATGGGGGCCTGTCGAAAGCAAGGAGGAAGATATCGGGAGGGATCTTGGCTGAGGGTGGGCTTGAGTAGTAAAAAATGAATTTTATTTATTTAAATAATTGCCGACGGACGTCCGCCTTGAACCGTTCACGAGGATGAACGTCCGGATGGCCTTCGGGTTGGCTAGGCAGTTCAGACTGAGCCAGGTGATGCACATAAATACTCATCGCACGTAATCCTGATTGCAAACCAGTTGCAAGCCCTCGCCCAGCCGATGACTTTTGTTCCAAACACGGTACACCGTCTTTCCCAACAAATCCGCTTTCTTTCTTCATCCGCCATGTCCTCAGGTTCGTCCCCACCCATCCATCCACTCGCGCGTATACTCACTCACTTTCCTTTTCTTCAGTGTACACCCCGCGTCTCATCGGCGCTGCCAACACTCTCGGTAATCATCCAGTCTATCCTCATCCTTCCGTCATCTCATCGTTTTATTAGATCATCGCGTTTATATCGAGCAAAATGGCTCAGTCATTTCCCCCTTCCATGACATCCCTCTCTTCGCTGATCAGAACAATGGCATCTTCAACATGATCGTCGAGGTTCCTCGCTGGACCAACGCCAAGATGGAGATTTCCACTGAAGAACCTTTTAATCCTATCAAGCAAGATATCAAGAAGGGAAGGCTGCGCTACGTCCGAAATTGCTTTCCCCACCACGGCTACATCTGGAACTACGGCGCCTTCCCTCAGGTACGTGCCCGCTTTGCCGCGATCGTTTTGATCTCATCGCAATGTGTGGTAGACTTGGGAAGATCCCTCCCAGTCTCATGCTGAAACCAAGGCCAAGGGTGACAACGACCCTCTTGATGTCTGCGAAATCGGTGAACAAGTTGGTTACGTCGGACAAGTTAAGCAGGTCAAGGTTCTTGGCATTATGGCTCTTCTCGACGAAGGCGAGACGGACTGGAAAGTTATCGTGGTTGACGTTCAAGACCCTTTGGCTTCAAAATTGAATGACATCGAGGATGTTGAAAGGCACCTACCAGGTCTCATCCGTGCAACCAATGAATGGTTCAGGTTTGATATATATCCTCTGTCTGGTGCCGACATCCCATCAACTTTTTTCCCCCTCTAGGATTTACAAGATTCCCGATGGCAAGCCGGAAAACACCTTTGCTTTTTCTGGAGAAGCCAAAAACAAGAAATATGCAACCGAGATCATTCACGAGTGTCACGAAGCTTGGCGTCGTCTTATCACTGGGGAAACTCCCGCGAAAACCGCGACATATGATCTCTCCATGTTTGTCACGCTCATTTCATTTATTAATTTGGCGTTAATACGCCCTTAGTCGTAACATCACAATCCAAAACTCACCTGGCTTCGTTAGGAGGGATGATCCTCAATACACCAACATCCCCCAAGATTCGAGGAAGCCTCCGAGTCCCATCGATCCCTCTGGTAAGTTTTGTTTTTCTGCTACTCGACAGCCTACTAACAATTCCTTTGCAGTCTCGAAATGGTTCTATATCTCCTCTGCACAAGTCTAGAGATTGGATCGAAGAGCAGTAACAAAGAAGTATTCAATAACAAAGTGTTTTGATTATAGATTAGATGTCAAACAGCTGGTGATTTTTGATGTGGACCCTACAAATGGATAGCAAGACGACGTTGTGGTATAAGTACAGATAAGGGTCAGTGCCGTTGCCTTTCAACACTCGAATCAGGTTGCGCAGGCGGATATCGACAGTAACGATCCGAAATGGAGGTCACAGTCCATGTTCCTGATGTTTAATGGTTATCCTGCACTCAATACACAAAAGAGTGATCTACGCACCCTCTAGAGCCGAAAATATTGAGTACTCATTTGTAAGAACACGAGAGACAGTATGAGTTTCAAGGACCTTCCCAGGTTTTCCGCCTTTCTTTGGGCTTGGTTCCGATCGTTGGTAAGTAAATGTGAAAGGAGGTTCTCCGATTAGCGTAAATACTATCTCGGCCTGGTCGCCTACGAGAGATGAATAACAAGTACTGCCAATCACCGAGCAACGTACCTTCATGTATATCCTGGAATACCCTCTTTCCATGGCCAACTTGAGCTGATGGAAGAGGATGCACAACAAATCTCAAATCCGTAACCACAGCTTTGCACATCTTCTGCTGATGTGCAATATGTGTAACCGTGAATTCACCTGACTGCTGTTGGAGGAGGGAGAAAGGAGAAACTTTTGCCTCTTGCGTGTAAGATTTCCCATTGATTCGGTACCTTGAAGAGTGCTTCAGTTCGAATAGAAAGGACAAAGAGATCCAACGCAACTCACCCAATAGTCCAGGGTGGAATTCCCTCTAGTTGGAACTGAGATATCCCTCCAACACAAATATCTTCGCGTCGTTCAAATGGTATGATAGCGGCAGTCTCTGCAACATCCACCCAAATAGAACTGTACAATGGATCAGATGTCGATTGAGCACAGTTGGATGCGTCGGTCACAGATTCGATGGTGACGATGTGTGCACCAACGGCCATGAAGCTATATGATGGCAAATCGATTTTCCACGCATTAGACGAGACCACGACTCTTTCCGTCTTAATCTGACTTGCAGCCAAATTTTTGATGCTGAGCGTTACAGTAAAAGGGGGTGCGCCTTCGAGAAGAATGATTCCATCGGCAGATGTAGAATCCAAAGGTACGAACGCGTCGTATAGGCAATAAGTCATCCTATTGCGGTTTTTGAAATGGGCGGAAGGGCGCATTGAGACTTGCTGTTCAAACAATAGCCTTTGTGAACGGGGAATGATTGCATTTGCATGTTTCGCAAGAGGATATGCGGAGTCTCCGATTTGCTTTACTTCGTAATACATGCGCCCAGGGGATGAGGTATGGAGCTGGAAGCGCGTGCGAGGTTGAAGGCTGTTAAACGTCGGTTGATCCATGAGCTGCGTTCCCCCTAGTTCATGCCCTTGAGCAACATTGTACATAATCTGGAAGGGAGGTCGCCCTGAAAGTTCAAGATCTACGTGATCGTTCAACCCTTCACAGATAGGTCGCAAAATGAAAGACCCATTATGCACATCATATGTCGCATCAACCGCAGGAGAAAGTTTGGCCACTGGACGAGGTAGCCAGTCGACTGTGTAAGTCGTCGCGTCTGTGGCCGTCGAGCCTGAGCACTGTGAATCTACAATCTAAATCATTGCGATGTGATTCAGTGGCATCGGAAGAAGGGATAAAAATTCTTACATCGATGATTTCGTAGACGCCCTTCTCTGTGACGTGAAGATAGTCATTAGGACTATTCAGTCTCAACGTCATGACTTTGTCGTCGGCGCCAATTCGGCGGTACTTCATACGCCAGGGCTGAACCGCAGCATTTAGCAGATATCGTCCAATGATCAAGATTACAACGCACTCCATCGCCAGTCAATCGTAAGGGAAGGCTTGCACGTTCGCCTTCTGTTATCGTCGTATGACGTTCTTGAGTGCTACCATAGAATCGAGCAGTTGGCTAGAAGAGAAAGGTTAGAAGAGCTAGTTATTGGAAGGAAGGTGGTACTAACCCGGACACGTTTCACATTTACGACGACTCCAGGTACAGAGATAGATCGCCTGCACTTGTAAGCATCCTCCACGCTCACTTCTCGTTATCAGATGGTGCGCGTATTGGAAATTTTGGCATAGCTCACCTAGATCAACTTCAAAAGTACCGCCACTCTTCCTCACTGCCTCTGGAATTGAAACTGAGATGATTTCCCTCGGTTTTTCAATTCCTGTGACGAGCACAGTTTCGGAACTATGAGGGCCGATAATTTGCAAGTCCAAATTCCAGGGACCTGTGCCCTAAAAGGATGCGGAGTGTCAGTAATGATCCTTCAATGAACTAAAAAAAACATTCACTTTAAGATTAACATGTATATCCACTGCATCACCATCACAACTACTGATCAACTTTTTGCTCCGTCCAACGCCGTGCACGTCAGAGAAGTCAGCGGAAGCAAGAGGGTGAATAAGTTGATCAATGCTTGGGCCATGGAGTTCGACCTTTCTGTAGTTTGCGTCACTGAGGTGGACAAAGGTAAAAGTATAGTGGCCGCTCCGCTCAGGCTGCAAGGTTAATTCGCCTCGGGAGTTAGTAAATTGTTTTGAGAATTCTCGAGGTGGTTCATTATCACGCTGCATGCGGTAATGAACCTGGAATGGTGGCGTGCCACGAAGGATGAGGGAAGCTGAAACACCCGTGTCTCCCGAGCTGAAGAAAGTGTTAATGTGAGGGGTATACAGAAGGGGCGGGGGCATACCACTCATGGATGCGCTTCCATTCAATTTCGGCGGACGGCAACGCCCGCTCGACGACAGTGCAAGTGTAGGGCGCAAGAACTGTGCCAGAACACCACTACACAAGATTTATCTGAGCGATGAATAATTGAAAGAGCGAAAAATTATTGCATACCTTCCCCTTAACCCCTGCAATAGTGTATTCTCCGGGTGAGCTCGCACGGACATTCAGTTCCCTCCGATCTCCTTGAGTCTTCAAAGTTTTCTTCCAAGGTTTAAGCCTCTTATTGGCAGCAACGCTGTCGGCATCGGTGAGAGGCTGGTACTTCACATAAACTTCCCAAGGTGCATCCAAATCATCAGCTTCAACAGCTTTGATCGATAAAGTCGCCTCTGAACCAATCAACAAAGGCGTTGGAGCATCAGAGCTGCAGTGATCAAATGATATGGCAGGTTTTCTCAAGACGACGAAAGACCTTGTTGTCCTTGTCTTACTTATAGATTGGTTTGCTGTGGCGAGATCATGCCCTGAACGCACAACATTGCCAACACCATCCGTGATTTCCTCCAGAGCATACACATACGTTCCCGGTTCGTCAAGAGAGACGGTCAGAGGAATTTTTAAAGCCAGGGACGAAGGGTCTCCCTTTTCGGAAACCTCCTGTAATCGGTCTGGATGAGAGTCTTCTGAGCCCCGACGATGGTCTGTTTCAATTCCTTCCACCAGAAACTGCTCCCGAACTCCATTGATGATCTTGAGCCATCTTATGCTTAATGGTGGGACCCCGCGGACATCGATCATCAGTTTGATATCAGTGTCCTGACCTGCGCAGCGAATGGTGTCGTTGGTACTTTGCACATCCTCGACGAAGGCTACTTCAGGGCAAGGCACAACCACGACCTCGGAATGAGATAATCGTGCTTCGATACCAGAGACATCCAATACATGTTCCAGGCGTATGGTGCCCGATCGAGCAAGTCGGAGGTAAACCATTGACTGCGACTTCTGCAGCATGGAATGGGAATTTTGCTCGTGCGACTCGTCGTCGTCGTCGTATTCGTCGCGATCTTCGGGAATTCGAAGACGAGAGGGCTTCGCCTGCTCATCACGGAAGGCTTGTGAAATGGCTTTGATGTCCTTCGCACTGATTTCAACCAGTTCAACCTTGCCGTGCGCTACATCTGTCGGATACCCTAATGGAGTGATTGAATACTTGAGGCTGGACAGATTGGTGTTATTGAGAAGGACAGGAACATGGATAACACTCGTTGGTGTCGACAGACAGAAATTGACTGCCTGGGGGTTCAATTGGGCGGTGCTAATTGGAGACATGCGAACGGTATGTTGGCCAAGCAGGTGAGTATCTCTTGAGCCTGCTGGTTGAGAAAGCAATCCGAAGGTGAATGGCGCCACAACATCGTAAAAACTGAATGGTTCGGGTGTGGAAGGTATATCAGGGCTCCCTGTGCGACGCGTTGGAGTAGATTGAATTGATATAGGATTGTCACATACTTGGAAATATAGCCGATAGAGAGCCACCACTGAACAGAGCTGGAACATTGAGACTTATTCCTCCAAACATGATTCCGTCCAAAAACCATAGTAGACATATTTGGAGCAAAACACTTGCTTTGCTGTAATTGAGCCGCGGTATTCGAAGTTGGGAGAGAAGGAAGCAGTATAAGAAATCCACGAAGAGCCACTTGACACAAATCGTGAGTCTTTCACTCGGAGATGCCAATGACCTGAGAAAATCGAGGAGTTTGATTGCCTACGTGCCAGTGAATGCTTCTGTGAGCACCTCAAGTCATCGTAAAGGGAATATATGTACACACTTGACAAAGAAGCCCGAGGCTCAAATAGTAAAGCCTCTGTGATGGCGCATCCAAATAATTTTCAGGTATCAGAGGTTGCTTTGGTTGTTGCGGCACCCGCGAGGGATGGCGGTTAAAGAGCATTGACGAAATTGGAGAGGATGATGTTGCACATGTGACCGTACAGACAATGGATTATTATGTAATTGACTTGAATCGACTGCTGAGAGTATATTTAGCACAGGCATCTCTTCTCAATCGCCTACTTACTTACTGTAGCGCTCACATCAAACAAATATCTGTTCAAGCCCTACAAGGCCACGAGTCATACACGTGCAAGCGCTTGTTACAACTGCGCTCAAGAGAAGCCCACCACCCAGCACAGCATCAATGGCCAACCTCCCGCCTCTTCCTAAGATTGAAGGGGACATCGACCTTCTGCTCGATGTCTACACTCATAGCTCGCTACGGTTTGATGGAGCTCCGATGAACGACGATTATGGTAGCACAGACAGACTCGTTGAACTCGGAGAAAAGGTCCTCGAGCTAGTCGTCACAAACCATTTTTACTTGGAAAAGCCGTTCCTTGATAGCGAGCAAATACAAGTAAGCCTTCCGTGTATCGATAGGCGTTGTTGAAGATCATGGATGTCTTTCAGATAAAGAGAGCAGAGGCTCTGTCTGATGTCAACATCGACCAGTGGATAGATGCATATGGCCTCAAGGGCAAACTGCGATTCGCACCTGGAAATCCTGAATTGATTAACAATCAAAAGGTAGCTCTGGTAGCTCTCAGGAATGACATTGACAGAGTCACTAACCCTGTAATCACTAGGAAATGCGCAAGTTCTTCAATACTTACGTTGGTGCTTTGTACATACGCAACGGGATAGAGATTATCCAGGGGTGGATATCTCGCTTGATAAACCCAAATCTAGAGATGGAATATCAAGTGGCCCCTCCTCTTCAGAAAAATAACAACTCAGGCTATCAGTCGCCACCGCCGCCTCTAACACAGCCGCCTCCATTGCCTGTGTTCCCACCAAGCCCATCAACTCATGGAGCCGTCTCCAGTTTAGTATCTTTGGCACTAGTCAATCAAACAGCAAAGACGGACATGGCTGCCAAAAGGATGCGGACGGCAAAGAAAGCTGCTCTCTACAAACCGGTTGAGAGATAACCTAGTTGTATGAAAGGAATCGAAAGCGTACTTTATCACCCGGCAGGATGATATTGCCCAGCCGAGGGGGCAAAGAATGGAGAAGAATGTATGCCCAACTTCTCACTGCGAACTGAGGTGAAAGTTCCCATGTCTGGAACCCATAACCTTGATCAAGGAAATGCAAAGGTTCCCAAAAATTGAATACTGACACAAAACGGAGTTAGACCATCGTGAGTTGGAAATATGAAGCAGACCTTCATCGCAATCGCTAATATTAGAGTACATAGCCCCTGCTACCCGCACTAGGAAGAGAATGCGAACCGCAAGGGAATAGCTAGGAGTCCAAGGACGACGTTGGGCTCTGATGGGCGCCGTCAGTCTGGGGTATCAGGAAAAAAATGAATGCTAGCCTGCGAAGCTGGTCTTGAAGAATTCCCGAGTGCCTAGGTAGCGGAGGTTTCTCCGGTACAGTCTGTACATTGGTCGGGCCTCGAAACCGAATGGTCTGCACTTTGGGGTTGGAAGTCATCCTAATGCGAACACTGAGTTTACTGAGGCTTGAATCGGGAGTTGTCGCCAGAGATCACGTGGCTAACGTGCTTGTTGCATCGGACCCGGTGCCGCGCGCCGACACTCTTTTCTCCTCCACGCATTCGATCGACTAGGTATATGCGCGATTTTAACGGCTTTTTTTATTGGGATTCTGTGCCAAAATGTGATGTTCTCCCGTCGCTATGAGTCAGATCTGGGAATTCGGGGAACTAGTGGCGACTACTGCGAAGCTAGAGTTATCAGTTACCGCTGACCGGTTGACCCCTCCGGGCTGAGCCATCTGGTTGTGCACGATGCAAAGGCTACTACGGCGACTCACCATGCTTCTTGTCCGAAAAGGGATACTGGCTTGCTTCTTTCAGAAGATGTGGAATGTCCGTTTGACGTTAGTAGCATGGAGAGTCAAATCGAACCAAACCAAACTCAAACAGCCTCTTCTGTCGCTTTCTGTTCCTCATTTTTATCCCCCCTCTCTTCTTGTTTTCCACCACCACCACCACCATTTCTCTTGTCTGCATGGACACTCCAAGCCCCAAGGATCTTGCGACGGCGGACCACTTCATCTATGTCACTCAAGTATACTTTTGTGGTACGTAGTTGACCTCACGTATTCCCCGTTTTCCGCTTACCCTCGGATATACCAGCCATGTGTAACGAGGATTCTTCAATCCTCTTTCGCGTATTCTGACGCATGTCGCTTTGAACTACTTAGATGCCGTAGTCCTCTGGGACTGGATCATCAGTTTGCATAGAGAATATCGCTTCGTAAATGCGTCTTATTCCTTCTCAAACGCCCGCTTCTGATCATGTCTGTACCAGGTCTGGAGGACCCACTGGACGCCAGTCAAGATAGCTTATCTTTTCTGCCGGTCAGTAGATTGGACAACGGGCTACTTTGTATTTATCTCGCTGCCCCATAGTTATTGGGTTATCACTGTCGTGCCTTACTTGCTGTACTGCTTCGTTATTGACCACAGCCTTGAAACGTGTCAAAGAATCTACAAGGCATGTATTTGACCGCAATTCTTTGATTCCCCACACTGACAGTCTTGATCCTAGATCCCTGTAGCGCTTGCCATGTGGAATCAAGTAGGCTCAGAGTGTAAGCTGCTGTCTGGGATGCGGCAGAACTGGGCTCACTGTCCTTTTCTAGCGGTCCTCCTCATCCGTACCTATGCTTTCTTTAGTCGCAATGTCTACGTTCTATGCTTTCTCCTGTCCGCTCTTTCTGGGGTTGTTGCCTATCAACTATACGTCGACACCACCCAGATGTTGTGTGAGTTTTTTGTACCGTCCATTTGATGCATTCTTACCGGTTCTGGAATCCAGTGCTTCCATTCTATAAGCCTCCATTCGTACGACACTGATGCAATTCACACCCGAGAATTCTGCCTGACTGGTTATTTTTGAAAGGACAAAGGCCCCTGTCTTCCCATGTCGAAAAGACACTCAGCGCATTTACTCGGTTTCTTCGTCCGTTTCTTATTTGCGTTGACCGGATTTTATCTTACACATTTATTCAGATTGCACCTCTGCTGTTCGACACAATTGTCACATTTATGACTGTTTGGAAAGCCTTCAACATTCGAAGACGTAACGGGGGACCGAATAGCCGACTTATTCAGACTTTCCTTCGTGAGGGTTCGTGATTTCAATGTGTAAAAAAACCTTTGCAGCCAACGTTTCATGCAGGTGTCTTCTATTACATCTTAATCTCCATCGCAAACTTAGTGCGTTTACACGGCACTTGCTGTCTTAATTTACTGATTCAAAATTCCAGATTAATGGCGTCTTTTACCTCCAGTACGTTTTCTTCTCCTTCGATTTGCTTTTTGGGAAGTAAACTTTTATCAGACCCCGCCAAGTTATTTCGGCTATCAACATTCCCTTGAGTGTTATGTTAGGGCCTGTGCTCGCCTGCCGCTTAGTAGGTGTTGCCCCGTAGATCTGATAGTTGTTGGTTAAATTTGATATGCCCAGATTCTGGACCTGCGCGAACGCGGCTCGGAGACCGTATCGCATTCTGAAGGAACCGGGATTGCCGCCTTTACTACAAAGTCTATACCCCAGCAAGGCTCTCCATATACGCCCCCCGGTCATCGTGGAAAGAGCGGGACTGGTCGTTATCGTCGCAGCCACGGCATGGTCAGTACAATCAGCTCCAATGTGGTACTGACCACACTTGGAACAATCCATCCCGACGTGGACATAGACGTTGAGCAAGATCTAGTGGAAATGGAGGACATTCGCCTTGGATTAGATTTGGGTAGCTTGAGTACGGCTATCGGCGGAGATGACGGTGAACCCCTTTCCGAAGGGGATAGTCAGGGAGGGAGTCCGGCGCCTGCCTACCACTCTCTGGAGCTAGGATTCAGAGACCAGCGACCTCCAAGCCTAGAAGAAGGAATAGGAGGGATAAGGGTTGACGTGGAAAGGGCGTCGTCCACAATGTGAATGCTCGCTTCTTGTTGGTCGGACTTGCATATATTCGGGAAGTTGTTTGAATTTCTGTTTTCCGCTCTATCACCTTCAGATGGGAGAAAGCCACAGCATCGCTATCCATTCATTCAGAAAATACGTTGTATTATTACAAGTCTCCCATTAGCATTGGTTTGCAACAGTCATGTGACCGCGACTGCGCTTGCTACTTGCTCCGAGTCAACTCTCTCGCCTTCATCCTTCGTCTGTACACCATGCATCTCCTTGATATACCCCCGGAAATTATTCTTCACATCTGTAAGTACTCCTCGGTATACTGTTTGCTTATGTTCACCGTTACAATAGTGTCTTACCTGGACCTGCCAGATCTTGCAGTCCTCTCTGAAGTCATGCCAACCCTCAACCCCCTCACTTCGGATCCCGTTCTTCACAAGTATCGTCTCAGCATTGTTTCTCCCTCAAGAATCAACCACTTTTTGTTTGGGACGACCCCGCAAGGCCATGCTTTACGGCCGACGGTAGGGGATCTTGTCCAGAGAGGTGTGATTCGAGGGCTAGGCATCGAACGACGGTGGAGAGCGGGTAACTATTTTTATTCGTTGAACGTGGGTTGTCTTTGCCTCCTCTATAGAGTCTTCTTGTTTTGACGCGCTCTAGTCCATTATCCAATACGAGAACAGCCTATCATTGTCCCGTCGACATGCCAGTCACGTCCTCTCCATTCAGATGAGGCGCCGGTCGCCAACTCCAAGCAACGTACTCAAACTACTTCATTCCAATCATGTTCTCCCCGACGTCGAATCTTCGTCTACCAACATGGCTCGTTCACTACAACCCGTCGTGCACAAACTCAAATGGTCCCTGCAGCGGGACAGGTTAGCAAAGTTGATAAAGAACAACTCGTGCAGTATCACGGGTAGCAAGGCTGGTTTTGGAGCTTGGCTTGAGAGTACGGCGAGGCACATTATTCAAGACGGCGAGAAGGTCCGTTTAGCGATATGTCCTGATATCAGACAAAGAGTCGTGTTTTATGAACGATTGGCCAACGCTTGAACACTTGTACAATTTTCTTGTATAGGCAGATACCCTGTAACACGTTATGTATCCTTGGTATGATTATAATGATAGAAAAGTGGATATTGTTACAATGAGATTAACGTTTCCGGGTGAGCTATGCCAAAAATGAAACGAGTTAATGTAGTTTCTAAAGATCAAAGAGATGAGATATCCATCCAACAATGTGTGAGAAATCCGTGTGAAAAAAAAAAAAAAGCTAGGAAGATAGGGATATGGCGGACAGCAGTCGCCATGAACTGTTTGTTGATAAAGCAGACGACTCGAGAACAGGGGGAGACGACGATTTTTTAGCCGTGGTTGGTGGTCTGGTTCCGATGAAAAAGGCGGAATTACCCTGCGCACGATCACACTTGTGAGCGATGCGACGAGCTGCTTCCGCAGCGCGTTCGACGAGAGCTCGCGATGGTGACGTTGACGGTGTATGTGCCAGGAGATCTATAAATAGGTCAACGATATTGAAATGACGGAATCAAATTGGTGTACCTCTGTAGAGCAAGACATATCTCATAACTCGCTGTGTTGGAAGGATGGCGAGATCTCGTATGGCTGGTTTCCGTGCTGCTACAATGGTCTTTTTTCGGCTCAAAAAGCTGCCATTAAAAGATGGAGGGGGGTAAGACATCGACATGTCCATGTTGGTGATTGTGGTCATGGACTTTCTCCAGGTGCTTGCGGAGCGTTTTAATGGACTGGACTCTCTATCCATAACGCGTTGTTTGCTCAGTTTTCTCGAAGGAGTGCACTCGGCATCGAACCACTCTCCGACGACCCCACACCATTCGGAAAATGCCATTTCCAAATTCTCCTCCGTGCCTAGAAACGCGGCAGCCACGCCCCAAGGGCTTGGGTTCTCCTGCATTCTTTCCAAAAGTCCTTCACTCACTGTGACGAGACCAGCTAAATACCGTAGCATCAGCGGGGGAGGAGGGGTTTCTGTCTCCGAGGCGAAGAGGGTACGCAATGAATGGAGGTAATGTCGTTCAGTGCGGACTAATTCGCGGCATGTCAGCAAGGCCCGACGAGCCGTTTGCCAAGAGGCATTGGCGGCCGGTGCAGGGGTGGAAAGTCGGTGTTGGAGAGGAAATGAAGGGAGTGAAGGGGTGTATGGCAGGTTGGATGTTTCGCTGTCGTAAACGGGGCTGTTGTCGCCTGTTTCCCCTATATCCCAGAGTTGGCCGATATCATCAGAACTCCCACCCCAGGTTTGAAAAGTACGCATATTTTCGAGCTCTTCCACCAGCGCCTCGTCGGTAATGTCTTCGTCTGTCATTGCCATTGCAAGGGTCCATCTCCGCCGAGAGACGGTGCCCGACCCCTGAGATGCTTGAGCGGCGTCGCGCCGGATAAGCTTTGTGATCTCCGGGGGGGGATGATCAGAAGATTGGGTGGAGGTAGGTAAATCAACGTCTGACTCGCTTCCCAAAGTAAACTTGGCACGTTTATGATTGTCCTGTGTGGGTACACCGAGAGCATCGCCGAAAGACCGCTTTGGACTGGACGATTTTCTAGGCTAAACAGGAATAAGGGAGTATGATTGAAATAGGGGAGGGATGCGTACCGTTGAGACGAAGAAGGGTGAAACAACCCTTATAAGGGGCAGAAAATCCTGGCGTTCTTGTTGGGTACTGTCTGTTGCACTTGTGCTTGCTCTCCTTCTTGACCACCTGCTAAACCTGTACGATAAAGACATGTCGTTTGAATCAGATGGACGACGCCATGTGCGTAAACTAAAGCTACGGAAAAGGCTTGAAGACTTTGTGTCAGCTTGAGAGGACGGGTCTGGTTCTGAATGAGTGCGTGACGCAGCGAAGGAGGCAGCTACTTCTGATGATGATTGTGGAATTGGATCAGATTGAGGAATGCACGAAAGAGGTCTCCTTTTTGAGAGTTTTCTGGTAGCCGTCATTGGCAGCAAGGGCAGAGATGAAAGAGGAGCGCATGTAGTTTTTGAAATAATTAAATATGTACTTAGGAGGTGGCGAGTTGAACGTTGACGTCACACAACCGTCATCAATATTCCGACAATTATGCCTCCAGATTTCCTCATTTCCCTCTTAGCCCGATATTCTCAACAACCTCCATCAATTAGACCACATGTCACTCTTACTTTTGCTCAATCTACAGATGCAAAGATTGCTGCCATCCCAGGAAAACAACTCATTCTCAGTGGAGATGAGAGCATGCAAATGACCCACTGGTTGAGATCAATGCACGACGCCATCCTCGTCGGCATTGGAACTGCTCTCAACGATGACCCTCAGCTCAACAGTAGGTATCAACCACACCGTCGTTGAACACTCCCAACACTCCCTACAGCACGCCGCTTGCCTCCGCCTCACAATCTCCCTCGTCCAATCATCCTCGATTCTCATCTCCGCTTATCTACATCCTGTAAACTTTTGAACAATTTTCGTGCTGGGTCTGGTCGCCGTCCATGGATAATATCCACCCCTTCACAAGACCCTTCCTGGATATCCCGCAAAGACGCCTTGGAACAAGCAGGAGCGAACATTATAGAGATACCCTCACTCAATGGTATCTCTCATTCTCCCTGAATTCCAGTCCTCTTGACCATTTACCCTCCTAGGTCGTCTTTCCGTTCCCGCAGTTCTGCAATCACTCCGCGATCGTGACGTTCGCTCTCTCATGGTCGAAGGTGGTGCAACCGTCATTGCTTCTTTCTTTTCCGCTTCCGTCGTTGATACCCTCATCATCACTACCGCACCTACCCTCGTCGGAGACAATGGCCTTGGCTATACCCTTGCAGGTTCACACCAGGTCCGTTCCTTTCTTCACCCTTCACTCTATGCTTATCCTTTTAAAAGCAATTTACGCTGGCACACACTCAATTATTGGGGAAAGACACCGTTACGTCTTGGGTCGCTTGAAAAAATATTGTACAAATTTCTGACTAGAAACACACTACCTTACTCTTCCGACGACGAATTGTCATCGTACAAGAGTACAAAGTCCATTGCTTGTCCTGCCGGCTCTGCGTTCGCTCGAGAGCGGCTATCTTCCCAAACCACGTCATCTTCGTTGTCGTCCGAAAACTGCACACTGATCACGGATAGGTCTGATTCACCATCCGAACTCCCATCATCAATTGAAGGAGTCGAATCGATTGTGGTGGAAGCAGCCGGACCAGACCCAGTCCTCGACAAAGCTGGAGCAGAGTGCGGCATGATGATCGACGCCGCCGCCAAAGAGTTGTCCGACGAGTCAACCTCCGCTACGTTGATCCTGTAAAAACATTTCAGTAGTTTTTCAACAAAATATATCAAATGCGACTTGCTCAATCCAAATACTGTTCCCAAACAAATTTCCGTGTTCGTCCCGAAGCCTCCAATACCCAACATACCTTCCAGCAGCATCAGGTGCTTTGAGTTCGCCGGTCCAGAGATCCACCTCTGTCCCAGCCTTCACACTGCCGACGGTGCTAATCTGAGACTGTTTGTCAATAACCAAGGCGTCACCAGCAACAAACACAAGCTCAGTCGTTTCTGGCCAATCACATCCGCCGTCGTTGACAACGCGCCAACATTTCACAAATTCAGCACCAGGTGGGAAGATTTGTCCATCTGGCACCGTAATGTCTGCGACAAATGTAGCGCTTAGACTCGTACGTTCAACCTCTTGTGGAATCGACGGCGATGGACCCGGTAAGTAGTCATTCAGGAGGGCAGCAAGCGAGTGTGGGGCACCACTTGTCGATGCAGCGATCGGCCGGTTGAGAAGCGCTTCCTCCCTCAAGGGCGAAGTGTCCAGCACCTTTGCAGCAGGCTCGGATGTAAAAGAAGTTGCACTTTCCGAAAGGGAGAGCGAATGAACGTCTTGTAAAAGATGATTCAATTCGCCATACGCGTTTGGCCAAATATTTCGGGAATCAAGCGTTGCCTGTGGAATATTTGCGAAATCCGACGGTTCTGTGGCGATCAACGACGGTGAAAGGACAGGCCAAACCGAGTGCGCATCCGGCAAAGGGTCGATTATCGGAGTCTGTGCGGAAGCTTTCTCCTTTTCCTCTGAACGGAATCCTTCTGCCGAATGCCGAAAATCGTCGGATTCATCAACACGATAACCCCACATGAATTTTGGAACACTGGGAGCAACTTGTATCATTTGAGGGGGAGGAGATGGTGGAAATAGGGAAGGAAAGGTATGAGCCTGATGTGTAGAAGATTGAGGGTCAACCGGTGATACAGGATTGTTGAGAGCGTGTGAACCGTCGGGACCAGAAAAAGGTGAGGTACCCATAACCAAAGATGGATCCTCAAGTACGGAGACCGATTGCTGCGAAGCCTGTGAGGTTGTCACTGAGTCAGCAATCGTTACTGAACTCTCAACTACCGTGTTGATAAGCTTCGTCTGGCCAACTCGGTAAACAGTTGGAATCACAGTCTCAATTGACTTCATCTTCAGCAACGGGTGGTTGTCCGGGTGGACTGAAATCGGATGAGCTTCACAGGCTTCGCACAAATCAAAATCGGGGCAGTCTGGGTGCATGCACTGCGGAGGAGATGTAATGAGATAAAGTTGAACGTGTGCAGCAGAACAACAAACCTTGAAGCGGACAGAGTAGATGGTCTTGGTGCAAGCTGCATGGTTGCCGTTTACTTGGGAGGTGGAAAGGAGGAGAGATGAACATACCGTTGCAGGATGCAAAGTGGGCAAAGCGGGGGTCGCTACCACGGCTCTGTATATCGATATTGTCAAAGGGGAAGAGGAGTTGTGACGGAGGTACTCACGAAGTAGTCAGTTGGCCTTGCGATTTTTACAAAAGAGTGCCCAGGGTGCTGTTCATTCGTTATGCTGTTACAAAATGTAAGTCATTGAATGAGAGAGTCTCCGTGCAACTCATACCTGAAGCACGATAGGCAGGTGTCAAAATCTGGGCAATGAAGACATTTCTAGAAGAAAATAAGCTCAGACCCAGTGGAGAGAAAGGCGTGGGGGACTTGCATAACGATCACCGTAGATCCTGGAGTCGCACAAGTCACAAATAGCTAGATGAGCGACAGGCTCCTCCGTAGCGACTGGCAACGCTGGGGGGACGACAGGCCTGGTGCTGCTAGATGGTGTAGCGTTTCTTTCACCCTCCCCGCTGAACACGGTGTGCACGACAACGCGCCCAGGCTCAGAGATTTCAAAGAATTCGTGGAAGGGATTGTGGCGCTCAGCAGAACCAGAGGATATGCAAGGAGTACACAAGTCGTAATCTGGATAGGCTAAGTATTGATGAAGCAATACGAAATGTGACTCACCAGGACAATCAAGACACTTGTGCCGCACACCCTCAATTGTTTTCTCACAATTATCGCACACAACACCTCGATGGATTGCTGGTGGAGGCGGAACAGAGAATGTATTGGCTGTTGGTGTGCGGGAGCCGGATTGCGCGACAATGGGAGGCAACTGCTGTGGGTGGTTAGGCATTGCTGCGTTCGCAACTGCGGGCTGCACTTCAAGCCTACGAGTGCACCGAGTGGCTTGACTTGTAAAAAGCGGGGGCGATGTTGTAGTGGGAATAGACGTTGGTGGTAGAGGCCACGGGGCAGGGAAACGTGGAGTAGGTTGGAAAGACGCTTTATTCGTGGCAGTCGGAAGCAACTTCATGCTGTGAGGTCCCATCATGTTGAGACAGAACCCCGCAGGCTCTCGCTGGTGGCATTTTTCACACTAAGAAGTAGATTAAAGGTGAGATATCTACAACGAGGAAGAACTTACTGTCAATAGGTGGCAATGATCACAAGAATACCACGAGCCCTTCTGACGTTGCATACAGATGGAACACAGAGACGAAAGACCCGTTGAGGTTAAATCATCTACAGATTTGTTCTCGGCAGCCTCAACATCGGTTGGAGGCGGAGAAGAGGCGGGAAGAGAGGCAGGCGAGCCGAAGGTACTCATGAGAACTTTATTCAAGTGGTCTTGAAACCCAGTAATAAGAGACTGGACTTCGGCCTTTCCTTGAGCAACGGAGCAGCATGGGTTGACTGCAGCTCTTGGCTGCGGCGCAAGTTGGAACTGCGGTCCACTGCTGTTGGTTCCTCGATTAGATACGCCAGGTGAATCAATTTCCGCTAGCGAGAAAGAAGATGATGTAGCGGAGAAAATGATAGGAGGAGGAGGGATGTGGAACATTGAAATAGGTGGAACTGAAGATGACTGGTTTAAACCTTGTGGTGGCGGTACTTCATTGCCCGACGACGACCAAGAAGCGTTGACTTGCGGTCTGTTAGCCGAGAGTACGCTCGGGATCTTGTGGGGGGTCTCATCGAAGACGGAGAACCTAAAAAGAGCGTTCGGCCAAGACTGAGACTCCATAGGTGCAAGGCATTTCTTGTAGTCTTCAGCGGAGTGAACTTCTCTTGCAATGAGAATGCGAGAAGGCAGATTAGCATCTGGAGAGAAAAGAAGCCTGGAGAGGTAGTAGTTGTGGCTGATGGGGAAGACACGGTAAAGCTAGGAGAACGTTGAGGGAACGTCAGCTATCTTACCACTAGGTTGCAGAGTCGATTAACACTTGCCTGGTTACAAAGCTGCTCAAAGGTAGGAAAAGAGTTTGAGGTGGCGAACGAGAACTTGCGTGTTTCGCCCCGATAAGTGGCCTTTATGGTGAACATAGTTTAATGTCAAGCTTGGTGGTTGTAATCAAGGTAATCCCGCAGTAGGCGCTTGTGACGCACTGCTATTTGAACGCGCACAGCCGTCACATGTGTCACTCTTTGTCTAAGGTTTGACTCGAGCGCTAATACTAATTGCAATACACACAGATCTATGCCTGCACTCGCAATAGTCCACAACAAGGAAATATATCGTAGATAACACATAAGCTTGGCTTAGATTGTGGGAACATGATACTCTCGTTCTTAAGCAAGCACAACTTCTGTGATGGATGCCCATCCCCTAGGAAATAACCATGAGCGTCTCTCAAAGGACACAAACCGCTTGACAGACCTTGTCGCATTAACTTTATTAATCTTCAGCCCGCCGAGCTCGACCATTTCCTGGAGTTGAGGAAGAGTGCGTTCGAACGCTTTCGTCTGCTGTCAACAACTGGCCGAGGAGAGTGAGAGACAATCTTACAGTTACACAACGCCGTAAGCGCAACATTAATTTGGTGCTGAATGCGACTGGCCTCTCCAAAGTCGACAGGGATGAATTGGGGAGGTGGTACGGGCTCGTATACATTCTTGTTCAATTTCAAAAGAGATTGGACAAGTTCTTGTCCCTCAGATGAAACAATGGCAGATTGTATGACAGTGTCGATAATCAAAAGACGGCTCTATTCCAGGGATGAATACGGTCAGCATCATAAAAAGTAGAACACAAGAGTAAGACTAACATCTTCGGTAAGAACATCTCGAATGTGCTTAAGCATCTTGGCACCTATCAAGCCTGTGAGTTGTCGAATAATCGAGAAGTAACTCCTTTGACCTTCTTCCGTGCTCCAGTCGTGCAGAACTATGCAGGAGGCTCTATAAGCCGACAGGACTCAACACATGAAGACAACTTACCTCGTTGCATGACGAAAAGGTACTTTCCCTTGCGCTGTTGAGGCTTAAAGAAATCTTGCGCTTCAAAAATGACTTTGTCCGACAGACCCTTAGATTCAATAAACGACTCGGCTGCCTCTCGTGTTTCGGGGAGATCCTGAACGATGAATTTCTTGATATTTGGGTACCTAAATTTGGCGATATGAGCAATGTATTCCGGTAAGATTCATCAATCCATTGATTACTTGGCCGCGAGCGAGCAACAGAGCGTGCCCTGACCCCCTCCGACATCGACGACGGCGTCCATACCATCAGCAACGTCACCCCACGGGAAGTCGGCGGCAACACCGGGGTCGGATGTAGGTCCCACTGCACCCATACTAATAAACGGAAGAGTCAGCTTCAATCAATTCATGGTCGTGATATTCATACGAAAGACCGAATTTCACAGCTTCCTGTGGGTCCTTGGTAAGCCAGCCACCAGCACCAAAGAAAGCAACATCGGTCTTGTACGATAGTTGGAAAGCAGTGTGGAAAGGATCGGTATTCTTCTTGAATTCGGGGTCTGGGTGGTTGAGCATCTCCGAAAAGCCAACGGAAACTTTGTTAAAAAGATCGTTCCTGCAAGAGCTATTATTATTCCTCAACAACTGTAAGTTTAAGAGACTAACATGTACGTCGCCAGGTGAAATCCCGGTTGGTCTTTTTTTATGAGGTTGCTCAGGCGATTGTTGGCAAAATAACCTTGCTCAGTCTCACGGAACCAGCCTTGAGTAAGAAGAAGCCGAAGGACGCGCTCTGTGAAGGAAGTTGCGACTCAGTACTACTGTGGTTGGGCTGTAACGCGCCTAATTTTATTCCATCGACGTTCGTCTTTTCAGCAATTTCATTAATACTCAGGCCGTCCTCAGAGTCACCAAGAACTGTTGCGAGCCCTATTTCAGCAGCCAAACGGACGCCTGCTACTTCAAGTGTCATCCATGTGTTAGCAGCAAGAGCATCGTAAGGAGATTGAATCAGTGATTTGATAAGACCCTAAGATAAGCTTTATTCAGCAGTATTCTTTGTCGTAGATCAAAGGGTTACACACAAGACTTGCAAGCGCAACCCTACGAGCTTCGTACATGGCTGGCGTAGGTAGATAAGTAATGTCATCGATAGGATGAGGCTTCGAGGTATTGAGCGACGGTTCAGCCAAGTTCTGTGCGGCAAGCTCTGCCTTGAAGGCGTCTATGGCGCTGTTGAGGGTCTTCTGCAGGCTCGTCAGTTCGGAGAGAGACATCGTTGAGATCGAATCAATCGCAATTGGGTGAACATCGCGATATTTAAATACTTACATGTGTAGAGATGACATGAGGCTGTTTATGCCAAGGCTTCTGATTTATCTCTATAAATTCGGCGAGTCAGGTATGCAGAAGTATGTTCAGGGTCGTTGCCACCTACACGTACTAACAATTGACGTCCATCGACCGCGTGAGCCTCATAAGTAACAATAAACATGCCCATAAGCTGTCGGCAACATATTGCTCGCTCGATGGTCGGAAGGTAGAGTTTCGAATGTTATGTACATTAGAATTTCCACTGTGCTATCCCTGATGATGACTTCGGTCCAGATTGACTTTTCTCTGAGTCTCTGAGAACTTAACGTGGACTAAAATCATATACGTATGAGGTTAAGTTCATCGTTAGGGCTTGAACAGTCCTTTGCATTGATGTAGGTCACATCGATGTGTGCTGATGATTATTCTCGTGGAGCTGCGTGATACGATGAGTCGATGACAACGAGAGGTTGAACTGAATGTTCGAGCGTTAGTTATTGTGACTGTTGCATCACGGGACACCCACCAAAAGTGGTTTAGATCCCCGTCTTGCAATCTCGCGCCCACACTTCCATTAGAAACTCACACACATGATAGATTTTCACTACTCCGAATGGGGCTCCAGAAGTCGTGCTGTAGAAATCAAAAGACTCCATTTTTTTTTCTTGTCGAAAGGTCAACAGCCTCCAACCTCTTTTTCTGAATCCAAATGACAAGTGTGGTTGACAATTGACAGCAGTAACGATGCTGCAAAATGATACATACTGTAATGCCAGAATAGCCAGAACCTAGGGTCAACTAAACTGAGCAGTGAAAATCCCAACCCTTCAAGCTTCTCCATGCAGTCCCTGGTGCGATTTACGGTCACGGTTGTGGTGGCAATATGTCTGAGCGGCTCTCCTTGTTGCCCTTTGCAACATACTCACACCATCTATAGATGTATATAACTGGGAACTAGCCCAGACATAGCACTGAGCACTCTGCCCTCACCTATCCCGCAATTCTCGTACCTTTGCCGAAATGGGTGACTTTGACATGACCGTTGGTGAATTGGTTTATCTTTACGCACATCCTTTCCAATGTCATTGACTACTTATTATCAGGCGTGCTCTTGCTTGGCCTGTTTTGTACGTCAACTTGTCCGGATAGTACCTCTCTCTTCCAAACATGATTGTCTACGCCCATCACAGTCAACACCTATCTCTACGGCCTTGTGACCTACCAGTTTGTGGTTTACCATAACACTAGTATGTCTGGTATCCACCATCTTTTCTGCTGCCCTCAGACTCAATCCCCAAACCTGCCAGAATTCAATGATCCCCTCTGGATCAGGTTGGTCGATACCAACGATCCAGTTCTCCACCTGATCTATCTCGCAATGCAGAGCAGTTGTTGGAATTCTTTTCGTCACGGATACCTTGCATAGTGCTGTGTATGTCATATCTGTTGACTTCGGTCTTTCTCGACAGCGGCTAAAGGACTCCCTTTAGTGCTGTTTATGCTGCTTGGGACCTGTGGTATGTAACTTTAAATGATGCCATATCGAGTGCTCCGGATGAACGATCCTCTGTCAGCGTTACAAATTATGCCAACCCTGGCGTCCTAGGATGTGCATACCCTAAACGATTGATTATCCTTCTGGATGCTGATTTGTTTGTTTTTTCAGTTGTCGATTGGACGATTCCGTTCACGGCCATTGCAACCTCGGTGGCCGCCATAGTCACACAATTCTTCCTTGCCCATCGGTGCGTCTTGGAGATGAATTGTTGTCGTCCCTGACATTGTTGCAGCGTCTTATTATTAACAAAAAACAAGATAATTGTTGCAATTATCGGAACGCTGAGTTTCCTTGGATTCGTGTTTGGCATTTACGCCGGTGTTCGCTCAGGCATCATCAAAGAGTGGGCTTCCCGCAGATTGTATTCCTGAACCGCTAAAAATGTTTTCAGGGTGAAGAACTTTGCCCCCTTGACGCCCTTCGTCATTTGCTGGCTTGGCTTCCAAACTGGCGCGGATTTGCTAATTACTGGTACGTCTATTGTTTTTGCTGTCGAGCATTATTTTCTAATCGACAGTCAGTTGTCCTAACCTTCGTCTTGAGCCGCTCGCGGACAGGTTTCCAGAAAACGGACTCGATGATCAATCGACTTATTCGTGGTGCCATTCAAACAGGCCTCTTCGCCTCTATTTTTGCTCTGGCGGATTTATTCAGCTTCCTGCTTCACCGTGAAACCAATCTTTACGCTATGTTCGCTTTCCCAATTGGACGGATCTATACCAACGTGCGCGACATCTCAATCCCCGTATGTTATATATTTGAAGAAGCCACTAACCCAATGTTAGACCTTGTTAGATACTCTAAATGCTCGTATCGACCTAAAGAGTAAGAATACGACCCTTGACCTTGATTCTGAGGTACGACGTTTAGGCCATGATCGTTGGCTTCCTTTATAACTATCATGTTAGCACACCAACGCGTACCGATTGCAGAACCAAAGTCAAACTCTGGGAACTCAGTCTCACACGATGCACTCCATTCATGTCAAACGGGAAACCGTCACAGACACATCGCCGCCCCCTGAACATTCCATCGATGCAAAATACGTCGTAGATGATTCAGAAGTTTATGCCCACCCATCACAGCGAGTTTAAGACTGAAATAGAGCACAGAACTGACCATGAGGTAGAGAATATATGTTGTACCTACTTAGAATTCACAATTTGATTGGAAACCGGAATATGGTCACTGAATCATTGGGACCGCTCAGGAATATACCTCTACCTCTACCCGAACGTCAATGGCTAGCAGCGAAAACGAAGACTTCGAATTGTTGACCACCACTCGATATGATCCATATTTAAAATCTTTAGAGTGGAATGCAGACGATGACGGTCCATCACCTTTCCTACTGCTGCCCTACCATCGAGATCGCCTCTCGGTTGCAGCTGATGAACATAAGTGGGAAATTGCAAAATCCTCTCTGATGTACCAAAAACTCAAAATTGTCTGCTTGGAGGCGATTTATCAAAGCGAAGAAAGCAAGCTTCATGTGCCCAGTCGTCGGGTAATGCTTAACCTTTCTCCGTCCCCTGCGTCACTGAATGTTTTCGTTATCAAGGTTCGTATCACACTTTCGAGGTCAGGCAAGCTGGCGGTGACCACGACGCCCATGCCACCACTTACAAGCGACCCAACCATTTTACCAATACCTAGGAATATACCGGAGAGGAGGATTGAAACGATACTGCTCCACCTTGACCAGAAAAGCACGCCCCCATCGTTATTTACCATCACGAAGACTACAAACAGGCGTATCTACGACGAAGCCCGCCAACGCAACCATCTACCATCGCTTCCGTCACCAACAGACGTCCTGTTGTATAACCCGGAACAATTGATCACTGAAACTACGATTTTCAACGTTGCTTTCTATCGTTCGTCTGGGTGGATAACTCCCGCGCTATCGTCTGGATGCTTGCCTGGGGTCATGCGGCGGTGGCTACTGGAAAAGGGCCGTATACGGGAAGATCGTGAAGGGATCTTGACAAGGAGTGTCGTAAAAGAAGGAGAATTGATTCTCCTGTTTAATGGGGCTCAAGGTTGTCGCCTAGGAAGAATTGGGGAGGCGACCCTCAAGATCCTCTGTTCAAATTCATCCTAAGGATCCCATCTCTACTTCATCATAGGCCGCGACATCCGCGTTGAACATTCCCTCATCCATTTCACCTAAAATGTAATCCACCACGAAGCTTTCCTGGTAAAGTCTTTCCGTCCTTGAAAGATGCCTCTCTGAGTAGGGAATGAGGGCATCAACCATCTCCTTTAACGCGAATCCAGAAGGGTCTGTAGTAGCTGTGGTATTGACGACTTCGTTGTCCCCAAATGCCTTTTCCACGTATTCGTCGCTGAAAGCTTGAATAATGTTGTTGGCAGATCTCGATTTGAAAATTGCGAATAAAATAGTCTGAGCTACGGCACTGGTCTTGGCGTTCGTGTTCCAATCTCGTACGTAGCGAATAAGTTTGGCAAGATCAGAACCTCCCAGTGATTGGATAACTTCATCCACAGCAGGACTCCACGTATTGGACTGTTGTTTGGAGTCACTGGAAACTTCGAGGCTTCTGAACATAGAAAGAAGTCGACCGGGTTGACCCATGGAAAGAGCCAGCTCTATTGCCCTTCTGTAATCGTTCAATGACAGGAAATTCAAAAAATCTTGGTCTCTGTGGTTGGATGAGCAGCTGCGCACATCAAACATCAAAGTAGACTTGCTTGAGAACCATTTCTGCACGCTTTTCCTCCTTCTCTGCTTCTTGCTCCTCCGTACAATCTTCCCAGAATGTAACAACCGAATCTGCTGCGCCGGACACGATGGTGCGGCCACCTGCAGTAATTGCTAAAGCCCAAACCTTTCGAGGCCACGTTAGCCGGAAATAACTCGACTAGAAGAAAACTCACCTTATCCTCGTGGTTGTCCAGAGTTGCCACACAGTCCTCTTCTCGGACACTCCAGAGCTTTACCAAACCATCGGAGGCCGTACTTACCAACTGTAAACCCGCATTAAGAAAATCGACTCTCAGCACCGAGTTTGTATGCCCCTCAAATGTCTTCAGACAGGAAAAATCGTCGAGGCTCCATAATTTGATGCTTTTGTCTCCGCTTCCCGTTGCCAAAACCCTTTCTGTTCGACTGAATCGCGCAGACCAGATGCCTCGCTTATGGCCTTTACATGTGCCAAGCAGTCTCAATTCCCCCCTTGTGGACCCTCCCAGTCCGGAATACACAATAGTATACACTTTTGCTGTTCGATCTTGAGAGCCGGAAACCAAAAAACGATCATCTGGCGAGACGTCAAGGGAGTTGATATCTTTTTCGTGAGCCTTATGGGTAGTTAGACTTCCACACCGTACAACGGCCTGTCCAAGACCGCTGTAAAATGATGGAACGTCCGACAAGTCCCACATCTTGATTGTTCTATCCTGGCTGCCGGTGAACATGAAGCGACTTCCACTCCTAGAAAGTGCAACAGCTCCTATGCTTTCGCTGTGTCCTTCGCATACAGCAACGCAACCGTAACCCCATTCAGGCCCATCCCCAGAGAATGGAACCCAAAGCCTAGCTGTCCGATCCTTGCTCCCACTAGCTAAAAGAGCACCGTCTTGTCCGTGGTCCAAAGCTAGAACAATATCAGAATGTCCATCCAACAAGCGTGCATCGAATTTAAGCGTCGAGTAAACGCGGATAAGCGAGGAGTTGGTGGCAAGCGCGAGATGACTATCTTGCACAGCCGAAAAGGGTGGGCTGAGGAAAGTCGCATCCACTATCTCATCATTGTATCCTATTAATTGCCGGCTCGACGACCCATTCGCGAGAGAGTGGAACAAGATATTTTGGTCCGCGTGTGCCGCTACGATGGTGGAAATTGACGGTATGTACCTAATTATATGAGATGGAAAATATAAGAGTGATAGAGAGCCTTACAATACGTCGACTATCTGCCTTTGCTCCTGGTGGTCATCAGAGATTGCGGTTTGCTCTGTTCCGAGTTTGATTAGGACTTTGCCATTGGAACCATCCCAAATCTTTACAATGCCTTTTTCGCCACCAGTAAAAAATCGAAGGTCATCCGACTTGGCTAGATCTCCTGGTAACTTTTCGCCGGGAGAGAGGATACCAACAGCTTCGACACGTTCTAAGACCGGAATTGTCCTGACCAAAATTGGAAAGCGTTTGGGGCTTGTTTTACCATTCGCTTCCTTTGAGGGTTGCATACTTGGAGAGAGGTCCCAAATCAAGACAACCGAGTCTCTTCCACCGCTCACAAGCCACTTACCATCGGACGATACATCAAGGCCGCGTGGCACTGAGACGTGACCTTCCAGCAGAGCCTCTGGCCTCCCTCCGCTAGACGTCGATCCACCTTCGTTTAAGTTGAAAATTCTGATACGCGTGTCCACAGATGCGGTGATCAGGCGCATGACTGACTCCCGAGATAGAGACGTAGTGTCCTGTGGGTAGTCGAAAGCTAACGCGCTTACGACACCGCCATGGCCTTTGAAAACATGGGTTACATATCCGCGAAGAATATTCCAAACTTTGACGACGCCGTCGGCTGAGCCAGATGCAACATATGTAGATGTGGGGTCCGCCTTACACACATGGATAGGCGCATCGTGCGATCGAGGGATGATTCGAACGGGTTGCACCAGCTTTGCGCTGCCCAGGGACAAATCTGGAAGCTCATATATGCGAAGGGATAGTGAAGACGTAAAAACAAGAAGGTGGGATGATGAAGGGGTCAAGCAAAGCGAGCTGACTGGATGTGAATCCTGCAGAGGATGTTAAAAAATAATGAGCCAACCGATGAGCACACTCACGCATAGAAACCGACATATCTCAACTCCTGTTGATGCGTTGGTTAGAAGGACATTTTCAGCCACACAGGTTACGAGCATTGAGCCATCTGCCGTTATTGCAATTGGTCCAGATGTATATAACGGGGTAATTGTCCGTGACTTTTTAAAACTAAGAAAAATATGTCAGAAATATTCTGAGGCATAATTGAGATGAACCTTACGCCGTTCTGAGACTCGGTCGTCCTGTAGGAACGGCCATTTCAAGCTCAATGTGGGACTGTGAAAAAGTTCTAAGGCTAGCCTGGACTCCTCAAATAAAATAGGAGCAAACATTACATAAATATTAATTAATTGGGTTGTTGATTACGATCAGGTGAATGAGAGACTACGATAGCCAATGCCTCCTCAGCAATGCGCCTCCGCTTCCCTTCCTCAGCCACCGTGCGTTCAGCATTTCTACGCCGTAGAATTTCTTCCTCAAGGAGGTCTTCTAGGTCCCTGACAGTCGATCTTGACCTCGTTACCTCAGCCTGAGCTTGAGAAAGCTGTTCCGAAAGTCGCAAAGATACTACAACAGCTTCTGCCGACTGGCGGCGGAGGGTAGCATTTTCGGTCTTCATATCCTGCATATGTTCGGCCAGAGACTCCGACGGTTGATTTATGGAAGAGAACGGTGGCAGACTGTACGAATGGGGAGGTCTTGAAGGCACAAACGATGTAAGACCGACGAGAGAATCCCGTCTATCGTAAGGGTGTATGAGCTCCTCTTCGCTCTCACAATCATCCTCCGATAACAGGAAGTCGTCTCCTTCACAGTTCACCTTTACGTCCTCTTGACCATCATGAGCGGATGGTCGTGGCGTGGACCCTCTCGTTGGAGGAAGTGAAGACATTTTATGGGGTCGTCCTCGTTTTTTCGGAGGTGCAGGGTCACCGTCCGCCCCATCCTTAGCCGACCTGCCCCGTTTCCTAGGTCGTTTGGTACCAGGCGGCGCTGTGAGATTCACTGTCCAGTAAGAACCGAAGCCCGGATCCGTAACAGGTCGCGGCTGACGTTCAAAAAGACGATTGAGGGAGAGATGATGCCGAACTGATTGCTAGTAAAAACATTTGAGATGCAAAAGTATGGCATTACAATGTCCTTACCTTCCATGTAGGCCCTGCAGTCTTGTAATATGGGTACTTCGCCTCCATAGCTGCGTAGATCTCGCGAATAGTAAGGCGCCTGTTCGGACTTCCCAGTATGGCGCAACGAAGAATCACAGGTAGTGTATGCTGTGGCCGGCTCTCAGTATCAGTTAGACACGCCAACGTGTCTGGACAGCCAGGATGGGGTTCGTGGTCGCTAGCAAAACGGCCAGCCTGATCCGGCATTGAAGAATAGTTTTTCGAGGTCTCGCTGCTAACTTGAATATCAGACGCTGAAGCTGGTGTCGCCTCACGCTCCTGTCTGATGGTTTATGCGTATCAGTGAATGAATTACGTGCACACTTTCAACCTACATCAATGTCATTTTGGGCACATTCTCCGGATTTAATATATTTGTCAGTTTCGACATTTCTGTCGGGAGATAATAATGATGGAGAGGGGTTGTGAAGAAAGCAAGTGCAACTCGAACTCCTAATATATGAGTTATTACATAACAACAGAAATACAAGAGGCGCCCAAACACCTTTGTACCTGAAGCAACGCTTGTAAAATATCGGGACGCAACATGAGTATAGTAAGTAAATTATATATGAATATAGTAATCAGACGCCAAATTGTTGGAAATCGTAGGCATAGTTCAGACCATTGAGATCCGGAGCAGATGCGTGGACCCAATCTGCCTGCTGAACCCGATTTATAGACCCATCGTCCGTATGCAATGGTAAAAGAAGATTGGGATCACCAATTGAAGTGGACTGGGAAGCAGGCATGGTCAAATCAGGCTGATTCGGCCGTGGCCACCACTCGTACCCCGGATAGTAGGAGGTCGACGCTTCAATGCCAGGAATTTCAAGACCAAGCATATGGGCCATTAGTCGCGTATTGGTATCTTGTACGCCACTCCCACTTATGGTATTTTGATCAAAAACGTTCGAAGGAGTTCCAAAGGCTTCACGTTGAAGCAAGTCGGAACTCTTTTCCTGACCAAAAGCGTCTTCAGCGGGTCTCTTGTTACGCTCTGGAAATTTTGACGGAGGCGAGGGTGAAATTTCTGGCCCGAGGTTAACACCTTTTAGTAGTTCCCAAGCTCGCGCCGCGCTTGGCCAAACAATCTACCAATCCTAAGTTGAGATTAGAGACAAAGCGGGGTGAGTTTACCTCCATTTCCTTTAAAGCCGACATGGAACGTTCCAGTCCAAGGGAGGCTTCAATATTGCTTGGTCGTAGTGTCACTGAATTTAATAAGATGAGCGAAGCTTCTAATGATAAAAACCAGACAAACGTGTTAGATGCTGCATTAGCCTGAAAGAAGAAAAGTTCAGGTCCGTGCTTGGCAAATTAAAATACGCGTACGCTGCACTGAATAGGTATGAAGTAAGGAAAGGAGAAGTTCTCTTCAAAGTAAAAGTCTCTCGGTAAACAGTCACTGGAGTGGGGAGTCAGCATGTTCACTTAAAAACTTAAAAAGCGCTACCCACCTATAGCACTGATGTGACTAGCAGCGGCCTGGGCGAGATCAAAGGCTCTATAAGCGAAAGTGGATTCTCGAATTGTCTCGTCCGAGCTGGTGTCATAAACATGAGTATCAAACAATAATACCTCGAGCCCTGTTACCTCTTCCAATTTGGAATACTACCAACAAGAGGTCAGTCTTTAACTTCCTGATTGATTGGCACCAAAAAGCTCACAACGCCCTATGTAGAAGTAAAACAGCTCCCCAATAACGGATGTGCAGCAACAGAATTTGAGGAGGAGGGATTTGTCTTTTGTTCACTGCTTGGTATTGTAATTGTTCAGGAAGGGTGATGTACCACTGGTCAAGGCGGCTCTCTAGATCTGCGACGATAGCTTGTTTAGAACCTCGGTTTGGACTTTGTACTGGATAAACTTCGGAAATGATGGACCCAACGATCACAACTACAAAACGTTCAGAGAAGCAGAAACTGAACAATGATCGTAAAGCTTTACTGAGTCTCGACGTCGCGCAGAAGCTACTCATCACTCTTCCTGGGACTGCAGAATATGGCACGGAGTCTGTATGGACCGCTGGCTGCCATAGGTAAGCGTCTTCGACCTAGACTGTGTCAAACTCAATATGAAGAACCTTGCATGAAATTACTTACACAGTCGACATTTGGTAAGGGCTGGTCAAAATCTCCAGCTTTTATCATAATCGGCCGACCTGACAGCACTTGAGTCATCGGTTAATCGCCTATGAGCAGATAGATGCCAACCCATGTACACTGATCCATATCTTCCAAAGATAAATGGAATTAAGTTGACCATGGATTTTGGATAATTATGCCTAATACCTGTCGGCTAGGCAGCAAGCCCACCATATCTGACGACGAGTTTGGGTTTCTTGAGGCGCGAACAGGTCGTGGCCGTGTATCTTCCAATTGGTAGAGTCACAATTAAGTCCTAGGTCGAACGCCTGAGAGGGTAAGGACAGTGGAATCGTTGGAAGCGAAGAGCGCCTACCATTCGAATTGCCATGCCTATCGAAATCGGAATGACTGCATGGAATCGGCACCAAGAAACTCCACGCACCAATAAATAGCCAGCCTTGCTCCATGGAACCTATGACTCGGCGTAAGCTTAACACGTGGGTAAATAAGAATCATTGTATTACCAATGCCAAATTCGCGATACCCCAACAGGAGGAGAGCTTGTACTGTAGAGGGGCGTGAGTGGTGGAAGATTTTATCTGAGGCATGGTGAGAAATTGTTTAGTCGTTGAGGGATGCAAACGAACTCAAAATTGTCCTTGCATTATCCAGGTAAAAGCAACCACCCTCCCACATTTTTCCCTTTGGGGGCAAGGGGTCGTCACATTCACCAAATCGGGCTGCAACCGCAAACATTGACAGAAGTAACAACGGAGTGACCTCTTGAGTGGGTTCTGGTCGAGGCGAAGAAAATGAGGAGCCCATTGGAGAATTCATCCTGGCTCCAGTTGTCTCACTGTAAGCCACGCATTGTTGAGTGGTTGAAAGATAAATATGTGACGGGCTCACCCCGTTTTCCTGTGCACCAATTCCTTATAATGCGCAGCAGCCAAGGCGGAATGATTCTTACCTAGTCTGATATTCGGATAGAAAGCAGGATTTGTGGACGACAGGGAAGATCGGGTGAATATACGTAAAATAAAGCTCAAGGAGCCGGTCCTGGACAGCAAGTGGGGGTAGTTTAACATTTTCTTGGTCGAGAGGACCAGACGGAATGCCAATTTTAGCGCTTGGCCAGACACGTGCCATTGGAAGTCTCCTGAAATCGGACATCAGCCAGATCCTGTCTCTCTCCAAGCAGACACACCATATTCCACCTTCATTGCGATCGTCGGTCCTAAAATTTCTGCTGAGAAGGTGAAGTCCACTAGACTGGCCGTGAAAACGGACCTATATAGAAAACAAATCACTCAGTATTCACGCATCGAAAGTAGAACGTACTTCTTGATGTTCGTCAAGGGATAACTGGCCTAACCCTTCTGTAGTCTCGTCGAACTCGGCAGCGTCTACATTTGTGTTGGTTGCCTGGATTAGAGACATCGGAATCTCACTAACCTGTAGCCGGATCGATTGTGTACATAGAACTCCAGTCGGGGGGAGTAGGAACATTTCCAATAGACTCGTTCAACCGTCTCTTTTGAGAAGCATGTCGTGTGCTATCCCAGGGGATATTCGAGCCAGAATAGGAACCAAACTTTACAGAAGGAGCGGAAAGGAAAGCCAGTCGACTGGATAAGTTGTCCTGCCATTCTTTTGAAGGAACCACTGAGAGGCCGTGATCTAGGGATATAACGTTATGAGATGCGCCAAGATAAAATAAATAATGACGGGCCTTGACTAGAAGAAACAATTTCTCGAGACACCCTTGATTGTCTACGAGACCGAGAAGGGTCGCGGCTGTTATCCGTTTCGCTGCTCCTCAAGATTGATGCAAAAAAATCTTCCTTCGTAGCTCCAGGCAACTGACACCTTCTACCAGAAGGACCCTGATATTGGATTGCATGTAAGTTTGAACGTCGGGACGGTGGTGAAAACTAACATATGGACCTAGATCTACTCTCTCCAATATTTCACGAGCGAGGTCGTCTTGGCGCAATTCAGATACAATGGCTTGCACACGGGAATCTGGACATTGAAGAATAGCACCCAGCAGTGACTCGACTTGGTGCCATCGCTGCTCTATGGCGTGGATGTAGCCTTTTGGTGGTCCACGCTTGTAGCTGGGTCCTAATAAATGATAGTTTTCGAGAATTGCACAGGTCCGAAAGTCAAGACGTGCATACCCAGAAAGGTACAAGCTTTCAATGAAACACGAGTCAGAATCCGTCGTAGTTAAAAAATCCACCGCTCACCTGTTCCCGCTAAGGCGCAACTTTTACATTGTGGTTTGTCTCCAGAACCACGTTCACATTTGCTCTTTGTTTTTCTGCATTGGTCGCAAGCTGGATGGAGTGGTCAAGGACTGAAGGTTGGACGAAAACGTGATGATAGTGATACCTCTACTGCTCCTCTTCCTCAGCATCAACCGAGGATCATCCTGAAGGTTAGCGTCGTCTTCAGATGCTTCAGAGTCGCGCCAGTCCATATTTTGGAAAAGAAAGCAAGGGAGGACTGGATAGACAATCTGAGACCTTAAAGTTGTAACCACGTGACTCTACGCCATTAATATTCGTTATACCTCAAGGCCTCAAGCTGCTCACTTACAAAGTCGCATCTTACGAGTACCTCGGGGCGCGTTCCTCGGGCGCTTCGAAGACGGTGATCTGCGCCGTTGTGATGTCAGAGATCTTATCTGGTTACGCCATGGCAACTAAATTTGGGGTATGAAATCACTTGTTTCTTGGTATGTCACCTCGTAGATATGATACAACTGGTTATTTAAGTGGGCTGAAAGAGAGGGGCGCGAGAATGAAGGAATCCATTGAGTTGGCGAGCTGAGCTGTCTGCAAGTACATGCATCCATTTGATGTCCAGGCAAGAAGCTTCGACACTTACCTTGGAAACAGTCTCTGCCCACCCATCGATCTGCCACGCCTTCTCACGAGTCTCCTTCCTAGCCTCCAAATTCCTGTAAAAGATGTAAGCTTTGCGAAGATGCACAAACAGAAACGCACGGGTATTGCCAGATATGATGCACTTGATGAAGTCTCCCAACTTGAGAGAACCAGGCTCCAATTGGGGCAACAAATTTACGGCGCGCTTCAATACCGCTTCGCCTGTCAACAAGTAATGACTTTTCTGAGTCGGTCTGTATAGAAAAACGAACCATGTATTCTCCCATTCTAAAAGAGTACCAGGCTTCAGCTGATATGTCCTCAATTCAAAAAGTCCTCCTTGCGCATGAGGCGGAGCACTTGGGAAGAAGGCGAATTCCTGGTTCAACTGGGTCGAACGAGAGGTTAAGTATGGTAACATGGCTTGGTACGTTAACGAGTGCTGACATGACTGTCATGCCAAGGTTCGGTGATGTGAATGACTTCAACATACCTCGGATGTCTTGAGCAAGTTCGTTGTCTTGTCGTATCCGCCATAGTTTTCATACTCGAGAATGTGGACGAATGTATCCTGGTCACCGACAACAGTCTCCCAACTTCCTGTAAGTTTCACATGTAACCTGGAATCCTCCTGTATTCCTGTATAGTAGCGTTCCCTGCATGCCCATCATGGAAATTCATGGAAATAAAGCTTCAGAGCTTACGCTGCCTTCTTGTAATCCTGCAACTTGTCTGGCCTGACTCGGTGTGCTAGAGTTTAATGTTGGCCTGCTCTTTGGCAAAGAACGAAGAGAGCGTACTTTCAAATCCATGGATATACTTTCCGCGCCCAACAAGTCGTGAATGTTGCATTTTTTCAAAGTCCCCGGCCTCCTTTGCCTCTGGTGACCCATGTAGTAATGACTGCCAGCCGTGAGTTGAATCAACGCGACAGGATGTGCTCTGCGCTACCTGAACGGATATAAACCTCTTGGTCGATGATGTGAGCCCACCCGATAGAGCCACCCTCTTGGAAAGTGAGGTAAACATGTCCTAGCAATTTCGGGTGAAAAGGGGTCTAACTCGACAGAGCAACGATGACGTAAGCAGAAAGTATGCAAGTACTTCTGGACTCAATCTCGACCTATTCTCGACATTGTACAGTACATGCCCTTGTAAAGAGTACATGAGTCCATACTCCTGGTATTAATCCATTCTCCCTTTCAACGTGCGGGTCACTACTTTGTCCTTCGTACTATCAACAAACATAGCGGTTGTGTCAGTGATGGCAGCTCAGCATCTAATCCTACTCACATTACATGAACAATGCATCCCCAACCAGAGTAAGCGTCACGGTCCACTGCATTCAGAAGAGTTTGCGATATTGTTTCAAAAAGATCTTCTGCTTCTAAATCTGGCTCCCACAGGCCCTCGGCAACGCCATAAAGCTTGGAACTTGCAGTCCCAGCCACAACGAAGTCTTTCGCGAAGTTTAGACAACCAATAAGATCAGTGGCCGCAATAAACGGTTTCACGCCCCCTGACGGTGTCTTGGAAAGACCCGCCATGACAGGTTCAACGAAGTATGGGCCGAAACGATGTTCGTACAGGGTCGAGGACACAAGATGGGCAAAGGTTTCTGGTTCGATTTCCCGTTCTTCTTTTATCGTGTACATGTTGACTCGAAATCGAAATCGTTCGCGTCTAATTCATGGGATGAGTTTGGTTCGCTTTCATAACAATGACATGGCGGTCCCACTAACAGTGTTGTTACATCTGTAGCGAGGCCCGGTAGACCAAGATAGATGCGATCTGTGATAGGAAATATCTGGAAAATTTCACGCAAGTTCAAAAAGAAAGGAAGAAAACGGAGATAGAAAAACCTTTTGGAAATTTGAAGAGATTCCCAGAGCTTGATTTCCAAGACGCAAGTCAGACGCAATCGCAACACAATCCTTCCCAACCATAGCCACGACAGAGCCCCCGTTATACTCCATGATAGACTGTATGACGCGTCAGAGTAGTTCGAGGATGAATATTGTGTGAGCTGACCATGTTGGCGAGACGAAGAGAGAAGTGAGATGAGAGTGTGTGCAATAGTAAATGGTATGACGCGTCGTCGCGTTGAGCTGATGTTATGTCACGCGTGACACGCCTTCTGACCCCGAAGTATGAAGGTTGGTATTTCCCCCAGGTTGTCTAAACGCTCTTTTGCCACCCATTTTCCGAGGGAAACACTTCATATGCGCCAGGTTGCAAAGGTATAGTATAAAAAGTGTACCAGTTGTAGAATGCTTATTTTCGCTCCACTCAGGCGAAGATTTCCCAAATCGATGCAACTGCTCCATTTTTGATCGATTCCTTTCAACGTAAACATGACTATCTAAGGATTTCACTTACCGAACGGTGTAACTTACGATGTCAGTTTCAACCTTTGTGTTTTTTTATTGTCCGTTCAGCTACGCTTATTCAGGTTTCTATTGCATGCCCAGTGAAGGGGTGGAACTGTCGCCTCAGGGGAAGCTACTAACGGACCAGGAAATCATCCGTCTTGCTTCATTGTTTGTAGATAATGGAGTTACCAAAATTCGCCTCACAGGAGGGGAGCCTTCAATTCGGAGAGGGATTCTTGAACTCGTTCGTGAGTGACTCTCACCCTCACATATTCAGTTCTTACGCTTGGATAAGGAAACCTCCACGCGTTGAAAGATCGTGGACTGGAATCCATTGCCATGACGAGCAATGGTGTTGCACTTCATCGTCGCTTGCCCCAACTCGTTGAATATGGCCTCACGCACCTTAACCTCAGGTAAGTAGGCGACACACGACAACGTGTCTCTTGCCTGACTTGTTACCTCAGTTTGGATACTCTCGATCCTTTCAAATTTGAACTTATGACCCGTCGAAGGGGCCATGATGCAGTTCTGAAATCCCTTGATGTTGCATTGCGTTCCCCCTTAGCCTCGGTCAAGTTGAACGCTGTTATCATTAAAGGCCTAAATGATTCAGAGATCTTGGATTTTGTGAATCTAACCAAGGACAAACGCATATCAGTCCGTTTCATCGAATTTATGCCATTTACAGGTACTGCCCTTCAGTTCTCGTCAGATTCTCATCACAGCATATATATTCCTTTTTAAGGTAACAAATGGGACAAAGAGAAAATGATTCCATCATCAGAGCTGCTCCGCCGGATCACTGCCCATTATCCGGATGTTACCCGCATGCTGGACAAACCAAATGACACCGCGAAGTCTTATAAGGTTCCTGGTTTTCAGGGAAACTTTGGCTTCATTTCCAGCATGTCGGACCACTTCTGTAGTACCTGCAACCGTCTTCGTCTAACCGCCGATGGTCAAATCAAGGTGCGTAGCCCATCTTTACTCAAGACGATTTCTCCACCTTTGAAGTCTGTAGGTTTGCCTTTTTGACCCAAACGAAGTTTCTCTGCGCGACGCTATGAGGGAAGGATCATCAGACAAGGAACTCATCAACAAGATCAGTCTCGCAATTTCTGGGAAAAAGGCGAAGCATGCTGGAATGAATGACATCGATGTTATTAAAAATCGGCCAATGATTCTCATAGGCGGTTGAGTGCTCTTCCCCCCTGTTTGGTGTCTACGATAGTCCCCGTGATTTGACACCTGACACGACCACATCACAGTTGGGAAGCGTCAGCTCACACACCGGCTGTACAGCACTGGACCACGGTTAACACATTTGGACGAACACGGGAAGGCCTCTATGGTCGATGTCGCTCACAAAACCTGCACCCCACGCTCGGCGACCGCTACCGGCTATATATACGTCACTCGAGTGGCATATGATCTTGTCTTCCGGCGGGACTCTCTGGAAATTGCACATGACTCCAGAGAGGCGAAGGCACAGAGGAAGGGGGATGTTTTGGCGGTTGCGCAAGTGTCAGCCATAATGGCTGCCAAGAAGACATCTTCGCTCATTCCGTTGTGTCACCCGCTCACTCTCTCACATATTGATGTAAATTTCATGCCGGAATTGCCCCAGCCAGGCGTTGGCGGCGAAGACCGTCCCAAAATCATTTGCACGGCTCAAGTCACATGCGAAGGCAAAACGGGCGTTGAAATGGAAGCCTTGACCGCCGTCTCAGTTGGTCTATTGACGATATGGGATATGTTGAAAGCAGTGGCTGGGAAAGAGATGGAAATCGGTGGTGTGATGGTGATAAATAAATCGGGTGGTCAAAGTGGTGATTTTCAACGAGATCGTGTTGACACGACATAAGTGTTTGTTCTGTAGAAACGTCCTACCCGTGAATGAAGTCGACAAGTCCTCCTTCGATATCTTCATCTACCAATCTTCCCTCTTCTGTGCCCTATGCGAAGTTGAGCAGTGAAATTGCTGAATGAGATTTCAACCCACGTCTCGCAGCCGGATGATGGTCGGGATAGACGACACCTTCCATGGCTCTTTACGGTACACATTCGAAGATGTCTTCCACCTACGACAACCTTCAAATCGGCTATCTGAAGAGAGGCAAAAACTACTCACTCATGACGGTCGCCTACATAAATGATAACGGCATCCAGATCACTGTTCAGCAACTTGTCGTTCACCAATTGTTCCACACGTCGGCAATCCTTTTGATTATATTTAGTACAAGTAGTCATCTGGTTTGTTTTTGAACCTGTACCGGGCACCACAACTGTCCGTCCACAATGGAGGAGTAGAAGACCAAAAACTTCAGCCCGGGAGCTTGTCGTAGAGACAACAAGTCAGTATCTTCTTGTCGTGTCGATAACGGCATTTTGAAATCCAATAACGTTCGCAGTTGTAACTATTACGGACTTGCGTTTTATAACTCACTTTCGGCATGAAATTACTAATTCAACGCTGACTAAATATCGCACCATCTGTACGTGGTAGTAAGGTGATCTATAAGTACTCGTACTGAAGTGACGTGTACATTTAGCACTGGGCATGGGACCCCATAGCGCTCCATCACAAATGAAAGTTTCAAAATTGCATCCCTAGGAAGATTATTATTGAAGCATTGAACATGTGTAAGTATGGTTATTTGAAGTCGAAAGGTATCGGTTGTCCATCGAGGTATAAGTTGAACTACCCTCAAATTCAACATCTTCAGAAGTCTCTGAAGATGGCTTAACTATTGACGATTGAGTCCAATGTTGTGTCCTCTAGTAACCATACCCAGAGGAATCGCCTGTGTCATACCCCGACCCGCTTGATGATCCGTACGAGCCACTTGATGGCGCGTAAGCAGTAGCTGTGGCTTCAGAGGCACTCGAACGCGATGATGACACAGAGCCGCTATTTTCAGGTATCATCCACCACTGCGATTTACACTGAGGGTGGATAATTTTATTATTCCTATGAAGAATAGGCAGAAAAGTGGACCTACTCTGCCGAAGCATTCTGACAAGCCTGTTCCCTTCACTCGTTGAACTTCAGTGGTTGTTGCGGTCGCTGTGGCAAGATAGGTGACGGTTTGGAAACGAGTCATGTCTTTGACTTGTGTGGATGTTACTGTATTAAGGACGGTTTTTGTCTGGCGCAAATGAAATGAATGATAGATTAGCATCCAAGGATAAGAGACATACATTATCCACCGTCTGGGTCTCCACCCAAACACTCGTGATCGTAGTCGGTTCAACCATGGTTTGATTTTGAGTGACAGTCGTGCGATCTGTCATGGTCTCCGTCATAGTGGCAGTCTGGATTGAAGTGATGTGGTCTGTGACAGTGGCCGTTTGTGTCATCTCAATAGTCTTTGTCTGCGTAGGCTGTAAACGAGGAGGCTGAAAACAGCTTATGCGAGACTTACATTATCAAGAACTTTGGTTGAAACCCAAACACTTGTAAAAGTAGTGGGCTGAACAACAGTCATCAATTGCGTTTTTGTGACGAAGTCAGTCAGCGTTTGCTGAACAGTCTGAGTGGCAGTATCTGTCCTCGTATCAGTCTTCGTGTAGATATTAGTCTTCGTCATTGTCTCAGTGGCGGTAAGAGTATGCTCCACGGTCTTTGTTTTATCTACAATTTCCGTGGACACCCAGACCCGAGTTGTGGGCACGACCATCACCGAAGTGACAACATTTGTTTGAGTTACAGATCTTGTGTCCGTGCGGGTTTCTGTCTCGTGCATCGTCACCGTAGTTGGGACCACCTGGGTCATGGTCTGAAAGCAAAGTCGGGAAAAATCTTGTAAAAATCGAGGAAAACTCACATCGGTCATTGTTACCGTCATCGTCGCCGTCGCTGTTGCCGTAACGGTGACTGTACTGGCACCGTAGCCGTCGTTATTGCAGTTGATAATGTGGCTAAGACAGAATTAATGTAGAAGACATGCATTCGAGATCTGCACATACTTGATGATTGTTGTTGCGTAACAACCTTCATTTTGCCAATTGTACTAGAAATGTTGTTAATGTACGGTAGAAATATTCTGATTCAGACTCACCCAAGATTCCGGACGACATGAACCGTCTGATTGTTTTGAGTAACCATAACCGCATTCCAAAGTTTTATACCCTCCACTCTGGTAGGATGAGTAGGGCATATAATCGTAGAAATTTGAAGGGGAAGAGGGGGCTGCAGTTTGTATCGAAGGAGCACCATATCCATAGCCTCCGCTTGCCGCGGTTGCTGGCAGGTTGCTGCTGGAATCCATTGCCATCACCATCGACACACCGTTGGCAATTTGAGCAGCAGCAGCGCTGACGAAAGAGAGACCTAAAGCAATCGATTTCATGATAAACGAAAGTGGGGTTTCGATGCTGGAAATAATGTCAAGGAGATAGAAGCGGTCTACGCTGTTGTTGATACTGTCTTGCAGTGAAAATTGAAGCGAGAACGCCAAGCGTCCTGTAGAATCCTGTAGAACTCTGTAAGCATCATAATGGTTCCCAGGAAATGCCAGCTTACTGACGTCGTAGAAACGGAATAAAAATTAAAGGGGCTCCGGAGAGGAGAATGCAAAAAGACAGAACCAAAAGAAGGAATGGTAAAGCTAGACCATCGCGCGTCCGACTGTATTTGAGTGATACGCACCTGGTCGACATCACGGTGCCATCACTTTCTTCGGTTATCAATCAAAACATCACGCTTCTCCTGTCCTCTAATGATGGTCTGCCAAGCTGTCTCCAAGAGCTGCATGTGTAAGTTCTATATGTATTCCGTGATTTGTTCTCAATCGCTTCAGTCATATTGTAGATTACCCATGTACAACATCGTACCACATCTATGAGGATAGTCTTGGATTTGACAGCGACAATGGTCTCCCGCCTCCAGTGACTCGTCGCCCAAAATCTCCATGTACGTCCAGGAGTATCTTGAGAGCATTTCTCGCACGTATCTTTGACATTTCGTCAGGGCGAGATGTGAGAGCTGTCTCCACTTGTTGTGATTTATCTTGCCAAGGATACTAGGAGATAAGGGGTCAGAAATGATTTTTCGCAGCGTGCACGCTATGACTTACAGGAAACTACAGAGGAAAGTAAGACGCCCGGGTCAGTAGCATGGTTAGTATAGCAGAAAACTCACTGTGGTCTTTAGCGTTTCGTATCCTGGTAAGGGTTGTATGTAAGCAGTCTCGTCATTGGGAGGGATAGGTAGCTACCTAAGAGTGTAAATCCGAATTGAGGGCTGCTCCGAATCACCCGAGCCGGACCACCCTTGAATAAGGCACGGAAACCTTCTTCTCGATCTTATTTCAGGTTAATCCTTGACCCCAGGATGAATGTGGGAATGACACCTACATATTTTTACGAACGCGTCGCGTAGTCCCTTGTAATTTGTCTGGCCTTGTCTGGCTTCAACTTGCAGTCTCGTCTTCACAACATCTACGTGATAAAAGAATGTTAGCCTATAAGATCATTATCGCACCAAGCAAACGAACCGGCTGGAGTGGTGAAGTACGCGGCTGGCATTCCGCTGACAATCGGGACAGGTCACGAATCAGAAAATGATCATGTGTTGTAAGATCAGTCAGTAACATACGCAATGGCAGCTGCACCTAGAGTTTCGACGAACGACAATTGTTTCCCGTTGTGGCCCTCGTGGAAGATGTCCCTCTTAAGATGCCAATAGGCCGGAAAATAGATGGCGGAAAATGGAATATCACGAAGTAAGCAAGCTGTGGCACCCTTGTATAATCCCAGGACACCAAGCTGGCGAATGATATGGATGGCGCCTTTGGGCAGCGCCCCTTCCACTTTGGCTGCTTCACCTTGAACTTGAAGTCGGATTTTCCTGTCGATGTTTGGGTAAGCTTTCGGCGACTCTGAAATATTGGTGCTTACACAATTTCAAGAGGATTCGTGAACACCTATACAGACAGTCGAACCTTGCCTCTCAAAGGTAATACTTTGTCCACATACCACCTGGCAACCACCTGCCATGCCACCAGCGATGAGCTCCCAATGAAGTTTTATCCGCCCCGTTTCGGGATCCATGGCCCGAGCCCGGATGAGATCATTTACTGTTAGTTTGATAGCTTTCTCCGGTGCTACGCCCTGAAATTCGAATCAGACTGAGTGAATGATTCAAAGGGAAATCACATGCGATGAGTTGGGGGCCAAGTCCACGGTAAAAACCCAAAACGCCCTCGTTACGGAGAATCTTCTGGGCGCAGTCTATACTGTTTTTGTACATCAACTGACCAACAACTGTTGAACGTTGGTTTTGCATCCTAGTATGCGTTTGGCAATAGAACAGAATAAAAGATCGCCAAGTGTTACACACCGAGTCTACAGGAGGCAGCATGTGCTGAGAAAGATGGATCTTTACAGTTCTGCGAGGAAGTTTTCATACCTTTACTAAAACGAGAGTTTTAAAGAGTTGCTGGTGATGTAACAGTTTGATGACTCACCCATGTCTATTGGGTATACGATAGTGGCGCCAAAGGCTCCGGCAATACCTATTACAATTCCTTGACTTGAACCTTCGCGTGAACACAATCGCTCACTCACCGCCCTGAACAAAGTTGTACGAGGAGTGTAGAAAAGTTTGGAGAAAAGATGTCTTCGCTTGTATCTTTGAATCATCAAACTCATCATGGGGGGCACGCCATCTTGGGTCCAAGAGCTGAGCAAATTCAAGCAACGCTAGCCTTTGTGACGTAACTCCACGGCCAGCAAAATGAAAAATAATAGAAGCCTCCATGGGGGTGAATAAGGAGTAGCGTGAACTGGAGGCGGCATGATTTAGAAAGTCCGATTGGTCGATACGCCCATCCTTGCTCTTTGCTGTAGCTTCACGGATGATCCTGTTCCGAAAATGATACAAGTTGACTCCATGGAACGTGGCTGACATACCTTTCTACCATGTCCATTTCTAAATAAAAAAAAGCATCAGCATAATGAAAGGTGCTGTGCGCAACGCTTTACCTCTAATAACATTATGGAAAGCAACAACTTCAGAATAGGATATGCGTTGTCCGGGAGTCAATGTGCATAACGTGGGTAACCTGTCTATCACAGCATCAGATAGCTTGTGTCCTGCAATTTCCTAAGAAAGGTATTGAGAGATGGGAAACATAGACAGCGAATAGGGCGTACGAGAATGATCCTTTTGAACTGCTCTGGCAAAATAAATCCGTCCTGATCCTCGTCGAGGTATTTGAATGCTTGACGAAGGCGCTCGCCCTGCAATCCCTTCATCAGCTGGGTAAATTCATTATCTAAATAGCGTTAGATCGTTGATTCCCTTCTTCCCATTGGCTTGGAGCCTCACATCCTAGCACATGAGTGCCATTCTTTTTCCCCAAATAAAGTTTGATCCAGTCACTGGTTACATGGGAGTCAGAGGAAGGCATTTAGAGAGGAGAACGAGTAAGCAACCAATCGAAGTCAAAGGGGATCGCGTCGGAGCCAATGTTGGCGGAGAAGACGGTCTTGAATTCATCAAAGTCAATAAAGCCTGAATGATCTCTGCACGAGTACTGACATGAGTGGTCAAACATCAAACTTATTGAGGACTACGTACACGTCAAAGTATTGGAATGCCATCCAATAATCCGCGTCAGGCCTCTTCAAAAGGGTCTCGAAGACCGTAAAATCGTCCCAAGAAACTAATCCGCGTCGTGAAGTATCGGCGACACGGAAAAGGATCGCAAATTGAGCACGCCCAATCTTTGTAAGATCCCCCTTCGGTGCGATTGCATTGACGAAACTTTCTGGGTCAAGGTATCTAAGAGTTGGAACAGGAATTCAGAACTCTTTATCTCCTGGCATATGACTGAAGTTTACCTCTCGCCATTAACAACCTTGGCATAAGAATCAAAGGTCCGTCTCCACCGTTTTAATTCATTTTCCGGAACTGACACTGCCGTACGAACGGTTTTGAAGGCTGAGGCCGTCAGAGAAGAAGGCCCGTCCGAGTCACAATGTGCAGTCGATAGGACTCTTGAAAGTAACATGGCCTTCTATGCGCCTGTTGTCTACGATTTGGTATTAGTGTGGGGTATCACGGTAGACAACCAAGGCAGGGAATCGCTGCGGGAACGGTAAATGTTAAAGCCCGCTGTTAAACGTTGAACAGTTGAAGTTTTCTTCCTTGGTTCTATTTTAGGTAATCCGAACTGTCACGGCCAAGGTCCGTTTGAAGACTTGGCTCGGAAATCATTCCGCAAGTTGACCCGCAGGTTAAGATTCCGAAGGTCCCCTGCATTACTACTATCAAGTACATATCTTTCAACACTCTCATGTCAATTACGTTGACAAGGCAAATGCAACTTCGGTAGGTAGGCGGAAACTGATGCAGTACATTTCCTTGTTGGGTGCAACGGACCGGACGAGATGAAAAGAAACGTCCTCAGTTATGGGGTAACCCAACTTTTCTTCGACCCGCTGCAAGTCGATGAGCGTTGAGGGAAAGGAACGAACGGGTGACGAACCATGCGAATATCCCTCTCTGCCCTATCTCGTTCTAACTCTCGCGTGAAACAATGACAATGGATCATTGGCATCGTTTTGTACAATGTGCTGAAATTCCGAGTACTATCATTAAGAAGGCCACGAAAAGCATCAAGGAATTGGATGGCGGAATCGGGCAAATTCATCACAAAGTGAGAAACATATCGCCGAGGCGGCAGTGATTCAGTGGAGGGTGTATCTGCAGCAGCAGTTGTTTCCTCCGTCATAAGCTTCTGCAACCTTCGGCGTTTCTTCTCTTCTTGAACTCTGCTAAGCTTTGGACCTGTATACGGGGGGAAAGGATTGTCTGATAGTTCAAGAATGCATTGGCAAATAAAATCGCGGCCGTCTTGGCAAAAAGTTCGAACAAGATCTGTGACCTAGACCTGGAAATTAGCCATTCAAGTCGGTTTTAAAAATTGATCTGTACCTGATTGTTTTTTACGTTAATGGCGAGGTATTTTTCACTGTTCGGATTGAGATCGTTTGCAAGCACAGCACACCCTTTTTTCGCCGCTGGAACGGCAAATGGCCCGACACCAGCAAATACGTCTGCAACAACCTCGGTCGGATTGAAAAGTCGGACGAGTCGATCGTGTTCAGTGTGGAGCCGAGAATTCCAATAAACTTGAGAGAAGTCGAAAGTAAAACGGCAATCTGACTCGTGCTGCATGTAACTTCAATGGGATGTCTACTCAGCGAGACAGTAACTCACATGCTCCACAACAAAATCCGCGTCACCTGCAATCAACTCCATCTTGAAGAAACGAAATTGAGTATCGATGTTATTTAATTTGTTGACGACTGTCTTGACTTTCTTGTTTTTCTGAAGCGAGATTACAGGACGTGCAACAGTGGCCAAGCACAAAGACCCACTTCAAGGATCAGTTGGCCGATTATGTGCTTGTAAGGGAGGTACTCGTCGTTCAGATTGACGTGGGCTGACGCATTTTATGAGCAGCACGCGGAGCTATCGGCAAGTCGCACACCTATATGCCCAGTCATTGCGAACCCCGTGGGTGATCTTTCACGCAAGTCAGGAGGAAGGAAAGCTTGTAATATCTCATCTCCAAAATCATTGTATGATCAATACAACTTGGTAAACCCGACTTGACTCACCAGCTGTCCAGTAGTCATAATCTAATTCAATATCATAAATAGTCAATCCTTTGGATTCCTTTTTCAGGTATTCATCAGTTTCGGGGGGGATATCAGCTAGCTTGTCGCTTTGTCAACCTGAAGCACAGTGATGCTATGTATTGGATGTACCCTCTTTTGTCATCCGGAGCAAGACCAGTCGATCACCTTCAGGATTTGCTGCATCAGGTACAACTGTTCGTATTTTCGGTAAATCCATGAGAGATCTGTTGACTAGAGAGTAGAAACAAGGGACTTGGGGTTGTGGGCCAGCCTACCTTCTCATGGCCTCAGCCCTCAAAATTGCGCCCGTTTTCTCTGCTGGTACCCTAGCCGCCAGAACGGAAATTCGCTTTCTAAAAGCCTCCTTGTCCAAAGTATCTCTGGAACATGTGTATATTGGCGCAGATGCATCGATGAATAGGTTACGCGACATGGTCGTTAAAGCTGGGCGTCGGATAAAATGCTTGCTGAGACGTGATAGCATGTAAATAGGATGTAAACAGCGGCACACAACAACTATTCAAACTCGATCATCTCGATTTGATCTCGATGGCTCTGGCGCTGCCGCACGAAGATGTTTTGCGACATATCGTTGATGTTCATTGCCACCCAACTGACTCTGCTACTTCTTCTAATTCCATGGATTCTCTCAAAATCACCGTTTGCGCGATGTCCACCAAGACATCCGATCAGCAGCGAGTCCGGGACTTGGCAACCTTGTACCCACAGAAAGTCGTGCCATGTTTTGGTTAGACCAATAGTCCAAGTCAATCCTTATGTTGGATATCATGCTCAATTATATACCCAGGTTATCATCCGTGGTTCACTCACCTGATTGCCGTTGACGAAAATTTGTCAAAGGAGGCCCATTATCGCAGCCTTTTCAACTCATCAGTCAAAGTACATGACGTCGATGTCCTCGCTAAGCTCTGTCGTTCGCTGCCAGATCCCACACCACTCAGCTCCGTTCTTGCAGAACTTCGGCACAATCTCTCCAGCTTTCCGAATGCGATGCTTGGGGAAGTTGGACTGGATCGCGCGTGTCGCGTCTCTTTCGAACATTTGGCTACTCCCAGGGTTTTGAGCCCCTTTACAGTCCCACTGAACCATCAAATTGTTATTCTAGAGGCTCAAGTAGACCTGGCAGTCGAATTTGGTCGTAACATCAGCATCCACAGCGTCAAGGCTCAGGGCGCAACACTGGAATTTCTAAGCAGAATGAAAACGAAACATGGAGATAGGTGGAATGAAATTAGTATAGACCTGCACAGTTGTGGGCTCAGCAAAGAAACTTGGCTAGATATTGAGGTAATCTACGATATCCATTCTTTTCCGCGCTGACCGGCACAACCAACACCTCTGCAGAGGAAATACCAAAACGTTTTCTTATCACTTTCGAATGTGATTAACAGTCGCCATCCTGACCATCGCGCACTGCTAGCTGCTTGCGCCTCCAACCGTATCCTGGTCGAATCTGATTATCATGACATTGATATGTGTACTGAACAAACTTGGATCATGCTTCAAACAATAGCAGACATAAAAGGCTGGAGTATTGAGGACACTTGGATCGACAACCTTGAAAAGGAGAAATGGGGTACTGTGAGGAAGTTAGAGGAAAATTGGCAGCGCTTTAGGGCGCGCAATGATCAGGTGTCTGCACTTAAGGGAGAGTAGGTGGCACAAAGCGTTGGGACTTGATGGTATGTCGATATACTTCTTGAGATGCATTCCGCCGTCGTTAGGTATGGAAAGGGGTAAAGAATTGACGACGTCGCAGATTCAGAAACTATGTCAATTCCAAATGTACGAGAGGATAATGATAACACTAACTCCAATGACAAGACCCAGGATAATAGAATCCCGTCGTCGTCTAGACTTTATCATGGATACCAGGTTATTAATTCCAGGCATGGTATCTGAAGGTAGCATAGTGAGGTTCATGTGCTTATGTCGACACTACTCAAGAAACATACTTATGACATGCAACATACGATTCTGGATGCTCGTCAGAGAGCCCCGCTGTCTTGAGAACTCGGAGCGTGTTTCATATGCTTGCCTAGCAAATGAGTGATTAGATGGCTGATTGATATGCGGGTGTATGATTTTTTACTGTAACATATCGTCTGTCATCCGATGGGAGCTGTCAACTCTGCCCCGTTCAGCAAGCAACGAATCTGCTGCCGAAGACTTGTATGCACTGATAAAATAAAATGAGTGGCAAATAAACGGATTAAACGATGAAGAAATGCACTCAATGTCATTTCGCACACCAGATAGAAGATTCGCTTGGTCGAGAGCGGTTCGCGCATTTGCCTGTCAGATTGGGTGACTACAGCAGCAAAGAAACCATATAATTAGCATGCCTTCGTTCTTCTCAGCTCGCGTAGATGATCTTGCTGCAATTCTTGATGCCTTTGAATTGTCCGCAGTATTGAGGGAGAGAGGAGTTCGGGATTGGCGGCTAGTGTTGCGAGTTGATCGTTAATTCCTTGGAGCTAGCCACATAAGATGAGGGAGGCCTAAACGAGCACGTGAAGGTAGAAAATTGCCTTGCCTTGAGTGAAAGGTCATCCAATTCTGCTTCGAGGTCATTCCATCGTTCAGTCGAATGGGCGGCCTCCAAATCATGTGAAGGACGGAAGATATTTGATGCCACTTGGGCGTATGAGGTAAGTTTGGCATCGAATAAATTTTCGAGGGTTCGACATTGCCTATGAAGTTCATTGTATCTTGACATCCTCACTCTTGGGAAGGTTGACACGGTGCTAAACGCGAACGAGCCTACTTACGCTTACCTCTTTTAGAAGTTGTGGTGGTTGTGTTTAGTGTTGCCGCAATGGATGCTTGATGGAATTTAAGGCCGGATTTTTCCGGCCTTAAAGTACCTTAATGGGACCTTAAAGCGCCCTCCGAATTTGGAAATGTACAAGACCGTCACAAAACTAGTAAAAGGACTACGAACAATATACATAAACTACTTAGATAGAGGTTAATAGAAACTTGTGCAAGTGCGGCGTGCGACGCCGTTGGTCTTGTCCATGTGACGGAGGTTGCAACTGGAGTAGGAGTTGGTGCCGTTTTTCGAGAAACCTCAGGCTGTTGATACTCCTCCAGCAGGCTGGCCTTACAATAAGTCTTGGGTGCATCACAGTTGGAAACGGAGACTCATCAAGTGGGATGGATTCTTCGATTGAAACGAGCGCACGAAATACCAGACGACACTCGTGGCAAAAGCGGTAGATCTCTTGCGTGCCGCACGTCGCGTTATCAGTGATCCAAAGTTGTTTCGCTCGAGTCTGCAGGTCCAACACCGTAAAGTGGCCCTGGCTCTGCTGCTGTCAAATTCTTTGCCGTCACTTTACGTCCCTCAGGCTTTCTTGGGGGTTTTCGCATGTTGGGATCTGTGGCTGGCTTTTTGTGTTTGGGCGCGGTGATACTATATTGCACATATGTAGCCATCTCTCCTGTACAGGCTGTGCTAATTTATAAACGGCCTTGGAAAGAGTCCGATGGTTTTTGACCTCAGCGCGACTGCTACTGCTCGACGCGTCCACTACTACTCAGAACGCACAACACTGAGGCCAGCGCGCCTATTCCAATGACGTCACTTCAAGCTTTTTTCAAGGCGCGACCACGGTGTCGGCAATTCCCCGCAATTCCCAGCCCTACACTGCCTCACCTTAAAGCCCCTTGAAGCCACCAAATATAGGCATAATGCGCCTTAAGGTTGACATTAAACTTAATGTACATTACATTGCGGCAACACTAGCCCGAGGAACCTGGGTAGTAGACTCGAACCAGTCTCTAACGGGTTCAATTCACTATGTTGAGTACTAGGGGAGGGACGGAGAGGACTTTGATGGACGAGTCCGGATTTGATCAGAGTAGGGCGGGTAATTGAACCCATAGAGACTGGTAGGGATTAACCGTAAGGTAACCGACAAGTTTTATAACTCCGATTATCACAAACGTCGAAAAACTCAAAGAAGCCCACGGAAAAGCTGAAGTGTGGCTCAGGAGTGCAGGTCTGTCACCAGATTATGCAAAGAGAGAGCTCATGCACTACACCAGGAGGAAGAATGACGAAAGCCCGTCCATCGTGTTCGACGACCAGGACGGCACACGCAGAGTGGTCAAACCAGAGCCAACAGTAAGGTGGCTGGGAGTATACTTTGACCGCAAACTCAGGTTCCAAAAACACGCGTCAATCCTCGCAGCACGCGGCGAAAATGCAGTAAGTGGGCTAACAATGCTCGCAAACACACTACGGGGCCTGAGCCAGACCCACCTTCGGCACCTGTACCTTGCCTGTGTATCCCCAAAGATACTATACGCATGCCCAGTATGGTGGACAGGGCACCAGTACCAGATCAAACCCCTAGAAAGAGTACAAAGGCGCGCACTAAGACTAATATGCGCAGCATTTAGGACGACACCAATCGAAGCACTCAAGATAGAGTCCTCAATCCCCCCCATAAAACACCAAGCCAACCTGCACGTTAAACGATGCGCGATCCGGTTCAACAAGCTGAGTCGCTCCAGTCCTATCATACAAAGGCTGCCACAACAGTGGAGGAAACCCAGGGACAAGACGTGCCCACCCCCCCTCCAGCCCAGGCTCAACAACAACTCGGCCACAAACCTGGCCAGGACGACAAACCTACTTAACATCGCTAAGCAAACATGCCACGCACACGAAAGAATTGACCCTTTCCTTGTAGCCCCATGGCGGCGCACGTGTTCCAGCTTCGGGGGACGGGTGGAGATTAACCCTTGCAAACCAGAGACAAAAGACGACGAAGAAAAACATAAATTAATAGAAGATCATAAAGAAAAATACCACAAGCTAGCAAAAAGAGAAGACTGCCTAATTATCTACACGGATGGATCCATGGTGAAGAAGAGGGGATTCCCACAGGTGGGAGCAGCGGCGGTCGGGTTTCATAAGGGGGAAGAGGTTTTCACGGGGAAGATGGGGATGGGGGGGAAGGGCAGAGGTATACGACGCGGAAATGGCAGGGCTGAAGATGGGGGCGGGCTTGGCAACGAAGTACATCACCAATCACCCAGAGATCAAGAGCATCCACTTCTTCGTGGACAACTCGGCAGCAGCGGGGGCAATATTTGACCCCAAACCACAACCAGGACAACTATACGCAGTCAAATTCCACCGGAAAATGACCAGATTCCTAGATAGCGACCACACCCACTCAATCGAAATCGCCTGGTGCCCAAGCCATTGTAACATAGCAGGGAACGATAGAGCGGACGAACTGGCGAAAGAAGCCACCCAGCTTGCGTGGAACGCACCAATCAGCACATCCCGAGCGTTTGCACTACGTCGCGCCAAAGCGTCCACACAGACAGCCTGGGTCCGTGACTGGCAGAAAGCGCCCCGGAAGGGGAGGTTCGCAATTTCCAACAGGATACCCCCCTCTCTCAACCCCACCAAACACTTCATAGAGCTCAAAGACCAACGCGAAGTGTTCGGACGACTAATCCAATGCCGCACCGGACACGCGTACACCGGCGAATTTCGAAGACAGTTCTTCCCTGAAAAGAGCACCAACTGCGAGTGCGGGGAGGACCTACAAACTCGAGAGCACATCATCAGAGAGTGCAACCGCTACGAGGAACAGCGGAAGAAGCTGCGCAAGCATAACCGAGACCTAGCGCTCCCAGAGCTGCTGGGAACGCCCAAGGGTATAGCTGCCCTAGCCGAGTTCATTCGAGACTCAGGTGCCTTCACGTTCACCGGGGAAAAATACACCCCCAAGGACCTCCCCTCCTTCCACGACGAACCAGAGCCCCCCGATATTGACTCAGAAGACGACGAGTCAGACGCTGAACCATAGCACGCCCATGCCATCCACACCCGTGTACACAACCCCGCGAGCGCAATAGCGCCCGCCCATGCCCTAGCGTCATATGCACGCAACAGTCCAAGACCCCCGTTCATTCGGCCGTCTACCAAAACACTATACATTATCTTTACATTACAGCTACACAACGGACGTTAATACCCACACAAGTGGAGGCCCACCAGACCCAACTACACCTAAGGGGAGCCTTACGCTCTCCGTGCGTCTTAGTACTAGGCTACTTGTTGCACGTAAATCTCTAGAAACCAAAAAAAAAAAAAAAAAAAAAAAAAAAACTCCGATTATCGAGTATAAAAGGAAATTAAGGCGCACGTGTATTCGTTGATGGCCAAGACGCGTCGCGTAGATTTTGCAGAATACTATTCCTTGACACCATGAGCCCTCAAAAACGCGCGCGATCTGACGAAAACTCGTCCCCCACGCCTGTTGCTACACCTCGGAGGTCACAGCGGAGAGATACACCCACCCCCACGCCCAGGAACTCGCACGGCTTTCAGATCATTGATGGTCTCACACCTGTCCCAAACCTGAAGCGGCGTCGCGTTTTTACTGCCGAGGAGCTTGTCAATCGCGAAGTTGAGCGGACTAAGGCTCAGAGGGAACATGCTGAAAGGCAGAAGGAGCAGGAGGTAGAGATATTTTAGAAGATCACAGCAAAATGTGAGCACCAATACGGTGACCTATAGATCTCTTGACACTTACCTGATTTATCATCAGTGCAGTGAGAGGCGAAATGGTGAGGACAATACTATCCTCATCAAGCAGCAATGGCAAGGAAAAGCATAACGTTTTCCCACTTCCAGTCCCCACGTCGACGACGACATCCTGCCCACACAATATCGCTTCGGACGCATCTAATTGCCATGAAAATGGCTTTTTATGCCAAATTTCGTACGCCCTTGCAGCAAGTCGGTTTCGGTCCACTTCTTCTGGTTTGTATTTTCGAACTTTCGAAACGGGGGGCATGGTGAGTGCTCAGTTTGGTGGTAAAACGTACACCAGCGTCATCCCCGAACCCCAGACATGTCTCGGGTGAACGCGTATTGAATAAATAAAATACATGTAAATTTCTAAAGTTATCGAGATGTATCTAAGTTCGTTGCTGTAAGTTTTGAGTATCGAAGGACTCGTGAACGCGTTTTGAACGCGTTGCGAGCACTTGAATTGAGGATGTGTTATGTAAGGAGAGTTTCCTCATTGAGACGATAATCGGAGTCCGACATTTTGTCGGTTGCATCACGATCAATCCCTTCCAGACGTTATGGTGAGTAATACGATCCCAATAACGGCTGGTGTCGAGACTACCTGGGTAGCTCAGAGCTATACAAGACGCTTGATCAAGGGCACCTGGTGATAAGCAATTTATTTCCAGATTAGATCCTCTCATTGGGCAAGGTGTCCGCAGCATGTCGGAAACTGATCCCAATAACGAGAAGATTATCAGCGGAATGTCTGATTTCATCATTCCTCCCGGCGCAGTGAATGTTTCTTCTCCCACCTCCTTGAAAGGTTTGAGGGAAACTTTGGCATCCCCTCCTGTTCCCGCCTGAACAGACTTTTGGTAATTGTCGGGGGATTGATCGTGGCACAGGGGACGTGATCCACACAGAGGACATTCAAATAGAGTATCATACAAGATCAAATGACAGTCGTAGAGGATCGATATACAACCTGGTGCTTAAGTCAATCTCCGCATAAGAACATCAACACATATCCCACCGATTTTTAATGTTTCAAGCGTGCTTGTTCCACAGAAAAGGAATTACACCGGCTCTTCACACCTTAAACTACCCTATTTCGTGTTCGGCCAAGAGCTGAATGTATCATGAGCTCGATTTTTAGACGGATAGCCAGGAGTCCTACCATGTTTGGGATACCATTTGAGATCGGATAATCATGTTTGCAGTTCGGGCAGATCATTGAGCCTTCTTCAACGTGGATCTACGGAAAACTCATGAGCACCCCACCAACGAGTAATGTTTCAAGATCGACCTCAAGAAGAACGTGGTGTAAATTCTTCAAAAACTCGTCATCCAACATTTCCGGTTGTTCAAGAGGTAGCGAGGTGTCTCCCAGCTTCGAAAAATGTTAGGAATGAACTTTAGATGGGAAAAAAAATGGGACGCACCTGTCTGGCTGTATCAACCAACGCCTTCCACTCAATCTTCGGCAGAAACCCCCTGATGAATTCTGGATTATATTCGGCCTCCCGCAGCTCAAGCTTCGCATCCTTGAACTCCAAAGGGAAATTGTTTGACGTGCATCCTTTTACGTGGCACGCAAGGAGGTTGTGCGTGATAAGGCGGACCATTGGCGCGTCTAGAGAGATGGATCATTGTAGATTGTTGACGTAGGGAGAGATCAAAAGTGATCGGGATCAAATAAATTGCTCAATCTCCTCAACAGCGATGAGACCACCGTCGCCCTCGATTCCAGAGAAGGAGTTCCTCTTCAGCGCCCTCAAACAATCCTTACGACTTGATGGTAGACTACCCTTGGAGATGCGCTCGCCAACCATCACGTTTGGGCCAGATCTTGGTTGGGTGGAGTGTGGTCTTGGAAAGACAAGGTACGTCGAACTTGCTGTCGTTTCTTCAAAATGGTGGCCTAACAGAGACTACGCGACAGGGTTCTTGCTCAGGTGGAAGCGAAAATGGTGAAACCGGCACCAGAGCGACCGTTTGAAGGAACAATCACGATTCACTCAGAGATTTCACCTATGGCATCGAGCGAGTATGAACCTGGCCGGTAGGTATGTGCTCAATTTTTTCGTCTCAAAGCGTATTAAGTCAGTGGTAGGCCATCAGATGAAGAAGTCGCCATTACACGTATGCTCGACAAGGTTCTTAAACGAAGTGATGCCGTGGACAAGGAGTCGTTGTGCATCTTGGCTGGGCAGAGGGTGCGGAGTGCCTTCAATTTACAAAAGACGATTCTTACAATCTGTCTTACAGGTTTGGCACATCCGCTTAACGTTGCATTTTCTAGCGGACGCCGGAAACATGCTTGATTGCGCATGTCTGGCTGGAATCACGGCCCTTCGACACTTCAGGAGACCAGACGTTGAAGTTGTTGGAGACGAAGTTATCGTCGTACGTCGATCTTTTGTTTCCGTCTGCGCTTTTTCACGGTCACTGATTAACATCCGCCATCTTTTCAAGCATTCTCCCTTGGATCGGGCTCCAGTGCCTCTAGCGATCCATCACACACCCTTTTGCTTTACTTTTGCCTTTTTCCCCGACATTACGACACCCCCCGTCCTTGATCCAAATCAGCTGGAGCAAAGGCTCAGCGCCGGTCTCGTGTCGATTGCCTTGAATGCCCAGAAAGAGATATGTGTGCTTCAGAAGCTCGGTGGGGTTCCTCTGGAGACTGAAGAGGTCTTGAGCCTTGTTAATGTGGCTGTCGGCAAGGCGAAAGAGCTGCACGGATTTCTCGACACCCAATTACGCGAGGATTGGGTTGGTCGAAAGGTTGAGGTTAGATAATCAATAAAAGGTGTTTCGCACTATCATTTTTAAGTCTGCGCAACATCTCGGAGTTCTCTCGTCAGATACTTCATATCATGTCGTTTTTCTGGCTTATTTGTGCGCATGATTTCCAGGATACTTTGACAAGCAGTCAAGTCGACGCTGACGTCACTTCTTCCTCACCACGATGGAGGACCCATTCGCAGAGATTAAATCAGTCGTGCTCAAGGTCATTGCGACACTCACCCGACGTTCAACAGGCAGGATACACGAATCAAGATATGGGTTTCAAGCATCCCTTCTGTTCCATTCATCCGGGACCAAATTTGAGGAACAAAGCTACGAGCCAGTGCGCGAAGAGAAGTCCTCGAACGTTCCACTGAATTCTCAGACATAATCCGGTAAAACACCTCGCAAAATTAGGAGGTATACGGATTACGTCAATGAGGCTTTGGAAACCCATGTTGTACCAACACGTAGAAGAGTGTGGTTTATGCTACACCGCCATTTGTTCAAAAGGCTGATGGCATCTGGAGCGAATCTCCGCTTGACAGGTTTCTGATTGAGGTTGCTTCGGCATGGATGGCAGGTGTGTCGGAGCTTGGGACGTAAATGTTAGCCCCAGCAGCCTGACACCTGGCCCACAGGTGTACAACTCTCCTCAGGAAGACCTGTTCTGCCGATTTTCTTCGGGCAACGAAATAGCGTATTTAGGATAGAAATTAATCATAAGAAAGTAATAAAACAATACCATGAGAGCTTCCAAGTTCTTACAGGTGGAAAAAACGGGGAACTTTGAGCTCAACATGAAAAGGCCCGTGCGACAAGCTCTCGAAAATCTTCAAGTCGTTTAAACTCCGCGCTATGTTTGGTTATTTCCAAATTTCAACCAGAACCAAACTTACCTTCTTTACCACAACATCTCCCCTCACCAGGCTGCTCGCTCACAGCTCGCTCCCATCCTCGTTATCAGGAGTCGTTGTTATCATCCATGCTCCGTTACCCACTGGCTTGTACCCCCATGTGATCTCCCTCTTGTTATTTCTTTGGTTGTCCCTGTTCCCTACCCGTGCGCCTGTGTACGGTCGTTACCATTTGTCACTGTTCTGGGCTTTTGTTCCCGCCCATTGCCCCTTTGTATCTCCTCCCCGACGTATACCCGCTCACTAACTCTAACTCTTCCAGATACTTTCACTTCGAATGGAAGAGCAGGAACAGGTAATAACTTGACAACAACTACCACCACCAACAACAAACGGTGATATGTGCCCACCACCATCCGCGAACGACGACGAGGTCCCATCACCACATCAACAAACGGCGATGAGGGCCCATAACTACCACCACCACCCCCAACAACCAGGTCCCAGCACCACCGTCAATGAACGACGACGAGCGCCCACCACCACCTTCAAGAAAAGGTGACGAGCACCCACCACCACCATCAACCAACGGCCACAATCACCACCACCGACAACAACGAGGGCCCAGCACCACCGTCAACGAATGGCGACCAGGGTCCACAACCACCACCACCTCCAACGAGGGCCCACCTGTCAACGAACGGCGACGAGCACCTACGGGCCACGTCAAACGCCCACCATGGAGTAGCCAGGTCCCTTGGGTATGTGTAGTAGATAGCGTAGTTGTAAATACCTCTTGTGTTCCCTTGTTAGAATACAATTTATTCTTTTGTTAATGGTTTTGATCAATCTGAATATCTACCAATTTAACAGGTCTGCTCATAATGCCATGGAATACAGCCCACCTACATAATAGGCATAGGTGGGGTGAAGCACCCTTGCCGCTGGACATCCACCTGGCCCTTCAGCTGCTATCAATATCGGAGGGACAGCTGTCGTCAACATCCAACCCAAACGTGAGAGCTACATCAACCTGGGGACACGCTGTCGTTGGCCAGTAATGACTGTTGAGAAAAGGTCCCATCAGCATGTCTGACAGCTGCCAAATTATGCTGGTCAGGATTTGTCACCCACGTTTCTCTCACATGTTCACCATTTGGCGGTGTAGGTGTTGGATGTTCACTTATGTAAGGTGGTAGGCAGGAACACTCAGTTGAATGATAACGGGTATGAGAAAAAAATAGAAAAAGCAGAAGTACTATAAACATAGCCATAGCCCAAATGTAAGCCACAATTTAGAGGCCAAACCACGACTTTGTTGTCTGTTGAGCCGCCAGCCGTTTCGCCTAGAAAATGTCGGGACGGTTGACTTGGCCGTTTAAGGATATGATTTTCTTACCTGCGCTACCATGCTTTTGCTTCCAGCTTCGAGCGCACTGAAGCTCTCTTCCAGGTTCCCTAGCAATTGACTTCACATAATTGAGTAATGGATGATGCAAGATAGCGGCGAGATGCGTACCCTCGCTCACCAAGCGCGGAGGTTAATCGATTATATATGTTGGCTTGTGCTGCTGCCGCCGAGGCAGCAATACTCGCCGCAGCTGACCCCGCCGTACTTGCCACCCCGGCCTCCGCCGACATTGCCGCGTCTTCAGTTGCCTCCCTGTCCCGCGGTTTCTTGGGAGTGGGTCTGTCAGGGCCGCCCACTTCGATGGCGTTAAAAACAAAGAATGAAGACTGAAAATTATACAGAGAACGCACAGATATCGTCAATCTGTGCACCAGTCAAAGCTTGGGCAGTTTGAAACCAGGATCCCATCAGGGACACAGGCCCAAGGGAGACAGGTTGTGGTTGGGCAGCGAGGTTCCGATTGATGTTTGTGAAATCGAGGTCTGCAGGGGCATGCAAGCGACGGATGTCGAATAGGGTTCCATATGTAGCGCTATCGATGATTCCCGATATGGGGCTTCGAGCCCAGGAGACGAAGTCTCCACTCTCATCAATAGTCAATAGCCTGCATTCGATAAGCGTAAAATAGCATTTAAATACGTATAACTGTGGGGTTTTAAACTTACGGAGACGACGTCAGAGCATGCTCAAAGTCATGAAGATGTTCAAGTTGGGGCAACGAGTACGTCAAGACCTCGTTTTTTTCGGTTACAACGACAAGGGCACGAGAACCTTTGACTAGTGAGCGTGTAAGAGAGGAGGTGTGGAATCGACCAACCCATGTGCTCGACCAACTGAGCAACTTGTGTGACTCCTGCCTTGTGTCGCCACTCTGCTTTACCGATACGATCACCATCAATATCGGTAAAGCATCGTGCACCTTTTTTTCCAACTACTAAGAAGAACGAGTGGGAGTTGTCTTTGGGAGTGGGTCGCAGTGATGCTGCTAGCCTCGCTGGATTAGGTTTCTTTAACGCCCCTGTTTTGCTATCAATAACAACACTATAGATTGGGTCCCATATTCCCTTGATTGTGATTGGTTCGCCAGATACTTTCCAGGAGGCCGGATTCCCGGACGGAACGAGTGTAAACACCTCGCTATCGCCAGATGAGCAGGAAGCGATGAGGCGAACGCGCGCTTCGAAGTCTGAATTACGGGGGTTAGGGGAGAAAAGAGATATTGGAATGATGACTACCTTTTGAAAGCGGAGCGATTGTCCAGACCAACGACGTGACTACATCAAAGTGAGACGCATGGTGGCCTACTCCAGACAAACCAATGGTAGGCTTCGCCCTGTGTTTCTTAACGACTGCGCTATGAATGATTCTCGGGCCGCGCATGTCAAGGATTAAAAGGGAACCATCCGAATACGAGACGGCAAGAAAACCTGAATACAATTTGAGGGTGCAGTACGTATAGTCTATAGAGAAATGCTCACCAATGTCAGAGAGAGCGCAGGCTTCCACGTTGCCTTTCCCAGCAGGGATCAAAAAGTACGGAGAGAGTCGTTTTTCCGGTTGAGGCACTACCTGCTTGAGTGGAGTGATTTGACTGTCTGGGATGTTTGCAACATTGGGCGAAGTTGGTGATGACCGATAAACAACGACATCCCCAGTATTGAGAACCACTGCGAACTCAAGCGCCTCCGGCGCGACTTCAACAGAATGGATTGATGTTTCCTTGTCGGGGAAGAATATTCGGTCACCAGTAGCGTTGGAAACCACATCGCTCAAATCTATCGTCATTGTTGGAAAAGCGTCGGGGAAATGGTTTTGTAGTGGATCAGTGCCAGAACTGACTAACAGTTGAGCGCTGACGTCAAAAAATTGGACTTTGAGGTTGAGATGGTAAGTCATCAAAATGCGGGGAGGTTGATACTGGATGAACAGTTGTTACAATACATCAAAATACGCCTGAGTCTATTCGACAAACCTTGGATAACCTGAGCTCGTTCTGCTTCGTTTGATCTGCAAATGCTCGACCACCTTTGAGCACCAAATTCCGCTCATCTACTGATCGATCGCCTATGAAGAGGTGGTAAACGTCCTTTTCTAGGCTTATGAGGCGTCCGCCAAGAATGCCAGCATTGCCATTTGAAAGCGAGAAGGGGAGCCGCAAGGTGCGAACGTCGATGGCCCTGCTTTCGACCCGATCAGAAGACGAGGCTTCTCGTGTAAAAAAACCAGAAGGCGGAAATAAATATCCTTCAGTAGCTCGTGTACTCCTGACAAAATCAACAAGAAATATGATAGCATACGGGTCGAAACTGCCAGAAAAGTGGGGACTACTTGTGGGAATCAGGAGATAATCTTGAACAACGCCACTCGTACGATAGAAGAAAGATTTTGTAGGCTCGATAGATCGGCACATGGCATCCCTAAAGTGCGGATGCAGGGCAGTAGACGGACCAGGAGGTGGCTCCGAGGGTTGAAACGGAGGAAGGAGGAGAGTGGTCAAGCCGGGAGACGTGTCCGTCAAAAGACCGCCCAAGATAGTCAATACAGTGTCTCCGCCCCTCAGATCCGCTGAGTTAGAGAATCCACTCCAGGAAAGTTTGAAAATAGATTCTCGGATGGACTTTGAAGAATTGGGTTTGCCCTCCGTCAGATAAGTCTCTAGCCCATCAGCATCAACGATATTGACGTCGACTGTCTCGATGGTACGGACAAGCAGAGGTTTTTCTTGGTCATCTACTGCCCAAAATGCGATAGAGCCGTCAGAATGTCCAACTGCGAAAAAGTGCCCTGTTGGATGTACTGCTATTGCCGTTACCTCTGGTCGGCGATGCTCGAATATGTCCTTGACAAGAAGAGTAGTAAGAAAGACCGTAAATACAAGAGAAAGGATGTACCTCTATTCCGTATCCCGTCCCGCCAGGCGCACCTGGAGGAAGGACTAGCTCATATGCATGAACGCTGCTTCGTTGGGTCTGGCGCCCGTTAGTGATTTATTGACCAAAAGGGGGGGAAACGGACAAGGTCACTCAAAATCACTCCTCCTGAGTACAAGTTAGGAGAGATTGATGTGTTGAATGCAGCTCACCTGTGTAGGCCACAAACACCAAATTTAGATCTCGTGGATGTATCACTACTTCTAGAAGTAGGAGACTGCATAGAAAAAAAGGCCAATTTTCCTGAATAAGAGAGTTTCTTGACTCAGTGGGTACCTCACGAGTTTAAATCGGCAGCAATAGGGACACCACTGGCAGCCATATCCTTAATGTGGAGTTTCCATAAGTTTGGCACGGTGTACGGGGACTTCCGAAAGCAAGTGAGGTCAAATGTTTTGATTTCTCCAGTCTGCAAGGCAAGGAAAACCTAGCGATGCTGAATCAATTTGAATGTCTTTCGGCCAAGACCTTGACAAACGTGTGTATGCGAAGGCGAAAGGGTAATAGAGCTGCATCGAAATGGACCTGAGTGTCTAAAGTGGGGGTGTGGTGTGAGAACTGACTTGACTGGATCAAATTTTGTGGTTGAGACGATCTTTGGTCCCCCAAAGTTCGAAAGATCCCAAACATGAAGCTGATTGTTGTCATCTAAACGGAGTGGATATGGACATAATTTTTTGGATCAAAGAAAAAGGCCCACCAAGCGCGACGATATTGGATGTTACGACCGCGAAAGACAGGAAGCGCACTGCAAAGTCTTGGGGCAGAGTTATCTTACATTCCACACCCGCGCCGCCGTACAAGTAGATACTCCCGCTAGACGTACCTTGTGGGGTGGTGAATGGAAAGTCTGTCTAGCAAAGTTATTAACCCACCGACCGCCAAAAGGCCAGAAGTTGGTTCAATGGCGAATGAGGAGACATCAATCAGGAATTCGAAGGTTCTCAGTCGCCCGATCATCCAATCCCCTTCGTCGCGAAGCTCAGGGGACAGGTCCGGAATGAAACTAACATGTTCGTGTTGTTTCGAGAACATTGCCCTGAAGGAACGAGTGCGATAGATAATTATTACAGCCGTTTTCATAACGATAGGCCTAATCTCGACCAAATACACGTACAGGCGGAGTCTAAAATTGTACGTGTAAGTTGTCGGATGATGACTCTATTTAGTATAACTGTAGATCTATCGTGCTCGTCATCCCTGAAATATATGCTGATTTTCGTGGACATAGTTAGAATTTGAAGTCCGACTGTATCTGTAATTTTGAACTTTTGGCCTACACCGCCGTTTGGGCCCCAGGGTGATGGCAGAATGCCGAAATTCCTGATCGGCATCAAACCGCTCCCCTGTCAACTACACAATTGACAGCTGTTGGGCAGCCTGTCGGATCCCAGCTGTTGACGAGGAGTTTGATTTCTGGGCACCAGCCCTCGTCTAAATCTACTCACCAGCTTCACCCACTGAAATCATGATACCTACATATCTCACTGAAGTACCACATTTGTTTGAAGTGCATAGTAACTAGTAGCTCTTAATGCATTGACTTTATAATTTCTCATACCCCTTCGTAACAATAAAATACCTTACAGCAGAATTGTCCAGACGAACAGAGAGAGATACATGTGGGAAATATGTTCATACTCCGCAGCTTCAAAAAGGGCATAAACTGTCGTCAACAATCCATTGCCTCCCTTGTCACGCAACAACAACCTCGCAACAACTTCACCGCTCCATCATCGTTTCCGACCGCATCATGCCATCTCTGCCGTCTCCAGTTTCGCCAACGCCCAACACACACGCCAACACTCAACACATATGACTGACAAAGTGTGGATGGGGTCAAGCACTGCCAACAACACACTCGGACACGTTGACTGCCCACATTCCCCACACCAGCCACGCATGGGTCGACGCCAACTAGCTGCGACGTCAACACCACCCGACCAACTCCGGCATCATGTACGACGTTCCCTCGCCTGCCACGTGGAGCTCTCTTGCTTGGTAAGTTCTCACCGCTATGGGGGTTGCTGCCCTCGCCGTTTGTTTGTCCAAACCCTGCCAAAGTAAGTCACTAACGACAACCTATCCTGTCTGCCTGCTAATGTGGACATTCTCTCTTTAGACTTCTTCACCACTGGCCATCACCTCCACCACCAATCAACGAAGGGGGCATATGAGATCACAACGACTTGAGAGTATCACAATAGCAGGGAAGGGAGTTATGGGTGAGTAGTAGCATATAACTAGCCTCTTCAGTAGTACCAGTAATTTCATCGTGTTATTGAGTAACAATTACATATTGATTTTTCTACATTATGTGCTTGGATTGAGGAGGGAATTGAATGGGATATTGAGTTATTGAATACATGGTTGCCATACTGTGATATGTACCCTCTCTACATATTCACCCACAATGACAATAGCCAGAGCGGTCAGCTGGAAATTGGCTGGACCTGACAGGTTTGTGCCAGCTAGGCTGGCGGCAGAACCCTATTAGTTCGATTTTGAGCTGGTGGCCACAATCCGTCACACTGGTGACAATGTGGGAAAATGTTGAGGAGACGCCGCATGGCCCAGGTGGCTTCCACATCTGGCCCAAATAGTGGTGTATCATTATGAAAACGGCTGTAGTCTTACATAAATAATCCCAGATCTACATGCACGTGCAGAAATACTACTAGTAGTCGGTGGACTCCGAAGTCCAAGCCAAGTAAAGATAGTCCACGTAAAATGAGTCGTCCTAGTCATCTGCCAGGAATACAGGTAGATAAGTGGGTAATACTATTGATACACACTAGTTATGAAATACATTGAACACACCACCGTGACATCTCAGTCCAGTCATCGAAATTCCGGTAACTCAGGGGTTGACACGCCTCTGATCTTACCAAGCCAGCTCCGCTTGGTGGGCTTCGCTGCCTGAGTAGCGTTAGGCAATAAAAGGTCGCGAGGGTTGTTCGTTAAATCTGAGATAACGAGCGGAAAATGGGAAGTCGCTTTGTCGCTGCGCTTGGGCGAGGGTGCGGGTATTATTGGACGGTTAGGCTGGTGGCGCAAGGGTGTGAAGCCGGACTGGAATCTGCTTAACACTCTTCGTACCCGGGGCGATTTGTTCTCGATTCCAGCACCAGGGGTGCTATCCGCTGTGAAAGCCTGAGGCGGCAAGGTCTCACAGGATTCAAAATCGTCGGGAGCCCGGCGTTTTTTGCCAATCATGGTGGTGGACGCCAAAGGCTCAGCTGTGGGGATAAGAATCCTCTCAGGGGTGCGAGTTTTAAAGACCGGAGTTGGTGCTATTCTCCGCTCTGGTGTTTTTGGTCGAGGTAAGGAGGAGGGACCGGAAACCACGCGACTGGACAGCGTCGAGGCCGCCCTCGATGTGGGGTTTGGAATTTGAGGGGATGAAAGTGTTGTAGCGCGACGCGCAGGGGGGCGTGTAACTTCCGTCGACACCTGGGAAGGACCTGTAGATGGGCTTGGGGCGGTAGCTTTCAACGATGAAAGCTTGGTCTGGAGGTTTTGCACTTTGCGAGTCAAGGATTCAACTCTAGCATGCAGTTTCTTATTTTCTTTCAGCATTCTTATTGAAATAGAAGTTAGTTATGTGGGATCACCAGTGTGACGGAACCTACTCGAGCGAGCGATCGTCATTCTCCTCTATCTCCGCACATTTGCTCCTTAACAACTCTTCCATTTCATTGTTGTGATCCTCCAACTCTGCGACAACGTGTTCAAGGTTTGGTCGTGACTGCAACATCGTCAATTCTCGTTTTAGATCTGCCATTTCGCGCTTGTGCTGAGCGCTCTGGAGAGTATGATTGACCATCGCGGTGTTCCCTGATTTCTCAGTTCTCTCCAATTCGGATCGAGTACGTTCCAGGGTCCCACTGAGTGACTTCCGAGCTTGTTCACTGTCATTACTCGTGAGTACGTAGAATATACTATAATTTCACACACACACCTCTCCTTGACCTGATTTTCCAGAAATCGAGTCAATGAAAGCAGCCGCTGAATTTCTGCCTTCATTGTTGTTATCTGCTCCAGGAAGACTAGTTTCTCATCTTCCACAGACCTGCAATGCATCTCAGCTTGTGCAAGTTTCTCGTTGAGGATTTCGAGGTCCTCGTGAGCGCGCAAGAGCTCGGCGTCCGCCTTTTGCTGACGCTCAGTCACCACCAGCATTTGAGCTGAGTATTGCTCTCGGTCTAGGTTGGTTTTGTCTCTGTCGTCTCGTAGCTGTTGTGAGAGCTGTGCGGTCTGTTGAGTGGACTTCTCGAGCTGGTATGTAGCTTCCTCGAGCTGTTCTTGCAGTTGCGCTTTCTGGGCCTCCAGCTGCGTTAAAGTCAAGGAGAGCCGATCTTGAGCCTGTACGGCGGCGGCGATATTCTCTTGTTGGACGAGAGTAAGCTGGGCACAAACTCGTTCGTTTTCCAACTGGAGCTTAAGCTGGATTTCCTGTAAGTCAGTAGCTTTCCGCGCCATCTGCTCCAATTCAATTCGTAATGATGAGCATATCTCTTCATAATGCTCTTTGAATCCCTCTTCTCTCTCAGGAATGGCGAGCGGCTTGTCCTGCGTGGCCTCAATTTGTGTCTCGTGTTGCGATCGTCCGTTCGTTGCCTCTAGAATCGCCTTTTGATCATTGCTCCCAGACGAGCGTTTTATAGATCGTAGCTCAGTCAATGCCATATTGGCATCGGCGAGGCGTGATTGCAGCGCTACAATTTCGTTGGCTTGTTGCTGGGAGCTCGAATCTCCATTATTGTTTGGAGACTCTCCTTCTTGCATGCGCTTCTGGACATCCTCGTGATGATTATGAAGATCACTCAACGCCGCCTGATGGCCCTTTTCTTGCGTAGAAATGATGGTTTGGAGCCGACATATCTCAGCCTCGAGCTCAGATGACCTGACGGCGAACTCCGACGCAAACCTAGACGAGTCCTGGATGGCAAGGTTAAGGTCAGACGATAAAGATGACACGGCGCCGTCTTTTATTCGTAGTTGGTCTTCCAGATTCGTGGCCCACATATTTAGCTGGGCATTTTCATGTCGAATTTGTTCAATATAGTCTGCAACTCCGCCTTGCTCTACTTGAGAGACGGCCAGGGCGATCGTCAGTTGCCTCTGATCATCTTCGAAGTCCCTATCTCTTGTTTCAGCGCGCAGGATGGTCTGCCTAGCCTTGCTGACAGTTTCGAAAACTACTCCAATCAAAAGCCGGACGGAGTCTTCTTCTTCCTGTAACCTGACCTCCATATTTTCCATCTCCTCTTCCAAAGCTTCACCTTGGGAAAGGGCTCGATCTCGAGCTTCTCGAGCGTCTGCGCAGTCCTCCACCATTGCATCCTTCTGTGCCGCGAGCATTTCCAATTCCATGGTCATCTCAGCTAAACGTTCTTCTTGAAGGCGAAGGTTGGTTTCAAGTCGTCGGATATCGTGTTGATGGACGCCAATTTGCTCTGTCCTTCTCATCACCCGCATTTCCAGCTCTTCAATCTGGTCACGCAGGGCACGATTGGCTTCATTAGACGTCATGGTAGATAATTGGTGGAATTGAAGGGAACTATAGCGACTTTCGGCATTAGCTAATTCTTGCTGGGCGGTGGCGAGGTCCGTCATTAAATTCGTTACTTGTAGTGTGAGTGAATCTCTCTCCGATTCGACATCCTCGAGTTGCTGCGTGAAGTCTGTCAGCTGGCAGACAACCTCTTCAAGTTTGTCACTACGTTCTTGCTGAGCAAGCTCGACAGCCCCAAACTCTTCTTTCCACGCGCGATCCTTCGTCTCTAATTCGGCCTGGAGATCATCGCGTTGTCTAGTCATAGCCTCCAGGCATAGGACTACGGCATGAAACTTGTTTTCCAGCTCCTTGAATCGTGTTTTGCCTTCAAAACATGCTTCACCAGCATGTATAAGTCCCTGCTCTGAGTTTGTGGCAACGGTCCGGGCTTCGTCAAGCCTGCCTTGGAGATGATCATTGCAGGAAGATAGATGTGCAACGATCAATAAGGATGATGTCGCAGCCAACGCGAGTCGCTTCATCTCCTCATTCTTGCGGCCAAGGGCAGCAAATTGACGTTGGTTCATCTCCGAAAGCTGAGCGTATAAGTCATCCATCTCAGCTTTCATTTGTGCAATGGTTGTGACAGATTCGTCGCAGACCGAAGAAACTGACGCCGACAATTTGGCTTCCAGGGCTTCAATAGTAAACCTGGATTCAGATTCCAAAAATTGTATATCTCGCCGTAAGTTATCTCTCTCTCCCCGTAACCGGTCAACCGCACACAGAAGCCGCTCAACGTAGATGACTGTGGCTTCGTCATAATTGGGCTGAGGCACAAGTGCGGATTGGTCCGCAGAAGGATTTGATAGACTTGTTTCAAGGAAAGGGGAACTATGGATGCCAGAAGTACCATCGTTTGTGTCGTAGGACGGGATAGCCCTGCGGGGGGGATTGAAGACGCATCCTGCTTCTATAGAGAAAACCTCTTACTGATCTTTCCAGTCATTATTGTCAGATCCGCTTAGGAGCTGCTCAACTCGCGAAAGTTTGCGGCGCACATCATCGAGGTCGTTAAGCGCGTCCTCTTTTTCTTGAATCAAAGTAATTTCTCGTTCGAGGCTCTCCTCCACTTTGTGTCGCTCCTTCTTAAGTTGTAATTCGGTGTCGCGCAATAATTCTTTCAGTGGCATAAAATCTTGCACACCCCTCAGCATTGCTTCAAGTGCAGTTATCTTGGCGTCGTCCTCGTCTATCCTCTTCAATAATTCTTCCTCTCTGCCGCCGTCCCCCTGCTGTTCCCTCAAGAGTGCTAGCTCTTCCTCTTTCTCCTCCAAAGAACCCTGAAGCTGTTTGAGCTGCACACTCATGTTTTTTTCCATTGCCCTCTTTTCATTGTCGACTCTCATGAGCTCATTCTGCACTTGAGAAAGCTTCTGGTTGGCACAGAGGAGCTCTGACTCTTTCTGAGAGAAAGAAATTCGAGCATCGCGTAGGTCTTGCTCGAGCGATGTGATTCGGAAGTTGGAAAGAGATGATGATCGGGGGCGTGAAATAAGCTGTCGTGGAGTTACCGGAGGGATATCAAGTTGACGGATGTTGGCTTCGAGCTCTCGAACTCGCATTTCCAGGCTTTTTTTCTCTCGACCCAGGTTGGCGCATCGAGCCTGATGCTCGTCTGACGTATAAGATAGAGATTCCAAAGTGGCTTGGAGTTCCCTCATTTCTAGATCTTTGGCCTTGACCTTCCCATCGGCGACGACAAGAGCCGCCTGAGTGTTCTGCACCGCAATCTTCTCTTCACGGAGGTCTTCAGACCGTTGGTTGAGTTCGTTCTCGAGTTGCAACGCCCGCTGTGTCTCAAAATTCAACTGGGGTTCAACCCGTCAGCCAGTCTACTCACAGAGACGAAGAGGCACGAACTTTGTGTAAAGCTTCATTTAAAGAAAGCTTCAACTCTTCAAATTCAAGGGCTTGTTTGTAAAGTTGCGTTTCCTGAGCGGCTATCTGGCTATCTGGTGGTGCATGAGCAAAAGAAAGATTGACGGTTATGAGCTACCTACCTTTGCTGGATAGCTTGTCCTTGAAGGCTTGAGTTTCTTCCGTAACATCGGCGCTTCCTAGTGCCCATATTGACATGGTCCAAATTGACCAGCCTTAGGATTAAACGTGGGGAATGTTAAATTGGTTGGAAAGCAATTGGAAACAGTCAACAGTCACGTCACGATGCGCGTAGATGCACGTGATCGCGTTTATTGAAAACTTTACCGTTATTGACCTCGACCACAATCGCGACAACTTTCCAACTGCTTTCTGTAATCCTAGTACTTTGCGTCTTCCTCTGGTCGCATCCAAATGTCTTCGAATATGACTGTTTGATGCCAAGATGGTGGCAGTTTTCGAAGGCTGTTGTCGATGGAAAGACCCATCGACAACAAACTTGAACCAAGAATCGCTTTCGCAAAGTACAATTGACGTCACTGGAGCTGACACATCGGCCCGCATTTACACTTGGATGCTGGAATTCGAGTTCTGAGTGGGGTTTCAATTTTATATATGAAACCCCAAAAATGAGACTCCGTCTTTAATAAAGCCACCACCACTACCACCACCACCACCACCACCACCACTACTACTGCCGTCAACATGAACGACACGATAACGTCTTCATCTGCCTCTAGTGCTCCATCCAGGGTGACTCTGCATCTTGGTCATCTCCCTAGCAAGAAAGATATCAAGGCGCCTTGGCCCAGAACACCTACAAGGGTGCATATATGCGCTTTTAAAAAAATTTCACTCCCGTTCTAATGGTCGTTAGGTTGACCCCAACAATCCGCCTTGGCCAGCGTACCGCGGATATCATGAGTATTCTTTCGCTCATGCCACTATGCAGTCGAGGTTGCCCACTATCCTTGGGAAGGCCATTGAGGACGCGACTAGAACCCTCAACAATCAGTCTCCGGAAGAGGAAGTCATAGATCTCGTCCAATGTATCGAGCGCATGGGCGAACTCATGACTGACTTGAGTGGAAACGCCAAGTTGCGCCCAATCGTCGACGACAACGAGGCTGATGTTGCCCTTTGGAACAAAGAAATCGCCAAATACTTTCAAGGTACTCTTCATACTACTTGGCGTTAAGCAAGGCGTTGAAGCTGTGACCGAAATTAGGTAAAGATTTCATGAACGCGCCTTGGCTTTTTGCAGAGGCATACAAATATCGTCGGCTCCACGAGTGCTTCAGCGTTAGCAAGTTCTGGCGGAACTACGATGTCTTCTACAGACAAAAAGTATGTACAATTTCAGGGTCTCGGCTTTTTAACTTGAACATCGTTTACATTCAGAACGACACCTTTTCTCGCTCTTCCGATGCTGTCTTTGAGTTATCTATGCGGTTTGCCGAACCCTTCAAAATCGCAGAAGAACTATCTCGAGCCGAGAAGCTTGAAGCAGAACGACTCATGTTCCTTGAGCTCACCCAAGGTTGCCACTCAATACACCTTTCATGAAGTCTTCTTGACCTTTACCGTTCAGTTTGCCTTTGGGGTAATTCTACGGACCTCTCCCTTTTAATAAACATGACAGAAGACCAAATCAAGTCCCTTCAATCCACTGGTGGCGACCATCTTGCAGCCACTGAGAAGAATATTCTTGGGAACGATTTGACTAGGCTTTGGGAAACCGTCAAAGAGCTCCGCGAAAAAACCGGTGGAAGAATTGACTTCGTTCTCGACAATGCAGGCTTTGAGTTGTACTGTGACTGCGTCTATGGTATTTGTATTTTTTTTCGCCGTTATTATCTGCTTCAATTGGTATCACAGCGGATTTCCTATTGCAAAGCGGCCTTGCGACGCAAATTCGTTTCCACGGCAAGCGTTTTCCTTGGTTTGTGTCAGATGTAACCAAAAAGGACTGGGAATGGCTTCTTAACACGCTGGTGTATGGTCAATTGTTCCCTAATGCGACCGATGTAGAACTGGAGTCTCTCCGAAGACTCGGAAGGCGTTGGAAGGTATGCTTTCTCGGCCCCTCTCAATCCCACTTAAATAATCTGTTTTGTAGCAATACGAGAAAGAGGGGAAATGGGTATACGAGCAGCACCCGTTTTGGTGCACTGGATACACTTTTTGGGACCTCCATTCCGAAGCACCCGATTTGTTCCTTCATCTTTCTCGATCAGATCTGGTCATCTTCAAGGGGGACCTCAACCACCGCAAGTTAACATACGATTGTGCCGCACCGGCGAGCACCCCATTTGAGGTAGCCATCGGCCCAATGGCCAGTGCAGCAGGTGCTCCGAAGGTCGCAACTCTTCGCACGATCAAGAGCGATGTCGTTGTTGGCCTCGGTCCAGATGGAGATCGTATCGCAGAGAACCTCGACCAAACTGAAGCTGGCTGGAAGATCAGCGGCAAATATGTGAGCATTCCGTGACAAATGGTCACCCATGGTCTCAATCACCTTCCCTAATAGGCCGTGGTTCTTCTCTCTGAGGGCCGTCCGGGAGAGAAGGTTCGATTTGCTTAGTTCGTCACGTCTTCGGTCCGGCTTTCTAGGTTCTTTTTATCACTTGTTTTCGGAATCACGATGAGATTTGTCTAGCACTGCAGTTCGATTAGCACATGGCCACACGGTCAAACCTAGAGCAGGTCTGAATAGAGTACACGTAGATCATAAATGTTTTTGATAATTCCAGTGGGAACAACGAGCAAACTTCAGAAGAGAATCGACTAGGAAAGTTCAAGAAAGCTTGGAAGATAATCCATACGTCCTTGAAAGTCCTTGCGTTCTAGAGTTCTTGCCTTTCAATAATGTCAATGATTTCTTTTCTCAGATTTGTTGTACCTTTGTCTCTTTCTTCCGAATAGACAACCCATCATGTTTGCTGTAACTCTAGGAGAAATCTACCAACCCGTCGTCATGGAGCAAAAATCAAACTAATCATGATATAGTTATATGGCAATGGCTCGCGAATCAATCAAGATCATCCTCCCAACGACCTGGTATATTACTCCCTCCCGAATTGTTGTTGCGCGAATTCGGAGATCTTGAAGCGGGATTTGAGTCACCCCGGCTGTGTCGGGATGAGCTGTTGGCCCCATTACCCTGGCCCGTCATCCCACCAAAGATGCCTCGAAATAGTCCAGCTTGGTCCGGTGCCCTGTTAGACCGCGGTGGCGTCGTAGGGCTCGACGGACTCGAACGCGTTTGTGTGGGTCTTGAGCCCTCCGGGGGTTGATGACTCTCTGGTTGAGGTACAAGAGCGTGCCTGAACGTGTCTGTCACTTAGCGCCACCTAGAGTTTCAAAAAGAGGATGCCTACCGGCAGACAGGACATGTACCACTCGACTTGAGCCAAGGAATGATGCAGGGTTCGTGAAAAGGGTGTTTGCATGGAAGAGTCACGACTACTTGTTCGTCGGGGTCATCTGTATGGAGCTTGAACTGATCCTTGCAAACGGCGCAGTCGTTTTGTAACGTTGCAGCTGGAGAATCACAGATGTAATGAGAATATCAACGAGAGTGAGCGGAATCTACGTACACCCCACCATCAACACTTCTCTAGGTAGATTATCGATTATTTCATCTGTCGCTGGAACCGGGCGGTGGGCGTTCGAACCCTCCATAATCTGAGTAATGATCTGATCCAGGGCTTTTGAAAAAAATATTCAAGGGATCAATGTAGACACCTTCGAGTATTTACCTTCTTGGTTGAATACATAATCACCCATTCTGCCGTTTTCCGGTATTCCGCCGGGCGATTGTCCACCAAAAAAGGACGCCAACGGGTCATGCTGACCGAGGAGGGCCGCAAGATATTGCGCTATTAAAGGTCCAGTTATTCTCGCGCCCCCTTCGCCTTGAGGGTTCGGCCCAAGGAACCTAGGAGATGGGTTAAAAAGAATTTTGTCAAACGAAGTAAACGCCGTTACTCGGACATGGTAGGCACAGAAGCTGGATTGGGTCCAGAATGGTCACCTAGCGTGTTGATCCCGCCGAGTGTTACTGTTCGTGAACCGTTCGGCCCGCTGATTTGAAAACTCATTCTGTTGTTCTGGTAAGATGTGTCAAGAGGAGCAAACGGGAATTTAGAAACACATTTACGGAACGTGAAAGTGAAGTAGAGTTTTGTGTCCGGGTTTGCGACGGTCGTGCCATACCTCTATCCATGAGACTTTGAAGTGTGACTGAATTGAGAACTCTAAGGAGCACCACTCTTTGTGAAAACGAGAAGCTCACAAAGAATAGTGTCCATGTCGGGAGGTGGTCCATCAAGGTCACCGTAATCGGTGTGAGTAAATTCGCGAGGATCGTCTCTTGGATTCTCCATCTAAAGGACGATAGGTACGAGGACTTGAACAGATGCAAAGGCAAAATCACCCTCTCGACGAAACTGCCATGGCACGATGCACAAACAGGATCAGGAACCTGAATAAGAACTCGATTTCATCGTGTAATTACAAATGCGCCAGTAGGAACAAACCATGAGTGGTCTCATCTCTGAATGGCACTGTAATTCAGGTCAGTTAATGACAAGGGCGAAGTAAAGGAATAGTGCCTCATGACAAAACCACAGAGGTTCGCGAGACGACATTCCGATTAGAAGTGTAGATCGGGAGGAGGGTGTTGAGAGAACTCGGTGGAGAGATAACAAGAGGTGACAACAGGGCTAATTGGGTGACAACATTACAAGGACATGTCGTAACCAACCGTGACGTCACGTTTCCAGTGCATTCCAGTGTTCCCCAGACACATATTGGCTTCATACTATCAGCTAAATGGACTGCTGGTGACATGCGTGCGTACGCATTAGAAGAGATCAAGTACAAGTTGCTGTCACAGTACAACGTGCATAAATACAACATTTTCTCAAAGCATCTAGGTCAGGTCAGAGTGGACTTTGTTCAGACTGTGCTTAGCACACCGTTGGTCCAGCGATAGCCTGCAGTAAGCAGCATGTAAGTACGCCACCCTGCAAGTTGGCAACACTGTGCCGCCTGGCGTCGTGAGAAAACATGCGTTGGTGACTGTTGGTCTTGACGCGTTGACGGCCATGGGCGTCTTGAACCTCGTAAGTCTCCTGTGCACATATGGGTTGAGTGGTGCTAACTACATTTTTTTCGACAAGATACTTATTACCGTAGACCAAGCCAATCTGTGGGAATCGGTTAAAACGTTTCTGCCTGCAACCTTCGTTCTGGTTCACATCTTCTGCACTCTCGTCGGGCAACCTAAATGCCTCAGAACGCGATTGCGCTACCTTTCCGCGCCATTCCGGAGTTTTCTAACCTTGGAAGACCTACTAGATCCTGTAGACGACCAACCTCATCCTACGGCCCTTCAGTCTCGTGTGTTGACCGCATTGGCGACTGTTTCTGCTGCCGGCTGGTTGGCTCGTCTGGTTTTTACAATCTGGATTGGGGAGACACAATATGCTATGAGATGCCTGGTCTGTACCATTTCATGGGTACGAAGTTCTGCTTTTCTTTTCAAACCCGCCCAATTCAATCTCATTGGGTAGGCATGCGTTACCATCGCAATTGCCATAAGACCCCCGCGAACTCCCCCTTACCTCTTAATGGCCTTCGCATCCTCCTTATTGATAGCGTCATTGGTCGACATTGTCTACAGCATTCTCATGCACAAGCAAGCCGCAGTAGATTTCATCGCAATGATATTCCCCACAACGTTCGTGTGGGTTGCAGGAACTTTGCCTTTGAAGACATACCGACCCACACTCAACGTTGCACAACCAAAAGATGTGATTTTCAGCTCCCTTGCGTCATATTACCGCTGACGCCCAGCATCGCAGATGCCTTCCTCCGATTTGTCATGTCCAGAGGACGATGTAAATTTATGGTCGTGGAGCGGATTTACGTTCCTCAACCCTATCCTCCTTCTTGCCTCTCAAAGGACCTTGAACGAAACAGATGTTTGGACTTTGTCTCCATTTTTTCGTCATAAAAATCTATTCACAAAGTGCCTCCATTATCGAGCGCTGTGAGACGCATTCGGTCTATACTACGCACGTTCTGAAGCGAATTTTAGGAACCCTACACACTCTTTGTTACGTTTTCTTGTAGCATCAAATTCCCTCGACCTCATTCTTGACATCTCGCTTGAAATGTGGAGTGCCGTTGTTGGTTAGTAACATTTTCCCACCTGGAGTGTTTATATGCTTAGACTTGTTTAGGCTTCGTTCCCCCATATGCTTTAAAAGAAATCCTGTCTGCACTCGCTGCCGATACCCCCGAAGGAAAACGCGTTGCATTTTACTGGACTCTGTTGACATTTATTGTCGACCTGTCATTTGCCCAGGTAGATCTTTTCCAAGGCTGGCATGCGCGACGATGTTACGAACGGACCAGAGGTCAACTCTTCTGTACGCTTCACTACAAGGCTCTCAAACGGCAAGAAATAAGTGGTAGAATCGACCACGAGAAGGGCAAGGAATCCAATGCCGACCTCGGAAAAATCGTGAATCTAATGCAGTCAGTAAATTTTGGCTTCCGATTGACAGGCCTATAGATAATAAAATCGATGGTTTTTCGTAAGAGGTGATTCGTACATGGTAGCCCAGCGCTTTTGGGATTTCTCAGCAATCGCCACATCTCCTGTGCGCATCATCATCGCGCTTGTATTCTTATATCAGTAGGGGTGTTCTCTTTTGACTGAATGATACGCCACTAATCTTCTATCAGGATCCTTGGTTGGAGCGCGCTTTCTGGAGTAATAGTGGTTGTAATTGCGTATGTGCTCAACTATCCTCTGGCAAAGTATAACATTTTTGTGAGTGGGTAGTCTTTTTGGTCACTATAGCTACTTGATTCATTTTTTAAGATCACAAGGTCTGCATGGAAAGCGAAAGATACCCGAATGAGCCTCGTAAATGAGTTGTTGCAAAATATTCGGTTTTTGAAGTTTTATGGCTGGGGTAATGCACTTTCTTCTTTTGTCAACTGTCGAAGCTTATTCGAGCAGAATATCAATGGGCTCGAAATGTTCAGGATGCCAGAGAAACTGAGCTCCGGTGGCGCATCAAGGAAAACGTTGTCGATACTTTGATTTCTTTTATATGGTAGCTTGCTTGCTTTTCTTTCTCCTGATAACTGCTCACGTATGCTCAGGATATGGATGCCATCTGCAACCGCCCTAACATCTTTCCTTTGTTATACCCTGATCGCTAGAGAAAAACTTACAGTATCTAAAGCTTTCACGTCTATTGCATTGTTTTCCCAACTTCAAGAACCCATGGTCGCGCTTCCTGGACAAATTTTTGCGATTCTAAATGGTAATTCGTCACTGAACTGCGCGACCCACCTCTTATCCCGATTGTTTCAGCTTATGTTTCCATGCAACGTATCGAAGAGTTTCTGGGAGAAGATGAAGTTCCCAAATGGGCTTCAACATTGACTGCAACACCGACAGAACAGGGATTCAAAGAAGTCAAGTTTTGTGACGCTACGTTCGAATGGCAGAAGCGCAAACACCCTTCCGCGACCCCATCACGTTTTCAGCTTGGGCCTTTGAATCTTACCTTCCCTCAAGGAAGCTTGAGCCTCGTAATCGGAGCCACTGGATCGGGAAAAAGTGCACTTTTGGCGGCCCTCCTAGGCGGTGAGCGAAAACCATGGATCATGGTTTTCCTTAATTAAGTGTTATTGGGAAGAAATGCACTGCAAGTCAGGACAGGTTTCATTAGACAAAACTCTTCATCAGGTTGCCTTCTGCGCCCAGGTCCCCTGTGCGTGTGTTGCGCTTATCTTACACGCTAAACATTATTCAGACTTCAACCTCAGGGCTAGAACATGCCACCATTCGAGATAATATAATATTCGGCTCACCTTTTGTATTGGACCGATATGATGCAGTTTTGGATGCCTGCGCCCTTCGACCAGACCTAGCAGTTTTCGATGCTGGGGACTTGACTGGTAAGGCCTTCCTGTTTGGAAGCACCCACAGAACCAATTACATTTTCAGAAATTGGAGAAAAGGGGATCACGTTGTCTGGTGGCCAAAGAGCCCGGATTGCTCTTGCAAGAGCAATGTATTCACAAGCAAAGGTCGGCATCTCGCCCATGTACCACCCAAGAATCTAATGGATACGGCATAGTGCGTTCTTCTCGACGACCCGTGAGTAAAGCAAAAACGTCCTGTCATCACACGTAATTATGGTCTGTCAGGTTAGCTTCGGTGGACATGCACACTGCTCAGCACCTTGTTGAACATTGCCTCAATGGCAATCTTGTTCGTGGCCGAACTATCATTCTTGTTACGCACCACATTGCCCTTTGTTTGCCAACAGCGTCGTACCTTGTCGAAATTGAGCAAGGAAGAGTTATCCGCCAAGGGTCTATCCAAGAGTTGAAGGATCAAGGAATTTTCAGCGCTGTCGCTCAAATCCAGGAGAACAGTCCGTCTCTGGAACACAGCGATCCCCGTCCTAAGCAGAATGAAGCCGATGTATTAGGGATGGACGATAAATCTAAACTGTGCCGTCAGCCAACCGACGGTAAACTTATCGAGGCGGAAGCTCGCGCAGAAGGTCGTGTCTCTGCCCACACCTATATGACATACATTCGAGCAGCCGGGTTGTTGCCTTGGCTTATTACGATCTCCCTTCTTCTGCTTATTCGGTTTATCAACATCGGGAATCAAGTTTGTTATATTTTTCGCCTTTGTTTCATTATGAAATGACGTGGTTCTCCAGTTTTTTCTAGCAAAGTGGGGAGAGGCTTATCAGAATGGTTTACCTGCCTTGACGGTCACCGCATTCTCTGGCTATCCTTGGACGGGCCTACCCTCGCCCGACGTTGATGTCAAACCTTGGCTGCGAATTTATCTATATATCTCTACAGCTGGTGCCTTCTCGGTATTCTTCTACATTGCTGTGGGATACTATGCCAGTTTACAGGCTTCTCGGTCATTGTTTGTTTCTCTTCTCCGAAGACTGACGAGAGCACCCAGCCGTTTCTTCGATGTGACACCCATCGGAAGAATTCTAAATCGCTTTACTACGGATATCAATTGTATTGATGGTGCTCTCCAAAATTCTGCTCGAAATTGTCTCTCTGGCATTCTGAACTTTGTTGCGTCCTTCTTGGTCATATTATACGTTGTGCCTTCCTTCGCGCCTTTTGCACTCTTTATTGGCTGGTTATACGTCAGACTGGCTCCACCGTATATCAACGCTTCGAGAGACCTCCGAAGACTCGAATCGATCTCGTTGTCTCCGGCATTCGCTGGCTTTGATGAACTGCTACGAGGGATTACACATATCCGAGCCTTTGGAATGGAGGACCGATATCAAAACCGCTTTTATTTGAGGGTACGTGGTGAAAAGATGAGCCATGGATTGCGGCTAATGAACTGATTCAAGGTCGATAAGTTTCAATGTTATGATCATATTTACGTATGTCCTATCAAAGCAATGCTCTCTCTCGGTTTTTCATGTTCAATATACAGTGGCTTGTCAATGGGTGGTTGAGATGGAGATATGACTGTGAGAGATCTTTTGAACCTTAGGGCACTTGCTAAGGAGACCGTATTTAGGTTTGGGCTCGGTCGTTGTATTTGCCGCAACTATGTTTGCATTATGGCGAGGCGTCTCGAACGGCTCAGCAGCAATCGTCATAGTTCAAGCGGGTATCTTTGCCGAAGCCAGTCGACAGCTTGTCAGGTTGGCGAATTGTCGATTTTCACATTTATCCTTCCTGAGTTCGAGATTAAAAACAGGGTCGCTGCTCAGTTAGAACTAGATTTCAACAGCGTCGAGCGGGTTACGGAGTACCTCAACATTCCACAGGAAGCCCCCGCAATTATCGAGAAATGTAGGCCACCTGCATATTGGCCTTCAAGTAATGGACAGCTGGTGGTGGAAGATTTGGTTGTGAAATATGCGCCTCATCTTCCACCGGTTCTACGAAACTTGACGTTCACCGTGGAAGCTAGGGAGAAAATTGGTGTGGTATGTTGACCGGCTGATTCTTTTCCTGATGAAGTTAACATGACGTCAAGGTGGGAAGGACAGGTTCTGGTAAGTCAATTGTGCAAATTACCTACAATCTATCTCAAAAAGTTCCAGGGAAATCAACTCTAGCAATGTCCCTCCTCCGCATGGTTGAGCCCACTGCTGGCACGATATCGTGAGTACCTTGCCGTCATAATTACGAACCGTGTTCCAATTCTGCTTCAGTATAGATGGAATTGATATATCAACCCTGGGCCTTGAAGATCTCCGAACTCGAGTGGTACGTATGGGATGTATTGCTGCACGACACCATCTGGAGACATATTCCTTTGCAGACAATTCTCAGCCAGGACGTCTCCTTATTTTCTGGGACGATCCAAAGCAATCTCGATCCACTTGGGCATTGCACTCCAGAGGAATGTATGGTCGTCCTTGAGCGGTGTCATTTGACGAATATCCTGAACCACACACCCACCGCCGATGAGCCCACGATTTTGGACATGAGGGTGAACCATGGATCTTTGAGCGCAGGAGAAAAGCAACTGCTTGCTGTAGCTCGTGCGACGCTGAGAAGAACCAACATCATCATTTTGGATGAAGCGACATCTCAAGTAGACTCGCTTCTCGACGACCAGGTCCGTATACGCCTTACAAATTTTACGAGACTACGTTTATGGATGGAATGTATAGATCCAAAAGACGATTCGAGAAGAACTATCTGATGCGATTGTTATAACCATCGCACATCGATTGAAGACTGTCATGGATTACGACCGCATCTTGGTTTTGGATGACGGAAATATTGTAGAATTCGGAGATCCTCGCTCGTTGCTGAGAGTTCCGAGCGGTGCATTTAGAGAGATGTGTAGGAAAAGCGCGGACTGGCTGATGTTTGAAAAGTTGATAGAGCCATAGTAGCACGTGACAGGATATAGGACCTCTTGATCTCTATTACTTTTTACCATTCTCTTTCTATCATCTATGTGGCTTCATGTCGTGGTTGTCAATCTGCTTCTACCCTTCTTCGCGCTGGCGCACCCAATCGAATGGCAACCATCGCATATCCCTGATGGTCGGGACTTTTTTGGCCTTATTGAAAGCGACGACCTCCCCACCACGACGGCGACGGTAGAAACTTGGAATCCCGCGACATCCTTGACATCCTTCAGCTTGAACCTTCCATCCTTATCTTCGACAAGCTTATCCAAGGTCGTGGAGACTGGCTCTAGCGTGACAACCCCCTCGTCCACATTCTCTTCAACGGCGTCGGGCGATTCGCAGACTACAGCGGCAAACAGCTGGACAAGTACTAGCGCCATTCTTCCAACAGTCTCGGTCGATTATATCACACCAGAAGAATCAACAACACCTCCTAGTGCGGCGGGGGGATGGAAAGTCATTGGAATCAGCATTATTGCAGTCACGTTTGTCGCCACGGTCATTCTTGCAATCGCCTTTTTCGACTCGTGGTGGGGCTTTCTTCGAGATGTGGTCTGTGGCAAGAGATACAGCGATGGCGAAGAAAATTTGATTCCTGATTGGGAAAAAAGCAGCTGGGAGTACAAAATTGCGAGTGAGGATGGACATAGGTATCCGACAATGACAACCCTCGATGACATTGTTACGCAAGGCAGAGAGCATTCAGAGAAGATTCGACCTCGGAGCGAAGCTATGTTTTTGACATTTTGATTGTCCAAGCCTAATCCACACTGTACCACAACCTAGACATTATTATTCTCTGTATTACGAGACAGCCTAAAACTCACGATATTTACGACTGGGCAGGAGTCGTAGGAGGGACAACCTTTTCCATATAGTCTGAGATGATCAAACCAGTTGCGCCCATGACACAAACGCCGAACGAAAGGAAGAGCCTTGTTCTTGCAGGGAGTCCTGCAAAGGAATTAAAAGAAGATAACGGGTAATGCAATGCGCATACCTGTCCACGACTGGAGAATTGTCCGGTTCTGCGGCTCGACCATTTGCAACGAGAAGGTCAATGTGTTAATACGTCACGTGTCTTCTCGACTTGCTTGAATGTTTACCGGACTGGTACGCACATCGAAAGGGACGTTGAGCTCATTGCTGACGTTTTGACTCAAGATCGAACACCTTGGGACGGTCTCTTCCATCGTCGTTGACTCGGCGGGATGCACACTCACCATCTCCAACTCTGCGGAGATTCTCGGAGATTGCCATATCGGGGACTCTATCGCGGTCAATGGAGCCTGCCTCACCGTCACCGAGTTCGATAAGGAAGAGCTTGGTGGATGGTTCAAGGTGTGGCTGGCTAATGAGACGTTGGATAGGACGGATCTAGGCTCGTCCCTTTCTGGCATTTGGGTGTGGGATGTTGGTTGACGTCTCTTAGGTGAAAGGGTGGTCGGTGATCAACTAAATTTGGAGCGAGCAATGGCGGCTCATGCTCGATTTGGAGGGCATTTCGTACAGGTGAGATGAGGTATTATTATATATTACAGACGACCGATGACCTCGTGAAGGCTCATGTGGATACTACTGCGACTGTGGTTGAACGGGTCGCCGATGGCGATTCGCTCCGGTTGACGTTTGAGCTGCCGGCTCCGACAGAAGCCAGACCATCTCTTCTGCCTTATATGATCCCAAAGGGGTACATTACGATCGACGGGGCATCGCTTACGTTGACGGGGGTTGATGATGAGCAGAGGCGGTTCAGTGTTATGTTGATCCAACATACGCAGAAGAAGATCAGCCTGAGCAGGAAAGAAGTCGGAGAAAAGGTGAATATTGAAGTGGACATGGTTGGCAAATATGTGCAAAAGAGTGTTGTCGCTGCACTCGGTAAATAAATCAAATTGAATTCATTTTGCGACGTTCATGTTGCGTTCATGGCGACCAAGAGGAAAGTTTTACCTTCGTCTGCCAGTACTCCTCCTCCTCCTCGTTTAAAGCCTACTGCAATTCGAACTCCTATTTCGCGTCCTGCTTCTCCTTCAAAGTTACCCACAAAAGTTCGCAACGAAACGCTCTCGCCCACCTTCAAACCCCGTGTTCAATCTACCGTCAAATCAACACCAATTCGTTCACAGACTCCGAATTCTGCCCCAAATACACCAGAGCTTCGCAATCGGTCTCTGACTACCACCTCTGAATCCGCTGCTCGCTACAACGATGCAAGAACTCGCCAAGGAAGTGTCTCTTTACACCATGCCGTCTCCTTCTCGTCTCTACAAATTTCCACCCCGTCCTCCGTCTCCGAGTCTCCCCGCTTTTTTCCTTTTGACCAGTCAACGGCTTCTGACAAGGAGAATCCAATCTCTCCGACAATTCGTATCCGTTCCAAAGTCACCGGAATTGCCAAGAGTGTCAGCAGCGACTATACTTCTAACGGTTCATCTACGCGTACTCCAAAGTCTCATTCACGTACACCCTCCGTTACCTCAAACACATCCCCATCCTCCCCTCCAATCCCTCAATTCTATCCCATCACCACAGCTACGCCGGCCGCTAACCCCCACCGTTTTGCAACAGTGCGAACAAGCCCCCCGACCTCTCATCCACCTTACCTACCCTTCCTTCGCCCAAACGGCGACCAGTTTATAAACAATGCAAAAATAAACGGCGCGAAAGTAGACCCTACTTCAATACCTTTGCCTCCCCATTCACCCCCCACTTCTGCATTGTCCTTCTCTTCAAAGTCTTCGGTGTCACAGTCTTCCGCATCATATGGGGGAGATTCTGCTGTAAGCAGTAGTTCTACGCATCAGGAACTCGGAAGCCAACAACAGCTTCGCGCGACGCTGGATACTCTCGTCCACTACACCTCAATTAATTCACCCGATGACAATTGGTCAGGCGACAGTGGCCAAGACAGAGATACAGACGCTGGGGAGGACACTGCGGAGCGTAAAGTCAAGGCTGAAGCAAAATCTATCCGCAAGGTAAATTTCTGATCACATCCTAAACAATACAACCCACGCCTATCATCTCCCCCCAAGATCGCTGATTTAGAGATTACAAACCGTTCGCTGCTCAGTATAAACGCGTCACTTGAGGCAACGAAACATCGCCAGGCAAAGGAAATTCGAGAATTACGTCGCAAACTCCGAGAATCACGGCTTATCCTCCCTCCTCGTGCGTACAGAGCAGTCAAGTCCTCTCTCGAACCCAACGAGGTGGCGGATGATGAAGATGACGGAGAAGATGATGAGGAGGACGACGGAGACGCAGTTGAAGATGGAGACGAAATATATAAGCGGATAAAAGCCGTCCTCGAGGGGTTGTTGGCGAACGGCAAACGAGCTCTGGAAAGATCAACAACCGAAGGTGGCGCAAAGGTCCTAAGCGCCGAGGAAGTCCGCACATGGCAAGGTTCCAGTGGCGATATATCAGACCATGAAACCCGCTCTTCTCGTGATGATGACAACATCGGAACGCCTTTACCTCGACCTCCGTCAAACGAGTTAGGCTCTGAAGACGAGGTGGAGACCATGATGCTTTCTAGTTACTCTCCTTTGCAGAGCCCTGGGGCTCCACCCATACTCGTCACAGAATCCGTCTAGGTTACGAGGAGGCGCGTTCATTTTTCATCCCAATAGACTCACATAGATACCCATGCATTTTCAGGATCAGTTATCACCAGCATTACTTACGAGTCCGTCTACTATTTCTATATTATATCCATCCATCCACTGCAGGAATTACAATACAATTTCTCACTGATACCTATTGACTGTCTGCTATTCTCTGCGCACGTTTGGCAAGCTTCAAAAATCACATCATCAGTAACAGCTCTCTCGAATGCGTGACAAACAAACTTACTGCAGCCGCAAGATCTACTTGCCCAACCGCCGTTGCCGGTTTACTAGAGCGCGAAGTGGAAGCAGCAGGCGGACGGGGAGCAGTCGGAATAGGCGGTTTTGCTGGTCCCTTTGCCGAAACGCTAGGCTTTACTGGAATTACGGGCGGCTTCGGTTTAGCTGCTACAGGTGGAGGGGGCTTGGATCCTATAGCGGAGCTCGGACGGGAGCTGGCCGGAGTAGTATCCGCAGTCAAAGGCTTCTTCCATGGAGTGGCCGATCCATTGGAAGGTTGCATACCTGGGAATACAGATACAGGTTTGGACGATGCATCAGCAACCACAGATGTGAGAGATATTTTCGGCGTGGTTGTGGGTGCAGGCCGAGACCTAGGAGGGGGAGGGGGTGCAGAGACAGCCTTGGGGGGGACCAGCTCCAGGTAGTTATTGGGAGCCCAGCCTTCGACCCCATCCATTTTGACGAGCCACCAACCGTTATCATCTTTCTCCACAAGTTCCACTACATCATCTTTCTTCAGGGACATCTCTCCTTCCTGTCCTTCGAACGCGAATTTCGCCCGATACATTGGCGTCTCTGGCTTGGCGGGAGGGGGAGGGGGAGCGATATTACGTGGCGGTGCTGGTGGGGGACGCTGGCCTACCGTGGAAGAGGGAGTAACGGAGGGCTTAATGGCCGGTTTTGGGGCAACCGTAGTGGAATCCCTTCCTGGCAGTGGCTGAGCTACAGGTTTGGGCTTAGGGACGGATCTCGGTTTCGGTTTCTACAACGGCAAGTCAACATAGCGTTCTTTCAATATGACCGATAAAACATACGTCAGATGGACCGCCTGCCTTCAACAGCTTTCCCTGTGTGATGGGACGAACAACCCCAGGTTTCCTCTTTGCTGGAGGACGCGATACGCTGTTCGGGGGTTCCCCAGAAGCCACATGAACGGTATGACTCTTGTACAAGTCATCTTTCGCAACGGTTTCATCTTTAATAAATTTGATTTGAGCCATTTTATCTTTTTTCTTGGAATACTCGATACTTTGACGAAAGTGAGCATATGCAACTGCGAAGCTCTGGAAGGACATACGTGGGACCAATAACCACATTGACGGTGGATCGTGTCAACTTCACGAGATTGCTGACGAGTTCCGTCTTGAAGTAGCAGCTAATGAGTGGGTCACCTTCTTCTGATGCATTTACATTCAATGTCTATTTGGTGATTAAAATTGTTTGCCCTTCGAAAAGAAGATGAAATCCACTTGCCAGCCAATCATCTCTCAGGTTGGACATTCCAATACTTTTGATCGTAGACAAAGGTATCCTCCTTTCAAGGTTATATTGCGTCTGGCCATCTCTCACGGAAAGGATTAGGATGTGGACGGCTTTCTCTGTCTTAAATGCTTTTAGTACAGCATTTTCTATGCTAAAATATCCAACTTACCACTACAATAAATCTAGGACTGGGCTTGCTGGAGCGACCCAATTTCGAAACCAAAAGGTGAATCCTAGAACTGAAGGTGACGGACTCCCCTAAGTACTACCAGCGTTAGTAGAAATATAAAATGATTAAAATGTAGATTTTACCTCCAATATTGCATGCGCCCGCTAATTCTTCCCCGAGAGAGCTTTTGCCATTGAGGTCAAGGTAATCCCCCATAAATCTTCGATAGCTGAGCAGACTGAACCGTCGGCGTTCTTTGCGCCCCGCAAGAATTTGATGCCCATAGTCGCGAGTTTGCGCATAAGCAATACCCTCTTTATTGTTTTTCCAGAATCGTTGAATTCGACGAGCACACTCATGTTTGTACCGCATGTAGTTCCTGAAAGCACGCTGGATGCGTGCAGCCATGTTGTGCCAGTACTTGTCACGCATGGTTTCAAGGGCGAAAAGCTAAAATGAGATCAGCGTAAGTACCACTGAGATCAAAGTAGTACACATACAGTCTCGGGGTTCTTTATGAATGCTTTGGTGACGCCCATTTGCCATTCGTCCTTTGCTATACCAGTATCCTTGAGGATCTGTTCACACCCGGATTTTGAATCACCTGTCCAGGTATACTCGCCAGCGTAGGATGTATGCGAAGAAAGGAGATAAAAGCGTTCGACCATTTTTTCGAAAGTATTGCGATAGGCAAAGCCTGCTCGGCGAACACGAATATTTTCGTTCAAGCCAAGGTACTTTATTTGATGCAGAATGGCCTTTACATCGTATTCACTGGAGCTCCGGTTCTGATTTGGTTTAATTGTTCGGATATATGACGGCTGCGCCTTCATTAGGTTGTCCACCAAAGCCCCTGCAGATTGCTAGAGAGGCCTCAACTAATTAGCTAGGGGAATGAATTAATGCTTGTGCGTCCACTTGCCTTGATCCTGTCTCCAGCGGTCGGAGGACGCTTCTTGCTGTTGGGGTCTGGGCGGTCAGGGAAAAGAGTCTGCAAAAATGTATTTCCACTGGAGCCAACGAGATCCAACAGATCTTTGATGAGAGAGTCCTTGTTCTTATCAGTCATACCAGCAACATTGTACATAACATCCCCTGCATAATGCCGAACTAGGAACTGGGAACCACGTGCTTCGAAGTGTGCATTCGAGGAGAGCATTGCGGTTCTTTGCACGAAACTGTTGTCCGCCGCAGCTGGGTCGGCATGAGCTGTGGCACAAGCGTCATTCAAAGCTGCAAAGATGCCGGGCGGCCGGCGTTCTTCTATGAGATCGCAGACAATTTTGTTGTTGAAGTATTTTATCGGAGTCCATTTGATTTGCTCGCGGACGTATTCTTCCTGTTCCGTTTTTAACGTGAGTTCAATGAAGATTTGCTGCAGCTTCTCGTTGACATAATTGATGCAAAGTTGCTCAAATGAGTTATCCTTGCAGGGACGTCAGAGTAGACTCAAAGAAGGGAATATCGAAACCTACTTCAAAGATTTCGAAGCCGAAAATGTCCTAAACAGTAGCGTAAGGAGAAATAGCGATATGATATCGTATGTTCATACCAGGATGCCAATGATTTGAGCGTGAGCCGAACGAGTCTTCATGGATACATTAATGCGAGAGACAATCCATTCAAAAAGATTGTTGTATATGGCCTTCGCAAGCGCATCTCTTCCGGATGTCGCTTGTGCTGGATTTAGGGGAACATCATAAACGGAGCCCCTTCGACCTCCTTTTGATGTTTCAATGACTCTAGAGGTAAGCACTTTCTGGACTAAAGCGGAATCGGCTTCCATGAGATAGCCTACAAAGTCGGTTACTCCTGTGTCGGTGATGCTGGAATTCCCATCGTCCATCTCTTCGAATTGAACATTGCCTAACCAGAGAACAATGGCAAGCATCTTGAAAATCTCATTCTGCTCATCGGGGGTCAGACCAATTACCCCCATAGCAGTCTAAAATAAAATATAAATTTAACCACTTGGCCAGTCAGAAGAACCAACTGACAATCGTATCATGATAATCTTTGACGTCATCGATGTCGCTGACTTCAAGACAGTTGCTTAAGCTAGTATACGCATAAGCCTCTGGACCTTGAAGACCAAACAGTTCTACAGAACAGTTGAATTGAACCAACGTAACAAGAGGAGGTTTCAAGACGTACCACGCTGCTCATCTGAAGCCCCTTTGGTAAATTGGTAAAATATGTGGAAGTTGCGTTCGTTCTCGATCTGACCAACGACCCGACCTTTCTCCAGAAGATAATTTGTTATCTGAGCGCCAACAGGCTCGCCCACCCCGTTGAACATGATTTCCAAGTATTTCCCCTGGTAAAGGAGTCAGGCTCCGTGTCCCCTTTACAGACCATGCCACTTACGTGGCGACTAGAGTTGTTATTTCGAAGAGTTTTCGCACAGCCGAAGCTTTCAAGCAAAGGATTCGTGGCCAACACCATATCCTTGATTTCCTGAATGCTACTATCCTGTCCCCCGGACACAACAGCGATGTATTGCATAATCCGTTTCGCAGCCTCCGTCTTCCCAGCGCCTGACTCTCCGGAAATGATAACACATTGATTCTCGTGGTATGCATTCATGTTATAGTACGCGCTTTCTGCGATGCCGAAGACATGAGGAGGAACTTCCAGCCTATTCTTTCCTCGATATCGTTGAAGTGTTTCCTCCCCGTGATGCCCAGATCTAGCATCACCCGTATGTTAGCTCCATAAGCAACGTTGAACTACACTCCTACCTCTAAAGGGGTTCACAGATATCAAAACAGCTCCAATATATGTGTATATTTCTCCGTTTGTCCACCGCTTTTGCAGGTTCTCGTTAACGCCTTCGTTACTGATGGTGGTCAGTAATGTCATGTCAGATACTCCGACTTGTTTCTTCTTGAACCCTTCTTTCCAGTCCGCCTAAGTAAAAGAGAATTGAATAATGACACTCCAATATACAAGAGCGAAGCGTACTTTCGCGACCTTCCCTTGACCAGCAGACTTCTTGGATGCCGGCGTAACCTTCTTCCCCGCCTTTTTGGATGGTGCCTGCGATGAATTAGAACAACACCGATGGGAGGACGACAAAGGGTGGCCAACCATTTCGGGGGTCAAGTTGGTGTTGCAAAGCTAGAGATTCTTGGTGGATGTCGCTAGCCAGCAAACCCTGCGACTCGAGGAGATGATCAAGAAATGGAAAGTGCACAGTGATCGCGGCTACATACCAAATTGGGCCAAATTCCGAAGAGGACAGTGGCATAAACTTGGCACAAACCGCCCTTTCACTTACCCGCTGGATTGCTTCTCCTCAATCTCGAAATTTATTGTAATTGATGTACTTCTGCCATACGAACGCAAGATATTTTTATTGTGTACAATTACATCCTACTTGCCGGAGTCCATCAAGATCTTGAGCGCTTGGGCTGCAGTTCGTTGAATGGGCTCGTTCGTCTTAACGCTGGGATTCTCGGTAACGTCTGCGAGTGATTCTATCAAACCAGCGTCCTTTGCTTCTTTGAAAATGGATTTTCGTGCGTCGCTGTAGAGGGCGACGAGGAAGTTAAGAATACAGACCACCCCCCGGTGCAAAAGTCCGGAGGCGTGCTGCGCTTGCCCTGAGCTGTCTGTGCTCTCGGAAGGAGAAATAAGCTGCGCCAGCATCGGCAGAAAGCGATGTCTATCAAGTTGCAAAGCGAGTAGAGCGCGGCAAGCGCCTGGAGAGGTTGTCAGCGTCGCAAGAGCTCCCGACGCGGCTAACCGAGTTGGAAGGTCGTCGACATCCGATAGCGCAAGGACTACTTGCAGTTTGGACATTGCAGATCCGAGGGTGTCCCCTCCACCGTATCTCTCAAATATCTCGTCCGAACCAGCAATGAGATTACAAATAAGTTCCATGGAGGCCCTCTGAACTAGTACGTGGTCTTCTAGAAGAAGAAGTTCCACCTTATTGATTAAGCCGTCAGCTTTTGCAATCCGCGTGGCGAGATCGGTGCTGTAAGAGGCGATATTCGTGAGAGCCATTGTACCCTCAAAGCGTTGCAACAAGTTCGACGAGGGGTGTGTGACCATGTGAGAGAATGGTGGGATCGCATCTATCATGGCGCCTACATTGGGACCGAAAACTTGTACAGGCGAGGACGTGATCGAGAGTTTTGCCAATGCCTGGATAGGTTCTACGTCAATAACGTTACGCATCAGTTCCCTGTTCGGTGGTTCACAAGATTCTCGAGATTCCTTGATGAGATTTTGCAAAACCCTCGCTCCTCCAGCTTGCAACACCTTGCCTCTATTTTCCTTATCTTCAACGATGCTCAGCAACGCTTTACCCACGTTGAGCCTCACTCCGCGACTATTCGTTTGTGACATCGCTGCTGAAAAGACTGGAAGTACACCTGCATCGATGAGACGGCGAACTCTCGCTCTAACGTGATCGTCACTGTCCAAGATAGATGGTTCCTGTGCAGAGAGTGATCCCTTCCCGGACTTGGTCATGGATTTCAGCTTTTCCACTTGAGACTGCTCTTCACTGAGGCGAGGGCGATAGCTGGTGATGTTGGTTATAATGGAGAGCACACCGTAGACCAACGAAAGGTTCCCACTTGTGACAGGTGAGTTTAGCTTTCGGTATGAGAAAAGGGAAAATATCCGTTTCAAAAACGCTGGATCTCTTGATAAAGTCTCTTTGATAGCTGGGTCGATAGTGAGGTAAGCCATCCCCTCGATAGCTTCTACCATCGATGACAGTTCTCCGTTGGTCATTATTATACTTTTCAAATTCTGAGCCAACGCGTCACTCTTGTCTGGTGCTTCATTTACGGGGTCATCAGCGCTCGCTCCTTTTTGAAGCTTGACCAGGGCGACAGTCGCGGCAGCCGCCACACGTTGGTTCTGCGTGTTTGTGACCTCCGATTCAAGCCAAAGGTTGACTCGAGGTGTCAGATGGGTACGACATTTTTTATGACCGCAGGCTTGGCCAATAAGATGGGCCGTTTCGTAAGCGAGGTCAGCGGAGGGTGAGAGGTCGACATTATCCATGATGTTGTCGATTACTCCTTCTTGAAGTAAAATCATGGATGCCGAGTCCCAGTCCACTTGAAAGAGAGCTGACAGAAAGGAAAGGCCAGTAATGATAGCTTGTTCCTCTGTATCGCCTACGAAATTTACCACCGAATCTTGAAATATACGTACAATATCCATTGTAGCAGCGTCATGATCCCCCCCTTTCGCCTTTGAACGAAGGGATTGGCAGAGGGATGATAGAATTAGATAGGCTGTCGAATGGACTGAAGCAGTGGAGTGTTTTGATCGAAAAGAAGAAATCAGACACAAGACTTCAGTTGGCAGCAAAGAAGATGAGGCCTGAACCTTCGCTAGGAGCTGGTTCAGACTAGAAGTTGTCGGGTCCGAAGACATAGAAGTGCTAGGGTAAATTGGCTTGGTAGAAGCAAGTGCAATCCTCAGAATTAGTTTGTCATCAGTGACCACCTCAAATCCTCCGAGTCCATCATTCCAAGATGTCCACTTCCAACATAAATTCAGAACTCAGAACGTCAAGGATCCAGTCGGGGGATATGGTGCTAGTGAGGCTACCAAACGGTGACGTGCGCAGCATCAAACCAGAGAGAGATTCGTGTGTACTGTTTTTTGAGGAACCAATTCACATATCCTCAACCAAACTTTCGACAGTACAGTGGTCATTGGGAAATTTGGCTCATTCTTTGCCAATGAACTCATCGATGAGCAATATGGGCTGACCTTCGAAATATTGGGGAAACACTTGAAGGTCGTGCCTCCTCGAACGCTGCAGGAGGTAGGTAGGTCTTGCGGATAATGACAAACTTCCCGCTCATTGATCTCTTTCCAGAGGATACCGATGCTACGAACGAATTGATCAACGATGGTGAATTTGTGCAACCCTTGACCCTAGAGGAGATACAGGCCTTAAAACAATCTGGTGTTCATGCATCTGTATGTTGCTCTGCTTCTGCATAAAAATCAGCTGATACAGACACGTACGAGTGTAGGACATAATTAAAAGGCAAATAGAGCAACATGCCAACTACTCTTTGAAAACTGAGTACAGCAAAGAGAAGTACAAAAAACGGAAGGAAGCAAAGTAAAATTTACTAATCTCTATTCTCATTGATGTTGACTTCGAGATAAAGGTACTCTAAATCATTTACCACGATCGAGCCAACTTTGTTCAATGTCTGCGAATACTGGTTCATTAAGGATCAGAATCGAATACGCGATATTCGAATCGACTCGCTGTCACAAATACTGAACTTAGCAAATATTCGACCAGGAGGCAAGTACCTTGCCATCGATGACGCCTCGGGCATAGTGGTCTCTGGAATTCTGGAAAGACTAGGAGGTATTTGTATTCCGAATTAGTGGTCGCTTCAATCTAAACGTTTATAAGGTGAAGGGAAGCTAATCACTATATGTGATACCGACTCTCCTCCTGCCTATCCTGTCATGTCGCAAATGAACTTCAAAACTGGGATCACCACTGTGCTTGCGTCCCTTAACTGGGCCACATGCCAGAAAGACTATACGCCAGGTTCTTTTTCAACAATTCTAATCTTTGTAGCCTCCACTGATTGCCAGCAGTGTTGCCCCCGTCTGAACTACCTTCTGATCAAATCAGATCCGAACGACAAAAATCTCGACTCAATAAGCGAAAAGCTGCTTTGGATTTTCTAAACAAAACTCGTGATGACCTCTTCGCTGGAGGATTCGACGGGTTTGTTTGTCTTCACTCTGAACTTGTCAACATCTCACAAACTAACAAGTCTCATCGTGGCGAGCGAGTATGAACCCCATTCAATCATTGAGAAAATGGCACCGTACCTGGCCGGTTCCGCCTCGATTGTGGTCCATACTCCTCACGTCCAAGTAAGTGCGAGAGATTCGTCCCGTTGCTCATCCATCTCACTCCCATATTGAGGTTGCGGCCGACTTACAAACGAGGCTCCGAAATCTTCCCCAGTATCTTTGCCCAACTGTCACAGAGTCTTGGTTACGCCGCTACCAGGTCCGTCCTCACGCTCATGCTCTCGCTTGTAGCTGAGTTAAGGACAGGTACTCCCCGGCCGAACTCATCCAACAATGGCCATGTCTGGGTCAGGAGGTTTTATCATGCATGCGATTAAAATGTTAGTGGCTTTTCACTATTCAAACGATTGATCACAGCACATAATCGTAAATGTCATTAGTATCGATGACCCTAATGCTTCTTACATCCAAGCCTATGGACATCCCAAAGCGAAGCAAACAAGCTCCGAAACTGTACGTGAATATCGAGCATAGAAGGCTTTTCTAACCCTGCTCGGTTTCAGAAATCTGAAGATGCTTCCATGTCTAATGTATGTCGACCTTGGTCAAATTAGTCACAGCCGCCCTAACCCATCTAGGTCGATTGAAAATCGAAATCGAATAGCATTAGCCAGGCGGAGTTGATTTCTCAGGAATTGAGCTTGATTCAGGGAATAGAGCTGCGAAGACCTACTGAACGGATTAGTTTATATTTGATAGTAGCACAGTATCACCAGCCTCGTCAATTATCACATAGGCTATATGCTGATTGAGGCGGCGGTTTTGAAGCACGGCAAATATCCGCCTTGCTCCGCGTCTGGCATTGGTTCTCCCAATCATGTTTGCGGCCAAATCTTGATAATCCATTGATAAGCATATTGGTATGACCATCTGATATGATTTACACACCAGGTACTAGCGATGAGAGCTTTCGATTGGCCTCGTCTCGAGTTCGAATCTTCTCCTCCGCAGAGCGGGGAACACCGGGAGGCTTGAGCTTACCTCCTGGCCAGAGAGCATCTCGAAATAGATTGACAAAGGACATTACGCGTGTTTCTCTGAGCAGTTCCTTGACATTTTCTCGGACTCTCCTACGGGTTCGTGTTAGAAACAGCGGGTATACAGTGCGTGGAAAAGGAAAACCTCTCAATAGTCCCTCCGAGCACTTGTTGTAAAATGATCACGATAGCTTGTCGCCGAAGCCAGTTGTTCTTCTTGTTAAGCTCGAATACGGCAAGGACGAGGTCACATATTGGGGCCGAAAAAGTGGATGTGCTACTCTCTCCTTCGAGTGGTTTCAAATCCCCAGAAAGTTTCATTAACGTTGCTTCCGATGCACCTCTTCCAGACGCATTCAAAGCTTGTGCAACAAGATCTTCATCATTAACGCCTGATCCGACAATGCCAGCGAATTCCGCCGCCTGCCGTGTAAGGCGCTGAATCATAACATCCAGCATAGACGGCCCAAAGAACATGTCGTCAATGCTCTCTGCAACGGAGCGATATACATTGCGCACAAGATCAGTGCCAGAGAAGGCCACGGGGACCTTGGAGCTACTTTGGTGTCTTGCCGCAATGAACGGAGATTCGCGAGAGAGGAAGGCCCTAAGTTCAGGGCTTTCGCAAACAATCGGGATTGCAACGACATTCTGCAAGATAAAGTCAATAAAGCCAGAAAATGAAAATGATCGAGTAGAACTACTTACCTGTAAATACTTTTCCAGTGCATTTTTTCGGTTATCAAAAAAATTGCCTGAAAGACTTGGTACCAATCTCTTCCCCGGAAAATCGAGATTTTTAATCAAGGCATATCGCTCTCGCAACTTGTTATGCATAGTCAGAAATTCGTTATATCGTCTTGCAACGACCCATCCCGAAGAGAAACTCCCGTCATTAGCCAACTGCTGGACCTCAACAAGATAACGCACAACCGATTTGCCATCCTCGTCGGCGACAGCAGAGTTGACAATGGCTACCTTGGTACGATCAGAAAGAAGGCGATTGGCTGATTCTTGCTGTTCATATTGTTGTTTTTGGAATTGAAGTTCCCGAAGCTCCCTATTCATGGAAGACTTCGATCTCATGAGCAGTCTTAACTCCTGGGTATCCCCTGTTAGTTCCGCTTTCTTGATCAAGCTATCCAACATAGCATCTTGAACTTGAAGATTTGTTATATTGTCTCCAAGTCGAGCTATCTCGTAAGACAGCTGAAGGTCGCCAGGAGCAGCAAGTTGAAAGGATCTGGCATAGTCACTCGAACCCTCTGGTTCACCCTCATCACCCTCCTCAGGATCGACTGCGTTAGTCTGGTCCTCAAAAACTCCTTGCCGCTTTCGACCATCCGCCATACCAATGGACTTCAAGGATCGCGAATCACCCAAATTCTCGGCAATGATCGGCCTGTCATTCTGCTCCTGCTCGAGTGCCATTATGTCCGTTAAGGCTGCTTGAATTGCCTCCATCCTCTTTTCTTCAGCCCTTTGCATCGCATCCTCAGGATCATTGAACAAGGGCGCCCTTGATGTGTCGGACGACGGGTCTGAAATCGGAGACATCAAAACCTCAATACTTGTCGGTATGTAAGAAAAGCGGTTCGAGGTAGCGCTGGCTGAGCGCTGAATTCCCGACGCAGCAGGTGGATCTGTCCGAGGTGAAATTTGAGATGGGAGGCCGGGGCGGTGTTTGGAAGATACTGGAGGTTGCTCTTCTGCGACGGAGGATGAAAGTGATTCTATATCTTTCGCAAACGGATCCGTTTGGATTTGGTTGCTTGCCGAGGCGGTATCCCCAATCGCCCTGAACCATAACTCCGATCTCTCGAAATCGTCAAAATCATGTTCCATCTCTTGTTCAATTTGCTTTTGGGCCAACATGACACTTCTACGCACTCGACGTTGAGCAGCAAGAGACGGATTAGGATCGCGTGCGAACTCTTGTATTATACCAACATGTTTCTTTGATATGGAAGCCAGGTCTGGGTATACAGAGGGGCCTGAAAAGTAGAGATTGTTGATCATTGATATGTCCTCTTTGACGGTGGTATAGGAGGAAGGGTCTTGGATTATTTCCTCTTCATCGTCAGATAAATCTGATTCGATTGATTCCAGAGGGTTCTTGAAACTTTCGACAGTAAGCCAGAATTGAACAGGCAATGACCTGCGCCGTCGGTCCATAAATTCCATGAAATAAGAGAGCGAACTGGGATTCCTAAGGACGTCACGTAGAGAGAGACCCGATTTTGAACCCGCATCCTGATATATCGACTGACGCTAAAGAAAACTCTCAGTACGCCTCGCGTTATCATGTTAGAAAACTACCGATTGATCTTGCTCTTCGCCACCAAGAACAACTATTCTTTCCTCGACTTTCCGTTTCGCTGTGTAAAGCCTATCTAGAAAGGCGACAACATCTTCAGTTTTTTCTCCGTTGATCCAATCTTCCTTCTCGTGGTTTGCTGCAAATTGAGATATAAATTCAATGCCAAAAGCAAAATCAATTTAGCACACCAAGCAAGACTCTCGTTCTACGTATTTCGCCAACAACGTCATTCTTGAGTCTCCGTGCGTCAAGTAAAGAAGAGCATTTATTGATGCTCTGCAAAAACGACTCGAACTGCCGCATATTTGTGCGAATGGTAATTCTTTCCGTTACAACAGACTCGAGGGGGTCGGCCGTAGCCACTCGACTTTGAGGCCGAGGAATTTGGGCTTCTAGGACATTCCGCACTTTGGAGATTAATTTTCTGCGGGTTGTCAGTGATTGTGAGGAAAGCTTTTGTGGTTTACTGACTGCTGATGGATAGCAGCGCCAGCCTTAATAACACCATCAACATGGATCTTCTTGATACAGTTCGATCTCACGCACCACTTGGTCAATGGCTTTATTCCAAAAGTCGGGATCTGCAACCATCTCCACAACAGGGTATAAAACAGAACAAACAACAATCTCCCTTACGACTATCCGTAAGGCCTTGCTCCTACTCTCCCTTTGAGGCAAAATGAGAGGGAGAGCCTTGTCAACAAGTTGCCTGAGATGCATCTCTTCAGTTTGACGCGTGAAGGTAGTGGATAAGTTCTCAATCGCCGGGTGTAACTTCCCTTCACCCTTGGCAGCGTAGCGACTAGCGAGAAGCAGATCGAGCTCTTCAGACTGCGTCAATCGACGCTCAAGCCCAGCACCACGTAGTGCAATTTCGGATTGGCGGAACTGTTCAATATGGGCCGTGACTTTGGGCAATATACGTTTTACGACAAGCGATGATACGTCGATACCGGCAGCCCTATCAGCAAATTGTTCGAGTGAAGCATGTATGACAGACGAAACAGCGCTGGGAAACGCAGGCGAGTTAGAGATATCTTTGTACCAACTTGATACAAAATCTCGGACAACCATGTTGACAATTTCATTCAGCGCTATTGAGAGCTCGGGTGCGTCTGGATACAGCAATGGAAATGATGGTGGGGTGTTTTGGGACCATTTTGAACGCGTCTGTACAGCTTGCCATGCAGCCGGAGTTGAGAATGCAAAAGGTCTTGCTGCTCGACACAATTGTGGACGAGGCACTGGACGAAATACGTCCAGGGTCCAACCCAGATAAATGGAAAGAATCAGGAATGCTAGGGCAAGGGCGAAAATCAAGAGAGGTGAGAGCAGGAGGAGAGCAACAGGCGAGGATATAATTCTGGAGATTATTGGAAGGATAACAGCCAGTATGCCAACAAAAACGAATGTCGAAGTTCCAAATGGGTAGTTCATTGCTCCGGCGTCCAGAAGAGAGATAGTGGAAGTGTCGTTATGAATGCTTGATCAATGCTTGATCGCCATTTGGTCGTTGAACGTTGAACGTTGAGCGTTGAGCAGAAAGCCGTGACATCACATGACCATTGACCGGGACCTGTGTTGGTATTAATATCTTTTGTTCGGACTCTGTCTCTCCTCCCGACTTAGATCCAGGCAAGCCCGCGCGAATTCCATTCCTTTTAGCGTGCGTATGTCTGGAAGTACACCTTACCGCGATGCTCGGTCAATATCGACGGCTGAGGGATTCCTATGTGGCGGTCTTGCAGCATGTATGGCGGCAAGTACCCCGTTGAAGTTAAATTAGTGAGGAAACTGAATTGCCCTTGCACATAGGTGACTGTGTCAAATCCTGCAGAAGTTGCGAAGACCCGTCTTCAGCTTCAAGGGGAATTGGCGAAAGAAGGTGTCAAGAAGGTTTACAACAATGCACTTGACGTGTTTGGAAAAACGTGGAAGAACGAAGGCATAAAAGGCTTGCAACGAGGTCTCGGTCCCGCTGTCAGTTCAGCCATTTTACTATCTTTATGATTCTCCTTCCTTAATCGATCTTCTACCAGTATGCATACCAAGTAAGATGAAGCAACTCAAATCTCACATCCACTTGACCTCGCTTTAGATTCTTTTGAACGGCTCACGGCTAGGTTTGCGTCGACTTAAATTCTGATTCTCCGCCTTGAGTATACCTTCTCAGGGTTTTATGAGCCTTTTCGCCATGCCTTGAATAGATTCATCGGCCGCTCGGCCGAAGACCAGATACCCTTTACATCTGTGATCGCTGGAGCCTCTAGTGGGGCGGTTGGAGGTAGATAATATACTCTCCGATTTGCTTTGGCAGTCTCTGACGACAACAGCCTCCCTTGGAAACCCCTTATTTCTAATCAAGGCCCGAATGCAGGTTCGTTTCATTAACTGACAGATGCCCACGGCATTGATGCTGTAGACATTCAGGCATTCTCCCCGGCGCTACCTGTGGGCGCTCAACACTTCTACAAAAGCTCTTTTCATGCGCTTGCGACAATATTTCATGCTGAAGGTGTTCGGGGACTAGTTCGAGGAATAGACGCTGCTATTCTTCGAACTTCGATGGGATCGTCTGTCAGCATTTTCATGATTTTTTGCACGAAAGTTCCTTGACTACATCACCAAAGGTTCAATTACCCAGCTATATTTTTGCGAAGAACCAACTGGTAAAGCATGACATCTTACCAGCCAACAGCACATGGACTTTTTTGGCAAGCAGCAGTATCTCTGGGGCGTGTGTCGTGCGTGATTTGTTTTTTGACGAAACCGGCTTCTAAAGAGAGGGCAGTGTGTTGTTATGCAACCTGCTGATACGGTAGGTCATCGCATAATCGCTGCGCTGTCAGAGGATGAAATGCTTTGCAGGCTTTGACACGCATGTATAACCAACCCACCATCCTGGGTCCAGATGGCAAGACAAGAGGGGCTCTGTACAAGAATCCCATAGACTGTCTGTGGAAGACGTTTAAAGCAGAAGGCGTTCGAGGTTGGTACAAAGGTGAGCCTTTTCCTCGTGATTTACATGCTCCAACCTGAGTGCGCCACAGGATCCACGGCCCATTTTTTACGCATTGCTCCGCACACGTAGGATAGCGTTTATTTTCATTAAAGCGCGCAAAACTGACGCCACTTTAGGATCATTACTCTAACAATGAACGACATTATTATCGATCTCTACAAGACAGCAAAGTATGGCCGCAAGGACGAGCCATAAATCATTTAGACTACACCTTCGATGATCAGCGCCATCGAGTTAGAGTTTCCCAGAACTTGATATATATCCCTTGATGGATAATTCGTGGTGCTCCTCTTTTTTAGTTAACTACTTAGAATGACGATTGATGAGGGTTTTAGTGTACCTGGTACTTATTATTTCACTGTAATCTACAACAGACTAAGGACGGTATGGAAAGGAGAGTGTTGCGAGTAAACCAGAATACAGGACGTACGACTCACGGTAATGAGGTTTAATTACAGATCTTAGGATATATGAAATTCGTGGGGTCCTGAGGAATCCATCCGTTGGCCAGGCCTGCCTGGTACGACCACTCGTCTGCTATTTCTGTTTTCCATGTCCACTGAATCCACCCTTGAGCCTTCTCGTACGATTGAACTTGTGCTTCCCAAAACTGTCTGAGGAACATTTTGAAACTTTGGCTGAAGGTCCACGCCTTGCCAGTCATACCCGCACAGGTACCGACGGCGGTAGAACCGGGAAACGTCCCATCGTACCGAGCGCCTACTCCGCGGCCGTTGAGATATTTGGCACAATCAGTTGCTGCGGGGGTCCACTCGCCCACCACAACCCAGAGACCAGCTGGTGATGTTGACAACGTTGATTGGGTACTGCATGCAACTTGGATATGCTGCGAATTTGTTCTTTGATTCTCCTACCAATCCTTTAGCGATTGTAAAGACTGAAATCTCGCAGAACCTACTGGGGTTGAAAAGACTTGGTAGATGTGAGTATCAAGGATTACGCCCTGCCAGTTTGGTGGGTTCATAAAACCTTTCCAGTAATCCTGTGACTGAAAGGCGTCATGAATCATTACAACCGTGTTGCTTTGCGTCGCGTTTCCATATGGTTGGCTGTTGTACGTCGGTCCGTAAGCAATTGAACGACGTAAATAAATCCTAAGTATAATTACCGGATATTTGCATAGCTATCGTACCAATACTACCCCAAAGTCATTAGTATATGCCTGACACGGTGTTGGAAGGACGAACTTGTTTCGTGGCTGTGAGCACATCGTTACCAAAGAATCCAGCCGGCCTGCATAGCTTGAGCATAGAATATACATAGCATTGATGAGACCTTACTCGTTCAAAGGGGCTATAATAGGCACTACATCCGTTGTATCTTTGAACATGGAAGCAATTGTTTGAATGATCTTGTTGGAACGATTGATGTTTGACTGGGAAGTGTGCCAAAGGCTGGTTGTTTCAATTAATGTTGTTTCTGTTTGTGCGAATCATCGTGCATGCTCACGGATAATTCATCTTCTGACCGGAATTATCAAAACTAAGTACAAAGAAGTTGAAATTAGCGGGAAAACGCTTAACGGAGTAGATACTTACCCATTCTGACTTCCTGGCACACCTATATGCGCATATATTGTCAATAAAATGATGCAAAACCCTCCAGGGAAGAACCCACCATGAAGATCAACGATGACTTTCAGCCTGTGGCTTTGCGCCCAATTTATTGCCTTGTACAAATATTGCAATTGGCCTTGAATATAGGGTTCACCGGGTGCGACCTCAAAAGCCCAATATCCGATCGGCAACCGGACATGGTTGAGACTAAAAGAATAATGAATTGAAGCTTCGAACGTAACAGTCAATATAGCTACCCAGCTGCTGATATGGCTGCGAAATCGGCCTCTGTAATCCAAGTGTCCCAATGGTTACGAAGAGTATTCAAGGCCTTGGTCGGGTCTTGATATTGGCCAAAGGTCCATTCATCTATTATGCGTGAATCGCCAGTGTTGTCAAAAAGAGAGGGCGTGATCCATGGCTAAGAAACACAATTAGCAAGGGCGGGGATGGTATCCACGAGTAAATCGCTTGACCTCAAGAACTAACCAACCGCCAAGGTTAACACCGCGAACGTTTTCAGAACCATACGGGAAGCCAAAGTTCAAGGCGCAGATGGAAGGGATGGGAGAGAGGCTGAGGGCCGTGAATGCGACGGAACGAATGAGGGCAACCATAAAAGAGTGTGGTTCTAGCAGGGAATATATTGAGAAGGGGCGTCGGATGCAACGAAGAGTAGGTTACTTATAGCGCCTCATTATATGGCCAAAGCGACGATCGATCGGTGGATCTTTCTACAATTTTTTTTCTCGGGAGGGGGGACAGCAAGTGGATGCAAGAACCTGATGCAACGATACTTCGGAGTTGGTATACGAGTATGTAGTGATGCAGAAACCAGCCATACTGCTGTTGTAGGCGCATGACTGATGGAGTCCTCCATTACCCATGAGGACAAGTTCAACGGATCAGAGGCAATAACCAACGCGGGGTGAGCTTGCAACTTGCCTCGGAATGCCTACAAAAGCTCAGCCAGCTAGCAGAGCGACAATCAAGAAGGTATCCCTACTACTTACATGCACTGGCGAGCCTGAGTTAAACTTGAACTTCTTATGAGGTCATGATCACAAGCAACCAAGCATGTGCAAACATTTCGGGGGACATGAGAAGCACTGAATCATTATCAGCTACAGATCAACCATCATGACCATCGACGATATTCGTAAGCGATACGAGGCTAGTGGTCAAGGCCACCTCCTAAAGTTTTGGGAAACGCTCTCTGAAGACGATCAGGCCAAACTTTTGGCCCAGCTAGATGCTCTTGACATAGAACGTGTTAATCGCATCTACTCAAAGGCAATCTCCTCCGAAACCGCAGAAGTCGATCCTGCCGATTCTATAGAGCCTCTTCCAACAGGGGCTTCAGAGTCAGTTTCTGATTTGAAGAAGAATGCTGAATGGCGTCAGACTGGATTAGAGGCTATTGCGCGAGGCGAGGTGGGGGTGCTTTTGATGGCAGGCGGACAGGGAACGAGGCTTGGTAGTAGTGCTCCGAAGGGTTGCTACGACATTGGACTCCCCTCCCACAAGTCGCTGTTCCAATACCAGGCTGAGCGGATTGCGCGCTTGCAGACACTGGCAGAGTTGGAAGCTAAGAGGCCCGTCGGCTCTGTAGTCATTCCCTGGTATATCATGACCAGTGGTCCAACACGTCGCGAGACAGAGGATTATTTCAAGAAAAATTCTTACTTCGGCCTTGATCCTAACAATGTGATACTTTTTGAACAAGGTGGGGGCGTCGTTTCAGCTAACTGCTATATGCTGAGAGGACCTAGGAACTCTGCCTTGCCTGACTATGGACGGGAAGGTGATACTCGAGACTCCTTCTCGGGTCGCCGTAGCACCGGATGGAAATGGCGGGCTTTATGCCGCCACTCGGTCGCCGTTTTCGTCTGAGGACCCTACTCAAACGGTCCTGTCCGATCTGGCCAAACGAAAGGTCCTTTACGTTCATGCGTACTGCGTGGACAATTGCCTCGTACGAGTCGCAGATCCCGTCTTCCTTGGTTACAGCATTCAGAAACAAGCTGACTGTGCTGCAAAAGTAGTTCCAAAAACTCACCCTGCGGAGTCCGTCGGCGTCGTCGCTCGTCGCGGGACCAAATACAGTGTCGTGGAATACTCTGAGATTTCGAGAGAGCAGGCAGAGCGACGTGATTCTTCTGGTGAATTGACCTTCCGGGCCGCCAACATTGCAAATCACTTTTACACCACCGCCTATCTGAACGAAGTAGAGACATTCGAAGACGAACTCGCTTTTCATATTGCACGCAAGAAGATTCCCTATGTCGACCTAGAGAGTGGCGAGTCAGTGAAACCAACAAAACCAAACGGAATGAAGTTGGAAAGATTTGTTTTCGATGTCTTCCCATTCACGAAGCGGTTTGCCGTGTTGGAGGTTGAAAGGAGCGAGGAATTCAGTCCTTTAAAGAACGCCTCAGGGACAGGATCAGATGATCCCGAGACAAGTCGTCGGGACCTCCTTGCACAACAAAAAAGATTCTTGGAGGCAGCTGGGGCAAAGGTGGAAGAAGGCGTTGAGATTGAAATCTCGCCTCTCGTGAGCTATGCAGGCGAAGGGTTGGAAAGCGTGAAAGGAAAGACTTTTACAAGGTCAGGAACGGTATCGCAGGTGGAAGAATTGGACGCTTTAGCATGAACAGAGTACACATACGCGGGAAGGCAAATATGCCATGGAACATCTTAATCGATACCCATAGACATTTTCGAACGGACTTTGGCATCTCACGTTGTGTTGGTTTTGTAGGGACCTTGAAGGTTTTTTTTGTGATGCAAATTTTGATATCCGTGCTGAGAGCTGGCTGGTGAACAAACATTTCACCCGCCCACAGAACCATCGACAAGTTTCTTGACACCTCGAGGCCCCTTTCTCTCCAGCTCTTCCCGTAAAGAAGCAAATAACCGTTGTGTCCGTTCAGCATTGGGTTTTTGTATGATCTGACGCGTGCTCCATGTCCAGGTTTAACGGCTAAATTGAGAGATTGGCATCTTACCTCCTTACAACAGGTAATTAGCTTATCAATGAGCATCGTCTGCCCGTTTTGAGCATCCTCGAGTTCCTTCCGCAACTGAATGTTCTAGGACGCCAGAAAGAGTTAGGGATGCAGTACATTGGTGCGAGCAACAACATGCCTCTTCCTCTTGCCTTTCAAACCGTGCTTTCTCGCCTTCGGCGAGCTGTTTCTGCTCCGCAGCACGTGCGCGAGACAGAAGTACCTCGAGCTCCTTAGAACGAATGACGCATTCAAAATGTCGTTCTCTGAGCTCGTACTGTCGAAGGACTTCCTTGAGCCGCTCACGAACGCTACAGAAATGGAATGACGACGGTGAAATAAATAAAGGGAGTGTACGTACACTCCGTCGAAGATCTCTTGGATGGATCTTTTTGCCCTGACACGTCGGTGAGTTACGCATTCTTACGCAAAAGACTGATACACACTCCACAGGGTCATCGGTCCAATTCTTCTTCAGGATTTCGCGACACGGTTCAACCTGTTCCTCCTTAAAAATTATCAACAGAGGCACGCGTTAAAATGTTCAAATTCCACCTACCCAAAATTCTGAACCACCTTCTGTCAAGTCCATCAACTCTACAGCAAGAAGTTCATCCCCCTCGTCCATTCCAATCTCTTCAGGTGTTTGGTCGGCTTCCACCGTCCTCCCGTTGTGCGTGAAAATAAATTGCATGGTCGGGTTTGATGGCGGCAACCCAGATAGGGATGTACCGGCCGCGTCAGACCTAGCTGATCCATTCGTCTGCCCCATGCTGCTCCCCTCAACATCTACCCCTTTGAGGTCGTCTTTACTTCCACCTGCCCGCTCCATTCTACTGCCCCATGCGTTGAACAATCGTGAAAATTTGGTCTTCCTTGATATTTTGAAATACAACTCTGCTCTGTAGCGGCAGACGACCTTGACAACAATGTCAGGCATTTCGCGATATTTAACATCCTGCGCTTTAGCCTTTTCGGTACGCTTTGACAGATCGTTCTTCATTTGTATCAGCTATTTAATCTGCGTAAGATATTTGAGTGAATCGTTTTTAAAAAAACACTTACCTCCTCTTGGGCCTCCTCCACACTCTGAGCAAGTCGCTTGCCATCCTCCTTGAATCTTGGTCAGAGAAGTGGTGAACCTGAAAAAGTGCTTTTTCGCCTACCCGTAAGCGTTTATTTTCCTGTGAACAAAAACATCAGAGTGAGACCAGAGAAAGAGAAATTGAAATTACTTTTTGCAATTCGCGAGCGAGGTTTTCCATCTTGGTTTTGGTTTGGTTCGCCTTTGTTAATTGCCCTTTGGCTTTTGGGGAGGCGGTTTGAATATAAATCGCCCATACAGGCAACACAACGTACCTGCATCCTTGTCTTTTACTAGCTTTTGCTTTTCTTTGGCATGATCTCTCTCCATTCGTTTGAGTTCGGCGAACTGTAATCATAAAGTCAAATTGGACGGAAGCGTAGTCTCTAAGACCCACCAATTCAATGTACTTGGAATGAATTGTGTTTTCCTCCATGCCCTTGACAGACTTCTGGGCTTCCTCCGCTGTGGTCACAGTCGTCAAGGAACGTGTAGAGGGATGGAGGTAACCAGCACGCACCAAACCTCCGTTCCTCTTCCTCTTCGATCACTTCTTCCTCCTCCAATGCTGCTATTCTATTCTTCAGGCTCTCGTACATTGTGGCGGGGTCCACGGGTGCATCATTTCGTTTCTTTCCCTTGGTGGTCTGTGAATGGTGACCATTAACAGCCGGGGGATGATGATGCTGATGTGGTGGTGGGTTTGTACGATTTTCAGGCGCTTGTTGGTTCATTGAAGATGTGGCTTGAAGTGGGGTAGCGGGAGGGGCTGTAGCAGGTGCTGGAGGAGCTGGGCTGGGAGGTAATTTCGCCGACCTGATCGGCTGGTTCTGTGTGGTGTTTACGCTAGTACCATTCATGGTGGAGAACCTAAAAAACGGAGCCGCGTGAGGCTCGAAGGAGGTTGGTCGTCGTTCGCGGGGGTAATATTAAGAGAAAAGTTCCGTTTGGCTGCAAAAGAAACTTTGTTTACGCATCCACAGATCGTTTTATTTAATGTTAATCTCATATTCACGGTGACCTACGTACGCGAAACGGATAATAATCATCCAAGCTCAAGAGCTGCACATAATTATTACTTGGAGGCTTTCAATTTGTGTGGACTGCGATAACGTGACTTGAACACACCTAAATTAGCCTAAATTTCAAACTGGCGTTCACGGTTCGAATCGACGCGCTATTCTTACAACGTTTGGCGCCCAGCTTCGCCTTGCGCTTCCAACAAAACTTTACAATTACCATAATACGCGACTAGACGACCCCCCACATGCCACATTCACCAGGTATGCCTGTGTATGCCTCCACGACGGGAAACTCCTCTCCTTTCAAAGGTCTTTCCCCCTCGAGTTCCCCCCCCAGGAAACGACAGCGTCTTTCTTCGCCCACCTACGATGAATTCTTAGAGGATCTCAGCCAAGACCATCTGGACGCGTTCGATGCCCTTGATGCCCACCTTTCTCAAGCGTCGCGAGTAATTGGGCATTCCGCAAGCAATGAGGGAAGAGGGTTGGGTCTAGCCAGGCCCCTTACCAGTTGTGCGACGAAACTGACATGGGGAGATTCAAAGTCCCACCCATCCATACATGCAAGTCTTCAGGACGATCCAGATAATCCATTCAAGACAGGAACACCCCAGTTACACAGCAAGCCAGCAACCTCGTCGACAGTTTCATTCTCTAACGTGGGATTTGCTCCTGCGCGTGGCCTGGCCAATTTACAAACGACACAAAACTATGAACGCTCGCCCTCCCCGGAAGCACCACCAGAAACCGACTATGATGCATGGTTCAATCCAGCGCCAGTTGATGTCCCTGTTGCTTTCCAGACTGCGAAATCTGTTTCCCTGGCGTCGGCCGGTTTCCAGAAAGCCTCTGCGCCTGAGTTAATAGCACCATCCCATGCCGCCCTAGCCACAGCTCGGGAGAAGCTGCGCGATATATGGGCTGATGATGGCCATGGTGCCGACATCACAGACGAGAACGACCCTTCATTTGCATCCCAGAGAATCCAAATGGAATCGTTTAAGCCTGCAACGCGTGTGCCTGCTCACTTTTCGCCTGAACGCCCTGCTTTGCGCACAATGAAGAACTTGGGCAATACTCCTGCTACACCATCCCCCCTTGCCTTTTCACGCCCGCCGGTCACTGCTTCGCCGCCGCCATCATTCTCGCCCGCTGGTCGTCTGAATCTGAACATTAGCAATGGATCCAAAGCATTCAAATCTCCTCTTCGCAGGGGACCACTGCCCAACTCAAACAAAGCTTTTAGCTCTCCTCTCAACCCCAGGCATTCGGTCATGCCACCTACGTCTACATCTGTTGGATCTACACATCCACTGTCAGCTCCACCGATTTCCCGGTCGTTTGCTACACCAGCTTCGTCAAAACAGCGTTCTAACGGTGTCAGAGTCACTCCCGCCCCGTTTGTCACGCCGTTTAAACCTGGTATGAAACCAGGTGAGCCAGGAAGAGCGAACCTTCAAGGTTCTGCTAAACGGCCGCCTCTGACCCCTGTAACGCCTACCACTTTTGTCAATGATGGCGACAACTGGTTGACGAGGGAGCGTAGACCTTCCGCAAGAGTAGCATCTTCTGGTTCTAGTACGTAGCATCCGTAAATGATTTCTCTTTCTTTCGGTGCTTACATATTATCCTCAGTGCCAAAGATTGAGCTACGATCATCTGGATTGCAACCACAACGGTATACATCTGAGGAACTTGAATGTCTTGGAGTGTGAGTCGTGCGTGGTCCATACCTTGCGCAATCTTACCCGATCAACAGAAACGTCCCAATGTTGAACCAGATGACCCCCACTCAGGCGTTGTCGTACAAATTCCGTTTTCCCGCCTCTCTGTCGCGAACATCCTCGCTGCTTGGGCCATCTGATGCTCTCGAAGCTCTTTTGGAGCGTGGTTTTATACTTGCAACAGAACCATGGGTGAAAAATCATTGGTGTCTCATTCTCTGGAAACTCGCTGGAATGGTATGTCTGGATCCTCACAGAGAGGTTATCCCAGAAGAGAAGCGATGGCGTTGGGAAGAGGTCATCCGTCAACTATTGTACAGGTAACGTATCTATGATACCCTCATAATTTATCTTATCCAGCCCTCAGATACGAACGCGAGCTCAATGGCGGTAGCCGGCCACCGTTTCGGCAAATAGTCGCGCGAGATGCGCCAGCAGCATTTCCTCTCGTCCTCTGTGTATCTGGTGTGTCCTGGTCTGAACCTGGAGTCACGGAGGATGGTCTACCGATTGAACCTCATCCTGAACTTGAAGTTACCGACGGCTGGTATAGACTACGCGCGCAGGTTGATCGACCAATGGCTAGAGCCATCCGAAAGGGAACAATTAAAATTGGCAGGAAGATTGGCGTTGCTGGTGCTCGAGTATGTGAGCATTGACACCTTCTGCAAAGCAGGACTGATTTTACGTGGCTTGAACAGCTTTCCTCTGAAAGGAAAGACCCGATGGAGATTTTGGAGGCTTACAATTCAACCAAACTAGTTATATCTGGGAACTCATCTCATTTAGTTCCCTGGCACACAAAATTAGGATTTCAACGAGGTCCTTGTGTGTCTACGCTTCACTCGTTAACGGCTGATGGAGGCGTGGTGGCCGCAATGGACTTGATAATAATAAAGGTGACTCTCTGTTCCACTCATTCAATCGAAAAATTTAACTGATTATTTGAGATGTACCCCATAGCGTTTGTTGAGTTCTTTGAGGATGAAGACGGGCAGAAGCGTCGAGAAGGTCCGAGAAATGAAATCGAAGAAGCACAAGTGAATGAGAAATGGGTGGTATGTTTTCTTCTGGGAGAAATGGAATTCTGTGTCAACAATTCTTATAGAGGCGACGCGAAATCGAGGCTTCCAAGTTACGAGGCGAATTGGAGAAAAAGACTTCTCGCTACGAGAGTTACATTGATCGCCTGGAAAGGAAGGCAGGTATAAACTTCCAACCGAAGGATGGTGGTAAGGGGTCTCTTGAGACTGTTGTCCTTCACTAACACTTCGTAGACTATCCACCAGATAAGATAGACGACCTCTACGATCAGCTCGAGGAACCCACTGATGCCGCTGGTGTTCTGGCGCGAATAAGCCCTGGCGATGCTGGCTGGCTGGCGAAGCATATTCGTCGGCGAATTGAAAGTGATCAAGAACGAATAGGAGAAGAAATCGAGCAAGAGCTTCGGGCAAGCAGACGTCCAGTTCTACGTGTCCATATACTAACTTTCATGCAGACCAATTGCCCTGCTCGCGATGTCCGCAGCTTCCGAATTCTGATCGTCAAGGACGCCCGCACGGATAGGAGGCCGGCCAATCGTACCGCTCAACTAACAGTTTGGGACGTTCTCAATCTAAGCCTCTCAGAGGGAAGTGCCGCGGGCACCTTTGAGTTGGGAAAGAGATACCTCGTAAGTCTGGTCATTTGTACCTGCACCTTAACTGATGAAAACTGGATAAGGTGACAAATGTGATACCCACCCAGCCGAACGCATGGATGGACTGCGAACCAGGTTCCGAGGTGTACTTGAGCACGAGGCGAGATAGTAGATGGACGGCCATCAAATCGAAATCCGGATGATTAGGATTAATTGACTGTAGTACGCCTAGGTAATATGAACACACGAGTAGCTAGTTAGACAGACGACAGTCCGTACTTGCTAAATACCTCCTTCCATGAACCAGTATCCTCATGACCCATGCAAACAACTGTGGCTTTGTTCCTGGATTCCGGGCCCCATACTCTGGCAGCGACGCGTCGAATGTCTTCAGGTGTCACCTGATCTATTTTGTCAGTCATTTCAGTGACTGGCACCTTTCTATTGTGTACAAGAATCTACACAGAAAATGAGTAGAGTACCACAAAGGGAAGAAAAATAGAAACCAACCTGGCGACCTAGATCCTCGACCTCAATTGAACGGCTTTCAAGCGCCATCATCAAGCTTGACTTGAGCTGGTTCTTTGCCCTGCTAAGCTCGACCTGAGGGATGGGCGAGTATAGCAAAAGGCTAAGTTGGTGTACGAGATGAGGAAGAATCTGGCTCGCAGTGTTGCCTCCCGACACGCCTGATGCAGCGGGTACAAAGGAGGCGAATAACCCAAATAGTGACGAGTCTGTGTAGATGTGGTGGAAGGAAGCACAGTGATCTATCTGCGGGTACTGGTTGAGAATGTGCGTGTAGAGGCGGGAGTACATGCCCTTCCCAGGGCCCCCGGCGGAGAAGCTGCCCCCACCACCTAGAAGCATTTGGATCGTCGCAAGAGCGTATATACCATCGTCGTGGATGCCCACCCCTTCAAAGGCGATGTAAAGGTGGTCAAACTCTGCCTCTGGGTCGTGTATAAACCGGTGACCACCAGTGTATGTAGAGGAGGGGTTTTTCGGCATATGGGAAGATAGGTTGTTGGGGAACAGATATGATGCAGCTCGAGTAAGTGATTTGGTGACGGAGGGGGATGAAGGAGAAAGAAGATGGGGAGAAGGGATGGTGTTAGAGCGAGACGTGGAGGGTTGAGATGACGTTGTGGATGGTTTAAGTGACGAAAAGTACTTGTCAGCTAGCTCCACCAGCTGTTCATGATGCATGCCAGCGCCTGCAATGACCATGCGTTCGGGGCGATACCACTCTTTAATGCTAGCCCGAAGAGCGTCGGCATCGATTTGTGATATTCGTTCTTCCGGACATAACAGAGGGTTTCCCAACCCTCCAAGACCATAAGCGACATTGTGCAATATTTCAGGAAGGATCATTTCAGGCTTAGCACTGATTTCACGAATCTCGTACGCTGCCGCGTCACGTTGTACTTCAATCTCCTCTGGTGAAAAAACTGGGTTTATGACTGTGTCCGCCATAAGGGAGAGAGCAAGAGGAGTTGCTTTGTGGAAATGCGAAGACTGGTACATCATTGACTCGCGGGATGAGGCGCAGCTTATTTGACCGCCGAGTGAGTGGATATCGTTGGACATGGCTTCGCTTGTCCGACTGGTTGTGCTCTGTGGAGAGTGAGAAACTTACTTTTAAAAAAAGCATGGGTGTAGGTACCTTGAAAGCCATGCGGTCAAGGAAGTGACTGACACCAGCTGCTCTTGGGTTCTCATAGCGCGTACCTGCGTCGATATAGAGGCCGACAGAAGAGAAATGGCCTGGGGTTAACTCTGTAGCAACGCGTATTTTATTTGGAAGAGTGGTGAGTTGAACGGGAGGGTTTGCAGCAGTGGATAGTGTTTTGCGCAAGACGGAAGATCGCATGGTGGCAAGGGAGTAAATTATGTAGAACACGTGCAGCTAGCTATCTTGGCCAAGCTTTGCCGTGCTACCCCCAGTTGCACGTGCCTCCAATATTAGATCTCTGTCCGAGTCTGTCCGTCGGCATAGTCATTAATCCCCGCGTCATCAGCCGCGTTTTCTGTCATTTGCTGAGACTTCCGCGTTGCGTATACTTTTCCCCCCTTTTTTCTTCTTCTCCTACCGTCATGCTGAACTTGACATCAGTAGCTCCTTGGCTTCAAAAACAGGGCGTATATGGGCCAGTAACAGCAACTCTCGATTGGTGTGAAGTACGTTCTCCTTCTTCTCCGTATCGGATCGCAATCCTCACCAGTCTTATCTCGCTCTTCAAGGCCAACCACCAGTTTTCTCCCTACATTGCTGAAATGGCAAACACTTTTTCAAATTTCTTTACCGTTGGCCTTGCCCTTTGCGGTTGGAGAGAAGCTCGTCTTGAAGGTTTACCTGAAAGATTTGCTGTCGGCTATGCCGTAGGTTCATCGTAAAGCGTGGTCAAATTTGAATCATGTCTCATGCCAAGCAGGGTATTGCTCTCGTCGGCCTAGGAAGTTTTCTCTTTCACGCTACTCTCAAGTTTGGGGCTCAGCTTGCTGATGAGCTACCCATGATTTATGTTGGTTCCATGAGCTTATGGCTCTTGTTCGACGACGAACCCGGCTTCGGCTTACGATCCAACCGCACTAAACTTCTAATAATCTGTTTGGCTCTTTTCGACGTGTTATTCACATGGTCCTAGTGAGCGCAATCCCTCTTCGTTGGTTTCCGAAATGTCTTCATGATTGCCCTTCATTAGCATGGCATACCGCAACCCTGTATATCACCAAGTCGTTTTCGCTAGCCTCGTGCTATCCACGACTTTCCGAATTGCCTATATTCTTCAAAAGTCGGAAGCTTCTCGCCGCATTCCTGACAAGAAGAAATCTGCCATCGGAAAGCTTTTCACAACCGGCGCTGCTCTGTTTGCTTTGGGATTTTTCATTTGGAACATGGATAACTTATTTTGTCATATACTTACACGATGGAAAATAGCCATTGGATGGCCATTAGCGTTTTTACTCGAAGGTTAGCGTGCACAGTTCAATTTCTCTTTCACTCCGCTGCCTTAACTTACTCTCGCCGATAGGCCATTCATGGTGGCATGTACTAACCGTGAGTAACTTCATTCGACCCATGATCATCATGCTGAGACCCAAAGCAGGGTTCTGGAACTTACTTCATGTTCATTGGCATTCAATGTACGTGTTTTTTCCTCCTTTCTTGTTGCCTCTTATCTGATCCTCTTTTCGTAGACGTGTGCGTTGGCATTTTTTTTCCTACCTCTGCTCTTAATTGAAGTTGTTCATCAGGACCCTGTGTGTCAAGGACAATCCTCAAAATTATACCGTCAAATTTCTATACGGACTCCCTCACGTTAGAAAGCTGCATCCCAAAGCGGAATGATAAACAATTAAAAGTTAAAAGATCGCATGATAATATACAGACATATAAGCACACGAGAAGTAGATGGAATGGGCCAATGATGACTTTATTCTATTCATCAAAGGTTTCTCCCACCTTCCACTTCGCAAAATCTAGGACAGCAACGCCTCCGTCAGAGTTCTCCTTCAGTAGTCCTTCCTTCTCTGACCAGTTACGAAGGACTTCTCCAACAAGCGGGGAATCCATTTCTCGTGAAAACATCATGAATGGTTGATTGTATAAGGACGTTTGATCTTCAGAGGAATTGACAGATGTCGTTTCGAAACCGAGGATTTGTCGTGCCAGCGCCCGTTCTAAAAACTCCAGCCTCTCTCGAAACGCGTCTGAGTTAAGCGACGAAGATATGCCCCTCGACTTGAGAGCCAGCAAGGCTAGACTGCCAATTTTGTAGTCATGTACGTATGACCCAATGCGGAGTGCGATGTCGCCGTTGGGTGAGGGTGAGTTCTCCACCACCGCAAGGGCTCGACGTAGCGAAACATTTTCTCCAACTTTGGAAATCATATCGCGAATAGAACTGCCAACCGTCCCAGTAGGAGGCGCCGTGGGATTCAACTGAGAAAGCAGGGGCGCGTCCTTCAATACGTCGAGTGGAAATGCCCTATTAAACGCTGTCGCTGAGCCAGTACGATCGGAGATGTACGCCGCCGTATGAGCGATGTCGGCCGCCAGCCTTCCAAAGAGCTCGTTCCTCCCTACAAAATCCGTCTCGCAATTCAGCTCGATCATGGCAGCCCGCACCCCAGCTACGTGTGACTCGCCGCCCCTTGACAGCACAGACACGCTAATAAGACCCTCCGGCGTCGGCCTACCCCCTAGTTTGGCAGCCTTCTTGGCGCCGCTGGTAATAAGGTCCTTTTGGAGCCATTCAAGGGCTGCAGACACGTCGTTGTTGGATGCGCTGAGGGCTTCACGAGCTTTCGTGATGGACACCTCGGTTCGCTTTCGAAGTTCTGCAACAAGCTTTAACGACGGCTTTTCTGTGGGAGCAGTGGAATAGTGCCTCAACGAAAAAGTGAAAGCTTTCCGGCAGTTTCGATACATTTCGGAAGTGAGAGAAGGGAAAAAAAAAAGAGACGTGTCCAGAAAAGGCAATCCTGCCATCAAAAGTTTTCTTTTTGCAGCTCAATGGTCCTGGATGGATAACTTCAAAGTGCCACAGAATATTCCTCAAGACTTGCTTCTCATCAGCGAGTTCATCGACGTTCCCGATGAAAAACCAAAAAAATTGGTAGTAAAACAGCAGGATGACGACATTGATAGCTCGGGGAGCGAGTCGAACGCCAGTGAAGACGAGATCGAAGCAGACCTCATCGCAGTAGAGGATGAAGACGCCGCGGTTGTAAAATCAATGTACGTCTCTAGATTCCCTTCGTTCAATTATTTACCCTTTTATTAGTCCAGAACTGTCTGATTCGAATTCTGAATCTGACTCTGGCTCTGATTCAGAGCAACAACAACACGACTCTGACGATGCCGCTAATATGCCCGATGACGATGAAGATCCGGTCCCAGCTGCTACCTCCGGAACGTATTTCCAGACAAAGCATGAAATACCTGAATATGACGCTGTCATACCTGATTTACAACAAGTGGGACCAGACGAAGTACTTGAAAAAGTTGGAGAAATTATCAACATAATGGATAGAGTCGTGATTGTCAAAGGCATGCCCTCCGAGACCCTCAACAGAGGATCTGATCGCGCTCTGGACTCCGACACGCTGCTCGTATTCGATGATAGGACGCTGTTGGGTTATGTGCGCAGGTTTCACCTATCCACACGAACAGTTCGCTCACACAATTCCAGACAGATTTACGAAACGTTTGGACCAACCTCCCAACCCCTCTACCAAGTCAGATTTTCCGCTGCCTACCCTATTGATAGCGAACGCATACGGCTCTCGCGTGAAGTCTATCACGTTCCCGCTCGGAGCCGTTTCGTTTTTGTGAGCCAGATCAAGGCCATCAAAGGAAGTGACGCTAGCAATGTTCACGACGAGGAGCCTGCAGATGAGGAGTTGGAATTTTCGGACGACGAGACCGAAGCTGCCTTCAGGAGTCGTTTGAAAAGAAAGTGCGTGTCTTTGCCATTGTATTGTGCATTTTCAGATATTTCTTGATAGACGAGGAGAATCTCGCGCTCGTTCGACTTCATCCTCCAGACAGACAACGCCCAATCCATCGCAAATGAGAGATCAGGAGTTGGAAGAGCAGACAGTCTGGAGCAGAAATGCGTACGATGAACACGGGCCTTATGATTTGGACTATAGTGATCCAGGCTCTTCACGTCCACCACCCATCCCGTACGACGATCCTTACTCCGAAAATTACGCCGCGCCAGAGAACAAAAGGGAAAGCAACACCGGACACGTACCCCAGCGACCATCAAATGTTCCTTCAGATCGTGGGTCTGGGCGAGGAAGAGGCGGTCGCGGATTTGATAGGGGTGAAGGTCGCGGTCGCGGTCGTGGTAGAGGAAGAGGAAGAGATCGCGGCTTCTCTGGAGATCGTGGGCGGGCTTCACTCGGTGGAGAACCTGGTCGAAGTGGTTGGATTGGACAATCAACGGATAAAAACCGGGGACCAGGCGAAACCTACGAAATTTCCACCTCACGACCCGCATCTCCCACGTCTCTCGCTATCGCTCGTGCGACAGGTCGAACGCCTCACAATTCCAGCCTCGAATCGCAACAAATTCCCCCCAACACTGGCACGTGGGGGTATAATCAGACGTCGTTGCAACAGCAGCAATTTTTATATCAGCAACAACAACAATTTACGTTTGGGCAGCAAATGTATCTTCCACAGGTGCAGCCCCACATTAATCCCAGATTCGCGTCTGCGTTTGGGGTTGCGGTGGGACCTGTTCATCAGCAACAACAGCAGCATTATCAGATCAATCAATATTCGCAGCCCTTCAACGGCGATGCGCTTGCACCTTCCATCGAGCCAAGTTGGACAGACGAATGGACAGTGCGAACGGATGAACGTTCCTCGTCAGGTCAACCTGGTGAATCCGGGAATACAGGTCAGTAGCTTCAGAGGAATACGACGAATGTGTATGGTCGTGATTGGATATCAACGTGGTTGTGGCAAAGACGTTAAGGATTTTAAACGTATGGATGCGACCTTCGTCCACATGCAAGGCAACTTTCTGTTCTTTCAGGATCCAAGTCGATGACTGCTTGAGCTTCCGCTCCTTCAACCTGCCACTTGCTAACTTGACTAACTATGATTCTGGTCTTACGTTATTTTTGGTTCATTGGATCACAAACGACGAACATGGTCAACGGCACGCCTCAGGCTCTCTCTTTGTCTTCTCAATGGCTTTCATCATGCAACTGTTAGGCCCGCCTTTTTTAATTCCTCTTAGGCTCCATTACTTCCCATAAGGCTTGCTGACATCCCAGCAACACTCAACTAACATCAATCGTGTCGTATCAGACGCATATTCGCTCTAATGTTGATTTTGCCACCATGCTTGCTAAACTTGTGCTCACAAGAGTCATTGGCCTCACCCTTTACAGGCAAAACAGATATCCTCAACTTTTTCTAAAGGTTGACTTTGATTTCCTTTGGATGCTCTACCACCGGACCTACCTCATTCCATAATAGAACCTCCGTTCCAAGCATGCGTTGTTTTGAAGCTCCAGAAGTCGGTACTATTTCTACTGTGCCATATCTCGGTTTTGATAGTTTCGACAGGGTCTTTTATTGCAAACACACGCTATAGTTTTGGGCACCAACCCTTCGACTGGCCCCACCAGTCATTCTGAGACTGACATATGCTGACTCAACCGACCTACACATGGTGGCAAACGCACGAATAACGCCAAGCAGCATTCAGACCTTTACACTCTCTAGCCTCACCTCCGCACTCAAGACTGCGTCAAGGGTGCATAACCATTCTCGAAGTTCAAAAATTGTGTCATCTGATATTGTTAAACGTTAAGGATCGGGGATTCACTCCTTCTTTTGACTGCTCATCAGGTCTTCAACCAGATCAGCTGGTATTTCAATCTCAAAGACTCCGTCATCGAAGGAACATTGTCGCTATCAGTGAGCTATTCTCTTTCTATCCCACTGTAATCTAAACTGGCGAGCAGATGCGCCCGAGTCTGGTTCCTGCCCATATTCTGGAATCAAATTCCCTCCTAAGTCTGGTTACGATGAACTTGTCTCTTTCATTACAGTTAAAGCCCAACTTCGAGTTCATGGAATGTTGAACTAGACAACAACCACGGTAAGTCTTGCCAACGAGGGCAACTATTCACGCTCTCCGGTCTGGCTCTTCCGTTGGCGGGCTTTTGACCTTGGGAACTCGGTCTACTCAAACACTTGCCACGTTCACAACTTCTGGGACCAGCTCCAGTTTCACGGTGAGCTCTTCAAAGGGCAACTGCGGGATCAGTAGTGGTACGTTTGCATGTGGCAGCGGTGTCTCGCAGACAGCTTTCTCCACGGTGAGTTATGATGGACTTAACCTCTCCTTCCACTCAGGTTCATGATGGGATGGTTGACCATTTAGGTAACATCTGGAAGCAACATCCTCTTAGCATCTGGTGGTTCATCTTCTTTCAGCAGTGACGGTGTTCCCAGTGGCACGACGGTTTTCACTACGCTGATACCTATACGCTTTCGATTATAGCATTTTAAGAGGAGAGGATATGTAAAGGACGACTGACCTGGCGCGGCTCAATAATCGGTTTATCACCCTGTGACCGTCTTGTAACCGTTCCGCTGCTTTTGAGATGCCTCCCCCATCCAACAACCCCGCGTTGCACCTCAGAGTTATCTCTGAACCATTCTTCGTTGTGCAACTCGAAGTCGGGGAAGAGATTCCCCAATCTGTTCTGAGAGATTTAACGAGTGGGTGTGGTGGATTCTTCTCCGTGACCCGAACGGAAGAAGAAATTTCAGTTGTCGGCAAATCGTATAAGGGGATGCCCAAATTTCACGAGGAGCGTTCAACGTGGGTGGCTATCAAGATAATTGGGCCGCTGGAGCACAGTACTTGTAAAAATTGTCGTGCTAGTGCAGTCGTTCTTACACTTTTCAGCGCTAACTGGTGTTCTGGCCAGTTTGACGGCACCACTCAAGGTGGCAAAAGTACCTGTTTTTGCTCTTTCTACATGGTAAGTTATTAAATAGATCTGGGAGGTTGGATTTAGGCACTAAAAATACTCCAGGAAAACGGACTATGTGCTCGTTCCAACAAAGAAGCTCCAAGAGGCAATAAGGGCACTGAGGGGAGATGACTGGGTTTTTGAGCAGGAGCTAATAGTAAAGAGTCGGTTGTAGCTGTTTTCAGTACTTTCGTACATACATCGTCAACTAGAACGCTGCTCGTCTCTTTTTGTCCACCGCGTCCACCGTTCGCTCCGTCTACAGCGTCGTATAACTGTTGGTTTACGCGTCTAGTGGCTGCTACACGCTACACGCACTCACAGCGAACGCATCATGGATCCCTCGTCCTCAAACATTCCCCCACAAGGTCGCCAAAAGCGCATTCTTCCATCGCGATCTAGGCGTGGTGGGCCTGGCGTGGGCAGTTGCGACATAGATGTTATGATTCTCGATACAAAAAAATGGAAATGTGCGTTCCCGACCTTCATGCACTTTGTGTTCTGATCCCTCTGCTTAGCTGACGCCGAACCATTGATTCCTGCCGACACTCCATTCTTGCTCACCACAAATACTGCTGCAGGCGCCTCAGACTCGTCTAGTAAAGCAGACCTTCAGGTCAATACTCTGGGCAACGAACTCTATTTTAACCGGCCTGAAGTCTTGAAAGCGTATCGGGAGCAGCTCATCATTCAAACGCCTGAATATACAAACATCTCCGATATCCCTGTGGTTGGTGGGAGGTTTCGGGTGAGGAATTCAGAAGAGGTGCTTTTTATAACTCGTGGTTGTACAGAGTCTCATCAACTACTGTTTAGGAAACCGTCGATACCTCTGATGCTGCCTACGAAAAACGTCATCGGAAATACGAGACCTTTGAAAAGCGTCTACGACTTCGGGAGAAGGAGAAATTGAAACATGAGCATTACAAGCTGAAAGAAAGAATCGAACAGCTTCGTGCAATGGACGGCTCAGCTTTCTTGGCTCTCCCTGCATCTTCTTTCACGCCGATTCCTGGCTTTTCTCCCAATGATGGCGATGATGGTATTGGAAATATTCCTGGAACACATATCAACGGCGCTGCAGCTCATAATGAAGGTGAACGACGCAGGAAGGAAATGCTAGACATTGCTTCTTCCCTCGACGAGAGATACAGGGTTCTTCTCCCCCCAGATCGGGTTAGGAAACCTGTGGAGCATACTCCTGTCGATATTACGGAATATCCAAGCCATGGTGGTCGGGGACAACGGCATGAAGACGAAGATATCGAGCTTGATGGACCAGCTATGATGACAATCAGTGTGCAAAAGGAGGTGGAGAAGCTCAAGTTCAAACTTCCTGCAAGATCTAGCACTTCCACGCCGTCTGCTCCCTCCCCAAAGCTAACATCTACAAAGAAACCAAGACTGAGCGCTCCCCCACACAAACAACCAGTAGCTCTTCCTAAAGAACGGGAAGCTCCTTCCGCTTCATTGACACCACCTCCACCCACTCCCGAAGTCCCTATTGAACCTAGACTATCGCTGCCTCCTGTTGTGGAGCAAGAACCCGAGCTACCCGCATCTCTTACACCTCCACCTCCCAACGAGCCACAAGTGGCCACCAGTCCGGTCCCATCCAACCACGAAACACATAGTGGAGATGATATGGATATATCCAGTCCTGAAACTGTTGAGACTCCGAAAGAGGCTTCAGCAGAGGCTCCAAAAGAGGCTGCAGAAGAGGCTTCAATAGATGCCGCAGAAGAGGCCTTAAAAGAGGTTACAGAAGAGGCTCCAAAAGACGAGGAAGCTGCTACTCCCGCAGCCGATGAGGAAGAGCTTACATCTCGCCCCACCAAGCGTATAAAGATATCCGAACCTCCAAAGTCACCTCACTCGCGCGTGTCTCTGCCGCCTTCCCAATCCATATCTGTGGCCAGCCGTGGTCTCTCACGCGGAAGATCGACACATCCACAGGGGTACAATAAAAAGCCTACTGGCGTGCCATACGAAAGTGCTTCGGGCGAGAAGGAATATACAACTTCCCTATTAATGATTGCCGCCATCCGTTCCTCGGCAGGGACCCTTCACAGAAACGCTCGTCATCACAAAGCGTTTGGTGTCAAGGTGCCAAATTCGATCACTGATGCACAAGATTTTCTTCTCCCAGACTGGGCTCTCCCCTACGACGACGAGGATGAATCGGATGAAGATGAAGAAAAAGATGGTCCTTTGGGATCCGATAGACCAACGGAGAGCATTGACGGGAGAGAGCATTCACCTGAGACTGGCATTGAGGGTGAAAACCCCCCCAGCAAGATCAATGTGGACTCGTAACGTCTTTTTTATTTCTTTTTTACTTTTTTTTCGGTTTGAGATCTTACTGCATTTGTTTGGCTGGTGTAAGTGCAGCTAATGTACCTGTACGAAAAGGGGGAGGAGTATCTTAATAGTTAAATTATACACATTTCCCCCTATTCCCCAACTCTTGGCCCCACTTGAGATCCCTCTACCTCGTCGCATGTTGGATGATCTTTAAAGCATCCTGACGAAGATGTATGGGAACATCTTGTCTTTGAGAGAGGACATGGGCGGCATGCTCAATAGGACCTAGCTTGTCAGGTGTGGTGGTGTAGACCTTTGTAGTCCCAGTGATATAGTGGGTGTAATCGCCCGCAAACCTTCTCAATAAATAAGCTTTGGTGGACTTCGTAGATTGTACTTTTGGCGGAGAAGCGTTGAGTCCAGTGCTAGGGCTGGTTGGTATGTTGCCAAAAATATCCGTCAGATCAGCGGATACCTCCTCAGCACCTCTGAATTGAGGCATCTGTACCCCGAGGCATATTAAATTGTCTTGCGCTTCTAGGGCCTCCTCATCATCCAATGTAGGATGTTCGGTAGCGGCAGAGGATAATCTTTGCTCCGCGTCACCAGTAGAGCGCCCGCTCGTTACAACGTTAGTCTCGCGACGTTCTCGCTCGGCCCTTCTCTGGGCCAATCCAGCATTATTGCGAGACGCACGAGGAAGTCCACTCGTCAACGGGACTACTTCTGCCGCTTCTGCTACAGACTCAGAAAGCATGTGAGATTCTCGCTCGGCCCTTCTTTGAGCAATTGCAGAATCATTGCGAGGCGTACGACGACGGGGGTTTGGGGATGGCACCGCTGCCACTTCTTCAGAGAGGTTGCGGGCTCCTTGTTCTGCCCTTCTTTGGGCAATTGCGGAATCATCACGAGGCGGACGAGGGGGTGGGCTTGCGGGCGGAACTGCTGCCACTTCTGCCACAGACTCAGAAAGCTTGCGGGCTTCTCGCTCGGCCCTTCTTTGTGCAATTGTAAGATCATTGCGAGGTGTACGAGGGAGTGGGCTCGGGGATGGGACTGCTCCCGCCACCAACTCTAGAGAACGAAATTTTTCGCGACTGAGACGCTCTGCTCTTCTTTGAGCAGCCACGAGATCTTTTCGGGAGAGGGAAGTGGGGTCCTGAGTCGGTCCGGGCTGAGGAGGAGTGGTAGCATGGTGTGTTGTCTGTCGAAGGCGGCTGGACAAGTTACCACTATTTTCTATCGTTTCCTTGGACGCTGCACAATAATTTATCAGAAAAAGCTGCTTCAATGTTTGTCATAGGTCAACGCACGAATGACGGTGGGACTTGGCCGGATGCGCGACGAATCATTGAACGGTATACTTGACGACTTTTGAGGTTTCGTTGTACTGAAACGAGCATTCCTCGGGTAAGATATAAGCGATCGGTGAATGTATGGCCGACAGCGCAAGCAATGCATCGTTGTTGAGGATTGAAGCTGAAGCTTGAAGCTTGAAGCTTGAAGCCTGAAGGTACTTGCGGACTCAATTTTGAATTCACTGAAATATTTGTGTTTGGCCTTGTCTCTTTCTGAGGCTGTCGGTACGGTTGTGAAAGTGCTCGCTGTGAAGAAGTTGCCCGTCGCCTTTCATGAACGCTTTTCTTGGCCGCCTCATCGTTAACTTCGTCCTCTGCCTTATATGTTTTATAGCTTACTCTTCTCAAATATTCATAATCTGGCCTTGGTATGGCGGCGTTCTGTCTGTTGAACTTCTAACCCTTCTGCTCCCTTTCAAGTAAGTTGCTATCTGACAGCTTCGCATTTCTGACGACTTTCAACAGCGTTTTAGTCTTAATTCTGCTTTGGAATTACTGGCTCTGCGTGGTTACAGATCCAGGGCGCGTGCCAGATTCATGGGTTTGCAATCGTTCACTCTGGTAGAATTTCCTTCGGAATAAACATCATGCGTTAGAAACCGGATACTCATATGGACGGATACGAGGTCAAGAAGCTCACAGGTGGTCCAAGATATTGCAGGATGTGCCAGAATTACAAGCCGCCCCGAACCCATCACTGTAGGGATTGTAATAGGTGTGGCTACTTTGAACATGTGCTCAGCTTTTGACTTACCGCAGCTGCAGATGTGTTCTTCGCATGGGTGAGGTCCTTACACAATATGCTTTTGGCTTCTTATTCTTTTTTTAAGATCACCATTGCCCTTGGATAAACAATTGCATCGGACACTTTAACCACGGCCATTTCATTCGTTTCCTTTTCTATGTCGACTTATCTTGCTCCTACCATATTGCAATGGTAACCAGACGAGTATTCAGTAGTATGAACGGGCATTACTGGGATGAACCTTCCAGTTCGGAACTCGTCATGATAATTTTGAATTACGTTGCCTGTGTGCCAGTGCTTGTTGTTGTTGGAGGGTTCAGGTGTGTTGGTTGCTAAATAGTCTCCACGAGGCTCGACTGAACATTTTTATATATAGTTTATATCATTTCTACAGTTTAATGGCGAATACCACAACAATAGAGGGGTGGGAGAAGGATAAAGCAGCTACTATGGTCAGGAGAGGACAAGTCCGTGAGGTATGTGCTGTGTCATGTCATTTGCTTTCTCTGACTCTCCCGCCTCAGATTAAGTTTCCCTACGTATGACTTTCACGACATTCCCTTTTTCCTGATTCTCGCTTACCATCAGATGTCAGGACCTTGGTGCAAGGCGGAATATTGAATCGATCCTCGGTTCTCGACCTCTATTTTGGTGCTGGCCAAGTCGTACACCGGGCAATGGCCTCAGATACGAGCTTTCTAACCGAGATGGTAAGTGGCAGGAACTTTCGAGTTTGCGCGTTCGGGAGCGCGAAACCGAGGATATTGGGCAGTTGGCGTAAGCCATACTTCTCATTGTAAGTTAGTGCCACCACTCCGATTCCCATTATCTGCTCGATGTGCTTACGCCTTGATTTTGGCTCCGCCTAGTGCATCTCTATTCTTCAGTCGGATTGAGCATTACTGATGAATGTTATCCTCCACAGATGTCACTGAGGCTTGGCCCCCTCGCGACCCTGACAAGGAATCAAGATCCCACGAGATGCAAGAGATCCTTAGCTCCTCCCCCTGGACATACGAAGGTGAATCACTGAATCCGAGTCTGAAGCCATCGAATCAGAGTGGCCGCAACGCTAGGAGGCGTCGAAAAATTGACGCTGCAGGGATCTCACCGTTGCCCCCGTACCACCCTGATTATCAGGAAGGCGGAAATACACTGTATGGGGAAGAGGCAGTGAGCTCGGACGAGTACTCTTCATCGAGTGAATCCCAAATCAGAGACCCGCGAGTTAGACATGGTTCTGAAGGTTTCGAGGTTCGACAGGATGATAGAGAGGAAATGCTGAGGCGGTACATTGAGGAATTGGGCGAGGAGCCAGGGAGATATCTCCGTTATATACCACAACCTGAGAGTGATTCAGAGGATGATCTGCCACTTGTGTGTGCGACGCATTGATCACAAAAACTATCAGAACTAGATATATAATACACATTGGATGGATAATCTCTCTGGCTGAGCAAATTTCTATTGAGGTGATTGTGGGGCCGCCACTGCTTCCACCACTTTGACCCGGGACCGAACATCGTCCACTGAAGCCTCAATCGGTTCCAGAAGCTTGGCAATCTCTGCCTTCAGCTTTAAGTTGTTGGTCGAACAAGACCGATAGATTGACTCCAAGACTGGAATGATTTCCTTTTGTACCATATCTTGTATTAATGGATGCAGCTTGGGCAGTATATCTTCAACTTTCAAGGGGGCTGGCTTCGGTTTGGCCTTGCGGTACTTGTGCAGTGTTTGAAGTTGCTCCGTCAGTTCCTTGATACGAGCCGAATCTTCCTGGTGCCAGGTTTCGAAATCCTTGAGCTGAGATTCCATCTATGCGCAGGGGAGTTATATAAAGAACAAAAAAAGAGATGGATACTTGACATCCTCACCTGGTCGCAAAGTTGATTCATTTTCTCTGTCTCTGCCAACAAAGAATCAAGCTCATTCTTGTTTGAATTAATCTGCTCGTATAGTCCGTTTGCCTTCTCGACTTCTTTCTCAAGAAGAACACCAATTGATTTCGACCGGGAAGAGACTTGCTCGAGTTTTTTCCGATGTTGGGCGTTTCGTGATTTCTCCAAGTCGCTTCGAAATCCTGCCAGGCGCGTACCCAAATCCCGCGTGTATGCCCCAGAGTAGACATCCTCAGACACGACGTTGGCCTGACTCTCTAGCTCTCCCAAAACATCTTTCAGGTCTTTCCAAGACCAAGATCCACTTGCACGAAGGTCCCCTGCTGTCTTCCGAATTCGATCAGCCTGTTGGCCCGGCGTCGGTGGCGTTTTGTCAGACTCCTGGTTTGCCTCGGCTCGTGCAAGTACAAGCCGCTTGTCGAGCTGAAGGCTCTGGAACCAGTCACGAAGCTCCATTGTATACTCTGCAACCTTCCTTTTATCGAGCCCCACATCGCGGTGATGCGAAGTCTTCATGGGAAACTCAGGTAACTCCATAAGATGCTGAAAAGCGCGGCTCTGACGTTTCTTGAGATCTTGAACTTTGTGCGCGTAGATACTACGCTGGTGATCAAGCTTGACTCGTGTGGCAGGTGTTGCGCGGGAATATATGGCTGAATTTTGCGTGCGCTTCCATCTATCATCATCGGCCACTGCACGTGACAACTGCATCTGGAGTATGGCAACAGTTTGAGTGGCTCTTCGAGGACAATGAGTTATTAGAAGAGAATGTCCCGTAAGCAACAATAGACATACTTGATGACCCTTTCATAGAGATTGGCACGACCTTCGGAACTACTGAACCGTCGCGAGACCTGCGATTTATGCTGAACAGAGGATTTATCTGAAGAGTTTGAAACCATCGGTTTTGCCTTGGATGGTAGGGGAGGTTTGGCAAGTGGCACTAATGCAGGTGCAGCCGGGACGCTGGGTCGTCGTCGTGGATCAACTTCGGTTCGTTTCTCCGAAGCACGATTACTGATGGGTTCTGCCATTTCGACGTCCTTCACGCTAGCAGCGGCACCCGATCCGCGCGTAGTTTGTTTGTTTTGAGCATAGTCGTTGAACAATGTTCTTGAGCTCCCCGCTGATGAAGTTTGTAGGCTGCTGGATACGGCCCAGCCACTTTTTGGCGCGTCAGCCTTATCCTTCTTGTTGTCTGCATTCTTCGTAGTTGATTGGTCATTGGAAGACGAAGCACCCCATCCACCCCAACCCCATCCATTATCCTTCTTGTTGTCTGTGTTCTTCGTAGATGATTGATCCTTGGAGGACGAGGCACCCCATCCACCACCACCCCACCCGCTATCCTCCTTGTCGTCTGCGTTCTTCTTTGCTGACGACAGATCACTGGAAGATGAAGCACCCCACCCACCCCCATCCCCACCCCATCCACCTCCAGTTCCACCCCATCCGCCTCCAGTTCCACCCCATCCGCCTCCAGTTCCACCCCATCCAGTTCCACCCCATCCGCCACCCTCTCCGTCAGCGATAGAACTCCAGCTATTCCCAGTAGAAGGAGCACTCCACGACGAAGTATCTGTTGCTCCTTTATCTTTGTCATTACCGCCACTTGACCGGGACGAATCTGCTTTTCCGGCGCCACTGTCACCTTTCCCGAATCCTCCCCATCCCGAACCAGAAGAACTGTCTGCCGTTGTACGACCCCATACTGAAGAATCAAGAGGATCAACTCGGGATTTCGGCACTGGTGGAGGTGCACCCCATGAATCTCGTCGTGCACTGTGTGGCTACAAGACTTTTCTCATTTGTGAATGATTAACTAGGAGAATACGTGCATACCGGAAAAGAATTGCGAGAAGATTTTGAGATAGGTGCTCTCTCCCAGGCGGGATCATCAGGATGGATAAACCTGCAAGTATCTTTTTTAATACAGCCTCTACGAATGGGCCCGCCTTGTTCGTCATAATTCTGGCAGACGTTATCAGCTAAGAGCGAGTTAGTTTTTACAAACATCTCACACGGCAGCGGGGCATATCAGAAGGCATGGTTGTTCGAGGACAAGATGGAAAACTAAACAGATTTCCCACAATCATCAAGTGACCGCGACTCATGTTATGACCTTGCTTCACAATCTTCTTCCATGTCTGCGACCTCTGGATCGTTGCTCATCGAAGTTTGCGTAGACTCCGTCCAATCTGCCATAAAGTAGGTTCAATTTATCTGTATACTCTCCATCTCGGACTCATCGCCATAAACTATCAGTGCTGTTGAAGCTGGAGCAGACAGGCTCGAAGTCTGTGGAAACTTGGGCATCGGGGGAGGCACCACTCCTAGTCTTGGTCTTGTGAAATCCATTCAGAGAGCTGTCGACGTTCCGCTCATGGTTGGCAGCGCGGCAGAGGAATCGACTGGCTTCTGATAACGTTTCACAGGTGATGGTGCGTCCTCGCATCGGTGATTTTCTTTATTCGGAAGAGGAAGTGGACGTCATGCTAGAAGATATCCGAATATTCAAACAACGTAATGTACGAGGGTTCGTAGTTGGTGCTTTGTCAAAGGATGGTCGGGTGAACGCTGAGGTGATGAAAAGGTGCGACCCATAATCCCGGCGTTTATCAAAAACACTCATTTTTTTTTTCAGACTTGTCGACGAAATCTTACCTTTCGAAGGTATGAAGTAAAGGGGTGTTGAAGACAGCTCTCATCGGGCGTAGTCTGCTTTCACAGAGCTTTTGACATGACCCGGGACGCCCAGGAAGGTCAGCCTGTTATTTGCTCAACCTATGCGTTCATACGTTGACACATACTCAGCTTTGCGAGATATCGTGGATATCGGAGGGATATCTCGTATATTAACTAGGTACGGCCCATACATCGCCAGAGAAGCTACATATCGACCAATTCGACAGTGGACAAGGCAAGGCGGCGCATTTGGCACTTCCCATGCTGGAAGAGTTATTCGAAGAGGCGAAGAGCCTTGTTGAAGACGAAGTGTGGGGATTGACGCTTATGCCTGGTTCTGGAATCAACACGAAAAGTGTTGCAACTGTTCTAGAAAGCTTATTGCCGCGAGGACTTTGTGAAATCCATTTGAGCGGTGGGAAATGGGTAGAAGGCGAAATGGAATTTAAACGAGCTGGTATGGGGATGGGAAGTGGTGGCGAGGGAAATTGGGGGATATGGGTGACGCAGGAAGATGAGATACGAGGAGTGAGGGAAGTCGTGGATGAAGCGCGCTAAGATTATACCCCGCAGCGCCGTGTCGATTCAATAGTAAGCTTACCGAAGTAACCGAGATAACTGAAGGCTAAAGGCTTGGCAAAACCATTATATAAATAGATCACCTGCCGTCCAAACCCCCGCCTCTTCTCACCTCCTGCCGTTCCACTTGTACTCAATGCCCGTTGAACAACTTGCTTCACCAACACCCAAGATATGGTGGTCCAATGCCATCTTCTTTGTTCTCGTGCACCTCGCCGCTCTGGCTGGGTTTATCTACAACCCAATATGGGAAGCTCGGCGCCCTACCCTTCTCATGGCCTTTTTAATTTGGCAACTGGCAGATTTTGGGTCGGTCATCATTTACGCGTTGTTGTCTGTCTCTCACTCGATTGCAGAATTACCATTGGCTATCACCGTCTCTACTCTCATAGGGCATTCTGCGCGTCTCTACCCGTCCGCGTTGTGTTAGCGATTCTGGGGTCATCGGCCTTCCAGGGATCCATTAAGGTGCGCCGTCCATCCTTTTGTTTAACAGATCTCATATAATAACGCGCATATAGTGGTGGTGCGTAAGAGAGCACCAGCCTAGCAGCCTGTGACGTTCCTTATTTTGTCACCCATATCCAGGTGCCTTCGACACAGACTTCATCATGTTCGTCGCCCGTGTATTCATATTTTATATTTTCTCATGTTGTCACAGAGGTTTACCGATGACCCAGTTCATGATCCGTCAGATTACTTTTCCATACATGAAATTCGTATTCACCGAAACAGGTTATAGATACGCTGCTACCCGAGGTCTCTTTTACTCCCACATGGGATGGATATTTTTCAAACCTACATACGAGCGCATGGGGCTCGTTGAACGTGACGACCTCGAAAAAGATCCGGGTGGGTGGAATATTTAAAGAAGTTGGAAGTAGCTCTAACACTCTCTGCAGTCGTCGTGCTCCAGCATAAATATTATGGTCCACTTTCGATCATCCGGGTATTTCGTTTTCTCAAGCCTTCTCTATAGTTCCTTTGGCACTTGCGTTTGGTTTTGTCCTCCCAACCCTTCTCGGGTCCCTTTGGGGTGATGCTATCGGTGGCTTCATTTGGGGAGGACTAGTCTCGCATCTGTTTAGTACGTTTTTCACGTAATACCCGTGCAACAGCAAAGTATTCATCCCACGGTCTCTCTAGTCTGGCACTGCACCTTCCTTGTAAATTCGTTCGTCACTGTTTTTCTTTATACGCATGTGGGACTGAGGTGGAAATGCAAGTCTAGCACACTGGAATGGATTGCAGCCGTATTCCGACGAAGACACGTCGAGAGGAAGTCTTGTGCGTATGGGCTATTGTTGCAGAAGCCTAGCCGACAGTTTCATTAGATTCTTGCCCTTTTGACGGGAGGAGAAGGAAACCACAATTTTGTAAGCAACATTTTTTTTTGCCTTTCTGGTGCTACAGGTCTGATGAGTCCCCCAGCATGTATGTTGGCTAATCTTTGCAGAGAGATATGGCTTACGCGTCTGTAAAGCATGCTTTCCCACATGACTTTCGCTCTGGGCCATCCTACATGGACTGGGACCCCACCAAGTGGATAATCCTTGGTTTATACCAGCTTAAGCTTGTCTCTAAATTGCGGCGAGCCCGAGAAGACGATCTCGTTGAGGCAGTGCAGCGCATGCATAAAAAATTGTCCGACGGAGAGGCCGAACAAGAGTTAGACAGTTGGTATGGCGAAACCTGGAGAATAAAACAACTTGAGGAGTATGTCGAGGTGAAAAAAGGTGCATGTGTCGTCGTGGTCGATGGATTTGCTACAGATGTGACTTCATATCTTGGCGAACATGTGAGTTATACTCTCATTGATAGCTTGGACGTCTTTTCATCCGATTCGTAGCCTGGCGGAGCGAGTATCATGCGAAAATATTCCTTTCGACCTCGGGACGACGACAGCGCACTTTCGAAGCGGGCAAGTTGGGCGTTTCACGGTGGGCTCAACAACCATTCCTGGGCCGCGAAGAAACGCATGCGAGAATTGAGAATTGCCAAGATTGTAGATTAGATAAAGACTTTTACAGCTGACTGCATAATCGTAGACCACTCCGAAATTTCTTTCGAGCGCCCTCTAAACAGCCATTTTAGATAAAGAAGCCTTCGGGTGATACCAGCTGCTCCATGAAGTTCAAGCTGGCAGAAACAACGCCACATAGTCACGTGACGTAATATGGAGGTTGGGTTCATCCGCCTGTTTTACTCCTGCTCATCGCATTTAAACCAATATCACGCCGACGTGGAAAAAAACTACACGGGCTGAGAAATGTCAAAGAGAGAACACCCCAGGTCGAGTGGTGCGGTGGCCGTCGACGATTTACGAGTGAAACGTCGCCGAGATACAGTTGGCTCATCCTCCGACATGGATATTACAATGTCCGACCCAGTTACGGTGGATGTCGATGTTACAGGTGGAACGGTGGTTGGAGATCCAGAAGTGGTCAAAGAGCAGGGGTTGACGTTGTGGCAAACCGTGAAAGATGCAGTCAACAAGGAGTGAGTGAGCCTTCCTGCCTTATTCGACCTTTTCGCATCGTTATGATGTCGCTGACCTTTCAACTCCCTTTTTTCACAGGGGCCGAGCGCTCTCCTTGGACTTTTTACGCAAACCCTCCAAACGCCTATATGCTGACTACTACGTGATAATAAAACAACCTATTGCTCTGGATGACATCAAAAAGAAGATTGATAATGGCGGTTATGCATCCCTTGAAGAGGTCAGACAAGACTTTGAGCTCTGCTTCAGCAACGCAAAACAATACAATATGAAAGATAGTCCCATATGGAAGGACGCAAAGGAGTTGCTGGTGAGCACTTCTCCGTTGCTTGCATATACTGCCTCGATTCTTACGCCTGCATTAATGTCCCCCAGAAACTGACCAACAAAACATACAATAAGCTAGCCCCAAGCAACGAGGACGGAGGGGATGGAGAGGATGAGAAGGGTAAATCAAAGGCGCCAAACCTGAATCGCTTGATCAAGTCCAGGCTTCAGAAGCTAGTGGACAAGACTGACCCATCGTATGTCTCTTTGTTGTTTCCTTGATTCTTTGGTTTATTTGCATCTTGACAGGGGCCGTACCATGTCTACAGTCTTTATGGAATTACCTTCCAAAAAGGAATGGGCAATCTATTATAAGGAGATTAAGAAACCACAATGCTTAGAGAACATCTTTGTACGTTGGATTTCCTGGTTCTCAGATAACCTTTGGCTTGAATTCGGTTTAGAAACGCATCAAACGAAAGGAATACGCCTCTGCCGCGGATTTCGCAGCAGATGTAGAACTGGTCTTCTCCAATGCAATGACTTTCAACCAGGAGCACACACCCATCTGGGAAGATGCACTTGCTCTCAAAGTACTTTAGTTGGTCGTATGATGATCCTCAATGACGGCTGACTGGTAACTCTAGAAATACTTTCACCAACTCATGGCAGATCTACCACCTCCTTTCTCGATTCCAGAGTACACAAAACCATCAAACAAGATAAAGATAAAGCCACAGGCAACTCAGTTGGTGGCCTCGACTTCAACGCCTTCTATCGCCAAGACCGAACCCGCAACGTCATCACTCCTTCTCCGTGTCCCTGCGAATACGGCTACGAAAGCACCATCACAACCTCCCGCTCCTTCCCCGACCCTCAATTTTGCCGCTCTTCCAGCTTCAAATGCGATCACACCCGCATCGTCAGTTGCAACCGTCCAACCACCAAAGGCTCCAACGAAATCTGCTACACCACAGCCTATCGTGCCTGGGACATCATTCATAAATTCAACGGCATCCCACTATCCACATGCGGCGTATAAACCCCCAATTTCTACCTCGAGCACGCCTATTCCAACTTTGTCAACTCCCATCCTACGTCCGAACTCGATTTTAAATGCACATTCGACATCGAACTCCCCTGCTCCTATACCTTTGCATCCTTCACATCAACTGAAGTCTGTATCGCTTCGGATACAGCCTCGTGGAAGGTTGTTCAACCTCAATCATCAAGACGGAGTCAAGAGCTGGGCCGTCCGACTGGTTCCAGGGGAAACTGGCGTGGTTGTGGCAGATGTCTCTTTCCTTGGTGATCCAGAGGAGGAGAGCAGTGGTGATGAGGATGGAGATCACGATGAAAATGAAGATGAGATGGAGGTTGATGTTCCTGTTAAGAATGGTCGAAAAAAGGGCAAGGGTAAAGGAAAAGCTAGAGTGACGAGGAGTTCCAAGGCATCTCCTTCAAAAGTCAAAGCGGTGAAGAAGAAGGTGGAGAAGGTGGGGGAGGTGCAGCTCAAGGTGAACGGGCTGGTTGTGAAGGAGCAGCCTGAGCAGCCGGGTGAATGGAATGTGCATCTTCCACTAGGTTCGAATACTTTGGAGGTTGGAGAAGTTGGTGGTCTCATCTGGAAAGTGTATGTTGAGCGGCTTGGAGGTATTTAATACTATCACTCTGTAGATAATACTCTTAGAAGAGACTTTAATTTCCTGATGACGAACGCCAAGCACAGATTGAGTATGTCGGGAGATTCCGATACTATCACTCATCAGTAATAAGCTTTGTCTAAAACCTTGAGTCTTGACTCATGAGCGCAACAACCAACGCTGAAACTAAGCTTAATGGCGACGAGGACCCATCTCTTGAGGTTGAAGAAGACGACGACGTAGAGGAGGTCGGTGAAACGGGGGCAACGGGTACGTCGAACACGTTCTGTGTAATGTCCCCGATCTCACAGTGGATTGTCCACTACTGAAGGGGACGCGAAGAAGAAGAAAAAGAAGAAAAAGCCAAAAAAGAAGAAGCCTCAACAGTCAGACCCCCCGCGTGTTGGCTTGTCCAAGTTCTTCCCTGACGGTATATATCCAGAGGGTGAAATCCAGCCTTACAAGGATGAGTGCGTGCACGTCATTTCTCAGGGTGGCAGGGGATAAAGTTAATCTTTCTTTCTCAAGTAATTCATGGCGCACGACGTCGGAAGAAAAGCGGTACGACGAGAGGATGGCAAACGAGGATCCGGAAAAGACGTACCAGAGCATTCGCCGTGCTGCAGAGGTTCACCGTCAGGTTCGACAACATGCGCGGAGACATATTCGTCCGGGTATGACGATGACGGAGATTGCGAACAATATTGAAGATGGGACTCGCGCGCTTGTGGAGGAAGATGGCCTTTTATCTGGGGTTGGGTTTCCGACTGGTTTGAGTTTGAATAACTGCGCGGCGCATTATACACCAAACGCTGGGGATACAACCGGTTTGTTAGGTTTCGTTCTTCTGCTACATTGGTGTCTAATCCCATTCTAGTGCTTCAGAAGGGAGACGTTCTGAAAGTGGATATTGGTGTGCATGTCAAAGGACGGATTGCGGACTCTGCGTTCACGCTGACTTGGGAGCCAACGTACAACAAGCTTCTTGAGGCTGTAAAGGCCGCCACTGATACTGGTATTCGTGTATGGATATATTGCTTTGACTTTCTCGCTGTGATTGATTATTTCGATCAACAGGAATCAGGAATCGACGCCCGGTTAGGAGAAATTGCTGGCGCTATCCAAGAAACGATGGAGTCATATGAGGTAGAGGTTAATGGGACCGTGTATCCGGGTAGGCAATTTTTTATTTTCATCCCATGTCTGCTGACCGTGATGGAGTCAAACCCATTGAGAATCTTAGCGGACATTCCATCAATCCTTATCAAATTCACGGAGGAAAGTCGATTCTTTTGGTGAAAAATGACGACCAGACAAAAATGGAGGAAGGAGAATACTTTGCTATTGAAACGTTCGGGTCTACGGGCCGTGGGCGGATTGTGGAAAGTGTATGGCTGACCATGCTGTTATTATCATCCGCGTCGATCTAATTCAGCGAATGCGCAGGGCGAAGTGTCGCACTATGCGAGAAGAATGGACGCGCCTCACGTGCCACTACGGTGAGTTTTCGGACGGTGAGATCGGAGCGGTTGGCTAACGGTGGATGCAGATTAACATCAGCAAAAACACTCCTGAAGAGCATCAATAAGAATTTTGGTACGCTGCCTTTCTGTCGACGCTACCTCGATAGGGCTGGCGAGAGCAAATACCTCCTTGCGGTGAGCGCAAATTTATTTGGAATTGACAAGATTTCACATGCTTTTGACTCATGAATCTTGATGTAGCTAAATCACCTCGTTGGGCAAGGGATTGTACAAGATTATCCACCTCTCTGCGACCAGCGTGGATCGATGACAGCTCAGTTTGTGAGTAGTATGTATTTGATTTATATTACCTGGTACTAATACAATAGCAGGAACACACGATCCTACTTCGGCCGACGGTGAAGGAAGTTGTTACTCGGGGAGACGACTACTGAATAGGCACGTGACGTGCGGTGAAACTACATGGTAGTATGTAGAATGTAACTTGTACTCGTACTCTCTATTTCTGCTTTGCTGCCCTCCTGGCTATTTCATTCAAACACCATTATTCAATACACTTCTATGCCTCCTCCATCTTCTTCATTTTCGCTTGCAGACTCCCTTCTGCATTATTCTACTCCCGGCGTCGCTCCCCCGTCCTCTCGTGTCGATCCGAAGCTTAAGCTACAACCTAGAACTCCCTTGAGGATGTGGGATTATTGGAAGTTCGCCGCACTCGTCGCTTCAAAAGGTACGTTCAGTCCGATTGACACTTATCACTCCAATGACACTCATCTCATTCTCAGCGACCGAACTTACTTCGGATGTTCTTTCTCATCATATATGGGGCCCAAGGCGCAAATCTTGGGGCATAGAAATGACTATTGTTACAAGCCTTATCCGTGGTGCTGAGCGTCATAGCTCACTTGTCGACATTGTGAGCTCTATGATCCGTCGCTGGGACCCTGACAATCTCATTTCAAATTCCAAAGGGCACGATTCGCATGATGATGAGCATCGGTGGTCTCGTCCCCTTGCCATCAGATGCCCTCGTGACTCCTGTTACTTTTCGCGTCAGGAGGCGTCAACTCCGAGGCATCCTCGCGGAGTACGATGCCCTCGAATCAGGTTTGCGGGAGCTTTGTGGGGAGTGGGTTGTGGGGAAAAAGACTTGGCAGCGCCTCCAGACAGAGTGGAAGGCGGGGAATCACTCCCACGGCCCTGGTGAACCCAAACGGAAGGAGCGTGTTATTCTCTACATCCATGGAGGTCTGCGACTATCATACATCATTCATCTCTTAATCACCCAGCTGACAACCCCCTTCTAGGTGCCTACTACCTTTCTAGCGCGGCCGCCCAGCGAATCATCTCGATCCCTCTTTCAAAGTACACAGATACACGTGTTTTTGGTGCATTCTCTTTTGATCTACCCTTTTATCTTGTTTACTGATTCCGCTGCATAGCTTTGGATTATCGATTGGCTCCCGAAACTTGTTTCCCTGGACCCTTGCATGACGTCGTATCCGGATATTTTAGGCTGGTAGAAGACCTGCACATACCTCCAGAAAACATCATAGTATGCGGAGACAGCGCCGGAGGTGGTCTTTCTCTCGCTTTGTTGATGTATCTGAGGGATAACAGCTATGCCATGCCGTCTGGTTGCATTCTCATGTCTCCCTGGGTCGGTCAGTAACTCATATCGCCTATGTCTTCGTGTCGTTCAACTGTTTTCTTAGATCTCACGATGAGTTGCGAATCTTGGGACTCCAACGCGCCCTATGATGTGGTTCCGTGCCCGACACCTGAAAATCATATGAACCCCATCGCCCTCTATCTTGGAGAACACACAGAGCAATATCTTACACACCCTTATGCGAGTCCACTGTTTGGGGATCTCAAAGGACTTCCTCCGTTGCTTATACAAGCTGGCGACGCGGAGGTATTACGGGACGAGATCACGTTGCTCGCACATAAGGCAACACTGGCAGGTGTTCAAGTCAGACACGAACTTTATGAAGATGCTGTACGTGTTTTCGAGTTGAGTAGATATTTTAGCTTACAAGATTATCACAGATCCATGTTTTCCAGGCCTATCCCTTCCTTGATGCCTCCCGGCGCTCCTTTCAGTCTATGCGGGACTTTGTTTGCGATGTCTTACCTCAATATCAAAGCCGATCCCCTCAACTTTTATGTGCAAATGCAGAGAAGGAATTGGAACAAGAGATTGAGAGCGATAGGGCTGTTATCGTTAGCGGAGATGGCGCCGAGTCCAACTTGGGAATGGACGGTGTCAAAGAAAAATTTGCAAAGAAATCAGACGACTCCGATTCGACCGGAAGTGAATACGATGATGCAAGTTGGGTGCAATCACCTGTGTGGCCTCGGAAACCTTCGTCTCGTCTCTTCACACTTGACAATGACGCTGATGCAGAACTAGAAGATTTAGAGGACCTTGCAGATCTAGATATTATTCCCGAATTACAACTCTCACAACCGCCAGCGCTATCAGCCCCGCCTACACCACTGCCGACAGATCCTTCCTTTACTCCAGGGCTGCGTCGCATTCACTCTGCCTTTTCCAATGTTCTTCCGCACCTAGATGCCACACAACCAGTTCGTCCTCAACCGAGGCACCATCGAAGCTCGCATACACTTCGAACGACGGCGAACTTTGGGATGTCAAGCGTTCAATCACCTCCTCCTTCACCTTCCATCCGACGCAGTTTTGCTAGCGCTAGCCATCCAGACATCACATCCCTCGTTGAAAACTGGTCACACTCCGGGCCTGCCAACCAGACGACGCTATTTACGACCCAACATTACGCGAGTCATTCATCGCACTTATCATGACAAGACCGCAAATACTTACACGCTTCTCCTACCACGTTGTACACGATACTAAATGGGGCTGCTGGCCATGACATGCAAATGTGTTTGTAAAATACATACATTATATCTCAATAGTTATTTAAATTAGTGGTATATTCATAATGTCGAAAGATGTTCACCATTGTCGTCAGCGGGGTATAAGCGTCTGCATCAACCAACATATCTGCGTCAACCAACATAATCACCCACATCCCGTTGGACACCTGACTGGATGTCCAAGCCCTTTCTGTATATTTCCAGCTCTTCGATGACGTTCATGAGGGCGTTGCACTCCCAATTGCCATACAAGAAGCCTTCATACAGCATCGTTGTCGCCAACCATGCAATGAACACGGTGAAAAGCATGAAAATTGGGTTGATCCAGGAATGTGGAAGCCATGCCGAGCCAATGATGATTGCGAGGAGTAAGATGATACACAGAGCAAATATGACAAGCTCTTTCCTAGAGCGTTCGCGCGAGAAGCGATAGCAAGCCGTGAGTGCTTGAATCGTCGTCGCAATAGACGCGTTTGAAAGCTCTTTGGAAGCTTCTGCGTTTTGGACATCACTCGCTTCGATGTGCAATGTTGCATCCAAGCCAAAGTGGTCAGAGTAGGAGAAATTGTAACCAGGAACGGGGTCAGTGAGGACGACCTTGCATTCCTTTGCTTTGAGCAAAGGAAATGTCTGTCCAGGTGAGGTTTGGTGTCTCTCGGGCTGTCGGTATAAAACATAGTCGAGGCGCTTTCCCCAGCTGCCAGCGGCATACCCTTTCGCTGCAGAGTAGGAATTAAGAGGAGAGTCTGCTGTGATGCCAAGTTTAGTGATGGCTTCTAGGGCGTTGGTCACGGATGTAGCGTCAGGGTTTGGATGGGTAACCACCCATGAGTCGGTCAGAGACGCGTGGTCTCGAATGACAGTCATTGGAAGCGTAGGTGGGATACTATTAAAATCGCCCAGCTGCGTGGTGTTGAGCATTATTCCATGCGGCAAAGAGAAATGTACGTACAGCAATAACGTAGCGACCACGCTCTGCTGCTTGGCGCGTTAGCTTGGCGAACTCCCATGCATTGACCAGGCGATGTGCTCTGTTGTATTCAGGACCGTCTTCACCACCTTTGGCGAAGAGCTGTAAGGACAATGTTAACGTTGTGTAATCAAAGACGCATAGCACATACGTGAGTATTGAATATTTGGACATGACCGAGGACGGGGTGAAGAATGGTTACGCTTGCAGCTGCTTTTCCAACAAACCAGTCACCAGCCGCCACGTCGATAGGCGACCCGTTGAGAGAATATGGGTTGACAGATGTTGTGACTATAGGGAAACGAGTGAAGATGGCAAGGCCTGCGCCAAGTGCACCGCTGACACGAGCTGTAAGGACGAAGTTGGAAAATGAGAAAATATGTCAAACCTATAGAAGAATTTTGAATGAGGCAGGCGCTTGGAAACACTCTCTAGGACATGTTCATAATCCGCAAAGACCCAAATTTCTTGGAGAGCAACAATGTCGTGATCCGAGTCCGCCAGGAAACGTGCTATGGCTTGAATGCGTTCAGTGCGGTTTTTGGCAACATACTTGAGTCCCCTGAATGAAATATTGAGAAAACAACGCGAGATATAAAGAAAGAGCAAACCAGCAATTGAGAGACAATAAACGAATCTCTGACTCGGACATGACTGACTTGAAAGAGAAGAAGTCACACCCAAGTCACCATGTAAATGATGGTGTAATCAATGTCTGCACCAACACCCAACGAGTGCGTCCAATCTCTTCGCTACACTGGCTCGCCTTACAACCCCCTCCCAGCATCGAAATTGCCACAAGGGCTGCAGATAACTTCACGCGCATATACTATGCAACCTACGACTCCGATACACGTCTGGCAGATCTTCCCCAGTTCTACCGCCCATCATCCTCCTTGACATGGAACGGGAAGCCATTCCAAGGCGCAGACGGCCTTCGACAGCTCATAGAAACGATGCCCATGACAAAACATGAGGTCCAGTCGTTCGATTGTCATCCCATACCGGGTACACAACCGCCGTCGCTATTAATTACTGTCTCTGGAAATGTCACCCATGGCAGAGGACCAGCTGGAAATCCTCCAAATACACCCAACAGAGCGACTGATGGTCATCCCCGTGTCTTCTCTCAGACGTTCATGCTCGTTCCAGATTCCGCCGCGCCCCCAACGAAGCCAGGAGAGGTAGCAAAGTACTATGTGAGCGCGGATGCTGTACGATTTGTTGGTTAGGAAGAAGGTCTGTGATACAAATTTTTCGTGTTGATGGACTCGTTCAAATTAGCCTTCCAATGAAGATTCAATTATTACATAAAGCCTTGATAAATAATGTAATGCGGCCTTGAATGGTGGTACACATTTCCACCAAACCCCAATTACAATTGAACCCGTGGAGTAGATTATTGTAGCAACAATAATGGACGAAACACTTAGAAGCCAGGCGCTCATCCGAATGTTTGACTCTATTTCACGACGGTAAGCAAAGACAGAGAGTTAAAAAGACATGACGTACCGAGCGAGCGCTGCGCTTGATTTTTGACAAACGCCATTCGTCCGGTTTCTCGTATTTGTTGAACAGCGGTTCAATCTTCTCCTGTCGCTTACGTTTGCTGATTTTGTTCGCATCAGCAACTTTGAAGAATTGTGGCGCAACCTCCACAAGCCATTTGGGTTCAACGGCTGTCACATTATGACAATACTCGCGGGTTGTCAACACAAGTTCATGGTAAACAAGCCACTCCGGGTTCCGGTTGAAAAGCGCAGAAGATGGATGGATGTACACCGGGGTACCTTCGACTAGCGTCTTGTATCCCTCTTGAGGATCTTTCTTGGCAGCATTCCGGAAGAAGCCAGAGCAAATGGCCTTCCTAACTCGGTTGTAGTCTCTGCCAGCCGACAATATGTCATGTTTATAGCTAGAGTAAAGCATCAGAATGCATTTTTTACAAAGAAGAGAGGGAGTAAGCGCACCGATCCATGATGCCAAGTAACTGCTTTCTTACATCCTGTGCTCTTCTCATGCTCCTGGCTTGGATGAAGTTCTCATAACACCACGGGTTTGAGAAATTTGCCGCCTTCCAACCATTGTAAACCGTAAGCAGGGTTAGGTGGTCACCTTCAGGCTGATGGAACTTTGCTTTCTTAGAATCAGCCTGCCCTTGTTTCTCCTTTGGTCGGTAGAACACGCTTTGAACAGAAAGCATGGCAACGATGGAAAGAATTTCCTCTGAGCATCCCAACTCTACAGATGCAATCAACATTTTTGCTAATGGTGGTTCCATCGGGAAATCAGCCATTTTTCGCCCCAACCTCGTCAACAAGCCCTCGTCATCCAACGCTGAGAGCGCATATAATGACTCCAGGGCGGTTAACATTGTCGGTGCAGGTGGGGGATCCATGAAGTCAAAGCTGAGCAGATCGTTAACGCCCATGGCCTTCAATTGAAGGATGGTAGCAGCAAGATTGGTTCGTTGGATATCGGGGATAGAGTTGGGAAGCATCTCGTTTCGATATGCTGCCTCCGTGTATAACCGATAGCACTTTCCGGGACCTGTTCTCCCAGCTCGACCAGAACGTTGCCGGGCCTGCGCTTGCGAGATAGGCATGACGACCAAGGAGTCCATTCCTAACTTCGGATCGTATGCATTCTGCTTCGAGAACCCTGGATCAATGACATAGTAAATTCCTGGGATCGTCAAGCTCGTTTCTGCGACGTTCGTAGCAATAACAACTTTACGAGCTCCAGGGGGCGTCGGCTCGAATACTCGGGACTGTACTTCGGATGGGAGGGCTGAGTAGATTGGGAGGATGAGAAGTTCAGGAACTTTGGGTCCCAGGGCTTTCATACGCTCGAAAAGAATTTCACAAGCAGTATCAATTTCCTCCTGCCCAGTGAGGAAGAGTAGGATATCACCAGGAGGTTCCGAAAGATGGATTTGCATGACGGTGATGAGAGAGGCGTCGAGGTAATCTGACTCTGGCTCCTTGGTGTACAGAATCTCGACAGGATACGTTCGGCCAGGGATGGTGAAGATTGGGCATCCGAAGAAGTATTTCGAAAACTTTTCGGCATCGAGAGTAGCTGAAGTCACAATGAGTTTCAGATCGGGACGGCGTTTAACAGCCTCTGTAAGGACAAGGTTATTGTTTATGGTATGAAGACAGAGACGAAGGACCCACTTTTGAGGAGGCCAAAGAGAACATCGGTAGCAATTGTACGCTCATGCGCCTCATCCAACATAACTACAGAATACGAGCTGCACAATGGGTCGATCAAGCATTCTCGCTGAAGCATACCGTCCGTCATGTACTTTATCCGCGTTTCAGGACTCGTGCAATCCTCGAACCGGATGGTATACCCAACTTCCTGACCAAGCCGACAACCGACCTCTTCAGATACTCGTTTCGCCACTGACATGGCAGCTACACGACGAGGTTGGGTACAACCAATCCTCCCTCTTTCGGCGTACCCAGACTCGGCAAGATATTGTACCATTTGCGTAGTCTTTCCAGATCCAGTGTCACCAACGACAATGAGAACTTGGTGCTGTTAAACTATTCAAAAATTGCTCGTGTGTGGAATGTGGCAGATGCTTACCTCCTCGATGGCTTTCAGAAGAGGATCTCGAAGCTTGTAAATTGGTAAACTCTTGCGTTGATCTTGAATGCTCAATGATGTTATTTCGCCGAATGTTGTTGCTTTGTTGAAGCTTTGTTGTTTCCAAGATGGAACCTCTCCAGCCTTTTGACCCTTCAAATTCCCGCGCAAATCTTGGGCGAACATCTTGTCTGTCTCTTTCGACATAGGATCAAGCCAAGGTTGGCTGAAATCTCGAGCCTGAGAGTCAGCCTCTTCGTTAGCTTCTTGTTGTCGCAACTCGCGTCGCTCTTTCGCAAGTGACGCTCCAGCAAGAGCAGCTCGATTGAGGGAGCCATCAGGTGCCTTGACGATCTTCACGGGACTAAGGTCAAGAGTTCGTTTCGTCTGTCCGGCCAAAAATGGCGGTTCATCTTCCCTAATTTCGACGTCTAACTCCTCTTCAACCTGAACATGCGCCATGGGATTGTTGAAGTCCTCGTCAAGGTCTGGATACTCTGATGCGTCGATTGCGCCGGACGATATCAGTTGTTTGATTTCCCAACGCTCTGGTGACGTCAGGCGTTTGGCAGACCTGACGGGTCCCTCATCTTTTGATCGTAGTGGCAAGGCATTGGCACCTGAAGATGCACGCGCTGCTCGAACGCGTTCTTCCTCTAGCTCGGCCTCAGACATAATGCGAAGGTGTGGAGTAAGATCCCGGCCCGAAACCTGGTCGACATCCTTCATAGAGAGCCCGATTCTATTGCCAGCAACACTCATCACTTTGACTTTGACTTGTTGCCCTCTGCTAAGTAGATCTGACGCTGAATTCGCTCGTGCACCAGTCTGAATGCTGGATACATGAACCATGCCTGAGGAACTGTTACTAAAGTTCATCCAAGAGTAAAAGAGAGAAATACCTTCTACTCTCCCCATAACCCCCTCCAAAGTGACGAACGCGCCAAACTCTTTTAGGCCGGTAACTTTACCATTATATATCTTAAAAATGACTGGCCGCTCGTCCATCTGTCTGCCACCTCCGTTGCGACCACCCCACCTATCATCCCTTCGATCCCCTCTTCCTCTCCCTGGACTTGGACTTCTTCTTCTAGGGGAGGGTGAGCGACCCCGCCGCTGACGTTTTGGCGATGGCTCGTCACGAGTTGGACTAGGGCGCGACTTCTTCCCAGAAACAAGGTCGCCAAGTTCTTGCAAAAACACATCATCTGGGACGGCAGGAGGTACGTCCTTGTCTTGCAGAGCAAGTCCAGGGAAAAGTCTCTTCTGCCTCTCCTTCTCGCTGAGCTCACCATTACCTTCGTCGGCTTTAGAGTTCCCGTTCGCTTTCGCAGATTTTGGGTAGTGCTTCTTATGTTTGGGGTGCATGCTGAGGATCAAACGATCTACGTTCTCAACAAAAGAATCTGGAAAGTCGGCACCAACATCATTTAGTTGAGCTTTAAAGTCGGGCAGGCTCTTGTTAGCCTGCTCATGGAGGGAGATAACGAATTCCGCAAGAGTCTTGTCATTGATCCCAGTGTAATTATCAATCTCTTGTGTTATTTTCGCGACCAAGGAAAGGAATTCAAGGTTGTAGAGGTCCTGGTCGGCCATGACTAGAGGGAGTTGAGAAGAATGGTCAATCGACTTATGTAAGCCGAAGTCGTTTCTTCAAATGCCCCCTCGTAAAGGCATCGTTAAATCAGGAAATGCAGGGAACTCATCAAAACCTTCGAAGCCTTCAGAATTGAGCTCTGCGAGCGTCCCAGCTAAGGTGGACCCACCACCACTCTTTCCCCCAGGTTCAAAGACCCCGCTCAGTCTTCTGCAGGAGAGGTTTGATTGGCAGCTCATAGTACACCACCGCATCCACTTACGTTCATTGTGTTAGATGTCAGAAATTTGGTTGGGAGAAACCGGTTGTCGACACGGTTCGTTTGTTTTGTCATTTTGTCTTGCCTTGGCCATTTTAATCTTTTCGTAGAGAAACTACGGAGAAAGCGGGTGGTCCTTTGTGGTTACATTGAGCAAGATCAGCAAGAAAACCTCGGAGCGGGAACAAGTTCGCATGTCACCGCATCCACAGTACTTTAAGCCCACCGCGTTAGAGGCGCGTCATTGGGGTGCAACCTACGCTCTGTATCGTGTTCGTACAGGCATGTTTGCGTTGATGGTGTCCCCATTTGTTTCTGAACATGTAAATTCGCTAGTTTTGCAATGGTATACAACTCGATTATGTTCTTCCCGCTGGACCCAGGGATTACTGGAAAGAGTTGGCATCAGCCCACAAAACCATTCCGGAGCATCAAAACTGGATGTATGATGCCGACCCATTTGCTGCACAACAGCGAGTTGAACAGCGACAAGCGAAAAATGCTCAAACGCAAGAAATGAAATCTTCTCAAGATTCAGATTCGCGCAAATATACACCGTCTGGTGAATTTTCTCAATTACCAGAAGTCCGCATGGCTTCCGGTTTGCGTGACTTGGTGGAGAAAGCAGTGAAAACGGTAAGTAATTCTTTACGTTGCAACAGTCTCTCTGACAATTCCGCTTTTTAGGGCTTTGAACTATACCCAGAGACTTCGGACACTGCGTCTACCTTACCCTCTCAAGAAGTCCTGTCAAGCATTAACAAGCAATTAGGCCATCTTGGTTTCAACTCGAGACAAATACGAGACGCTTCCACATTCCTTTCGACAGCCTCACCACTGATCTCGGAACTCTTCAAATCTCTTAGTCCTCTTGAAGCGTCCATTGAATACCTTGTTCTCCGGGTACCTGAATGCGATCTCCCAATTAGGTTCCTTCCAAGCAACAACTCATCAAATCCCTTCATTACTTCAGCACACTCGGGAACGGAGGATCTGAAAAAGCGTTGGATTGAGGAGAAGGCGGTGAAAGAGGCAGGATGGCCACTTCACGCCATTAAGGACTCTACATCAAATCTGGAGGTTGCTCACAATTGGGATTTACTGCTGGTCACGCTTGGTAAAAGGCTTATTGATCAAGAGTTTGACCCATCTCTGGTCCTAGACGGAGCGAAACCTTACGCCATCGACCCGAATGAGTACGAAGCGCTCGGCGCCTACCTTGAGGACCCGAATCACATTGTTTTGCCGTTGTTTACCGCACCAATCCAAGTTCACATTTTCCTTGCCCCGGATGGAGATTTTCCTCGCCCAGGTTATACACCAATATATCTCACATCAACTTCGATACCACCGTACATTCGTCTTCACCTTCTCTCGAGGCTGCTTCTAGCATTAGAATCCGACTTGCAACCAGACGAGGGACTTTTTATGGCCATTATGAGAATTTTGGAGGATGAATGGGAAACCATGGAGAATAACGGTCCACCAGATATATCTACCGTGTTGAGGAATATCCTTCCTCGTGATTCAAACTCGACTTCTGATCCCTCAGTTGTCTCCCCTCACCCAGATATAACACCTAGTGGCAAGAGAGAAAAGAGGATGATAGAACATCGCCACCACAACCCACATGAAAATAATCGAATGAAACATGACCTTGAAGTCCTTCAAGCAAGTGATAAGGTACCGATTCTAGAATATACATTCTCTCATTGAAATTCTCACGTGTCTCTATCCAGTATGCACCAATATTGGCCACGAGAAAGCGGCTGCCTGCGTTTGCGGCCAGAGATCAATTTTTGGAACATCTAGAATCGAGCCGGGTCGTGATTGTTGTGGGCGAAACGGGTTTGTGGTTAATGAAGACGTTCTTATGTCATTATTACTGAGTCTCTTTCTACGAAAACAGGCTGCGGGAAAACGACACAAAGTAAGGGCATTAACCTATTTTTGGAATGTAGCTGAACAAGGACATTAAGTTCCCCAATTTATCCTGGACTCCCTTATACTTTCCAACAGGGGCGGAGAGGCATCGATCATAGTAACTCAACCACGCAGAATATCTGCTATCTCGGTGGCTTCACGCGTTTCATATGAGCGCCTCGAGGACGGCTGTGTCGGTTATGCTGTTCGCGGGGAGAGCAAACAGAACAAGAGAACGAAGCTGCTGTTTTGTACCACTGGAGTCGTTCTGCGCCGCCTGAGCTCGGGGGACAGCTTACAAAATGTCACCCACGTTATTGTCGACGAGGTATAGCCCAATTGTTCCACTTTGTAACTTTTTCTGATTCGCCTGTGGAAGGTTCACGAGCGTTCGTTGGACGGAGATTTCCTACTCCTCGAGTTGAAGGAGCTGCTTAAAACCCATCCCAGGCTTAAGGTCATTCTGATGTCAGCAACCATCAATCACGAGACGTTTGTGCGATATTTCAATGACGCTCCCCTCTTGACCATCCCCGGCTTCACCCATCCAGTCAAAGATTTGTGTGTAGTCTCTAAAGCTCAATCTTTACATCTAACATCATTCCAGTTATTTGGAGGACATCGTTTCCTTAATGTCATATAGGCCTTCTTCCGTCAAACAGAGCAAGAAAACCGATGCTGGGGATGCTTTACGCGATGAACTAAGATCACATGGGTTGGATGAAGAAACTATCAATGTAGTACAAAGCATCAGCAAGACGGAACGTCTGGACTACCAGGTAAAATCATTGTTTTCCAGCGGCCTCTGCATCCTGATAGTTGGTTACAGTTGATTGCAGCACTCGTTGACCACATCAGATCGACTGAGACTGAGCCAGGCGGCATACTCATTTTTCTTCCTGGTGTTAACGAAATTCGACAATGTGCCGAAGCGATCCGCAAGGTTATCGGGCAAAGAGGCGAGGTTTTACCTCTCCATGCCAATCTCTCCAATATGGAACAGCAGCGGGTCTTCAAGAAAACTTCTTTGTGGAAGATTATTGTTGCTACCAATGTCGCCGAGGTCTGTATGCGGCTACCTTCCTTCCATACTCTTTTCTAACAGCACCCCAGACGTCGATTACTATTGACGACGTAACACATGTTATCGACGGAGGAAAAGTCAAGGAAACTCGATACGACTCGGAATCAGCCTTGTTGCGGCTGGTAGAAACATGGGTCACTCGTGCCGCTGCAAGGCAGAGAAGAGGACGCGCGGGACGAACGAGACCAGGGGTGTGTTATAAGCTTTATACGAGAAGGCGTGAAACAGCGATGGCCTCATTTCCGACCCCTGAAATCCTTCGGGTTCCCTTGGAAAGCATCTCATTAACGGTGAAGGCGACGAGAGAGGCTGCTGATGTCAAGGTATACATTCGACTTTAAACTGTTTACTTTTACGCTCGCTCTAACTCTTACGCTCACTTTAACTCAGTCTTTTTTGAGTCAAGCCATTGATCCACCCTCATTGTCAGCGATGAACACAGCTTGGACAACCCTGCAAGAAATCGGGGCCGTAGATTCCGATAACAAACTCACCGCACTTGGAAAACATATTGTGAGCAACTTTCCACCTCGTTTATTATCATTATGATTTTCTGATTATCTCGGTTCGTGAAGTCGATGCTACCACTTGACATCAGGCTTGCGAAGGTAGAGTTTAGTTTGATCAAACATTGTTGATGCTTGACTTGGCTGCAGATATTAATATTTGGCACCATCTTTCAATGCCTGAACCCAATCCTGACTATTGCTGCATGCCTATCCTCAAAGTCAATATTTGTCGCCCCCATGGACAAAAGAGAAGAGGCAAAACAGTAAGCTCTGAAGGAATAACCTGCTTTTTGCCTTCATTCATATTTTATTAGAGCAAGGGCCCGATTTGCTTCGGGAAGAAGCGATCTCCTTACCGACTTGGAGGCATTTAGCCAGTGCGCAAAAATGCGGTCGGAGGGGAGTTCTAATCATGCAATAAAATTGTTTTGTGAAGAGGTAAATAGTAAATCAAAATACGCCGCAATTGTTTGCTAACTTTCCCAACAGAACTTCATTGCTACGGATACTATTCGAGAAGTTACCACACTTCGACAAGATCTTTTGTCCTCGTTGGTGGAGATCGGCTTCGTACCCAACGACTCCGTTCCCACATCCCCAGAGCTCAACAAACACAGCGAAAATGTGAATCTTCTGAAAGCTGTTATCGCCGGGGGCTTGTGGCCTCGCGTCGCGCGTGTACACCTACCAAAGTCTGCTGTCAAATTTGACAAGGTTCAAGCGGGGGCAATTCAGAGGGAAAACACCGCGAACGAATTCAAGTTCTTTGATATCGGAACAGGCAGGGTTTTCCTTCACCCGGCGAGTATTCTCTTTAGCAATGCAGTCTGGAAATCCCCATTCGTTGCGTACTTTCAAAAACATATGACTACCAAAGTCTTTTTGCGAGACGCGACTGAGGTAAACGATGTTCCATCATTTACGCCAAAGTTAACCCGGATAACAGATACCACTTTATGCTCTTCTGCTATTTGGCGGCCCGTTGACTGTCAACCACGTCGCAGGGGGTCTCACTATTGGCAGCAAAGAAAATGCCGTTAAATTGAAGGCATGGCCCCGAATTGGCATCCTGGCCAATCACCTACGGTCGGCTTTACCTTTTTTCCCCATTTACACAATTAACGTTGATGTATTAGACGTTTACTAGATGCACAACTTCAGCGATGTATGGAAGGTGGCACGAATCTCAGTTCTGGTTCGGACAACCCAGTTGTTCATGCCATCTTGGCCCTTCTCGCGCATGATGGCCTGTCTGAATGATAATAATTGTGTGTATCGTGAAGACCGGTCTTTACGCACACATACATAAGAGTCCTTGTGCAATACTCAAAATCATGAACGGACGGGTATCGTTAGATAAAGAAAGGATATCAGGCTTCCAAGGTTGAAAATTTCGCAATCAACTCGGCTGACTCGACAAACCGAATGCCCTTCTTCTCCATCTCATCCCACGCAATGTTGTCGTCGGAGATGCATCTGACAGCATCGCGTACTACCCACGTGTCGAATCCAAAGGATGCTGAATCAAGTGCAGTGTACTTGACGCAATAATCACCAGCTAGACCCACGAAGAAGACATCCGTCACATTTTCCTTATGCAGAACACGAGTGAGATCGGAGTTTTGGTAATGCCATATGTCGCGAAACGCGGAGTAAGACTCTATGTCGGGATCCACTCCTTTGTGAATTATGGTGGTGAAGTCATCTGTATTCAAGCCTGGCACGAAATTCGCGCCGCTTGTACCGACAACGCAGTGAGCAGGCCATAACACCTGTTCCAGACCCTTTGTCCTAGCTTTATCAGAAGGATGGAAGATGGTGGCCTTTGTAAAAACAGGCAAGTCGTGCCTGAGTGCGAAAGAGACGTGGTTGGCTGGGTGGAAATCTTTGGTTGCGATCTTGAGTGCAAACGGAAGATCTACGAGGCGGTTCACTGTATCGACGATTTCTGCGCCCCCGGGAACGGGAAGGCTCCCAGATACAAAGTCATTCTGCAGGTCGATGACTATGAGGGCTGTTCGATCTAGAGATTTCAACGCCATGAACGATAAATGTAGGATTGATGTTGTCATGTGATTTTGCTTCAAGGTAATTTACAAAACGAAGTAAATAGCGAATATAAATGAGATGTGGATGTTGATGGTGTAAAAGTACATTGGGTTGTTGATGCTATGAGTGTAATAAAGTAGGATAGCAATCTGAGTTCAAGGGTTAGTTAGGCTTAGGCAACCACGGCAAGGAAAACTCACAAATTAGATATAGTAGCAAGGCTAAATTAAAATGACGGGGGCACGGGCGATCGCGTCGCCCAACTCTCGCTTGCAGATCTGCGCTTGGAAATAACCCTCTGCACGCGAGGAAAACGGCCGTGTGTAGAGGTAGTGGTATGACTTTGATCCCAACCATTACTCTGCTTCTCTCCAAATTCGCCGATAACAGGTGATTGTTTCGGTGTGAAACTGACTTCGTCCTCCAACTGGGGAAGCCCTGAATAGCCGTCATCTAAAATAATAGGTGGACTTGCAAAATAAGGTGCAGCATAAGGTGAAGTACGCGGAATGGGCGTTGACGTCCGTCGTTGGGCTTTGCGCGAACGAGATCGACATGTAGACGTCGCCGTTGACGGCGGACACGTGTTCGACCTCGTTGGAGTGAAACAGCGCACAAGAGATAGTCGAGACGTTGATGGGGTCTGTGGTTCAGAGTCGATTGTGATCTCGGTTGGTGTTCGGCTGCGAGAGGCGGACCATGGCGCATTAAAACCACCACTTCTTCGTTTGGCAGATTTAACAGGACCTTCGCCCTCTAGAAGATATTAAGTCATCGTTTCTTGGCTCGGTTACCACGCGACTTACCAAGGTTGACTGGGGAAGGTGTCTCAACGTGCTTGTTGTCGACGTGCCGCTTGGCTCTGCCAGTAAAACCAAGCTTCAGCTTCTGCAAACGACCCGATGGGAGAAGGGATGCCATTGAGGAGTGACGAGACGAGTCGGAATCGATCACGGAGTCGTCAATGCCATCGAAGCAAAGTTTGGCAACAGGAGGGGTAGCGGGAGGGGTCAAAGGGGGCACAACAGTGGGCGGCTTTGATGCGGCGTCTGGAAGAGGTTCCTCAATAACTGCCGAAGTAGAGCTCTCCGCCGGCAAGGTGTTACGTCGTTGTTCGGCAACTGACTGGCGGTCTGCAAAATAAACGCGCTTGGGTATAACATCGTCACCTCCTTCACGAGGTTCAAGTATGGGTGTAAGTGTAATTGGGGCAGATGCACGTCGGTTGTGCGGGTATTTTGGTAAATTCGATAAGTGAGGTGGTGTTTTCCGTTGACGTGGTATCGGCTTTGTCTGCATGGATTGCAGTGGTAAAAGCCATCCCACCCATATTGCAAGTAGGCTCTGGTCAAAGGCATGAGAGGATGGATAAGTTGATCACACGACCTTACTCACCAACGCGAATCCAGCTGAACTGAGTGTTCGTGCCAACACAATGACAAAGGCCGAGGTGGGCGCTGTGGCGCGATTCAGGCTGGTAGCGTTGGAAATTTGTGTGAATGGCGTCCGGGGCATTAGGAAGGGAAAAGAAAGGCAAACGAGGTAGGAATAAAGAGCCAAGTACTCAGCGCCATTCACGGAGCATCCGTGTCAGCCCAACATCGCGAGATTAAAAACATCAAGTCATCCCACTTTTCAATTTATTTGACGTAAGATCAGTCACACCTCGTGATTTGTCACTACAACGCGTCAGCTCATTTATTTCACACGTGATATATTGACCGAGGTTTCGCTTCCTCGGCTGCTCACTCATCTAATCCATGTCAGACTGCAGTTCAGATGACTTTTCCATATTCGATTTCTCAGCCTTCACCGAGGATGACTTTGCTCGGCTTGATGCAATTCAAAACAACATCAGTTCTCCGAGGGAAATGGAAAAGGAAGATTCCTTCCAAATCGACACGTCAGCCATCCTAAACTTGGAAAGTCTGACTGAAGAAGACTTTGCCAAACTAGACACTATGATAGCTCAGGGAGATCCCAGCATCGCAATCGAGTTGGAAGAGCCTCCTCTTGAGAAAGAGAAAGAGGAGAAGACGCCCATTCAACAGTTCAGACACAACGGAATATTGTCTGTATCCGACTTGGTCTCTCCTTTTTGGTAGGCCGATTAATGAATGATGTACGTGACGTGAAACTCTGACTTAACAAGGTGCGAGGTTCAATTCGACTATGGACTACGACAGAGACGATCACGGCCAATTGAAAAACGACCAAGATCCTTCGTTTCTTCCAAAGGGAAAAAAATATCTGTTGCAAAGTCTGTCGCCGCTAAAAATGATGTGAGGACGAAGCAGGGCAAGGTGAAGTTGACCATCATCGATGACAAAAGTGCTTTCTGAGACTAAAACATCCATTTCCAGGCCGTGCATAAGGAGTTGGAACGTGAAATTCGTCAGGAGGAGTTGAAGGTAGAGATTCGCAGTGAAGAAGAGCGTTGGGCTATTCGGTTCGTATCATCCTGTTTGCGACTCGGCTCGATAACCCGTTTTGATAGCATGGTTAACATCATTGCGAGCCTGAAAACTATCATCGAAGAGGGTTTTACGGTAACAGGTGTTTTATCGTCCGTTTCTTGCCGAGTTCGACTGTTTCTTTCTTATAGCGCGAGATGCCAGTTTTTGGTGTTATTCATGACAAAGTTATTGTTGGCATAGTGGTTCGTCGTTAATAATGACCAAGTCGGGCATTAACTAACCGCAACAGGATGAAGTTTACAAGCCTCCACTGACTACAAAAGCTACTCCGGGAAATCATGTGTCAGCTATCTACAAGAATGAATCAGCCTCCATCACTCCGCCACCATTGACTCATTCTCACTTACCATCTTCCAATGCTCAATTGCACACACTGCGTATCATAGACACCAAAACCAGGCTCAATGAATCTCTTCCCAGAGATGAAGACACACTTTCGTCACGCTTGCAAGTGATGTTATACCACCGGCTTCTATCTGATCTTGTGACATTAAACCCACCTTACGATTTCCCTGCATTATGGAAGAAGTTGGGGTTGAGGTCTGCCCAAAACTTCTCCACAGCTTTTCTAGTGGAAGCAAAACTCATTTCACATTCAGACGATTTTCAAGTCGTATGTCTCGATGACTTGGCGACATCCTGGCATAACTTGGTTGCATGTTCAAATATCTCTTCCGTGGATCCTACATCAGAACTCGTTTATCGACTTCAACCTGAGTCTGGAAAAGGAAAGGGCAAGATGAGAACGCCTGCCGTATCACAATCTGACGGTTACGATAACAATGTCGCAAAGGTGGAGAACACCTCAGGGAACGTAGGTACAAGTGCACTGGCAGATGATCCGGGTGACCTCGCGCTCCAATGGGCGATCCAACGATCTTTCGATCGCAGCGACACTTCGGATAGCCGGATTGGAGAAAAATCGAATGGTCAGCTCTGTCTTTGTCAACTGGGATGAAAATGAACTTACAATCCATGGTCAGTTCAGCTCCACGAATTAAAGAACGAAATCGACCAGTTCAAGATTATCGGAAGGAAGAAAGTTTCTTACGATGGCTCTTTTTTGGACAACCATATCACTGATATCTTCCGATGGTGGTCTGGTCTTCGAAAACCTCGAGGAGTGCCAATCGAGCTGGTTCGGCGATGCTAGTGAGTTCAGCAGATTCAAGAATTGTCCGTTGTAATGATTCATGTGCAGTACGTGTGAATACTGTTCGGACTGCGAATGGCGGGAAGAGAAAGCAAAGGAAAGCGGAGCTGGAGTTCAATCAAGTGGCGAGGCTTCTCCATGAAACTGTAAATAATCAAGTTCATGATCAGTCTGGATTCTGTGTCGATACCATTGATCAAAATCCAATACACAGAAATCTTGGTTGGTCAACCCTTTTGAGCTCCTTGTCGACAGGGGGGGGGTCGGGATGTTAAAACGGATTCAATCCCCATGGGGGTGATGATTGATTCTGTCTTCGGAAGAAGTTGTGTAACAGACGGGTCAATTACTGAATTACTGTCAATTATCACACTCACATCCTGGGTCGAGCTACAGTTTTGAGTTCCCCTCCTCCAGACTCGTTACGTTTTTCTCTGGGGTGAGGAGCGGATCCTCGCAAAGTACGCTTTGATGTGCTCAGCACTTTCTTTGAGACGGTTGAGCTGTACCTTCATCCCGCGTTATTGCGCCCCAGTGGCCTCTCTGGTCGGGGTGGGTTTCTGCTGCTCAGTCGGCTGATCGCAACAGTAGCAGTGTGGTGTGCTCTGTAGTACAGTTGTATCTAGACGCTAGAGTTTTGTATCGGGAACCCCAGTTGTTCCTCATTGGGACCGCTCCGGAATATAATTCTCTCTCTCGTTACCCAACAACGCCAAAACTTTGCTGGTCAAACCTCATCCCCCCAGTTCATGTCCAACTCATAACATTTCCTCAACTCGATGGACAATTGGCAGTCACTTCAACTTCACTGGACGTTCCGTGGACAACATGTTTTATTCTCGTCAATCGCTCTACATTCGTTTTCAAGTTTTTCAACCGCAGCGCTGGTGGTCTCTATAATCTGCCTCCTTGAACGGTGAGTGGGCCACCACCTCCGCGATCCCTACTTCTTGACCACCACTTCAAGGTTCCTTTCGTTTTCTCTCGATAAAAGACTAGGCCCTGGCATTCTCAAGCGGTCCCGGTGGCTTAGCGCTCTCTGGAGAACTGCCATATACTGGATAGCGACATTTCTACGACTGTGAGACATCGATAAATAATACCCATCTTTGACTTGGATCATGACCGTTCGTTATAGGATGTATATGCTCGCCGCAATGACATTTCACCTAGGGTAAGCCAGCTCCAATACAATTTTCCCAGAACTAACTAACAATTGACGGGTTGTAGTATCATCTTCGTGATTGTAAGCGCACGAGCAATAGCCGCATCGGAGACGTTATATCTGACGCCGGGCAGGTTACCACACTAGCAGCCGCACAACTTGCCATCGAGCTGCAGAACACGCCAAATACCCTTCGCTCACGCGAGTAGGCAAATTTTTCTCAATTTCTCTCAATTTCGGACCGCTGAAATCGAGTTGCAGCTTCTCCGACGTCATGTCCCAACCTCTTCTCCAAGAACATCCATATCCTCTAAAGCCCGTAAGAACGCGTCAAAATTCCAGGTCAAAATCAAAACCGGACGATATTTTTATACACCCTGCACAATCCAATCTCGCTCGTGCTGATGCTGCCGCGCTGGAACTTGGTATTTCAGTCGGCACAGAAAGAGTCCACGCTAACATCTATGAACGCGAGGAAGCTGCCTGGGAGGTCGGTCAAGGAAAGGACATGGCGAGGGAGCTGTTATTAGGACAGAAGCGGAAGAATCAGCCGTCTTTCCAAGTCGGCAGTGACTCTGATTTGGAATCTCCTAGCGAGTAAGTACAAGATAGTCCCTTTGCGGTATCATACAGATGTATGTTAGATTTGTACCATATCCATAATCAACCTAGATGTAGACTGCACTCAAGAAAGGTATATACTAGGCTCCGTCTGTTCCTCCATGAACAGTACCAGCCCGTTTCGGGATCGAGGCGGGTGCTTTGTTCCCGATGGTTGGCCGTATGGCATTTACTTCCGCCGTCTTTCGCTGCCATTGGTCAATGAGCTTCCCCACTCCTTGATAAGGACGGTCGGGGGAAGGAGACCGCCCTTGTTCCGTGCTTCCTTGGCGGTTCTCCTCTAAAAAAACCTCCTTGCGCGCTGTGGAAGAAGCCAATGCGAGTGATTCTGATTTGAACGATGGCCGACGCAGCGTAGATTTCTCGTGTTCTTGCTTTGTTTCTGGCTTTTCAACAAGATGGGTGTTGCGAGACTTCACTGGGCTTCGAGGGATGGCTAAGGACTGCCGCGGAGGCAGACTGGACGTTGAACGATTCTTGACGGGATCGCCTGGTCCAGGATTCTCGCTAGAGTCAAAACGCGGGCTCTCAATGAGTTGAGTCGTTTTGATGTTTGGTAATTTGTGGGAGACAGGAGAAGGAGGGCGTGGAGCCGATGCCCTTCCACCAATAGCCTCATAACGCTGCACCCTATCTGATATAGAAGTTCGTCGGACATTTAACCTCGGCCGTGGTTCTTCCGGGGATGATGCACCGTCCGTAGATTTGGATGGAAAAATAAACATAGACTGAGGGCGCTTGGAACCAGAAGGTGTGGCCGCGTCCCCGGAAGTTGGTTGACGGACTGGCCCATTTTTCATGGAGGGCTGTCGGGTGGATGTGGGGCTGGGATTGGGTCGAGAGGGTGATAGCCTCTCAGGTGATGGAGATGATCTGGTGTTAGTTAGGAGCTGTGTAGGAGGAGAGAGCAGCGTCGACGGCCGAGTCTTTGCGGGACGATAGTCGCTCGGGAGCGTGCTTTGGGGCGATACCTTTACCTGCGCCTTTTCCCTGGCGTTAACACCCCCACCCCATAAATCAACGAGGTCATGGACAGAACTCTGTCTACCCTTTCTCCGCGTTCGATTGCTACGAGCTGTGTTCCCGGCAGCAGAAATTAGTCTACTTGGTTCTTCAGGTCCCTCGTCAGCACTTGAGGAAGACTCCGGCTCTTTTTCTTTCAAAGCTGGAGTTGCAACGGGACTCCGACTCTGGTTAGACGTTACCTCTTGAGGGTAGCTTGTGTCTATGAGAGGAAATGATTTTGTGAAGCGTGAAATAGTGGGAGATACTTGAGGTGCAACAGGTTCTGGAGCAGCAGGGGCAGATGTAGTATCATGTTGCGCCACAGCCGGGTCCTGGATGTTCAAATCGCTTCGTTCAATCAAAGAAGCTCGCTTGCTGGGAGAGTCGCGCAGCACTGGGACAGCAACAGTTTTTTGCTCAGCAGTTTGAACGGTATAGTTTTGCTGCTCGTCATCGTCTCCCGTGAGCCAATCGCGCGGTAATGCAGGAACAGGTATGCGACGGGATGCATGGGTAACGTTGCTCGACGATGCCGGAACTTTCGTGGCCTTCGAGGACTCTGCAGGGTTATTCGGGTCGAATGTTTGCTTGATTGACACAGAACTACGATGTTTTCGTTGCAGAACAGGTCTCAGCATTTCAGAAGGTGCTTGCAAATCTTCTGTCTTGATTTCCGGCTCCTTTTCTCTCAGCCTTCGGTCAATGACATCGCTGTCTTTCCTCCGTCCTCCCTCTGCGTCTCGCATAGCAACGCCTGTAACCTGCTCTGAGCGTACTCCATCTCGCCCATATGGTAACCTCGGAATTCCTAACTGCTCGGTATTTACAGTGACACTTTTTTTTTCAGCGGGACGCGGCGGAAGCTGCGGGGGTTTATCATTCGATCGAACCACTAAATGATGCGTGGCATATCTGCTGTCTGCGCTGCGCGCTGCCGCTGGATACATTGAGTTGGGTGAAAACTGCGCGTCCAACTCTTCGAGGGACGGGAATCGACTCTCGGTTGGAAGACCATCTGGACGAGACGCGGTAGGCGTATTAGGACCAGATGAGGGAAATGAAGCGTTGCGCCAAGATGAACTAGAATTTGAGGCGATAGATGGAGCGGGTGATGAAGTTCGCTGCTGCGGGGGTTGTGGGGTGAGATAAGGTGGGCGAGGAGAAGCAGAAGGGCGTATGGAGTTGGTACTTTGCTTTTCGTCGTTTCGGTTGTAACTTTGAGGTGTTACCATGTTTGTACTCATAATGGCCAGTCCAGTGCGTAACTTCCTAGCTTCGCCCAAAGTAGGGGCAGGTTTTTCAGAGGCTACCGAGAGACCTAATCCGTCAAATGCGTCCTTTTCACGATCTCGACGGATTATATCATTTCCGGTGTGCGCTACGTGACGAATGGGAGCGGCCTGGCTTCTCAACTGGTTGACGGACGAGGGTGAAGGTACCGGGCTGACCTTTGAAGGAGGCGGAAGGACAATATTGGGATCAGAGGAACGCCAAAGCTTCTCGGCGAAGTCATCGCCAAAGCCAGTTGGTTCTTTCGGTCCTTGTGCTGCCTGCTGTTGTGTACCCCCAACGTTCCAAGCGCTATCCAAGCTTCCGACTCTCCCGTTGAAATTACTACCATTTGTAACGGTCTGCCAAGCTTTATTCTCGTCCGCCATCCAAGGGTTAGAGAGATCCAGACCTGGCTTGGGCACTGCGGAGCTCTTCTTCGGACTGGATGGTCTTGAGGAAGAGTCCCGCGATTCTGTCAAGTTGGCAGGACGTCCCCTACGCATTGGAGCGATGGCTTCAAGGACTCTCTCGCGCGCTTGAACCCCCTGATTTTTCTGTAGCATATCGGAATTTGAGATGAGGCTGGGGGGCGTAGCCGTTGTACGAGGACCTGTGCTGTAGGATATTACGCTATCCACGGGTTTGGGAGGAATGTGCTGCTGCGGTAGAGGTTGGGAAGTGGCTACCGTGTATTGATACCGCGATTTGGTACCCCGGAGTTGGTGCACGGTAGAAAGAAGTTCAAAAACAGTTGGTCTTTGGGAACCATGTTCGCGAAGTATCGACGCTGAGGAGAAAGCAATTGAGTCAAATGTACGGTTGAATGGATAGATTTCGTACCGATCAACATATTCATCTGGTTAGAGTACACAGGATAAGGCGGAATCCGGTACTGAACGTTCAAAATGGCTAATGGGCCATGTTCTTCGAATGGGGTCGTATAATAGCACAATTTGTACAGTAACACCCCTAACGCCCAAACGTCACTCTTCTCGTCGACAGGTCGTTTGGAGTAAACGTCAACCATCTCGGGGGCTCTGTACTGCAGAGTTGTGTGCCTGTTCAAGTCTGCTTCCAAGGCGCGGATGTCTTGCATTGACGTTGGAGGCCGCGTTACCGTTGTGGCAGATCCGAAGTCGCATAGTTTGTATGAGGTTGGCGAAGAGTGAAGAATATTTTCAACCTTCAAGTCTCTGTGGAGAAGAGGAGGCCGAGAGTTGTGCATGAATGCAACACCTTCGCAGACGTCAACAAAGATTTGAAGGATTTCCGCTTCGGTCAAACGTTCCCTCAGTCGACGGTTCATCATATCAATGATCCCACCCCCTCAATAATAATGAGTAGAGATCGAAGTGACAGACCGAAAAGATTCACCAGGGCAGTATTCCATCAAGATGAAAACCTCAAACATGCCATTCGGCATTTTATGCCAGGCTGCGTCGATGAGATGCACGATATTTGGATGACCTTTCAGTAACCTCTGACAAACGAGATACATCCGTAAGAAAGAAAATACATATATCACAATAACTCACCATGATATCAACTTCCTTCTTCACCTCACTGAGCATGGCCTCGTTGGCAACGGCAATGCGCTTGAGGACGTGGTGTGTAGTATTGTACACAGGAGTGGGCGTTCGAACCAAATATACATGCGCAAAACCGCCTGTAGTTGCATAAGAAAGGACACAGTCAGGCTCAAGAGACAAAATACCTTGAGATAGATATCGCTCGACCTGTACGGTGTATTTATTGACCGAAATTGATTGGCCTGGCACAAGAGTCCCCTTATTCTGCGCATAGGACTGATACGATTGCTGGTTCGCCATTGCCTCAAAGAAGAGCGCAGCGCGATGAGAGAGCGATGCAGCCTAGCAGAAGCTCGGAGCCCCCTCGCAGTCACTGTTAAAGGAGTCTCCATGCATGAAGCGCAAACCACTACACGTGACCAACTATCTACCATACTAATTTTTACTCGCTACATCCGCAACGCACTCGATTTCAACAGCAGCCCCCAAAGGTAGACACGCTACTCCAACACAAGTTCGAGCGGGCATTAGGTTCTTATCGAAAAACTGTAGCATGCCTAAATCAAATCAACATCCACAACGGATAGCGATCACTATGCACCTCGGCATACACTTCGTTCATGGGCTGGAAATCGTTGACCAGATCTGTCAGATATATGTTGACCTTGATGACGTGTTCTAGACCTGATCCTGCAGCTTTGAGAACCACAGACAGATTTTCAAGGGCTGCTCGCTTCATCGAAGGAGTGAGATCAACCCATGTGCGCATTTTGCGGGCATGTAACTCACTGTCTGTCCTCTTACACCACCTTCAACAAGTTTCCATTCCCTGGTACATCCAATATTTCCAGAGGCGTAAACGCGATCTCCAGAAATCACCGCTTGTGCTGGGATACAAAATCAGTATATATTTGGAGCACGACTCTCATGCGACATTCACAGAAGGAAGGCAGAGGGGGCAACGCCTCTGGAGTGAAAACAATATTCTTCGAATCCGTGGGCATAGCGACTTCGAGTTATGTTTTTAGTTCAGATGAAAAGACGAATCAGCTGTCGTTCTGGACCAGTTTGCAAAATGACATTAGCCAAACAACGTGGGTATCGCGCCCACTGTTCCAAAGCCTACTTGGTTAAGCAAGAACCAGAAAGCGGAGATAGGCGTCGGCCGAGAGAACCTCACAGCGAAAATGTCATATGTATATGAGCTCTACAACCCCAGATCCCTTCTATACTGTATGAACGCAATAAGATTTTCCTTCACATCATCTCCTCGTCGTCTGAGTTCTTTACCACCATCCTTTCGTCGATCTATCCCCTTCACAGCCTTTTTTAGGCCATCTACGCTTGTGGCGAGCCTATTCAAAAAGTTTCCTTGACGGAAGTTAACGTCATACGGTGTGTTTTCGTCAGAGTAGATATCAATGAGGGCTGAGACGGCCTGGATAAGCGGCTCTGTGCCCATAGGGGATGGCGTATCATTTTCCGGGAGTGCGGAGAGCAGATAATTTGCGATGACCTAGAGGCCAAAAATCTTAGCAGTGATAGGCGGGAAGTAACTCAAACATACTTGATTGTGGGGGATTGAAGTGGGGTATTGGGCTAAGCATTCAAGAGTTCCAATGCACTTGACCTTGAGTGTAGGGTCAGATGTAGAGTCTGAGAGCTGCATCAACAACTTGATCTGTTCATCGTTGGGTTCCTGAAGCCAGGCATATCAATGAAAGTATCTCGTTCTCGGAGGAGGCGTACCAAAAGTCCTTTCCAAACATTACCGACGCCCCATAGCACACCGACAGCGACTTCCCACATTTGCTGTCTTCGCTCTTGGCCAAGTCCTGTCTGTGTACCGACGAGACTGAGAGCAGTCCAAAGACTATTCCACACAGCCGCTCCACTTTCCACATCTTTAGATATATTTGATATCGGGGAATTGGCGAGAGAGAGGAAGATGTTATTCAGACATTCAAGAGCGCTGACGTGAACTGCGCTTAAAGCGGAAGTGGTTGGGGGATGCGATGACGGTGCAGCCAGAGGAGGGAAAGAAAGGGACGTTGGTTGAACTAGGGAGAGTAGAGGGAGCACTAGTGCGGGAAGAAAAGATGTATTTGAGGGAGGTAGTGGAGGGGTTTGTGACCCGACTTCCATGTTGATGTCCGCTGTGTCTTCGTCTACGTCATCAGCAAAATAAAACCCGTCAAGACCATTCAAAGAGGCAGGCGCAAAGTCTGCACCTTCATCATTCTCTTCTTCAGCAGTAGAAGAATTGGGTTCAGGGTCGGGAAGTACCGCGGAGGCACCCGTCAGAATCTCTAGAGCGAGTTGCACAGCACGCAACCGAGCTTCGAGCGTCTCAAGTTGTGTTTCGATCTCTGATTTGTGATCCGACTTTGGTGAGTTTTTCAGTGACAATTTTTCTAGCTGAGGCTCAGATGACTGGCAAGGCCGAATCAACAACAAGAAGCTGTCAGTCAAACGAATACTCACAAAACGATGTACGAGCTCCTGGACGGTGGTTGAGATGTCGGGCAAGGATATAGAGGATATAATGGGTTGCAGTAGGGGCAAAACGACATCTTTATCGATATCAACAAACGAAGCTGCTGATGGAGGGGGTATCGGAGATACATTGCGTAAAATTCCTATTTTTATATGAAAAATCATCAATGACGCTTGCATTGTTAACTTTTTGAGGTTTACCAGCCGCAAGCACGCTTAACGTGACCGTCCGAGGATCAACTTGGTCAAGTCCACCATTTTCTCTGCGTGCAATCGAGAGTAGACAAGCAATGTAACCTGCATCCGTTTGTACATCGGAAATAGCTGGGTAATTATCATCCGTGAGAACGTATAAACACTGGGCTAGAAGCAAGAGCTCAGTAAAAATTTGCCACCAAAAGATCAAGTAATACCTACCAGCAGACGTCACGGGAGCTAGTGGAAGAGCATCCCTGGCGGCAAGGAAGGACATCAAGAAGGGTACGAGGCGCATTTCGTTGATGGCATTCAATGCCTTATTTGAAGTCTCTCTATAGATGTTATGAGGGTGGAAAATAACGTCCATAACCACGAACTCACGACAGACACCATAGCGTTGTAATAACATTGTCTGCAAATTCGTATACTATCTTTTTCGAAGATTCTGGAGATGTTTTGGATGATGTCAAGTATTGTGATAGCACACCAGAGATCTACAAGGAAGAGTGAGTTTGACAACCAAAACCTAAGATTATGGACAACACCTTGGGAACGAAAGTCCTTAGCGGGGCTAGGATGTTTTTATTGTACATTTCGGCACAAATGTCATATCCTCCGTCGATGCATAGATTCCTGGCCGAGGACCACAAGTTAGGTAAAAATCGACTAGCAGATGGCCGACGAACCTCAGAGCACCGACGGCTTCAACGACGACCTCCTCTTCACTATCCGTCAAGCGCGTTATCAAGGCTCCGATAATATTCTTTCCCTGAAGCAGTCGGCGAGTGGATGGATCATTTTGGATGAGATTGGACACGGCCACGCATGCCCATTTTCGATCTCCAGAGTCTGGACTTTCCATCTAGACAATGAATAGGAATGGATGGTTAGATCACAAAATAAACAGATCAGTGTCGCTGACCTTTTGAATTATTGGGAGGATCTCTTGTGTCTTCGAAGAAGTTTCGGAAGCCGAAGCAAGTCCTTTAGGGAGATGTGAATCCGGCACCCTCACCGGATTGTGCCTTCGCATAGATCGTTTCTTTTGCGACTTCCCCATTGTAATGGAGCGTTGGAGATGGAAATTCAAAGTGAAAATCACCTAGTCACGTGACATGATATTTGTGAAGAAGGGCAACGCTTTCAAGAAGTCAAAACGTCTCCGTTCTTAGTATGATATGCCAAATATTTCAATTACAAGATGACAGTATATAAACCCTCAGATAATGCCCTATAGGTCCTCAAGGTCGATAATGTGGTAAGATGCCGTCGCTGCTGACAAGTCCCTCATGAGAGGGTAGGGAGGTAGATACCTCAGCAGAACTATTTTTTCCATCGCTGAGCTCAGCACAGACATCCTCATTAGCTTCACATGATGAAGCTAACTCATGCCCCGGCGCACTGGGATGAAAATCCTCTTCATCAAGCAGTGGAGGCGCAGAGGGCATTAATGGAGGATCATCTTGTAGATCTATGCTGGAGCCTTCTTCAAAAGGCGGAGCGGAAGGCCCGGGATCCTCTCCCAACTCTACCATCTCTTCGAAAGTGAGGGGGTATTTGTGGAAATCTGGCAATGCCATTTTTCCTTTGGAGGGAAGTGGAGGGAACGATAGAGCAGCAGGGCATGTACTGGCCTCTGGGGCTTGATCAATTGATGAGATCAAGTCAGCCTCTATCTGCTCATCATCCCAGATAGGTGCAGAGACCTCTACACCAGAAGATTCCGAGACGGGTTCGCTCGCCAAACCCGCAAGATGAGCGAGAAGAGCTTTATCATCGGTGGCAACATGGGCATCATGGATAGGAGGTGGGTCATGCTCAAACTCGTCCGCTGATGATGCACCGTAAATGCTGGAATGAGACGGGCGTCGCGTGCCATTTGCAAGTAGGCGATCCACAGTTAAAAGATCGGTGTGCGATAATCCTTCCACATTCGAGGGAAGGGAAATGCGTTGGTGATATGCTGGAGGCGATGTGGTGGTATTAACAGTAATATTTGGGGGGTCGGTTAGTGGAGTGGTCGAGGGCATGAAAACGCTGGGTAAGGAGCGCCTGTCACACGACGTTGTGGATGACCTTCGTGACGATGTTCTTGATAGAGCAGGAGAGGAAGGCGCAGACGTGAGTCCATTACGTGACTTGTTGAGGGTTTGACTGTGTGATAGTCTAGTTGTGCGCTTGCCCTTTCTCAGGCGAGCAGAATATCTGGCGTTTGCTCTCCACCGCGCCGTCGCTCGCGCCCATATTTTTTGTTTGGTTTTCATTTCATTCTCCTTTTCAATCATCGACTCCCTGCTCGCGTTTAGCTGGGCGGAGGCTTGCCGTCGTGTTTTCAACTTCATTTCCAGATCACTATCCTCCTTACGTTTCCGTCGTATGTGCTTCCGCCAAAACAGACAGCCGATTATGAAGAAACAGATAAAGAATGCCAGTACCAGCGATAATGCCAGGATTAAAGTGGTACGACTTTGGTACGGTTTTGCTACAGGCTTCCAGCCTGGTGGCAGCGAGTCACGAATGTCGTAGCTGGAGGTCGATGTAGCTGATGCGTTCTGCGCAGGGACCTGTATCTGCTCGTCAATGATGGGGGCAGTAGGTTCCGGACAATCCTAAAGCGCATGTGAGACTTGAGCACGAGACAAGAAGATAATACTTACTGGACACACGCTGGAACCGTATAGCGTATAGGCTGCCCTACGCCAAACGCCGTCATCACCCGGCACGAACTTGTCTGGGATACGCGTAGAAGGCCGTGATGTTGATGTACTAGGTACGGGGGTGGGGTCTTGTGGTGCGGTCTGTCGGCGTGATGGCTTGGATTTGAGAATATCATGGTCATCGACGTCGATGGAAGGACATAAAAATGTGGGAGGTGCTGGGCTGCCATCAACGCCTGAAGAGGACGCAATGGTGGCCAAAATCGACAATAGACCAGATGATGGAGCGAAGAAGGACTTGGGTGTGCGATGGGGACGACTTCGAGGACGATTAGACGGGGATATGGGAGGGCGCGTCCTACAATAATGTGTACTGGCCATTGGCTTGGCCATTATGGGATCGTTGAATCGGTGAGTGCCAAGCAAGTCTTGAACGGGGCTAATGTGGGGGGTTCCGGTCGGTAGGATAGGAGATGTTCAGCTGACCTACACAACCGTCAAGGAGAGCGGATGATGAGTAGGCGACGGCGGACGACTGGACGACAACGACGAGGAGGAGGTTGGGGGGGTTGTATGCTGGGAGACAAGGAAGGGCGGGCGCCATCACACCAACTCATGCTGACATAAGCATATCCAATCTATTTCTGCCCTTCAAATTTTACAAGCTTTATTTACATTGTCAGGCACACTGGAGCCAACAACATTTCCCCCTTTCTTCTTTACGTGCCCTATCCCGCTCCTCCAATACTCGCCACTCTTCCGCACCCCTCTTTCGCCACAAAAAATCTTCGCTACCACTCTCATACACCATCTTGTAAGTGGGCAGCCTCACTCGAATCTTCATGTATCCTTCTATTTTTGTCGTCGAGGCGATGCTGTCTGAATTCGCTCTCACACATCTATAAATATACTCATCATCGCATGCCACGTCACGGGAACACTTCCAGGGGCCTACCGTTTCAACATCACAGGCGATCGCTTTTCCTTTGTATGAGCTGCAGGCAACCACTCCGTCGGATACGTCATGACAAAGGTGTTGAGGTACCCTTGCCAGCGACTGATCGCAAGGCCGTCCGTTGGAATGCTAGGATCATCGGCTCCTACGAGGGAAACATGTATGCACTTGGATTCTCGGACCTGTAATTCGAAAACGAATCATCAGTTTTTTTTTTTCCATATCCCAAAAATAGACGAACCCATTGTAACCGATATAAATGATCATCCTGACCAACGTGTCGTTCGGCCTCCCGACGATACCTAATAATATCTTGCTGCGAGAGACGATCGGAGTTTTGCGCTGCTTGCAGGAGGGTCCACAACTCTTGACATTTGTTATCGGATATGATTGTCTGAACCTTTCATTGGGAACAGCGGCAAAGATAGGGACAACACAACGCGCAAAAAGTCAAGCCTTTGAGCATCGGACTGCAGCTTGAGAACCAAAAAAAACATACCTGTTTGATGAGTGCCGTAATTAACTTGTCTAACGTAAATAGGTGATAGGCCTATTATTATCATGAGCTTACTATTAAAAAATGTGGCAGCCGGAAAACACACCTTCGTGCCGAAAAACCACCGCATGTGCTCCTCAAATGTTGCTTGATCTAGCTCGTTGTCAAACAACTTTTCACACGCACTCAAGAGGTACATGTAAACCACATTGGCTCCCTCGCTTGAATCGCGACCAAGGACTTCCATCGTCTGAGCCAGCACCGCTGATGGTCCATTTGGATCATCCAGCCCCAAGTCCACTGCAACCACATTGGCGAGTAAGGGGGCGTGCTGTTGTAAAGCTAGCTGGGAACCAATCTCTTTGCACATCAAAAGACGAGAATAGAGCAGCTAAATTGAGATAATGCGACAATGAGATGTTGTTCACGGCGTTAACAAAAATAGGCTCACCTGAAGCAGCCTCAACAAAGTATAGAACGTTGTGTTGACAAACAGAGGGTGATCCACGTCTGATGATGGCGACAACTCTGACCTCATACCGGCATCCTTGATCCATATGTCAGGAATCGCCCGAGAGTCATCGTAAGAATGTGAGGCGTGGAGATGTTCAAGTGAAGGGGACATGGGCCGTGAATCACCTGAAGAAGCGTGAGCGTCTCTCCCCGCCGCTTTCTCTTGAGCTGTCCTGAGGAGCTTCTTTCTGAGATCATTCGCGGGCACGCCGCCGGATTGAGCAGAGTGTGGACTCCCTATTGACCGACGACCACTCCTCTGGCCATCCGCATGCCCATTGATATCATGCATCGCTTCATCTTCGTGAGGGCCTTCTAGAGGGCCGCACGCTGCGTTAAATTCCGCCTCTGGATAATTGCAGAGTCGAGGAATGAACGCCCGCAGGAATTTCTCAACGCTTCGACGTTCCGGTGCACTGTATTGAGCTTGAGAACGGTCAAGAAAAGAGTAGACCATCTTGAGGGAATCGAGTAGGACTGAGGTCTCGTAGAACGTGTATTCCAGCTGGTGTTCAACCGATCCAAAATCGAATTTCTCCTTACTTAGCTGTTCACTTTTAATGGCCTCAATGTCCCCCACGAAGTATTTGGCTGTGATATTCTTCTTGTCATTCTGCTTGAAGCTAATTCCCTGGTGGTCCAACGACTTGTAAAAATTCTTGGAATCAACCTCTCTCCAGGTTCGGCTCCATTCACGTTGGGCACGCCTCCATTCTTCGTCTTTTTGCTTGAGCCGAGCGAGTACAACAGGGACGGCGACACTTGGGCAATCCTGGAGGGCTTGGATTATCTCCAGTCCGCTGTCCTTTCCATAAACCCTCTTGATCATCCGATGATAAATCGATTTGCCTGCGCCACCGAAATCAGATTTAAGCTTGAATAATGACCGCTCCTCGTTCGTCATATCCTCGATCCTGGCGCTGAGGGGCTCCAATACAGCTATTGTTCTCGTCAAAGCTTCGATCTGAACATGGTACTCATGGCGCTCCTCCTCGCTTTTATGAAGGGCTTCCTCAAAAGAGTTCTTCTTGTGAGCAACGAACTGAGCCTCTTCTGAGGCCCAGGTAGGATGAGAAACCCATACGTCATTCAGAACCGAACGGCAAAGCTCGTCGCGGCCTGAGCATGCAAGCCTGACCTCCTGTAAATCTCTCAGTAAAAGATATGGTAAAACGTAGGAGGGAACGTACACTGTCAAGAAGCCTTCGATAGCTAGGCCCTTCTCCATCGTCCGCCGGCAAAGCAGCTAGGGCTACAGGGGGGCCTGTTCTGATGCTGCCCGGAGGGCCATTTTCGACGCTCTCCTGTCGATCATCCCAGCCCACCAGATCCTTGAATTCCGACATGAGCTCCCCGTCTCCTAGAAATACTCGTGTTCGCTCAATGAGCGTGTTCACATCAAAAATATCCTTTGAGAACAAGCCAAGAAGTTTGAGAAACTCTTCATACACCTCCCGATTCTCGAGGGATTTCTTCGCACGGTCGAAGAACAAGAGTTTATCCGCAGATGCGTTCCCTGAATGACCTGGGAGATGCAAAGAAGGTTGCGACTGTATGTGATGGGATTGTAAAGCTGATGTAGCGTGTGGATATTGAGGAGGAGAATGCGGCGCAACATAGGGTGAAAATGCGGGTGATCCGGTGTCCGGGTTATGTTGAAGCTTGGTTTTCTTGGTTTGCTAAATCAAATAGATCATTTTAGTTAATAAAGTAAAGCGATATGGCAAAGACGTACTCTAGATGGAACGACTTTTGTGGGAGGGGCAGGGGTAGGCTCTTTCTCGACGACTCGCTTCTTACGCTTGGAGGCTTGGGTGGATTTCTTTGCGGGTACAGCTACGGGACTCGAACTGGACGCTTCAGGTTGAGGCCAAGAAGCTGGACCTGCAGCAGGAACCTGTGGCACAACCGAAGGCACAGATGGTCCACCACCACCACCAACCGCCTCTGGAAGAAAATCCTTGAATTCCGCCAACAAATCCTGATCATTCTTGAACAATGTTTGAACTTGAACATACACTTGCGACTACGACAGGAAAGCTTCATTCAATCACATCAGTAGATAAGATAATAACAACTTACATCTTGAAGATGTTTCTGCTCCTTTTGATACGTTTGGAGAATGTCCAAGAATTGTTTGTAAGTATTAGGATCCTCTGAATAGCGGGCCTTGATTTTGTTGAGGTATTGTATAGCGTGATTGAACTCGCCAGGAGGCTGCTTCTCCACTGTCGGGTTTTTATTATTTAGATTGCCCAACACCGACGCTGCTGCAGCAGTTGGGTTTTGGAACCCGGGGGAGAATGTCGGGTCAAACTGAGGTTGGCCATGTGCAAGCTGGAAGACTTGTGGCGTCAGAGACCGTGGGGTCATGCCCCCGAGGATTGTGTGGGGAGTGGGGGTAGATGCTAGGAAAAGCATTGGATTTGCAACGGCGGGGGGCGGTATTCCAAGACCTGTTCTTGGAATTGGTGAGGTGGAATTGGTGTTTTGAATGGTCGTGCCAAGCGGTGTAGTGACTGTGATTGCGTTGGGGTCAAGAGGGTCTACTGAGATATCTATGCGGTATCCTAGGGGTAGGAATGTGTTGAAGCCTTGAATTAGATAGGGATTCCCGTTGAATAGCATAGAAACGCGTTGGATTACTCCAGGAGTGTCGATTCTGTAGGGGATGCGTTCAACAATGGGGGCAAGCGCGGACAGATTAAGACTCACACTTGACTCTTAAAGTCCTTCATTATGTCTAGAAACTGGTTGTACACTTCTGGCTTGTCTTGGAATTGCATCTTCACGGCGTCGAGATAGCTCAGAGCGTCGGTGACATTGAGTGGACGCCCTGTAACGTCAGACGAGGGCTGAGATGCTCCTGGAGAGTCGTTTGGCGGGGCTGGAGTAGGGGTATTTGACGCTCGTGGCATGGGGTGGGTATCGGTCTGAGGGCGAGGGTCTGGGTCGTCGTTGGGGGCCGAGAGATGTGGTGGCAAGTTGGTGAGGTCGGTGAGTGGACTTTGAGGCATCAGGTGGAAAGGGTCAAGTACAGATCTCGTTTCCGAGGATCTGGCCGCCAGGTCTGCTAACCGATCGCCAAGCTCAGGGTTCATGTTGCTGAGAACAAAAGATAAGCGCTGGACAAAGGATAAAAGCAAGATGAAAGAGGATGAAAGCAAAGGACCCCCGAAAATCCTGCTAAATGATAGATACTGAAATTGCCGATTTCCAGATTCTTGTCCGTACCAATTTTGGCGAAGTCTGTCCGGATTTTATCTAGCCTAGACCAAAATTTCGAAAAGTTGTCCGAACTGCGTATCTAGCCCAAGTCAGGGCCAAATTTTTTTGTGCGGCAAAAGGTTCGAACCGCAGACCACACGTCAGGCTTCGTAAAGTACATACTTTTTTTCCGTTGAGCTACGCAACCATAGTTGTCCGGTTAGTATCTAGCCTCTGATTCTTCTCGCAAGCCTGTCCGGATTCTGTATCTAGCATTTTGCTGATTTTTTCGAAAACCTGTCCGGTTTGTATCTACCCTAGGGCCTCATTTTGAAAAATTCTGTCCGGATCGGTATCTACCATTTAGCAGGATTTTCGGGGGTCCTGAAAGCAACAACAGAATTTATGTATTATGTTAAAATAACGCATCTTATCTGATAAGAGGCGGGTATGGTATTTAATTACGACGTATAATCCAATCTAGACAACAAATGTCATTGACCTAGATTTCGATATTGGCTTCTTCACCTCTTTCTCGAGTGGTTTAGTCAGGGGAATAGGCGGAGCACAGAAGTATGGCGCTTCGTATGGCTGCGTGCGGAGAGTTTCTGTCCGTTTCTTGACAGCATTTCGGCTGAAAGCTTTCATTGTGACTTCTACACCGTTAGATTCGACTCGTCGCAATCAAAATGTTGCTCACTTTCACCCCCAGGATCGGGCGTACTGCACACTTTACGCAAAGCTTTCTCTGGTTTTCCCTCCAAACTCTCCGGTCCCCTTTTGCTCTTCTTCACCTTTGGCTCCTTTTGCCGAGAAGACGGCGGAGAGAGTTGGTCACTTAGCTGAGGAGAAGATCTGGAACGGGATATCCGTGGTTTTTCTTTAGCCCACGGGGGCTTCAGATTTGACATACGAAACCCAACGCGACTGCCGTCAACATCGACGAGCCTCCGTAAGTCATTCGACGATGGCGGGCTAGATGGCCTCTGGGTAGAGCCATAATCGGTAGTTGACTGGCTTGAACTTATTAAAAGGAATGTGGTGGTAGTAGTGGTGGAAGACTGATGATCAAGATGCTGGTCGAGAGTAATGTCTGGAACTATGGATTGAGAATGAAGAGCAGGTTCGGCCTCCGTACAAGGGGGTCGGTTCCTCCGAGGAAGGGATGGGTCTAAATGACCCTTCCTGTGCGAATTCTTAGCTGCGGCTAGAGGGGGTACCCTATGTCGGTAGAAGGCGTTCAAAATAGCACCCAGGACACTCTGCGCAGCATGTGGGAATGTCGTGGAACTCGCGAAGACAGTACAGCTCACCAGGAAGAACCCGACGGAGGCATACAGAAAGCCGACAGCGTTCACAGCAACACCCTGCGAGCGAAAGTCCATATTGACTATCAAAGCCAACGGTGATTGAAAGAGCAAGGCGTAGGCAAGGGAAGAGGGTATCAATAACGGCTTGCAGCAATAGAGGTGGAATGCATTGACAAAACGGCGGTGGTAGTTATGGGAAGAAAGTAGTGATCAATTCTGTCCAATTGCTTGTAGATGCTGGTGCAAGCAAGGTTTGGAGTAAGAGTGCTATATACTGCGCAGGCACCGGTAACGGCGGGAAGGACATGACGAGGCGATGAGGGCGGTGATTGACATTAAAGCGGCTATGCTGCTGGCTACGCAGTGATAAGTTTGCGGTGGGCCGTGTTTACCTAGACACAACTCCTCTTCCTCTCAACAAGCACCAAGTCAGTACCTACTCGAGTAGGTCGTCGCCTCACCATGGGCTTTCTTCGCCCTGCTACTCCCGGCTTCATAGTCACCCTCATTGCTACCATTCTCCTTGCAGTCGTCTCTTTCTGTGTTCCTTATTTCAAATCCATCTACTTTCTCAAAGCAGTCATCTCTGTTAGCGGCCTCAGCGGAAACATTACCTTTGGTACATTAGGCTATTGTCTTGAGCTCACCAACGGTACTACTTGCTCAAAGCCATCCATTGGCTACCAACTAGGTTAGTCCTTGCCATTTTTATAAGCCGCAGCCTGCTAAAGCGCCAATCGCAGACATCAACAGTCTCGTTGGCAACAAACTCCCCGTAGAGATACCTCAAGTAGCAGTCAAATGGTTAACGTATGCCCTGTTCCTCCATGTCGTCGCCCTCATCCTTTCCGCCGGTTCAGCCGTATTTGGTCTGTTGGCCCATGTTCGTGAAATGTCTATGACATGTTGCAGCACCTTTATTTCAGGTTTCGCAGCATCCGTTGCCATGATTGCCTTCATCTTCGACATCGCCCTCTTCTTCGTCGCGAAAGCTCGTATAAACGCCATTGGGTCTGCACAGATCGGCAATGCAATCTGGCTCACACTGGCTGCATGGATCTTACTTTTCTTCAGTGGTTGTTTCTATACCTTAGGGAGATGTTGTCTCAACGGTAGAGCCCCGCGTGGTGACAAACGAGACTGGGGTAGAAAAGATCCCGAAGCTGTTCCTCCGCCTTCTAATGGTTACGCAGAGCAACTGCGTCTCGACGCTGTCAAAGCTGAAGCTGACCGTAAAGCTCGGCAAAAGGCCGCGGAAGGGGGACTCCCAGCTTTCTATGAAACACAACCACTGACTGGTCGAGTGGAGGGTGACCATGTTTATATCGATGATGACAGCGTCCCTGCTCCAAGCTCCCCTGGTGGGCGCCCCGGTCAAGGTGGTCATTACCCTGCTGGCGGATACGTACCGGGTCAACCAGGCTCTCGTACGGTCGATGATTACTATAATACCTCACACCCGAACACGTCGGGTTCCACTACGACATATCCTCCTCAACCTAACCAACCTCATCGTCAAAATAGCACTCACACTGGTTATGCACCCTCTTCATATGGAAATACCTCGACTGCCTCTTCTCCTCCTCCTCACCAACCTCATCGACAAGCGAGTGGTTACAATGTCAATGCTGGTTATGGTGCTCCGTCGCTGACGAGCTCACCGCCGCCCACTCAACAATATTTAGCGACACCACACCAATATAACGCAGATCCATATGCAAATTCTGGTTATGATTACGGCCACACCGCTGGTGGCACATCCTGTGAGCAAACCCCCCATTGTTACATCAAACCTTTTTTTGACTAAAGCATTCGCAGATCATACGGCGGCCTCACATGGCCAGCAGCAGCCATCGAGCTACTCTCAGTATGACCCTTACAACCCCCAACCGCAGGGAAATTACGTTGAACCTTCCTTCAATCCTGAAACCTACAATAACACAAGTCAAATGGTTAATACGGCTGTGGGATACTCATCTACACCGAATCAATATTATGGGTCTTCATCACCTGCACACCCCCAACCCGAGCGCAGCTATACATTGGGCGGAGATGGCTACGGCGCCAGCACCGTGCGACCGCTAGCCGAACACAACGCCGCGTACTATCCCTATGGAGGCGAGCCAACAGCCACGTCTGTACCGCCCATCGATACAAACGTAGGGACTGTACCTGTAGTCAGAACGAGTCCCGTCAAGGGGCCGAGGTCTCATCTGGTTGTGCTCGAACCTCCTCATGAGGATCTACCACCAGGTTATGAACCTGGGTCTTCGAATGTTGTTGGACAGTGGGGGAAACGTTGAACACACTGTTTTTTTATCGCTAAAGGACTATATATTTAACGAACATCGGTATCTCTGTATGACCAAGCATCTATACCCCAAAACGAGGGTTTTTCTGTGCCTAAAAGGGGCTCAAGACAAACCTCTCTCTGCATGCATGGAACTAAATATAATTTTCTGCTGTGTCTTACGCACGGCTCGCACGTTTTCCTTGGAATAGTGGGAGAAACCCAGGCAAAGTGTGTAGGAATGAGGTTATATTTATGTGTTAAGCTACATACATACAATACAGTTCTATTTAGTTGTACTTCCGAGCATCCAATAACACGAATGCATTTTTCAAAACCACCTGGAATAAAAAAACAAAATGCGTAGTGAGTCGCGCTAAAAATACAACGCTGAGTGGGATGATGAAAAGTCAAAACAAAAGCATGAGATAGAAAGGAGTGTGATGAGTTCGTTGAACCTATAATTGCGTGCGTCGACGATGATGGCGGATAAATGGTAAAACTGGAAGGAGCGTGGTGGTGGCCGGCCAGTCAGGCATGCGATAGGACCCACTTCTAAGTCCTACAACCGGCCGATGAATATGATAGTCCGAGATAATAAAGCAAAAGGCGTGTCGCGTTAAAAATACAATGCTGGATGTGGGTGGTCAACAAAGCAGGATGATGAAAACATGGAAAGCGTGAAATCGAAAGGAGTGTAATGTGTCGTTTGAAGGTCCGACAACGTGCATCGACGATGAATGCAAATAATGGAACTGAAGCGAGTGTGGTGGGGCCGGCCAGCTAAATGATAGCGTGCGGTCGAGTGTAAAACATCCTTCTTCAGTCTAGTATGCCGTCGAATCTTCGAGCTTCAAAGACGTGAATTGACCGGACATGGTTTAGGTCCATGGAATGAATGATTTCAATGGATGCGTCTGAAAGGTTTCGCGAGTGGTTTGAGGTTTGTTCAGGGACACCCAGTGAGCTGGAGCTCGAGGGAATAAAATGGTCTGATTCCCATTCATTCTCAGAGTGGTGTAAAGACCCCAAAGGCCAATTGAAACGAGTCCGACGGAAACTGCTCGGCAGTCGTCAATTAATGAACATTGATAGAAATCAATCATGATGAACGCACCATTCATAATCCCACAGACAATCATATATTTCGTCATCACTCGCGATCCTCTCCCCATGCTCATCAAGGTGAGCAGTCATAAACTCTATAAGGCCATGCTTGCAACCGAGCAATAAATGGATATGCTTGGTGCAATGCATCTCCAGCTCGTCGGGCGAGAGAGGAATATATGTTTTTGGCCAGAGGAGCAAGCCGGACGGCTGAAAAGTATTCTTTATCGGAAGGGATGGGACCAGGCTGGGGTCCGAGGCCGCAGCTGCAAGGTCCGAGTAGGAGATACCCAGACGATCAGCGGCTTTCATGCTTAAGACTGGTGATTGGGTGGCTGGGGTGTCCAAACTTGAACGTTCGCTGCTGCTGCCGCAGCTCCTACTGCTGCTAGTATCCGTCGAAGGTGAGCACGGAACTATCGGGCCTGTTTCCAAATAACGCGCATCTTTTGGCGGGAGCGGGGGGCCTTCTAAACTCGAACGATCGCCGCTGCTTTCACTGTCGCTCGAAGTGTTTCTCGAGATAGGGATTGCGGAATATGGTATCCCAAGGCGAGCAGCAGCTTTGGCATTCAGGGTCGCGGGAGGGGGGATGTCACATATCGGGGCTCCTGTATAGGCGATCCCTAGGAGCTCTGCAAGCTTTGGTGTAATAACCGATGGATCGGGCAGATCTACATCTGGAAATGATAGTTCGCCGTTGCATGCACGAACTGCTTTCTGTCTTTTCCTCCTCCTCTTCCTGTCTCGCTTGTTTGCTTTCCACATCTCCTTTGCTTTTGAAAGACCAAGATTTGAAGCCAAGCTGGGACCCAATCCATCCTTTGTGTCGACAACTTCCTCATTGACAGAGGGGTCAAAAGGGGCAATTTTGAGGTGATAACTGTTCATTTTCTTTGTGCGGCCAGTTCCAAAAATGTCCTCCAAGAGGTCGAGGATGAACTCGGAGGGTCGTGGGTGCATGCCGTACTTCTCCCCCAGCATTCTTTCGAATATTGTCTCGATGTGGCGAGAACTTGCTGCGCGGGATGCCCAAATGGAGAGCTCAGACTCCTCAGGTTGCACGGTCGGCGTTGGAAGGGGTGTTTCATTTGGGTTATTTTGAGTCAAGGTCGCCGCGGGGGAAATCACTTGCGCGTCGTTGGACGAAGAGTGAACCGAATCTCGGTCGCTCATAAACGTCGAGTTCGCGTCCGCCCATTCATCGCTATCCGAGATTTCATCGGCCTCGTCAAACCCATCGACTTCCAAGTCAAAATCCACAGGAGCGTACAAGTTATCCCCAGATTGTCCGTGCGTTGGGGGACTGCCGTAAGGAAAGAAGACCTGGTCGTCGATTAACTCGAGTCTACCACAAGGGGTCAACACACGCCGGACTTCGACAAGGAGACGCGGCCATTTGTCATAAGGGATGCAAAGTGCAAGGTTGGCCATTCTGACAAGCTCAAATGATTTCTCGGGAAAGGGTAGACCATATTCGACGCTGAGTCAAGAAGACGATGGTTAGCGAAAAGAGGAGTGGATTCAAAGAGAGGAAAGCATACAAGTTGCCACGACGGAATTGGATATTTTCCGTTGTCGCAACTTCAGGAAGGGTAACGTCGACGAGGTCTAATCCGGTGATTGTCGAACCCTTCCACACACCTGCAGCATAGAGCATCCAGTGTCCTGGGCCGCACCCCAAGTCAAGCACGGACGCCGGCGAACGTTGTTTACTATAGTCATGAAAAGTCGGCGATCCGGAAGGGAGCAAGCGTTGCAGTAGGATATCCGTGTAGTAGTCACTATTGAAAAATAAATATCAGTGAATGCATGGAATGTAATGGAATAGACGGACCTTCGAAGGGGCGTAGACCCGTATGACTGCATATAAGGAGCCTCCTCTAAAGCGTAGGGATGCAACTTTGTGTTGCTTCGTATCCGCCACCTATTCTTTTCTATAAATGTGTCCTTTGGGTCGAGATCGACCTCCCAATCAAATGGCGCGCTCGGTTCTTTGATATCTTCAGCCGAATCCGACCCCATGGTGGCTGGGAGTAAGGAAGTGGAAGACGACGTGCATGAAGGCCCAGGAATTGCCGAGATTGCCGCATTAGGAGGATTGTTATGGGTCGCTGCAGTGCGTAACGACCCCATTGATGACTTCTTCCCAAAAACTCGTGCTTTTTTCGACGATCGTTCACCAACGTTTTGCACTGGGGGAGCTCGGCGCCATGGTTTCAAAGCCATGGGCCTTGATATCTTGTAAGAGCGCGCCTGTGCCAGAAAATTCTTGTCCTTGCCATCCGCCCCCATACTAGTGTCGGCTGAAGCGGAACGATAAATGGTACGCAGCTGAGATTTAGAAGGATGTGGCGGAATAGATGAATAAGGTGCTTCGGGATTTAAGCTAGGAAATGGATGATGAGGGGTGTCCCGTGTGGTATGCTTCTGCGGGGGGTGCTTAACTTCAGAAGGATAGGTGCACGGTGATGTAAAATTGTGAGGCAGGGAGTCAATGGCAAGCAGCAAAGTCATTGGAACGAGCTGTCTATAAAGATAAAGATAAAGTCAAGGCGTGTTCTTTGTTAGTGGCCACCGACCACGATGGCGGTACTTGTGGCTCAGCCACTTTTTCGAACAATGGCAGTTTCAAGAGTGGCCTGGAGGACTGATACGAAGTCGTTAAAAGAGGTTTCTGATTAGAAGCCAGAGCCAGCCAGAGCCGCACAGGAGGCAACGAGAGAGACAAGGCAAGTGACAGTGAATGGCGACGAAGACTGGAGAGCTCGACGCAGGCACAACAGTCCGCCAGGGTAAAGACATTGGATTTGATTTTTTTTCATTGCAAGAAGCAGCAGTAGCAAATTCGTGAGCAGATGGAAACGATATCCAATTTAGATGCAATGTCCCCTTTTTGTCGTTGCCTTTCAAGATCGCCAAATCATGATGATTGCCGGCTATCAAATTGCTCCCCAGCGCCAAATTGGGGCCATCTCCTTGTACTACATATAACTAGGCTGATATCCAGCGGCCTGCCAATTCATTCATCGACGTCAGCTGAGGATCGTTATCCTCAATCGTCATCCTTGCGTGGAGGCGGGCCGCAGGGTTGTAGCATACGCTGTAAATCAGAACGTCAAGAACCACTCGAAATTGCACCCACTCAACACGGACCTCAGTCATTTCAAACTTCACTCTGCCAATAGCTTCGCTGTCCGCAATAGCCAAAAAAGAGGAGAGAGTCGGGTGTCCTACAATCGATGCAAGCGTGTCGCGGTGCTGGTGGGTAAGCCAATCACTTGAAAGAGGCAGCTCAGTAAATTACCTCAACAAAATGACCAAAATTATGCTTACTATTTCGACAAATCTGCATGGCCTGAAGCACAAAAAACGAATATGTACGAATCCCTGTAGAGACGGAGGGGAACTTACCAGTACCAGTATACCGAGCGTGCACTGTAATAACTATGTCAATCATCCTGCTAAAAACGGCTAGCAACGCTCTCACAATGTTCCAGTTGGGTATTTGCAGTATACCTGAGCTCCGAAGACTGTAAAACGTTGTCGAACTAGCAGACTGAACAGGAGAGAGAATGACGGACCATGAGAAGCGTGTTGACGGTTGTTGATTTCGGAGGGCAACGTTGACGTTCACTATTTTTAAACTCCTTGATCACCAGCAATAATGACGAGCGAAACGAACAAGGTAAAAGCCAAGCTTGCAGCGCTCTCGGCCTCATTTGATGATCTGGAAGCCGAACTCGAACCTCTTTTTTCTCAAACACTTCCAGAAACTATCATTGGACTCGAATCTATTCAGAAAGCAAAGCTTCAGACGGTCCTCCCTTACCTGGTGTATGATTTGATCTTTAGTAGGTCTCCTTTGGTTGTTTTCGGAAAGATGGATCCTGACAATTTTTTTTCCAGTTTATCTTAAGTCGAAGGGCATAGATCCAAAGACTCACCCCGTGGTGCCAGAGTTGGTATGATAACTCTAATGGCATGCCGATCTCCCTTGACGGGTACTTCCATAGGATAGAATACGACAATATTTTGAAAAGATATCAAATGCCGAAAATCCTCCCAGCAGTAAGTCTTTTTCCTTGTTCGCTTCTTTAGCGCTCACTTGTTGTTGTAAATAGAACGAATAGAAATCGACAAGGCAGCGGCAGGCCGATTCATCAAACACGCCATTACCCAAGCGACATGGACCAGGACTGCTGCGGAAGAAGCGCAAGATGAACCAGAACCGACGCCAGCCCGAATCCCCATCAAAGTGACGAGTAAAATGGTTGAGCGCGCCGAATACGAGAAAAACCTGAAAGAAGAAGAATCAGAAGAGGAAGAGGGGCTCAAGATCTACGAGGGAAACAATGCCATGGTGGTGGATAAAGAGGCCGACGTTTCTCACATCCCCACAGGCAGAAAGCGAGGAAGGCCCATACTCGACCCTTTCGCAGGTTTGCGTTATTTGTCACTTCCGTCTTCTCACCATTAACGCTTATGCAGGATACGGGGACGATGCACCATCTCCAGCAGAAGAGTCGTCGTCGAAGAGGGTAAAGTCCACTCTTTCAAACTCTGGCCAAACATCATCCGCGAATATTTTGGAGAACCCTGACTGCCCCGTCTCTCCTGGGAGTGTGCCAGCAGATCCCGCTTCTGCTCAAACCCCCAACAGTAACGATGCTTCAGGCTCGGAAAGTCTTGTCGCCAAAACAAAGAAAGGCAAAAAAAAGAAAGGGAAAAAAATATGATGCCTAAAGCTCGTACACTTGGATTGAATATTACATCATCTCGTCAAATACAATAGCGTGGTACAAGCAAGTACTTAAATACAAAGGGCGAAGAATAGTTAGTAGTGCAAGTATAGTAAGAGAAGAAACAAGAAAAGTACATCCAAACCCAAAATGAAGCTCGGAAAAAATAAAATACAACAGATATTGTTCTATACTTACATTATTCTACAGTTGTCAGTGTTCATGTCATTGTGCGTGGGCGACGAGTTGTGTATCGATCCAGCGCGACGACCACCAGGAGTCCACCATCGAGTGGTTCCACCACGAGGAGGCGAATCGTCATACCCAAAATTGCTCGACACATTGGCGCCTCTCTTCGAAGTCAGTTTACGCCGCTTCTCTCTAGCAAGCCTGACGGCATCTACCGTCTGCCAGGAATAAAAAGTCTTGAGCACCACTCTGTGTTCATCACACTCGTCTTGGCCAACCCCCAAATCCTCGGTCTCGTCTCGAGAGTCAAGGAACATGAGCTTTCGAGCCGCATATGACCTCCATCCCATGCGAGGTCGGGTGGACACCGACAATTCCTTCACTAGGCCCTCTCCAATCCCCCGACAGTCAACGGCAACAATCTTGGAGTTGATTGCTTTCCTCTGACGATTGAGAGCGACGAACTCTCGAAGGACAGCACCTTTGATAGCAGTATTGTCGAGATGAAGAACTGTGAGGTGACAACATGACCGTATGAGGGCTAGCACAGCGGCGTCGGTGATGTTCGCTGCGTGCGAAAGGATGAGATGTTGTAAAGCATGTCCGACTTGGAATTCGGATTGCGGACCTTCAGGGACCACAGCGGGAGTCAATTCTGCCAAAACAGCATCAGTGATATCTGTTGCGTCCTCAAGGTCCAGCCGTCTTATGTATGGCGTGTTCTTCAACAGGCGAATCAGCCCTGCATCCTTTAGAACACCCCCAATCCCAGCCAACTCGAGGTACTCCAGCTTTGGGACGGAGTGGGAAAGATTCGAGCACGCTGTGTCCGACAACATCAGGCAAAAGGACAGACACAGATGCCGGAGATTGGTGGTGCGTCTCCTATACCTGTTGGAATCATTTACCTCTCTACCAAGGTCTCGAGAGGTCACAATGACTGTCTCCACGCCCAGATTCCCAAAATGTCCATATTCTTCGCATGCTACGAAGGCCTCTAAAGCTGAGTTATGCAGCTGGCGGGCATAGCTGAGATCTAAAACCTCAAGGTGCGGTGCAGCTCTTCCAAGGGCGGCCATCATCGAATCAGAGACGTTCTTGATGCCAGACAATCGGAGCTCTTTCACTTGAAGGTGTTCATTGCGAACAACAACGCCTGTGGCCCAGCGCTCAATTCCCGCTGCATCCATATTTGGGCACCTGCTCATGTTCAACGAGATCAACCCGGGGCAGTAATTCGCAAGGATATCACAAGTCGTGTTTGTGACAGCTCCCAGTCCCTTGACACAGAGTTTGCGAAGGTAGATAGAACGGGTGAGGAGATGATGGAATGAGCGGGTGCTTATTGCTGTACAGCCCTGTAAATTAATATGTGTGAGATGAGTGTATGGTAACGGCTCCTCGAGAGCCCGAAAGGAGACGTGGTCGGCAACCTCTATGAGATCTGTCGGATTAAGGTTAACGTGACCCGCAAGATTTAGACTTCGGACGAACGGTCCACCCCTCTGTGCTATCGGTAGGACCGGTAATCCTGGGAAAGAATGAAGATGAAGGTCAGCCCACATCTGACCGTCAAATACAAGGGCTTTCCAAGATTTTGAAACCTGCGAGCACCAACTGAATCAGATTTTCAATGTGACAATATAGGTGGGATCGAGTATACCCTGCTTAACTTGACAAGTTCTCTGATGCCCTTGTCTCTGCCAACCCAGCGGCCTTTGGAGGATGAGGCCTTTGCCATCGTCCAGCGCCCATCTGTCACAGCTAGCTGATGCTCTAGTGCGTGAAGCTCTACGAGAGCCTGAAGGATCTGAAGTCGTAGTTCTCTCGGAAGAACTTCGTCAAAGTAGTTTCGAATAATGATAGGAATTGGTTCAAATACGTCCGTTCTGGTGGCTGGAACGAAGTCGAGCGCTGAAAATGGGTGCGGTGATGAATTCGACCGTCCTTTTCCTTTCGAAAAAGAGGTGCGGGAAGGAGAGCTCAAACGATTTGTCCCAGCCGCAGTTATGACATGAGACTGAAGACTGATCGGATTAGGGACTGTATACCATGCACATGGTTCTACATCAACGGTGATAGGCGGTGAGAGGTCGTCAAGATCATCTCTCTTCCCAAATAAAAGTTTTCGTGTAAGATTACTCGGAGTTCGAGGTAACGCAAACTTCGACTTGAGCTTGGCAGAAATTGAAGATGATGCGTGAGACTGGACGGACAAACTCGACAGGGAACGACATCGCGAGGGCAGTCGTGTCAAATCGGGAGTGCTGGTGGTATTCGGCGCGGTACAGGGCAGCGTGGCAACAGAGCTGGGAGAAGTGGAACTTGAGGCTTCCGGTAGACAGTCGTCTCTGTGGGGAGGACTGTAAGTTGTTGTATAGGTCGATGGGCCCAGCGTCTCCAGCGAGAACCAAGTATCTTGACTGTTAAGTTCATTTCCAAAGGATAACGGGGGAAGTTCAGGGGGAGGTTCTTTCTCCTTTCCCTTGCCTAGCAAACCATCATACAAGGGAGAAGTTTGAGACGAATTCAACGAGCTCATTTGACTGGTAGAGGTCGAGGGGAGGTTGTTACAGTAGTTAACATTGGAGGAAGGAGAGGAGAAAGAAAAAGAGGATGTGTCGGACGAGTAACTCGTGGTCGCTTGAGACAGATCGAAGAGATCGTTAATGATCGTAGAGGGGCGGATGGGCATCGGTTTGGTTACTCCCTTTCCTTTTCCGACGTTGTCTCGGATGTTAATCTCCTCTTCTTCTTCAAGTTCCTCGGGTGTGAGCGCATGATGAGACTCAGAAAGTTCAGCGAGTGTTGTGGAGGAAGTGTCGTCGAGGTCGAACTGGAAGAGGCTATCAGGGCTACCGATATCTTGCGTATGGGACATGTTATGATACAATTGTTAGGAAGGAAGAGAGAAACGACGAGAACGTATTTAAGCAAGGACCTTGCCCTGGAGGCAGCCTTGATCACATAGCAGGTGGGCGCAGGCAGCGAGTCACCTTTCCAGGCTTGTTCTTGCAAAGTAGCATGGTTCAAACAAGCATAAATTCAACGGACCGACAGTTGTAATGAACAATAATAGCACAAATCGAAAACTAAGGTATGGTCAAGATAAAAAAAGGCGACGTAGATAATAATGTTAAGCAACGCTCTTCGGGTTTTCTTTCGCCTTCTTCCAGTTTGAAGTTGCAAGTTTAAACCTGCCGCGCATAAGTACCATGGACATGAAACAACAAAACATGCGTCCTACCTTTCTTGGTGCGAAATGTCAGGTTCGTCGTCCTTCAGGCGCGCCATCTCGCTTTGCTGAGAAAGGGAGCCTCCTCAAAATTCTAACACTTCGTTGAAAAAGGGGACGTGCGCACCATGAACTTGTTGAACGCTGTCAATTTCTTCTTCCCACCGCCCGACTTGGCTACAACGCGTCAGTTACGACGACCTTCACGTTGTTGAAGGGGAAAAAACACCTTTTCTGGCTGGCTTTTCTACAGCGCTTTTCGTCGTTGGGGCCATTAATGGTTGTGAGGGGTATCAATTGTTTTGGCGATGATGTTTAAGACGCGACGTGGTTCGCGTTACCTAGGAGGAGCAGGAATTTCGGAGTCAATGGTTGGTTTTGTGTAGCGTTTGAAAGATTTTACAGAAGAAAAAAAAACCTGCAGAAAAATTTGACGTGGTGACTGAAGGAAAAGGGTGTTGAGGGACATTTTGGTTCAAGTTGGCGGAACTTATACTTTACGAGAGGCATTCAAATGGCAGCTTCGATCGTGGATATGCTGGGTCCCCCGGACACCCTAGACGCGTCAAATTTACCATGATTGCCTATTAGTGCTTCGTCCTCTTCCGCACATGTCCAGCATAGCTGGAGACACGTACGTCTAAGCGTCTAACAAAAGCAAAAATCAATTGACTTTTTGTAGGAAGAGAGGAATATCCTTTGAATCTCCCATATCAGGGCCAGGACCCCAATAAGCTATCTCTTACCTTTCATGTTCCCATTGAACCAGGCGCGCGTCCTACCACAACACGTTCTGACATTATCTGAAACAGTTTATACCGTAATGCGAGCGGTGTATGTACGAGCGGAACGTCAAGCTACGACTCAGTTGTCCTCGGCGCCGCTGGCCTGTCCACAAAAGCTATCCCATCAACGAGACCTCTTCCACTTATGATGCCAGTCGTAGCAATCAAAAAATTCCGCCCTGAAAAAAGGAAAAAAGAAAGCGGTATTAACAGCGAGTCGCAATTAATTTTGACTCAAAACACTTGCCTCGGTTCTGTCGGGCTACCCATCTCAAAGCTGCGATTTCGGTGTGAGTGCATCCACCCAAGAAGAAGACCACTGAGGTCGTCGTTTGCTCCCGAAAAGCGGCTGTTGTAGAATATCTCAGCAATTGGATCGGAAAGTAAGACGAGAACTGACTTGTTGAACTTGGGGTTGGCAATCCCGAGACGCCATCCTCATGATGTGTTTGAAGAATTTCCACAGTTTCCCCTGGTATGGCGGCCATGACATCCTCGAAACCTTTCCAACCCACGATAGGATGGGCCTGGACTTTCCCTACGGACAGATTCTCCTGTGCAGGAGCATCATTCGTTGATTTCTCCTTTTCCGCTGGGTTGCTCAAAACTCCCCCCTTTTGGGCAACACACTGAATCAGTCGAATGCTGATAGGAGCATATCCTGAATAGACGAAACTAATGTCATTCTCGACCTCGTCGAGCGCTTCAGGGCTGTCGTCAATCAGAAGACGTAATGATTTCCGAAGAGACGCAAATGGATATTTCAAAGAGGTAACAGCTGGCGGTGTCGACGCTGGCAGAGGACTAGGTAATAGAATAGCGAGCGGTGGAGCAGCCAGGGACAACAATAAGGGCATCAAGTCATAACCATATGCCTGATGATTCGTGATCAGCAAAGTGAACGTAAAGGTAGAAGATTGAAGAACCTGGAGCATCTCTCGCTTTATATTTTCGAGACTCTTCGCTTTAATACCACCAGCTGTTAAGCTAGCAAGGCATAACAAACGAATGATTGTTTGCATTTCAGCACCCTGTGCTATCATATCTTCTATTGACGTGATTTGCGCAGTAACTTCATACGAGGCCAGAAGGTCTGGAATTCTTGAGTGAGTTGCGTTCAGTCAATTTCAGATTGTTACCGACTTTGTTGAATTTCCAAGGATCTGTTGAATTCTTCTGTTCTTGTCAAGGGGAGGAGCAACTCCGACAATTCAGTGTCTGGGGCAACGTCACCGAAAGCAGTTTTAAGAATCAAGAGGAAGGCTCACGAAGCCGTAGAGATTGATGCTCAGTCTGAAGTCCCCCGAGCTTCCCAACAAAGTCGCGCAACTGGGCAACGGTTTTCGCTTGAAGGTTTGTCTAATGGAACTTGGATCTGGGAACGAAGTTTTGAAACAGATGGAAGACATACCTTGTAATCGCCGTCGAGGCGGCGAGCGACGTTGTTCAACTTCCTCCCAACAGATGAAAAATTAAGATCTCGTAATTCAGCAAAGAGAGGGTCCGTGGAAGTTGACAAGTGGTGTTTCTTTTTCGCCTCCTTCTTGACGCTTATCACAGGCGCCGTAGTAGCCGTTGATGTTGAGGGATTGCTGGACGATGGTGCAGGAGGCGTCAACAGAGAGATCGGTAGCTCAACGTGGGCTGACAAAATTGGATCAATCAGTACGTAAATGCTTGAGACTTTGAAGCGACAAACAATTCTTTATCCCAATCAGTTCGTCTACAAGTCCTTCATACGTGAGTTGGGTGAGAAGCGGTGTGATCATGTCAACGCGACGATCCAAGATGATGAGAGAATCAATGCTTGTCGTCGAAGCCAGTACAGCATCTGATGCTGAAGCGTTTGTGGCCTTCGATGTGGAACGCGTCAGCAGTTTGGCCAATTTCTACGGTTCGATTGTCAATTAGGTAAAGCACACAAAATTAACGGCTTACGTTGGCGTAGTCACCCTTACCAACTATTTGCGGGAATGGCCCATAAAGCCTTTGCAAGGTAAGCAGTGCCTGAGATGACTCGAAGATGACGGTTTCATCTCCATCCTATTCTTTGCAGTGGTCAGAAGATAAACTTGGCTTGAGGATATAACATAACTCACAACCCAGATCTCCTTGAAAGCGTTCTCGTGCTCCAGAGATATTACATCATCATCCAGAGGTATGAATTGCAAGTTGTATGATGATATAGTAATATCGCCTAGCACTCCCTCCTCTTCTAATATTCGCGATACAAGCGTCGATAGACGGGGAACGAGAAGCAAGGTGTATATATGCTTTCGTGACTCCTTCGCATGTCTTTTGATCTGATCTTGTCCATAGTCAGCTAAAGGGCAAGCCAGGTGACACATCCATACCAGCAATTATCTTCATGTGCTTAATTACCGGACGACATAAATATACAATGTTCGTCGTGGTTGATGTCAACGCTCCCGATTCTAGCCAGAACATCTTGTCCACAGAGTGTTGCTGCAGATAGAAAATACATTGAGGATGATTGATGACACAGAATAGACGATATTTGTAGTGACCTTGAGTAGCGACACCTCAATCACAAGTCCGAGTGGTCCTGCTAACGATGCGTCGAGAACAAGGGTCTTTGCACCATTGACCTTCCTCAACCCGTTAGTTGTGTCTGGCGTGCATTTGTTGGAACACTAACCCCGTTCAGTGCATCTACTAAATCCTTCTTGGCAATCTCTTTTAGCAGGCTCACGTCCAAATGAGCTTGCGGCCTTTGCGATGATTGTTCTCCAGACGCCATTTCGTAACGGCTGATAGACAATATGACAAACTGGTCTGATCATGAATTGGGTCTGAAGTTACACTACAGTAAATCTGTTTGGTTGGAGTACGCCAGACAAACAAGCTGAGTGCAATGGTACGCCTGTGGCCTCGAGCATACCACGCCTTGACTATCCTACCAGCACCTCGGCACCCTATGAGTCGGCACAATTTTGATCGTGCAGCTTCCACAAAACAAAAATAGGTGATCCTAGCTCTAAGTCAATCCAATTTCCTTTTTTTCCGTCAAGCTAATATGGAGGATTGAAAGGATCCTATTTTTTCAAGTTGTCACGCAACGTCATGCTTGTCCTCGTGTGGTGTGCCGAGGTGCTGGTATGTAATAGTAAATGAGTATAAATGCCGGCCAGCAACATATGTTACACAGTGTCCAAGTCACTAAATTGAATTACGCCGGACACTCCTCCCTTTCTTCTTTCCTCCAGGGTTTATTCCTCCTATCCCATTCATGAATGCTGAGGGAAGTCTTCCTTCCTTGTCGAACTTCTCAAGAATGTCCATTGAAGCGATGTAGCCCTGTTTTTGGATCTCTTCAAATTTCCCGAACTGTAAAGTTCCATACTAAAAAAAACGGTCAGCCGACTTAAAGTATTCTCAGCACAGGGAGAGGAACCGACCTCGTGGACTGGCATCTGAATATAGAGGCAATTCTTGGCTACCTTCGCCTCTTCAAGAGTTTTGACACTGGAAACACTGCGTCCCGTTTAAGTATCACATAATGCAGTGGTAGAAAATGTACGCACTACGCCAGGCGACTTTGTATTTCAGTAATTGGCGGCACGTGACGGGCATTAGAGAAGGGGTTCCAGCGATTGATGAGAAGCCACCAGCCAGAAACTGTATCTCCAAAATTTCTCGGAGAGTTATCATCGAGCTAAAATTCAGGAAGGTGAATGTGCAGCTCAGATGAGAGTCAAGAGCATACCGAGCCCACGTCAGAAGCAAACACCGCGCTAGCACCCATGGAGAACATAGCTGCCACCTGAGAGCGTGTGATTCTATAAGAGGGAAAGACGGACAATGTAAGGCTTACTCACTGGCAGATTATCAACTGTAAATCGCTGGAATTGAGAGGTAGATAGATAGTATCAGCTGTTCAAACTCACTGTATCCACCATCAACCAACAGACTGCCATTGTCGCACAGTGGCGGCAAAAGTCCCACTAATGTCATAGAGGCACCTACATTGAAAGGCTCAGCCGTTTTGCTCCTTCAGCTGCCATTTCACGTACGGATGAACCTCCATGCATATCCTGTTTCATGAATTTCCATCCGAGATGTCATGATGTTGGTCGTATTGCAGAAGTAAGGTAGCCACATATCTTCGATATGTAAGTCGTAGAATGCCTGACGCAACGTGAGCAAGACAAGAGTGGGCAAAATTTGACTGTATTACTTTGTACAAAGATCGATTGAATTCATGTCCCTGCAAACAAAGATGAAAAGTACCGTTATTTCAAAAATTTCTGCACTCGCCGTTGTGTAAGCAACGATTGGATAGGTTACATCAGAGAGAATTCTCCAGATATTACCCATTCTTCCGCTGAACTGCTTGGCTCGACCTACTGTCCTGAGCAAGTCTCCCTCGCGCGCGTACAGACCACCGATGAAGGCGCCAATGCTTGTGCCTTTTGTGGTGGTCAATAACAAGGATTATGTAAAGGCTGAATCACTGACCAGCAATGTGATCTATCGGGATTTCAAACTCTTCAAGAGCACGAATAAGACCCTAATCCACCGTCACGTCCAGCTCAAGGTGCAAACAAAAATATTCACGATATGTGCGATCCCCCTAGCTCCGCCCCCTCCCAAGACAAGGCCAATCGATCTTCCGCATATCCTCCTTGCCAAACGGGAGAAATCGTTCGTGTGTGGTAGGCGTGGAGGTCGAAGGTCTGTTGTCCCTCCACGGTACTTCTGAATTTCGCTTTGAACTTTATCTTTTAAGTTTTTCAGCGCCGTAACTGCGTCCGGATCCTTATGAACAGTAGATTTCGGTGGCAACACCAAGCCCTGGAAATAGTTATAGAAAGAAAAAAAGAGATAAGGAAGCGGTTTGACGTACCTCCATTTCGACATGTATATGCTGATGAACCCACGGCCGATTCTGAAAATAAATAAATAATCCAAGCGATGAAAAGTAATAGTCAGGAAGAGCTACCTTGAGCCACTCGCGGGTTGAACCAGGAACCACGGAGCGATCAGGATGTAACAGGACAAGCTCCTTACGGGCTGTTGTCTTCATAGATAAGAGCAGACGTTCATATTCTCCAATGCTTGGATCATCCCCCATACCAACCACCATAACACAATCAGCCTGGAACAAGATTTCAGATATTTTCATGAGCAAGACAGAGGCTTGAGTGGCAACCCCACGCACCTGTCTGATGCAAGTCTGGGTCCAGGAACTATTAACTGGCGAATCTGCGACATACAAAACGGTGTGAAACCGTTGCTCTTGATCGGCCAGCCAACCCGCAGACTCCGAGAAGGATCAGATCCGAGTAATAGACGGAGGTGAAATTAATACCTTGAGCTTCCCCATCCGAGTAAACGCATGGCGCCCGAGATGATGAGAAATAATCGCTTGGTTAAGGTATGATGTTGAAGCTCCTATCCCTTCGAGTGCACTCTGCAACTTGCGGGCGAAGGCATCAACAGGAACGTTGCGAGACACCGGAAGAACGGCGACTGTCTTCAAATTTGTGTTGTTATGGCCGAGTTCTGCCGTTGATGTCCTCCCTTGGGCTAAAGATGTTGAGTCTACTTCATCGCGCACCCGCGAAGCAATCATTCGGAGCAGTCTACAAACAGTGAGCGGGAAGCCGTATTGCAAGCAACATCATCACGTACTGTGCAGTAGTTTGTGGGTTGCTTTGTGGAAACCTTTAGTTAGCCTGGGTTGTGTCGTGTTACGCTAGTAGAAGGACTGACCGTGCCGAAATTGCGTTGAAGAGGGTTTGAGGCATCCGAATGAGCTCAGTGTCGCGGATAGCATGAACGGTGTTCCTTCTGGGTGAACTGGTAATAACGTCAAGTTCCCCGACTGTATCACCTTGACCAAACTCTCCTTCAATGGTCACCCCACCCTTTTCAGATTCTGATATGGCTCTCAAACGTCCGTTAATGACGATGTAGAAGCTGTCGCTGACGTCATGTGGCCGCCAGAGTACTTGACCAGCGTTAACTTGCATCCAGTCCAAAGAAGCATCAATGTGAAGGACTGCAATAACATTAGAACTATTGGATATGTATGAGCGGACCATATACCTAGAGGAGAAAGCATTGAGATGAGACGCTTTGCCAGGGTGAGCAGAACGATTGGACGCTTCTCGAGTATTCTTTCCAACGCAAGGAGGGGTAAAAAGCCAACGTAAGTGTCCGTCTTCGCCTGGATGTCGACGTATGATGCTGTGTTGCAAAGCGACGCTGTGGGCTAGCTTTAAATTACAATCGTTGCATTACAATCACTCCACTGACCAAGATATCCGGCAATCCCTCCAGGTTTGACTGTGAATAGCAGCTTTTTTTCGGGTTTCGAGCTCCTACCACCCGGAGTCCTCCAAGGTTCGGAATCGACTGAGTCTGGCATTGCATCGGGGCGAGTAGGAGCAGCGGCTCCATCCTTATGTCCCTCGTCTGATGGCAGGAGAATATCGAGAAAGCCTTCGATAACGTAGAAGAGCCCCGTATTCAACTCTCCGACCTTTGCTAAAGTCGAACCCGCCGCAAAAAAGAGAATCTCAACCTCATTATCGAGTCCACTAAGATGATTTCCTGAAGGTAATATCGATGAGGATCCTCCTGTTGCGCTTGATACGTCATCACCCAGATCAAGGAGGGAAAGGGAACCAAAGGGAGAGCTAAAACCACCCGAGGGACGACGATGTTCTGTAGCAGGAAAAGCAGGGGACGCTTCAACAGAATCACTGCCGCTGAGAGGAGGTTGGAGAAGCCCAATAGACTTCGCGATGCATGACATGACCTCCTCTCGAAGATCAAAGTCTTCTACTGACCAGTGCGACGACCGTGATCCCTGGTTCATTTTGCGGCCAAGATCTGCATCATCAGATCCTCTTGGGAGCCCTGGTGTATTAAGGGTGCTGAATGTTCTTAAGGGCGTTCGAAAGCTGTCATGAATGCTGCTTTTCGGCATTAAAAGATCACCAGGTTGCACCATAGTACGCGAGGCTCGCATCGGTGGAGATTGACCGTTGGAAATTTTACGAGTTTGAAGAGTATCGTCCCCCGCTGCAGTTGATGGTTTCTTCAGTTTAGGCAATTCAGATGTCGTCTGCGATGGTGACTGGGTGTAACTGAAATAGTCGCTATCGGTTTCTGTAGTACTCGAAGTGGAAGCATCGAAACGGTTGCGAAGGTATTGGAGGCCCCCTCCTTCATAAAACGAAGCCGGAAGAGGGTGGCAGGCAATATCATTAATAGCCTTCTCCGTTCGAAGGACCTCGCTTGTCAGACCCAGGTACTTGTGAGCGGCGTTGAAAGTAACTCGAGAGAATCGTGTCAGGATGACTGCAATGAACCGGTTAAAACTTGACACTGACGTAAAAGTGGATATAATAACCTTGCACGATATGGCCAGTGGCTTTGGGGAACTTTTTTGTCAGCCTGCGGAAAGCTTCTGCAGGGATCACAGCAAGAGTCGTATCCACTGTTGCCCGGGCGACCACCCCTCTATGAGCAGGAGTCGGGCGAGAGGGGCCAGAGGGTATAAATGGACGCATTTGCTCAACTGGGGGTTCATCTTGGTGCCCAGGAGACATGGAATTACCTCGAGATGACCTGGAATGGTCTGCATGCACTGTCGACGCCGTCGACGACACCGAAAATCGGCGAGTGCTAGTTTTCGTCTTCGATTCCAGATCGAACTGCGAAACATCAGAATTCGCTCTATGTGACCGGTTGCGGATGAATGGGGAAGGGTTGCTTTCAAAGCATGCAGTATCGTCAACCGAAACGCCAGGGTACTCGTCCTGCCAGCTCATCTGCACATCCTCAGTAAAAAGGCTCAGGATTGTGAAGAGACTTGATAGTGTTCCCCCGCTTCCCACTTCGTTCAAAAGTTGATAGCCATTCATATCCTCATCGTCCCACAAACTCTGCTGAACCTCTGGGGAGTGACCGGTCTGGGCATAAACTTGAACCATGCCTTCTACGACACAATAGAAGCTTTTGTCTTGGCTCAAAGAAAGGCTGTCCCCCGCAATGAGCCTCCGCGTCTGCAAGTGTCTAGCGAGTTCGTGAAACACCTGCGATAGTCGTTGAGCGGTACGGACATCGAGGGGTGGGCAACAGTGGACAAACAGGTTTTTCAAGCTAACGTCAACGTAGTGAGTAAAGAGCTGCGTAGTAGGCAGACCCGAAGCACTCACGAAACCGAAAACTCGTACAGCCTGCAGGAAATCGTCTAGGTAGTTGTGGAAAGACGAGGGTGGATCTGTCACCCATTTCAGCATCGCATAATAGAGAGGAGATAAAAAATTGACCCGTATTGACATCTGGGTGAAGCTCGTTGATATCTGGTTTGACTAGAGGAGGCTCTTTCAACTGGGTGTAGTCGTTGAGGTAACGAAAGCGTATCCAATAGTTTAGAGCAACAGCCGAGACCCCGAAGAAAACAGCGAAGTTCCAGAAACCGAGCTGAGAACGGTGCAAATGGTAAATGTGTGACCGAGAGGTTGCAGAATGAGAAACGAACAGTTAGAGTCATGGAATATGAGAGCACTGCATACAGCAGTCGAGGAACAGTAATCGTCGCAAATGCGACGAGGGATTTCGCCCACGACAAAAGCCATACTATGAAAGGGTGAATTTTAGTTATGATGCATGTCCCAATCCCAGAACTTACAGATGACCCAAAAACTTGCCGACACTAACGAAACCAAAGGATGCCTGTCGATGGATTCGGTAAGAACTTCTGAATCCATGACGGTAGCGACGCAAAGATGTGAGGCGAATCGGTGATGAGGGCTATATAAGAGACGAAGAAGTCGTCGCAAATGCGGGCAGTGGATATGGTCAGGGTTGGGTCAGGGTGCTTCAGAGACCACAAACGTCATTTTGGGCCTGGTCAAACATGTGCATCGGATAAGCAACCCGTGCGCACAACGAGGAGGGAAATTTTTTCGACACGTTCCTGCCTCCGTCAATGAGCTGCTTCTACAACCAAGGCCTTTACAATTGGAAATGTATATACAAGACGTCCTTACATATAAACGTTTCTACTAGCTTGAGAGGTCAATTTCTAGAAGGAGTGCTCTGTCGAGTCCTTTCCAATTGCGGAGGTGCTAGATGATCCCGATGAGACGGTTTGCAGAATGCCGTCAATGTAATTGGCGCCACTCCTGAACAGGTAACTCAGTGAACAGAACAGGGCTGCTGACAGCCAGGTACGCACCATTTCTGATGTGTCAAGACATCGCAGCCAATGTCTTTTTCTTTACGTTGGATCAGCTCGACATACGCAAGCATGCCATCCTCCTTATACCGGGCAGAGAGTTCCGCTTGAAAAGGACGATAGGTCTGAGAACCCAACTCAAATCTTGATGCGAGACTCACCTGTTGTCACCGCATTACTGTGAAGGCCTGCCAGCGATATAAGTTGAAGGACAAAGCTTGAATTTACATTAGCAGGTAGCAGTACGAACAGAAAACAAATAAACATACCCCTCCTTTGCAAGCTCCCAAACGAAGGCCTTGAGGTTGGCGTCTAAAAGGCGATGAGTTAAGGGTCATGCCTAAACAAACAAAAAAACAGGTCACCCGTGAAGCCGTGTTGAGACCAGTTGAAGCTTGGACTCAGATTATACACGAACCACCTGGCGTAATATATTATATGGGTCCCAAGCAATAAGAGTCGAGGGGCGTACTTTCCGGGATACTTCTCTCTAATCTTACGAGCAAAATATCTGGCCTGTTCAAGATTCGGTGATTTCGTTTCCAACCAAAGAAGGTCCGCGTAAGGAGCAAAAGCCATAGTACGGTTGATTGCGGCCTAATGAGTTGCACATCAGACAAAGAAACAAAAAAAAAAACAAAAAAAGGCTTTACCTCCACCCCTCCTGTGTAGTGGTAAAACCCTTCTCTAGTTCGGGGTACTGCAAACATATCCTCCTTCAAAGCAATAAACTGCAGCAAGGAATATCACCTACGGTCACAATCCCAGTAGACATTTTCTCCCAGAATATCAGCCGCAACTTCGCGAGCCTCACTGTTGGACTTTCCTGTTACCATTGAGAGGTACTTTTTGTAGGCACCAGTTTTATCGACTATCTTCGATTTTTTTATAGCAGTTTCCACAGCTTAAAAAAAAGATGAGATTATTTTATGGGACTACGGCGAAAGTCTTACCCTGATCAAAGGTGCACATTTCATGAGACTCAGTCCATTTCTTCTCGATTTGGTCCACCTGTGCCCCCGTTGCGCCCTGGGCCTCTGCTTCTCCTAAAACCTGAGCAAGAGACTTGCTTCCTTTGGCTGTTGTACCCAGAATAAATTGATGATCCGTAACATCCACATTGGACGAGATGAGCTTCCCGGACTCAGAGTCTGTGCGTGCTATAAGTAGCATCGTGGATTTCATCAAGTCAAGCTGAAACCTCGAGGCTACAAGGCGAGATATATGTGTTGAGGTTGGTACAAGAACTTTCCCTCCCAAATGACCGCACTAGTGTAGTTAGAAGGGGCCGTTTGGGCAAAAACGGGTCAATTACCTTCTTCCCGCCATGTAACTGATCTTCTAAATGGATTGCAGAAGCGCCCTGTTTCCCTCGGACTGTTAGTCGCGTAGACGCTATTTAAGAAGTTCTTATTCACAGATTCCGCAAAGAGTTTGACCAACTTCATGACGGCGGAAAGACCACCGTGTCTAGAGCAGATCAACAATGAAGGGGGTGTGGCGGACTTGGGTGACATACCCTGTGTCTGCATCAGCAATAATAGGCCTGAGGTAATCTATCTGCTCCATTTTTGCGCGTTGTTCTGGTGATGCTGACATTCGCTCATCATAATGTTTCTTGTCATGTAATTGTTGGGCGCGAAAAATTCGATGGACTTGATTCGGAACAGTCGTGTAGGGGTAATCTCTGTTGATTTCCTTCAAAATTTCGTGGAGTTGCAACATAACTATTGACTTACCCCAAGTCCGGCCCGACTTCGTTGTTTCCAGTAGTTAACACGCTAGAAGCTGCCCACCCAGACACGTATACAACCTCTTGATGACGTGCCATCTGGGTCATTTGTACCGGGTCAATGGCACCCATAGTGTGTACTGGTTTTCCAGCATCCGCAGCCGCCGTCAGTAGAGCAAAGAGCTTGTCCGCCAACAAGCTAGATGGGATAGGCAAAACAGGGAGAGAGCCTTGTTTCGAGGCAACAGAAGCTGGGGAATACGGCCTCTTGATAGCAGCGAATCTGGGTTGAGCTATAAACTCTGTCATTTCACTCTTGCGGGCCTCGAAGACGGCTGTCTCGTCATCAAGGGAAAGTGGTTGGACAGGAAGAGCAGGCACAACTTGGGCCGTTGAAATAAACCTCACGACATTGGACATGAATCCCAAGCTCTTCCGAGAACATAACATATCGGGGGAGCGTCTAACAAATGAGATGCAATAATTATTAGACAACTTGGACGCGTTTGGCGACATACCTTACAAGAATCTGCTTTCAACGCCTTCCGCGAGTTGGCACAAATGATAAAACCTGTGGGTTGTGTTGACGCTTCTTTTGTATGAGGTCAGCCGGAACTAGCATCTAGCGACCCTGCCGATATATTTCCAGCTACGAGTGGTGGCTTGTTTGTCAACAACGTCTAATTGCGCAGGATACTAACTCGCCTTCAACAACACTTTACATACATTTCCAATGCCACGCAGTAAACGAAATCGTTCTCTATCCATTGTGTCTGAGAGCAGGAAGCGCTCCAGAAAGTCAACTACGCAAGAGGTTATTCTTATTGACGATTCAGATGACGAAGACGACTTGGCCGCCATTTTGGCACAAATCAAACAACAGGAAGAAAGTGAACGACTGGCCAAGGAGTTGCAAGGCAGTTGGAACGATGCTTCAGGGTCTAAGATCCCAATGCTCATTGATGAGGACGACGAAGCATTGGCCAAGCGTTTGGCTCGAGAATGGGCAGACGAAGATGAAGAAATCGAGATTTCTTCCATCCAGCCTGCGGCGATAGGGATGCCGTCGTCGTCTAACGCAGCTTCGATCTCGTCACAACCTTCACTTGAGATTCATAAACCCCAGAAAGCGTCCGATCATGCCCAATCGCCTGACAGAAGTTTGATTGCTTTCCGGCAGCTATTTACAACTACGAGAGCATGTAGCAAGTGCGGGAAAGATGTACCTTCCCCTCGCGGTCATGTAAGACAAATGATTTTAAGAACAGGAAGTTCTGATCGATTTTTCAACAGGTTATGTTTACGGGTAGTGACCCTCTTCCACCCAGTCTGACATCGCTCTTACACGCGCCATGTGCGGCATGTCGAACCAACCATTGTAGGGGTTGTTTCACTGTCATAGATTGTCCACCTTCGTGCAAAGGTCTTGCAAAGAATTCGGCGTGCTCAGTTTCCCGATGTTGCGCCGAAGGACGTGCTATAGCTATTTTCGAAACTTTGGGCGGCTTCGACCGACAATACAATGGCGAGCGCGCGACCTCTGACTCTCGAGCTTTAGCTACGTTATCCAAGAAAAGGGCAACAACAACTGGAACTGTCGGACCCGGAGGCACCGGCTATGGAACAGATTCATACGGTGGCTACAGGGGTCGAGGAAGGGGTCGTAACCCTTCTGCTTCCGCTCCGCGCACTTCGAGAGTAGAAAAGCTTGCTGCGCACTGGGAAGAGATACTGGTTCGTTCTATGAAAATACTTACAGAACTCTTACCAGCGCCCTACTCGGAAATGCCGGAAATGTATGATATGCTACCGCATGCATCGATAGGTCCACTTTTGTCGATTTCTCAAATACCCAACCTCCTTGCGAGCCTGCTTTGCAACGATTCTGTGACCGATTGGATATCTCGAAGCGAGACGTATCACGCAATGTTATCTTTGCTGCGGAGGTTGGCGGATTGTGAATTGACAATACAAGTTTTGATTGGGCAACGCCATGAAATGGCTTCCAGCTGTGGTCTTGAAACTTGGATGTGGGAAGAAGGTGAAATCACCTGGAGAATGGAATCTGGGGTAGTGGAAACCTCGGCTCCTCTTCTAGACTTTTTCAAGAAATTGACGAAGCAGTCTGAGGCGTTTCTAAATGGCGCGTCTCAGATGATCGCAGAAGGCGGTGAAGACGGAGAGGTAGATGACACCATAGTGAACGGGACGTCTTTGTGTGGTGATATAATCGCCGCCAGAGACGACATGGAGCGAGCGATATCCATCATCGGACGACCTGCGGATCAGCAAGCGTCGACTTCTGCAAACCAGGGACCTTCCGCTAGCAGATCAAGGCATAGGCGCGAAAGCGAAAAGGGGAAGGGAAAAGAAACTTCCGTAGAACTTGCAAGAGCATATGCGTCTGCATGCGAACGACTCGCATTCAAACACGTTTTCCTGGCGGCGGAAGGCAAGGGCAAAGGAACGGGGTTATCTTACCCAAATTTCAACTACAGTGCACAATTAAATCAATCCCAAAACGCGACGCGTAATCCAAAAGATCGGCTTCACCTTGTGAAAGAGCTGGCTGTGACCGCGACAAGCCTGCCTCCTGGTGTGTGGGTACGTGTCGATGAAGTCCGAAATGATGTGATGTACGACTTTCAATAACTCGTATATTCTGCTTTTGGAACTGATTTTTTAAAAGCAAGGTAATGATAGCGGGCCCCGAAGGTACACCCTACGCCGGGGGTCTTTTTGAGTTTGACTGCTTCACGCCTCTGGACTATCCAAATTCCCCGCCGCTCTTTCACCTCAGAACCACTGGAGGGGGTACTGTTCGTTTCAATCCAAACTTGTACAACTGTGGAAAGGTCTGTCTTTCTCTCCTTGGTACATGGCCGGGGAGGTGAGTATTTCTTCCTCGCCAATCGTAACAGCACCACTTGACATTCTCGTAGACCAGAGGAACAGTGGTCACCTAAATCTACACTTCTCCAGGTTCTTGTCAGCATTCAAAGTATGATACTCATCGACGCGCCTTATTTCAATGAGTCAATTTCGCATCTGATTTGTGAATGTTTTGTTTATCCTAATGATCCATCTTAGACCAGGGCATGGTAAAGCGAATTTAAACTCTTCCGTCAGTATCGAATATAACCGTAATATCTCGCTGCAAACCGTTCGCTGGGCCATCGTTGAATGGTTGAAAGAAGAGCACCGCAATGGTATCTGGAGGGTATGTCGGTCCCTCGCGTTGTTGCTCACACACGTTTCACACTATTTTAAGGATGTCATAGCATCCCATTTCAGCATTCAAGGATCCCAGATTCGCCAAAGGTAAACTTTTAAATTTCTGAGCGTGTATCCCATGTTACTGAACGTCGCGTTGAAGGATCGCTGAATGGGCCTCGACAAACCCTGCGATGAGGTCTTACACTGCCAGTCCTAACTTTCCGGGACGAGTATACGCCAATTACCCGGCACAGCACGCGCCAAAGCAAGGTGGCCTTGATTTAGTCCAGGAATTTGAGGAAGGAATTGAAAGGGTCGACAAGTGGTTCTTTGAAGGTGTGGAGTGAGGTGATGTAAATAATGCAATACAAGTCAATTATGCTGAGAAGCGCATGACCTTCTCTTACTTGCCGAGGATTTAAGTACTCTACTTCGTCAACTCTTGCCTTCCCCGAATCTTTATGTTGGGCCTTCCAAGGGCAAAGCTGGAAATAACCTTCATCCAGCCGCCGTTGTTTCACGTCACGCCAACTCCGCGTCATACCGTCGGTTAAATGCACTGTTGTCTCCGAGCTATTGTCGGATGAAGATGAATACGCGTTTAGCCTTCTTCGATCATTATACCCGCGCGCTGAAAGTGGGGTACTTATAAGGGACCATGGCCCAAGCTCTCTGCAGAGGCATCTTCTATGGCTCATCCGTTTATCACGACATCCTCGTCGACGCTTATGCACACATCTCTTGCGTATCTCTCTCACGAAGTTATCACGCTGGACTCCATTATCCGCGACCACTCTGCAACATTAGCACATACCACGAAAGCCTACCTCCCAACTGAACTCCTCATCCTCATCCGCGCCGACCTCTTTTCTATAATTTCCGAACAACTTGTCTCCGAATCCGCTGCCGCTCTTCTGGAGTATGAAGAGGCGCTCCGAGAACTTCTTTGCGTCGATTGCGCCGAGTACAACCAGGACATTTACGGTCCAGATGTTTGGCAATGGGAACATTTTTCTGGTCCATGCATGTGTGTCATGGGCAAGTATAAACTGGAGCAGGGTTATCGCCGCAGGAGAAGCGATACGCTCCCACCCAACCCTAAACAATTTTCTAACTCGCGGCACTGGCTCGAAGCACGCATGTCGCGCGTAGCCCTTCGGTTTCGTCATAATCGACGAAGATCATCCTCGGGATTTATCTGGGACATTGTCGCGGACGTACTGCGCGAGTACGGATGTGAGGTTGCTCACCTGAGTGATAGGGATGGATCTGCAGCCCCAAGTAATAGGCAGGGTCGCGGTACCATGACCGCGATAGGTTGGTCACGCGTTGGCCTCAATCGTGACCAAGTCCAAATCACTATTCCAGAAGATCGACGCTCAGGCGATTCCTGGATGATTCGAGCCATCCTTCTTCGCGCGAACAGGGAACTCGGATTAGGCCAAAGATACCCAGACCTGTTCCATCGAACTCGGGATGCACTTTCCCCGAACATGTGTATGTCACCCAACGCAGGTTTATCGCGTTGTGAGAACCATCGATCGTCGCTTCGCCATCGATATTCTAACATTGACATCGCCTGGACTGACCCATTTCTTCACTGTTTGCGCTTCTTCGCGACTGGCTTCTCTGCTTGTCTTTCACTTCTCGCAACTCTGACCACCCTGGCTCTAGCAATCTTGTGCTTTTATTCGAAACCAAAATCCCTACGTATGATATAATAATTAGCTATCACTTATAACCGTTATGTTTCTGTATTTTTATATTACCTCGGACTGAGGAATTAATCAATTGAGGTGTCAATCCAAAACCTGAAGTGGGAAAATTCGAGTCAGATTTTCTGATTAATGAGACCCTAATCAACCTATGTACTGCTACAGATGAGATGCGCTGATGAGAAGTGTTGTATTATTACGGTTACTAGAAGCCAAGCACGTATCAAGGCCAGCACAAGGACAGGGATGGAGGACATAGGTGCAAAACTGATTAAAACAGTTGTGTCCGAGCCAGCGTGAAGAGGTGGAGGGCATCGCGGAGGAGGGTGGAGTAATTGCTGTATGAGTGGTGTGGACTTTTTTCTTTTCTTTTCTTTTTTTTTTTTTTTTTTTTTTTTTTTTTTTTTTTTCGAGTGCACGTATATGTATATGTACCCTAAAATATATAGATAAATAGTTCCTAAGAGAAGGTGAGCGTTCGCATTCGCTGTCAGTGATCAAGAAATTACGCACAATACTACTTTTGATTGGTTAGTGAACACTATGTTGATGGAAGCTGAGGAGCAAAAGTGCGTCTTCGAATTTGATGTCAGAGTATGTAGCTGAGCGTTTTTCGAATTCTGCGTAATATGCAGGTTCGTTGAAAGAAGTAAAGCCTTCGATGGTGAGATGGGAGTTTGAAGGCGGAGGAGGAGGGGACGGTGAGGCTTCTGGGGAAGGAGTCACCGCCTCTTGAAACTCGTCTTCACTTCCAATGTCGGAATGCATATCATAATCAAACGGCTCCAAGTCCATAGATTCGTCATTTAGAGACGATGACGAGGAACCGAAGGACGGTGTGCCAAAGTGGGAATCGAAAGCAGAGTAAGAGATTCGTCCGCTGAACCCATCGTAATCGTCGTCGTCAGCACTTCCTGACCGTTTGGTCCGTTTTCTCGCTGTTTGACGGAGATTGCGGAACCAATTTGTTACCTTGCCAACATCCCTATGAGTAGTCAAGTCAGCAATCATTGCGATCTTCGAGACACCGACCACATACATTCCAATCTCAAGTGCCAAAGCAGATCGCTCTTCAATCGTCGGAGTTGGGGTCTTTGTAAACAGATCCTTAAGTGCGTCGAGCTGGAAGGGTTCAGGACGAGACCTCCTTGGTCTTGAGAAGGTTGTGCCTGGGCCACCATATGAAACTGAGCTTCGACCAAAAGATCTGCGCGGGATATAATCTTCCATCGATGGTGAGACACTCGGAGATCTCAGTATACCAGCAGGCCGGACGGAAAAGGGGTAGGTGGGGGCGTAAGGCATCTGCGGCGGAACTAACGACGGATGGTGTGACGGAGGGGGAAAAGCTGAGTACTGCCTTGATTCGCGGTATCCTGACCTCGAAGATGACAATGTACACATGTCGATTTCGTCCTCTTTTTTCTTCTTTGCTAGGCTGCGTTGATTCTGAAACCAATTTGCGACGCTTTGATATCGCCTATTATCGATTGAGTTTTTTGTTAAAAAAATGCAGTATCGACGAAAGAAAAATGCCACACACATTCCAATGCGTCTGGAAAGCACTTGTCTCTGTTCTGTTGTTGGATGGGGGTTAATGTTGTACAATTTTTTGAGCTCTTCTGTCTGTTCAGTAGTAGGTCGCATGCGCATTCTGCGGGGCATTGTATCTGAGTCCAGGAAAAAGGTGTGATCTTGACTACCCGAGTAAAACGATGAAAAACTTTCGGATGGAACATCCGATTCAAATGGCATGTCTATGGAAGAATACTCTTCGTCGTGAAAATCGTCAAACTCTGCAAGATGATGTGGGTTTGATGGTGAATCGGAAGAATAGACCCCTGGTGCGGGATTGACGGGAGAAACATCCGAGACAGCATTACGAGCTCTTTTCTTGGAGGAAGCCCGTTTATTTTGAAACCAAGCGTTGACTGTCTTTGTTTCCCTACGGAAAAGGTAATCAGTAAAAGAAAACGGCAGGAGGAAGAAATCTACAGACATCCCAAGTCGTTCTGCTAAAGCTGTGCGCACGTCCAGCGGAGGATGTTCATTTTTATCAAACAATTCATTTAATGCTGCCAGCTGGGCAGGGGAATGGCGATGTCTCGGTTTCTTCTGAGAAGTATTCTGGGGAGGAGTCGGAGGGAGAGAGTTGGCTGTGGGCCGTGACCAAGAGTCTTGGTGAACGGCGTCCATGGGGGACGATGGAAGTCGGAAGAGAAAGAGGGGAGAGGTAGAAAAGGCAAGAGAAGGGGATTTTGAATGGATGAGGATGATTGAGATTATGTATTACAAAACTCTCCATTTATCACAGATCGCTTAAGGCAACTTTGATAGTCGTCCCTGCTTTCCCACGCCAACCCTGACACAATAAATATCATGATCGCTCTTGCTAAAGATGCCGATACGGCGATGCCAGACCCACGACGACGAGGAAGCAAGACGAGTGCAGCGTTCAAGGCCAACATAAGGCAGCCGATTGGTCTCAGCCGCATACGCACCGCCGAGAACATCGACGGATGCGGAGCAGAAGTGGATTTAAGAGGAGATTGTGCAAAATGATATATACAGTGTATCCGTAGAATGGGGTAATGCAAATAAAGATGTAGTGTCACATACTTGGGTTCTCTCCTACTCCGCCTCCTCGGGTTCGATGTTTCTTATCCAGGCCCCAATTGATCCTCTATCCGTTTCGTCCAGTCAGTGGTTTCGTCAGGTCATGAAGGTCAAGGTACGTACAGGAATCCTTCGTGCCGAAGGAACAAAGCTCGCTTCGTTCCCTTACTCCAGAAACGAATCGCATATGAGAGCGTAGAAATGGTAGCTGCGTGTCCTGTAAGATAATTATGAGTGCACAAACCAAATCACCAATGTGTTTACAACATGCCTCGAATAAAACATCCGCCAAAGTATATTCTATCGAGGTTGTACTTTTCCGCATTCATGTACCTGGGAGATCAGTTAATCAGTCCGTCGTCGTTCTTGAGCTCAAAATCAAGACTCACGCGATCTGACCGATATTGTTAGAGACGGCATACAAAAGGCTCTTGCTGATATCCTCAGCTGAAAACTTCTTCTTCTCTCCACCCTTTTTGAATACCTTGCCAAACGTACTGGCAATCATGGTCGATTTCAAGCCGAGCTTGCTATAGTCTTGTCCATAAATATCTCCAACCAGCATATCAACGGTGGAGTTGTCCCCTCGTTCAGAGATTGCAAGCATTTCTAAATGACTGTGAGTAATAAGCAATATATCAGTGAGGACGGAACAGACCGTCAAAGGTAGTTGCAGGCGTTAGTAGGCTGAGGAGACCCCATAGCGTACCCCCACCCAAACTTGTCCCGCTCACGCGCTCAAAGCTACCATCCTCGTCCACTTTGATAATGGATACACCAGAGCCGATATTCACGAGCAAGCAAGGTAATTGCGTTGTTGGATGATGCTCGAATGTGACACCGTATGCTGGAGGGTTAGGACTTGGTCGTTCAAGCGGTGGCTTTACGGTAGAATCAGCGGCTTTTGGTGCCGAAGCAGTCGATGGATGAGAGACGGATTGGATGAGCTCATCTGAGAAGTAATACGCCTCATCCGGGATGAGCGTGATAAACTTCAAACCTTCAATCAGACAAGCCATCTCGTCCTCTCTCCTTACTTCCACACGCAATTCCCCCCTGAACAATTCGTAGAATTTGTGCGCACCACCACCAGTGGCCATAATTTTCACTCCCTTGCGCATATCGTCTATCGAAACCCCATTGACATTCGCGGACCGTTCAATAAGCGATTGGATGAACTCGACGCAGTCATTGATGTTGTCAGTCTCGAATCGTTCGAAATTGAGGGACCCTCCAGGAAAATGCTGTACCTTCCGGCGAAGGAAAGACTCCCGCAGCAGCCCGTGATCAATGCCGGATAGGCTATTTACAGCGTGGTGCGGGTGATCCAAAATTAGCGGCGTGAGAGCACCATTGTGTTTGCTGTTGGATGGGGCGGATGACGAGGAGCAAGTGCTGCTTGTATCATCCAAGGGAGAAATCGAACGAGAGCTGGATACGTCATTGGCAGTGCTGGACACACGAGTCGCGGGAAGAGATGGCGATGATGGAGGTTCAGGGGAGCGGGTGAAATAAACAACTTTTGCTAAGGACCCACCAACCTGGTTTGTCGACGAGTGGGTTAACAGGCGCGCAGGGGCAGAGTGAAAAAGGAGCAACGTACGTCCACCGCAATGTGGGAGACGGGTTCGATGTAATTGGGGAGATATATCCCTCGACTGTCCCTGGTCTTGCGCCAACGTCAAACATGGTCCGGTGAGAGTGAGGGGACATGACGATATAATACCTCTGGCGATTCTTCCGACAGGATTACGGCCCCTCGTGTGTCGACATGAATAACTTTGGCCGAGGGGAGGGATGGTATGGACATTGTCACCGTACGTTGCAGGGGTTATAGATGGTCAAACCGTTTCTTTTTTGTTGTGCGAAATAGATTATTAGGGTATCAGTGAGCAATGTTCGGCATTTGGCAGGGGGGCGACGAGGAAAGAGACAGATATCATGCGACTTTCTGGTTGTCCAAAACAGCGACACCGGTCAGCGGCACACCCACCCCCGAGTAGTGAAAGTGCACTAGACAGGGGCTATGTTGGGCGGATACGGGCAAATACCTGTGTCCGGAGTGTTCTTTATTCCTACATCATCGGCCCGTGTTCAAATCCAGGATGGTATTAGGCCAGAAAAAACTACTATGTACCCTACAGAAAACACAACCTTAACCACCAACAGCCGTGAGCACAAGGTTGCATACTTCCTGCTTTTCAGCTCGGACACCAAGCTCCAGAGTCACGCCCTGGCCCCGCGAGAACGTCATCCGACAGCGCACGAGCACCTTTCCGCCACCGCCCGTTACGAGTCCAGATAGCTGTAGGGTGTGCACTGACGTTGATGAGGGTACTTCACTGCCACCAAGTGGTTCCATATTGAGAACTTCGATAATGGAGTCGCACGCCGCTAGCAAAGAAGGTTTAGCACGAACAATGTATTCCAAATCTAGTCTTTACCTTTGAGACTTTCCATCGCTGACAACGCGAAGGTTTCCGTAGCACTCGGAGCAGAACGCAGCCTATCCCACTCGGCACCGAAGGTTGAGTAACTTGGGATAATATAATCTCCTCCGGCACTTAATTCGACTTCCTCGAGCTGGTACTCATCTTCGTAGCCTTCTTCCTCGGGCTCTCCTGTGGCAGGGTCAAGTTCTTTGCTGATGAACTTGAGTGTGCATTGGAAGGACCCTAATGCGAACTGATCTGGAGAATTGCGTGTGAAGGAGACGTAGATGGTGCCAGGCGAATTGGCAGCGGTGAGGGCAGGCAACGGGATGATGAAGTCTTCACTCAGCGCGTTGTCGTCGGATTGGGGTTGCATAATGACGGAAACCTGCTCCAGCACGGTATCTGGTAGAGTGTTGGATACGTTGTACTAGATTCTTTTTGAATTTTTGTTCTTGACATTCAAAGGGTTACAAAAGTCACCTGGAACACGATATGCTCTTTGAAGACATGCTTGACACATGTAACTTGATACTCCGTTTCGTTCTCGGTCAGCTGGGCAGGTGTTAAACTGCTGTTAATCACAGGGCCGTAGGATCCAAATTCTGGAACTTCGGAAAGCTGTTGGAGATATGCTGATTGTTTCTCTGCCGCTGACGGGGCCACAGGTGCATCGACTGCCTTATTTGGTGCTGGAACACCTATGGTATCGAGCGAACTTGGTCCTACAAGCAACAGCCAATGAGCAGATGTAGAAGGACGATGGTTTTTGCAACTCACGAGCAGCTTCTTGGGCAGCTTGTGCCCGACTGATCTTCTGCACTGAAGAGACGTCTAAGGCTTGACCAGCTGATGACGGATCCTTAACATATGCTACCAATTTGGCTTCCAGCGCAGCTAATGAGAATACCGACTCTATCTAGGAGATCAACAAAAGATACAGCAGAAGATGAAGACGGCTGAAGCACACCTTCTTTGACGTATGTGTCTGCGAGGGGTTTCTCCTTGAAAACCTTCAGAAAGAAGGCAGCACGGTCGCGAACTTCATCGTCAACATCATCAAGACACCTAACACAGAATCAGAGATGAAAGAAGGCAGGAAAGAATACGAACGAACCGATTGAGTAGCACAGTGATGCTGCGCTTCAAGCTAGCTTCAGGGGAATTAACACCAAACTTGGCCAAGCTCGTCACTGCCGCTGCTCTAACGGTTGCATTCTCTAAGACCACGCGGTTGTAGATGAAGCGAATGTATTTCGCTGGTTGTGGTGATTTTGGACCCTCCACGCCAAGCAAATGAAGGATTCGGACAGAAAGTTTCGTGAATTCGCAGTCTTCAATGAACTCGCAAAGATGAGAGAGAGCTTGCTCTTTGCATTCGCCGATAAACTTGATCATGTCGAACATAGCCTCGACGACAGCACGCTTGAAGTCATAGCCACCTTCGTCTCGTAAAACTCCAGATAGGAAACTGAGCATGGAAACATGCTTTGTGGGAAATTTGAGACACAGGGAGCGGATGGCATCAACGATGATAACTTTGAATTCGTCGCTGATTTCCGTCATAAAACCGGTAATTTGCTTGATGAGACGATCAACCGAAGCTTCATTTCCGGTCTACAAAATAAATTCAACAACTGAAGAAGACGAATGAACGGTGGACCCGACCTTTAGAAGTGTGGTGATGGCGTATGTCGCCACGCTGCGATTGGGGTCTGCGATGAGGCTTTCGAGATCGACATTGCATGTGGCCACACTGCTTGGGTGCGTGAGAGCAAGAGCAGCCAGTGTGCGAGTGGCAGCAAATTTCAAAACAGGCTTTGGCGATGACAAGAAGAGCTGTAAAACTAGAGTATCGTTTCAGACGTGGAAAATGCTGCTTCCGAACAGTGGCTCACCAGCTATTGATTTTGTTAACTGAGCCGGTGTAGCATTTTTCATTTCGCAGATGACCCGCGCTGCCTCAAAGTTGACCATATCGCTCTTGTGACGTAACCAGCCCTCTAGCAATTCTACCATTTGTCTTTGAACACTGCAAGGTAACTGTTTAACCACCCAAAAATATGAAAGGCGGGTATACTAAAGGACTCACTTGGGGTCTTCCTCCATAACTTTGGCGGCGTATCGAATGAGCATGCACAAGGCCATCGGGTTCTTCAATGTGGTGCCAGCACCTGACTTGCCTCCGCCAAGTTGTTGAATCATCTTTGTCACTGCCATTCTGTCCTGCTGGCGGATAAGATAGAGAAGACCTAAACCATGATACTGCGCGATATAGCTCGAGGAGGCAATTGCCTGGGGTCCGTTGGGTTGGCTGGATGAGCCGCCAAAGCCAAGATACCCACCCCCAGAGCTCGAACCGAAGAAGGTCGAAGACGACTTGGCGTTGACGGCTTCTTGCGCTTCGTTAACCCAACGCTTGACGACGTCTTTAGCGTGAGGGAAAAGATGGTATGCTGAGACGAGAGCGGCGGAGGCAATTGCGGGGTTGCGGTCGACTATGGCCGCCTTGAAGAACCGTTCTACGCCCTGAGCCATTGAGGGCTGTCATAATTCGAGGGATTAATTTGAACACGCGAGTCAAATTTACAAAACGCACGTCAATGATACGACATAGTGCTCTGATCGCATTGGGCCGGTAGATAACTTCAGAGTTGGGCTGCATGTCCTTCATTATGCTGCTTGTAACCATTATTACATCTTCAGCAGTAGTAGCAAGCTCCTTGATGGCCAGATACACCGCTTGCCGCAACGCGCTCTGTGTTGAACTCATCAGACACGCAAAGTTTGTGCAGACAGTGTGACTTACATCTTTATGCTGGAACAGTTTTGTTGTCCCAAAGAATAAGGTGGTAGCTTCCTGGGGTCCAAAAGTCTCTCCGACATAGAGAAGATAGACGATGCGAGTGATGAGCGCCCTGCATTTTCGTGGACTAATTGGAGAATCATTGAAGACGCGAGCTTCTTGGATGATGGTGGTTTTGTTGTTATAGTAAGAGCTCAGACCGCTTTCGTCCTCTTTCTTTGACGGAAATGCCATGGCAAAGGATGCCATCTCTACAGAGCAGTGGAAAGCGAAGCGGAATCTGTAGAGGAGAGAGAGAAGTTACTGAAGTTCAACGGGTGGAGGTTGCAATGCCGACGTGTTTATTACTATTTGACTACAGCTTTGGAGATTGCAATTATTTCAACTACGTGGTACAGGAATAAATGGCGTTCATCGATGTTCATAAGAGAGAGGGTAGACACGCAAGCCGCCCGATGAGCATGCCTTCATCCAGGGCCCAAGTCCACCAGACGTGACGCCCTCTTCAACCCGCTCGCCCTCTCTGAGGTCTCGTGTATGTACGAAGCCCAGGATGAGGTGGGAGTTAGAAGGACAACAAATGCAGGATGGGACCGGAAACCAGACGAAAGGCGAGGTAGGTAGGATAGGTAAGGAACGTGTGAGACAAAATTGAGGTGGGGGGAATGGTAAACTTATAGCACAATGAATTGGATAAGGATGGATAGAAAAGGAGGAATTATCCCGAAGATAAACGGGCGCAGGGGAATGATGGTGTATAAGTAGATAAACGGGCAGAAGCAGCCATTTCCCGATCATCCTCTTGCGAAAATGTCAGAAAAGCTTGAAAAGAAAAGAGCGTCCGTGTCGAATAAAGTAGAGAGGCGACTTCAAGCCATGTTTGATGTAGGGAGTAATACATCTTGCCCATAGGATTGTGTTCAGACCAAGCCGGGAACCTCCTGACCGACGATGACATTGGGTGCGATAGAGGGAGTGGAGGCTGGGAGCGTTCTCTGAAACCGGCAGAAACCGGACGTGCCCCGACCCTGTAGACCCCCCCTTCCCCAACGACGCCCAATAGAACCCACACGAGCTCCTTTGAGCACGGGTAACCGCCGAACCGATCATTAACCAAACTGAGCGAAACCCTCCTTCTACCCTCCACCCCCCAATCGCCCAGTTGCACTCGGGACGCGTATACTGGAAACAGGCAGATCAAATATGCAACAAGCCCATTTACCAAAGTTCAGCGTCCCTTCCACGATTGCCACGCTGCTGACCCACAGCTCCTGGGGCAGCTTGCTGTGCTTGTCTGGTGTGAGAACGTAACCTGGACAGATAAAACGTTAGCGAGACGCCAAACTAGTAAGGTCCCATGCATTGCTCACATTCTGTCACTAGCACGATGTTCGTCATCCTCTTGAACGACCTTGCGCCTTGCTGCGCCGCCTGCTTTGGAGCTGGATCCGGCCGTCTGGTCATCTTGGGCTCCTCGCTGGACGCTCCAGTCAAATACGTAGTCGTACTGGTACCCCTCCCGCACGAAGAGGTCACGGAAGAGTTTGCGAAGATAGGAGTAGTCAGGTTTGTCGTCGAAGCGAAGAGCGCGAGTGTAGTTCAAGAATATGCCGAATTCATTTGGGAATCCACGGCAGAGAAGGTCGGTGGGGGTGGTCATCTTCTTCTCCATGATGCGATCGTATTTCTGCTTCTTGGTGGCAGCTTTGAGACCTTGCCAGGGAAGGGCTCCACGGAGGAAGTACATTAAAACATAAGCAAGAGATTCGAGGTCATCACGACGTGCTTGCTCAACACCCAGATGGGTGTTGATCGATGTGTAGCGAGCAGTACCCGTCAAGTTCTTGTTCTCTCTGTACGGAATGTGGAGGTGGGTCTTGGGGTCACGGAACTTCTTGGCGAGACCAAAGTCGATGACGTTGACTTGGTTACCGCGCTTTCCAATGCCCATCAGGAAGTTATCTGGCTTGATGTCACGATGTATGAAGTTGCGGGAGTGGATATACTCGATGCGAGAAATCTATCCCAGAGGATCAGCGAAGAGTAAAGACATATAGAAAAAGGCACAGACGAGTTGGTCGGCGAGTAAAAGAACAGTCTTGAGGCTGAACTTGCGGTTGCAAAAGTTGAAAAGATCCTCGAGAGAAGGCCCAAGAAGGTCAAGAACCATAGCATTGTAGTCGCACTCGGTGCCGAACCATCTGACGAAGGGGACGCCTACGCCGCCTGCGAGAGTCTTGTAAACCTTTGATTCATACTCCAGTTGAGGGTGCTTGGCTTTGACGGACTCGAGTTTGATGGCAACTTCTTCACCCGAGATGATGTTAATTCCGAGGTAGATGTCACCTAGAATGATATAAGCGAGTCGACGACAATGAGACGTCTTGAGACACACCAAAAGAACCAGAGCCGATTTTTTTTCCAAGCCTATATTTCCCACCAACTCGAAGATCCAATCTATGAGACGAGGAGTCCGCCATGGGCTAATAGGGTGTAAGAATGGAGTCTGTAGAGGAAAGAGTGAGTAAGAAAAAGCGCTGGAGAAACAACAGATAGAAGAAAGGATCAAAGGGTTTTGTATGAATCAAGGGCTGGAAGGTGTGTCACTGCACACGTAAGGCAAGACCACAGGTGGCGAACAACGGAATGCGATGTTGATGACCAGTTAATCACCACCCCATAGATCGTCGTTACATCGCGGAGCATTGGCGTGTCTGGTGAAGATGCCACCTTGGTGTTGCACGACCATTCGAGAGCCTTGCGGTTGCAGGGCGGTGTCCGCGAGGCGCTTAGAGCGGCGTTTGGATAGATATGTTGCAAGAGGTAGAAGGGGTAGAAGAAGGTAAAGGTGTACTCACTGATAGAAGAGAGAGCAGGGGATATACAGAAGAAAGAGAGGGGGCGAGGGCGTTATAAGAGAGATGTGAGGTCAGGAGGCAAACGACAACAGACAAGGAGAACCAAATAAGCTGTGTCGTCGGAGTCTCAATTTGATCGATGAATCAAATGTCGTGGCTTCAAATTTGTAGTCTTTGCAACGGTCTTTTCTCTTGCTCTTGCTTCAGAGAAATATTAATGCCCTGAATCCTGGCAGGTGCCTGACCTCATGCCTGCCTTCATCTGAATTTTTTTGGGAGAATACCCTGTACTACTTATCGCCGTTCACGTCGTTTGAGGGGCTCCACCGAAATGACAGCCAACTTGACAACTGTTATGACACTAGGGCGTTTAGTGTCAGAGCACCCGCAGCGCAGCTGTATCGGCCTTCGTGTTGAATATTTGCTGTAGAGGCTGTGGATAAAATTTTATTTTTCCGAGAAGTTTCCGCATGCATGGCATTGTCGATAATTTCAAGTTTCAAACGTGCAAGTGCCAAGAATGGTACTACCATTGCAGTGTTAGTGTGTTAGCTTCTGTTGCCATCATGCATCACAACCGAGTTTAGGCTAGTTCCCGTCTCCGCCATCTTCTTTCACAACGTCGACCGTCTCTACTCAATACTTATCTCTCTTTTTTCTCACCCACTCAGGTTTGTGCGGCCATCACTCTCCTTACCCTTGCCCCTCTTGCTCCTCCACTTTCTGCGCTAAATCTCCGCAACAATGGCCTACCGCCAAAACCAAGATCCTTATTATGCCGCACACCAAGATAATTCACATCCCCCATTTCCTCAGCACGGCAATACTGGTGTTGCCGTCGACTACCCTCCCCCAGCCGGCTATGGCCAACGTAATGACTACGATGCAAACTGGGACGCAAAGTCCTACCAGAGCAGTTATGCTGGTTCCCAGGCGCACCTGAATCCTTATGAGATGGCCCAAGTCAATGCCACTCCCCCAGTCCCAGGCGTACGGTTCCAGCAGCAGCCGCAATACCCTCCGCAGCAGCAGCGCCCCGGAATGTACAGAGATCCTAGCAGCGCAGGCTGGTCTGACGCACGGGACAAACTCATGAAACGTAGATCTATCAAGCAAGTTCAGCTTGTTCATGGTAATCTTGTCCTCGATGTTCCCGTTCCCACAAATATCGTCCCCGATGGAAGACCCGACGAAGAGTTTGTCAAGATGAGGTACACTGCTGCGACTTGCGACCCTGACGATTTCATGTCTTCTCGTTATACCCTCCGGCCGTATCTTCTTGGTCGCGAGACGGAGTTATTTATTGTGATGACAATGTACAACGAGGATGAGGTACTTTTCGTCAAGACCATGAATGCGTGAGTTTGCTTTCCACCTGACTTTACTATCTCTTTATCGTTCATTACAGCGTGATCAAAAACATTGCACACTTGTGTGGTCGCAACAAGTCCAAGATGTGGGGGCCGGAAGGTTGGAAAAAGATCGTCGTATGCGTTGTTTCCGATGGACGCAACAAAGTCAACAAGCGCACTCTACAAGTCCTGAATCTAGTATGCGTCTCCCTGTTCTTTGAAAACCTGCCATTCATTTTCTATTCTCTCAGATGGGTTGCTACCAAGAAGGCATTGCGAAGGATTCAGTCGGCGGCAAGGACGTCACGGCCCATATCTACGAGTGAGTTTTTCGTGGAGTGGTACACACATCGCATTCAACCTCTCGCCATAGGTACACCACCAGTGTTATTGTCACAGATACAGGCGAAGTATCTAAAGGCTCTTGTCCCATCCAAGTGCTTTTCTGTCTCAAAGAACAGAACAAGAAGAAACTGAATAGTCATCGATGGTTCTTCAATGCATTCGCTCCCCTGTTGAAGCCCAATGGTATGTATTGGTTCAATGTTTTTGAAAAATCTTTGTCAACAGACCCCAAAGTCTGCGTTCTCCTCGATGTTGGTACCAAGCCAACTGGTACATCTATCTACGAACTTTGGAAATGTGAGGTCTTTTCATCACAATCAACCAATGATTTACATTTCCCCAAGGTTTCGATAAACACTCTAATGTTGGTGGTGCCTGCGGAGAGTAAGTAATGCCGATTACACTTACCATGGTTGTGGTAATGATAAGTATGCAGGATCTGTGTCGATGTCGGTCGTGGCTGTGGTCTCCTGCTTTCAAGCCCTCTTGCAGCCTCTCAGAATTTCGAGGTCAGTACGCCCTTGGATTTTTTACGCTTCAAGTCTCAACCCTTGTAGTACAAAATGTCCAACATTCTTGACAAACCGCTCGAGGTGCGTAGCTTACAATCTTCAAGGCATAACCAAACTGACCTCATCTCCGTAGAGCGTATTTGGATATATCAGTGTGCTTCCTGGAGCCTTCAGTGCCTATCGTTACCGAGCTCTCCTCAATGGTCCTGATGGCAAGGGTCCACTTGCGTCATATTTCAAGGGCGAAACTATGCATGGCGCTGGTAGCGATGCTGGCCTGTTTGGTGAGTCTTATGAACCATGATTATTCTACAATGGTTCTAACTAAGCTTACAGAGGTAACGAACTGGTTCTTTCAATGTGCTATTCTAACCCCATCATCAGAGGAACATGTATCTTGCTGAGGACCGTATTCTTTGCTTCGAAATTGTCACAAAAAAGCGTGAGGGTTGGATGTAGGTGGCTTCCTCTTTTCTGAAGACATTTTCGAAATAACTCATGGTCAATTGACAGCTTGAAGTACGTAAAGAGTGCAAAAGCTTCTACTGATGTTCCAACCACCGTAAATTTCCTTCAACTTTTTTGAACTTCACTGTTTTATCTATGTTTCAGGTGCCGGAGTTTATTTCGCAACGTCGCCGATGGCTGAATGGTTCACTTTTTGCATCAATACATGCAACGGTCTTCTTTTTCCGTATTTGGTCCTCCGGCCAGAATTTTTTCCGCAAAATTGTGCTCCAGGTAAAAATTAATGTACTCAGCGTGCTTCCTTTGCGCTCACCCTGTGTCAACTTCCAGTTCGAGTTCATTTACAATGCGGTTCAGCTCTTGTTTACGTGGACGTCCCTTGCAAATTTCTACTTGGCTTTCTTCTTCGTACGTTGCAATCGACAGTCTTTTATGCCGCTCATTCACCACCGGGTTAGCTGGTGTCATCGGCTACGACAAGCTCATCGCAAAACGCTTTCAATTTCCTCAGTAGTGGCGCTGGCAAAATCGTTTTCGAAATTTTTCTCAATCTCTACATTGGTCTTCTCTTTCTCGTGTTGGTTTGTTCCCTTGGCAATCGACCTCAAGTGAATCTTTATTATTTCAATTCTTGGATTTTGGCTTATATTACATCAAAGGGCTCGAAATGGGCATACAGTATCGCCATGATCTTGTTCGGTCTATGCAATATCATAACGACCTGGTGCGCTGCCTTCACCGTTTACTTGGCTGTTCCCCACGATGCCGCAGGATGGAAGGACTTCCCCAAGTATACGTTTACCATTGCCCTTCTCAATCGAAGTGAATCTGATCATTTTATGCAACAGACTCTTGAAGACGACTCCTGCCCTTCAACAAATCGTTGTTGCACTTGGCGCCACATATGGTTTATACTTTATCAGCTCCTTCATGCACTTTGAACCCTGGCACATGTTCACAAGCTTCCTTCAGTATATGTTCCTCCTGCCTTCCTACGTCAACATCTTAATGATGTACGCCATGTGTAATTTGCACGACGTGACATGGGGGACCAAGGGAGACAACGGGGCTGCCAAAGATCTTGGCGGTGCGAAAAAGGTTAAAGGCGATGACGGGAAAGACATGATGGAGGTGGAAGTGCCTACAACTCGTGAAGACGTCGACCAGTTGTGGGTTGCGTCACGAAACTCGTTGAAAACTCGCCCCCCTGACGAGAAGGAACATCGTGACGCTGCGACAAAGCAAACTGACCACGACAGAAACAGCAGAACCAACGTCGTCCTTGCTTGGGTTGGATCAAATATGTACGTCGATATACGACTTCACAAACCTGGTCTGACCTTGTTAATGCATACAGGCTTTTGATCATTGTCTTCACTTCAACCGCATTCTCTGAATGGGTCGCTAAACGTATCAACACCGGCGATAGTGCTTTCAACCCTTATCTGACCTTCCTATTCTACGCATTGTAGGCATCTTCCTTCGTAATTTTGTTGTGGTCGGCCAACTATTTTTTTTTTCAGCGCTGGGCTCTCAGCAATACGCTTCACAGGTTCCTTTTTATACCTGATTTTCCGACTGTGCGGCTTCTAGATTTGGACTTTTGCCTCCTTCGATATTATAATTGGCGTGGATCTGTCACAGGAATGATAACCCTGCTTGTATTGTTATTTATACCCTATGTTACCCCCATACGCAAATTGATTTTGCAGGATGAAAGTAGTGCCTTGTGCGCCTCCTTTTTGGAGTTGTTGTATGTCTGACTCCACTGACCATGGATATGAGCAAGAGGTGACCTCAATAATGTAGGCCAAGGGGGTACAGAAGGTAAAAGACAAAATATCCACATGGTTAATTCCAATTTAACCCTATAGGACATACAGAAATAAGCGGCAAAATCATCTGCTTTCCTTCGCCTTTCGAAATGACTTGTATCTATACGTTGTAGGCAAAGGCTAATTGCCTATAGTCAGGATACGAAATCATGTCAATTTCAAATCACACATACCAGCTTCCACCCTCGCTCGCATTTGCGATCTTGCTATGGCTTCTGGAGGCTCGCGTGAGTCACCAGAGGCAGCAGTGCTATCTGACTGCGGTCGGGATGACCCCTCTGTGAATGTGCGCAGCTCATTTACATATGTGGCCAGTTCACGGCTCAAGGCTACAATCATTTCCTTTCTGACCCCAGCATCGAGAGACGGGGTGCCAGGTTGTAATTGTTTTGTTTGCTCTGGTGATAGCAGGGAAGGGCAAGCCCACCGGAGATAGATTTTGTTGTGGCAACCCTTGGTGAAGAATTGGGGGGAATGAAAAGATTCTGCGACAAGGTTGAAACTGCTGAAAAGGGTGGCACATCCATGGCAAGACAATTTCGATCCACCAAGATAGTGGTATGGAGTAGGGATGGGGTGTTGGAGATGATACACAAGTAGGGTGCATTCAGCATGAACAGCTGCTTTTATGGATAGATTAGTCCCTTTCTTCAATGTTATCTCCTCTTTATCCAGTTTCTCTTTCAGCCGTTTCAGTAGCTCATCGTAAACTGGTAGCTCCTTCTGTTCTCCTTGAGGAAAAATGACAGGGAGGATGTTTTGTGGGGAGAATGAGAGGGATATGTCCCAACAAGATGCTGGCACGGAAACCACAGTAAATTGACCCTGGAGGAAAGGCAAGAGTCGGTGAGACCAGGCGATGTGTGTGATGGTGTGAATATGGTGGTGAAGGGTAAAAAGCTTCTCAAGCAAGCACCGCAGAGACCATTTCCTGTTCTGGTCAGCACCTAAAAGTAAGACATGAGTTATAGCTTCATAAATGCAAAATGTGAGGCCAGACTCCCAAAGCAGGTCATCCCACTGGGTCAGAATATCCTCTTTTCCTGCAGCATTCAAATGATTCCACCAGGCCCGACTCATCTCATCAATTGTCTGGATCAAGTCAGTGAGGCTATTCGTTGGTTTGTCGTTCCGCAGCAGATCCTGAATGTGTTTCAAGTACCAGTGTGTAAGATGCAGAAGCTCAGCATCCTCAGGGCTAGCTTGCAACTTTTTTGTGGTGGTCTCAAATCTATCTAGAATTGCAGGTGCCCTTTTGACAAAGCGCTGGCGGAGTTTGCGGTACGAATACTCATAGATAGTCCTCTGAAGTTGAAATTCGTGGTCGGCGCGCAACTGGGTTTTATTGGGGTCAGGGGATGTTTCGCTATCAGGTGGTATTGGTGGAATATCTAGAACTTTTCGGAGTTCCTTGAGCTGACCCCGTATTTTGCAGAGATGGGTGGCAACGGTGGCTGGTACATTCTCGTTGGAAGAAACATGCAGGGTCACAGCATTCGGGTCCATCGCCAATGATACAAAATAAACTTCCTTGGTTTCTTTATGGACGCAAATAGCAGCAAGAGCGTCCAAGAGGTTCATCAATCGGTCAGGGTCCTTGAGAAATGGGTGGCCAGATAGATGCGGCCCAACGTCGTTATAGCGTCGCTCTGTTGACAAATGCGATACATCGCCGGGGCGACCAGAGAGTAACAACAGATAAAACTCTGGCGGCATAGTATTTTGATTCGGAGGCATCGTGGAGAGAAGTGAAGAGAGTTACCAAGCTCGACCAAACAGGCCGGAATGAAAAGCCAAATACTTGGGTCGCTACACCGCCAATTGGCGCACAGGTTGATGGCGGGTTGCCAAATTTCCTGATGCTCATCAAATCTGTCACCTGTGAGTTACCTGATCCACATGCTGTGCCCAGGCCCAGCTGGCCATCAGCTGGTTCATATATGGGCACCAGCTCTGCTGTAAACGTAGCGACCACCTTACCACAAAATTAGTATAACTGCTAGATTTCACTCAAAGGCAAGGGCTATGTAAGAGACGGTTAATGTAGTGCTTTTGCACTTTGAAATATACATTAGTCGTACGCAAATACAGCTTGTAACCGTGCACAGTGAGCGAAATTTCACCCAAGTCATTTCAAACTCAGACACTCTGCAGGTTCAAATACTTCCAACCCCAGCTCAACCTTCCTCACTCTCACCTTCCGTCTCCGGCACCATTCTTCTCTGTCACCACCGTCAATAACCACCAGCACCCTGCATCAATCGTTCAAATGCCCTCAACGATGCAACACCAGGTAACCAGCCCATCAGCGCACCACATTTCAACAGGATGAAGACAACCTGGCACGCCAGCGGACATGCCACATTGTCCAGACGGTGACGGCGCAAATCATTGTCACTGTCCCCTTGAAATAAGGTGAGCAAGGTGACTGCTGTACCCCTTTCCTTTTTTCACATGAGAAAGCAGTGCCACGTCGCCGTCTCAACTTGCAACAGACAAATGCCGACAAATGAGGACGACCAACGATGGTGAATGTCCAGGTGAGTAACACTATACCCCTCTCCCTCCGTTTTTGACTAAAGGAGCCCAGGCCATATTGCCATCGGCAATGATCTACAACAACGAACGACGTCGAGGTGAGCAAGACGACACCCCTCCTCTCTTTTTTTCACATAAGAAACAGGGGCCACGTCGTCGACGGCAATGTGACAACTAGCAACGGACCAACGATGAACGCCGAACAACGTCGCGTCACACCCCTCCTTTTTACCTTGTTCGTGCATTTGTTCTAGGTACGTACCCAGTAACCCTTCATGATGGCCTACCAACTCATCCAATGCCTTATTACAGATCAGCCCACTTGACACCACCACAAACAGTGTCAACCTATATGAGTAGTAGATAAAGTAGCTGTATATAACTCTTGTGTAGCCTGTTGTCAAAATGCAATCTATTCTTTTGTTTATGTTCTCAAATTGAAATAAAGCAAGGTGCAAATGAGGATGAATAAATTTATGAAAATGAGATGTAAACATGTAAACCCCGGTAGCTCATACCCAGCCCAATATACCAGCATTCCCTGAATGACCACCTGTCCTCAACATCTCGCTCCACCCCGGGGACAGGTACAGTCGTGGACAAGCAAAGCCCACTAATAAAAATGGAAATGTATTGATGGCTACCAAAGTGCCCGGAAAACGTGCAGATACGTTGAGGGAAGCTTCTGGCCAAATTTCAGCCAAGTCTCACGAGCCGTTTTGGAGAAAATGGCCATATACAGAAATAGACCCTAAATTTTTGGCCGGACACCAAAAAGTGCCAAGAAAAATATGAAAAATAGCGGAATCGCTTCCTTTCACGGAGAACAATCTGCCCATCAAGTTTCGAAACAATTTATGGAGCGGTTCTTCTGGAAAAAATTGCCAAACATTGACCCAAATTGGGCACTTAGTCACTTTTGATGTGACATCTATCATGGGACTAAGAAATTCCATCACACTAGGCTCTACTAGGCTTTCTCAATGCAGGGAAACAACAGGGAAATCCCTTTCTGATAGAATCTTTGCCCTTTCTGAGTAGCTTCCAGCTGAAGCCCAGCACAGGTACCAACTTTCGATAATTTCTGGCCGGTTTCAACCTGTTTTTCTCCTTAAATATTGCAGTTTTTTAGTCGAAAATTTTGGCCACGCCAATTCCTCGTGGGAAAAACTTCGGAGGTGCGTTTTTCGACGCATTTCGCAAATCTGAGCCAGAATCTGGAAAAATCTCAGCTCTAGATACATTATTTACCAAGATACCGAATTAGTGGGCTTTGCTTGTCCACGACTGTATCCCTGGTGCCATGCTGTGTTTAGTGCGAAGTTCACACGGCGCCCAGCTGTCAACGGGTTGATGCGACATGGAAACTAGGTGTGATTACATCATTTGATCCAGGTGTCTGTGACCTGGCCACCATTTGGTGGTGTACCCATACCTCAGGCTCCTAAAAGCAGCCACTCATCTCGCTCGATGAGCCTCTAATACTATTAGCTGTATGACTAATCTTATGATGTGATCATTGATGGGAGTGAACAAATAAATAAAGGTAAGGGCTCGAGCTCGCAAGAGAGCGGCTGCCGGAAAAGTCAGTCAGGGAGCTCGGAGATCATTGATTAACCCTAACGTTGGGTCCCAACTCCAAGGCCTTTCTGGACCTGCGTGACAGATCTTTGTTTGGACTTGGGGCTCGAACCCAACAGTGAATGGGTATGGAGTAATTACTCTACGATGAAAGGTCCAGAACTGTGCTGCAGCAGAACCACAATAATATACTCATCATGCCCAGTCTCCAATATGGACATTTCACCAATGTCATGTCAGTCCAAAACTATATACAGTTGAGTGCAAAAAGAATGAAGGTTGGTTCATTTTTCTGGTTCTTTCTAAGAATCTATTGTACCTCAAATGTATTTGTGTATTCTTTTACATTATGTAGTTGTGTTACACTTCCCTTGGTATGGACTAATTTCAGTGAAAGCTGGAGCCTTGAGAAGGTTTTTATTCTGGAGGCCATTTTTGGCATCTGAAAAAAAAAAATATGTGCTAACTGGGGAGGTAGCCAGAACATACCTCTGGTCAACTTGAGCCTATCAAAGAATCAGTCAAAAATACTGAGCAGTTAGGTCTGTAGACGCTTTGGAAAATGGCTTGTTTTGTCTAAAACAGGCCAAAAATGACCAAAATAGCACAAAATGACCATTTTCTGGAGGCTCTACAAGCATAACCGCTCAGTATTTTTAACTAATTCTTTGATAGGCTCATTCAGGTTGACCAGAGGTATGTTCTGGCTACCTCCCCAGTTAGCGCATATTTTTTTTTCAGATGCCAAAAATGGCCTCCAGAATAAAAACCTTCTCAAGGCTCCAGCTTTCACTGAAATTAGTCCATACCAAGGGAAGTGTAACACAACTACATAATGTAAAAGAATACACAAATACATTTGAGGTACAATAGATTCTTAGAAAGAACCAGAAAAATGAACCAACCTTCATTCTTTTTGCACTCAACTGTAGATGCCAGTAATATTTTTATGAACTGAGGCTTAATCCTTTCATTTTCCACCATTATCAAAGAATGAGCTTCTACTGAAGTTCACATAAGATATTACAGTAAATTTCTGTACAACAAAATTCTCCTAAATGAGAGCTTTCTAACACAGATTTTTTTGTGGAAAACGGTAAAGAACTGACGAAGATAGATGGAGGGCTGCTCTGCGCCGCTATACTCATGGATATATCCGTACTGTGGCTTATCCAATCCGTGGGTGGGAAAATCCACAGATCAGGTACGGATAATACCCGGATCTATCCATGACAGTCCCTACTCTGCTCACCACTCAAAGAGGAGTGTGGGATAGCAGCAAATAGGGTCAGCCTCTGGCGGACCCCAAGTTTTTATGTGAGGAGTGGTGTGCCTAGGTACAATGAAGAGCAATAGGACATTACCTTGCTTGTCAAGGTCTATTTCCATGGTCATAATTATGTAAGCCATCATACTGTCCCCCAAGGTCATATATCGTTTTTATTTCAGCCGAAGCATTAGAGACCACTCTAGACTGGCTGCCAAACACAACCAAGCAAATCTGTTGTGCCCTTTTATTTCAGCCGAAACATTAGAGACCGCTCTAGACCGCCGCCAAACCTAATGGTGCAAATTTGCCATCCCCAGTTGCTGAGAGATTTCTGTGATACTTACTCAATCTACTGTCTTCAACAAATCTGCTCAAATTCTTCAACTTATACAATACTACTTACTAGTAACAATACTGACCAAAAGATGATAGATGCCTGCTACATAAGTAGTGGGTCACACTTTTTTTGTAAGTACAAGCTTCAGACCCATCCACTTTCATTGGCTGCGAGGAGTGAACCACATAAGTGGTTCGGCGACAAGCAGCCAATAAAAGATCACAAACTTACTCTCATTTTTAATCACCATAGCGGGCTTCAAAGCACCTGCAGGGGCACTACAGTGATTATTATTTTTTTATTCTGCATGACAGCTAACTGCATAATCGTAGACCACATCTGAAATTTCACTTTGCGCCTTTGTCTGTGCGTAAACATCTGTTTTAGGCCGTGGCTATGTAAACCATGACACCAATTCATGTGCACTGCCCATTGCTCCAAGTTCTATCACTGTTTCGGTAGTTGCTCCAAATGCTCCAATCCCGCCCTGCACGTCATAAGGGTGGAGCAGTTGGAACTTGCCAACTTGGAAGGGCATTCTACCTAATACAGTTGTTTGTACAAATAAAGGTGCACAAAGTAAAATTTAGATATGGTCTATGATTATGCAGTTAGCTGGAAATACAAGCAAGGTTTTTGTTGACATTGGAACAATGTCAAACTCTAGTACTAAATTGGTGTCTTAGCTTGTATGCAATAGAGTCATGGGATGTGGTGGGTGGGTGACGAAAAAGCTGCTCAAAATTTGAGCAAGGTGAAGCGTTGAGGGTTGTAATTGTCTTGTAGTCATTGAAGCTGAGGAAAACATCTCAGCTGACCTCACATGATGTATACTACCTCTGACTCAGCATTTGCTAGACCCTAGCACTGAGCCGAGGAACAGCATGGAAGCCTGTGTATATATTTCAGCACCAATGACTCTGAGTAAGAGATCAGAGCTGTGTGGGTGCCGACTTCTGAATGGCGAGGCCATTCAGAAAGTGTTTGACCTTGTGCAGAGGCCTCCGAAATTGCTCCTTACCCTTGGAACCTGCAATTACGCCAAACATTTCCTTTAAAGGAAGTTATGACAAATCTTTTCGAAAATATAAGGGGAAAGTTTCTAGCACATAGTTTACACTGTTTCATGGAAATATATGCCGGAATGGTGTAGTGGTTAACTGTGGATTCAATGCTGCTCATGAGTCATGTGATGTGGGTTTGATCCCTGCCTCTGACAATTGTTTTCTGTGGCACTTGTCTTTTATTTACTTATACATTAGGTTCTGAGGTTAGAGTTAATGGTTAGGTTAGGGATATTTTTCTCCCTGCGCAGTAGCACATTCTGAGTTAGGTTAGGAGGTCAGGGTTAATGGTTAGGATAGAGATATTTTTTCCCCTGTGCAGTAGTGTGTTCTGAGTTAGGTTAGGAGGTTAAGGTTAGGTTAGGAGGTTAGGGTAGGTTAGGGTAGGTTAGGAGGTTATGGGGCTCGAGAACATGCGGTAGCATGTTCTCGAGCTGACTTAGGGCAATGGCAGCCCTAAGTCATGTGAGACTACCATATATGGAAGGTTGGTGATCACCAATACATCACATGTGTCATAGTGGGGGAGAGCAAGGTCACTTTTTGCAGCAGCACCAGAGCAAAAACTCACGGCGCAGCACTGAAGCCCCAGTGAAGCCACCTGAAGATTGGATGCCCCAAACCTGCAGCAGGCTAAAGCAAACACCCATGTAGGGACTCGGCAAAACCAGAGTGCCTATTGCACTGTGCTGAAGTGTCAGCAAAGCCACAGGTGGAGAAACTGGTGCACAACAGTGAGAAAGGGAGTGCTCAAGCCAAGCTCAAGCAAGCAGGACATGTCACATTTTGTCGGAGTGAACAACTTCAAAGTTCGAATTCACCTACCAAGTACTAAAATCTGCACACCCAGAAAATGAGGAGCCCTGAAGTTAAAAAAGTTCTCTGCCTGCTTGTACCCCATGTGGCATCAGATGCCAGAGCCCTTCGGCTATTCACCAATGCCATCAACAACCCTTCCCAAAGCAAATTTGCCACTTGCGTTTGGTCAGTAATCAAGGATAACTGGTCTGGCACACCACATGAGCTATCCCACGTCAAATGGTTTCACAATTTTGCAGACTCTTGTGCCTCCCAAATCTGTGTCATTCTGACATCTCTAGCAACTGCCCACTCTGCGCACAAAGCCAAGTATAACAGTGTGCGAAATGTCAAAAAGTGCTTTGGCCAAAGCTTGGGATTCACCCAGCAAGGCCGCCAATCGAACTCAGCTGACTTTGCGAACATTCCTGAAACTACTGCCACCACGTACCCAAAGAGCAAAGCATACCCCCCCTTAAGCACTGGATGTACGAGACCCATGTGATAAAGAAAAAATGGGAAAAGCATCTTACTTCTGGTCAGAGACCTGACCCCCAGGGCCCCAGAAGCCCTATCTACCAATGATTAAAGTTGACACCAACTTGATTGACCATGATGTGCCCCCCAGAAAAAGTCACTGATTTCAAGACAGCAATGGCACATTAGTTTGTGGTGTCTACAGAAATTTCTGCCCCAATGAAGATGTCCTCCCTGTGGTTGATGGCATTGTTCAAGAGAATGTTTCAAATTGAAAGAATGTTTGGGCGAGGATCTCTTTGACTTTCTATAATCACCCCTAATCAGCCACTTTAGATGGAGGACCCTGGGTCGCCAATCCAAGTTGGGTTTTCAGCTGGTGCGTGTTAGGGTACCATCTCCAATTGTCCTTTCATTCTCATTCCCTCAGTTCGACATACAAATCTTTCGCTTATCTTTGTATCACCTAACTAATAGTACTAGTTGTATTCAAACCCTACTGTTACTTGAATAGTTGTATTTTAGTCACTGTACTCAACGCGTTGATGAACACATTCAAGCATGGTTCACAATTCACGTGTTATGCACTTGTTTGGATTACAAGCTGTTGTTAGGTTAGAGTCACAAGGCTTTGTTGTAGTCAAAGGTCTAGCCAAACATTCCCCAACTCAGCAATGTTTGTAAGCCTCTGCTAGATATGCTTAGTGGTGGGCAGGCCCGCCCAGTCCCCGACTCTTTTTTTCTGTGATCAGCCAAAGGGGAATTATTTCTTTTCGAGTTTGTAATGCCACACACTTTACTTTCTTTGCAAAGAAGAGCGAACTTTGAAATCCCTCGTCACATTGCATTACTTTGGCTTTCTAACACAATTTGAAATTTAGACAAAATTTAGATACCAACAAAGCCAAGCATCTTTGACAGACAGTTATGCCAGCATCTTTAGATTTATAATTAGCGGTGTTCAAACACTCCCCTTGAGAACCTGCATTTACATCGATCACACCAGCATTAAACGAGAGGATACAAGTAAGAGGCGCCAAAGTCCTCGAACATTCCACTGAGTTGTAATTTGTTAGACACAATTTAGATCACCACAGAATGTCAGCATGCATTGTTGATCAATACTTTGGACTCTGATACCCATTTACAGTAAATGCTACCTATATACAGGAATTTTTCGACCTTTCTAGAATTGGGAGAACCACAGTATTCAGTTCCCATTCAAATTCAATCATTCGCGACCGACACAACCCTCTCAGAGAGTCAGGGACAGTGACAAATAATGTATGCTAAATGCTGAAACGATGCATATTCCAATAAGTTCATGGGATAAGATGGGTGGGTGATGAAAAAGCTGCTCAAAAATGAGCGATGTGCAGACTTGAGGTTGTAGTTGCCAGTCATTGAAGCTGAGGAAGAACATCTCAGCTGACTTCACATGACATATACTACCTCTGACTCAGCATCCGCTAGACCCTAGTGCTGAGCCAAGGAACGGCATGGAAGCCTGTCATCAGGAAATGTGTTTCTGCTTGATAGTAGCAGTTATGTCAGTAGACTTAGGTAGTTCCGTGATGTTTACAAAGCAATCAGTAGGAGTGCCCATCCTGTGTAGGACTACATAGTCACCTGTTCTTGCTATCAGTTTCAGCTGAAATAATGGTCGCTATGGGAATTCTTTTCTCCCTTCCAATACTACTGAGCACCCACGTAGGACTATGTAGTCACTTGTGCTCCCTATTGACCTTGCTAAAAAAAATAACTTATAGCAACTTATAAGTAGCCTAATATGGCCCAGGAACAATGGTTGTTACATGCCCAGCAGCCCGGGTTGTTATAAGGATCACCCTTTTGAATCAACTTCCAATTGATCTCTCATTAGTACACGTGTTTCAAGAAAACCTTGGGGAAGGAGTGATTTGGACATCAGACTGTATGGCCAGTATAAAAAGCTAGAAGTGCTGATTATACATGTCCATGTAGCATAGTGGCAAATATACATCCACAATCATGAATTTTACATCAATAGGTCCAGAGTTCAATTCTTGGTGGTAACATTACAACTTTAAGGGAAAAAAAAAACACCACGACTAAAAATTGTTGGATGAGCTTCTACAAGCTCATCCAAGATTTAATTTTAATCCCATTGATAATTTGTATCAAACTACATAGGACTTTTAAGTGTTATGGAACTACAAGCCTACACATCTATGGGACTATATAGATGCCAATAGCTAGACACCTTATTACCAACACCTATCATAGAGGGGTACCATGCTATGGCACTTTTATCCTACACAAGCCTATATAGGTCCCCATAGCCACTGTGCATTTTCCAGATGGTGTGTTTGCTGCCCAAAAACTCTGAATTGTTGAAGAAGTCAGAGCTGTATGGGTGCCGAGTTCTGAATGGCCTCGCCATTCAGAAAAGCTTTGACCTTGTGCAGAGGCCTCTGAAATTGCTCCTTACCCTTGGAACCCACAATTACACCAACAACAAGAAGGAATATTGTAGCAAGTTTAAGAACAATCTAGATACTTCTCAAACAGTATTGTACCTGTATTTAAATAGACTGAAATACAAGAAGTAGACATCTTACTTTTTAACCCCAACTTTACCAGTTCCTTGAACTAAGGTGTTCCTTGAGTGAATTGATAAGGCTTTGCACTATCAATTAACTTGACCAATTGTTAAGGCTTCACACTAACAATCACGGTCATCAAACAATGCAAACAAAGTACAGTTAAAAGACTCTCGATGTTTCTAGGAAACCCCCTTTACTCTTTACATATCAATCATCTCATATCCAACTCTACATATGATTACTCTAGTGTTATTTACTAGTGTTTGTATTCATAGGAATACACCAATGTAGAGGATCGAACTCTAACAGTGCGTGGAGTGCACCAAAGTTTGACTGGGTTCGCAAAGTGTAACAAATCAAAAACTACCCAGTGATGTTGTCAACAACATGGACAACCGATCCAGCTCAGCATTCACCCTCTTTTGGAACCTGTGCAGGAATAGCCTGCCAGATGAAGTTATGAGTGATTTCGATGAATTTTTTGAAAGATGCCTGCAAAGGAGCTGCAGAAGACAGTGCTGGTAATGGCAACCAATGTGCTTTTGGCAATTATTCAATCCAGATCGGCAATGACAAATTTGTTTTCTGAAATGCTGAAAGAGCCCCCCTGCTGGGGGTGTGTGGTCAAAATTACTCCTGGTCATTATTTGATTTACCTTCTTCATTGTTTGACTTATCCTCATTTGGTAGATCAACTCATTTTGAGCACCAACCTCACAAATTTGCAATCTCTTGGACAGTTGGAAGAGATCACCCACCCAAAGCTGGCAGCCATTTCTATATCAGTACCTACTGGATTCGAGTTCAGGCAGCTGCAAATACGCTGGTTGTGTGGCAACCTATAGACATTCATGGAACCAGTTTGCAAGACCTCAGGCCAGCAGATCCCAATCCTACCTTTTTGCAAACAGGGATTGCCATTGTGACCTCTAACAGGCTTCCCTTGGTCTGGAAAAAATATTGTGATGGTTTGGTGATGGTGTCCTGTCCCACCAAGATGCCATGAGGATTTTAACAGAGAGTGGTGATGAATTAGATGAACATTTCGGCAGGGTGGCCATGTTTGTAGCTGCTACCAGATTAAATAAAATAAAATAAAATAAAAAGAGGGAAAAAGCGAAAAAAAGAGAATATTTCTTATCTTATCTTATCTTTCATACATGAGCTGCAAGCTACAGACCCATCCTTCCATCTCCACCTGCATCTGGGCCATCAGTTTTGTTCTGACAGGGCCTTGTAGGTTGCCAGCTATCTCTTCTATCACAATCTACTCTGTTGCAGTCATCATATGGCTTTTCACAGCATCTCTTTGCCCTACTGCCCTCGATATACAGCATTTCCAACATTTTCTTTCTGCTCTGAATTTCTTTGGAAGTAATTGGAGTGTTGAAATTGCTAGGACATCTTGTGCAGGCCTTTTAATGGTTTAAAAAACAGTAATTTATGATGAGCTAGCAGCAATATTTTCAGAGAACTTGGCTTAGAGGAATTAATATTTTGCCTGCTGGGGGTGTACATGTATGTGAGGCACTTTCACTTTGATTTTGGTCTATTTTTGATTGAGCAGGATTTTTTATCTTTGCACCTACAACACATTCTGGTTTTGTCTAAGAGATTGTGATGTGGTAATTTATGATAGTTTTCATTGTGTGAAAGTAGGACATGAGAGCTATAAATTTTTGTAAGTCAGAGACTGCAAAAATATCATTTTCATTCCCCTTTTCATGATTACCATTCCATGCACTTTTTTCCAGTCAAGATCTTGATTAAATGCAGGCTGCTCACTCATGTGTAAGCTTTGTAAACTATCAGATTAATCAGAGCCCCCATCTATCAGATAATTATACAACCATCCAAGCAAGAAAAAATACAAGAAACCACCAGCTATATTGAAAGGAGAGTAGTATGTCCAAAATTCAGCAATTCAGAATTTTGATTTCAACTGATTTATCAGTTTAAACTGTAAAATGAATAGAAATTTAGCAATAACTAATATTTGTGTAATAATCTCAATGTGTTTTCGACTTTATGTGGTATAAAAATGTGGTGGAAGGCTGCAGAGAGGGCAGAAGTATGGTTTTTCAAAGGGAGCCAGTTGCTATCACATAAGCAGAAACATACCTGCTATAACATAAGCACATGCATAGCCACCTGCTATAACATAAGCACATAGCCACCTGCTATTACATAATAGCAGCTACAAACATGCCAACATTCGAAAGGCCCCCAGAAGCTCACGCCATTTCTTGTCCAAAAATAGCGGATTTGAGGGCCCAAAAAGAAGCCAATCTTTGTCCCAGAATAGCGGATTTGAGGGCACAACTGGGTAGCAAATATTTTGAAATAACATCCATGTCATTTAATGGGGAGATTTTACAGCTGGTGACGAAGAGAAGAAGCGAATTTTATTGGCAAGTGGCGATCTGTTTCTGGGGCCGAACTTTCATGTCGTCAAATTGACAGGGAGCTTCCATTTTGGGCGAGTCACGTGTAGACCCTTGTCCAAAATTGCGGATTTGAGGCCCATTTTCGCGACTTTTTCCGGACAAGAAATGGCGTGAGCTTCTGGGGGCCTATTTCGAACATTTACAAGTAGAGCAGTAGCCAATTTATTACATCACATCATCATTGTGCCATAGCAGTAGTAATGGGGGGAGAGAAAGGGAGTTATAAATGATTTGCATCTGTACTCACCTTGCCATGTCAGCTTGCTTGCAGTTCTAAATAAAACGTAGTTGCAATCACGATTGATGTTCATGTTTTTCGGTCTTTCTTTCATTATCTGAAGACTACTTAGTGGATTACAATCAGCCTCAACTCAGTATATACTGGAAAACACCTCGTTAAAGGATAAAATACAACGGAACGAAAATGAGAAACAAAGATGCGCAGGGGGGCGAATATTAATGCAAATATGATGGGTATAATGATCAGTTCCCGTGCCCATCTGTTTCATGATCAAGTGCGTGGTATGGATATGAAAGGGTCGAATTCATCTTGGGCGAGACGACTTCGAATTGTGAAACGTCAAAGCTGGGACGCGTTTCTTGCGAGGATCGAGACGAAGTCATTGATCTGGATGGTGATGACGACCTTGTGCCAAGGGAGCGTTGTCTTTCCGGTGGAGAATTCGATGAGTCGGTCGATGACGTCGTTAATCTTGATCTCGTCGACTGGCGATGGTCTGCGGATGGAGGCCCATTCTTACCATTGACAAAGTGGTCTGGTATCTGTGGACTGGGTGGCAAATCGGGAGACGTGACTGATGTCCTCGAGGATGCAATAATGCTTGGCCTTCGTCCCCCAGCACGAGGGGGTCCGTTTTGATGTTCAATACTTGAGCGAGATTCGGCAACTGGTGGAGCCGCGTTCCCTGACGATGATGATTTCCACGACTTCAGTATAGACTTTCGGACGACCCTGTCTTTGTCTGGCATAGGTGGAAGTGGGGGTGGTGACGCAGGTCGTGGTGACTGTCTGATGGGCCGAATGGGATATGGGGATTCCTGATCAAAGTGTAAACGATCAAGATTTGAACCAGTTCTGCTGGGTAGCATTTGTGTGGGTACGATTGGGGAAGCTTTGTTCCCATTGAAATTTCTACTCTGAAAGGGGACAGAGAGTTGCTGCGGTGGTTGAGGTGGAGGAGCTAATTGATCCTGAGAAATACGTGGGGGCATGGGTAAATCCTGGGACGAGCGGGGCTGTTGTATATGCAAATGGTCTTGAGAAGGGTGTGGATGATGGGAAGGTGGTGGTGGCGGCTGAGGGGAAAAGCGTCCAAACAACGGGGTTGGTGGAAGTGCAGGAACATCAGGAAACTCCTGGTACTCTTGTGAGGGACGCTCCGGTCGCTGAGGTGGAGGTTGAGGTGATGCCCTGCCCGAGGACGGTGCTGATGACGCTGGGACTGACGGAGGCGCCTTGTCTTTGTCTTTGTTACTACTCTTTCTCCACAACTTCTTTATGCTTTTCACAGACATGAGTGTTGCCCTATTTGAGGATTTCGCAGTATTCCCGGGCTCCTCAGTAGTAAATGAGTCAGCGGAAAATCGGCTGGTCGTCCCTGAACGAGCGCGTCCTTGGACCTGTGGTGGTGGTTCTACGTCTTCTATTACGGTACTAAGAGGCACCAGTTCACGGCCCATGTTAACAAACTCCCATTGGTTTGCTGACAGCCGTGAGCCTCCCGCCATATCCGGTGTAGAAGGATATCTGCCAAAGGGATCAGGAGACAGGGGAATGACTGGCGACGATGTAGAAGAGTCTGCGCTGCGTGCAGACTGTGGGGGATACAAAGATTGTTCCTCTTCGAGCTCTCGCCTGCGGAACTCTGATTCCGCCGAAGGCTGATCTGTAGGTACTCGATGAACATATGACCTAGGGGCAGACGTTGTAATGCCATTGACAGCCAACTGAGGAGGCGAAGGGGGTCCATTCACTGGAGCTGAACCTTGCTCAGGCTTCTCTTTGATCGATGAAAATGGGACAGCTGGCCATGAAGCATTCCTTACCAGACGTATTAGAGGGAAGCATATAGTATGATTGAGAGCGACTCACGAAGGAGGTGATGGTGGGTCAGGATGCTTGGGCAATCGCGGAGACGCAGGGAAGAAATCAGAGTTTCGCGTGTTCCCTCCGGGAGATAACGTCAGGGAAGGTGCCTTTGGGGAGAATGTCGCTGAGTGGAAACTTTGATTATGTTCTTCTTCAAGATCAGCCTTTAGGATTCTAGGAGATAGCTGCGCTAGTGTCTATAAGTAGACATCAGAATGAACCTGACGTTTAGAAATGGAAAGACGTGCCCGTTCGATCTCGTCCAATTGAGCCCTCATTAGATACTGACTTCGACGTCGATCATGAGGGTCGCTGTCGTCGAACTATATTTTGATGTAAGATCTCAGGGATTAGTCTCAGGGAATGGTGCTCACATCCTCGCTAGGGTCCAAACCTAGATCAAGGTCACCAAAGACTGCACCACCCCTCTTTACCGACTCTGCCGGACTCCGAACACGGGTAGTATACTCATCAAACTCTTCCTCGAGATCATGATCCGAAATTTCTGGGGAAGAGCTTTCTAAATATGCGAGATTAGTATCGCTGCCTGAGCTCTCCAGAACGGGCGTGGGCTCTTGTAGGATGGTGGGCTGGTTTTGAGGGGCTAAGACCAAAGGAGGTGGAACATGTCTGCGGCTAGAGCTTTGAGTTGAAGGCGATGACGACCGCTTCTGGTTCAGTTGAGGGGAACCAGGGATAGAGATGGCGAGATTGGGTCGAGACATCTGCTCCAACAATGCCTCAACTTCATCCTCCTCCCTTCCAGCAATGCGTTCATCTTCCAGGTCGGATATGGTAGATAGATCTGCTCCTGTGAGAGCTAAATTGGTGATATTCAGATTGGAATCACGCGTGTTATGGTTACTTTCGCTGTGTATGTCTGCCCATGTATCAGGATCGCTCCCAAACACATCTTCCAGCGGATCCTTTCCTCCAATCAACGATGAAACTCGCGCAGTTGCATCCTCAGCAACATCTTCATCTTCCTCATCCTCTTGATCTGACGCTTCTGGCAACGGTTCGTATGCATCATCTACGACCTCTTCTTCTGCATTATCGTTTGCGAGCGACGCATTCAATGAGATAGGGCTGGCAGTCTGTTTCCTGCCAATCAGCAAACGAATCTGTGGCGTCCGTCCGTGACTTTCTTCGTCATCCTGGCTTTTACTTCTCTCGCCACTTGCCCTGCTTCCCGCTCGTTTCGCGTGATTGGCTTTTCTACTCCTTAACCAAGGTTCGTACCACCCAGCTCTACGACGATCAATGTCAAATTCGACCTTGGCCAAAATAGGTATCAAGGATGGGGAGTGTAAGCCAGGTAGGTCAAAAGAGTCCGCACGAACAGCAGAACCTCCAACAGACGTGTCTGGGGTCCCAGGCTCGTCGGACATGGACGAAGGGGGAGCTGATTTTGAACTTGAGCGGATGTCTGAAGCTGAAGACGGCGTTGACGGTGCTGGCGTGAAGGGGTAGGTAGGTTGTGGTTGGATTGGTTCCACTCCACCTGGCGAGGACAAGAAAGGTCGCAGATGGCCTGCACTTTCTTGCGGAAGATATGGGGTTGATCGGGCTCCGACTCCCAGTCCTAGCAAACGAGGATTTAAATTTGGGGAGGGCAACAACGCCTCCTCTCGCTGTTCTTCTTGAAGAACTCGAGCCAAAATATGTTTCCAAATGTCTTCGGAAAGTCGCGGTCCTGGCTCCTCGGTTGGGGTGGCCCCTGGAGACGTTGGTTGAAACTGGGTTGTAGTCACCAGGTAAAGGATCAGGCCGACGGTGCTTGGCAATGCATACTCCTTTGCGATTGCGCCTAGTTGGGCTTGAAAGTTGGAATATAGAGGCACCAAGGTTCCACGTCGGAATTGGGTGTGGTATCCTGAAGCACTTGCTGGTGGTGGTGTCATGTCAGAATCATCATCTAAGGCGTCAGAATCATGGGGAAGATGCAAGGGGGGAATGACATGAAGCATAAATTTTGAGGTAGACGGAGAATAGAAGCCAACGGATGAAGTTGCCGTTGAGGGAGTTGGAGAGCGTCTGAAGGGGGTTGGGGAACGTCGGAATTGATCCATTGGCCCAGATGAATCTGAAAACGAGCGAGACAAGGAGAAAGCATTGGCTGGGACGGGGGTTGATACGCCCAGAGCATTGGCAAGCTTTGCGAGTCGATGGGGCGGCAACGGTGACTTTGGTGGACGCCATGTTGGGGATAGGGCTGCGTCTGGGTTGGCAGAGAGAGTCATGACAGTGTTCTTGATAGCCGTCGTGAACGTCGGACGTCGATTGGCATGAGCGTTGGACGCGACGAGCAACTGCCAACTGCCGCAGGGGTGAGAAAGTGAACTAAACTCCGATCTTGGGTTGTCCGTTGAGCGCGTCGTACAAAGCGTTGTCACCAAACACTGACGCTCTTGCAGTGATCTTGTTTTCAGTTTTTTATCCTTTGTGTCCTTGTTTCTTTCTCTTTTCTTCTCTTTCTTCTCTTTCACGACAACAGCCACGACAATCCTCTCCTCACGAATTCACGTTATACCCATGGACCAACAGCAGCACCATCCTTTGGGTGACGATCACAGTCCTATAGCCCCTCCTTATTTCTACACGCAGGAGCAGGACCCTTCCTATAACATCTCCTACAATCCCCAGATGGGTTCCTATTCAGTACCTCAACACGCCCCCCAGCCGCGTGCGTATTTTTTTCTCTTCATTACCTCGTGTCTTTTTCATCCGATAATCCTCTTTCTATTCAGGTCAAATGGATATTCACCAGCAAGGAATTCAGCAGTATCACAACCTCTCGTTGATTAACCCCCATCAATACCAACCTGCAGGCGTGTATAACTCATCGCCGCCTCATGGTTCCCTGCCCCTAGCTGGCTCTCCCCCTCCTCCTTCACCCGATCTTATGTACGATCCCTTGTCGCCCCCTGTCTCTGGATCAGACACATCGGCAGACGGAATATACCACCATTCAAACAGCAGTGGTGCAAACTCGCCCTCTTCTTCACGAGGCAACAGTCTAGTTCATCGGCACACCCGTTATAACCCTACTCCCTCCCCTACCAGCTCAGCCGGACGCCGACGTGGCCGATCTCACGATTCTGACGACGACGACGGAATGGGTGTTACATTTGTCGAGAACCTTGCTCACACTAGAAAAGAGGCTACCCGGAGGCAGCGGATTGAAGCAGAGCAGCGTCGGAGAGACGAATTGCGCGATGGTTATGCGAAAATGAAAGATGTTCTCCCCGTTTCAAATCAAAAGAGTAGCAAAGTATCTCTGCTGGAACGAGGTAAGGGTCTTCTATATTACCTTGGCTTAACCTCTCATCGTCTCCTCCGTGTAGCTACCAACCATATTCTAGCACTCGAGAAGGCCAATAAAGAGATGCAAGCCCGCATCGCTACTCTGGAGCAGGAAATGCAGAGGCTTCGAGCCATTAACGAGAAGATTTCACTCGGCTCGAACGACACGCCGTCGCCTAGAACATTTGATGGCAATAGACCCTTGTCGCCCCCACCTGACGCCCCTGTAGCAGGTCATTCTCTAGCCTCTGTCAGAGGCCAGGAACCACCCTCGGAGCATTCAAGTCCATCAGCGTCAGAAGGCGGGTTCTGATCTACCTGTGCCCCATGCAACATCTACTTTACACTTCATCCTTCCTCGTCACTTGCTTTCTTCTTCTTTTTTGCTTTGCAGTTTCACATGCGCAACTCTCTTATTTCTCTGCGGCATGCACTTTTGGGGAATGGTACCTGTTATTATTTTGGGAGGGTGGACGCCTGGGATCGCGTTCAGCACCACGCGTCGTCGCAGTATCCCTCGTCTCGACCCCCGTGAGAGGACTGGCGGTTTGGTTGTCGTAGGCTGGATTGCAAGGACATTCGAAGCGTGTTTGATGCCAAGGTCACCTGCCATCTCGTTGATCGATCGAAAAACCCTCGAAGGCAACGGATTCTCTGGAGAATCCAATCCTTGTCGATACTTCTAGCTCATTGATCCCTTGGGCCACGTTTTCCTTCTTTTTTTTTTTTTTTTGCACAACCCCCAACTGCGCCCTCCAATGTCCAGTCAATCTATCGCCGTCCACCAGGCTGATGAAGAGAGCGATGGATATCTGAACAAGGCTTTTTCAATCACGAAAATCCATGGAGAGCATGATTCACGGTCCTCCATAGATGGAGCGCATGATAACTCATGATTCTTGACGAACCAGACACGACTACTATTGGCACGGGATCGATGGCGCAAAAGGAGTCTTTGTCCAGCCACTTTTGCCGGCTGCTCTGCCGTCCTTTCGATATTTTGGCGACAAGCGTTGGCGTCTCTTGACGGGACGTTGGCGAAGCGGGGACATTTTTAAGCCGTGCTTAATAACGAGGATTAGACGGACGCTGAATATATGGTCGCCCATTTATCTGGCCTTTCCCCAACGGTTCCATTGGATGTTACCACTCGTAGTTTAGATACAATTCGATTTCTATAAATATCCTAACAACACCGTTCTCTTCACGACAAACGGGCAAGCTTTCAAGAAGAACCCGTTGCACTTAAGGCGTCGTTTGACATCGATAAACAATCCAAAGTATCGATGGATGTAAAATTCCCGCTACACGTGTATGGCACACTGGAAGCAAGGATTGTTTCTGGCTGTCTTGAGCGAAGTATAGTTACAGATAGCGGAAATTTCAAGACGTTCGACTCGGAAGATCTTGGGGTGTCGCAGCGGGCGTTATGAAGGAACATTTTGAAGTGAATCACATCGATGATATCGATTTCGAACAAGACCAAGTGTGCAGGAAATGTCGTAAAACACGTCCATCAACTCGATCGCCAGGATACTACTTACACTGAAACAAAACGCCCTGAACTTTTACAGTACTAGTGGGAGGGAAGTAGTGAATTCCACAAATGGTATGCGTATCAGAGCCTCGTTGTAACCGCCTGTTCATCGTTCGGCAACTTTTCACGACCCGAGTGTGACCTCTGCCCAAACCAACGCATGTTGCGCAGGGTATATACTTTGGGCTACCCCGTGAAGCCATACTCCAGCGCAGCACAAGAAAGCCGCGCGCCGCGGTCTCGACGAGAACAAGAACCGTTATTCAGACTGTAGCCCGAGCGCTATTGTCGGGTGCCTGTTGTCCGCATAAACATCAACCCCGGATAGATCCCAGGCGGGCTGTGTGCGGCTGTCAAGGATCACCATAATCAGTGTCAACTTGTGCGCTAATCCTCCGCCACCGAATGAAAGCAATGTCAGGTGCCGACCAGAAAGGGCTAAAACGGAGCCAATTCATAAGTTCAGCACAGGTGGGGGAGATATGAAATCTGATCAGGGAGGATCGGCATAAAGAATATAGGGTTACTATTAGAGTTGGTGACGATAGCCATTGGGAAAGGATTGCGCTGACGAAGCAGGACCGACCCAGATCCACGGGGTTGGGCTGGAGCATGATTCCAGATTCATTTGATAAGACAGGAAATGACTCGGTCGTTTTGTTGACATACGAGAGAGCCAAAGGGGGAAGTAGCGTAAGTACACAAAACGGTCCTGCCTCGAGGTGGAATATGAGAAAAGAGGGATTTTGGCCCCCCTAACTTCCGCCCAATGTTTCGACAAGCAAAAGTCCATTCTTCCTCACAGACTGTCACTAGAGTAAGCCACGGCGTTGTGCGGAGGCGCCCAGCTGTGTTTAGTCAAGAGAATTCCTTGTGATAGGACCAACAGCACACCCTGAAACCACCTCGGTTCTTGTGACCATTGAGTGGGTAAAACATACGAGTAGACGCACCGCGTACTCCGATAAAGCCTGTCGGAGTCCCTACAGATTGCAGGTCAATGCGCGTTTCAAATTTCCTTGCATCGACGAAGCAATACTTCCCAGTCGGGAAGCGATTCCTGGACAAGTTATGAAATCATGATGAAACAATGGAGAAAGTTGTACCAAGCAAGAGTCGAATACGGGAGGAGGAGATAATTTTTAGGACGCGACTTGTGACGTCTGAAATACGTCACGACACCCCAGTCACAACGTCACCGTGATTACATCCCGCCTCCCCGCATCAAGACCACCGCCAACGCCGACCGCTGCACGCCCTGGCTACGAATTAACGCCCACGAACGACTCGGATTACCCCTCGCCAACGCTTAAAGCGCCTCACATTCACTTACTCATACCTGCGATACCCATTTAAGCACTATCCGACACGATGTGGTGCGTTCATACTCAATCATATCTACATGTTGAGGTCAATCTTTGGTCGATCATTAGGTGTGACAACTGTCTTCTGGTCATGCCTCTTGTGAGTTATGGTTCCAAATGGTTTGAGTAAGCCCTTATACATTCTTCTTACCCAGAGGGGGGGTGCAATTGCCTGGGCCGTTGTGATCGCTGTAAGGCTATCTCAATACCAATTTTAACCCCAAACCTGCTAACCTTGCGCAGGCATATAGCTTGGCTGGAGGAATATTCCTTCTCGTTGATGGCCAGTACATATTCTTCTTTTTCCCTGAATGGTGAATACGCTCTCCTGTTGCGCCGCATATCAATGATTAAAACATTCCAGGCAAATATACGGCGGCATCGGCATTGGAGTAGCAGTTTCAGCGATTCTGACCATGTTTGCGCTCTCCAACGTCAGTTCCACAAAGACCCTTCACCTTGGAACTCCTGGACTGATCCTATCAATAGCGATCGTACATCTGGACTCGAGTTGTGAAGTTTCTTTGGCCATTTATCATCGTGATTTGTGCCATTAGGGCTATCATCATGATCGTGCAGCTCCAGAGAAAGTGCGTTTCCATTCTGCGTTGCGAATTTTCATTAATTAAATTACTTCCCCTGTTTTCTCCAGTCAAGACAAGATCACATGGGAATGTAATAACGGGGGTCAGCAATGGAGCGATGCAGCTGTGGCTGAGTCTCAGACGACCTCTACGGGAAGTCTTCCGAGCACCTTTTGTGCCGCGGGGTTCTCCAGCCTAAATGTTGCTTTTATTATTTCGCTTCTCGTGGACCTCGTGTTCCAGGTTAGTCGCTTGACTTGTTCGGCCTCTTGCTTGCTCAAAACCCCGTTCCCTACAAGCTTTACATGTTCTTCTTGACTTGGAGATTCTCTAAGCGGTTGGAGCATTACGCTAATATGAAGGGCCCGTTCCACGGAGGTGAGCGCCACCTTGTGACCCTTTTGTTTGAAGGAAGATCGTGACGCAAAGTTTTCAGGATACTACGCATAGGCACCGGGTGTTCTTCTGCTCCTAGTCTCGGACTGTTTCTCGATCTTCCATTACCGCTTCTATACTCACTTGGGACACCCCTCACGATTTGTACGACATTACGACCTTTATGATGCTTTATCTTTGCTCCTTTAACGATGACTTATTATTTGATGACATTTGAATAGCGAGCGCCTGTAATCGATATAGTGGGACCGCTTTGTACCCATAAGGACAGAACTTTGTCGAGAAAAAAAGGTGCGCAGCTGATCGGACCAAAAGAGAATAACAGTAGGAATCCGTAGGATTAAAAAAACGTTCCGCCTGGACAGACAGGCACCAGGAATTGTCACATTGTGATGATGAGATATACCCAGTCAAGACAAGATCCCTGCTTGAATCCCATCCTGACCGAACACTCTCTGTTCGGGAACCGGATCTTGATGTGCGGCTTTTATAACAAGGATGTTTTCGGTGTTTCGGAACGAGAGAAAGATGGAACAGGATAACAGTGACGGGTTAAGGAAGCAATTGATTTATAGATGAAGAGTCATCGTTGGGAAATGGAACAGAGGGGACAGGAAGAATGAGATGGGCAAGGGTATTAGCGTGGATTCGCATGCATTCACAGTTCGTTCTGTCACCACTGGGGTTATTTCCGCCAGTGGCGTAAGAGAACAGGAATTGGGACAAAAGTCAGAATTAGAATGAGCAAGGAAAACGCCTCGTGTCCGGCGCCAAGAACCCGGCTAGGATGGCTTGACTATTATATAGACCTCAGTTGTCATTCCCACTCTGTTCCTTATCCCTTCTTCTCCGACTCTCCTCCCCCTTCCCGCCCTTTTCTCTCTTCTTCTTCTGTCCGTTTTCTTTTCTTTGCAGTCACCACCCCAACGAGCGCTGTTGTTCTCCAGGTACTCCTTGTTCACCCGCCCTGTCTACTACCTTTTGTTCTAACGCCATTCTAATTTAGCTCGTCTTATTTTCGTTCTCATTTATTTCATCGTCTGCTCAGCTCTCTAGTCGCACCTGTTCCCCGCAATGTCTTCCCAACTGCTTTCCATGGATTTCGATCACAACAAGACCCCCTCCTACATGGAGCCACTCGACGCTTCATTCTCTTACATGGACAGTGGTCTCGACTATCTCCAGTATCCTCCTCAGTCTCCCTCCTTTGGTGTAACCATTGGTCGTCAGTTTTACGTCCATCTCACATTGTTACATTGCATCTGACTTTGTTTTTCATCAGTTCCCCCGTCGGCTTCCCCTCAGGCGTTCAACTCTTTGAACCTCTCCGGCGGTCTCGGAGATTACACATACTCGTCACCCGCTTTCAGCGCGTCATCCCCTGCCCGTCCATACACCCCACCCGATGGTGCTGCCATTTCACCTCCGTCGCTCACTTACCCCTTGAGCGCTGGTGAGCTGTCCTCCGATGGCATGGCCTCTGGTAGACATAGCCGTGGGAGCGGATCGCACTCACCCCCCGCCACCATTCCCTATCCTGCGACCGTTCCCAGGTCGCATCGCTTCAACCCGATTGTCGCACCCACGACTCGGGCCAGCGTTAGGGCACACAGGCGGAGATCAAGCAGGAGCAACGACGACAGTGACGAAGAGGACGACGACTTCCAGCCAGCCAACCTCTCAGCTGGAGGTGCCGATTCGTAGGTTTATTTTCTTTTTATATCACTTAATCTTACCCTTTCGTCTCCTTAGGCGCCGCGAGACCATTCGCAAGCAGCGCATCGAATCGGAACAAAGGAGACGAGATGAGCTCAGGGACGGCTACGCCCGCCTGAAGGATACCCTTCCTGCGTCCAACCAGAAATCCAGCAAGGTTTCTTTGCTCGACCGAGGTTTGTTTATCTTTTCTCCTTCACATTCTCTTGCTGACAATCGTACAGCAACTGGACACATTAGGTATCTCGAGACCGTCAAAGAGCAGTTGGAACTCCGACTGAAATCCGCTGAAGCGGAGGTTCACCGACTTCGCAACGTCAACGAGGCGTTGATGCTCGGCACCGCGAACCAACGCGCGCACAACTCCGCTAGTGCGTCGGCTCTCGTCAGCGCGCCGTCCTTCTGATTGCTTGAGCTCGCAATCATACGGCCGTCTGAGTGTCAAGAAAACCCTCGAAAACACCATCCACTTCAAAACACCCTCTCAGACGGCAACTCACGAGTTCGATTCCTCCCTGGTGACACACTGCATTGATTTATGACACGGACTATTACGCAATATTGTATTTTTTACGCATCCTCACGCCCCACCTTCCTCTAAGCGGTTCCATTCACGGATCGCTTGCTTACCGGCTCCTGCGTCAGCGACGCAGTTCCATGGTTGTCTGCTCTCCCCCCTCTTTTGCAGCCGCGCCGCACACTTCACCTCTTGTGACCCACATCGACTCTGAGGATATGGCCTGTGGTTACCTCAGCTTGGCTCGCAGCGAAGTGGAGGTACTGAAGACTCAAACTCTGATTTTGGATTCCGGGACCACGGTTGATGGTTGGCTCAGACGCGACACCGACGCAAGACCCGAGGCAGTGCTCGAGGCGCAATATCTCCCTCTTCATGAGTGTGAGTGCGTACCTCGCCTGCCCAGCGGCCCATTCTTGTTTTCTATCTTTCTACACCGTCGCTCGTCTACCACCATTCCGATCCCATACCACTCCATGTGTGCTTGAGGCGACGACCACTTAATTGTGGTTCCGTGCTTCGCACATGCCGATACACTGGCATCAATTGTCTACCTTCTATTACCTCAAGAATCAGCAGATCGCATGCTATACATGGATATTTCACCGCCATCTGGACATAGCAAGCTTCCCACTCTCCGCTCTCGTCACGCATCATTTTTTATTGATATCACTGATTTATAACATTTCCCACCATTCCACCCTCGCCGCCTACCTCACTGTCGTGGCCACGGATGTAGGATCAACCTCTACGGCCGCCACAATCCCTTGCCCCGATTCCCCGGTACTATTTTTTCTCCCATCTTTTCATTGAGCCCGCGATTTTCATATGGCATGTGAATGAACGCCCCTTCACTTTGCGCATTGTATGCTGCAAAGCGGGAGATGATGGTCACCGGGAACAATCTGGACTTGCGCGGCGAGGGCGGAATTTGACGACAAAATGAGCTATCCCATGGAACATCGACGATCACCTTCTACTTCACTTTTCTATCCATCGATATCGTGACTCGGACCATCTATCGGTTCTCGCCTTTTTGTGCCCCGGCTTGGCTAGTCCTTGCTGTGAGAGCCGAACTGCGCTGAGTACGGCCGATAGACCCCTGGTTGTGGTGTTGAAAATATTCTGGTGATTGTGAAGGCTCGTTTAAGTTGCTCGAAGCCTCTTCCCCGATATCCTCTAGTTAGGCTCTGCCGGGTGTTGTTCCTCTTACGATATTTCTAGCGCTCTCAAAATGCCCCCCTCATGCCCCATGCCCTAAGCCCCAGTTAAACCATCACTCCATGTTCCTGCGCGTGCGCAGTTCGGTCGCCAACTTGAGCGCTCATCACCTACCTCATCGCATACCTACAATTCGAGATTGTTGTCTACATAGTTCCGTTGTAGTACGATTTCCGTGTGATCTTACGACACAATGTAACGACACGTTTTATGCTCTCGATGTGCACATTTGAGGGTGACTAAGTTTTTCTGCAGAAGTATTTCTTTTTTTTCTGACGTTTTCTTTCATAACCATCATGAGTGATATACCCGCAATTCGTCGTCAGCTGAAGATTCAAGCTGGGGGCGTGGCACGGTAAGCGTATAGTCCTGTCACCCTCACTTGATGATTTGATCAGGGAGAATCCACAGACTCGCAAAGGAAAATGGTCTTTATCGTAAAGAGGCTGATCAACTCAAATTGAAGCGCGATAAACTGGTCGTGGAGGACGCTGAGAGTTGGGACGTCAAAAACGCAGTGCGTGTTGTCAGAATTTACTATCCTACTATAGATCTAACAAGTAATGGAAGACACGAATGATTGAAGAATCGGAGAAGATGGTGATAGATACGGCGACTCGTCTGGGAAAGGCTGCTGATGTCCTGAGTGACCTTGTGGTGAGAGCTAGAACGATTGCGTTTACAGTTTGTCATTCACACTATTCAGGTGCTTGCAGAGAAGGAATCTGAACTAGCAGAGGACCCAGCGCTCGTGAAGGCGAAGGAAGCGCTGGAAGCTGCGAAGGCGTAAGCTTCAGGCGGTGAATGGTGTAATCGATGTCTTATGTATTCGTACTTTATTCAAACGTCAGGAAAACGAGATGAATGAGAAGATGGTGGAGCTTACAGGAGATTCATTCAAAAGCCAAATCCTTCAGTCCTGCATGATATCCTTGTTGGTATTGGCCGCATCCGAGTCGCGTTTTGCGTCTTGACCGGCTTTCAGACGCGTCAAGGCCGCTAAGATACCCTTCCACGCATCGCGTTCTACCCTCTCTTCTTGCAGTCCACGGTCCCTTCTTGATGAACCGTCATCGGAAGGAAGACCTACTCCGAGAGAAGGGGGTATAAATCCCGGAGGAGGGGCGTTGATGGCGGAAGGGGCGATGCGGGAGTGACGAATATGTGCGAGAGATGAACGAATAGCTACTTGTATTGACTGTGCATTCAACGTGTGAGAAGTGTTGAGAGGGGAGTCGAAAGATGTGCGTACGTCAAGGCGCTCGAAGTACTCGCTAACTTCGAGAACGAATTGCTCCGATCTCTCTTCACCTTGAGGTAGATTATCCTCAGGACCATCCGTTTGAGGTAGAGTAAGGAGGGAGATAGATGAGGCAGCCAAAGAGAGTAGCCTGGTGATATCCTTTAGTTTTAGTCAGTAAGGGCGTATCGAGAATGTTGAAACCCTGAACCTTGTCGACCTCTCCTAGCGCGTATATTTGTCTTGCTGTGCGGCTTGTAGTCCAGATGGGATCGATATCCGAGCCTTGCGTCTCTCGTTCGAGTGTAGACTCGGCCATGGTGCACGCAGGGTGGGTTCAGGCATTCAAGATGAACTTTCAACCAACTCCGAGTCAATCTCAGCGCTACATAAATCTTTCATAGATCCACCTCTATAACGGAAAGATTCTATTACAGCTTTTTCAATCTCTTTTCCTTGTTAACAATTCTTTTCATCTGGTCCTTTACCTCTGCACCAAATTGTACTTTTGTCGTCTTCTTCTCAGCTCTTCGTGTTTGTCGCTCCGCCTTCACCGCTGTCTTTCTTGCTTTCTTGTCCTCTTTATCTTCATTGCGAGGTCTTGCTATCGTTCGTCGATGTCCTGTTGACGCTTGATTATAATGTTCGAGAGCACACAACCAAAAATACACACCATTGGTTAATGACTCAGAATCGGATTCATCAGATCCTTCCGTCCCAGAGGATGATCTCAAGGAAACGCGACGCTCCGTTGACTTGTTTTCGAGAGATTTTGTAGGAGCAAGCACCGGAAAGCCAGTTTTTCGATCCAGCAAAACTTTGGGCACAGGCTTTTGATCGCGAGCACGAATAAGACGTGGGTGGTTTTCGAGGTTCGAGTAGGTTGCTGGAACATCAGCAGGTTAATGGATAATTTACGGGAAATGCAGATATTGTTTACTCAATATTGTTTCGCAATCCCAACGATCTTTCTTGTCTTCATCCTCTGAGAGCAGCAGGTCATCATAATTCTCTTCCTTGTCGTCGTCCTCCACTCTTACGCGTTCATCACGTCCCATCGCTCGTCGCAATGAGTCCAGCTTATCCACCCCACTTTCCCCTTCAAGTTTAGGTCTCATCTTCCGGCCCAGGATCTCAAAATCGTTCAAGAATTCCTTAACCATAGAATCAAAATCTTCACGAGAGGTTATGAGTTCTGGGGCCTCGTCAGTGTCGGGATCCTCGTCAGAGAGATCTTCCTCGTTGTCGTTGTCCTCGTTATATTGTTTGAGAATCATCTGCAAAGTATGAGTATTGCAAGATAAATAAAGTATCACGCTCTTACCTGGTCAAAGCGTTCGTCGAGGGTTTGTAAAGCCTCGTTTCGGAACATCGAAGAACTGCTCATGCTATAGCCAGATGCATCACTGGTTCTTTTCCGCCTCTTCCCTCCAATGACAGATGTTTCGGGTAATTTGCCTATGGTATCTTGGCCTTCTGAATCATATCCGTCGTCACTTTGTGCTTCATTGCGATGATCTTGTTTAAATTTCGCGAATCTACCCTCCCAAGTGCTTTCATCATTTCCCTCTTCTTCCTTATCCACTGCTCCCTCATGGTCCTCCTCAAATTCAAAGTCGAAGGCCTCATCGCTCCCCCTTGCTCCATCTGCTATAAGTTCACCAAAAAAATCGTCCTTGAGCCCGTCGTCGACAAAAGCATCGTCTTCAAGTGCCTCCAGAACTTGCCGAAGATGAGGATCCATATCCGGCTGGAACCCTGCTATACTCTCTGGAATAGCCTGTTGCGACTCGTACGTTCTGGGAAGTTCAGAGGTGGAAGCTAGCACGCCTTCCGGAAGATCTATTAACTCGATTCCGTCGTGCCTCTTTGTTCGAGCCTGAGATTTTTTGCTCAAAGTTGCTGGTGCTTCGATAAGCATACTTTCAACGCCATCCTCTTGGATTCCAACTTGGCGAAGATGTTGCATGTAATCGTATTCAGTGTCATCGTAATAAACACCGTACGATGCAGCCTCGCCAATATTACGCCTTTGATCTGCTATCTCTGACGAGTCCAGAAGGGCTTCAAGGTCTGCGCGAGATTTGCCCTGATGTATCATTTTATTTTGAAATCAGACAAAATTTATGAGCACCAACCTTCTTGGTATTCTCTCGTTCGAATTCTTTGAGAACATGTTTGCTAGCATCTGGGTCGTTGATAAGCGGGTCTCGTTGTGAGCGATGAACAAGTTGGAAATGTTTTGCGCCTGGTTGGCGAAAGATCGATTTTTGTGGCATTGGAGTGTAGAGGAAAGGAGCACGGTTACGTAATGCATAGCTGTTGCAGGTCTGCCTCTGCCACCACCATCGCAACTATTGCACGTCGACGACAGTAAACCCTTCCTTTTTACCCCTTATTTTCAGTGAACAGACGGCTTCGTTGACCTTCCCTGTTCCTTTCGCCTCCAATGGATACGCGTATCAACCCACAACGCGAGCATTCTAGACGTGGTTTCTCTATATAAGTCTCCATTTCTATCGCTGAACTTCAATCCTGGTTCTGACATCCGTTGGTTTCTCTACTAGTCACCAAAAGGTCGTTTTGGAGATTGATTTTGGTGGTGTCTTATGGGTATGCAACACTCCTTTGCCATGCTAGCATCTTGACGCTCACCCACAATAGGGCTACACTGAGATTACGATCGTTCCGACGAGTAGTGAGCTTCGAACCATTCATCTTCAGTCACGCCAATGCAGTGCGTAACAAAAGATCTGCTCCGTGTACCATTCTCATTCGATTCATCTAGCCATCCAGTCCGTCACGGTTGCTGGTCATGCCGCGGATTTTGCACAACACGATTCCCTCACAAGCCTGAGCATGGGCGGACCTACGGAGTCTCAGGACTGCCACAGACATCCAGAATTGAAACGAAAGATTTATTCTGCCCTTCAAGAGAGTGACGAGGGAGAGTTGTCGATAGCGGTCCCGAAAGAGGTGGCACTCAAGCAATCTGGTCACACGTCATCAAATAATTTCTTCAACGATGGTACGTGTCAATTGGAACACATGGTTGTCTGACATAGATTTGACGCGTTCTGACAGTCGCGACGCCCGAACCTCAGACGCCCGGTCTCTCTCAAGCACAGGCTCTGCCCGAATTCTCTCCTATCGTCGTGAACATCGCCTATAGCCTTCGTAATCCCGTCGATGGCTTTGAGTTTGTGATTCCTAATGATGCTTACCCATATGTGAGTCAACCCAGTCTACTGTTAGACCCAGTGACTCATTCACGTTAAGCGCGTTCCTCATGCTTATACGTCGCCTTCATCACCCGATGCTGCGCGCTGTTGGGTTCCCTGTATTGACAACTTATGGGAAAAGTGCACCTGGGAGTTTGAGTTCATTGTTCCGAGATATCTTGAAGAACGAGAAGCCAACCAGGACGACGAGGATTTCAATGACGCATCTCCGACCATCGTGGTTTGTAGCGGCGAACTTGTGGAACAGGTAGGATGGAAGTAACGTAGAATCTTCATTTACTGACATCTGTTACAGGTTGCTCATCCATACAACTCTAACAAAACCATCTTCTTGTTCTCTCAGGCTGTTCTTACCTCTGTTCAGCATATCGCTTTCGCTGCAGGTCCCTTCCACCTTTTCCGCATACCTGTTGACAACACTACGGAAGATGCATCGGGATCATCTCAACCGTCCATGTATGCTTTCTGCCTCCCTGGTCACGAATCTCACCTTACTACATCAACCTCCTTCCTCCGCTCTGCGATGAGTTTTTACGCCACCGAATTTGGTTCCTATCCTTTCGGATCATATAAGCTTGTTTTTGTCGATCAGCTACCTACTCAGCGCTTTGATAGTGCTACTCTGTCTCTTGTGACTATCGACCTGCTACACGGCGAAGATACGATAGAGCAAGCGCTTGAAACACGTCAAGCCTTGTCTCATGCCTTGGCATGCCAATGGGCAGGGATCAACATCATTCCCAAGAATTGGTCTGACCTCTGGCTCGTGAACGGTTTAGCTCTGCACATCACAGGACTTTATATGCGCAAACTGTTTGGAAACAACGACTATCGGTTCAGGTTGAAGAAGGATATGCAACGAGTTTTGGACTGGGATGTTGGTGGCATGCCTCCAATCTGTCAACCTCAAGTCTTCGACCCCCCTGATGCAGCAACTCTTCCATTCATTAACTTGAAGGCACCCTTGATTCTGCACATTCTTGACCGGAGACTGGGTAAATCAGGTACATCTCTGGGACTTAGTCGTGTGCTACCGAAGGTATTCCTCTCAGCCATTAGTGGGGAGCTGCAAAATAATGCTCTGTCAACGCACACATTTCTGCGGATGTGCCGTAAAGTTAGTGGGGTGGATCCAAGGAGCTTTGCCGAGCAATGGATCTATGGCAGTGGTTGCCCATCCTTTGTGTTTCAGGCCTCATTCAATCGGAAGAAGATGGCTGTGGAGATTTCCATGCGACAAGATGCGCCTGCATACAAAGCTATGGAACACAATGAGGTTTCAAAAATCTTGATGAAACCTGTCCCATTTTTTGAGGTTAGTGTTACGTGGAACCCACTCTAATCGGTACTCATTTTTGTCGATTTACCAGGGTCAAATGACTATTCGAATACACGAAGCAGATGGAACTCCCTACGAACATGTTTTAGACATCCGAGCACCCTTCAAGCGATACGAAGTGCCTTTCAATACCAAGTATAAGCGGGTCCGACGCAACACCAAACGTTACCTAGCGCGACAGGCCGCAGCTCAGGCGGCGGCTGAAGGGGACACCGAAGCAGCTGAAGCTATGGGGATGGTTGATATGGGTTTCGGTCTTGAGGTTTGGGAAAAGGAGCAGGAACGGGAGAATTGGAAAGTTGCGGATTGGACTGAGGACGAGGAGAGTAACATGAGTGGTGCGACGTATGAGTGGATACGGATGGATGCAGATTTTGAATGGCTGGCGAATATCAAGTTCGAGCAGCCTGACTTCATGTGGGTATCCCAGCTCCAAAGGGATAGGGATGTTGTTGCGCAGTTAGAGGTTCGTACTCGCTCTCTCCCAAGAAACGCTAAATCATCTGAAACAATACTAGGCTATACATGCGTTAGCAGAGAAACCCACTGCGATTGTTTCCAGTACCCTCACCAAGACGGTTTTGGTGTCAAATTACTACTTCCGCATTCGTTGCGAAGCTGCTTTGGCATTGGTCAATGTATGGCCTCCGAGTTCTTGCTTGTGCTCTACTGAACTGGTATGGCATCCAGTGTTGCATACGACGATTGGATTTTTTAGGCCTGTTCCACCTCTTCAAGCTCTTCCTGCGATACTGTTACGAGCCGGAGGACCCCAATCAAGATCTATTCAGTCACAAGTACGTTCCAAAACCGAACGACTTTTCAGATCTCTCCGAGTACTTTGTTCGCAAGGTCAGTCACTTGTGTTGAATAGATAGTCCTCATTAGCTTTACTATGCGCTCTTCAGAGCTTAATCTCCGCTATCTCGCAAGTTCGCTTCGAAAATGGAAAGACACCATCGGTGGTGCGACAGTTCCTGATCGATCAACTTCGGTACAATGATAATACTGCCAATCCGGTGGGTCTACTTGATCAATCAAGGAAACTGCCATTGACTGTACGTAGTATTCCGATGGTTTTTATATATGCTCGATCATCTCGGCGGCGGCTTGTGCTGTCGTTTCTACGGCGCCACCAGAACGAGGCGAACTGCTACCATCTGAAACTCACGTTGAACAAAATGCTGAAGACGTCGATCTGGTCAAGCAAATACGAACGGAAGTTGATCGTTACCGCAGTATGGACAGATTAATTCCTTCCCCTCACAACATTGTAACAACTGCTGCGTTGGAGGTTCGTTTCTCCTTCATTAAAATGATACCAACACTCAGATATCATCAGTTCTATGCTCTTCTTGGCGTTTCCAACCTCATCCCCAGTCACCCAAGAATATTTTTCCCATTGACAAGGTAGTTCCATGGGCAGCTCCAGTAGCTTTCAGTTTGCTGAGTAATTTGAATAGGGAAGGGAATTACACGCAAGTTCGCATTGCAGCGTTCGACGGACTTTTCTTGACAAAATGGTACACACCTCAAATCATGCGTTACATACTTGCCGTGATGGCGAATGACTCGTCGCGAGTCATACGAAGGCATGTTGCTCGCAACGCATGTTACAGTTTAGCTCTCTTGGTACAGATGGGCGAAATGAAGTCAAACCTCAAAGAAACCGAATCTTTGCTTATCGAAGAAGATGGGAACGGTCAGGAAAAAGCGAAGGAGTCCAAGAAGAGCGAGATGGACGCTATGATCAAAGCCCTTCGCAAGGATCGTGAAGTTGGGAAAAATGAAGTCTTACGAGAGTTCCTGATGCCTATTGCCTTGTATGTCTTTGACTGCTTCCTATACAATCTACTGATGTTTAATCGAACTAAAGAATGCCAGACATTGACCATGAAGTCCGTTGGTGTATCTTGAAACTCGCTGATCTCCTCATTCGCCCTGTCGAAGAGACCCCTCCTACCGTCAAAATACATATCCCAAGCACACCCGTCACGGAAGTTGCTCCTCAGCTACCATTACCGAAAATGCCTGCAAAGATTCCTCGAGTCATCAAATCAGGTGGCCCACCAACGAAGGGACCATCTATTGCTGTAGCTCCGAAGTTGAGATTAACTAACAGTCCTCTTCCCGATGCCATTCCTCGAGTTTCCATTACTCCGATCGTTGACGCACCTAAGAAGAATGTCGCGTTCGTGGCGCCAATGGGGCCTCCAGTTACCAAGCCTCCCAAGTTGAAAGGAAAGTCGACTAAGAGCGTCGATACCTACAAAGTAGCTCCTCAAGTGCCCAAAGTAGCTCATGTGCCCAAAGCTCAGTCTGGAGGAATGTCACTTAACGATTTGAGGGCTTGCCGAAACGCATTGAAGAAGCTTAGATCGAACAAGCATGCTACCTTGTTTCTTCAACCAGTGGATCCCATTCGAGATCATGCACCCAAGTGCGATATGTTTCCTCTATTTCTGACTTTACCCTCTGATATCTCTTTCCAGCTACTTTGATATTATCAAAGATCCAATGGATCTCAGTACAATGGGAGCCAAGTTGGAAGAGGGGATGTACAAGGATCGATTTGCATTTCAGGCAGATTTCCGGCTCATGGTCAACAACTCGAAAACGTATAACACGGCAGGAAGTTTCGTGCACAACGAAGCTATTGCCCTGGAGACTACTTTTGAGAAGCGTGAGTGTCATCCTTCGACGATGGGCAGAATAATATTCATTTTTGCAATAGAGTGGGCAATCATCAACAAGACGCTTGAGGCTGCCGATAAAGCCCACCCGCCTCAGGTTTCACAACCTGTGAAACCTCAGCCGCGAACTTTGCCCCCCGTGCCGAAGTCATTTCCATCCCGCCCCGTTCCCGCTTCTGCCCCCGAGAAGGGAAAGGCTTCCTCTGTACCCGACTCTGTGCCTGTGGCCTCCACCTCTAGACCAATCATCAAACTCAAGGTCGGTTCTCAAAGCAAACCAGTTGAGACGCCTTCGGAATCTGTTCCTAAAGTACGCGTCAAAAAGCCGAAACCATTGGAATCATCAACATCTGTTACACCCGTCATTGACGCACCACCACCTCCATACGTGGACGATGGTTCTCACGATATTCTTCAAGAGGTTTTGGCCATTGAACGTGAAAAGGACGAGCAGCGGCACCGGTTGGTAGTTGAGAAGGATAAAGACAAGCCCACCGTCAATGGCGCATCTGGGAAGCGGAAGAAGCCAGATATTGTCGATGAAGACGATATATTGGCTTTGACTAAGCCAGCCAAAAAGGAGAGACCGTCGCCCTCCGGCCCCTCTTCGACTTCATCCAAAGCCGAGGCTCAAGGACCAGTACCTCCGTCGACGAAGGCTGCTTCTGGCATGCAGAGGCCCAAGAAGGAGAAAGTTGAAGCATCTCGACCACCCAAGGCTGAATCCCCACGGATTTCCCTCAAAGGAAAAGAAAAGGAAGTCGCACCACCGACGCAAGCATTGCCTCCTTCAACCACTCCGACTCCGGTTCAAACTAAAACCAAGAAACCACCAGTTGTCCAAGCAACTCCTCTCAATGACAAGAAATGTAAAGATCTTCTCAGAGCACTTGCCAAGGTTCCAGAAGCTGCCATTTTCATGCATCCCGTAGACCCTATAAGGGATGGTTGCCCTACGTGTGTTTTTCGATAATCTGTCTGGAAACCGAGCTGACACATTCATAGATATCTTGATGAAATTGAGCATCCCATGGATTTCGGTACCGTCACTACCAATTTGATTAATGGCGAGTATGAGACGATGGAGGACTTCAAAAAAGATATCGAGCTCGTTTTCAGCAACTGTCGTCAATTCAATCCGCCAGCAACTTTCCCCGTTGACTGCGCGAATGCTGTGGAAAAGGTGTTCAAGAAGGAGTGGCCTAAGGCTATGGAACGAAAATTGTCATGGAGTGATAAGCGGGGTTTGCAGGGCATTCTAACGACGCTGGTCAAGGAACCCATGTGGGTGATATCATTTTTGTTATCTAATATGCCTTTCTCACTGGTGTATAGCTCCTGGATATACCGAGAACCTGTCGACCCTGTGGCATTGGGAATTCCGACGTACCATGATGTTATACCTCGAAAGAATGCCCGAGATTTGAGGACCATTCGGCAGAAACTTGACATTGATAAATACGACACCGTGGAGGCAGTCGAGGCGGACCTTGAGCTGATGGTGCAGAACTCAATCACGTTCAATGGCGTTGATTCCGAAGTTGGCCCAATAGCTCTGAATATACGTCAACGCATCCAAGAGTTGTTTTCCCTCTGGAGGTCGGGTCCAACAAAGAAAAGGAAAGAGACTGAGCAGGGGACAGGCCAGCCACTAAAGAAGATCAAGACTGGTTGAATTTAGAAAGACCGAAAAGGACTGTGGCTGCATGTATCTTACACGATTCTTCTAATTGTTTTGTCATGGGTGTATGTTGTGGCTAGTGATTATATCGTGGGGAAATTGACTTGCCGAAATTGAACGAAATTTGTTGGCACTTGTGAGTTCACAAGTCAATGTCAGGCGTCCTTCTGAACTCCAGCCGCGCAAGGCTTGCAATCACCCCTCTCGCATCCGGAAGGGCCTACGCCGTCAAAGGAGAGCAAGCAGGAGACCCCAAGAAGGAGATTATCCGACGCGTTCTCTACCCCAGTAACATCAAAAATCGCCCAACACCCATTGGTACATGGCGGCCTGACATCGGACGCGCCATTCAACGTGCTATTCCCTCCGTCCAAGCGCATCAAACTATAGAGCGTGCATGGTTGCTCCACAAAAGGCATTTACGGAAGAAACGGGACGCTGAGGTAGCGAGAAAATTCAAATGCATGAAGGAGGCCATGGACGAGCTGTATAAGCTGGACCCTAAATTGTATTTGGAGGCCAATAGGTCGGAGGACCCCAGGGCTAGGAGTAAAGCGGAGATGGAGTTGATGAAGACCTTGAAGACGTCTGAGATGCGGACGTTGGCGGCTCGAATACGGGGATTGTTCCCTCGCGAACTACGCATCCCCACTGATACTCCTGCGCGAACTGGGTGGAATTATGAGTGGAAACCCTTCCCCCATCCTATCTAATATAATGGTCAGTCCAATGTCTGGCTTAGATGTGTGTTTTCGGCGTTGACGAGACCAGTCAGGTTGACTATTACAATACAGTGTCTTGAAAATGAAATCATGCTCATACAAAATCGACGAGAGAGCTATCAGAAAATAATGTTGGTCACGAAGACTAGATATTCCATCGCTCTTCTCGGACACCGAACCCTTCTGGACCTAGTACGGATGGATCTGACCTCCCGACTGTTGCAGTCTTGCCTACAACCGCAGAGTGCACCAACTCTAATGCTTCTGTCCATTTATTCAGAGCCGCATATCGCTTCTTCTCCAAGCTTTGCCTAAACATATTGATTAGTTTTCTCGTTATAAAACTGACGCTCTGAACATACTTGCGATCGAGCTCAAGCCTCATTCCCACTTGATCAATACGACCTTCCACCTTGCCTTCCAGAATGAGGCCAATGAGCAATTCTTCCACTTCCTCAGTTTCAATGTTCAATTGCTTCAACCGATGTCAATGCCGAACGCGGTAAAAACCGTTATTAGGCTTACTTTCCCTAGGAATGATAGCTCAAGACGGGTGTAGGGCTTGATTAAGTCTATCAGATACTGGGTGCGCAAGCTACGAAGGAGTTCCCCAATGTAGGCACGTATAAAGCCGTCGTCCATGATTGTGGAACGATTGTCTTGTCATAACTCAGGTGAAACGCACATTTGGAATGAAGAATATATCTTTACCTTGTAAGATTTTCTCAGCCGAGTGAACCTCACGACGTTGATACGCGTCGACCAAGTCTGTCATCGCTTTGATTTCAGGCTTCGTCTTGTATCTGAATGCAAGAGCGTCAGTGAACGAGAATAACGACATCGTCGAACAGAAAAGTACGGTTTGGTTTCTTGGCTGTCAAAGGGGTTGACTTCACTACCCGTCAGCATGTTCGCCAGAACAAGGTATTTCAAGACTTGAATTCGCTGTGGTGACCCAGCTTCGTCGTAATTCCTGAATGATTCGAAGAAATCTTCACTAGCTCGATTCCACTGACCTGGAAAGCGGAAGTTCATGAGATTGAATGGAAAAATCACAAAAACATCAAGGTCTCACGCTCCCCCATCCACATTTTACCCCCACACTCTTTTATCACACCCATGATTCTGGGATGGGGAATAGCAGAACGAACAGCGTTACTGGCGTTGTAAATTTCCTGCAGAAAAGGAGGGTTAAGGATACAAGAAGTGCAGCTAGAACACACAAAACCTTGAGTTTCTTGAAGTTGCGAGTCTCATTGTACATTTGAATTTCAAGCGCGTATATTTCTAATAGCTGAGTGCCACGCTGTGATTGATCATCTGTATCGCTCGTAGCGGCAGTGGCAGAATGAAGATCACGGATGAGCTAAGACGAAGCTAACTTTACAATACGTTGGCGTTGAAATGATGTGAGCACTAACCTTTGACAAGCGTCCGTACTCCTTGCGATCCAACCATAACTTTGCTAGTTTCAGATTTGTCTTCACCGAGAGACGCTATGCAGGCAATCAGCAAAAGTAGTCCACATGATCTGCAAGCCTACTTACCTCATTCTTTGCCTCCTCCAAAGCTTTCTTGGTTACTTGGTAGAATTTCTCCAGTACATCAACCTCGACAGCTCCGCCCTTTCCACCACCAACGTAATCCAAGATACCATTGATGGTTTTTTCGGAGTAGTTACGCGTGACCGCAGACTTTGTGTAAGTCAGAAGTTCGGTATATGTTTTCAGAGCATCGTTTGGTCTGCGCAACCCAAGAAACAGCAACTTTGTTGACTGCTTAAGTGCTTTAAAGCCCCTAACAAATTTGACGTTCAGGAGGCAAGATAGTAATATGAGCAACCACACACCAATCACCCTTCTCTGCCTCCTGGTCGATGATAGCCCGGAATTCCTTCAAGGCTTCTTCTGGTTGTTCTTCCTTCTTAGCTGGCCGCACAGCTAGATAAATATGGAGGTACAAATGGATGGATGTGGACAAACATTTCGCTTTGTAATACATATTCTCAACATCCACACTGCCTGATTCATTCGCGTCTTCGTTATCAGAATAATCGAAGTTATAGTCCTGGATATGAGTGTAAGACAAAGCGTGCGATAGATTGAACACCGTTGATGTACCTCATCCTCGCTACCTTGCATGTAGTCGGCATCATCTTCATCCATGTTGAATTGTGAACCTGATGATTTAGCTGAGGATGATGAAGTTAATGAGAGAGATGTGGAACGCACGTGGTACGCGGTACGCGTCTCAGCCCAACAGGTACAAGCAACCATATTGGAGGAAGTCACGAAGCGACTCCAACTTGGCAAGGCAATGTCACAAAAAATAGGCCTCTTCCTGCGCCTCTACACGTAATGGATCCGCAGAACGAGCCGAATGTTTTCTCGCCCGTCCCAGGCTCACTCAGCGGCCAATCTTCACGATCCAGGAGCAGCACAAAGTTGAACGATGATGTAACCAGCCTAACCTCCTTCAATCCTTTCTCCGAGGAGGACGAACATGATCAGTCTTCCTATAATCTCGTTTCTTCTATCTTCTCTAGGATGAAGAACACTATATCCGCTCCCTTATCGTCCGCAGTGGCGGCAGCATCCACTACCAGCGTCAACCCCACTAACAATCCGGCACCGGCGGGTATTTCAGAACTAAGGCGGCCTTCGTACACCACTATGCAAACCAGTACATCTAGCTTCTCTTCGAGGACGACAGCCTCTGATAGGCCCAATTCATTGATTGCCGTCCCTGGTCAGGCTGCCCCGCCTCTTGTTTCCTTGACCCCAGCCCAATCAGAGCTGCCTACTTATGCCATGGACTACGACCAATCACCTTCTCGCAAAGGTACCTTTTTCTTTCCAGGAATGGAACAGGGAGATAGTGGTACGTCAATCCCTGGTTTTCCTATCCAGGACGATGCTCGTAGTATCAAGACCACAGCAAGTCTTCAGCGGTCTGGGTCTGTGTCGAAGGTTATGAGAAGGATAAGGGGAGAGGGTGAGGGTCTCACGTAGTAAGCTCCCAGTCGTTAACTTGATGGATTTCTGTCAGGCCTTTCACGAGACTATTGGATGGACGATGAGAATTGTAAAGAGTGCTATGACTGTAAAAGTGTATTCACAACTTGGAGACGCAAACATCACTGCCGCATTTGTGGTGAGTACTTTAATCTGCATTGAAGATGCCCGCCCTCTCAGCGTTTTCCAGGTCAAATATTTTGCTCTCGATGCGCTTCTAACATAATCAAGGGTTCACGCTTCGGTCACGATGGCATGATTCGCGTTTGTAACCTTTGTTTGGACAAACTAGCCAAAGTTGACGAGGATGACGAAGATGATCGACGTTCGGTTGTGTCCTCGGTCACCTCATTTCCCGCTCATCAGTTCGGGGGTGATAACCACAATCATTCCAATGTCGGCCTTCATCCACAATCTCCGTTCGCTGCGTCACAACTTTTTGGTCGCACCGACGAACCATTTAATCTCTACTCGATTGCGGAGACCAAGAGACCTATGTACACATATGGCTCTGACTGGAGTGGGTCACGCCCTGGCACTCCTAACATGATAGAAGGCGATGATGGTCGATGGGAGGCCGTCTCAGAAAATCCGGCACCCTTTCGTCGCGCTCTTTCTGAAGAGGACAAGGAAAGTGGCCCGCTGTCAGGTTCATTCAATCAGGAAGACTCGCCAGCAGCCCCAGGCCGGGAGACGCCCACTGATCCCCCTGCCACAAAGCCAATAATTATAGAGGGGTCAATGAGCTCCGTGCAATTTCCTCTTGGGTCTCCCGAACATCTGGATAGTCCTCGACCTCACAGTAAAACCAGACCTTCCGCTAATTCCTACGGCGATTATGAGGTTGCGACTCCTTTCATTCGAAGTCGAGTGCAGAGTAGACTGGATAGTATCGTCAATGGAGAACCCGGCTGGAGGACACGACGTGAAAGCACCGCGTAAGAATCTCAGGAATCTCCATTAGAATTGATTTTTAACTTCATCATTTCGCAGTTACGCTCAGGAACTTAATCTGGCATCCATGATTCATCTCAATGTCATGTTGCGTCAAATGTTGACAATTGAACAAATTCCCAATATTGAGGAATGGGGAGAAACTCTACTTAGGTTGGCCCTTCGCATCGCCCGAGAAATGACTTTTACAGCGCTGCCCCATCGGCAAGGACAAGATATGGACGTTCGTCGATATGTGAAGATTAAGAAAATCCCGGGTGGTCTGCCGAGAGATTCGGAGTATGTTAATGGGGCTGTTATCACGAAGAACGTGGCGCACAAGCAGATGTCAAGACTCCAACTCAATCCTCGTGTTATGCTTGTCACATTTCCCCTGGAATTCTATCGTGTCGAGGGGCAGTATATGCACTTTAATCAAATTGTGCGTCAGGAAAAGGAATATCTGGGAAATCTGGCAAGCCGCATCGCAGCTTTGCGTCCTCACATCGTACTGGTGGAGAAATCCGTGTCTAGGCTTGCATTGGATGCTCTCGCAAAACATAACATCGCCGTTGCGCGGACAGTCAAGCCATCCGCAGTTCAAACGATTGCGCGTATGACCCAGGGTGATGTCTTTTCCTCGATGGATAAGCTGGCCTTGGAGCCTCGACTGGGTCACTGCACCCGCTTCTGCATTCAAACATATGATCATCCTTTGATCCCTGGGCGTCGAAAGACCTATATGCGTTTTGAAGGCTGCAATCGCGACATGGGATGCACAATAATTTTACGTGGTGGTGACATTGAAACGCTTCGGCGGATAAAGAAAGTCACTCGGTTTCTAACATTCATCGTACGGAATTTGAAGTTAGAGACGCATCTCTGGAAAGACTCGGTCATCAGTCTTCCATTATTCAATGCGGACGCCATTCCTTCATCGACCAACATCCGTCGTCACCTCAGTGTTTCTCTGAGCTCGATGCTAATGCCCCCGCCCTCACTCGCGTCTCGTATGAAGCCCTTAACTAATGTATCAGAATCCAATGACTCTGCTCGACTAACTGCAGTGGACAGTGAAGAAAACCTTGAGGTGGATCTTCCAGATGAGGATGCCGATCAACTGAGGCTTACTCGAAGGATTGATCAATCTCTTGAGCCATACACGAAGACTTTTATTTCTGTTTCTGCGACATTGCGCTTTCCTGCACCATATCCGATACGACGAATGAAAGAACTCGATAACGAACTAATTGCTGCAAAACGTGCTTGGGAAGATGACGTGATACGCAAAGAAGAGCGATTGCAGTCCGAACATAAGCACGAAGCTGCTCAACAAGAAACGTTCCCTTCAATCGCTGTTCAAGCTGAAGATGATGAAGATCGAGAGGACATCAATGCACAAATTGAGGCGCTACCCTCCTTGAACCTGCCCACCACCCCGCTTACTGGAGACACAGGCGTAACAGATGAAACATCTTATTTCTCCCCTCCAGCGAATCTTTCTGGGTTCAAAGGTTTATTGCATGGTTCAAGTGTCGCTCACGAAGAGCCTGCGCCTTGCAAAACATCGAGTGATATCTATCCTGAGAGCAGATACAGCCTGCTGAAGTGGCAACATGAGGAACATCGCCGCATATGGGAGTGGTATCTTCGAAGGAACCGCGATGACTTTGTTGTGGAAAAGTACCAATGCATCAGCCTCTGGGAATATATAATCCCTGCGGACGAGGATGGCCCTCATCGCGCATGCTTTCCCCCGCGACTGAATTATATCAAATTCTACGGGGAGAATGATATGACTCTTGGTCAGTTCATCGAAAAGTCCGTCAACGACACTCTCGTTCAGTTCTGGGATCCAAAGGCGTTCTGCGACGGCAAAGGATGCGATCAACCCCTAGCTCGCCACCGCAAAGTGTACGTTCACAACGAAACTCAGCTTTTCGTGGCTGTTGAACAATGGGACGGGCAGATAAAGGCAAAGTCAGCATATCATCCTGCTCCGGATCTGATCACGACTTGGAGTGCTTGTCGTGTTTGTGGCTCAGCCACGCCGTTCATTCCAGTTTCGGAAGAGATGCAACGATATTCATTCGCGAAATTCTTGGAGTTGCATTTTTACCCAGCAGACGTAAAGCTCGTTCAAGGAGCAGGCTGCCAACATAACATCTACCAGCACCATATCCGCTATTTCGCTGCTAAAGGCATGACGGTTCGCTTCCAAGCCGATCCCGTAGTCTTGCATGAGATAGTTTACCCTCCTTTCCGCATACGAGTCCGCCCAGAAACCCAGTTAGACATCAAGAATAATGACTTTGATCGTCTGCATCAGCGCAATTTGATGTGGTACACAGGCCTCATTGACGATTTGAAGTTAATCAGCATAGATGCGGCGACTGGAGATGAGGAAGCTGATGCTCGTTTGCTCGCCGACATCAATATCCTGATCACACGAGCAGAGACAGAAAGGGAGGATATTACTAGGCTTATAAACACAATTTACAGAGAGTCGCTTCCTACAGATACCCTTGCTCTCAATCAAGTCCACGCTTATCGACAAGACAAGATCGTTGCGTGGCAGCAAGATTTTGACCGATTGCCAAAGCCCCGTGCCATTGATCGAAACAGTAAGCGGGCGTCAGCGTTCAATTCCGTTCGCGCAATTTGGCCAAGAAGATATGACCTTGCTGGCGCCTTCGATTATCCCCATCTTCCATCTTCGAGCGTATCTGAGGCCGAAGAAGAGTCCACCAAAACGAAGAGGGTGGTTGGTGATCCCTTCATTTCTTCAGCTTCTTCAGCCTCTGAGTCAGAAACAAACGAACCCGCCACGGAATCTGTTCCTTCTACTTCCCAGTTAGCTCCCTCTGCTGATCTACAGGACAACACGCAGGAATCAGATCCTGACAGTGACTCCACGATTGGAGCAATTCGAGAAGAGCCGTTGTTGTCAGAAGCCCCAGAAATTCCAGTATGGATCCTTGATGTTGATGTTATTTTGGTGCTGATATCTAGTTGAGGGTAACCAATCCGACCAAGTGGACGTTGACAAGGACGGGTCTCCAATTTCTCGAGTCTCGCGGTTGCCACGGCGATCTACTCAAAACCCATCTGTGGCAGAATTGGTGAAAAAGTACCAGGATTTTTTACCTCCACAAGGCGTCCATGATCTTGCAAAAACTGCCCTCGCACAACGTTCCGCCATGTCCGAGAGTGAACAAGAATATTCAGCACCAGTTCAGCGCCGAACGAATACCATACGCACCAAGAGTCGGCATCAATTGCCTACCAAGAAGGCATCAACCTCCGACTTTGAGCAGGGTTATGCAGCAAACATAGCGCCAAGATATCTTACACACTCTCGGAGAGCGCAAACAGCCCAGAACGGTAGTCGTATTCCTGGCCCTGTAGGGTCTGCTTTCGAATCCCGCGAATCATCTCGACGAGGATCTCCTGAAAAACGCCCAACTAATGGCAAACGCGCTGAAGTCAGGTTTAGTCGGCCAACATCTCCATCCAGGTCGAAGGCGCAAACTCCACTTGGAAAGCCCAGTAAAGCTCGCGTTCCTAGCCGTCTAAAGGATAAGCTTCCCACAAGGCCCCCTTCATCCATTGCCAGCAAGTCAACTCTGCGCCGACCACCAAGTGGGCCTGGGACAAAAGTGTCAAATATTGCGAAGCACTTTGAACGTCTCGGTCGAGACGCGGAGCGCACAAAAAGCCGGTATGCTGTAATTCGAGGAAAGCGTGCTCGACCCGTGGCCTCTGCTCGAGCAAAGGTTGAGGTGTTTGACAGCGTCAAGGACGCCATCAAGGACGAATCTGAGAGCTCAGACTCCTTAAGTGACGCTGACGACGAAGGTGACGGAAATGAGGAAGCAAGATCGCCTGAACCGCTTACCTTGCAGTCATCACCTGACTCCAATCCCGCCTCTCCCGAAATAAAGACGGCACCGCCCTTGGTATCGTCTCCTTCGAATGACGCTGAGCCTACTACCGGAACGGATGCCGCAACGAAACTACAGCCACCTCCTGACCCAGTTTCATTACCACCTTCTCCATTTCTTTCCTCTGGAAAGCCAAAGCAGGAGGTGGCGTTGACTCCTCCAACGTCGGATATAGAACTTGGTCCAGAAAGGAGTTCAATCTTAAAGGCATTGTCTGGCTTGTGGCTTCAACCGATTCGTAATTCTTTGGAGGCTGACGATCCCATGAGCGACCCAGAACACATTTTCCGGGATTCGTCGATGGTTGTACGAATTGATGAGCCAACGTCGATCATTGCTCTGGCGCTGAAGTGAGTTGTACGTCACCTTTACTGAACCAGGCGCTAATTTATGGACGTTTCAGTTCCCCTCAATACCGGGAAATGCTTGCCAAATCCCGTGCCGAAAAGAGGACGGCTAGAGAGGCAAAACTCACAGAAGGTGGCGAAGCTTTTATGCCTGATGATCATTCCGTCGCAGAATCCACTTCAACGTGGGGTGTTGTCAATGTTGATCCCTCTGAATTTCCCGATCCAACGGAGGACCTGAAAGTGGCATCGTCAAAACTCCCTTGGGCCATTTGTACGTGTACTCTGTGTGATTTATCTTCCTCGCCTACTTACCTATTTCTTGGGCAGCATTTGAGAGTGGTGGGCTAACTATCAGCTGCACAGTCCTTTACCCCGAGCAGTTCGATGCTCTCAGGAGAACTTACGACTGCGAAAAAAGCATTGTCGAATCCCTGTCGAGATGCGTTCAATGGAACGCGAGTGGCGGCAAATCAGGATCCGCGTTTTTGAAAACTCGAGGTATGTGTGTGTACGAGTTGCCGTTTTGACAGGTGTTGATGAGGTGTAAGATGATCGTTTCATTGCCAAAGAGCTTTCAAAACCTGAGCTGCAAACCATGGAAACTTTTGCGCCAGCTTACTTTGACTATATGTCATCGGCAGTTTCAGCCAATGTAAGGAACACATAAATCTCATAATTTGGTTTTTCAACAAGATACTTTATAGCGGCCCACTCTACTCGCCAAAGTTTTTGGATGCTACAAGCTGACATTCAGAAAAACGGGGAAAGACAAAGGTCCTGGGAAGTCCAAGTCTACTCAAATGAACCTGCTTGTCATGGAAAACCTCTTCTATGACAGACGTTTCACAAAGGTTTAGCCTTACGCTCTCTCCCAAAAACAAAGGTTCTGACTGGTTGTTTTTAGATCTACGATTTGAAGGGTTCTACGCGAAACCGTCACGTTCAATCAACAGGCAGGGAGAATGAAGTTCTCTTGGACGAGAATCTAGTTGAAAGTAAGTCATCACTTACTGATAACTTCTCCGCTTAATGGCAGTCATTTTTCTTTATCAGCGGCTCACCTGAATCCTTTCTATCTTCGTGAACACTCTAAGCGAATTCTTCGAGGCGCTCTGTATAACGACAGCCAGTTCCTGTCAGACATAAATGTCATGGATTACTCGCTAATCTGTGGGGTATGTATTTTCAACGTTTGTTTGCATTGCTGTTAATGGTGGTCACAGGTTGATAGCCAGAATAACGAACTGGTTATTGGCATTGTTGGTGTGTATAATGAAGCGTTACAAGTTCCTGTCTGATCCATTTCTAGATTACATCCGCACATACACCTGGGACAAGAAGTTGGAGAGTTGGGTGAAAGAGTCAGCCTTTCTTGGAGGGGCAGCGCGAGGAGAGCCAACGATTGTGACTCCCAAACAATACCGGCAACGATTTGTGAGCGCTATGGAGCGCTATTTCCCTTTGGTCAGTCAGTTTGGCAAGGTGTTGATGTTTCAATACTGATGTTTCAATTTAGATTCCTGACCGATGGATGAAGCTGCCAGACACACCAGAAGAAGATGGGAACGTTCTCTCAGAGCTGAGGCCGGCCTGGTAGTTGTGGATACCCGTATTCTTACTTCATGATTATAATTTTCATACCACTTGTATTTTACATAAAACTTTGAGCTAGTATTCGCGGAGTCAGGAATATTGACGGAAGTCCCCGAAGTGTGAACCAAACTTGTTTGATCTTAGTAGTACTTACTGACGCAGCATCATAATGCTCAGCCTACTCTCCCGTCAATGCAAGCATTCTCCAAAGGTATTTTTCTCTCCTTCAAATCATTTCTTTTCTCACTATTTAAACAGAATGCACTCGCTCAACTAAGACTATTCACCACTAGTCAAATTCTACTCGCCCGTCGTCATCAACAGCCAAAAATCCGCGTGCCCTCCAAGAAAGCCCTCGCGGCCAAAGCAAGGAGAAGGGCTGGTATAGCTGCCAAGGCAGATGATCGAACCCAGAAGTTGACTCTCTTAGAAGCCATAGCGGTGCTTCGCGTAAGTGCTCTGCCAACATTGCTCGAACAACTCCAGCTTTACCACCTTGCCAGGCCGTTGAAGTTGCATCACCGAATTCGATCTATGAGCTTCTCGTCAAGACTGAGATTAAAAATGGCGTTGCTGTACCGAAAGGACGTGTCAATCTTCCAAGAGAAGCTAAACCCAGTGCTGAGGAAAAGATTCTCGTATTTGCGGAGGGGAGACAAGCGGAAGAGGCAAAAAAGGCGGGTGCGCATATTGTGGGTGGCCCAGAGCTTATTGATGGAGTGTGTATCTTCTGTTCATCACATTCATATTTGTTCGACTGAGCATTCGACAGATTCTCAGCAATCGTGTCCGCGCGACCACTATTCTCTGCACAACATCGCTCATTCGAACCATTACACCCAAGCTAGGACGATTCTTGGGTCCTCTGGGTTTGATGCCGTCCGAACGTAGAGGAACTGTCACAGACGATATTGCTGGTTATATTCAAAGAATACACGGTACAAGCGAGTGGAGAGCGGACAGGGCAGGCAGCATTCGTGCTCCTATCGCCACAGTATGTTTTCCGCGTACCAGCATTGAGAAGCATACGCTAACGGTTATACAGATGCAATTTCCTATCGAGGATGTTGTGAAGAACGTCCGCCATTTTCTCACTTCTGTGAGGCGAGTGACAGGCAATTCCAGAGATGCGGACAATGAACGCAGGGGTAAGGCGAGTGGTGCTCCCGGTATGCGCTTTCCCCTGTGTACTCCGTTGTCTTCCTAATTCCATGAGTAGTGACTAAGATTAGCAAGGTTATGCTTAGCTCTCGACAGGGGCCAGGAATTCGAATATCTGACTTCTGAACTAATTATATACATGGAATAATTTACCATCGAGGTTGAGTTGGGAGGCAAGAATAATATGGCATACAGTTACTCCGAATCCTCCCGCCACGTCGATTGTTCTTCTCGAACGCGAGAGTATCCCTGCCTCGATTTCTTACGCTGTTCTCTGATTGTTTCGGACAATCCATCGTAAGTTGGGCGGTCTCGAGATTTGAAAGAATTTTTCCGTTTGCCAATGTCACTACCTTTGCGAGAGTTTAACAAGCGTTCTTGAGGTGGATTTTTCGGTGGGTGGGGGAAGATATCACCCCAGGTAGACTTGCGAGCATCATAGTAAGCTTGCTTTCCCTGAGATTTCGGAATCGTCATGCGCATAATTTTCCCTATGTGGTAATTGAGATCCTAATGCCACTCGAATGACGCCAGAACTCACCTTCAGCGGTGCAGCTGTCGAGTATAATATGCCCACTTTTTTTCATCGGTGGGAACACAAGACGTGGCCACTGGTAGGCTTCATGTCGCAAGGTCGCCTCAAGGTCCGCAGGTGGTTGTTGGTCCCCTTGTTTTTCTTCGAAGCCAATCCTACGGTCGTCGTTTGCGATCAATTCTAAAGGGGATTGCGCAGCGTCTTCCGGTGTGTTGGGCTCCTCTTCATGAAGGAGTAGCTCCGTTGGCGTCATTTCCGCCTTCTCTGCAGCTCGCCTTCCCACGTCACCTACCCTTCCGACACTTGTCGTTGCAGATATTGGCCTAGGCCCTCGCTTAATTACGACGTACGAATATTCAATATCCTCGTGTCCAACACCAGAGTGTTTCGTAAGGCGCAAAAACGAGGGCCGTTGGATTCGCTGAGTGAAGCCGCAGGTAAGACGAACGCGTCCAGGGCCAAGTAGGGGGCAGGTGCGATCATGAGGGCACTGCAAAACGAAGTCCCAAATGAACATAACAGGGTGTCAACGATGTTGTGGACGCTTACAGGAGCCACGACATGCGCCCCTCTGACGGGCCAAGCCTCGGCTTCTGGGTCTTCAAACTCTTTCCTACCCATGCTGAGGAGTAATTCTCTAGCTTCTGCAATCGCACCAAAGCCTGCTGGTGTGTTGTGGTCGATAAGAACCTAAAAGGGGAAAAAGAAACAAATTTAAGAAATGCTGTCAATATTAGACATGAACAAACTATGGTATGCGCTCCACTTTCCCACATCTCCATCACGATAGCCTTTCGCGCCAGTGGTGTGGGCTGAGAAGTCAACATGAATGCTGACAGGGCTAAAGTTTTCTGACCCTCCGAACGTGGAACTTTATCGTCATTTTTGAACGACTTCTGCCATTGCACAACTCGATCTCCCATTTCCGCAACATCTAGATAGAGCTTTCGGTTAGAAAACACGAGGAACCATTGACAATGGCTTACTTTTATGAAGTCGTCTACCAATCGAAACGAGTCCCTCACGCTTATCAATTCCAAGATACGTTTCAAGTGTTGAGTTTGCAGCCTCCATATGTTGCATGTCCTCTGCAGGAGAGTGCTTTTGAAACGAGTATAATGCTGCCCTGTGCGAACGTCTTAGCTAAGGAACTGCAATGTTTCGTAAATGCTCTCACCATAAGCCGCTCCCTGTTGCAGCTCCCCAGTCGATCACCCTATCAATTCCCCAACCAGGTTCCATCCTTCGCTTCAGGTGGTCAAAGACAGAAAAGATAGCTGAATAGTGTGCGGGGAGAGCAACAGAAGCAAAAGCAGTCCCATCGCGTTCTGCATGTCTTGCGGCTTGCAACCTTGATCGGTATTTTGTGTCATATTGTGTTTCCCATACGTCTTGTTCCGCGGAGTCGTTGTCAGTAAACAATCGTTTTGCGTCACTGTGTAGCTGAGTCTTGTCCGAATCTACATCAGCGTCAAAGGTGGTCAGTGTCAAATAATGGAGTGGACTCTTACTGGCAATGATGAGGTCTATTGCTGACTGAAGTTGCAGCGGAAGAACAACAGCACCAATCCGTTGGCTGCCAAAAAGTGCTGCGGGAGACTTTCGCTCGCGCTTTTCCTCTTCAAAGTCTTCAAAAGAAGCAGATATCTCTTGACCGGTTTCCTCCAAAGGGATGGTTTCTAGTTCCCGTGGTTGCTGATACCGAACTTTGTGGTTGACAAGTGACAGATCGACATCCTTCAGCAAGGACCTCATTGAGGGATCCAGCTCAATAGGAGGATTGGGTTGGGGGCTTGACGTCGACGGCGACGAGGTGAACGCACGGGCGGCATTGTGGCAGCATTGTAGAGAATGTCGACTGGCTAGAAACGGCCTCGCGAACATTCAGAGAAACGAATTTTATTAAGTAAGCGCCGAACTTTTCAACACAACCCGCACAAGATGGTCGATCAAACCCTCAAGCGAGACGGAGCTGAACACCTACAAGGTAATGCAGTAAGACCGACAAAGAAGCAAAGAATATCTGGAGATGCTTCCGAGAACGACACCGAGATGCCAGCCGACTCCGAGGAAGAGGAGGAAGACATGCCAATCGAGAGGGCTGAAGAGTCGCGCGCGTCCGATCTATACCTTGACACGGCAAGTTTGATTTAATGCGAATCCCCGTTCTACGTTATTCATAGTTTCTTGTATTTAGATTAACAGAGCAATCCTTGACTTTGACTTTGAGAAAGTCTGTTCGGTCTCTCTATCAAACATCAATATATATGGGTGTCTCGTTTGTGGCAAATACTTCCAAGGAAGAGGCCGCAAATCCTATGCATACGCCCACTCTATTCACGACGACCACCATGTCTTCATAAATCTCGAAACCACCAAGGTATGACAACCCATGGCGCGATCTTTGAGCCCTGACGTTTTCTTCAGGTCTACGTATTACCAGACGGTTATCTGGTATCCGACCCTTCTCTGGAAGACATATCTTACGTTCTTGCGCCGTCCTTTACACCAAGCTCAATAGCCCACCTTTCTTCAAATACCCATATCTTGAAACCTTCATATGATCTCACGAACAAACCTTACCTGCCTGGTTATGTGGGTCTCAACAACATCAAGCGCAATGACCACATGAACGTTATCATACATTCCCTTCTTCATATACCTCCTCTCAGAGACAGTCTCTTGCTGTCTCGATATCGAGGAAAGGAATCCGAGCTTCTGAAGCGCTTTGCCGGACTTGCGAAAAAGGTCTGGAACCCGCGCCTATTCAAAAGCCAAGTCAGCCCGCATGAGTTTCTTCAGGAGGTGAACCGGGCGAGCGGTGGGAAATTCCGTCTTGAGCAACAGGGTGACCCGGCCGAATTTTTGGGCTGGCTGCTAAACCGCCTACACAAAGATCTGGGTGGTACTAAAAAGAAGTGTTCTAGTCGGTCGCTTCAGCCTCCTCCCGTTTACCCTACTAATTTCTATGTAGGTACCATTTTTTCAACCTTCCAAGGAGAACTTCGCCTAGAAACACAGCAAGTTCTTGTTCGACCTGATGTCGGAGAAAATGACAAGCCCCGCTTTGATATAGACCGAGGTATATACCCGATAAATATTTGGAAAATATTTTGCCTGATACACGGACCGTGTCTAGATATTAAGACTTCTGTGTCTCCATTCTTGTTCCTAGCGGTGGATCTCCCACCGCCGCCACTATTTCAGGACGCGATCGAGAAGAACATCATCCCGCAAGTTGGTATACATTCCGTGTTGTCCAAATATGATGGCCGAACCACTCAGGTGTGTACATCGTGTGGGGAATTGCATTGTTGTTTATATGTTTATCCCGCGCTAGGAATCAGCTGGGCATCTTCGGCGCTACAAATGCCAACGCTTGCCTCCTTACATCATTCTCCATTATAAACGGTTCACCAAGAATGCTTTCGTGGAAGAGAAGAATCCGACGATTGTCAACTTTCCTTTACGCGGCGTAGACTTCAGAGAATGTACGTGACGTCTAGATAGAACGAAGGGTGCCTGACTTTAAAGCAGATGTCGATGCACCGTCAACCAACGAGACAACTTTGTACGATTTGATCGCGAACGTTACCCACGAGTCAGTTGCCGGTACAACTCGAGACAAGGAAAATACGGTCTGGAAAGCCCATCTTCGAGCAGCAGGCGGTGGTGGGGACAACGAAAAGTGGTTCATGATACAGGACTTGATTGTCGAGGAGACGAGGAAGGAAATGATATTCCTTGGGGAAACAGTCTTACAGGTAATCACCACCGTTGATCTCGGTCCAACGAAACTCATCTTTTATTAGATATGGGAACGCCGAACGACTATTAGTAGTAACGGACAGATGGCATAAAGCCGTGCATCGCCATTTTTATGTTCGCGCTCGTTCAGACAGTCGCAAAACAAGTAACTGTGCGTCACATATGAGCTACCACCGATGAGATCCTGTTATCATTCGCGGCCCTTCTCAGGTACTTGGTTGTTTTGGGGTTGCTTTGCAGGTGCGGCAGTCAACTGTTCCGGAGCATTAAATCTACATGATTGCAATGAACCATTGGTCATAGTGACATGAGTGATATTCCGCTTACGGGCTAGCAACTTGTTCGTTCAGAAAGATAGGTTTGAAGATGTACACTCCCGACACAACGCCTGTATCCACCCACGCTATCAAGCTTCCTGACGTTTGGATTTTTTCTAGAAATGCTTACCCGTCACCGTCGCGACCACATATGGCAATGCTCTACGAAGCATTTTTCAGCGTTGGTGGAACCTCTTTTATATGTGACGAATTGGACACGTCACGCGTCACGGATGTTTAACTTTCTTTTTGAGTCCGATAGAAACTCCGCACATCGATCACGTGGACTCTGAAGGCACTGGCAGCAGACGACGCGATTAACGTCGAACGAGTTGCTTTGGAACAAGAAATGTGGTACAGGAAAAAATATGTATTAAAGTGTAGATACGATGTCACTTTCGAAGGGCCTTGAAGAATCATTACCGATGGCTGACAAGCCGTGCAGAGGAAATCTCACCTGCAAAGCCTCTTTCGCAGCTGCTTGTTTCGCTTGAGCCTTTTGAGCAGCGACTCCCGTGCCTTTAATTTCCCCGCCGACTTGATGAACGTGATAAGCCAATGCTATAGCGAGCTGACAAGGGAAGGAGCTTACTCTTGCAGTGAACGGTCCAGATGACTTCATGGGATGGACCAGACGACTCTTCCATCCACGTCAATAAATCAAGTTGCTGTTTATCTTGTAGGTCTAAAAATCAATAGGCATTAGGAGCGCGAGGAACTCGTAATTTTTTTGCTTGCAATTATTAAGAGCCGTGATGTACACTTGTAGAGGGGAAAAGATCAGGAATAAAATCGGCATGGTACTAACAGAACTCACTCGTTGTCGAACGCACTGAAGGTGTCAATAAGTAAAAGAAACTTCCAGGTAAATTTAATCTGACCGCCCTTTTAAAATCATGGCGGCCGTCTGAGACTCGACCAAACACTTTTGTTTTTCGAGTTATCCGCGTACTTCACGGCATCGAAGAAATAGTTCGGTCAGGATTATCTTTTGTTCTCTGCCCACTCTTCCGCATCATACGGAGACCGATATCGACGAGTAGAGATCTGTGCAGCCAGGTTAGGGTGTAGCACAAAAGCAGCACAACAAAAAATCAAACGCCGCCGCTTCGCGAACGAAGAATCCCGTAAAACGTAGCCTACAAATCGAGGATTCAGCTCCCGTTCGACAGTCAATAGAAAGTACCGATAACGAAGGGTAGGGATTATTGGCCGCTTTAAGATATCATTGTGATTGATCGATCTAGGTGAACTGAGTTGCGTTCAGGATGCCTTTGTTTGGTACGTGGTTTTCACCGTCTGTACCGGAGAATAGTCATGATTAGATTGTGGTTAAGGCGTCAAGGATATGTGTACCAAGTTTGAGAATCGCTACCACCCACGGTGTGGAGGGTGCGGAGTGAGAATGAAACTTCAGTATTTTGAGGTGAAAGGTTCTCCAGTGAAGTCGTTCAAATGACTCAAAGCCCAATGTCGCGTTACCGAAATTGCAAGATTGTTGAAGAGTAGTAGACCTGTGACATCCTGATTGCATCTGAAAAACAGCATTAAACGATATCCAGTGAGCAGATTGAGAGCGGTCCGAAACCCGAAATTTCTGGTCAAGCAACGCCTGTCAAGGCTAGAGCACAGGGAAGGGAATTTAAAAGACTTTCTCGAATGCACTGACAGGCGTCAGCCGTTTCCTTCCTAAAATGTTGTGTCAGTGGGAAAAAAATTGAACAGAGCGCGTAGAATAAGTTATGATTGCAATCGATAAATAGCGGAAAACAAATCATAAGCGCAGAAAGTTCGACCTATATCCTCATGACGGCTGTTCTGAAGTCAGAGTCTCCCAAGCCTTGTTGGCAGCAATGTCCTTCGCTATATGTTTGTGTGTACCGGTGCCAGTACCGCGTGCCTCGCCATCAACTGTGTCTCATCAGCCATCGTGTTGCACACAGAAAGTTATAGAGAAAGATATTACTTTTACAAACACAAGTCCAGACTGGGGCGTGTTTCGGACCCGACAACGACTCCTGCCAGCTAACGGAAGATGATTTGCCCACACTTTGAAGGTCTGTAGGATCACAAGTTAGAAGAGCAGACGACGACGAGCAGAGGTGGTTGCACAAGTGTTTAGCCTTGAAGTTCCTGCTTCTGGTAAAAAATGTCAGCAAACTCGATGCCAGCTTTGGGTCGAAGTCAGCTCACCGCTCGACATTGTTCAGAACGTTAGCCATCCTTCAAAATTCTGAGGCCTTTAAATACCGGATGCTACAGGTACTACGGCTGAAACCATCGGGTCGCTGCGCTGGCGCCCTCTGATTTCATGGAAGAAGATGAAATCGCCGTTCATTAAACAGCCAAAATTACGGTGAGAAGACCTTATTTTCGGCCAGTACTCATAGAAGAATGACGCGCCGCAGGGGGGGATTTCGCTCGCCTTGATGTCGAGAGCACCACTCCAAGTGAAATAGTCTTGCTGCGCAAGTCGATCAACAGTCAAAAACGGGAGACGTAAATCCACAAGAGAGAACAATGTTTAGCATAGACAGCTGCGGCGTTGCTGGATGAAGGGCCTGAACTAGCAGATCTGATGGTCGGGGAGAATTTTGACCATGAGGGTTCCACGACGTCTACAGTCCTCCACGGCGAAGCCTTGCCTTGAGCGTCTTGCTTGGTTCATTAAGTATCTCGCAAATTTCCAAAGGGCCTTTAGGGTTGAAATGGCACATCTTGGGGGCCCATGTTGATGCAGATGTTTAGCTATTGATCGCGATTCCGTCTGTGTGTGTGTGTTTACTAGAGAAGCCATCAGAGCAAGATGGAGATTATGGAAAGTTTGAGCTGATATCTTTTCCCGGTCTCCTCAACAGGCTCACGTTTCACGCACGTATGTATTGCATTCGGTCTTCTACAAATTTACGTACACGAAATCAGTGCTGGGGCTGGCTTACTATGAATGAATGTAGAGTTAGCCGTGCATGTAACGCTCCCGATTGCTCACTGAAAGTAGCCATAGTTCAGGACTCAGAAGCGTAGAAAGGGACGTGAGTTTCAAGGGTCACGTAGATGCGGTTAGCTGCTGGCATGGTTTGGACATGATGAGGATACTCATTTAAGTGAAGTTGAACAAGGAGCGACAGGTTGCTTGTTCGTTTATGATGTGAGCACTACGAATAGCTTTGAGACGAAGCTAGGCGCCAAAGCGGTGGTTCAAGGTCCTGTGCTTGCGCTGCCGTAGTGTTGCGGAGATTAAAAGACACCCATAAGCAGTGGGGGACCCAATTTGTTACTGGACTAGATAAAAGTTGATCTCTTTTCGCGAAGCACATCCGCGTAGGCTATTCAGTGGTGCAAAACCAGAATCGGTCTAAATGAAGCACAGACTCCGAAAGTTGTAAGTGATCGTGGTTGACCAGTGTGCACGAAAGGAGTGGTGAAGCGTTTCCGAAGTAGAAATTAGCGTATCGAGTCATGCAAAGCCGGCAAAGTCAGGAAGTAACGCCTTTCGAAATGTCCAAATGAAGCTTGTTTCACTTTTTGTAGACGCACACCAAAGACGAGGGAAATCTGCGAGAAGTTAAGCAAATCTGTTAGGCAAGAATTCACCGACAAGTATGAAAAAAGGCCATGTGAAGCATCTAAGGGTGAAGGCGGAGTTTACAAAGACTCCACGGGGAGGGTCCGTGGTTTCGTCGCTTCGGCGGAAGGATGGTGGGCATTCCATGACCACATCAAAACACCTGCAGAAAGGGCTAGAAAGGGTTCAGTCATCACACATTTTTGCTGAATCCGATACACCTTTATTGTGCTAGAAGACCTCGGGGCATGTTAAAATGCAAGACTTTGCGAAACATGGTCGCCGACGTTGAAAATTATTGTTTATCATAAACCTAAGCTGGCAAAATGTCAAGATCCCGACCAAACTAAGAGCTTACAATGCTACATTCCAGTTGTTCTCAATGAGCTGCGCAGTTCAGCTCACGAGTCAACTAACGTTTTGAGCTACACAACCTGGTGATCCAACACTTGGAATGGTGTTGGATGAGAGGAGCACTTGAGAATATATCACATCACTATCTAGCGGCAAGTTGCGAGTGTGCCTTGTAATCTTCCATCAACAACGAACACTGCTTAGGGCCGCTCAGGCTCCCCTCTTACCTTTTGCCGCTGTTCTACATCCAGCCTTCCTCTCCATACCCAGCAGCGGCCTCAACGTCGCTCGTTGAGCTCGACTCACTCGTCTTCAAGCCCGTACTTGAATAGCTATCCAAGTTCAACACTGTCGCACCCCTGTTCCCACGCATCAAGTGGGCTTACTTTGGTTGTATTTCCTCCAATTCTCATCTCGCCGCTTCCCATCGGTGAGCAGCTGTGGATCTTATACGGCACACGGCTGGCGTTGACATGTTTAACCACAGCGTCTTACAATTGCATAAAATTTCGAGGACAGACGACCACCAACTGCCACAAGTATGTCTCAAAACCAAGGTGATATTCAGGAGAGGATCGCGGCTGCACGTAGGGAGGCAGAAAGTCTGAAGGAAAAGATTCGCGCGAAAAGAGAATCGTCTGCGGACACTAGCCGTAAGCGTCTTATGCCCTAACCCCTCAACTAGGCCAGACCTTGATTCTTCGATTCTCAGTACGAGCCATGGCAGCCGAAGTAGATGCATTACCACGCATCGTTATGCGCCCTAGACGTGCGCTCAGAGGGCACCTGGCCAAGATTTATGCAATGCACTGGGCGGCCGATCGCCGTCATCTTGTCTCGGCTTCGCAAGACGGGAAATTGATCGTCTGGGATGCTTATACCACTAACAAAGTCCACGCCATCCCGCTTCGCTCTAGTTGGGTTATGACTTGTGCATATTCACCCTCTGGAAACTTTGTGGCTTGTGGTGGACTCGACAACATATGCTCCATCTACAATCTCAGTAACAAAGATGGGGCGAACGCCAAGGGCGCTCGAGAGCTAAGCGCCCACTCTGGATACCTCAGTTGCTGTCGATTCCTCAGTGACCGTCAAATCGTCACAAGCTCTGGTGATATGACCTGCATGCTCTGGGACATCGAATCTGGCGCTAGATTGCTTGAATTCAGTGATCACACTGGGGATGTTATGAGGTTTTTACATCCGTGGTCATCAATGGCTAGCATTCTAACAGTATTTCCGCAGCTTGTCCCTTGGACCAAATCAAAATATTTTTGTTTCCGGTGCGTGTGACGCAACGGCCAAACTTTGGGACATCAGGACTTCCCGAGCTACTCAAACGTTTACTGGTCATGAATCCGACATCAACGCTGTCCAGTGTGTATTCTGACCATCATGTGACGTTGCGTTCTATTAATTAATTTTTGAAATAACCAAGGTTTTTCCCGAACGGTGATGCTTTTGCGACGGGTTCTGACGACGCCTCCTGCCGTCTATTCGATATTCGTGCCGATCGTGAACTCAACACGTTTACGCACGACAACATTCTTTGTGGCATTACGTCCGTTGCTTTCTCGATCTCGGGACGCATTCTCTTTGGTGGCTACGATGATTGGACCTGCAATGTTTGGGACACGTTGAAAGGAGAGCGTGTCGGCGTTCTTACAGGTCACGAGAACAGGGTTAGTTGCCTTGGCGTGAGCACGGACGGCATGGCTCTTTGCACGGGTAGCTGGGATAGCACGCTCAGGGTACGTTACTTGCTCCTCGCGTTTCATTCAAGATTGTCAATCTAATATACGTGTAGGTTTGGGCATAGTTTATCAATTCGACAACTTATTTTCATCCCCACCGGCCTACCCTATATGTCTCCGCCAGGTTCAACGATCCTTGCATCTCTCATCTTATATGATCAATCTATTACTCACCTGCGAAGTGCTTTGAAGATGGGAATGGACGCCTTGAGTCGGTCATTACTGGTTAATTGTAAAGTTTTCGTTTTAAACTCTGTTATAGCCGACAATATTCTTGCGGTTGACGTATATCCACCTTTCTATTCCCTTGTCTTCTTGTCCACCATACCTTCCTTTCTGCTCGTTGTTCTTTTGTGGTCGTATATAGGCAAATTCTATTCTTTCTCGGAAGTTTGGCGAATGTGCAGATGACAATGTGACTAGCCGTATCAGACCCTGTCGACGTCAAACTGCACAAACAAGTAATAAGGACGCACCTTTCGCGATTTCTCTGTCAGACTCAAGAACACTTTCAACACTAGAAGAATGTCAGAGGATGATCGCGCAGCCAAGGCAGCAAGAGCAAAAGCTCTGGTGGGCGTCCAGCTGCCTTGAAGAGGTTCTTTCAACTCACCCTCTTCTCAGCTCAAGAAACGCCAACAGAAGAAGGCCGCGGACACAACGACTCCAAACTCTGGCGTTCCTTCACCCATAGCCCCTTCAAGGACATTCTCACCCGCTCCGTCAGAGCCCGTGGACGAGGAGAAGCAAGATCTTGCAGACGTGTAGGCCAAGTCACCATGCAAATGAGAGTTGCCTGCTGATGACTTGACTACGGGACTTTTATCCAAGGCAGTTTCACGAAGAATGATTCAGGCGCATCATGGCTGTCTTCGTTGCCGCGCGCGCCTTCACCCCCGCTACGCGCCGCCTCCCCCCAAGTCCTTGCCAAATCACCGCCTCTGGCTCGCCCACCACCGACAACGTCACCATCTCACAATAAAGTTTTCTCACTAGAAGAGAAGATTAGAACCCTGGAGTCCGCGAACGCCTCTTTACAAGCAGACGTCCAACGTTTCGAAGACCTTTTGTCTGGTGGGCCTATTCTTCGATTTTTGTACACTTCAGCTGAAATTCGTTCCGAAAGTGTCAAAGAATACAGAAATTTTGCTAAAAAAGGAGACGGCGCGTGCCGACCTGCTTGATAAACGATTTCAACAGTTACAAACCGACGCAGAGATCTCACTTCAAAACGAACGCCAGACTATCTCCTTGCTTGTTTCTGAAAAGGCTTCTTTATTGTCTGACCTTCAACAACTGGATGACGCCCAGTCCAGTAAGCCAATTCTAACTTCCCCAGTCACTTGATTGCTTACTGGGGGATGCAGAGGCCCAAGAAGCCGAATCTTCATTGGAACATGAGAGGGCCAAGTTGGAAAGCCTTCAGAATCGCTTCCAACGCCTACAAGAAGACGCAGACGCGGCCACTCACCGGGCAGAACAATCGCAGCTGAACGAGAAGGAGCTATCTGAGAGAGTCCGGGAACAGGTGTGAAACCTCGTCAATCATTATATGGTATGCTGAATGTCCCCACCCAAGGAACGGCAACTACAATTAGTGACCGCGTCAGCTAGCGAATATCGGAAAGAAATGGAGCAGTCCCAGCGAAAATTGCGTGAACTCGAAGAACAAATACAAAGCGATGATCGTGTTGAGAGACTTGAAAACTCCCTCAAGCACACACAAGACCGTGCGGACGAACTAGAATTCCAGTTATCAAAGCTCAAACAAGTTTATCATTTTTCCTTTTATCTTTTTACATACTTACATCACTCCCAGACACATTCCTCTCTCAAACTGGAAAGGGACAAACTTGAATCTCAGGGCCATACTTACTCAAGTACTGAACGCGAATTGGAGGCGAAGATTGCCGCGCTAAATGACAGCTATTCGAACGTGCAATCTGAACTCAACACCACATCCGCCGATAACCAGACCCTTACGCGAGACAATACAAAGTTACGCGGTGTCGTTGAAGACAATGTGAAGACGATTGCGGAACTCCGAGAGAAGCTCGTGCAGGCGTCGTCCGAGATTACTACGAGCTCCCGCCAGGCTCAAGCAGTTCAGAATGAGCTGAGGAGTGCGACAAGGCGAGCAGAGGATGCGGAAAAGACGCAACGGAATTTGCAATTAGAAGGGACAAACCTGATGCGAGCTCTAGATGAAATGCGACCGAAAATCGTTGAATTGACTGGGGCCAAACTTGAATTGGCTGAGAAGGTAGAAGATCTTGAACGCACCATCCACAATCGAGACATCACCATTTCTCAACTTGAAAGTCTTTTGAATGAAGTACGTTCTCAAAAAGAAGAATCAGAGCATAAATGGCAGGCTGCTTTGACTGAAAGCGAAAAAGAGCACTCAGGGGCCCAGAACGCCACCTTAGACTTGCAAAAAGCTCACTCATATCTCGAGGAGGAACTCGAAACGGCACTAGCCAGTCTTCGAAACTTGGAGCTCCAACGGACAAACCATCACCAAGAAGTTGCGCGTCTGCTAGAGGAGTTTGAGAAACTCAAGGGGTCATTCAACACTCGATCTGATGAGTTATATAACTTGAAACGTGAGGTAGAGGCAAGACGTAGGGCCCAGGTATGTTGGTTGTAACACCTATACTGGACTAGAGCTTACATGGTTGAGCAGGAAGAGGAGCAAGAATTCCTTGAACGTGCTCAAAACGAAATTGAAGGCCTTCGCGCCGAGCTGGACGCGAGGGACGAAGAGATCCAGCGGTTGCATGAGGCCGTGTCAAGTCCTAGTACAGATGCTCCTCAGTCATTGGATGATGAGCTCATTGGGTCTCTTCGACAACAACATGCCCTCGATCTCTCCGCGGCTCAGTCTCAAATCAGAGCTCTAGAGAATATCATTTTCGATGGAGAAGCCAAGGCTCACGCACTACAGAAGCAAATTAACGCTCTTCAAGATCAAGTTTCGCAGCTGCAGTCAGCTCGGGTAGTACAAAGGTCATTTTCGCCCATACCATCAAGACCTGCTAGTGACCTAGGTCGGTCATCTTTCGGGTCGCATCGACCAAGTAACCCCCCTCCCCTTTCTCGCTCTGTGTTCGATCAAAATCTATCACCCGAAACCCGTCACAAGCGGAAGGTGAGCTTGAGCATGCTCAAGGCTCGCATCGACAGCGAAGTGGCGGCAACTTCGCGCCCACCTTCTCGTGCCCTGTCACCCGTCCATTCAGAACCTCGTTCGAATCCCGCTTTACCACCAAGCCACCATACCATTCATCGACCACAATTTTTGGATGAATCTCATGTATTTTGGTGCCATTCGTGTCAAGGGGACCTAGTTATATTGTAGAAAATTGGTCATCTTTATACATGTGGAGGTATAGATGTGTACAGGATACAGTTGAAGAACATGATAGTTTCATAAATTTAATGAATGAGCAAGGTGAGTAAGTCGTTACTAAATCAAATGAGATCAAAAGCCGTGAGGTTTGACCTTGAGGTTCCTGAGCCTTTCGAGCAGATCCTGTAATGAAGGTCATTGAGTTAGGAAAGGGTAGAAAGGAAGGGAGCATGTGTATACCTCTAACTGCTCGGCGCGCAATGTCCCACCCTTCCGTTCGTTCTCTAAACTATTTTCAATGCTGTCAAGTACGTCCATGATGAGCTCTCGGTAGTCGACTCCAAAAAATTGGGTCAACTTTGCTGCTCTTCGCCGACGCAGCTCAAAGTCTGTAACTTCAGGTTTGGGTGACGTGATACTGTACTCAGACGCAAGCGAGATCATGGAAGTTCGGGCGGGCAGTGATCGGCGGCGTTCGGACTTAATGGATGCGTTGGAGATTCGGCGTTCGGTGGGCTTTGAGAGGTCCTGGAGGGTAATTTCCACAGACTCGCCACCATTCAAGTACTGGTGAAGCTCCACGAGCGACGCTCTGTCATCCTATGCGTCGAGAGATGTATTAAGTGATGAATGAAAAGGAAAGTGAAATTCAAACTGACATGGTCTAAAATGTCGTTCAATGACTGTAACGAGTGTTGATAATGTTGATACAGCAGCGAGTTCGACCCGGGGTAGTTATCAGATTGGCGAGTGACATCATCGTATTCAGATGATCCTGGGCCTTTGGGCAACAGTCGCTTACTTGACTCAGAGGTGCCTGGTCGACTGCTCTTTCTGGCTGTTTTCGTGTATGAAGAACGGTTGATATTTCGTTGAGACGTCGTTGCTTCAGGAATCGAGTGTCCAAAGAATGCTTCGTTGTGAATAATAGGCGTCGTTGGGACGGAAGGAGAGGGAGAATGACGAGTATGATACAGAGTTTGAGGTGGTGCAATGCCAAAAACCTGGGATGCGTTAACAAATTTGCATGTGGAGTTGGGCTCTCAGACTTACTTTCTCCATCTTTTGGGCTCGCCGCACGTTGATAGCCTTCTCCCTGTTGTTGAGCTCTTCTTTCACCCTATCAAGATCGTCGGACCAAGTTGAAGGGAGTGCTACCACCGAGCTGCTCCTCCTCCGCCTAAGCCAAGCTTTGCGAGTAACCTCCTCGACCTTCGCGGATTCCGTCGCAGCCTGCGTGGGCGGCAAGGAGGCGTCTAGATCAGAGAAGCCAAGGACGAGATCTGTGGGTACTCGAGATCCAAGAAAACGATGAAGCTTGGCCAATCTTTCTCTCTTTCGCCTTCTTTCATCCTCCGCTTGTTCTTCCGGAGTCATGTTCTCGAACAGCGACTGGTTGGAGGGAGATGCAGGTCTGCAGAGATTGCGATTCTTCTTTGCGGTCTTTAAAGATGAAAGGTCATCATTCAAACTCTCTCCCCCCGACAGATCAATAAAAGATGTCCGAAACCGTGTGCCAATCCGACTTGTTGCATGATGGTCAGAGAGTCTGCTGTCATTCGGTGGCGCTCTGTCAGGCTCTTGATATTTGTGTGGTTCGTTGTTTGGGCTTACGATGCTCAGGAAAGAGACGTCATCGGGGGTAAGAGGTGCAGAATGCCTTCTGCCGCTAGATGTCAGGAATTGAGGGTCAATGGGAGAACGTTCTGACATCCGTCTCTGACGCAAACTGGGTGTGTCCAGATCGTCGAATCGACGTCGAGCCTGGGGCATGCGTGTAGATGATGCAGTCCGACCAGCTTCTTGGTGTGCCATGGCTTCCGCTCCTGGAGTCTCCCCAAAAACTCGGGCAAGTTTACGAGACTTTTTGATGAGATCAGTACGTTCAGCCAAATCCAAAAAGTTTGTGGTAGGCGGCAGAATTGGATCCCCATGCAATGAGTGTTCAGGTGGGGAGCCTTTGGGGGAAGACTGCCTAGATTTGCCGGGTCTGCTTGACCTAAAAAGAGCTCTGGGGAGAATGGGAATAGGTGAATGAGTCTGGTCCAAATGGGGTTTGCTTGAGATAGAAAATTGATAGTTTGAGTCGAAGAGTCGTTCTGGCGCAGAAAGCATGTTATGGTCAGGGATTGTAAATTCAGCTTTAGATGGTGTAAAGATTTCGATAAAGGATTCTGGATTTGCTAGTGGGGGGATATCCGCGAGTTGTTCGTGAGTGCCGTGAAAGTTGTATAGAGAATGTGAATGCGAGTTATAGGACGACGAAGGATAAATTGTGCTGGATATGCTTATGCGGGGATCTTCCTCTCTGCTGATAGATGTTCCGGGTTCATGTGTGTTTTCGCTAGCAACCGATCCGTGCGAAAGTAAGGGTCCATCATGCCAAGCATTCTTCACCGACCTCGTTTTTTGCGAATTGCCAATGGCACCCTCGGTATCCATCTCCTCACCTAGTGAACAGTTTTTTCAACATGTATCACAATTTCTGAATCAAACAACGTTGTTACCTGGGCTTTCGGTTTTTTCCTTCAACCTTCGAAATTTACCCTCACTTTCTACTGGATCTCGAAGATTTGGCGTCAATGGCGCATCACTAAGCGGTAGATGCTGGCTATTCGAGGGTTGACCGTTTTTATTGGAAAAAAAGTTCGTTGTGCTCTTGCCGATCGTAAGGAATTTGTCAGCACGCGACGAGGGTAGGGTCCTGGATTGCGATTGCGGAAGGGCAAGAGGCCGTTGAGGTATGGCCAACCGCTCAGAAGGCGATGTTAACGTTGCTGATAGCGTTTCATCACGGGGCAGTATTTGAAATCCCAAGTTCATTGGCAGTGAAACAGTGTCCGTCCGGTCTCCTTCATGTGTTTCTGGCAAAGCATTGACGGTTGATAATGGGGGTTGTGAGGAAGCAGTAGACGACTGGTCGCCATCTACCTGCAAGACATCTTCCATTGATGGCGCAGGATTGATGTACGGGTTGGAAGTTGACGAACTCGGCGAACCGACGGCGGTGATGGAAGAGGTAAGAAGGTCGCTTCGAGTGGTCTGCGCGATATCATCGACCGCGCGAGCTGGCAAACTATGTGAAGGGGTCTGAATGGATGCACTCCCTGGATTGGCAACACCCAATGTTAGCGGTCGCGTTTTCCGAGGACCTCGAGGAGGAGGAGGCAACCCAGGAGATGTGTGTGGTGGAAGCGAGGCGATTGTCGGAGAGGAAACATCTGAAGAGTATGGCGGTGGGGGAGTGCTGAGTGCGATGTTCCCCCGTAGGCGCTCTTCGTGTTCCAACAAAGCCTCAAGGTTTGAAGAAATTACTAGCGAACGTGGGTTGTTGATTTTCTTCCCATCTTTCTTGTCTTGAAGACCAAGTTCCTGACTCATTCTTAGATGTCTGTCTCTATCTGAATTGCCCAGCAACATCAGTTAGGCATGACGAATAATCAGAGAGACACATTCCACACCTCAGCCAGACGCCGTCAAGGAATGGCGGGAAGGTCAACCTAGCTATTTAACTTTTCTCCGTCAATTCTACAACATACAGCCGACAACGATAGCTTCTAGGGCGACTGACTGACCTTCGTGTTGAAGTGATGGGTTGGTGGAATTCAGAAGAAGCAGTGCCGCTGGTATATTGACACTTCCGAAGTTCTGAAGGCGTTTTCAATTCCGACAACGGACGCCACCATTCGAGGGCCAGCAGGTCTATCGAGAGCCTTCGAGAGCCCGGAACGTTACATATCTATTTGTGGATTCCCTAATCACCTCACTTCGCAGGTCATCTGCGTAGTAACTAGACCAATCTTGATCATCTATCTCAGCCACAGTCAACACACTCATGATGGGCGCTCGGTAGGTGTCAGTAGGTGCAATTGCGGTGATTGCCAGGAAACCACTGTGAGTTTGTGACTTTATTATAGAGTACGTACACCGATGATGTGGCGTTTAATAATGAATGACATACATATATGACTGATTGGTAAGTTTACAAGTGCGAGGTGAGATAAAATGCCAGAAGTTCGATGAACGCCTCAGGTTTGCACCCGACGAGGTGGTAGAGGAGGGGGAACCTTCGTTGATGTAGCAGGGACAGCCAAATTCTCTTGTGGATAGTGCGCTGTGTCCAAGCCCAATTCGTTGGGTTGGCCTTTGTTTACGCTCGCCGCTGACGACTCGGGCGGTGGTTGGTCAGAAGAAGCCTGCCCACGGGCGTCGTCCTTACTAGCGATAATTTTGAGTGCTTCAGTAGCTGGAGATGCAGGAGATTGGTCTAGCGATGTACTAGCTTTGTTCGCTGCCGACCGCGTTGGCGTTGATCTTGGGGGTAAAGGCGGCGGTGTAGGTCGCACTGATTGCGGAGACACTGAAAGGATTGGCGGAAGGGCCAACGGTGTGACGTCCTTATCTTGAGTGCTATCTCCCGTTTGTTCCAGTGATTGGGATAGCTGTTCTTGCGTGTCAACTTCCTGCCCAGATAAAACAGGACTCTTCCATAACCGATACATCGACTGCATAGTCGGATTTTTTGATTTGTTCTCGGAGCTTGTCAGTGAGAGCTGTGGGGCAACATAACCCATTGATTGGAGTTCGCCTCGATGACTGACATGAATCCCTGGTATAGTCATTGTCTTTGCTTGTGGCTGGACATGAATAGGAGCAGGCACCGCTTCTTCTTGGGCCACCAATCTTTGCGCGTCCACGTCGGTACTGACGCGGCTTATTGACGGCATAGACTTTTTCGTAGAAAGGCCAGAGGTAGATAGACGGGAGGTGGACGTTACAACAAAAGGATTGGCAGAATTGTCGGAATGTATTGAACCGTTGGGCAGCAATGCCAGAGGATTGGTGGTTGGTTTATCGGGGGTGCTGGAGGGAGATATTGACCGCGTAAGTTCCAAGGCATCCCCATTGCGCTCCCTTTCCTTCCTTTCAGCTACCGCTGCTCGAACCTCTGCGTAACTAGCTCTTGACTTATGCGCCTGATTGGGGCTTCGCTCTGGCTGCAGATGCGGCGAAGTTGCCCCAGTATCAACAGGCTCATCACCGCTTGATCCAGCATTGTTCGTGTCCTTCTTCAGACCACCCCAATTAACGCCCCACTTTCTCATAGCCTCTTTTGCGGTATTTTGAAGGGCCTGTTTATCTGCTGCTCGGGATTTTAGCGTCGAGAAAAACGATGGAGGGCTCGCTGGCCGGGTAGTCGTCGATGCATCTGACCGTCTTCGTGGCGTACTGGGAGTAGACTCGGAGCGAGTGGTCAATGTCGAATCTGCATCTGGTTCCAATTCCCGTTTGGTAGAGTGCTGCGAGGTTGATCGACGTGCCGAATGCGTGGAGAGGTGGGCTTGCACTAACGAAGCTTGAATTTCATCAGGTAAGAGCGAGGTCACAGATCGACTTTGGGAAGAGGATCGAGATGTTGATTCCTTTGACTGGGGAACATCAATACGATCGTCTTGACCTTCACGGCCACGGTTCTCTTCGATCTCTCCAATATTGCTAGAATCTGGGTTAGATCCCGACGCCAGGGTAGGCTCCGTCCCACCGCTGTTCGTTGAGAACCATGACCTACGTCGTGAACGAGATGGTTTGGAATTCGCCTCACTCAGCGAAGGCACGGAAGGCTCAACTTTGACGTCAACTGTGTTCCCAACCGGTAAATCCTCGACTGACTGTGACATATCAGGGAGGGGGGTCCCTGAAATTGAAGTCTTCGAATCAATCAAATCCGGGGCAGAGGCTGTCGACACCAACGGAGTGTCTCCCGAGCGTTCAGTAAAGTCAGAAGTCTGTGGATCTGAACGTTGGCGTCTTGATGCATCTGACCAGATTCCACCCCGATGTTCGTAGGCTATACTTTCAAAGAATGCAATGTCATCCATGTTGGGCATGACAACAGATTCCTGTATCTAAGAAATAGACATAAGCCATGAGTGAGAATTTCGTCCGCCTGCACAAATAAGTCACTGACAATCTCTTTGATTTTAGATTCAATCGTGCTTAAAATCATTCCCCAAGTTATTTGACGGTCGCTCACGATTGGCTCTACCTCGAGAACAATCTTCGGTGTCTGAGTGAAAGCGTACCAAATGCGGTTGCTGGGTGGCCGTTTCACTTTGATCAACAAATTGCCTTCAATTTCTTTGAGAACGGCAGCCAAAACCAACTTGACGGTATATGACCTGAAGGTCCCTAAATTGATGGTTGCCGTGGCCTCCACGGTAATCCGGATTTCACCTCTGTACTGAAGATGGACCTCAAAAGATGCATCTCCCTCTTTCGTCAATTCCTTGAGCATGGGTTTGCTAAACGTCGGTGCTCTGTTTCCGACAGAGACCTCCGTCACAACTATATCGGTTAGGAATGTCGGACGTTTAACCTTCGACAGCTTCTTCATTAGCCTGCCAATAATGTATGCTTCTAAGTTGTGTGTGCGGTAGTGGCTGAAAAATATACGACCCAGCAAGGCATTGAACCAACGCATTGGGATCACATCTGGTTGTTCATCAAGGGTAGAGACAAGATGATCCATGTCGGATGGGTCGAAGATTTCGTGTAGTGGAGCAAGAGTTGGAGTTTGAGGGGGATGCTCCGAAGCATGTAGAAGTGCAAAATACCAGTCCTCCATTTCGACGTTCGAGCGAACGAATATGAACCAAGGAGTTTGTGGGTCCAACGCCTCCTCCCTTGCAATATCCTTCTTCTTTTCGGCCTCAACCAGCTTCTCCCGTTCTTTTTCCCGCTTGCTTCCAGTGAGGTCGCACTCATCTAGCTTTCCATCTATGTCCTCTTTCTTCAACTTCATCTCCCTCGTAACACTCGCTAGATGTTTTCCTGTATCGGTAGCTTTAGGCCTCAAACAGATGGCGTTGCGTTTGGCAAAAAGCTCCCCGTCGAGTAGACCTTCAGGAAAAATTATAATTTCATGGCCACCGAGCTCAACAGCCGCCTCGCACTCCGACATTCCCTCGTCTTCGTATAAATAGAGGACTTTGCCTTTCAGCACAACATACCACATGTCCTTTGGACGCGATCTTTTTGGATCCTTCGACCGGGCATCCAAAAATGAGCGAACGAGTGTAACATAAGTAGTATCATTTGCTGACTCCTCGAATGTCCGGCGCATAATTAGCCAGCCCTTTCGAGTCCGTGGTGTGTCATTCGTATCCAATGGCGATTCTTCTTCGGTAGCTCTCTCTGGTAAGGCCTGCCCAGCTTCTAAATTCTTTTTAGTCTTCTTGGCCATGTCAACATCGCCAACGGGAACAGAGGTGTAGACAGTCACAAAAACGAGAGCGGCTATGACGAGAGGAATGAAGGTAACTCCTCCAAGAACATAGGCATAGAGTAAAGCCCTGATCATTTCGGGAGATCGTCAGAAAGGAGAGAAAGAGATAAGGACGGCAGTGACCAGCAGCGACAAACTCGAGAGTGTGGTGTGCAACCTCAATTGTACTGTTACGTCGTTGTGGAATAGTGGACACGTGTCCGTCAGTTGTCACGTGTATTGTGGTGGTGTTGCACAATCCTTGGTAAGTGTGATGACCAGTGACATGCTGTGACATAGTGTCACAGGGCCAATTTCTTGAGACATGGACTTTGTACCTTCCACAACACCAATCCAATATATTTTTTGCAGTGGGTTTGAGGGAATGATGTGATTGAATCCACTGAGAGTGTTTTCCATGTAGAAATTGTATTTATTGCTCCAAAAATGCGAAATCAGCTTGTTTTCCCTGCCAAATTTGGCACTCTGGAGAGATTGGACTATAACTTTCCAACCACAACACGTATGGACATGGTTTGTAGGAGGATATTACTTAGAATTTGAATTCAAATCGATCTACGGATCCAGAATTTTTATTTGTGGCCCTTATGTCGAGATCACGCCTAAGAATGGGCACTTTAACATAGTTATGGGGTAGTAATTAAAATTCTGGACCCGTAGGATTGAAGCCACATACTAATCGGTTATTTGGTCTCTGCAAATCTAAGCCAAAATCCTATCCATTGTGAAGCTGATAGCTCGAGTAGGCAACATTGGGTTAATAGATGTTGCATAGCCACAAAAATCAGACACATTGTAGATTTTTATGCCTTTGAATAGAGACTATCTATACAATTCTGGTGCATTTTTTTTCTTGTAAATCGGTGGAGAATTGATTGAGCTACATCATTTACAAGTTTGAGCTGTCCAGAAAATCATCACCAGTCTGCCAAATTGGGAAGGTGCCTGTTTTGGCCACTATTCATAGATGGCCCAAACTTGTAAATGATGTAGCTCAGTCAATTCTCCACCGATTTACAAGAAAAAAAATGCGCCGGAATTGTATAGATAGTCTCTATTCAAAGGCATAAAAATCTACAATGTGTCTGATTTTTGTGGCTATGCAACATCTATTAACCCAATGTTGCCTACTCGAGCTATCAGCTTCACAATGGATAGGATTTTGGCTTAGATTTGCAGAGACCAAATAACCGATTAGTATGTGGCTTCAATCCTACGGGTCCAGAATTTTAATTACTACCCCATAACTATGTTAAAGTGCCCATTCTTAGGCGTGATCTCGACATAAGGGCCACAAATAAAAATTCTGGATCCGTAGATCGATTTGAATTCAAATTCTAAGTAATATCCTCCTACAAACCATGTCCATACGTGTTGTGGTTGGAAAGTTATAGTCCAATCTCTCCAGAGTGCCAAATTTGGCAGGGAAAACAAGCTGATTTCGCATTTTTGGAGCAATAAATACAATTTCTACATGGAAAACACTCTCAGTGGATTCAATCACATCATTCCCTCAAACCCACTGCAAAAAATATATTGGATTGGTGTTGTGGAAGGTACAAAGTCCATGTCTCAAGAAATTGGCCCTGTGACACTATGTCACAGCATGTCACTGGTCATCACACTTACCAAGGATTGTGCAACACCAATTGTGGTGTGTTAGATACGAGTGCAACAACTTGAACAAGTTGCAACGTGTGAGGCGTATTATTACGGCTCACCACCTCGAGCCTGGTGCACTCCACTCTGTGAAGCCGGCACATAGCACTGATAGCAGCCTATTATAGCAGCCCATAAGATACCCAATGATTCTGGCAAAGAAAGGTCATTGTGCGGCCTTCGGGCCGGATCGGACTAACCCTCGGACGACCAATTTTGATCCCGCCGATTGATCTAGATCTCTCTGCAAATTCAACAAGCCGCAATAATGACAGAAGAAACTGGAGGTTTTTGCATGATGCCTTCATCGTTCATGCAACACCAACTAACAGAAAGTTCGCCTCGCAGGCCAGTTTAAGGGTTCGAATCATGGTTATCAGCCTTCTCGATATGATGACCCTTCTGCTGCTCTCTGGTCTACATATCTCACCAAAGCAGAGCAATGCGACAAAAATCTTGCCGAGAATTGGAAAGGCGACATGGATGCAATCCTCATATTTGTGCACAGTTATTTCTATCTTTCAAGTATACCTATAACTTAATGCCTTCTCCTTCTCTCACAGGCTGGTCTCTTCTCTGCTGTTGTTACGACTTTTATCATTGAAAGTTATCAAGATCTAAAGCCAGATTCAAATGCTTCCACCATTAACCTCTTGGCACAGATATCCCAACAACTATCACTTATGTCCAATTTCACGAATGCCGTCGATACCCTGTCACTCCCTCTACCGACGACGTCAACTTCCTTTACACCGACCAAGTCAGCGACAGCCTGTAACATTCTATGGTTCTTAAGTTTGGCATTCAGCCTCGCCTGTGCCCTCTCCGCTACTCTCGTGGAAGGGTGGGCCCGGTACTACCTGAATGCAACACATAGCAGGCCAACCCCACAAGATCGCGCAAGAATCAGCTCTTACTTGTACAGAGGTGTGAAGAAATACAAGATGACCGCCGTCGTCGAAATAATCCCGTTTCTTCTCCACATCTCTCTCTTCCTCTTCTTCGCTGGGCTCGTCCTTTTCATATTGCCAGTGAACTCGACGATCGGGTATCTCATGCTGGGCATGCTGATCCTCTGTGGCCTACTGTATACCCTCATCACAACCCTTCCAATTTTCCAACTCGATTGCCCTTACTGGACTCCCGTTTCAAGCATCTGCTGGCATGTCCTCAGGCGACTCCATCTTCTGAGACACCGAGATATCGATGGGAATGATACCGAAATCCAGTGTTCCATGGTGGAGGCTCGAGCAATTTTATCAACAGAAATCACTGCCAGACGTGATGTTCGTGACGCAGATGCGATGTGCTGGACCATCAGTAGTCTCCGTGAAGACTGCGAATTTGAGTTCTTTGTGCAAGTCATCCCAAGTGTCGTTTCCGGGTTTGACTACAGCGCCAAGTTGCTCCTGCATAATTTATTGCATCACCATGATATTGCCATTAAACTTGGCTATCGAATACCACGACTTCTCATGTCATGTACAACTGGATTCTTAACTCCACTTGTTTGTGAAAAAAGGGCCCTAACTTGCCTGAAAGCGATATGGTCATTAACTATGCTATCTATGCCTACAGACAAGGCGTCCTTTCTTGAATCTCGAAAACAACTTCGATTTGACAAAGACACGCTTCACTTGTTGAATGTTATCAAGAAAGAGATGCCCACCGTCCGTGATTATGTCTCCTCCACGTTGACCGTCGTCTCGCGAAGTTTTTTGGACAACCACATCAATCGATCGAGATTCCTCGAACAGAAGTTGTTGAGCACAATCGAAACAGGTCACTGCCAGACCTCTCAACGTCCTGTTGCAGTATTCTCCGAGGGCAAGCTGCGACAGTTCAGTCAAGAGATGTTGGACGGCTTGAAGCGAACAACCGAAACTTTGGAGAAGTATGTTTCTGAAGGCAGGTCGATGACAGTCCCTCTCCCATACGTCATGATGGAGGCTATCGCCAACTGTCATTTCCGTTTAGTATCCACTGCGCTCAGTGGCTCCCTCCAGCAAGACTTGAACGAGGAGGTACTTCAATCTTTAGGAAAATTTCAAGTCCTACTCAATCAAGCAGGCTTCTGTCTGTTATTGGATTATGTCGCTGAGCTGCTGCCCTCAGGGGGCAGTTTACCTCATGAAGCATTCAATACACTACGACGCACCTTCTTTAGGATTGAGACTACGCCCGTCAATCATCGATCGCAAGCATTGTTTGTCACCTACGTGGAAGAAGTACTTGGATACTCAGGCTCCACAGGGCTTCCCCGGAACATTGTTGACATATTGCTCGCATTGACTCGCGTTTTGGATGACCCGACTTGCATAGCAAAGGCGAAGAAAGTCCTCGATCACTATGTGATTCTCAATTCGAACGAGGCGGCAGTCAACGCTTTGGCGAAGCTCAATGAAAGCTCGCCCCTTCACCCCCGAGACTCACCACTTTTAGATCTGTTGAGCTCTCACATTTACTCCGACACGAAGATAGGCGGGGACCCAACACGATCGAAGTTCGGACCTTTGCCCAGAGCAAATGCCCGAGTCCTAAATTGAGTACCCTCGGGAAGTGCACAATCTATTACAGCCATCAACACGTTCGACACCGCGTGTCCGGGCCAAACGTTCCGCCCAGCAATGGTCCGCGCCGTTGTACATAAATTATACGCCCGATGGTGCGTAGGCGGATGAGCGCGCAACCCATACATATCTGCTACAGCAAGTGCGACGATTCTAAATGTCATATTAGCATGTCCGTTCGATAACAATCTCAGTGAGCGTGTCTAAAGCCATTTTAGTGTCACTGTCCGGCAGGAAGTGTAGCGCTTCCCGCGCTCTATCAGCATACGATTGAGCAAGAATCCGAGTGCGCTCGATGCCCGATGTCCCGCGAACAATATCGACGGCCTATCAAGGTGATGAGCAATTAATAAATGATCTCTTGTGGCCAGACTATGAACTGACCCGCTCAACGTCGCCGTCATGGGAAAAATTCCGCTGAATTAAAGGTTGGATCTCGGGGTTTTCCTCCCATGCGTAAAGTGCAGGACCTGTTGCTAATCCAAGCCGGACATTCGATGGGCCTTTTTCATAATCTAGAGTATCTTCTAAAATCTAAAGGGAATCAGAGATCCTTTCATGGTGGATCGGAAGTAGACAAACCTGGTATGCGATGCCTAGATTCCGACCATAGGCGTACGCGACTTCTTTTAATATCCCTGATTCTCCACAGCCTCCAAGGATAACGGCAGCCCTGGCACCCTTCGCCATCAAGCTTGCCGTCTTCAGGTATGTTTTTTTGAGGTATGAATCCCAAGCAGCTGCAGGGGTTTGGGGCCCAGCTCCAACTCCCAATTCAGGTGTTTGCACGTTGCCCATGCTCAATATCTCCCCTTCCACCACATTTGATATCACGCTCGCAATAAGTTCTACCACCTCACTCTCTCCCAATTGTGAAAGCGCCGTGCTAGCGCGGCCCAAAAGGAAGTCGCCCCCGAGAATAGCGAGTTTGTTTCCGAACCCATGGGCAGCTGCGGAATCCACCTTGCCGTCCGTCTCTGTGACAACACCATCGTGCAGCGTGGATGCGATATGTATCATTTCAACGATTTGAGCAAGACGAATCTGAGTAGGGAGAAGTATTGGCGGGGATACGATGCAGGGTGTGGTTGTGCGGGATGAGGAAGGCGGTATGGGAGCATCAGAACGGGGAGACGTGCGTTGCAACTGAAAGACAGATTCAAAAGACGATGTAGTGTCAGGCATGCTGGGATTCCATTCGTGAAGAACGTCAGGTCTCTTCAGCGGTCTGTCGAGCCTTTCGGAGTGTCCAAAGTCGCGTTCACAATGCGCTTCCCATTGCTTTCGATCCCAGTGCGTCCCCAATCCATTAGTCGCGCGTGAAAGTAGTAGAACTAGAAGAGACCGAAGTTGTTTCGAGGGTTGTAGGAAGTAATAATTTGCAATGTCCGTCAAGCCGGGTTGCGTCGACCCCAACAAGTCGAGGAGGTTGCTTCTAAGGTGGGTCAGCTCTGGCGCTACGAGGAGGTAAGGATCCCGTCTGGGCTCTTTTTGTGGCTGAATGAAAGGCTCGCGACGGAATGGAATGGGCTCCGATACGCTCGCGTTCTGTTCTATTTTCTGTGTGAGAACGCCCAATTTCCGTCGTTGACATCGCGTGACTGAAACGAGACGGCCTTGGCACAAAGACGCGCAAAAAAGTCGCATCTTGTGCAGGGGAGAGAAGGGAGGGAGAGAAGACGTCGGACGGGCTGTCCAGCGACGACCTCACAGGCCTGGAGGGGATTTCAACCGCGATGACGACGGGGAAGGACGATGACACTTGAATGACAGGGTAATTCCCGCAATTCTCCATCAAAGCACACTGAAAATCAGGCGCACTTGATTAGATAGTATAATTGCTACATAACGTCTATATCCCTGGTGATACATATGCTTGCGAAAAGGTATTCTACTCTATCTATGAAATAAATATGACGAGTGTTCAATGACGTGCAAAATAAAGATAAGAAAGTGTGAGAGCAGTTGGATATGCAAGGTAAAAACAAGATGGAAGGAAAGGTCGACATAAAGTTTTCCAGGCTGTGCAAGGATGCAGATGTCACAAGCTTAAGAACGGGTGACGGAGAGGGGAGATTTGTTGGATTTCAAAGAGGATGTGGGAGCTGGAGGGGAGGATAACAATGGTCCAAATTTGCTGAGCTGTTTAGCCAGATGTGCAGCTAATGCTGTTCCCTACCGAAAAAAAACTGTTACTTTCTTTTTACATCAACACAATCCGAGCCGACAGACCTTATTGTGCAATTCCTCCCATTCCACGGTATCAGTGGCATTCAAAGCCAGGAGCATAATTGGAGATCGTATTTCTCCCTGAGATTCTACGGAATCTTCAAGGGTCTCCATTACAGGGAACACAATAATGCGCCCAAGCTTCGCATGACGCTAGGTGAGCAACATTGGTGGGAGAAACGCGGATGATGACTTTAACCTACCTCGCTGTCGACCATCCCAAAACCTCCTTCCTTTGTTTCTTTCCAAACCTCTCCGCTAAGTCCAACAACAATGTGAATTTCGTCTTTGGGTCTTGGTGGGTCAGAGGCAGCAGAAATCAATTCTCCAGCTGGCGTGTGGAGGACGACTGTATGGAAGTGGGGAGGAGAAAGTATCCGAAGGAGTAAGCCATGAAGCGTCGCCAACGCCAACATGGTTGAGAATAAGGAACGGCTGTGCAGTCAAAGCAATATTCAAGCTTCAAGTCCAGGCCGTTGTTGAGCAAATTGATTGCAAGTTGAAGTTACAAACGGAAAGGCCCATATATCACGTGGCTTCGTTGTGATCCGTTCTTCGGTTTCGGGCCGGGTTAGCCCTGGTTAGCCAAACTTTTGTAATCAAAGCCATTGAGGTCAAAAAACGGATTGTATGTAAAGGCGTCTCAACAAACGGTAACTGGTAGAAGCCATACCCCACAGATTCAGGACGGACAGACGTTCTCCTTACAGTGTTCGCAACTACACCTCTTATCATCCAATACGTCGGTGATAATGTCGATCTCCCCATCGAGTTGGGCAGCTTCGCTTTCCGGCAGAGTCAGTGAGCGGCCTCTCTCCCCGTGGATATGCCAAGCGTCTATGTCCGTCCCCCAGTAGCTGTCCGGATAGTTTCCGTGATCTTTCATCCTGTCTGGATTTCTGCTTGGCCATCCTGCGCCATCCTGCGCCGATCTTTTGCGGTTGATTCTCAGAATCTCGTCGAACCAGCCCCTTCCACCAAACCAGTCCACAGCCACATTGTCAGATTGGGGCACGACAATATTCTCCGGAGTCATGGGAGTGAAATCGACATATGTTTCGTATCCGGATCGACACTCCATTTGTTTATAATTGCTCGAATCTTCCGGTGACATGTCGCTCCGCTCGTAGTGAAATCTATGCAAGAGCGATTTTACATCTTTTGGCCTCATTCTCCAATGTGCGGGTACTGGCGCTGCCTGACGGGTAGATCGAATATGATAAACATGACTGCAGAATGAAAGGAAATACCTGGGGGACTGAAGCAAAGGATTCCAGATGAGGAAAAACATAACAAAACGCGTCTAACAAGGGCCAACCTGGTAAGGAGCAGGCGTCCGTAGCAGATCCTTTGTTCGTTAGTCTCATGACAGTGCTCCCTGGAGCTTGGGGTCCCAGCTTGATAGGGACGACCTTAACCACGTAGTACTTCTTGTCCTTCAACCGTGTTTGAAGAACGATGGCAGGCCTCCTTTTAGTCATCAAGTAGTCGCCTGAGAGGTCTGGGTCATGCCAGTAAGAAGCATCGGCTTGACAACTGTGTCCTTCAATAGTGAACCTGGAGAGTACTTGCACGTATACAAGCTGTCCCGGGCGGACAACGTAAGGAGGGATTGATGGCCTTAAGCTTGGTGTCGGCGTAGGCGCTATAAAGTTCAGTCAGCAGATTACTCGCGAGATGGGTCTCAACATAAGTACGGATTAGTTTCGCATTCCCTGCGACAGTCCAGTCTATGTCATCGGTGAAGCTGTATCCATGATCACAGGATACTTTTTGAAACGCCGAACGCCAGCCATCGTAATCAAAGTTGTCGCGAAATGAGAGGCTACGAACGGAGTCAAGAAGGTGGCCGAAAGAGGCTGGGTGGCTTCCAGCTAACATTGAGCCAGTCCAAGTAATCTTTTTCTGTCGGACTTGAGCTGCCCTGCTAGCGAGAGTTCCGTGAGTACTACGCAAGTAACGTCGCCAAGGAAGGTCGCCTCGCAAGAAAAATAGCAGCATATATGCCAAAGATTCCAAGTCATCACGTGGACCGAGCTCTGCCACATACCAAACATAGATTTCAGAAATGGTTCAATGTTCAAAAATATTGGGTATGCAACGTAGCCGTAGTGAGCATGCAAACTGGCCCAATCCAAAGTTCCCACAACACAATGGGCTTCAACGGGAGGATTGTGCCGGATGGAATCCCCAGGCTTCAATCGTTGCGCAATTCCGAAATCGATGAGACGAAGTTGATGATTGAAACCGATGAGGATGTTACCTGGCTTGATGTCTCGGTGGACTATTCCATGTGCGTGAATGTGGCCTAGGGCGGACAGCTATAGTAACATTGAGCCTATTATTACTGAACAAGATAGGAGATAGCCACTTCACCATCTGATCAGCAATGGACAATACAGCCTTGAGAGGAAAGGCTTGGTCCTTGTGAAGGTCTTCCAGGCTCGATGCGAGAAGTTCCATGGCAAGATAATCAAAATGTCGGAATCGGCCATAACCATATACGCTTGGGATAGCAGGATGGCCTCGCAGGAGCTGCAGAACCCGTGCTTCATGTTTTAGGGATGGTCGCTTAACCCTTAGAGACGTTCGCGACTTCTTTAATGCAAGTACGAGCTGAGTGCTTTCATCTGAGCCAGTCGTCGCATGATAAACCACCCCCTGCACACATGATGAATATTCGTTACTACTTCGATTTCAAACGTTTGGCTCACATATGCGCCGGATCCAAGAAAATTGCCTACTTTGAGCAAGGGCATGGCTTTAACAGGTTTGTTTCCGTCGAAGGAACTGGCAAGGGCGTCATTGGGTGATTTCTGGGTGGGAGAGGATAGACTTGTAAGTCCCTCTATGGGTTCTGCTTCATATCGAATTCGCATCACCGGGCTGTCGAGATTCTGCTCCATAAAGGGACCGCTTGAGTGAGACGCCAACACCTAGAAATCGAAGTTTGGCGTAAGGAGTATGAGCTTTCTGAGACTCAGTTGAGTCAAATATGTGGTTTCATCGAAGTTTGAAATAGTTACATAGCTCTGATGCCAGCCGAGTCGCCTATTCTTGTTGTCCTCCCATCGTGAAAACTTCTCAATGAGAAGATAAACTTCAACATATGCGGATGATGATGTCGCAACTTACTTATATGCCAACCAAATGCCAACCTCCAAACTCATGACAAAAGTCTCCTAAAATTTCACTATCTTAGGTTGACATAAACTGAACGCGTCCCGAAATCCACATGCATCAGCAGCACTCTTGCAATTGCTAGAAGGTGTTTTGTCCAGAGAGAGGAGGCGAAAACTACGTAAGTTCTTCAATTCTCCATCAACCGCGTTCATTCTGGGCTTACAGTCAACGCTGAGGTGTACCGAAACTGCCATATCTATGGCGGGAGGCTTTGTTCCACTAGTTTTCTCTTTGTTCAGAGGATGGAGGAATACATGTGATGTTGATGTGAGGTAAGTCGCTCAATCCTTCACTGACCCACGTTCAGTCTGGGCTCACGTTTCTAAACATACACCTTCTAAGACGAGAGGCTGCGCTTTGACGGTTTTCTTATTAGAAGACATTTTGTCCAGAGGGGAGGACAGGTAAGTCCCCCAGTCTTTTACCAATGCTCGTCAATAGGCTTCGATTAAATGCCCAGATGCGTCAAAGTTGCAGATGGGAGGCCGCGCTCCAGCGCGATTGATAACTCAGATGCAGGTTGCCGATGGCGCCTTAGAAAACTTTATAGCCCTTATGATGGTCACATTTTTTTGGAGAAAGAATGAGATAAGGATAACAAAAACTTTTACGTGAAGCATGAATAAGAGAGGGAGGGCAAAGAAAACTAACCAGAGAAATAATATAAATAGCGTCAGCACAGAATGACGTTGGAGCTCCTAATACACTTCAAAGTTCGAGGCAACAAATTCAAACCTGTGAATTCTAATTAGTGCTTGGCTGCCGCTGCGGACGCTTGAGTATGCTGCACGACGAATTAGTACTCAGTTCTTGTGGGAGACGATTGATTCTGCAACACGCACAAGATATGACATGAGCTGTTGATATTGTGCCGCATTGGCAGGCGTTGAGCCTGGGCCTAGAGGTGGGGGTGTATTTTGTGCTGGAGACATCCCATACTGGGGCCCAGATAGTAGTTGCTGTTGTTGCTGTTGCTGGGTAGCTTGAAGGAGCGCGAGGATATTGGGCGGAAGTCCATTTAGCGCAGGATTCGAGTGTGCTTGACCTGACTGTGGGGCTGTCGGTGGAGGCTGTTGGTGAACCCCACCATATGAACTATTTGGTGGGTACGTAAGTGCTGACGAGGGTGGTTGAGAATAGTATGGTGTTGAGTTGGGTGGTGCGGGCATCGGCGCTGATGATGGTGGGGGTAACTGTGCGGAAGACCCACTAGTTGGAGTGGGCCCTGTCGGGGGTTGCTTAAGAGCAGCTAAAAGCTAGATGTAGGGCGTTTTAACAAATACAAAATTTGAGACCACTGGTTTTCCTGACCTGTTGTACTTTGCGTGCCTGCTCTAATCGATCATCGACCGGCTAGATAGGTTTGTTAGTAATGCGTTGAAATGATGCAGAAGGAAGACATACGGCAGCTGCAGCGGCGGGCTGCGCAGGTGGTGGGGGGGCAGGTTGCGAAATACTTTGTGGTGGCATACCATAGCCACCTGGGGTGTTTCCATATGCGGGAGCGGGACCTCCATAACCGCCTCGAGAATTGTCATACCTATCGTTGTATCCACCGCCTGCACGACCACGACCGCTTATGTCATCTTCGTATCGTCCTCCTCGTCCTCTTGATTCACGATCCATGCGGCCATGATCTCCTTCTCCTCGACGGTCGTAATCTTCGTCGAACCCTCGACCTCGACCCCGGCCTCTTCCACCTCGTCCTCTCCCACCCCTCATTCCGCGACCGCCTTCCTCCCAGTTCCGGCCACCTCGTTCCCTATCAACACTGAAATTAGAGGGCACGCTTGAAGCGTGTTTTGGATCACTTACTGTGGCCCCCCTGCGTTGCCGTCGTTTACATCCCAAGCGAAAACGATGTCCATTACCCCATCTTGTAAACCCTGATGACGCAGACGGTCGAAAGCATCGTCACAAGCCTGGAGGGATGTTATATGACTGATTGTTTGGCAGAACGAAAAGGAAGGCACTTACGCGAGTATCGTAGAACTCCACGTATCGAGAACTGTGGCAATATATATAGACTTGCTTTGGTTTGATAACAATAGCAACTTACTCGGGCCGCTCCCCAACAGGTCTAACTGATTTTACATCTCCAAATTGTTGGAATTTTCTTCGAACCTCATTATCATCAATAGGTTGGCCTGAACCTCGGAGCGTAACTTGAAGAGTTCCTTGGAATTGCTGTGTGGGCGCCTAATTATTATCTAGATGAAGGTGATGACGCTTGACCAAACCTGATTCTTTTCACGATCCTGTCCTCTTTGATCATCACGCGGAAGAGAATAATGCACATCAATCTGACGAAAAGAACAAACGATGGGTGGTAAGGCTATTTTCGTGCAGTTCTCAAAACTCACAGGTCGCCCACTGATCTCTGATCCTTGTAGTCGATCTCGAGCCCGCTCTGCTGCGCGCAAGTCAAACTAATTCGCGTCCACGTGTTGTCAACATTCACAGCCTCGCCTAAGAGTCTCATGCAAACTCACGTAAGTTACAAATACCATTCCTCTTGTTGAAATCAGATCGAAAAAGGTTTTTATTTCTCCATGTTCTTCAAACTGGCGGCGAACATCATCACTGTTCGTTTCATACTGCGACAAGAGTCAGTTACTTGTTTCACTTGCTAGCATCCAAAGAATAGACTCTTCGTTGTTCTACGACGGATACTCGCCTTAATATTGCGGATAAACAAGGTACGACAGGGACGTTCGCGCTGTATCCGTTCTTCAATGATGGAGTCGTGCACCTTATCATCCCGTTCCTTTCTAACAGGGCGGCGAGCGCGGTCGTAATCGTTCTCGCCATCGAAGTTTGCACCTGCACCGTCTAACACGGAAGGAATGACACGAGTGAGAAACTTTCACGACACAAACAGAAAATAGGACCAAAGGCAAGAGGACGTAGCAAGCGGGATTGCACGCGGAGGGAGGCAAAAACACTCAAGAAACTCGACGTCTCAAAAGGCGGATTAACTTTGACCGAGTCAGGCGCTTCAAAAAAAAAATGGAAACGACGTCGTTGATATTCACCACATGGCTTTCGCTACGTGATAGCTTAAGCTGAGCGGGTCTGCAACCAGGAGTAACGTTTGCCACTTTCCGCGTGCCTCAACTGGCATTTTTCAAAAGGCTGATATTACGAAATTTCCCTTGATGGAACCGATTATGTTCAGTCTTAACTCGAGCGCACCTTCGAATTTGGCATAACCTTGGTTATATGATGGCTGAGGTGCAGCATACTGAGCGACGTGCGGAGCAGACGGATACTCGTTATGTTGATAGTACGGATGTTGAGAGAGAGACTGATCATAATCAGTGTAGGGCCCCATATCGGTTTGGGCATGGTCATAGACGCTGTGGTCGTTCATGGAACCATCATATTGACCATATCCTCCTCGACCACGATTGAACGGCGGTGCACCCCTCCCACGAAAAGGTGCACCGCCTCTGTCTTGATGACGATGAGATCTGTCGGGACCTGGACCAGAAGGAGAGCTGCCTTTGCGGGGAGGAGGGCCATTGTCGAAACTTCCACCGTATGGATGATGACGATTCATGGTTTCTTAAAAATCTCGGAGGATATCGCTTTTGAAAAGGAGTCGTAGCCGGGATAGGCCTGGATCAGGACCAGTTTAAGAGCTTAGGAAGAGCTTAGATACTCAGACTCAGTGCGGATGATGAGGGAGATGCGCTAGAGATGCGAACAGTCGTCGGAAAATTGAACGACAACCTCGGAAATAGCCGTACTTGACACTTCGCACTGCACTCCGCCAGTTGCAGACTGACTTACAGTATCACCACCTCGAAGCACTATGTCCAAGCAGTTTCAATTCAAACTTGTTCTTTTAGGTACGTCTCTTGCTCGTCGTCGACTGACAACGCCCAACTTCAAATCTCTCAGGTGAATCAGCCGTTGGAAAGTCCAGGTACGTCACCAACCCATCACTCACTCCAACCCACTCATATCTGCTCAGCTTAGTTCTACGTTTCGTGAAAGACCAGTTTGACGACTACAGAGAGAGTACCATCGGTGGTCCGTATCACACTTCATTCACCTTTCTCCATCTCACTTTGAAATAGCCGCGTTCTTGACCCAGACTGTCACGCTCGACGATCAAACTACAGTCAAGTTCGAAATATGGTACACGACATCTCCACTCCAACCATTCCCTCACTCATGCCTACGTTCATACAGGGATACCGCTGGGCAAGAACGATACAAGGTAAGTCCACTATTGCCTGGATTTATGCCAAGCTAACCTTATCGTCCGCAGTCCCTCGTATGCACCCATTCTCTTCCACCCACTTCGCTACGTGTTTACATCAACATAGGCACCAATGTATTACCGGAATGCCAACTGTGCTGTCGTCGTTTATGATATCACACAAACCGCATCTCTTGAGAAGGCTCGCACCTGGATCCGGGAACTTCAACGTCAAGCAGATCCTTCCATAGTGATCGCCCTCTGTGGAAACAAATCAGATTTAGCAGCCCGACGTCAAGTAACGGAAGAGGAAGCAAAGAAATATGCTGATGAGGAAGGTCTCATGTGGGCGGAAACCAGCGCAAAGACAGGCGAGGGAGTCTCAGAGATCTTTACTGCTATCGGTGAGCGACGTTCAGAAATTCAGCAAACGCGCATCTAAATTTCACCTTTAGCAAAAAAACTTCCTTTGACAGCACCTCCTTCTGCCCGGGCTGGTGGGCCTGGGCGTACAGGACCAGCGAGAGCCGGAGTTGATCTCAACAAGCAATCGGCTGCTCAAGGTCAGCAAGAGGCTTGCAACTGTTGATCTTCCTCCCTTCTAGACCCCGTCGTTTCTTCAGCGGCTCTTCTCCGTCATGCCCCTCATTCATCGTCACGATTACACACGTCCTTCTAGGGCTTCGTTTGCTTACCTTGTAACCTACTACATACTCCATTTTTGTCACATTTTCTTTGGCTCTTTGGACCTTTGGGATATACATATTTTATCTGCATGTGAAAGTATTTTACGGAAGCAGGCAATCTCCCAGCTGCCAGAGTGTCAAGCATCAATATACGAAATAATACATTACGAGTAAGATTCCAGGTAAGTAGATCTTCACAGCAAATATGAAAAACAATAGTACACTTAGAATACCTTTAAAATCCAGCTGCCTCTAATCCCTTCCGTATATCGGCGTGGGCAAGTTCTGACTGTTGAACTCGTTGACTCGTCTTCCAAAACCAGGTCTGTTCCTTCGAAATCCCTTCCTCCAAGCGGTTCTGGATGAATGTAGTCGTCGGCTGACTGAATGGAATATCATACGGATGTTTCTGATGCTTGAGCATCGTCGACACTGTTTCATACCACCTCTGCCGTTGCAGGAAGCAAAATCGCCCTGGCGGATCGCTAAACTGTTCCCGTATCCGAACGATGTCCGCCAAGAACATGCCCACAAACGGCACACATGGACCCTCAATGGTCTGCAAGAGGTTACGGTAACCTGCAAAGCCGCCACTAGGATCGTTGAACCGTAGTAGAACATCAAGATGTGACTTCCGGCCCACATGAGCCCAGGTGAAATGTAATTGAGTTATGACGACGCTAGAAAGCGCGATGATGATAGCACTCATAGAAGCAATGTTATTTAACTGCCGGGATTTCTACATTTGTGGAAAATCAGCCGCCAAAACACACATCCCAAGAAATAAGCGATACGGACCTCTGCGACTTTAATCCAAAAATCTATTGTATCAGCGCGTTTTACCAACATTCCGTTACTTAGGATGCTCGATTTCACCCAAGCTCCCACTTTATCATGTGTGCTGCAGAAGACGTTCAGTTTCGCTACTTCATCCCCAGACTGGGTTTTTGCGTATGCGAGGCATTCTTGGCTTGAGACCCTGGCATAAAGCTGGAACTCTAGAAGCGCGAGCTGTTCAGCGACATCGATGTAGTCCATCTTTAACAAGTCGTTCTTGTACGCCTTGGATTTGCGAGGTTTACGAGGAGAAACAAGAAGTGTAGCGCTATGGGGTACCGAAAACGTCTATTGCAGATTTCCGTCAGCTTGTTGTGACTTGAATGATAATTAGAAAACCAATTACCAGGTGTTCAATTTTCTGAAGAATATTGCTTGCTTCCTCTGGGAACACTGGCGTAACAGAAGAAAGAAGGAAATCGGTTAGATGTCGCGCAATGTGGGGCTCTTCTTCCAGCAAATGATATTGCTCCAACCAGGCGATGAACAAATCAAGAACTCGTTTTCGTGTTGGTAGAAGATACCTTGATTTCCAATCCCCAACATCGGCTGGCGATAAATTCTTTGGCGGACTCATCCGAAACCTTTCTAAGAGCAGTTCAAAAAGAATGTCTGGAGTAGTGATTGTCCTGAATGTTGCAAGAAACATTGTTGAAAAAGGGACTGCTTCGTTTGAGTCTGAACTCCTCAGCACGCAGGAAAAAAATTATAAAAATTACACACTGGATAGGTCCTGAGCAACGGATTCAGTTGTAAGTTTTTCGATCATTGCGACCAGCGTTCCTGAGCGGACATTGCCATCACAGTCCAAGTCAAGCTGATCAGAATGGGTCGACCGCAGATATCGGGGTATGTTCCCAACAAGCTGAAAGGAACTGTTGGGAAATCGTGCATCGTGACTTTCATTCCTGCGTCTGACCTTACTGGAACGAGAATGTTGAGAAAGGACTTCGGAAGAACAAGCGATGTCAGGGCTTGCGATTCTATCAGACCCCCCGGTGTTGGTAGGTCCCAGAACCATCGATAGTTCCGAAAGTGTGGTATGGTCATCTAGCGTAATTTGGTGCCGCCGCAGACTCCTACTGGAGAACAAGCCGGGGCGTGGGCGATTCTCCACTTGGTCTGTTGGTAGGAGGGATGCGTACCCGTTTAATGGTGCAGATCGTAAAGGAGGCTGTGGCATTGGTTCGGATGGAGAAGGTGGTGGTTGGGGCCCTATTGGTTGGGGAGGGGGTGCCAACGAGTTATGTTTCAGGGTTTCACAGGGATGTAGATCATCTTGAGGTTGTTGAGGGGCGTGATGAGAGGGTAGCAAGGGTGAAGAGGCACGCCTCTGTATGCCAGGCTGTTAAGTACGAACGGGTGGATCGACTGTGGGTAAACGTACCCTTTCCTCGGGTCTCCGACGGTGGGTTGACGAAGACAGCACTCCCGGTTCGTGGAGTTGCGAGACGGGGGCGGGATTGCTAAGGTTCTCCGCTTCGTATTCGTAGATCCGTGATTCCTGACACACCCTACGTAACCGCTCTGCCATTTCCTTCGCGAGTGGGATAACAAATGCTTCTGGAATCCAGCCGACAACATCCCCATTCTTTCGCATGGCAGCCCACCAGCCCGTTGTTTCCTGCTTTACCACTTCCAAGATCTCACTTTTACGGAACGGAAGCAAGTCGGGTCCATCGGAGTCGAAGTCGTAGAGACAGAGGACGGAACAGATAATGACCCCTGGGCTACTGGCCGGGGTCGTACCCGCACTGCCTACACCAATGCGTGACGAACAAGGCGAGACCATTAGAATCGGTGATTCCGAGTTACATGAGGAGGGTTCAATATTGAGACGAAGCGACTGTCGAAGTGAGTTCGATCTCATACAAGGGCGGAGCGCAACGACGAAGGGGAGAGCAGGGCTAGAGTAGCAAGGGAACAAAGGAGCGAATTGCTCACCGTGAGCGATGTCAAGCTAGTTACTATTGAGTATTATTGAAATCATCCATCAACCCCGCTTGATCTACGACTTCATGATTCATCACACGACCTCCTGAGCGTTGATCTCAATTCACCAAAATATTTCCCCGATTACTCGAAAGAATATCTATCAGATATCTGTATGCTCGCTGACAAGCGTTGCGCTGGGCTTGCAGCAGCAGAGGTAGTGGGATATTGAATGTTGGTTTCTGTATGCAGCTGATGATCAACGCCCACTGTTTATAGCATCGTTGGGCGCAGTGACCACTCTATTACCAGAACCAGATCGGAAAGTCTCTACACAATTCCATGCCGCTGTGGAACGCCCCCAAGGCCAAGGTGCGTGCACCAAACTTACTTACGATTGTAACAGACCCTGATCTTTCTACCACAAGGTGCAACTTCGGTAATATTCAGAAGGTTTGGCAGCTCAGAACAAGCTTCTCATCTATGTACCTTGATTGTAGGCTCTCCGTTCAACGTTTAAGAACTCTACAGCAGAAGAAGGAGGCTCAAGCAAAGGCGTCTCGTCGTGACATTGCTTTTCTTCTAGAGAAAGGCAAGATTGAAACGGCCCGCGTCAAGGTCGAGACCAGTGCGTCTAGAGATTGATGACACCGCAATCCCACTTCATCAACAGCACGAAAATCTCTCCTGTCGAACAGTCATCAATGAAGATATCCATGTGGAACTGTTAGAGTTGCTGGAACTCTACTGTGAATTACTCCTGGCAAGATTTGGCTTGCTTGACCAACTGTAAGCACCTCTCCTTACTATCTTTTCATGTTCTTATTGATAAAGTCTGCCTTGAAGTACACGAGAACCAGATCCAGGTATTTTTTTTGTCACTTTGTCCACTCAACGTGACCGCAACTGTCACCAGGAGTTAGCGAAGGCGTTTGCGCCATTATCCATGCTGCTCCTCGGACAGAACTCAAAGGTAAAAATGCCTACTACCCATTACCATCTCCAGATCTCACCGTGAGATGCAGAGCTCCACATTCTCCGTGATATTCTCATGCACAAGTATGGCCGTGAATTCTCAGTTGCGGTGATGGAGAACCGGGACGGTGTCGTTAGTGATCGTGTAAGATGACACTGCCCATAATGGGACTGACCAGGCAATCTGACAATCTTTATGTAAATCAACAGGTGGTCCGGAAACTTTCAGTCGCCACACCCTCAACGGATCTGGTCAATGCATACCTGGCTGAAATTGCAAAGGCATACGGCGTTGCATGGTCATCGCCGACTTTGCCAGGTGGAGATGATGCGGGAGGTGGGGAGAAGGTCAGTCAGGCAAGTTTGACCGTTTTCTGTATGTATGTTGTTGACTCTCGCGCTGCGACGGGGGTAACAGGGACCTGCAATTGACGCAAGTACAACTGAGGTTTCTTCTAAATCGGAATCAGGATCGGGATTGAGCCTTCCTGAAATTCCAACGGATGAGAAGCCTTGGACTGTAAAGCCACCGACCTCCGACGCTAGGACAGCCAATGATTCGACAAGCCCTCCGGCTGCTGGAAAAGTCAAGGATGAATTTGAAGCCCTTGCTGACCGGTTTGCGGCTCTCAAAAAACGCTAGGAAGCATGGACATATGTGTCGGCCCTGGAGCCTATAAATAGTCTTGAATAGAAGTTTCATCATGGGTCTGAAATCCCCTGGTCACCAACTATCTTGCGGCGTCTCCGTTCGGGTCGACCATTCTTGTGAGCGGTACGCAAGGTTTTATGATAATCTCTGAGAAGTTTTTCCAGTAAGCTTGAGATGTTTCTCCAGGTAACCTTTCAAAACTGGGATTTGGGCTAACCTCTTAGTCTTTATCTAAAATGAAAAACCCTCGAAAACCGGTCGCGGAAAAACGAGGCGAAAGAACAATACAAATTCAAAGCTAGAGGCTCTGTCGCTGCAACTATGTCTGATGTCATTGAAGGTGGAAGAATATGTGGGGATTCGATAGATTCTAAAGCCTGACATGATCAACAAAAGCCCGAGATGCGAATCAACACCAACTCGCACCAACCAGCTGGCGTCTGGCAAATTTAAGTTCATAAGCGAAACAAATTTGAGTCAGCGGACTCCAGCGGAGATATGTAAATTCGCCAGCAGCGCCACAAAGAATCGGCGGCGGTAGGATAGGTACTGATAGGTAGGACCCACTGACGATATCTTTTCCAGGAGCATGTCGCAGATCTATTAGACTATTACATGGCACAAAGGCGGCCAATGGACGGAGCAACTTGGCAATGATGTGCACCATGATGACATGGATGTTCAGGGCACTTGGCGTGATTTCTAAGTCAGGTGGCCATTTTACACATGTCTCCGTCACGACACCGCTTCGTGTTGGTGCCGCCGCTTCGTCGGTCTGCTTAGTCCTTCGCTGACTACTACCAGTGTTTAGCATTCGTGCCGTGGCTCGAGACATCGAACTCTATTTCTCTAACTTCAAGTATACCGGCTAGAGACCGCGACAACACTCCGATTATTACTCGCGCTTGCACTGTGGTCCCTTGACCTGACACGTTCTCCGTTCGGACAGATTCTCAAATCCGCCGTGTAACGTCTTGGAATTCGGTTGAACTTTATCTCGGATGTCTTAAATGGGTTAACTCGACACACATGGACAGATATAAATCTTTAGAGGCCCTCGCCCCAGCGGCCACATCCAGCTCGAATCCACAAATGGCTTCACCACCCCACTATTTTTATCATGATCCAAGCGAAGCCATGGACAGCGACGCCGAAAGCGAGGCGCTTTCCACAACGTCCATGCCTCCGTTCAGTGCTACTCCCAGCGTTGCGAGTTCGCGTACCTCATATGACGCTGCTGCCGCCTCTACGAGATCTGTTTCGCCTGTACCATCTGTCATCTCGATGACAGACTCCGTGCGCAGTCAAATCTACAGGAGCAAATATGGCCGCGAGTTTAACAATTTTTCAGATGTATATGCCCTGCCCGCGGACGAGGAAGAGATGAATCGCCTTGGTGTGTTGTTTTTCAGTCTGTACAACTGTTAACAATTGTTTCCTGCAGATCAGCAACATGCTATAATCGTTGATGTCATGGGTGAAAAATACCCCCCACCTGTGGCGGACGTCATGGCGGATGATGTTCCGGGAGAGAGAAAGGCGTGTCTGGATCTTGGTTGTGGAAGTGGGGGATGGTAAGCCAATTTTAGAATATTCTTTCTTACTCGCTTAAGTTTGTCCCATCAGGATATTAGATGTCGCACGCGATTTTCCAAATTGCAACGCTGTGGCAGTCGATCTTATACCCATGCAATCTTTGTACGAAATTCGACACTCTGTTGATCCGTTGACTCAAGCCCCTCATAGATCCATGCCTCCTAACCTCAGGTGGGAACGTTAGGCCGCTTAGATAGGCTTGCAAGTCTTGACATTCGCGTTTTTGCTGTAGGAGTGAGGTCGACGACATCAACCTAGGTCTGGAACACTATTATGGCGATTTCAATGTTGTCCACGTGCGACTTGTATCATCCGGTGTGAGTCACAGATTTTCATAGAGTTCTCCTACCCACCAACCGCGGGGTTTTCTTTGCATGACTAGGTCAAAGATTATTGTCGCCTCGTTGATCAAATTAGCCATGTCCTTCGGCCGGGGGGGTTAATCGATTTGGCCGAATTTGACTTCCATGTATACGACGAAAACCACCAGAGACTGGAGCCCGACACTCATCAAGTCGGGCCTCCCTGGTGGGCTCGTTGGATGACCTTTGTGAGATTAGCCATCCAACAGATTGGCGGACACACGGATGCTGCGACTCACTTATGGGATTGGGTCTCTAACCACCCCGCTTTTGAGCAGCCGGTGTATAGAGAATATTGGATGCCTATTTGCTCAAGTCCCACCGACAGCGACCCCGGACGACAATTATGCCAACGGCTGAGCGGTGATGCACTGGTGCGTAATGATGCAATTTCAATTTGATGTGGCATAGTCTTACGCTGCTCCTTTAACAGAGCTTTTTGAGAGGGACGCGCCCTCTGCTGCTTGGAAGTGGGCTAGCAGAGGATCTCGTCACAGAGCTCATCACCCATGCAGAGGCAGAGCATCACGAAGCGAAGATACTTCAGTATACTCGGCTACAATGTGTTTATGCCCGGAAAAAGTCTGTTTGATCTCTATTGGATTTACAGCGATTTAGCGCCTTCCCAACTCCTCCACTCTTCTGCCCACTCTGTGATGTTGACAGGTTGTCTTTATCCACCAGTCCTCGCGGAATCGTGGATCACGACTCACGAGTGAGCCTGGAGTGATTTGCTCGTCGACTTCTGCATTTTTTGAGAACATAGTATAAGTAGGCTGCAGCCATCCATGTACTTTAATGCACGCTTCACGACTCATCAGAGTTGTTATGTAATGTAAAGGTTGTAGATCTCAAGATCTCATTGGCACTCGCTCACTCCTGCTTGATATATCATGGATGTGGGACTACAAATCGAGTTGATTCATCAGATCGTCAATCCACGCGCAGAAGATGCTGAGGCTCTCTTAGAAAGCTTAGGGCTCGCCGGATTTCCGTCTCAAGAGCAAGTCCATCGCGACATTGAACAGAAGTTGCTTCTACCGCCTCAATCCTTCCCAAAAAGCTGGCTGCCGGAATTTCAAGTGTGGGCCCAATTCCAACCGTTATACCCGTCGACTGACCACCTCCTCCTCCAGGCACTGGGACCGCCCTCTATCTATCCCCAGCCTTTTACAATTCGAAACATCTCCACCGCCTACAGAGCTGACTTTTGTTCGTGCTGGTCTCGAGGGGCGCGTTACCGGATATGCTGAGGTAAGATTGAAAAGGAATCTGTGCTTTATTTCGTTTTTGTAACATTTGCTAAGACACCCTCCCGTCGTGTTTCTACTGGTCTGACCTCCACATCTCTCGATCGTGCTCCAGGGCCAAGTAATACGTTCGTCCGGGGAAAATCCGGGTATGTGCCCTTTTGGCCAGGAGGTCTGGAGGAAGTGTCAAGCCAACCCCCACCACTCGACGGAATCAACCAAAGAGATCGTAAAGGCCTCCGAACAATACCCCCAAGCTTTAGCCGCGGATTGCGATTGCCAGGAGAGGCTGGTGATGATGAAGCCTTACTATCAATCGAGGGCGAGTCAGGAAGACCCCGCAGAGCTGATGATGGGGTACATCTACATCCCTTCACTTTGAATGGGCTAATCCGTTATTAAAGGATTCCGAGATAGATGGCGTTAACGACGATGAAGTTGAAGTCCCACCACACAAAGTGGCAGAAATTGATGATTGGTTGCCGACTTCGGTGCGTTCTGGGAGGTCTACCACTTTCCAATTAAACTTACGTCGTACTTGAGACTTCGCACCTTAGGCCAATCAAGACCTCTCGTGCGCGGATAAATGTCAGAAAACGGGATTGGGCGCACGTCATTGATGTTAACCAGCCATTGACAAAGTTTCGTGAGCTTGTGCCCGACATGGCCCATAAGGTCATCCTTCTCCCCCTCTATCTTTCGACCTACTCAAGGAATGTGATTTAGTATCCCTTTGAATTGGATACATTTCAAAAGCAGGCCGTCTACCATCTGGAGAAGGGCGACTCCGTTTTTGTTGCTGCTCATACCTCGGCTGGTAAAACTGTAGTAGCTGAGTATGCCATTGCTCTTGCCGAAAAGCATATGACACGGTAATGTCCAGTTCTACCTTGACAAAATTAGGTCACTTGACTTGTCATACAGCGCAATCTACACCTCACCAATCAAAGCACTATCTAACCAAAAGTTCCGAGACTTTAAGCAAACATTCTCATCGTCTTCAGTTGGAATTTTGACAGGAGATGTTCAAATCAACCCTGAAGCAAGTTGTCTAATAATGACGACGGAGATTCTTCGAAGTATGTTGTACAAAGGAGCTGATTTGATTCGTGACGTGGAATTCGTGATTTTCGACGAAGTCCACTACGTCAACGACGCAGAGGTTTGTTTTTCCTCCGACATCAACGAATTTTTGTTTACGTTACCGACTTTAGAGAGGTGTTGTTTGGGAAGAGGTGATCATTATGCTCCCAGAACACGTTAACATCATACTCCTTTCTGCCACGGTGCCCAACACGAAAGAGTTTGCTGATTGGGTTGGGTAAATATCATTTATCAGAAGCAATGTTATATCTAATTCAATTCGTGAAACAGACGGACAAAGAAAAAAGACATCTATGTGATCTCGACTCCGCAGCGACCAGTGCCACTTGAACATTATCTGTATGCTGGTCGAGAAATGTACAAGATTGTGGACGCGGGCAGAAACTTCCTTGGTCAAGGGTGGGTCCTGTCCTAAGCGTCGCCAACTGTTGATTTTCTAACTGTATTATCAGATACAAGGAAGCCGGGGAAGCTTTAAGACGGAAGCAAGATAAAGAACGTGAAGCAGCGGGCTTGCCTCCGGTTCAACGCGTTGGTGCGAGAGGTGCAATTCCTCCACGAGGACAACAACGTGGCGGTACACCGGCTCGTGGGGGCCGAGGAGCCCCTCCGGCGAGAGGCGGACGTGGAGGAGGATCTGCACCACGAACTATGCACACGGGAGCCGATAAGAACATTTACGTCCATCTGTTGGGCCATCTCCGCAAAAAAGCTCTCCTTCCCGTTGTTGTTTTCACCTTTTCTAAGAAACGTTGTGAAGAGAACGCGGGAACACTGACGAACACAACCCTATGCACTGCTGTGGAAAAAAGTGAGGTTCACGTGGCAATCGAGAAGGCGTTGTCGCGGCTGAAAGGTGAAAACGGTAGTGTTTTCTCTTCGCGTATAAGTTGACAAATTCTGTGTAAGGTTCTGACAAGAAACTTCCGCAAATCGCTCGTATGCGCGACCTCCTCTCTCGTGGGATCGGTATTCATCATGGTGGTCTACTACCACTCATCAAGGAGGTTTGTCTTTGTTGTAGTGTCTTTCACTTTCTCATCAAACTTCAGCTGGTCGAAATATTGTTTGCAAGGGGCCTGGTTAAAATTCTATTCGCCACGGAGACGTTTGCTATGGTAAAGATCGCTATCGCTGTAATTTGTGGTTTCATGCATCTCAACTTTTTGTAGGGTGTCAATATGCCTGCTAAATGTGTGGTCTTCTCCAGCATACGAAAACATGATGGGCGAAGCTTCCGTGACATCTTGCCTGGTGAATACACTCAGATGGCGGGTCGCGCGGGTCGACGAGGTCTAGATCCTACGGGCACGGTTATAATCATGGCCGGTGATTCGCTGCCAGAAGTACGCATTGCTAGCATTCTGAATTCGAAGTTAATGGCTTACGTTGTGTTGGCAGCAAACGACTCTACATGCTGTGATGCTTGGGACGCCTGGAAAACTTTCATCGCAATTTAGACTGACTTACAACATGATTCTCAACTTGCTGCGTGTTGAAGCACTCAAGGTGGAGGAGATGATCAAGAGAAGTTTTTCGGAGAATGCCTCGCAGCGATTGCTCCCTGAACAGCAGAAGAAGGTCATCGAGGTAACAAACTTATCCTCGATGTCCCAAATAAATTTACTGATTTATTTATGATTGTTTTAGAGTGAAAATGCTCTGAAAACACTCCCACACCTACAATGTGATATCTGTTTGCCGGACATAGAGGCTTATTATGATAACTGTTTTGAAATCACGAATAAATGTCGCAGCCTCTTGCAGACGGCCATGCGGCATCGTCAAGAATCGAAATATCTTGGTTCAGGACGAGTTGTCGTTCTGCGCGATGAGGTGGGTGAACTCGTACATGCGCACAAGACTCTTAGTATTGATTTTTTTCATAGCACTTTTCTTCTAACAATATTGCAGTTCTTTTGAAACCAGCCCCAGTGCAGTCGTTGGACTCGGTTCTCGAGAAAACCAAGATATATTATATATTAGCGTTGGTCGATCAAAATACGAAGTACGCTAAACAAGGTAAACCTTCGACCTGCCTGTTTTCGCAGCACTCACCGGTTTGAAGACATCGATCCTCAAGCAGTGCTTCCTTGTTGGCCTCTACTGCCGCAGTCTCTTGTCGTCGAGGATGGTGTTTATGAACTGAGAGCAGTTCCAGTGACTAGCATCGCACTTCTAACTAATCGGACTATCAAGGTTGGAATAGGGTTGAAAATCGACCCAACTTGTTACTTAATTTTGCTAGGTCGATGTTGACGGTGTTGTGGATCGCCACCTGATTTCCCGTATGAAGGACGGTATTGCTGAGCTGCGACTTCTTCTGGACGAATGGCTATTGAGTGGCTGTATACCTGAAGCCGATTGGGAGCGGATACGTGACTTGGAATTCCAAGAAACGCTAAGGTCAAGAGATGTGGTGATTGGCCAACTGTCAACGAGGGCATGCAGACTATGTCCTGAATTCTTAGATCATGCAAGGATCTCTTTACTTATATTGCAAAGGGTCTTACGGACATTTAACAGCTCGCCGTCATTCATGGGCAAAAAGTTTTACGTGCCAATATCGCGAACCTGAAACTCGCAATATCAGATCAAAATTTGGAGCTTATACCTGACTACGAGCAACGAGTGGGGGTCCTTAAGGAACTAAAGTTCGTCGATGAGAATTCAACGGTATTACTGAAGGGTAGGGTTGCTTGTGAGGTAAATTGCACTCACCATCTCTTGCATATCACTGTCCTGATGAATGATAGATTAACTCCGCAAACGAGCTCGTTTTAACTGAGCTGATTCTTGAGAACACATTGGCTGGATATGAACCGGAAGAAGTGGTCGCTTTGCTGTCTTGTTTTGTTTTTCAGGAGAAGACCGATATCGAGCCTGTCCTACCACCAAAGCTCGAAATGGGCCGTGACGCTATCATTGCCATTAGCGACAGAGTTGAGCGCATTCAAGACTCTTACAAGGTAGTAGTGGAGGAGTTTCGGTCCGGTCTTAAGTTCGGTCTCGTTGAAGTGGTTTATGAATGGGCCAAAGGAATGGTGAGAATCATGCCTTTAGTTGTCCTTCAACTCCAAACCCTTTTTAGCCTTTTGAACAAATCACTGCATTGACCGATGTTGCAGAGGGAACAATTGTACGGGTAATTACACGTCTTGACGAGACCTGTCGCGAAGTGCGAGATGCTGCGCGTGTTATCGGAGATTCAGAACTCTTCAAGAAAATGGAAGAATGCCAAATAAAGATCAAACGCGACAGTACGTGCCGATTCTTCATTGTTTGGGTTTAACCTGATGTTTTGAAAGTTGTATTCGCGGCGAGTCTGTACTTTTAATTTTGTTGTGTATAATATAACGATCATGTGACGAATGTTGATGCGATGACGCGACGCGACAGGACTTTCGCCAGACCTGTGCTACCTCCACCATGGCGAAACCTATCAACAGCGAATTAGATTCTCTCTCCCTTTCCGATATTGACGAAACGCATTCATCCTTTTCAAGGAAACGGCCTCGCCACCGTCTCAATGAGGACAGCCCTGATCCCGTTGAGGTAACGGATGACGGTCGCCCAAAGACAAGAAGGGTGAATCCCGCTCGACTCGCAATACGCCTTGGGCCAGAGTTGGTATCAGAGATGGAAGCTTACATTGTGCCAGGGGCTAAGATGCCCAATTTCACCGTTCGTAAAGACTTTCAAGAACGCTATTCTGTTGACCGGCGACACATCTATGATTATTTCCATTCGAGAGGTAAGCATCTTCTAAGACGTAGGATTTTGGGGAAGTTTTATATCAATATTCCAGGCTTGCGAGTTGCTAAAGAAGACAAGCACACCAATCTGACTAGAGGACGCGCCAACAAAGTCGGTTCACAGGCTGTAACTCCTTCAGTATTTCATTTGCTTCTGTGGAAATACATTAACTCACCTGATTGTTAGGTATCATCTTTAAGTTTATCTGATGGAGAAATTCCTGGTCTCGCTTCGCCCAGAATTTTCATCGCACCATCAAAACCATCACTTCCCAAGCAGGCGCAACCGAGGCCGCCCAAGAAAGTCGCCAAGAAGAAGGCCACAAAACTTGGAACCCTTGCTCTTTCTACTGGCGTGTCTATCAAGACTAAACTTATCCCTATCAAGCCATATTCTCGCTTCGGTGAAACGCTACCCCCATCTTCGTCGGACGAAACCAGGGCTGCATCTCCTGTCGTAGACGAAAAGCGGGACTCTCCTTGCCCTGAATTTACTCTGCCTTGCGATCTTTCAGACAGTGCGACGTCCGAAGACATGACTTTTGATTTTGAGCCCTTCAGTCCTTTTGAACCTGAGGTTTACTCCTTGACTGGCTGCGAGATGCTCACAAACGATTTCCTCCCGACCTACGACTCAGAGGTGGACCGCTTGATGGCTGTGGATGAGCACCGACCGTTGACCCAAGAAGAACGAACGGGGCTCTATGATTTGATCAATGGCGCGCTACCTGGCTCTATCAACATTGGTGATTCCGATGGTACATATAGCGCATACATGAAGACCAGATCGCTTAGATCGATTGATCGCCGCCTTGGAACCAATCGCGCAACCGCCTTTCCTCACAACTTGAAGTCTACTCGGTCCGAGACAACCGATCCTTATGCAAACGTTCCTGAGATCAAACTCGATGTCGACTGCTGGGTGTCTACAGACGTTGGATATATTGCGCAAGAGTTCGACCCTGCAGAGTTCTCTCAAATTCTAGTCGAATCCAGCTATGTCTGCTCAGAATTGCATTCAGAAGAGCTCGAAGCTCGGCCGAGTTTGATGATCCACGAAGCCTCAGACACCCCGCAAGCTAATCAAAGTAACATTCGAAAGCAAGTTCAAGGAGCACGAGTTACCATGTTCAGCCCCGAAAGACGTCGGCAGCGAACGTCTTCTGCAAGAGGTGAAATATGATCTCCGGCAAACCTGGTAAGTTTATTAATCAACGGAATCACCATGTTCAATTTACGGTTTATCTTCTACTTACATCAAAAAGCAAGACTACCACCAACTAGCGTCACCCTATCGTGTTTATCCTCCTAGCATCTGAGAAACCTCTTCCTCCAATTTCGATATGTTATCCCCTTTGAATAATGTCTTCTTTTGAACTAGACAAATTTGTAATGACAAACCCGAATAATGAGCGAATTATAACCCAACCAACTATGATAAGGAGCCAACATAAGACCGGATTAATGGAAGGTGTACGTCTCCATGCAACCGCAAGAGCACAAGATAACTTGACACGGCTCCCCTCCATCAGGAGGCCGCAGCGTGGAAAATTTTGGACAAAAAATATCGTTCTTCGATTGTAAGCCGCCTTCACATATTCGGGCATGGTTTGATTCAAACGATTGATGGTGGAAATCGAAGGGAAGAGGCGAAAGGGCTTCGACTGGTGAGTTGGCTCGGTGGGTCTTGTGTGGCGGCAAAATGAAATTTTCGCTTATGGATGCGAGCTCGTCCAGAGAGACGATGGGTATGCGGCGAGATGGACGGGGTTGGTGCAGCTTGATAGGAACTTGTGTTACATGTGAAGGCCAAGATGACGAAGGTGTGATGGATGAATTTGGTGGAGACTCAGCCGGAATTGAAGGCAGTGACGGTAACATTAAAGGCTTGGGACCAATAGATAGCTTGCGGTGGGTATCAAAGTGCGTTTGATGCGGGTATGATGAATACGACGATGAAGGGGAGAATATGGTATGCTCTGAAGAAAGTTCATTGGGAGCAAGATCCAATGACATGGGTATCCGGCTACATTCCCGTTCGCGATCCCAATAATTGTCCGACATAGCCGTTTCTGACCATGGGCGATGATGTTCGGTGTCCTTTGATAGCTGTGTAGATATAAAATATGGTGAATTGCCCCTGGCCTCGGCGGAAAAATCTCCCTCGTCCACTGCAAGCGGTGCATGCCAATGATGTGGCGGCGTATCAATCATTCTGGACGATGACGCTGACGGTGGGGTCGGAAAATCGCTATCATGAGGTAGCTCGGGGAGGTCGGTGAATAGCGGTGGCTGAAAGCACACATCATGGAGCGCGTCGAATGAAGGCCCTTGCCTGGCGGCGTTTCCAAAGGAATACCTTGAATGGATATTAGGACCAATTAGCATGGGGGAATAAGGGTTGTTGGGGCTAGCATCATCTGCGTAATAGAATGGAGCTTGTTTCATAGCTCAAGTTGAAAAAGTCAATAGAAGATTGAAAGAGCTGTTCTCCAAACAATTGAAGGACCTTGACGGACCACCCAAAGGAGTGGAGGGAAACTTAGGGGAGCAAGAGCTCACAACGTGGAGAGGGCAAGAGGTAGAAGGTTGACCAACGAAGTTCGGTTGGCCTTTATATACATCACGGAGCGCTGGGTGTCGTGGATTTCCAGGGCGAGTTACCGTATCTTGCTTTAACCTGTCCAGCCCGTATGAGGCATGTGTTAGCTTGGAAGCCAATTATCTGCAGATTTCTGGAGAATCGGCAGGGACGCCACGTCCGTGATTGCCTCCATCGGGCATAAACTGCTGTAATAATCAATACGATCAACAAAAGGCGTCAGAAACGATCGCAGTTCCTCTCGGATCCCTGGACACAGCACCTGGCGCCTGCCCGTCACGAAAATGACATGATGAATTGGTAATTCAAAAAGCCTTCAACTCACCTCATCAGGGAGATCAGTCCAGGTGCCAAGCATGTAAAAGAACTTGAAGGAATCTGGAGAAATGCGGCCAGAGCGATGCCACGAATTGACCTCGTGGTCTTTGTTATTGCGTAGGCAGCACCAAGAAATGGAGGAAAGTGTTTGTTTTGATCCCAAGCACCCACAGGCCTTGACCACGTTCCTGATAGAAGATTGCACAAAGAAAAACAGGGCTATGGAAACAGCACCCATTTGGACCCAAAATCGACGAGGTGTTACCTTGCAGTAGAAACACAAACACAGGCGGTTTTTCGCCGCCTCATATCACGCCGTTCAAGGGCCGTGTCTGAATGACAGACTGCGTAAGATTAGATTTAAATAACAACAACACGTTGCCACACGCGAACCACAATTGGCCCCTTTAGCCCTTCTTTCGTGCAATAACGGTTTGGGCAATCGCTCAGATCGGGGCCAGGTATCAATACAATTGTTGGGCTGTAGGGGATGTCATGGCCCCATTAACGTTTGACCACAGGTTTTAACTTCTATTGCATCGGGTACGGATTCACTAAACAGTTGTGGATGTGCTGTTCGAACACTCAATCTTCATCATCATCCGACGAACTGGAAGCGCTAGGTACGTATTGGCCGGTTCTTGCCCGCCTATGTGCGAGGTCTTGCAAACGGCCCGACCTTCTCCGGTTGTTCAATGAATCGATAGCCTCCTGTTGATTCTTTTCGACCCAGTCTTCCAGAGCTCCTGGCATCTTCATCAAGCCCTTCCATTCATGGCGAGCAATGACGGTTCCACCACGAGCATCGTCCCAACCTGCACTCAAGATGAACGGTTCCTGAGCGGTTGTAGCATCATTACCAGAACTCCACGAGTTTAATTTGCAGATAAACGAACCTGAGAATGCCAACTAACGTCACGTACGCAGTTGTTTGACCGAGCTCCACTAATTGCATCGAATTCGGGTTCCGATGGGTCAAATGACCTAGGTAGCGTCTTCGAGCGGTCAAGCACTTGAATAATCCTTCCATCAAGTGACCAGATCTATGAGCGGTCATGATAAGCATGGTTGGAAGGTAATAAGTGTCGATGGATATGTACGTGTATCTTCCCGTCAGATGAGCCAGAGTAGATGTACTGTCCACCAGTCGTGTCCCCAGGGCTGAAATGACATCTGATGAGGGTCCGGAATACATGATGCCCTCTGTACGTCATAACACTACAGTCTTGCGGATGGGCCTTATATTTAGGTTTGGGGTAATAAGGATACCTACAAGTGCGTGAGCTCGTGTGATTTGCAGGAAGCCATGGCCTGACAAACCTGTAATCGAAATTCACAGAACCGTACGATCTGCCTTCCACGGCTTCAAATTCATGGCTGCTACGCATTTCACGGAGATCCCACAGACGCAGGGCTTGATCTTTACCATTGGATATAACATAACGACCATCGCCTTTTGCAGAAACGTACGTAATTCCTTCGGTATGGCCGATTAGCACACCAGAAGGCTTTTGCGAAGTATTTAATGATCGGCGGTCCCTATAGATGTATGAGATACTGAACTCTAGCGCTATGAGCTCAATACACACCAAATCTTGATGAACGTGTCATCAGAAGCACTCACAAGGACGTTACCAGAGCTGGTGTCAGCCCAACAGCAGCTGTTTACATCATCGGCGTGCGCAGAGATCTTGACAGTCCTTCGATTTGCTAGCAGATCATATACTGAGCAGAGGTGAGGACGATTGTGAAGGGTGGAGAGTAAGGCTTGTTACCAAAAATATTCCCACTTCCACCAGCAACAACCTCGTTACCGTCAGCAGAAAATCGACAGCTCCAGATCCCAAACTCTCCATCGCCGAAATTATATCCTCTACGAGAAGGAGGATCTGCAAATGGTATAGGTATTTGGGCTGAAGATTCTCCAGGGGATGTGCAAGTCATATAAACCGTTGGAGTCTGATGTATCTCAGCAAGAAAAGTTCAGGTTCAAGGTGATACGCTCACAATCGAGGAATATATCATCCTGAGGGAGCCAAAAAAGAGATTACAGGGAGTTGACATAAAATTGAAATGTCACTGTACCTCTCATTGTCAGGAGATAAATTTGCGTCTGTCACTGTCCACCGTCCGGGATGACCCTGTATAACATTCTTGACAGCCATGTTCGACTTGAGACCAGGGTGTGGAGGCGAGCTTGATGCTTGCGGAGGCCGCGGCGCGGTCATATCGAAAATATGTAGTCTAAAATCTAGATTTGAATAAATTTCAGTTGTACCGCACGGTTAATGACCTGTATGTACTTACCCTGCGCACAGGTGTAATAGAATGACGAATCTAATGGTAACGGTAAAGGGGAACAATGAGATAGATTTGTAGTTCTCACCAGCTGAAAATTGAGCCGTATAAACGTTAGATTCGTACGTGGCGACAGAAGTCCCATTTGTGTTGGGGACGAGATTCTGCACGCGTACTATTAATAATCGACGTTTGAAGGAAGCAAACGACAGCAATTTACATTTGAGTATTGCTCTTGGTACGAAGCCGGCATCGGGTGGTGAGGCCGACCGAGTAAGCTTCTCGTGATATTCAAATTCTTCCTCACAGCGTTGATCTTAAGACCGACACTGCCAAAGTCCCCGCTCAGGAGAAGCTCGACTCCTTCCTTCTGTGGTTCGGTATGAGGGGAAAACCAACTATACATGGGTCGATGGAAAGAAGTGTCATAACTTGGCTCGTCGCCGTCGTCGTCGTCGTCGTCGTCACCCTCATCCTCGTCGTGGTCCTCCTCGACACTAGTTTCGAATGCTCTGGGTGTGTTGAATAGAATCCGTGACAACGTTTGTAGGCTGATCCCTGAAAGACCGTCTGTCCGTCTGTCTGCGCCGCCTGATGCCCGCAAGCTTGCCCCGGACTGCATTGAGAATAAAGCTAAAGATTGTGAAGTCACGGAATGGGTATTTTACGCTCTGGAGACTTACAACCAAGGATATTCTGGATTGCCGTTTCATTCCGGTCTTGGGCTTCCACCTGGGCCTCTCCATGAATATGTTCCTCCTCATCATCAGACGGATCGTCCCAGTTTGTAGGCATCTTGTAGGAGACGGAGATTGTTACATTGGTGTGACCTTGCTACAACGGAAGATGACATTGGTCAGGACCTCCCAAAGTATGACAAACAAAGCGTGACCCTAACCCACTGTGCAACCTCGGCGCAACTACTAACTTCATCCACAATCCAGCTATGACCGCTGCGCAAATCCGCATTACAGCGGACGAGATCAATTTTCTCATCTATTCCTACTTTCAAGACTCTGGCAAGCATCGCAGACATGTTATTATGATTGCGCGCTAACGGCACACGGTATTACAGGCTTTGGTCACTCAGCCTTTGCTATCCGAAATGAAGGTCGCCTCCAAAACTCCCCTCTAATGTCAAGACACATTCCTCGCGGAGAACTCGTAGACTTGCTCAGCAAAGCGCTTCTCTATATTGAGGTCGAAGCGCACTGGCGCGGGGACTCCATGACTGCTAACTGTAAATCTGGTTTCTCGTTGCTTGAGCCGCATGTTTGTTCTACCGACCATCCAACTTCGAGACTGGCACCTGCGTCGACAGTTTCGGTTGCGGAGCCTCAATCTACCCGTGTGACGACAACGGCTCAACTGAAAACATTGAACTCCTCATCCTTTGCTCAGAAAAACGATACACAAGATGCCGCACCTGCGATACCGAACGTGTTGCCGTCTACGCTAAAAGAGTCCACATTATCGATTCCATCGAACGGAAATCTCGCCCCCGAACCCAATGCGAAACGAAAAGGGTCACCAGTCCCAGTTGATGGGCCGTCTGAAAAGCGTCCTAGGCGCGAAACAGACATGGATATTGATTCTGAATGTAGGGGAAAACTTGGTTACTCTTGTTCCTTCTAATCTGAGTTCGCAGCAAATCTAAAAGCGGACCTGCATCTCGCTCCTGAACTTCCCAAGAAAACTCTGAAGCCCAAACCCAGGGCTCAAGGTCCTGGGGATGACACAACGCCTCCACAGGCAGTTAAACTGCTTCCAGGTCACAAAGCTGAAGTATGGCTGTTTATTTTGATAGTTACCAATCAGTTCTCAACGGGGGCGGATCTAGGTCTTTGTCTGCGCATTTAATCCTGTTCAAATAGAGCTGTTGGCGACAGGGTATGTAATACATTTTGAAGTACCACCCACCACAATTTTGAAGCTGTCTTTAGATCCAAAGATGCTGTGGTCAATCTATGGAACCTCCCACGACCCCCACATGGTGTCAACAATTTCGCTCGCCCTCCTCCGACGCCGCTTGTCCTTGAAAACTTCTCTAAATCTCCCCAGGGTGATCTCACATCATTGCATTGGAACTCAGAAGGCACCCTTTTAGCAATAGGTTCCTATGATTCTGTCCTTCGAATATGTACCAATAAAGGGACCCTGTATTTTTCTCATCCTCAGCATCAGGTAGGCGTTGGCGTGTGCGATGTCGAACACCTGCTCACCACTTCAATTATTTTATTGAGAAGGGCCCCATATTTGCGACACGGTTTTCAAAAGATGGTCGCTGGTTACTGACAGCGAGTTTGGACGGCACAGCTTGTTTGTGGGATGTCCGCGAGAAGTGTCTGTACAAGCAATACCGATGTCATAAAGGTAAGGCAATCGTAAAATGCATTGCCGAGCTTTCTGGTTTAAAACTCCCTTCAGATTGTTGTTTGGACGTTGACTGGCTGAATGACGACACTTTTGCGAGCGGAGGGGCCGACATGCGCATTAACATTATGCGGATAGGTGAAAACGACCCCATCAAGACTCTCGAGTGAGTGCCCCGTTAAGGTTGTGGTTTTTATTATTCATCCTGTTTAGCGGACACCAAGATGAGATAAATCAAATACGTGCCAACCCGTCTGGGACACGATTGGCGTCGTGCTCAGATGATACAACTGCCCGTGTATGGAAGGTTGATAACATTCCCTCTTCCGCCGACGTAATTCCAGGATTGGTGGCCTCTGATCATGTTTTGGTGCTGGAGGGTCACAAGCATTCAGTGAGTACCATTGGCTGGTGTCCCCAACCTCCTGCAGGAATGAACGAACTACTCGCTACGTAAGTAAACTGTACGGTTTGTCTGTTAGTTCTAATCGGCTGCGTAGGTCATCATTCGACGGCACGGCACGGCTGTGGGACTCGGTGACCGGTGAATGCTTGAAGGTTTTTGCTGATCACAAGCGACCTGTCTACGCACTTGATTTCAGCCCTAATGGGCAGTTCCTGTCAACTGGCAGTGGGGATGGTTGGCTATACATATATGATGTTAAGGTAAATTTATTACATTCCGTACAGTTCGCTCCTGACAATTTCTTCCAAGACCCACGAAAAAAAATGGTCGTGGTATGCTGGCCCCGAGAAACCGGGGGTTTTCGAGATCGATTGGCAAAATCAATCTGGAGTTAATCGCATTGCGCTTGCTCTCGAGTGTCGGCAGGTAGCGGTAATTGATGTTTCCAAGATAGCTGCTTTGGGTACGCCGGAATACATCAAGAACACACACCCAAAGCTCCCGATAGCGAAGCCAGCGTTGCCTCGAATGTCGCTGCCCAGTAGTAGCAGAGGGTAGAACCGTATATACAGGCAGTCGGGCTTTTGTATTATATTTTGCGAACGTAATGTTGTATTTGTCGAGGACGCGTAAGTACGTGATAAAGTTATAGTGCCGCAGAGTGTGTTTGCCGGGGAAATGACGTCGCCCGTTTCGGCGAATTCCTCAAATGCAGCTTTCCAGACTCAACTTCAGCCAACTTCCCATGTCCCTGTTACATTCTCGAGTTTCGACGCTGAAGCCCTTAGCGACAGCGTCAACGCGTTCTGCATCTTTATTAACCTCTCGATTGTTCAGCACAGTTCGACAAACGACTCCCAAACAACAATTTAAGAGGCCACTATCGAACCTATGGACCTCAGGATTGTTCTCCCATGGAAATCGCTCACTCATGACTGAAAGGCCTATGGTTCAAACGGAGAGTACATCCTTCTCATGGCGACGTTTCGGCATGACTGCAGTATGTCATTCAACCTCTGTTGACATTGACGAACAAATGCCATTAACATCCGTTCGTGCAGGCAGGAGTTGCTGGTGCTGTTTTCGTATTCGATGCGATTCTCAACCGAGATACGCGAGACCCCCTCACTGAGGTTGAAAGAAGTTACTTGAACGATACCTTCAAGTACACTGGGGGTGGGCTGGTCTTGACCGCTTTGGCCGCTCGATCTATGTTTCAATCTGGCTTTGCTTTCAGAGTTATGGCGGCTAATCCAAGTACTTCAAGTCAACAATTGTCTTGCATGATTTAACTGACTCGCAAATGTCATAGTGGTTGTTCTTGGTGTCAGTCTTGTTGCGAGTATTGGTTCGATGATGGGGACCTACTACACCCCTCCCGAAAAAACGGTGCAGAAGCACCTCTTCTGGCTGGTGAGTGTTGTTCGGCAGTCGGGTCGTTAGATTACGTTGTTGACAAGGACATCAGGCATTCAATGCCTGTCAAGCTGCTACCCTTAGTCCCCTCTTCTTCGTTAGCCCCGCCATCTTGTCTCGTGCTGCGCTGTACACGTGTGGATTAGTTGGATCAATATCTTACATCGGGGCAACCGCTACGTTCGTTCTTGAGTTGTATCTTCCTTTTAGTCTCTGAAGCTCATGATTGTGTCCAGAAATGACAGGTATATATACCTTGGTGGCCCCCTACTTGCTGGTATCACCGTGGTGGCATTGAGTTCACTGGCCCCCATGGTTCTTCCCATGGGCATCCGTGCCCTTGCGATCAGCGAAGCCATTTCATTATATGGTGGACTGGCTGTATTTGGCGGTTTCGTTCTCTACGAGTAAGTGTCCTGCCTGAACCCTGATGCGAATTTAACATGCCACCCTTCCATAAAGCACTCAAAAGATCATAAAACACGCTCGCCTTGCAGATCAAGGTATCATGAAGCGAGATCCTCTCAGTGAATCTATTGCACTTGAGCTTGACATGATCAATATATTGTTCGTTTCTTTCCTGCATTGAACCTCCCTTACTCATCTGTCTTGCCAGCATTCGTCTCGTCCAGATCCTGTTGATGCAAAGCAACAAGAAGAAGTAGTGCATTGACGCAGCTTATGCACACACTCATTCGCCTTTCCGAGCACACTCTGTAAATATTACCCATGTATTTGTACCCATCCCCCATGGCCAAAGGCGATGCAATGTCTATCTGCATTCCTAATTACAAGGATATGAATTGTAAGCAGAAAGTCCAGCTCGCCACTCAGTTAGCTCCCGCTTTTCCAAGGCTCACCAGAAGGGCAACAAAACCCCCAGGATCGATTATATCCGTTCCGCCATAGGTCACTCTCTTCCCCGTCTTCCCTGCCCATTCCTCTAAATTTCCGTACTCGACATAGCCCGCCCCACCCACAATGAACACCATGCTCTCGGCGAACGCCATACGCTTCCCTTTAGTCACTCCGCTGCCTCCAGCGGCGCCAGGCATCCCTGAGTGGACATGCCGTGGTGCACGGGGATCGAGGAAGATGTAATCGTCTGTTTCTTGCAGAGACTGGTTAGATGCTGACGATGAGTCCATCAACGCCTCCGTCAGACGCGTGACGGGCAGCAGCTTGTTCGCCGGTAGGAAATTTTTAACTCCAGAGATAAGGTCCTCAAACCCGCCCTCCTTGAGACCTTTAGTAATCTGTAAGGTAAACAGGAAGTTAGCACAGGTCCCCAAACACCGATTAGAACGACGACAAACCCGGCTGCCCAAAGCGCTGAAACCTTTGAAAAGCTCGCCACCTTGCCCTGCAACACCCCCAAGATTGGGCGTCGCAGTTCCCCCAGTACCCATGCTTACAGAAGTCGTCATGCGGGATATTTCGCGTGTACGCCTGACATATTCAAAGGCGGCAACGTCGGCGCCTGAGGATTTGAGCTCCTTCTCCAATTCCACGATGTCATCTTTCGAGAGCGCGTTATCTGGGAATGAAAGATAAAATACGATTACGAAACGAAGTTTGTCCAGGGGTGTGAATTCTCCGTCTGGGCGAGGGGCACGTAGCATTTCGAGGACAGTGGATATATTCTGGAAATATGTGAATAGTGTTATGTTAAGGAAGAAAGAAACAGGGAAAGAGCGACAATACCTGCTTGCTAATAGCCTCTTCTGTGCTGAAAAGTTCGTCAAGGCCTCGCTTTTTAATTTGTTCAAGAAGAGCAGTGGCGATGTTCATGTGCGTGTCAAGCGTTGCCTTTCGTGCCGTTAATTCAGGGAGTTGGGTGATAGCCGTTTTCAGGTGCGCCGCGTTTGTTGTCAAGTCACTGCAAGTGACATCTCGTTGAGCGTCACTTCATATAAACAGAGGTTTGGCTCACAGTTGAGAGATATCATTGACATCGCTGACACCTGTGCTCCGCGTAATCTCAGCTGCATCGTCCTTGTACTTGTTCAGCTCTAAGTCAATTTCTCCTGCCACTTCGGGGAATGGATTTGCTGCGCTCCTGGCCCAGAAAAAATCTTTCGAATCAAGATCGTAAGACTTCTTCGTCTGTTTCTCTGTGATTGTGACTCGGTTGAGCTTGATTTGAAGGCAGTCGGAGATGAGAGCTTGGTATGTCCATCCGTGGGCTAACATAGAGACCAAATCCACGTTACGATCAATGATGAGCAGGACTAGATCATCCCAAATAAATTGAGCTTGAAAGGAGTTATGAGAGAGAACATACGGGGGCGTTGGAGGGTTGACAACCCTGTAGCGTCATTGGTGAAGAGAGAAGTGGAGGAATGGCCTGCTCTTGAAGCTGAGAGTAATGCGTCTCGGATTTTCGTTTCGACTTTCTTCGCAATCATTTCAGCGGCGTTCCCTCGAGGTGCTCTAATAAATGGAACGTGGCCTGTGTAGACTATGTAAACGGAAGAAAATAATGGAAAGGGAAAGGCAGACCAGTGGTGGCAACGGCGCTGAAAAGTCCATTAGCAACGCGTTCTATCTCATCCTCAATTTGTTGTTCTGTCGACGAGGGTGAATTGAGGATACTGTATGTTGACGTCGAGGCAAGCGAACTAGACGGTCCGCCTGGTGAGGTCGGAGGTACTGATGGTGGTGGGGGAGGCAGAAGAGAAAACAGAGACGGCGATGGGGCGATGAAAGAAAGGTATTGGTCCACGACCTGAGGTTTGGAAAGGAGTCAACGGAATGCAAGTTGCGGAATACGAGAACACGCACCTGCTCCACGAGTTCTCCCGTACCGTCTTGAGCTACAGATGCTGCCAATTCTTCGAGGAGCGCGCGAGGAAGAGGTTCCACAAAGTTAAGGTGGAAAGATTCGTAAAGCGACTTCTGAAGATCCTGAGCTATCCGACGGATGTTGGCGAGTGTTGGGGAAACGAAATAGACTGCTGGAACATCGGAAAGTGATGGGCGGAGAGAGTGAAGCTGACTGGGATCATGCTAATGCCTATAGCGTAGAAACGGGTGAAGGAACGGGACCTACACATGTAGAGTAACACCAGCGTCGCGTAGATCCTGCACACGCAGGATTGTTGCGAGAACATCCTTCGTCTGTTGGTCCAAAACAAGGACTTTCCACACGGGAGGCCCAGATACTGGGGGTGTCTTGAATCCTGAGCCTTGCTTTGAGGTAGTCGTGCTTGGCTCTATTGGTTGATTGAGGTTGAGAAGAGACAAGAGAGCTCTTGCCTGAGCCTGCTGCAGCGTGGTCGACGCTGTCGCCTGTAGTTTCGTTGGTGAGCTGGATGTAAGCGTTTATTTTGTAGGCGACTGACTTGTCGTAGGGTGCTCGCCATGACGAGCCGCTCTCTGTCACCGTGGTAAGTAAGTACGTGGTTAGATGTGCACGTGGTAGCGCGACTGAGGCGCGATGTTTCCTTCTTTTCCAAGAACACGTCGGCTTTACATAAAAACATGGCAAAAACGATGCATATTTGTGCACTTGTACCTAAGCCTGGATATGTAATTGTATGCGACTTGTTGCTTGTCTGATCATGATTTGCATCGCAGCAGTGCTGCAGTCTACTTATAAGTAGATATCGCCCTTTCGATCTTCTCCTGTCACCATGGCTTCACGAAGCACCTGTAAACTGCATAATAAACACCGCAAGATGGCACAAGCTCGTCGCCGAATCTGGACTCGTCGCAATTCCTTCGTTTTTTTTGTCTTTGAAGCAACTTTGAAGGTTTTGTAATTCGCCTGGACCCTGCCGAATTCCCAGTTTGGCAATTACGAGTTGAAAGCAAGGCTTGTTCAGGGTTGCACGTCATTGCAGCCCGTTGCTACTCGTTCTCAGCGACTTACAGCATCCCCACGTTCTCTTACGATAACTGACGACTCGGCGCCCTCAGACACACTGAGGGTCCCACAGCGACGACCTTCTCAACGACTCCAACTATGAATGCATACCTACGACCTCGACACACTCTAAACGACTCGAGTTCAACTTCCATACCCATAGCGTCTTCGGGCCAACCATCAGCGATACCTACCGATACCAATATACCAATTTCCGCATCTCAGACAGGCCCCGTATCTTCCACAGCAGACCCGACAATCTCTGGCATCTTTGCTTTCACAACAACATTCCCTGTTACAACCGTTACCCAACCTAGCACAACATTTACATCGTTTTCAGTGTCTGTTCTCAGCCCAGCCTCTTCCACATCCCACTTGTCATCATCTGCATCTCCCTCGGCCGCGTTTAGTACCACAACCCCATATACTCTGTCCAACGAAATAATTTGTGCAGGGAAAGGGTTGGATGCAGCCTCAGCGGGACTGCTATCAGCACTCGTTGTACCGAGTCTATTCGGACTGATTTTATGGGTGCGCTCTTCATGTTATGCCCACACAATCCACGTTTACTGACATCCCGCTTAGCTCATCTTTGCCATCTTGAGACCTCGTTATCGCCAAGTGTACGGGCTCAGAGAATGGTTCGTTCAACAGGAGTACGTGTCTAATTTCCGGTTTAACGCGTTCATCTTGACGTAAATGCTTCACTACCTTTCAGCCTTCGGCCAAAACCCCTCGGCTCATCATTTTTCGGCTTTCTCTTCCCGCATGTTCCATTGGTCCCAGACGTCCCGTCCGACGTGTCGAATGCCGGCCGTTCCGCGTCTCAAGACGCCACCTTGTTCCCCTCGGACGAAGAGCTCAACCAGCGTACTCTATGGGTTGCTTTCCGCATTGTCCTTGGATGGTCTGTTCTGGCTCTCGCAGGCGCCCTTCCATTGTACCTCGTTTCTACGCCTTGTAATGCCGCCCTTCCATCTGCCTCAACATTCGAGGGTGGATATTCGACGCTTCAGGATCTCAGCTTGCTCCGTCTCTTGCGTCTGCTTGACATTAGAAATTCAACTTCAACGGCTCAAAGTTCCTTGCATTCTAGAGGGGAAGCCCCAATTGACCCTCACGACCCCCAACACGCTCGAATAAGAATCATCGTTTTGACTGCTTTTGCCCTTGTTCTGGCGTTGGCTCCCGCCTTGTGGAAAATTATCAAGGAGTTTAACGAGCTTGTTGCATTCAGGCAGCGATGGTTGGAGGTGAAATGCGAAGGGAAAGACTTGGGGTGGTTAAGTGCGACTCAAGCACAGGGCTTTGCGACTTGGGGCGAGAAACAATTGAAGGATTATTTGGTGAAGATCGGATTAAGCTCTCAGTTGGGTGATGCTGCAAAGAGGAATGGGTCCCAATCAAGGCGTCCGATCAGGATGCGCGAAGAAGAGCAACCCTTGCACCGAAATGAAGAAATGACCTCAGAAGTTGATATCCAGAGCCTCTTTTCTATAGGGTGTGTCTTCCCAGGATTCATTTTTTCTCTTTCTTACCCGGCCTTTCTAGAGATACACAGAGACTTGCGCTTCTCATAGATGAAAGAGATGAGATCTTGGAAAATTTAGAAATAGCAGAAACGAGATACATCAGTTCCTTCCGAGTGACCACGCCAGATCCTTCAATCTTAGACTTCGTTCCTCCCCCTCCAGCGGATCCAAGCCGTCCTTATATCAGCCGTCCTCTCCCTCTCGGCCCCCAACCTCGTACACGTCGACGCAGACGCGCTATGAACCGGGCGTTTGCGTCCTCCTCCCTCGCCCCGGCATCCTTTGTCGGGCCTTCATCCTACTACAAGCTTCGGGGTGTTAGAGGTGTAAGTGGCGGCAGATTTGCAGATTCGAACGACCAAATTCCAAGCTTCTCCGATTCAATCAACTCTCGTGTCATTGGCAGCCGGTTCCTCGAGGTCAATCGAAATTCAGTTGCCTATGGCAGGCTACCTCTCGGAAGCCACGTTGGCGTCGAAAGGACCACAGGAGAGTTGGGTCCGGTATCCGAAAACGGAAGCTGGGTGCCGCCCATTCCTAATCCACGTTTGTTCGGTCCCAACTATGGCCTAGAATCGTACGATGAGAACTTGCTGGTCGATGAACATGGTTTTATGAGGGGGGATAGTATATTCGAACAGCCAGAGGAGGAGGTTTTGAGTGATGAATGGGTGGACGTGGCGAAGGAGGAGGGGGAAAGGGATTTTGATAGTGATTTTAATGGGCCGATCCCCACCGCTGGACCCTCGAATTTTATGCGTCGGCCCAAGAAAGAGAAAGTTCCTTCTACGAGACGGGAAACCTTCCCCTTGAGAGCAGACCACAGATCGAATCCTGAATCCATCCCCCCACCCCATTTACGCCTCCAGCCCTCGCAACCATTCGTGCGTCCCCTCGAAGGACTCAACTTTGATGACCTGGGTCACGTCTATTCCGATATTACCCAATGGCGATCAAGACTGAAAATTATAAATGCTGAGATTGCCAACGCACAAAACGACAGTTATAACGACATAGCTTCTGGCCAGAACATCAAGGGTTGGCTGATGGTTGGTCGGGGGCTGCGTTATATTCCTGGAATGCAGTTAATCGAAGGACGAGCCAAAGAGGACATACGGTGGGATGTGTTGCAGAACGAAAGGAGTTGGATGGATGCTGCTATGTTATGGGCCATTATCATCGTGGTGATGGTCATTCTCGCAGCTGGCTGTAGGTGACATCGTTACTTCTTGGGATCATGAGTTTTAATATTTTTATCTCTATAGTGACCGCAGCTGCGGGGTTAGCTGTTGCAGGCGCTCCAGATGTTGCCCATTATCTCCCTTTCCTGCAGGGTTTGTTGACAAAGAACCCTCTGGCCACGGGAATCGCTACCGTTCTTGCGCCTGCTGTTGCCGCCACCGTCTTCATAATACTTGCCTTGCTGGTGGTTAATTGTATGTCTACCTTTCATCGTCTTCTTCACATCTTGACTTTTTTGCGGCTTTTAGGGGTCGCAGGCATTCATGGGTCCGTTTCTATATCGGGCAACCAACTTCTTGTGTTCAAAATCACTTTCTTTTTACTAACGGCGGTCGGAACTATCTGGTTGGTCGCCATCGGTGCTATACTCTTCGCTATCCAGGCCTTCACTCAGAATTCTGCGCCTGCGCGATCAGTCGCCAATGGTTCTATTTATATAAGCATCCTTGCCCTCACTCTCGTCATTAATGTTGCGATCATCTTCCCCGCCTGCCTGATGCTCCAACCATTTCGTCTATGGCGAGTTATTCGCGCAGAAAAGCATGCCATCACTCCTCGTCAACGCTTCCGTGGTGTGTGAATCATTTTTTTCCCCATTTTCCACTGTGACTGAACAGAAGGGCAGCTGTATATCCACGAACTTACAATCCCTCATTTGCAATTGGCGCATGCGTGCTTGCTATTGTTTTTGCGTCCACTTTCACACTCATTTTCCCTCTAATGGCCCCTGCTGTCGTCGTTCTTCTTCTACTCACTGTGATCGGTAAGTAAAATTACCCTTTTTCATGTTCAACGTTGTGTACTCATAGTACCCAGCCCATCGCTATCTTGTTGGCTATGTTTATGCAAGGACACATTCCCAAACAGGCGGATTGCTACAGATCTGGCTGCTTAGGCGTTTTGGCACGCTGCTGTCCTTCCAGCCAATTCTTCTTGGTCTCATTTTTCTCAGTCGAGGGTTCTGGATAGAAGGCGGTATTCTCGCTGGCGCTGGGATCTTCGTTATTCTTTTTGTTGAGGTTTACACGAGCTGGAAGACCAGAGTCCCTGGACGTGGGTCACTAAGCCCTATTACACAAAACTCCCTGGAGAGATTTGAGAGCGGGGCTGACCGGTATTTGGAGATGGAGGAAGACACCGTCAATGGAAGCAGCGTCCGGGATCCTCGGACTCGCGGATCTATGGCGTCTGTGTTGGAGATGATGAGTTTGACGCTCGCTGTGATGCCGTCAGCGTCTACATATCGTGGACCTATACCGCTTCGTATGTTGTTCGCTTGCGTACATTGGCTCTATTTTTACCCTTCTACTCCACAGATACAGAGACGTTGGACGATCTGACGGCGACTGAAAGGGCTGCTCGGACGCACCCTGATGCACCACCCCACCTTCCGCCGTTACCGTTCGCTGATCATGCAGAAGAAATGGCGGGGATTTTGTATGCGCCAGAACTGATTGCGCCGCCCCCGATCATATGGCTCCCAAATGACTCTGCTGGGGTGGCCAGGTCGGAGGCTGTAGATCTGCAAAAATACCACGAATTGCAAGTGACGTTGGATGTTACAGCCGCCCAAGAGGACGTGAACCCTAGACGATCAGCTTCGTCGCGTACATCGCGGTGACGATAACTAGACACTTCTCCTTCTGATATTTATTCTTCTTTTGCTTTCTTTTGGGCACCATGGATAATTTTTCTACCTTATGGCATGTCAAAATCCCACCGGAAGTAGTTGCAAATGGACATAACGAGCGAATGACGACACAGATACGACTTACCCCAATGACGTCGAAGACTCGAAGTCCCTGATTCAGCCAATTTTTAAAGGATTACTTGAGACTGGAGGAACTCTCATAGTCCAGGTTTTTAGCTCAGGCTTTGACGTTCAGACTTCGTGCATGCTTCGCGACTGCAGCAAATTTATCTTGACACTGTATAGCTCATTGACTCTCGGGTCTTCTCATTTTCGTCAATTTGTTTGTTGTGTGGAGCAACAATTCCCCTTGTCCGTTCCCGACCAGCCGATGTTTTTTTTCAAGTGTTTCAGGACGGCAATGTGATCCGAACCCCGTAACCCATATATTAGTTCACATAATCTGTGGAAGTTTTTTTTTGCACCCAAGAGCTCACAAACACGCACGAGCTCACAAACTTTGCCATTCTAATTTTCATGCCCCCTGCTCTCCAACATGTCTGATTTATCAAAAACATCTCAACCGATTGAAACGGTGGACCCAATTATCCTATATTCACGGTCTCTACACGAATATACGCTTCGCCTATGGACGGAGTCGAGAAGGGTTGCAGAACAAAATTCTAGCAAAAGGAGAGAGGCAAAGGTGTCTGAAGAAGAAGCAGAGAAGGAGGTGTCGGGTTGTCGAAATCCGCCTGCAAGTCGGTAACACGATGTTGACCATCGCTTGAGTGGATAACCTTTGGCAAGTTCTCATGCAATCCCCCCCAGCGCTCGTTGGTAGACTCTAAACGCCTCTAGTCCTTGTTGTCATCCCCATACGGTTTACATCTCTCCAAATCTCACCAGGCAACTCCCGCAATACCGCCTCCCTATTAGTGGAGCAGAGTGGAGCCATGACCATCACGACCACCTATCTCGATATCACCCCTCCTTCTCCGTGCGTTCGTAGCTGTAAATTATCATCGCTTCATCTTGTCTTACTTACGTATGGAATGATTGGATTCCCTCTTTTCTTCTCAATGACGGTCCTGTGGCCATGGTCTTTGGTCGATGTTCGACAGCTTTTGGCCATCGAGGTTGCCTATAAAGGTTCTGACAGCGGTCGATCAGATCGTATATTATATATGTGCGTACCTTTTCCTTTCTGCTCTACTTAATCTCCAGTCTACATCTTGAGCGCCGTTTGACAACCAATGCCAGCGTCCACCTGCGTCCACATGCACCGCGCATTGCAAGGAGTTCAAGATGCTGCTATTTTGATCACCTCTCCGGCAATAATAGGGCCATCAGTCAGTTAGTGTAAGCTGTGACCCGAGCAGCACACGTTCGCGAAGAAGCCTGTTGCTGTGCGTATAAATAAATGGCCTCGCAATTCTCCTTTTTTCACACTTAACGCGCTTCGATGCGTAGGCTCCTCCAAGCTGCTCTGTCCGTGTCGACAGGATTGGCGGCGTCCATACAGCCTTCCACCTTCACAGCGCCCGGTGCTTTCCCCACCTCAGCGTTTACTAGGTACTACAATGATCCAACGGCCACCTCAGCTCAGCCCCAGCCAGTCATTTCTGACCCAGTTACCGTTGCGTGAAGCTCATTGAGTATATGCATCTGTAACTGACCTGCTCTTTCTTAGCATGAGGTTTATGCTTTCAATTTAACGGACCCAAACCATATCCCGCAGAACGATACCATTGACCCCCACCCTTTGCCTCCCGTCGCGTCGTCTTCCCAGATTCTTAACATCGCGATCGCCCAACTTCAATCCATCCCAGCCAACCCCGTCTTCACAAACAACACATGTGCATCATGCCAGGCTTCTTTAGAAGTTGCAAAGTTTCTTTCTCTCACCGCTCCTGAACATGGCCCTGAGTTCTTTGCTCACTTTTGTAACACCTTCAAACTTTCCAGTACTTGTAACGTCACGTACAGCCTCTCTGGAATTGGATCCGTCATTACGCAAGTCATTGCAAACGCAGACGTCGGAGGGTATGATGGACAGGTGAGTAATAAGTTTTTGTCTGTGTGTGTGTCATATATATTTATAGCCAGTTAGGCCATCTGTCACAACTTCGTTAGCGCGTGCCCGCAACCCCCTCTTGCGCCACTCAATTTGGCTAACTGGTTCGCAAAGCCGAAGCCCAACCCCCCCCCAGCTCCGAAGCAACGCAGTGGAAAGAGGGTTCCTGTGTTACACCTGTCCGATTTTCACATTGACCCACGTAGGTACTTACTCTTGAGGACATCGATTCGAAACTCATTGTTCCGCACTAGGCTACGCCACTGGCGCAGAGGCGAACTGTTCCTCAGGACTGTGTTGCCGACAAAACGGATTCAACACGCAGAGTCTCAATTCCCCTCTGTCTCCTGCGCCGCGTTTCGGAGCCTATCGCTGGTATGATTTGTGTCCCATGTATGTCATTGGTACTTGACCGTTTTTCCACTAGCGATACACCTGAGGCTCTTGCTTTAGCTGCTATTGAAGCCATCCCAGCTTTAAGTGGTACCAAAGAGACAGGATTTGCGTGGTCTATTTATACTGGCGATCTAGTCTCTCACGATCCTGATAACCAACTCTCCAGGTTGGCTTCTGCTCGTTTTTTGTTTGTCTGACCGAACTAACGTGGTTCTAGACGCTATGTTGAATATACTGAGGTGTTTATGACGACAGTCTTTCTTTTGGTGAATTGCTCAAGTTGGTTCCTATCATAGACGCTCCTGTACGATCTTTTCAAGCGCATGCTTGGATCAGGACCAGTGTATGCTGCCCTCGGAAACCACGACAGCTACAACCAGTTCGTATATGTGATCACTTTAACTTAAATCCACTAACGTTTCGCAGGGCACAGGATGCCCCTCATGCCATCGGGGGAGAACTCGCCGAGCAATACAGTTGGTAAGTGAACAAGCGGCATTCCCGGTCAATAAGCTCATCAACGACAGGAACTACGACCATGTTGCTGGACTCTGGCAGTACGAAAATTGGCTCCCAGAGGACGCGGTAGCGCTCGCGAAGGCCCATTACGCGGGATATATGGTAAAGCGTTCAGACGGGCTTCGCGTCATTACGCTCAACACGGACATGTGTGCGTTTTTATATCATGTTATATGGCTTTTGGAACTCTTGACTAACGCATTCATTTCAGGGTACAAGTAGGCTCTATTTTGATGGTCTCCGTCGGCTTGATTGAGATTAGGGCAACGTAGAGCCAATTATTTCAACTACATTAACATGACAAACCCCGATAACTCTGGAATGCTTCGGTTCTTGACGGACGAGTTACAGGCTGCAGAAGATGCTGGTGATCGAGGTCAAATTTCATTTCAGCGATAAAGTGAATTTTACTAACCTTCGCATAGTTTGGATTGTGGGACACGTTCTTAGTGGATGGGATGGGACAAACCCTTTGGCGAATCCCACGAATCTCTGTACGAGGCGTTTCGTTTGGGGATTTTCTTTTTCAGCTCTGACGACTTTAACGACGCCTTCAAGTTTATCAAATGTGCATTTGAGCCCTTTCTACGTTCTGGTCGCGGTACTGAACTACATCTTGATAGCGTCGATCGATACTCCCCTCATGTCATAGCCAGTTCGTCGGTTTCCACTGATCGTCCTTGATCCTTTTTTGACCTTCGCTTCAATAGACATTTTCTTTGGACAGTGAGTATTTTTGACAAATTTCACGATTTCACGTCTTCAACACGTATTCATCTTCCTCAGCACGCACGAAGATCAGATATCGGTATGTCGTTCTTCCCACTCCACCCTTTGGTCATGCCTGAGTCAAGTGGCAGATTTTTTATGCGAATAACGCTACGACAATATCCGCAGATACAGCATTGGCCGTCTCTTGGGTGGGTTCCGTTTGCACGAGCTGCTCTATAACGATCCTGACCTTTCGCCTTCGTGGAGATGGGGCCGTCTATTACTCCGTTGACTAATCTGAACTCAGGTTTCCGTGTTTATGAAGTAGATTCCGCAGTGAGTTTCTCGTGTCCCTTCCCCCCGTGCTCTAGGAACTCAGGGACCTGACGTAGACATTCGAAGTCATGGACGCACACACGTTCGTTATCTTTCACCTTTCACGTCGTAACATCTTGATGACTAATGCTCTTCCCGGCATATTAGGTGGAGCAGCGACGTAAACTCATTCCATAGCCTTGATTCTCAAATCCAATTCGGTCCGACGTACGCATACGAGTACAACACACGTAATGCGTATGGTGGGAACATCACTGGATGGACGAATGATGACCCACTGAATGCCACATGGTGGCATCGCGTCACGGAAGGTGAGCGCTTGTTGCGTTTGTTTTCAGTCATGATACTTACTCGAGAAACCCGGAAATCAGCAATGGAGTCTGACTCAACCTTGGTTTCGGTGAGCGTTTTTTGTTGCAGCTTTTTCTCATCATTGGTTGTTGACTTGGGGCAATGCAGACATTCAATACTTTCCAGGGCAAGAGCTCTGTTCGCACTCCTCCCTGCGTTGGTGATTGCGCAGCGGCCAAAATCTGCTATATGCGCAGCGGCTCCGTCCCTATTGCGCAAGCAAATTGCAAGACGGGCTTTGGGTCGGTGCAATCAGGATGAAATGACGACTTGAGGGCGAGCGGTTATGTACAAAGTTATTTCTTGCACCTCCTCACACCTCATATCGGACAATTGGGCACTTGAACTCATTGACAAATGGACAAACGAATAATTTTTTGAGCTGGGAACGAATATTGTGAACAAATGCTTGAATTGAATTGAAATAAATGATCTGTCCTCAGTATCAAACAATAAGCAAAATGATTCATTCATCCTAAGATTTGTCCTGCGCTTTGCTTAGCCCTATACATCCTTGTTTTATGTGAGATGTGATAACAGAATAAATGGTTTTTCGAAAAAGGTGCAAGACAAGTACATATGTACAGATTAAGAGTTTGAGTTTCATCTAAGCTAGGACAGGGTTGTTCTCCGCAAAGTACTCGTGCGAATCTGCATTCATGACAGCTTGAGCAGGGTTGCTGGTTGCAAGGCTCTTGGCAGCGGATTGCCCATATGCGTAGTCGTTTGTGCCGCCATTAGCGGTGAAGTGGGAAGTTTCGTGAACGAGAGTTCCGGCCTTCACAAAGGTGTCAGAATGGTCAATGTTCTTTCGCGGAGACATTCCTCTCACCTTGGAGTCAGTTCCTGTGTTGGGCGCATTCCAGAATGCACCACATAAATAAATCTTTCCGAAGCTGAGATATATCGCGAGATGTTAACTGGCGAGAATCGATACAGTGTCAGCATAACTTACGTGCTGGGGTACACATAAGCGTATGACGTGTCCGTGCAAGAACAATCGAAAGTGAAACCAGAGATGCTGCTGCCGCTGATCTTGGTGAAGTGGGAAAGAATGGTGCTACGACGGGCAGTCGTGAAACTACCGAACCAGGTGGTGAAGCGAGTCGAAGCTGTTGTGTGCGATGTAACATAACTATCGATGTTGTCGACCATTAGTGAATACGGGAGAAAAAAATGCAACGCACGAGAGAGCACCAGCAGCGTATGTCTGAGCCGATGCAGCGGCGGTGTTGATCAGGGTCTGACGGGCAGCAGTGCAACCAATAAAGGTAGCTCGCTTTGTCAACCCTCCAAAGGGTTCGGATCGAGCGATAGCAAGATTGCCCGCAACACTTGCGGTATACGCCTGTGCTTGATTCGCCCAGAGGGTGGAGACTTCTTTGTTGTCGTTGACGATGTAGAAGAGATTGTCAGCCTCAAACTCGTACGCCCCTACTCCAGACGATGTAAAGTTGTAGGCTTCCGAAACTAGGTAAAAAGTGATTAAGGGGAGGACAGATTTTGCAGAAGAGTTTGTACGCACGATCATGGGAGACGTCGATGGAGCTCCCAGGTGGCAGGACTGTGAAGTCACCTGCTTGAACAGCAACCGTCGGCGAATACTTCACCTTGACCCCGTGGAATGCTGGGCGACCCCCATGGGAACTGGTGATGGTGAACTTGTTGGCAGGACGCTTCGACAATAAACCGCGAGGATCGTTCAGGATCTTCAACGTCTCGTCTCCGGTGTTGGTAATAGTGGCCACAACCTTTAGATTTTGTACACCGGTGACGGAAGCAGGACCTGGGCAGTTTGGGCTTAATATGTGAAGTATAAACGAGAGAAAGATTGCCTGCCTGACACTGCTACGGAAAGCCCAGGCTTAGCGGAAACGGAGAGTACCGCTAAAACGAGAACAGAAAGGAGTGTGTGTAACGATGAAGACAGCATTCTTTTAGCACGTTGAATGACTACGAGGTAATCCCCAGATGGTTATTCCCCCAGCTTATAGCAGAATCGGTTCAGAGGCGCGCTTGGCAAAGCGCATATGGCTTCAGCTTAAGAGAAGCAGCATCATACGAAGATTTGAATATCAAAAGTCTACCGACCATAGTCATTAATCGAAACTTGAGGCGTTATGACTTGGGACATGAGCATCTGATCTAGCCAGCGAATTCTCCGCGTGTAGCCACAAGGAAGCAGGCATAGTTCGCCACGGAAACGGATAGGATAACCAACGTTCAAGTGTGGGCCACAAGGGTGTCAGATAACCAAGCAAAGAACCTTGAAGCGACATCCATGTGGTGTTTGCTTCCATGGGATTGTCTCTAGTCACCGTTGCCAGCAAAAGAGATCACAAGGGCAAGGTTCAGCCAACTAGAATTATAGAGGTTTTCGCGACCTCAATTTCAGCGTTCTACGTGAAAGTTGCGCATGAGTTGGACCAAGACTTGAGCTCAAGCTGGAGTGTTAGCGCGCTCGGTTGGTGTTGTTAGGCAACAAGATAAATAATAACTGAGATAAGATAAGCCAGAGTTAGTCCACAACCACGATGGCAAACCAAACGCTTCCTCCAGAAATTTGGCTGGAAATATTCGAATGGGCGACTTTTAACTCGTTTCTTACAGGTTATACGCCATTTCAGAATATTCCGGGCGACAGTCGCGACCCTTCACTTCATGTCAAGAGTACTCTCTCCCTAGTCTGTCGTAGCTGGAGGGAATGTTCGACCCATCTGTTTTACAAGGAGATCAGGATCAGGCACGGCGCCCATGCTCTAAAGCAAGCTTTAGGGAGAACAATTCAGGATGATAGACTCTATGGAAGCTTGGTTCGCAACCTAACCTCATTCCTTTTCATCCATTCGTTAATCTGTATTTCATATGTTCTCCCTTCGATGATGCATGGCCTCATCATCACGAGCAGGTCCGCCGTGTGGTTCTTCCCTACCCGAGCACGGCACCTCGTCACTTACAGTCGTTGACGTCAATTGACATTCTCAAACTCTGTCCGCACATAGAAATTCTCATCAGACCTCAATTCCTCCTTCTCGATGGCCTTCGCTATGACTTTGATGTAGAAGGAGTCCATATGCCTTCACTTCGCCGCCTTGAGTGGTGGCACCACAACGAGGCAGAACGAACGGGTGGGATCAACTCGCTTGGGGCCGTTCTTCGGAATGCCCCCAATCTTCGTTTCCTATTCATCGGGGGTGTCGTCGGCTCAAGTCACACGTGCATAGAACCGGAGCCAGTTGCTCTTCCAATGCTGGAAACTCTCCGCCTTTGTGTTATAAGTGGTCTGTTGACGCGTCAAATACTGTCTCGGTGGGCTTTGCCCTCCTTGATCAATCTTATTATGGATTCGCCGCTTGTTGAACAGGCCTTGCACAGCATGCTGGAGACGTACGGCCCTCAACTTCAAACGGTGGAGTTCGGGAAACATGTCCGTTTTCTGATGATCGATTTCCTGTCGCCGTGTTTGAAAAGATGTCCTGCTCTCAAAGAATTGAATTATTATGTCTTTTTCACGGAGCCCGCTGAAACAACCCTTGTTCACCCCACACTTGAAACGGTTCGGCTACACGCTGCTGTGAACTCCATCGTGTCCGACGGACCTTCTCTCTGGGCTTTGCTTGAACGTCACTTCTCTTTCTTGGGGAACAGGGGGGCACTACCAGCACTCCAGCGGGTCGTGCTCTGTGGTGACTGGAGGCCTGTTGTAATCAATCAGCGTTTTTATGCCTCGTGGAAGCACGTCACTGGCGCAGGACGTGTAGTTGAGATTTCATCGAAAACGGGACACCCAGTGGTTTTGGAATTGGGTAAGAGGTCATGCTCGCTGAAGGGAATCTCTGTTCACCTCTAGCTCGTCAGGCTCAATAGACGCAAAATCCTAAGAAGTCAAGAGATATTGTGTGACCTACAAATATACATCGCAGAGATGGGGCCCTTTGATATTGACTCCATCTTTCATATATCAACTTGTCGACTCTTCTTGTTCCACAAAAAAGCCTCGAAGCCAACTCGCTTCTTCCACCATCTCCTCCATTGTCCTTGGAGCTCTATCATCGTCTGCGTCTACCTTCAGCGGCAACGGCTTTTTGCTTTCATGAAGTTCTGAAAGCAACGAACCTTCCTGATGTTCTAGAGCAGGATATACCGCATCCTTATCGCTGGCAAAGCGATCGCCTTGAAACTTGCGAGGAAGGAGGTGAAAGTGGACATGGGGAACAGTTTGCCCTGCTGCCTTTCCATCCTATTTTTTTCTGGTTCAGTAATACCAATGGCAGGCCCAAGGAATAAAGAAACCTGGCAGGCGACGGTGAGCCCGTCAGCGCCATATGCCCGTTGTATTACGTTTCCGACATGTTGAATCGAGCGCATGAGAGCACTTAGTTCGTGGTCTGAGTGATGTCATTGAGCAAGGCCACTTAGATAGATGGTGTGATATTGAGAACCATCTAAGTCGGACAGGCGCGGAACTGGTCGGTTCGGGACAACAAGGACATCTGAGTTGGACAGTGTGTTAATGCGAGTTAAATTGTGGGTTCTTTTCATCAATAGTCTTACGTCCAGGAACGATGGGTTTGAGGTTGACTATAGCATACGAGAGCGAGGAGCGATAGAAAGCCTGGCTAGTAACCTCAATTGTAGAAAAGAGCAGCTTTGCGCTCATGGTATTGAAGAGCGTTCAAGAGACTTACGTAATGGGCCTATGTCGAAATCGCTACAAATTGGCTACAAATGCTTTCAAAGCTACAAATATAAATATATCTCATGTCGACCTGGTATTGAGTAGATGATAATACAGTCCTTGAAGATTTATGAACACCAGAATCGTGCCATGGCGATTGATGCTTCGGAATAGGTGGGTGCATCGGTCATGATTCCATAAGTCCTTTCCAAATTGACGAGCTCCGGGCAACAGGTGGGTCCTGGTCGATCGCTCGAGTAACTCGGACCCAATAGTGTCGGGACGCTGTTGGTGCAGGTGTGTCGAATAGCTGAGGAGAAATCGATGATGCGAACGCTGGTACCCATTCTCATGATATGTCGCCCATTCATTAGATCCCCATGAAGCAAACCAGCTTGGTGAATCTTGCACGAGGCAATCATAACTTGTCGGCTTGGAAACGTTAGCTCATTGTGGCAGAGGGCAAGGTCTTAAGAGACTCACTTGAATTCTCGGGCGTCCCATATTGGCAGACCAGAGCAATACTCGAGGACCATGCAGCCTAAATCGATGCCGTCGACTTTCCCCTTGTAAAGTCCATAGAATTTAGGTACGACGGTGCCCTGCAGATGCCGCAGCTCGTTTGTGTAGATATCAGCTTCCTGAGCAAGCTTTTCGAAAGCACTTTGTCCACGGGCAAGCTTAATAATTACGACCTCGGAAGGTGCTTCTAGACGAGGACCAAGGCGAGCGGTGTGGATGGTGGAGCTGATGCGCTTGACGACTTCCGCAGTCTTATGTTCGGACCCGGCCGACCACGACCACAGAGTGTAGGAATGAAAGCGATCCCAGCGAAGTTTGAGGGTAGCCATGAAAAAAGTGAAGTGAAAAGTGGGATGAGCTAGAAAAGCGGGTAACAAGGTCGCTTATATAGATAGCTGAACAATGGGCCAGTCAAAGCGGCATCACTCGTGTTGGGTGTTGGGGCAAAGTGCAGGCCACCGTCAAGCCACAAACTCTGTGGCCAAGAGTCGACGCGGCAGGCCATTTGAAGTCGCGACGTGATGATAGAAGATACAGCCTAGTGTTTGGTTTTTGAACGTAGCTAAGTGTAGCATCACGTGGCCGCGCTTTGTCAAATCTAAAAATACAAATGTCCCACCCCAATAACTATAGCCTCTCCTACCAGCTTGATGGATTTCGCTGCCTCATCCCAAGTCAACAGCAAGTCGCCACCCCTAACGCTGACCTGCTTTGCCTTAATGCTCTTCCCGGATGCGATCCGTTGCTTTTGGTACCAATAAGGGGTCAATACACAGTGCGCAGAGCCACAAACGGGGTCCTCGCCACCAGGAATCATTGTTGGAGAAAACATCCGAGAGACAAAGGATTCATTTCCGCTCGAGGACGCTGTGGTAACGGTATTTATGATGTAGCCAGTGTCGCGCTGTGCAGAGGTCAGTTTGTTTACGCTGAAACACTGACATCAAACTGACAAATGCTTCTGCATCCACTTTACATTCTGCAAGGTTCTCTTTTTCATCCAGCTCAATGAGGAGCGCTGTGATAATAAATTCAGCCACAGGATAAACTCGCCTTGTGGTCATCTCACCATGCTCATAGGGAGGTCCGCTGGCACCCAGGTAGTTGATGACAACCTCCCGTCCAAAAGCCTTGTTGATCAACGGAATTATTCTGGATTTCTGTTCCTCAGATAACTTTGTTGTGGTGCCTGTAGGAAACTCAATCTCGACCAGCCCACCGTCGACCTTCTTAGCCGCCACAACTCCCTCCGATGGCGTATGAAACTGAAGCACGCTTATCGACGCCCTCCCCGTTTGAGAAAAAAGGACCTTTGCGCTGGCCAGTGTTGCGTGTCCACAGAGGGATACTTCGACGCCGTTTGCTGCGAAGTATCGAATGTCATAAACCGCAGTCGTATCGTTTTCTGCCGATAACTGGGATGGCCCAATGAACGCCGTCATGGGCTGGTTGACATTCCTTGCGATGCCAGCCAAAGTGTCCTCTGGAGTGTTTTTCGGATCTAAAAAGATGACGGCTGCGGGGTTCCCGCCGAAGGGGCTAGTGGAAAACGCTGCGACTAATGAGAAGGAAGCTTGGTTCGACATGTTCTTGTTTGTGAAGCTTATCCTACTCCTTGACCCTTGCTTTTAAGAAAAGAGGTGTTCGAGTCATATTTTTTTGGCCTTACTCATCACATCAAATTCTGAAGATGGTGGAATGGTATACATCGGTTATGGCGGAGCATCAATGCATCACTGTCAACCCCTCCCACCGATACCGGAAGGCTACGTACGACCTCACTCGTTATCCAACAAGACCACTCAAACAATCAGCGTCAAGGTAATCCACGATGACAGTGCGTAGACATGAAAGTGGAAAAAGAGAAGCTTGAGATAAACATGAAAACTACAAAGAAAGGCGGAAGTGGGATAACTGGCAAGAAATGGAAAGAGCTACCCTACACTCGGTATGGTCAAGATATGGATGTCCACTGGCGGGAGCAAAGAGCCTTGACAATTTCTAAAAACACAGATCTCCCACGCCGATGATGGCAGCCTCTCCAAACAACTTCATGCGCTTAGCCTCCTCGTCCCAGCTCAAAATCAAGTCACCACCTCGGGGGCTGACCTGCTTTGCTTGAACGCTTTTCCCAGATGGAACCCCTTGCTTTTGGTACCAATAGGGGCCCATTACGCAGTGCGCAGTGCCACAAACCTGAAATCATCCTTCGAGAAAAGATACGAGAAACCAAGGTTTCATTTCCGCTCGAAGATGTCGTGGTAACGGCATTTATTTCGTAGCCAGTGTTGCGCTGAGTAAAAGTCAGATTGTTTATGTTGGAGTAAGTTAGGACTGACAAACGCTTCTACGTCCACTTGACATTCTTTAAGGTTCTCCTCTTCGTCTAGCTCAATGAGAAGCGCTATAATAATGAATTCAACAACGGGATAAACCCGATGTGCGCACATCTTACCATGCTCGTAGGGAGGCCCACTGGCACCTAGATAGTTGATGACAACCTCCCGTCCGAAAGCCTTGTTGATCAACGGAGTTATTCTGGATTTCTCCTTCTCACGTAGTTCTGCTGTGGTGCCCGTAGGGAACTCAATCTCGACGCGTCCATCCTCAACCCTCTTAGCTGCCACAACTCCTTCCATGTGCGTATGAAATTGAAGCACACTTATCGAAGCCATTTCTGTTTGGGAGAAGAGGACCTTTGCCGAGGCCAGCGTCACATGCCCACAGAGAGACACTTCGACGCCGTTTGCTGCGAAGTATCAAATGTCGTAAACCTTAGTGATATCGTTCTCTGCCGGTAAATTTGAGGGGAATACAAACGCCGTCATAGGCTGGTGGACATTCCTTGCGATGCCAGCCAAGGTTCCTTCTGGAGTGGTTTTCGGATCTAAAAAGACGACAGCTGCGGGATTCCCTCCAAAAGGGCTGGCGCAAAACGCTGCGACGAGTAAGAAAGATGCTTGCTGGGACATGTTCGTCGACCGTCTCCAGGGATTCCCCTCGATACCCAAGGAAGAGGCGTTTTATACTTTGATACAAGCTACTCATCACATCGTGCTGGCGAGTGGGGATAGTCTGTTTTTAATAGAGGCTAGAACCGTAAATGTGGCATGATGGTACACGTCAGGAGGTATATCTCACTCATTCTCCGACTCATTCCAGTCAGCATCAAGCAGGCGTATTCCCCATCTCCTAAGTCTCCTCCGCCACTCCTTCATCTCCCCTTGGACACCAGCTTCTTGGGCCATAGACCCCATCCCTTTTCTCAACCACCGAACATCCCTCGCACGAAGAACTGCGAGATTGGGTAAGTGGCGTAGTGCCCTTTCCAAAACTCGCCAGAAATCAGCCTTGGGTCGAGGGATGGAGAGGATTTGTAACGCATGATTCTCCTGTAAGGAGATGTCCGGGAGAGGATTCTCGAGGGAGAGGTGACGAAGGTTAGGGGTATAATCCATAACATTATGTGGCGAAGGGTGGTTTCGTGCTGGCCATGATTTGGGTGCGAAAAGAATGAGAGACCGGAGGTTTTCTCCATGAGTAGAGATCAGGTGGGTAACGAGAGATGCGGGATATGGTACGTCATCATAAGGGGTGACTGTAAGTTTCTGCAGCGATGGTAGAGGAGAGTGGAGCAAAGCAAGCATGAAAGGGGAGGCGTGCATGGAAACCAAAGATAATATACGCAGGTTAGGTAGGCGAATCGGCTGGAAGTAGTCCATTGGAGGTAACTGTAACCCATGAAAATTGAATTCCAGCTCAGCGGGGTCCAAGCCTTGTCCAACGATTTCCAACTCCTCCAAGTTGGGACAGCACCGAAGTAACTGGACAAATGGATCATCATCGGGAGTAGGGGAAGGCGGAGGGACGTAGCTAAGCCCTCCAAGTATGCGGAGATTGGCTGCTCCTTTGCGGTCAGCTAGTGAGGATAGAACCCTCCGGCTGAGCACGAATGATGGATTGACGTAGAGGGTAGAGAGGAAGGGTAGCACTGTAAATAAACGCGCCAGGACCGAGTCGAGAAGAAGAGCCTGGGGCTGCCCGGCGAAAGCAATTCCGGAGAGGTCTAGGACCTGTACCCAGCGGCCTGGCGTCGAGTAGGGTATTCGTCGAATGGAATCCCATTTTTGGTCCGCATTGTGTAGTAGATCATGAAACTGTTGTAAGGCTGAGACTTGATCAAGGCAAATGCTGGAATATATCAGCGGGAGTGCGACTTCCTATGTGTAGTTGAGGTGTTAAAAATTAATAAATGAGGTTGAAGGAGAAATGCAAATATAACAGACCTTGAATCCTTTGCACACTCTCAAAAGAGACCATGACCACTTGGCTTCCTCACAAGCCAGGGCATAGGCAAATATCTTCGACCATAGTTCAGCCGGGAGAGGTCTCAACGGCTTGGGGTGGGGTAGCAGAGGTAGTAGAAGGAAGGCACCAGAAAACTTGGCGAGGGGTCGTGGTCGAAGTAGAATAGTCTGGCTGGTGCTCATCATTCCAGCCGAAAGAGGACCGCTTCACCAAATCCCAGACGTACTTATAGAAGGGAAAGGGGGTACCTCAAGGGGAAAGGAGATGCCTCGAGGCGACTTGGGCAAGCCTCGCTTCCATTTGTCGTACCACCGCCAATTCGTTCATACTGACAAAACATGGTTCAACATAGATATCTACATATCTGTTACAGAATATCACCCATCTCTTCAACGAACCGATCGTAATCATCCTTTCGCTTTGAATCCACCTTGTCTTGTTTCGTTGAGGCTTTCTGTGAACCGGGAGAGGGTCCAAACTGGTTCTTCAACGTACTCAAAAGATCAGGCCTTGCATCCACATTCAATTCCGCATCATTCGCCAGTTCACCAAGCGATGGCGCTGCATTCACACCCGACGATGGTGTACTCGCAGCCGCGGCCTTTTTGCGTTTGACCGTTGTGGGTACGAATGCCGTCGCCTCTTTCTTGAAGTCTCGTAGTTGCGGAGCAGCGAACACTGTTGCGGCGGCAAGCTCCGCTTCAGATGCTTGTGGTTGAGGGGGTGTTTGTGTATTACTCGTAGGTTTTGGAGGCAAAGAGGGATGTGGAGCGGCCAATTGAGTGGCTCGATGTGCCTGGAAGGTTTGATGGGGGATAGAGGAAAGTGGATCTTGCACTGAGGATGATGATTGAGTCCGTCGGGGAAAGAAACCTGGTGGAGGAGGTGGCATCGAGTTTGGATTAAACGGAGGAGGAGGGGGGAAATTTGAAAGCTGTGGGAAGCTAGGAGGTACCATTGCTGGATATCCTGGAGGTGGCGGAGGGGGGAAGTTGACAGGCCAATTCAGGGGTCGTGGAGGAAAGTGTCCAACTGTGGAACCTGGCGGCAAGGGTGGTAGTGACGAGCTGGTGGGAGGAAAGCCGCCTGGCGGTGGCGGGGGGAGTGAACTTCCCAAAGGCATACCAAATGATGAAATGTTGGGCGGATATCCAGGGGGTGGAGGCGGCGGAAGACTGTTGACTGATAGAGGTGGGGGTGCGGTCGTGTTGGGCGGCGGTAAATGTGGTAGTTCTGGAAGGAGGTGAAATTGCAGAACTTTCAATTGGAAAATCTGACCAACCTTGGACTGTATTGTGTCCTGGGGGAGGACCGTCTGGCATGGGAATATCGTCGTCGTCAGTAACCAGTTCTGACCCCGGTGGAAGGCCTTCTGGCATTGGAATATCCTCGTCTGCACGAAAGATGAGCTTTTGTGAGATCTGGAAATCTGGAGGTATACCGTCTTCCATCTCTTCGTCGCTGTCAACTTCACCTGGTAAAAGAGCTGCATTTCGGGAGAGGTAAGTTCGCGAAGGGCAAACAGCAGGGCTGAACTCACGCCTTTCCATGTAGGGCATCCCAGGAGGAGCGACACCAAACTTGTTCATCACAGGGTCATAGTAGATACTTCGCTCTGGATGTCGGGGAAGCCCGTTCTTGCGGAACAACCTTCTGGTTGGCAAGACTATCTCCTCCTCCTTCTCTCCTTCTTTTCTGCGAGGTCGATAGACAAGACGTCGCTGTTCTGGATGCTCAGCAACATATTCTGCTTTCTTTCTGTTGATCTTTTCTAGTTCAGCTTTGAGTTCTGCTAATTTATCCGGGTCGGCGTTGGATGTCTTTGCAGCGCCTTCCAGCCGCTCGATTTCGTCTTCGAGGTCTGTGACAGGTTGAGGACACGTGTATATTCCACTGGAGGTGCATACCATGAGTATCCTTCTTGACGAGAGAAAAATCTCGCGCTTTAGAACGTTCGGCCTTATTCTACTGCAAAGATGGATGTTATGGCGATGTTGGGTTGCGATAGTGAAGACTTCTTGCCTTTTTCAATTCCTTTTTACGCTGCGCCTTCCCTGATAAGTTCTATGAGCGTTGATGCGGGTCCGAAAAGGGTGTACTCACGGAAAGAGTCTGCAGGATTGAGTGACTTTTTCGCCATTACGATGGTGGTGGTCTGGATTAGCGCGCGGACCCGTGCACGTGTGACTTTGAGTCACCTTGAATAGTCAAGGTCATGGTCATGACATCGGTCGTTGGCTTCCCCAACGCTTCCCACTCAAGGGGAGCGAGCCATTGCACATCATACGCTCGTTGTCGCCGTTATCGTATCCAATGACGAGCGCTCCTATCCTGCAACCAAACACCCCAAGTCGTGTTTCTAAGATGGCCGCAAACCAATCTGTCAACTTGAATCATCTTCTTAACTTCACCCTTCCTCCACGGCAGACAAGGCCTCTGACCAACATCCCGAGGAGGAGTAGGAAGTCCGGTACTTCCCAAGGTGTATGGAACAAGGAGCGTATGTGTTTTTCCCTATCATTACTCATCTCATCTAACACTCATGCGTAGGGTTCGTCAATGCACAGTATCGGTTCGTCATGAACCCAAACGGGGATTACACCGTGCACTTCGCAGACCCAGACATGCACGTACATTTCAATCCGGGTCATCTTGCATTACTTATACTATCTTTTTGCAGCTTCTTCCAGTGGCAGGACATCCTTCAGGTTATCATCCCTCGCTCCTCCGCGCTGGCCTCTGCTTCTGCAACAGGAGATTCGTCTGGACAGGGAGAGGGGCTTACAACATGCCCAATATGCCTGTCTCCCCCCACTGCACCCCGCATGACTAAATGTGGTCATGTCAGTGAAATTCGTCTCTCTCTGTCCAAAGGCTGATTGACTGGGGCATGGACACAGGTCTTCTGCTTCGCTTGCATTTTGCACTACTTGAGTACATCTGATAACAAGTGGGCGCGATGCCCGATATGCTTTGACTCTGTCAACGAACGACAGTTAAAGACTGTCAAATGGTACGACGGCCCAACTCAGGTAGACGAAGATATCGACGAGCCTCTGGCGGAGGCTTCGTCATCCTCTTCGGCACTAGATAACACCTTTGAGACTGTTCCCCGGGCAGGCTCATCGCTACGAATGAGGCTCATCCAGCGTCCTCAGATTACCACCTTAGCCTTGCCACGCTCGCCCACCTGGCCTTCTGACCTGCTCCCTCCTCACCAAGCCCCATTCCATTTTCTCCCCGATGTCTTCAGCTTTTCAAAGTTTATGCTCGCGACACCAGCGTATCTCATCTCTGACTTGACAAGGAACCTCGACGAACTTGCTTCGGAGCGCAGGCTGCTTGTCGAAATGAACGATGATCTAGGTGTATGCTTCATTGATGGTGCGGAACAGAAAGTCCGAAATCAGATTGCGAAGGCTGCTGCACTCGAAACCTCAGCACTGAAAGAGCAGATCGAGAAAGCCCGACGTGGTCAACAGGAAATCGAGGAACGTTTGTCGTTCCATTCTCGTCGCCAAAAGGAGGAAGAAGCAGCTCGCGCTCATCCACCCATCTCAGAGGTACCGCATGAGCTTCTTTCCATTAGGTCGGGGGGTAGCACACCTATTCCCACTCCTGCAGCAGCAGCTTCTCCGAAGGAAAGTAACCCAAGAACTTTGCAGGGCCGTAACAACCCGCCCAAACAGCGTCGCAATCTCAACCCACCACCACCAACAACATCAACGTACTACTATTATCAAGCGGCATCCGGCCTTCCTCTCTTTCTTCACCCCTTAGACATCAGGATCCTGCTGTCACACTTTGGGGGTTATCAATCTTTTCCCGACTCGATAACCATTCGCGTAGAGAGTCTCTCAGAGGGCACTGTCAACGACGATCTCCGCAAGCGGTGCAAATACCTCGCACACATGCCGGAAGGCGCCGACGTTGTGTTCATTGAAGCTGATCTTGAGGGTGTCGTGAGTTCGGAGGGCTTGAAGAACTTCGAAGGTCCACTGAAGATGCGTACTGCAAGACGCAAGGAGAAGGGCAGGAAGGACGATCGTGCACGTACCAGGGCTGAGGAAAGGGAAAGGGAGAAGCACAAATCTGCTGTCTCCTCTGCTTGGACGTCCACTTCACTCGGGCCGGCGGAATACCCGATAGAGGACTTTTCAGCGCTGGAGGGGTCTTCGGTTGTCGTAGTGCAACCTGAACCAGTTACGGTTCCGCCTGTGACCGGTGCATGGGGTGCGCGAAGTTTTGCGTCTGCTCTGCATTCGACGCCTTCACAGGCTGGTCGGCCAGCCTCTGGGTCCCATCGTGGGGTGAGTGCGACGACAGTTGAGCAGTGGGACATGGATGAAGCGTGGCATGAGCTTGAGAGCAGTACTGGTGGGAGGAAGAAGCGGGGTGCTAAGCTTGTTGTTCTTGGCAGTGGTGGAGGTGGAAGACGTCGTTGAGATGGTGAGTATGTTGACTATTTAATTCGAAGAGTCCTTATCCTCAACCCGCTTGAGGGTATCATACAATTCTAGTGTAGTAATAGCACAACAAGAGCATCTAAATATCAATATACATTTTTTCAGGATCTCAACAGTTCGCTGGTCGCCATGCCTCTCTATATTTCCTTCATCAAATGTGTAGGGCCTATAACAGTGTAAGAATCGTATACGAATAACGCCACTGAAACCTTGTAGGTAAGTACATTGCGAGAACATCGCATCGTTATATCAGTTTTTGTCACTTTTTCAGAGAGCAACTGTGTGGTTTGCACCTGCGGTGAAGGTCGACCAAACTCCGTGGCTGGTCATGAGTGTGATCAACTTCCTAGAGATGGGGCAGCAACGTTTGAGTGCGATCAAGTACGATCAGATAGTCTGCGAAGAAAACGACGGTTGTTGCGCTCAATGCGAAGTCATTTCACTAAGAGTGGGCACAGCTTTGAGTAAGGAAATCATGTCCTCCTCTAGAACGGTGGCACCTAAGAGTTTAACCCGTGTAAGGGGACAGGACGACCGCTCGACCAAAGTGATGAGCGTCTCGCATATGGATTGTTCCGCTGAAGAAATTTCGAGACTGTGGAGTGAAGGCAAAGTGAGACGGTCGAGGAGAGGCGCGATCACCGTTCCCGTGCTCAGGACCACCCGCAGAATTTTCAGGTGCTGATTTACGACGGGACTGGGAGGAAGTGGAAACTGATCTTCTGGAGGGTATACATCCTCGAAATGGCACTCGACCAATTGTGTGCTCCGCTGGATGGCCTCCAGACATTCGTCTGTGGATATACATTTTGCTTTGAGCTTCGTTAGCTGTCCCCATGGTAGACTGACATCGTGGAGGTAGTAATGGGAAAAGGAGACTTCGTGAAGCAAAGGTGCTTCGCTGAACGCATGCATAGACCGAGGAATGAATTCATTTGCTGAAGGGTGCACCATCACGGATGTGAGGAGCGGGAGGTGATTTCCAATCTTGCTGAGGCACTCGTACCACGCCTCTGGCAGGAATAGGTCTATCTTCTGCCACTTGTAACATACGGAGGCCAACTCGGAAATGACTGCAATGGGCGTCAGCGCATCCCTCCAAGTATGTTCGCCGTTTTCGGAGGTTAGGGAAATGGATAGGGGACGCTGGCCGGAACGCTCTAGCCATTCGCGTAGTAGCGCAGCCTGTGTATCTGACCGCTTCCTCGACACCCGAATATCGATGCTCGACCAAAGTTCGGACATGGACCACGCAATCTGCCGCCATGCAGTGCACACTTTGCCAAGTAGCAGAGGCACTACGGTGGAGTTGTCCGATTTGCTGGAAAGGTCCGGAAGACCTGCATAGAGAAATATCTCGGATAGGATCTCGGGTGGTAGGGAGAGGGATATGGGTGACAGCGTGTTTCGTTTTTTGCATAGTCGTGCTCGCTCCACGCGAAGCTTGAAAATGAGCTGATCCACCACGTCAATTTCTGCGTCTAGGTTCGCTCGCTGGGTATCGGGTGCACCAGCGCCGAAGCTTGGTGCTACGGAGTCTGCATCACATAAAACATCACTTGTATCTCGTTGGATACCGAGCGCGTTGTTCACTATGGTGGTAGCACATCTTCGGCACACTGATAGGACCATGGCTCGTGTATATCCTGCAGCAACAAGGTGAGCAAAGTAATTTCAGTGTTGCAGCACTTGCAACTTGTGAGATATGCGTATCGCTACGCTGGACCAGTAGTTTTTGAACGATGATATTCTCGGACCAGAGCCCGGTCCGCAACTAACCCCATAAAGATGAACGACATGAGAAAACCGATAGTTTGGTATACAACAAGCACATATCGTATAAGTATATGTTTTGGAGGAGTTGTGCCCCGTTGCCACGTCGTTCATGCACGTAGTAACAAGCTGGGAGTCAAGTGGAATGTGCTATAGATAAAAAAACCGTAGATGGTATCAGGAATCATATGCATGAAAACAAATTTGCAGAAGGGGGGAATCAAGATGGAGACAAGATATAAAACCAAATTCCAGAACGCGTGCCAAGCAGAAGGAGAATACAGCAAGGATAAACGGAATTTGGAAGGGGGGTTATATGTGCAAATGATCTTGTTGTCTCCATGGGAATTAAAAGCATGATGGGGCGGACGTAAATAGTCGTAGATGGCTAGGCGTAAGTATGAGAACACTGGGCGTGCGAGATACACCGCGATTGCGTTTTTAGATTATTTGCAAATAATTGGAGGGTGCAACTGCGGAGGGCACAAAGGGTCAATGAGGCAGTTCACCACAAAAAATTGACGCTCGAAACTCACTTCCTAGTGTTCCATCTCCTTTTTTTGCTTGCCACCACTTCCCTTGCTTGTCTACGATGTCGAGAATCTCTCCTTTTTGGAAGGATATTTCATTTGGATCGTCTGGGTTAGCAACATCTGGAAGGATGTCAGTAAATGGCAGTGTGAGATTCCGCAGGTGATACTTACAAGCATACAGCGCCTTTGCCTTGTACGAGTAGACATCAACTGGGGGATTTGCCTCCGTTGCAGATCCTCCGCCGGACCCTCCCGCTCCGATGCCCGCCATGAGCGGAGAGTTAGGGCCATTGTCGGCGCCGCCGATAGAGCCTGCACCGCTTGGTTGGTTGTGTATACTCCCTGCGCCCGTGCCTCCAACACTCCTCGTCATGCCGTCGTTCAGACTCCCCTGAAAACTACCCTGGCTCCTGATGACATTGTTTGTGCTGCCAAACGCTCCGCTCCCCACCTTGGCTGGGTCATATGCGTCGTTTGATCCGATCCCACCGCCGGAGGAATAGTTGGTTGTGTATCCATTGCCCGTCTGAACGTTGTGCATGGAAGATTGTGTACGTGTCCTCCGACGACGCGACGGAGGGGTGAGGCCACCAGTGCCCATGGAGTTGAAGATGTATAGAGCGAGGGAATCTTCTTCCGATGTAAAATAGAGAACCCAGAGGATGTCGCACATGGCGAGGATAAGCCAGCCAGCGGCCATAGCCTCAAGGGAACCAGCACCCGTGAAAATGCCTTGATTGACCCCTATTACTGCGAAGACGATAGCGACGGCGCCAAAGGTAGATATTTGGAAACGGTGCATGGATATTGAATCGGTCGCCAGTGTCAACAGGACACCGGCGATGAGTGCGAGCTGGAGAAAGATTGCGAACCATAGGACGCCGACCCCACCATGTACTATTTCGAAAAATTAGAGAAATACTCGGACAGTCAGTTGAGAAGACGCACGCTGTGCTTGAGCAAAACACTGAGAGATGAACGCTATGAACCAGGCAAGCTAGGAGGTGTTTGGGCAAACAAGAAGCGTGACGACCAAGCATTGACTCACAATGGAAAGAACAGAGGTGAAGAGAAAGAGATAATGGGTGAGGATGGGTGTAAAATCCAGACCTTCATTACCTCGAGGTGGCATGGTTGATGACAAGGAAAGAAATGGATTCAAGCGAGGATCAACCGAAGATCGTTAAAGGCAGTGGACGCGTATTTTCTCACGCAACTCCTCTCTCCAAGATGTCTCGCTTCAGCGTTGTTGGCTATCGAGGCTAGTCTCAGAAAATTTGCCGTATACAATGGTCCACAACCCAAATGCAAAGGAGAAATTTGTGAAACCCGACTATGGTCTGAAATTAAACGAAATCAAATCCAAGTTTTCCGCAGCTTTCCACTCCAGAACGTGCAACCCCTGCATCTTTCCTTTCACCTCAAAGTGGTTTTTTGATGTGTATACCATGTCAAAGCCATTCTTTGTGAAGGTCTTCACGCTTGCCATGTTGCCTTCGAATGCCGCCGCAATCATATGCCGCACTCCCATCCTTGGTACGCCCCAGTCATGCAGCAGGGTTTCCACCGCGTCGGTCATAATTCCTTGATTGTGGTGGCTTGGCGCGAGCCAGTCTAATAAGGACATGAAGAACTGTATTTTGCAAAAGAACGACGAAAGGTGTACCAACCCCCAAAACTCCATATGATTTCTGGGTCGCCAGCTTTGCGACTTCCGTTTTCTTCCTCCCGTTTGGCCTTCCCAGCCCAGTCCACCGTCCAGCTGCCATCCGACAACACCAGCTCGCCATTTTTGTATCGGAACATATGGGCGTTTCCTATGAGCTTTTGTGTCCCATCATCCATTACTTCTCGGATGATGTGGACAGGACAATCCTCAACAGTTTTCAATTCCGCAACTTCCTTTGCTTCTTCCAGTTCTTGAAGGATATCTCTAGAAGGGCCGATCATCCTCCCCAACCAACTTTCCGCGTGTTCTGCGGGCTTTTCAGTTGAAAAGTCCTCTGAAGATAAACAGAAGAGGTTTATTACCCGGGAGATATGGGAATGGTGGGCTGTTCAACCACACACACAAACGAGGATCGTTCATGTATTCCAAAAGTTGTTTTGCGTCATCCCAACGCGCAGGAGTGAGGATGATGGATTTATGATGCCGTAAACGAAGGAATGGCTCTCCCGTCTGAGGGTCCACTTCGAGAGGAAAAAGTTGGGGATTCAACATTGGTGAGCACTTTACTTCTTTGCTACAAAGGCCGGCTTTGATTATAGCCAGACGCCAATGTGACTCGAGCCTGATCGAAATCGCAACACGTGAGCGACGTGATGGATATCCAACCCCGACGGTATCTCATATCATCTCCAAGTATCGTACGCTTCTTCAAGTACTGGTCCCCTTCCACGACGTGATTCTTACTCTAGGTCACTGAACCTGAACGTTACCTGCGAAAGAGGCTGGTCTATAGCTGTCTCTTCTTGCCGACTTGCGAAGGTCTAACCCAGTGCGTTCAGGAGCAACACGGACATCTCACCCCCGAGAAGTAGTAAACAATAATTGAAGTGGTAATTTGGGGATACTATGACACCAAATTCGCGTGCGGAAATTTCCAGCAAGTATTAAGTGCTTCGGATTTTTGGGAACTATATTCCGGGGAGGGATAATTGAATCCATGTCAACATTTATGTGTCCATGAGCATGGCGATCACGAGAAGACATGCGGTGATATAGTGAATAACAAAGGTAGGATTACACCAGTCAAGAGTGGAAGCCTCAAAACTTTAAGATTATTGCCTGGATGCCGAAACTGAACGCAAGTTGGATGAGATAGGGGTTCGTGCGGAGCTACATCTGTGGCCGTTGTTGAATAGCCATTCTTGCTGCAGTATCAGGAGCTGACCCATAGAGCTAGTCTGGTTTCGAGTTTACGAGGCGACTGGTTCGAATCCCTTGGCCTTTCGAATTCATCAGAAAATGAGTCACGTGAAGCCTAAAAAGATCGATAAGACAAGATTTATCAGTTGAAACCTTATCCTCGACTGTCAACAGTGTGCTCCCCACTGTTTAAAATACTCTCCTCGTACTCTTTTTCCATCTGTTTTTGTTAACAGCCAGACATCATGGTGTAAGTCAGCCGTTTACCGTCGCCATTCGATATTCTAATCGATGTCTTTGATCCTGCAGTAACTTCACAGTAGGTCAGTTCTTGAGCATCCCTCTATCGTCTCCAGAACTTGTATTTATCTACGTAATTGAACAGATCAGGTCCGTGGGCTCATGGACAAGCCCACGAACATCCGTAACATGAGTGTTATCGCTCACGGTAAGTTTTATTAACCTCTGTCTCATCTGGCTCAGTTCTGAATGTCATCGCAGTCGATCACGGAAAGTCCACTCTTACCGATTCCCTTGTCTCTAAAGCCGGAATTATTGCGTCGGCAAAAGCTGGTGACATGCGTTTTACCGACACAAGAGAAGATGAGAAGGAGCGTGGTATCACCATCAAGTCGACTGCTATTTCTATGTACTTTGAAGTTGACAAGGAGGATCTCATCTCCATTAAACAAAAAACTATCGGTATGTTCTCCTCTTTTTTTGATTGTTTTTTTTTTCAATGTCAATTTTTTTTTTCTCAAACTAGGCAATGAATTCTTGATCAATTTGATTGATTCCCCTGGTCACGTTGATTTCTCATCCGAAGTGACGGCAGCTCTCCGTGTTACTGACGGTGCCCTCGTTGTTGTCGATTGTGTTGAGGGTGTTTGCGTGCAAACGGAAACCGTGCTTCGTCAAGCTCTGACAGAACGTATCAAACCTGTCGTTATCATCAACAAAGTTGATCGTGCTCTTCTCGAGCTTCAAGTAGACAAGGAGTCGCTCTACCAATCTTTCCAACGTACCATCGAAAATGTCAACGTCATCATCTCCACATATCATGATGTCGCCCTTGGTGATGTCCAGGTTTACCCCGATCAGGGAACCGTCGCTTTCGGTTCTGGTCTCCACGGATGGGGTTTCACTCTTCGTCAATTTTCTAACCGATATGCCAAGAAATTCGGTGTGGACAAGGAGAAGATGATGGCGAAGCTCTGGGGTGACAACTACTTCAACCCCGCCACCCGCAAATGGACCACCGTTGGCACCGATGCGAACGGCAAGCCCCTGGAGCGCGCGTTCAACCAGTTCGTCCTTGACCCCATCTTCAAGATTTTCGATGCTGTCATGAACTTCAAAAAGGACTCCATAGGCCCGATGCTCGAAAAGCTTGACGTAAAGCTCGCTCAAGATGAGCGCGATTTGGAAGGCAAGGCCCTGCTCAAGGTTATCATGCGCAAGTTCCTCCCCGCTGGTGACTCTCTCTTGGAGATGATAGTCATCAATCTCCCCTCGCCCGCCACCGCTCAGCGCTACCGTGTTGAGACCCTTTATGAGGGTCCCATGGACGACGAGTCCGCTATTGGCATCAGGGACTGCGACCCCAAGGGTCCCCTCGTTCTCTACGTCTCCAAGATGGTGCCCACCTCCGATAAGGGTCGTTTCTACGCTTTCGGTCGTGTCTTCTCCGGCACAGTCAAGTCTGGACCCAAAGTCCGTATTCAGGGCCCCAATTATTTGCCTGGAAAGAAGGACGATCTTTTCGTCAAATCAATCCAGCGCACAGTGCTCATGATGGGTCGTTACATCGAGCCTATTGAGGATTGCCCTGCCGGTAACATTGTTGGTCTCGTTGGTATCGACCAGTTCCTGCTCAAGAGCGGTACTCTTACCACCTCAGAAACCGCCCACAACATGAGGGTCATGCGTTTCTCCGTCTCTCCCGTCGTGCAGGTCGCAGTTGAGGTCAAGAATGCGGCTGATCTCCCCAAGCTTGTGGAAGGTCTCAAGCGTCTCTCCAAGTCTGATCCTTGCGTGCAAGCATGGATTGCAGAAACTGGTGAGCACATTGTTGCTGGTGCTGGTGAGCTGCACTTGGAAATTTGCTTGAAGGTAATTCCTTTGGTTTTGCTATTTTTACCTCGTCTAACGAACTCCCCACAGGATCTGCAAGATGATCACGCCGGTGTTCCACTCAAGATTTCTGACCCTGTCGTCCCCTACCGTGAGACTGTCAAAGCCGAGTCTAGTATTGTCGCTCTATCAAAGTCGCAGAACAAGCACAATCGTCTCTATGTCAAGGCCATGCCCCTCGATGAGGAGCTCACGAAAGCAATTGAGGCTGGCACCATTAATTCCCGTGACGATTTCAAGATCCGAGCCCGCATGCTCGCTGACGATTTCGGTTGGGATGTCACTGATGCCAGGAAAATTTGGTGTTTCGGTCCTGATACCACTGGTCCCAATTTGTTGGTCGATGTCACCAAGGGTGTGCAGTACTTGAACGAAATCAAGGATTCATGTGTTGCTGCATTCCAATGGGCGACAAAGGAGGGTGTTACTTGTGAAGAGAACATGCGTGGCATTCGTGTCAACGTTCTTGATGTTACTGTACGTTTTATAGATTGGTTGTGGATGTGTGGATACTGATGCTTTTTTTCAGTTGCACACTGATGCCATCCATCGTGGAGGAGGTCAAATTATCCCAACAATGCGTCGCGCGACCTATGCTGCCTGCCTACTCGCCACACCCGGTCTCCAGGAGCCCATCTATCTTGGTATTATATTTTACCCTTTCGCATATAGATATCGAACTTATCTTTTATTCAGTCGAAATCCAGTGCCCTGAGAACGCCATCGGTGGTATCTACTCGTGTTTGAACAAGCGTCGTGGACAAGTGTTCAGCGAAGAACAACGGCCTGGAACACCCATGTTTACGGTCAAGGCTTACTTGCCTGTCGCTGAATCATTCGGCTTCAACGGTGAGCTGCGCTCGCATACCGCTGGCCAGGCGTTCCCCCAGAGTGTGTTCGACCATTGGGAGACGATGAACGGCAGTAAGTCGCATCTTTGTTATGGGGGGCATTAGTGACTTAGCATACGTTGCAGCACCCCTCGACAAGGGCAGCAAGATTGAGGAGCTTGTTACAAAGATCCGTACGCGCAAGGGCCTCAAGGTGAGACGAGTGTTCTTTTGCAAAGAGGTTGTTTGCTAACGCGGATCTTTCTAGCCTGAAATCCCGGCCCTGGACACATATTACGACAAGCTGTAATGATAATGATGATTGATTGAGAATGAAATGTTGTTGTATCATGGAATCTAATTTGCTTTATTCTGTGACTGTGTGACAAGTCCAAGTTGTTTCAGAGAGATAATTTGTGTCTTTTCTCACCTTTCTTGCGTTCTCGCTGTAATATCATTTCCACACAACCGATTCACTCGCTTGTCATCTCTACCAGTATCTCTACCAGTATCCTTTTCTTTATCGCTCAAGCCCAGGTCTTTCTACCTCGACACCACCTCACGGAATCCTACCAAACGCCCGACCACCAATGGCAGCCTCACTCGCTGGATTGTCCGCCTCAGTGACCCGTATCCTTTATCTTACAGGTTTTCCCAAGGAGTTGAAGACCAAAGATATTCAAGCAGCATTTTCTGACTATGACGGCCAGAATGGTGGCTTCAAGATCAAGTGGAGGGATGACACTAGCCTGTTGATTGTGTTCCAAGATGCTACTGTTGGTCAGTTTCTGAATTGGTTCGTCTTTTTAAAACATGCTCTAACTCCTCTTTCTCAGCCAAGCGCGCATATCTGCGCACCATTGCATTCCCTCCCCCCATCTTGACCTCTGCAACCACAGGGGTTTCTGCCACTATCAAACCATACGATGGGCCAGACGCCCAGACCGTCATTCAGACCGTCAATTCTCGCGGACAGCACGGACCCAGTGCCTCTCGCTCCCACAACCCCCGAGCTGCTTCCATCTCCGTCTTCCCCAACGCCCGCAGCACGTCCGGTTCGTCGTTTAGTGGGAACACGACGAATAACTACCGCACCAACAGCCACACCAGCACGAGTAGTGGCCAACACGTTGCCATTCCGGAGCACCAGCACCCGAACGGCCGTGAACCGTCGCCTACCCTGCCGTCCTTGCCTATGCATCCTACCCTCAATTCCTTGATAAACTCTTCCCTCGGGGAGTCGGCTTCGGGGATTCCTCCTGACCCGGCGATCGTCGCGACGAGTGCGCAGAATGAAACCACCATCAGCCCGCCGAGGATCGGTGATCCTGGCAAGAGAATGTTGGGAGCGGCGTTGGGCGTAAGGCACCCAGGGCTTGGCCCTAGAGTTCTCAACGGCAATGGGAGTCCAGGGACCAGTCCTTCTCAGGGCGGTGGGATTGATCAGGCCATGAGAGAAGCGCAGAGGGCGATGGGCAACCTCGTCGTCGCGGAGTGATTGTCCTGATTTGCCATCTGCCCAACTTCTGCTTGCCTTCTTTCTTTCTTTCTCTCGTAATTTCACATAGGTCTTTGTGTTCACACCTCACCTCACCTGCCCCCCTTTGATGCCCCTTTGCTATTCGGTCACTTTCATTTCGGGTTCCTTTTCCTTCATTTTTCATTCTGTTGAGCGTTCGATAAAAGCGAACGAACAGAGCAGGCTGGTGGTCGTTTTTTGTCCTGCGCTTGACCGAAATAATACGTTTTTACCTACCTACGGTACACACACTTTCCACTTGTATTTTTCACGCCCTTCGAAATATACATAATGTATACTTTTCTACTTTGCGTGCTTGGCGGGTATATGGGGAGCACATGATCCGAGTCATTTTGGGCGCTTTGCCTTCAGACCTCTCTCTTTCTCTCTCTCTCTCATTGTAAATTATGACTGCAGACGATACATCTGGTTTTCCGCCTGGCTATTTTGTCATTCGCTCAGTGGCGTGCGCCAGGCTGCTGGATGTGACTATGGATGAAATCGAGGATGGCACTGAGATTGCGCTGTGGCCGGAGAAGGAAAAGTCTCTAGTGGAAAGTATGTATCTAACCCTCCTGACTTTGTTGAGTGTTGGTTTCATGTCGGTTAGGTTTCCGAGATCCAGCAACCAACAATCAGGTTCGTCTTATCTAGCCGGGTATATGCAGGCTATGTACTTAATTAATCGTGCTGCAGGTGTTCTTCATTGACACCTCTGGGGCCTTGTGCTCCAGGTCTGCCGGACACGCTGTCGACGTCGAAGGTGCGTATCTACTGCCCTTGATCCTCGCTGAAATTAATACCCAACCCAGAGGACCGCCTCGTCCTCCGACATCGGCGACCCGTGTCTCATCCGTTCCCAAACGCCTACGCGCACCCCCTGCCCAAATTCAGCTACTCCCAGCAAACGGGGGAGATAACGGTCCACTTTACGTGTGACCCTGCGTACCCACCCCCAGACGCGCCTGCTTCCAACGCATGGAAATCAAAGATGTACCTGCTCACCTCGATCCCGATGCGCAAGCCACGGACCTTGATCGACGACGCATCCGAGTTTTTGACTTCTACGATACTCACGCCCATTTCGTGGGGCCGTGCAGCGCCGCAGGCTACGCCGGAGGAGGTGTTCAATGGGGATATTGATTTGAATGAGGACGATGTGGTAGAAGAGGAGAGGGGGGAAGAGGGGGAGGTGGATGATTCTCCTGAGGCTGGGAGGAAGGTGCGTGTGATTGGGGTTGTGGGTAGGGTGGTGAATGAGAAGGCGAGGAATCGGAGACGGTGGGTTGTCACGCCTTTGAGGACCGTGAATGCAAAGACGAAGGGGAATTCTTAATTGAGGTCACGTCACGTGGAGATGACGCGTCAATGTTACGCACGCGCAACTGTAATAATATTCTACTCAGTCCAGATACATTTTACGATCAAGAAGACATTGTCCAAACTATGCTGCATGGAGTTCGCACCCAACTCCTCCCTCATTCCTATATATTCACATTTCTACTTAGCTCACGCACAACGTACACGGCCCACATGACGATAATTCTACAAATTCCTCTCAGGTCGTCAAGATGAATACGACGCCCTACAGAGGTCGGGATACGCCGGGGAGGGGTTCTTCTCCAAAGGCCAGCGACTGGGCGCCAACGTCTCCCACGATCTTCCACCTCATCTGGCAAAGGCGAAGGCCCTCGAAGCGGCGGAGAAGCGGCGGAGGACATCTAGGGTGTTGGGTAGTGGCGGCCGTCTGGGAGGAACAATTGATACGAAAGGGAAGGCCCCCAGGCAGCTGGCTGCAGAAGTGAGTTTGTTTCCTTTGCTTTCTCTTTTGGTGTTCAATATGGTTTGTGATTTAGGCGGCTGAAAGAAGGGCACGCGAAAAGTCGTGTGGCTCTCAAGCTGGCTCCGCGCGAGAAGGCGGCCAGAGAAGGTATCGAGAATAAGGTCATTGACTTGACTTTGGACGATGATTCGGATTCGGATGTTATCATCGTGGAACGGTGGAAGACGTCCCAAGGGCTATCGCGGTCCCATCTTCATCCTCGGCAAGTGAGCGCCAAGTTGGTGCTGCACCAAATTCAGGATCTTGAAGGCCACTCCTGTTCGAAATGATTCTATGAGCAACCAAAGACCAAGAGCAAGCTCACCCCTAGCAAGGTCAAACTCCGAGTGGGCCTGTCAGATTTGCACATTGCTGAACCAGCCATTTGCACTCCAATGTGATGCCTGTGAGACGAAACGGCCGCAGGAACGTCTATTATTTAGACCCAACATTCTTGTTGAAAGAAATTCAAAACTTGCGGGTTTCTGTGTATGCGATCTCTATCCCCAAGTATGTCGAACATTTTATTTTGCTTGAGAGCTTTTCTGATCTCCCTTAGAATAAACGCTAGAATGGTAATCCTAACTTACCCCACTTGCTCGGCGATGCCTCCATCGATCGCATTACAGGTAAGGTCTGGTCTCCGTACATTACTCAAATAATAATTTTGGGTGGTGATTCTGGTGAAGGTTGTCGAGGTAGGCCATCCTTTGCGCAGCCATCCGGCACCGGCGCAGTGCGAACTCATATCCGGGACCACATCCCGTCGAACTCGTGGATTTTGCGGAGCACATCGCGTACAGAGATTAGCTCGTTCCACATGCAAGACGTTTCAATTCTACGACTAATTGTATCAGTCCAGGAAATCTACTTTGATGAGTATACGGGAGGTTTTGGTACAGACTGGGTCTGATATCAAGGTCAGAAGTCTCATTTTACGATCTTCAAGTTCTTTGCTCATCTAGCATTACTTACTAGCGGTATATGGACAACATGTACACGCCGCATGCTACAGAAATTCAGTACGCTCACTCGATGACTTGTAGCTTTATTGGAAAATTTGAACATTACTCGTGAAATGTATGGCCGCATCTTGTAATGACGATCTTATCTCCATACCATCAGCCAGAACCATGACTTCTCTTGGACAATACCGCTAACTAATTGAACAGGTATACTCAATATACTAACTTTTCATCCAACTTTTCGGCGTTAGTCGTACAACCCCAGCTACCGAAATCCGATCCACTACTTCATAAGAGACCATCATACGTATAACCCTTTCGAATTCTTCAAGTTCCTTCCCTTCCATCCTATTGGGAGGCATCTTTAGGAACTTCCCCGAGACTACCGGTAACTTCGATTTATCCCCAGTAAACATACCATTTTCGTCAAAATATTGTGATCTATCTTCCCACTTGGTCCACCATCTATCCGGCAGTTTATCCAATGTCAATACCATCTCCCTCAAAACCTCCTGTTTAATCCCGTGATACGAATTGAACAAAAGATATCCTCCGCTCAGAACTATGTGAATGAGGACAGCCAGTGCCCATACATCCACAGCAGGGCTAACGTGATCGTTAAATATGATTTCCGGTGCGGCGTAGACGCAAGGGGTGTTAAGCTGGGTTATCGCGGGTTAGATGTCCCACAGGAAAGCTTCCCCGAAATCGCATATTGTTACGTGTACTGTTTCTGGGGAGCTTAGGCAGAGCCGGAGCAGTTCCAGCCGATGGGGTGACGGGACGACATACTTCGGTTCGTGAGGGGTGCATGTAACTGGTATGCCATCTCTGACAGAGAGTGGCCTTTTATATGGTTCGCCCAGGCGATAAGATATCCGTTCAATCCCGGGTATACGCAACAGAATGTTTCCAACGTGAAGGTCTGTAAAAAATCGATATCAACTTATGCAAGACTTCCTGACTTCGCTTACCTCCATGGACAACCCCGCAGCTATGCAGGTACGCGACTCCGCGTATTACTTGTGCGACAAGCATCTTCGCTATTTCTATCGGGTACCGATCCTCATCGTAGACTTCATCGACATCAGCGCCTATGCTAGGTCCAAGCACCTCGGTAACGATACATTGATGAGTGCCATTTGGCCCTCCAGACGTGTCAAGAAAAGGGCGTTTCTCCTGCGAAATTTTATTAGAAATCGTTCCACACGGTAGAAAAATACACCCCACTCTAACAGCAGGATCTGCATCTCCGGCATGTGGTGACCAGGAGTATTGTTATTGGAGGTTGCCTGGGGAGTACTACTTCCTTCGGTTGTCAGCGCGCCTCCAAAGGCCTCCCGCTTCCCGGCGGTCGAATGACTAGAGCGACGGCCTGCGGTGGAGGGGCCGTTTGTAATTGCTGCCGGTGTGATTGAGACGGTGGTTCGTGTTCACGCTCTCGTTTCCGATCTCTTCTACCGTGCCGCCCCCCATGGCCTACTTCTTCAGCGGGCACCCTTCTAGCGTCCTTTTTGTCTCATGAGCTCATGTTTTCCTCCGTGGACTTCTACCATGTGAGCTCTGAGGTCCAATGGGGAGTTGAAAACGACGAAATTTTGAGCTTGGCACTCTTTTTGTGTGCAAGGATGGTGAATGCTGTTGAAGTGCCTTTCCTAAGACGGATAATTAGTTTTGTCAGGTCAATGACCCGAGAGACGAGACACACCAAACTCTCGTAATTGATGAAACTGCAGCGTGATCGTGTCAGCTCGGGAGAAGCAGGACGCGCAGAGATCGACGCACTATTGATCTCTAACTTCATTCCGCTTACACTCCTCGTGCTTCTTTCGCATGTGAGAGTACAATTCATCGCCATTAAAGAAACACTTTCGACAAAATTCGCATAGGGGGTGTATGCCACCCTCTATTTGGCTCGCATCTTCCAGTGTGGTCTTCCCTGGACGATGGTGCATGGACGGGAGATGGACGGGCAGCAAATTCGGTGGATATAATACATGTTCATGGGCAAAAAAACCTTCTTGCTTCGAATACAAAGCTCACTTTGTGAAGGTCAGGCAAATTCAGCAAATCCAGAAGGCCAAACACAGACCACATAAGTTTGCCATGGGTGGCGCGAACGTGAAGTTTCAAGTCACCCCAACCGTTTCCGATGTAATCACAGTCCGGGTTTGGACAGTTGAGTCAGCTTGTCCTCCACTGCATCATCGACATCTCAAATGTGATCCCGAGCTTCGGGTCCTTGTAAGGAATAGCATCCATAGCGTAAGAACTGAAGAAAGCATCGGTGACAGATGGTGTTGTGGATCCTTTCATTTCTTTGTACGTGTTATTTTTGGGTCCTTTCGTACCACCATAATGTTCTCCAGGATCTCCTGCATCCGACGTACCTTTCTACAACGCGCTCTAAGCATGACCCCAAGAAGAGCCAACATCGACTTGAACGCAGAAGCTCTAGGCGTATTCGCGTTCCCACCACCACCAGCACCTCGCCAACCATCCACACCACCCGCAGACTCCCTAGCAGGCCAAGCAGCAGCCGCACTAGCCCTATCCCAAAAATCCTCCAGGCTACCCGCATTCTACGACATCCCCCCAGCCCACGACCCCCTCCTCCACCTCCTCACAACCTCCATAATGAAAAACGGGCGTTACTCAAAAGCAGCAAAAATAACATCCGACACCCTGCTCTACATCCACACCTACACGCGCGCACCCGCCCTTCCCATCTTACGCTCTGCGATCCTGATGGCGTCTCCTGCGGTAAGGAACGTCAGGTTCAAGTCGGGGTCAAAGAGTCAAGTGAGGCCTTATCCGCTGAATGAGAGGCAGAGGACGAAGAAGGGGATTGATTGGTTGTTGGCGGAGGTTAAGGGGAAGATGAGTGGAAGGACGTTGCAGGAACGACTTGCGAGGGAGGTTATTGCGATTGTTAGAGGGGATAGCCCTGTGCTGAAGTTGAGGGAGGATGCGCATAAGTTGGCTATGGTTAATAGGTTTGTCGATTTTTTTCTCGTTCTGCTGGATTGAGCTGATGTCTTTTTTTTGAAGGGGTGGAATGTCTAAGCAGTAGATTGTTTGTCGAAAAGTACCAGGAATTTAATGCTTATCTATGGCCTACTTCTGTATGCGTGCAACAATCGTCAAGATCCCAATGGTGCGTCGACTTTTACCAGAGTCGACATGCTTTATAGACCCTTTCTGTGGAGAGAATCTCTTCCCTTCACGACTAACCACTACAGACTATTATCGTTCTCTCAAGTCAGAACGCTGGTGGCCTCCCTTCAACCCTCGTGGGACAAGTTTAACCTCTTACCCCCCCGACATTCATAAAATGCCGCTCTCTGGACAGCCAGTCAGCAAACTCATTGCAAAATAGTATCTGATCAATAACCTACCAGAGAGCGTTCCTGAAGCATCAGCTGATGATCCCCTTGCAATTTTCGAAGAAGACCCCAAGAATTTCGATGACCTGAGCCTGGATGCTGAGGAACTCTGGGAGGCGAAGTTGAACAGGCTGCTGAAGGCAGTGTTGGGTTGGGGAGTGGATCAGAACATGGATGGGATGATACACTGGCATCCAAAGGAAGTTGTTGCGGAATCACTTGTTCCTCAAGTTCAAGTTGCCATCGCTGCAGAAGTCGAACCTGACAATTCCGATGACTTTGGACGATCGAAGCGAAAAAGGATTCCATGACAGGCAGGAACAAGGCAGGAATCGACGCGCTCAACAAAGCTCAACAAGTCCCTTTGTGGTCTAGTAGTAGCGCCATCGTCGGAGGGTGCCCTGCGTATCACTTGAGCAGGAACCTCAAAACTGGGTCTGCACGACGTGTGCTCAAGGAAGAGGGAAGCGAAGCCGCAGATGACGTAGTATTACCATATTTGGACATGTGCCTGATTATGTAGTTAGTTAGTCCACCTAAAGTTGAGGGGAAAAAAAAATCGACCCCGGGTCTTTTTTTTCAATGCCGGAGCCCCCTTGTCCCTCCTCTCAAGATCCACCCCCCTGGTGGTGAACAGCAGAAGAATGGCAAATCAACCAAAAGCTAAACTCGTCCAGGACCACACTGCCCGAATGGAACGGCTCCGGAGATTCTGCCATTGACTATCTGAGTGCAATGGGATTCCTGGCTGGCCTGGGTTCTAAAATGAGGGAAGGCCTAGCACAGATAGCCCCCTTTAAGTGGACCTCTTACGCTAAGAGTTGGTGGAAGGCCTTGCCCGCCCCAGACAGAGCTTACTTACATGGTCCCGTCTCCGCTGCGTGCGCAACGCGCGGACGGTTGTTCCGGTAGAACGGTGCTGGCCTGCGATTACGCTCGGCCTGCTGCCAGGAAGCCATTAGGCTGTTATTCATCTTCTTAGCTACCGACTGTGTCGCCAGTATGGTGGGGCAAAGAGTCTCACTTAGATACTGGGCCCATTCCATGGGCTGCCGTCTGAGGATACAGGCAACGGCAGTGGGTCCATCGACTTCGTCTGGGTGTAAGAAGTGGTGATGTCGAATCCGACGCTGTATGTATTCCAAGGGACTTTCCTGTTCGTGACATTTATTTCTAAAGGTCATTTCATCGAACTCGAAGGTCCGTTCGCGCACCCATTCCTTGTCTAGGAAATGGGCCTGTACACCAACCATCATATTGTCCCAGTTGACTGAGACTCTCTAGATGTCCCATATCAGCTCAAGCATCATTGGTCCAGCGTGATCAAAAGGAGGACAAGACGGTTCATGAGTTGAAACTCCAAGCTCAAGTCTCAGATTGAGTAGATTTGTAGTGAAAAAAAACCACGTAGTTACATGCACTGTGCTCACAACTCTTCAAACTCACATTCCAAAAGATTAAAATAAGACACTAAATACTATAAATCACATTTTTCGGGGAGACCACAAGCATATCCACACCCCCCTTAATTGGCACCTTCCCCTCCTCATCCTTAATCGGTGCCCTCAAAGCCACCACAATCGTCTCCTTCTCCCTCTCCTTCCTCCTCTCCTTTGTCTCCTCATTTGTCTCCTTATGACTCTCCTCCTTCCCACTGCCCCCCGCTGTCATCCCCTCCAAACACCACTCCAACGCCACCTCCACCCGTTTCTTAACCCTCACCACCTCCTCCTGCTGCGCATACACCACCGGCATCCGATAAGAGAGCCATATATACATCACTGCTGTCTTATGGAACGATTCGAGGGTTTGGAGGGTTGGGTTTGTTGGTTTCATTCTGGGTGTTTTCTTCTGCTTCTTGTTCTTGTTCTTCCCCTTGTCATTGTCGTTGTTGGTTCCCTCCACGTCAATATTGGTAGGAATGGGAATCGGCGGCTGAGCCTGAACGCGCATAGCACCCTCAACCCCCACCAAACACTCCATAAACCCAAGGTCCCCAACACCCTCCCAATAATCCACCTCCTGCCTCTCCTTATACATCCCCAAAAACCGCGCCATAACCCCAATCATCACTTCATCCCTCCATCCAACAGGCGCACTAAGATGTTTCAAACGTTCTCGTACCGTCATGCCCTCATTCGCATCGCCACCGTAAAGATCAACGCACTCGCACGCCTGATCGACCTGCGCGTCGTATGTATACCTCACGAATTTGGGTAGTCGCCCGATATATGCATGTGCACTTAACACCGTCTTTGTGCTTCCTGCTGAAGAGGGGGGGAGTAGGGAGCGGAGAGCAGAGAAGGTTGTGGTGGAGTAGGTTATGTGTGCATGGTGCACTGGTTTGAAGGGCTTTGAGAGGGCTGAGGAGAGCGTTGGGAGGTCGGCGGGATGGAGTGTTGTTGCGTAGCCGCAGTGTGAGGAAGAGGAGGAAGAAGAGAGATGTTGTCCATACCGCCCTGCACGGCCTGCTATTTGTTTGATTTGGGATGTTGAGAGGGGTTGAAAGGCGCCTGCTGAGTATTTAGTCAAGCATTCGAATATAATCCGTCGGATTTTCCTGTAACCCCATCAACTTCTCCAACAACAAAAAGGCAACAGGGAAACGTACAAATTCAACCCCATCCCAATCGCATCACTCCCAACCATAACATCATACCCACTCCCGGGGTCATTAAACAGCGCCGCCTGCTCACTCCTAATCTCAGGTGGCAACCGTCCATAAACAACGGCACACTTCATCCCCGTCTTCCTCTCCACCTCCTTCTTAATCGCGAATATCGAACTCCTCTTAAACGTCACAATACAATCCCCCTTCTCAACCTTCCCCAAATCACCCCCTAAACTCGTTTCAGCAACCTTCAAAGGCGTCAGTCGTTCATACCGCCTAATAACAACTTCATCGCCTGTATCTTTCAACAAGGCTTGAACGACCGGAACGGCCGTTTCCTCGCCGCATAAATGGAGTTCTTCAGCTAGGATACCGAGAACTGCACTCGTCCAACCGCTTCCGCGTTGAGGGTCCGCTATCATTTGGATTTCGTCGATCACGGCGATTTGGTAGCGCGTGTTGAAGTTTAGCATTTCGACGGTGCATGAGAGGAGGGGAGCGTCGTCGGATACTATTTTTTGTTCTTCGCCTGTTATCATGTTGCAGACTCGTGCGTAGGCTGTTTGTTTTGATTTTGAGGGGGAGGAGGGGGTGACGTCGTCTGTTGCTGTGGGTGTAAGTGTAATTGGGGGCTCGTCCATCCCCAAGGGGACGATTTGTCCGAGGTTGAGACGTTCCCAGACTTCATGTGCAAGAAGCCTTAACGGGCCTGCGTATACACCCCTCTTGGACGCTGCGAGTGCGCGTAAAGCGTGGTGCGTTTTCCCGGAATTGGTTGGGCCGACGTGCATGATCACTTTTCGATGCATTTTCCGTGCAGCTGGGTATTGTTCATGTAAGAACGAACGATCGGCGGCTTGTGCGAGTTGGACGATGTGCTCCGTCGTGCTTTGTGGGATGGTGGAAAGACGCGGGGCGGAGGAGGGATGAGAGACCCATGCGAAGAATGTGGTGCTGTATATGATGTCTATTTCTCGATCGCTTTCGTGTGATTGGACGTGTGAGAGTCTGGAGAGGGTGTAGTAGTCTTCTAAGTCTGGTGAGGAGAGTTCTTTGGCTTTGACGGCGGCGGAAAAGGCGCTGAGGAGGGGTCGGATGTCCTGTGTGGGTATGCCGTAGAGGGCGAGGCGGGATGAAGATTGGGGATGGGTTGTCCAGCGGGATACGTTTAATTCGAAGAAGAAGGTAGGGTTGAGTGGGTCTATGGGTGGGTAGTTGTTCTGAGGTATGTGTGGTGGGTGGTTTCCTCCTGGACGAGACCAAGGAGTGCGTTGTTGGTTTGACCATCCACCTGGCGGGGCCGGTTTACTTTTTTTGACGCTACGGTATCGTTTTGTTACTGAAATCCATGGTGTTGCGCCAAAGATGAAGCGACGACATAGCACTCCCAACCTCAAACTGGGAGGTTGCATATAAGAAAAGAAAAACATAAACTCGGAATCTTTGTACGTGTTTTTTTTTGGGTCCTTCCACGCTCAATTCTCCAACGCGCTCTAAACACAACCCCCCAGAAGAGCCAAAATCGACTTGAACGCAGAGGCTCTGCGTGTATTCACATACATATTCTAGATCTCACCTTCCATTTTTAGGACAAAATAATGCCACACTTCATGGTCACGTCCCGGACTCGTTCTCAAAGTCCGTGGCTGCCACTCGAACCCTTTATGCCAACAGTAAAGATCAATCTCCTGGCTCGCAACGTCAAACTGGGACCTTGCATTGCGAGAACATAACTTCCAAGTTTAGGCCAAAATGACACACTTTATCGCGGTGCGGAACTCCGGAACCTCGTACAGGCTGTCAACCTTTATGCCAACACTAAAAATAAACCTCTACTTACGGAAATGTGGTAAGTAAGTGGTAGGTGATCTTGCGGAGATCTAGGACTTTGCTCCTCAATAAAAGCGTCAGGTTTGGCCTTCAAGAGAGCTAGCCCCCTTCAAAGTTGAAGCAACCATGCAAGCCTCTCCACCACAAGCTACCCCATCTCATGCTCGCACGTCCTCCACCGGATCTCAAAACAGCTCTTCTTTGAGTACCGAAACCCCACCCATTTCTGCACCTCTGGTTGGCGGCGACACAACCGCACATCCGAGTCTTCCCCGCTTGCGCGAAGCGATTGGGCCAGAGGGTCTTGAAATCAGGGAGCACCCTTGTTCCATCTTTACAGAGTTTCCCTATGGCAAAGACATATGGGATGTTGTTCGACCGGTACGTACTAGTCGCTCCGATGCTTGCAGCTTCACAAAATTCTCAATTTGGTTTCCAGGTAACATATGTCGTCCCTCAGATTGTTTTCCGTTCAGTGAAGCCAGAGCAGGTGTTTGACCTTGTTCTTGCCCACCTCAGCCAGCTGCAGGCTGAGGAGAACCTTCGATGGCTTCCACTCGATGCCGCTCCCGCCGATGAACTCGACACGCAGGAAGAGCTTATAAAATCAATTATAGCCAGAGCTGAGGCCGAGCTTCGCATATTGAAGCCTCTACGTAAGGGGCTGGAAACTCAATCATAGACCGACAAGGCACACCTCCATAGAACTGTAAGCAAGTGTGTAGATACTGGACAGATTGACGGTAGTACTACTTCAATTCCAAACAAGACGTCGGTCACGAACAAATTACGTTGGGAAAGTGTCAAGATGGCACTGAGATTGCGCTGTGGCCAGAGAAGGAAAAGTCTCTCGTGGAAAGTATGTATCTTACCCTCCCGGCTTTGATGAGCGATGATTTCATGTCGGTTAGGTTTCCGAGATCCAGAAACCAACAATCAGGTTCGTCTTATCTATGCCAGGCTATGTACTTATTTAATCGTGTTGCAGGTGTTCTTCATTGACACCTCTTGGGCCTTGTGCTCCAGGTCTGCTGGACGCGCCGTCGACGTTGAAGGTGCGTATCTACTACCCTTGATCCCCGCTGAAATTAATACCCAACCCAGAGGACCGCCTCGTCCTCCGACATTGGCGACCCGTGTCTCATCCGTTCCCAAACGCCTACGCGCACCCCCTGCCCAAATTCAGCTACTCGCAACAAACAGGGGAGATAACGGTCCACTTTACGTGTGACCCTACGTACCCGCCCCCAGACGCGCCTGTCTCCAACGCATGGAAATCAAAGACGTACTTACTCACCTCGATCCCGATGCGCAAGCCACGGACCTTGATCGACGACGCATCCGAGTTTTTGGCTTCTACAATACTCACGCCCATTTCGTGGGGCCGTGCAGCGCCGCAGGCTACGCCCGAGGAGGTGTTCAATGGGGGTATTGATTTGAATGAGGACGACGTTGTGGAAGAGGAGAGGGTGGAAGAGGGGGATGTGGATGATTCTCCTGAGGCTGGGCGGAAGGTGCGTGTTATTGGGGTTGTGGGTAGAGTGGTGAATGAGAAGGCGAGGAATCGGAGACGGTGGGTTGTCACGCCTTTGAGGACCGTGAACGCCAAGACGGGGAGTTCTTAATTAGTCACGTCACGTGGAGATGACGCGTCAATGTTACGCACGCGCAACTGTAATAATATTTCTATGTAACACTCAGTGGAGTACACTCATGTCAGAAACGTCGCAAGTATGGATGGGTCTGGCCTGTTCTCGCAGAATTCTTCCCTGATAGCCCTAATCTACTTGGTAAGGGTATCTTTGGTGCTGGTATTCTATAGATCTCACTGCTATATAGGACTTCAACCACATTTCTACTTAGCTCACGCACAACGTACACGGCCCACATGACGACAAATTCTACAAATTCCTCTCAGGGCTCCAAGATGAATACGACGCCTTACAGAGGTCGGGATACGCCGGGGAGGGGTTCTTCTCCAAAGGCCAGTGATTGGGTGCCAACGTCTCTCACGATCTTCCACCTCATCTGGCAAGGGCCAAGGCCCTCGAAGAGGCGGAGGACATCTAGGGTGTTGGGTAGTGGCGGCCGTTTGGGGGAACAATCAATACGAAAGGGAAGACTCCCATGCAGCTGGCTGCAGAAGTGAGTTTGTTTCGTTTGCTTTTTCTTTTGATGGGTTCAACATGGTTTGTGATTTAGGCAGCTGAAAGAAGGGCACGCGACGAAAAGTCGTGTGGCTCTCAAGCTGGCTCGGCGCGAGGCTGAGAAGGCGGCCAGAGAAGGTATCGAGAATAAGGTCATTCACTTGACTTTGGACGATGATTCGGATTCGGATGTTATCATCGTGGAAGACGTCCCAAGGCCTATCGCGGGCCCATCTTCATCCTCGGCAAGTAAGCGCCAAGTTGGTGCTGCACCAAATTCAGGATCTTCTTCGAAATTGAAGGCCACTCCTGTTCGAAATGATTCTATGAGCAACCAAAGACCAAGAGCAAGCTCACCCCCAGCAAGGTCAAACTCCGAGTGGGCCTGTCAGATTTGCACATTGCTGAACCAGCCATTTGCACTCCAATGTGATGCCTGTGAGACGAAACGGCCGCAGGAACGTCTATTATTCAGACCCAACATTCTTGTTGAAAGAAATTCAGAACTTGCGGTGTCTGTGTATGCGATCTCCATCCCCAAGTATGTCGAACATTCCATTTTGCTCGAGAGCTTTTCTGATCTCCCTTAGAATAAACGCCAGAACGGTAATCCTAACTTACCCCACTTGCTCAGCGATGCCTCCATCGATCGCATTACAGGTAAGGTCTGGTCTCCGTACATTACTCAAATAATAATTTTGGGTGGTGATTCTGGTGAAGGTTGTCGAGGTAAGTCATCTTTTGCGCAGCCATCCGGCACCGGCGCAGTGCGAACTCATATCCGGGACCACATCCCGTCGAACTCGTGGATTTTGCGGAGCACATCGCGTACAGAGATTAGCTCGTTCCACATGCAAGACGTTTCAATTCTACGACTAATTGTATCAGTCCAGGAAATCTACTTTGATGAGTATACGGGAGGTTTTGGTACAGACTGGGTCTGATATCAAGGTCAGAAGTCTCATTTTACGATCTTCAAGTTCTTTGCTCATCTAGCATTACTTACTAGCGGTATATGGACAACATGTACACTCGTCGCATGCTACAGAAATTCAGTACGCTCACTCGATGACTTGTAGCTTTATTGGAAAATTTGAACATTACTCGTGAAATGTATGGCCGCATCTTGTAATGACGATCTTATCTCCATGCCATCAGCCAGAACCATGACTTCTCTTGCACAATACCGCTAACTAATTGAACAGAATATACTAACTTTTCATCCAAATTTCCGGCGTTAGTCGTACAACCTCAGCTACCGAAATCCGATCCACTGCTTCATAAGAGACCATCATACGTATAACCCTTTCGAATTCTTCAAGTTCCTTCCCTTCCATCCTATTGGGAGGCATCTTTAGGAACTTCCCCGAGACTACCGGTAACTTCGATCTATCCCCAATAAACATACCATTTTCGTCGAAATATTGTGATCTATCCTCCCACTTGGTCCACCATCTATCCGGCAGTTTACCCAACGTCAACACCATCTCCCTCAAAACCTCCTGTTTAATCCCGTGATACGAATTGAACAAAAGATATCCTCCGCTCAGAACTATGTGAATGAGGACAGCCAGTGCCCATACATCCACAGCAGGGCTAACGTGATCGTTAAATATGATTTCCGGTGCGGCGTAGACGCAAGGGGTGTTAAATTGGGTTATCGCGGGTTTGACGTCCCACAGGAAAGCTTCCCCGAAATCGCATATTTTTACGCGTACTGTTTCTGGGGAGCTTAGGCAGAGCCGGAGCAGTTCCAGCCGATGGGGTGACGGGACGACATACTTTGGTTCGTGAGGGGTGGATGTAACTGGTGTGCCATCTCTGAGAGAGAGTGGACTTTTATATGGTTCTCCCAGGTACTTTTGTAGATCCTCATAAGATATCCGTTCAATCCCAGGTATACGCAACAATATGTTTCCAATGTGAAGGTCTGTAAAAAATCGATATCAACTTATCATGGAAAACTTCGTGACTTCGCTTACCTCCATGGGCAACCCCGCAGCTATGCAGGTACGCGACTCCGCGTATTACTTGTGCGACAAGCATCTTCGCTATTTCTATCGGGTACCGATCCTCATCGTAGACTTCATCGACATCAGCGCCTATGCCAGGTCCAAGCACCTCAGTAACGATACATTGATGAGTGCCATTTGGCCCTTCAACCTTGAAGTCATCAAAAAACTCCATCAGAAATTCCTGACCCTCTGAGCCTCCATCGGCGCTCAGCTGCCGTTGCTTGAGATGGCGAAGGATGGCAACTTCGGACACAACCTCCGAGCCCTTGGAGGCTTCAGCAGCTAGAACTTTGAGTGCGGCGCATCTCCCTGAGTTGAGATCTTCAACGAGCCATACGGTGCCATATGCACCGTATCCAAGTTTATTGACAATGCGATAACGATTCTGCAGAACATCGTCGATATGTATAGGATGAAAACCTCCTTTACGATAGTATGCGATTGATTCCACACCGGGATATTGAGTAAAGAGTTGAGGGCTCCGGACGGAAGTCATGTTTGTTAATGTGATGAGGTGGTGGTGAATATGGCGAAGAAGTGGGGTTCGCCTGGCAGAGGAAGTTCTGAATGTGATTGAATCTGCAAGTGCGCAAGTGCTGTGTCTACTATATAGCGGCTTTCATGTCTTATCGCTGTCCTTCCCTGATACACACCAAATCAGCTGTGGAAAACGTAAGATAACCTTCCGTTCGGACAATGCACTGGAAAATATACAATTCACATTCTGCCAGCAAACAACATTATGTCACGAAGGTAGGGTGGTGAATGAGAAGGCGAGGAATCGGAGACGGTGGGTTGTCACACCTTTGAGGACCAGACGACGGGGAGTTCTTAATTAGTCACGTCACGTGGAGATGACGCGTCAATGTTACGCACGCGCAACTGTAATAATATTCACTCAGTCAAGTACTTACACTCATGTCAGAAACGTTCATACAATCGTTCACACATCTCAAAGACAGACAAAATGCAGATCGTGCGCTGCACATGCTCAAAAAGGTAGCATCGCTCGTAAAACCTATCATGCGCAAGCATGGATGGGTCTTGCCTGTTCTTGCAGAATTCTTCCCCGATAGCCCTAATCTACTTGGTAAGGGTATCTTTGGCGCTGGTATTCTATAGATCTCACTGCTATACAGGACTTAGTATGTTCTCGTCAGATGCAGGTCAAGGTTGGAACTCTAACGCCTTGGCCAGACGTGAATATGGGACAACAGATCCTCATTCGACTCCGTCCCGCCCACGCCCCAGATACATTCTACGATCAAGAAGACATTGTACAAACTATGCTGCATGAGGTTCGCACCCAACTCCTTGCGCCATTTTTTACACTCACATCTTCCTGTTTAGCTCACGCACAACGTACACGGCCCACACGACGACAAATTCTACAAATTCCTCTCAGGGCTCCAAGATGAATACGACGCCTTACAGAGGTCGGGATACGCCGGGGAGGGGTTCTTCTCCAAAGGCCAGCGATTGGGTGCCAACGTCTCTCACGATCTTCCACCTCATCTGGCAAGGGCCAAGGCCCTCGAAGCGGCGGAGAAGAGGCGGAGGACATCTAGGGTGTTGGGTAGTGGCGGCCGTCTGGGTGGAACAATTGATACGAAAGGGAAGACGCCCAGGCAGCTGGCTGCGGAAGTGAGTTTGTTTAGTTTGCTTTCTCTTTTGATGGCTTCAACATTTACTGTGATTTAGGCAGCTGAAAGAAGGGCACGCGACGAAAAGTCGTGTGGCTCTCAAGCTGGCTCTGCGCTCGCTCAGCGCGAGGCCGAGAAGGCAGCCAGAGAAGGTATCGAGAATAAGGTTATTGACTTGACTTTGGACGATGATTCGGATTCGGATGTTATCATCGTGGAAGACGTCCCAAGGCCTGTCGCGGGCCCATCTTCATCCTCAGCAGCTAAGCGCCCAGATGGTGCTGTGCCGAATTTTGTTGGCCAGGGATCCTCTTTGAAATTGAAGCCTGCCTCCGATCGAAAAGATTCTGTGAACGACCAAAGACCAAGAGCAAGATCGCCCCCAGCAAGGTCAAACTCCGAGTGGGCCTGTCAGATGTGCACATTGCTGAACAAGCCATTTGCACTTCAATGTGATGCCTGTATGACAAAACGGCCGCAGGACGTCAGTGAAGGGTGGACATGCCTCACTTGTGGGGAAGCCGGGATGGAACACCAGTTCTGGTCGTGCCGATTTTGTGGCATAATCAAAGCGGAGAGCTGAGCTGACTATTTTTGACTGTGGTGGTGGTTTTGCGGAAGCATGTAGGATAATGGAATGGATGGATGGGAAATGATATACACCTTGTACTTTGATAGTTATACCAGTTTAATTTGAAATATCCTGACATCGGCTTTGTTGCCTTCAACGGTTTCTAAGAACGGTGTCCTGTCGAATTCGAAGGCTAGGCCGACTACTAGCAGCCCTGCACCTGTTACGACGCGTCAGAATACCAATTTAGAGAAACGTGGGGGAACTTACTCTGAGCGTCATCAAGGAACTTCGCCATGGTTTCCCCATTTCTCACTGTTAGCGCCACCAACGCCAGCTTTGGGGAATCGGACACAAGCTGACTTTGAGGTTGAAGAGCAAACTTGATCGTTCCAATCAACGCAAGAATTAACGACGGGTCAAAGACCTGTGGAAAAGTCAGATGTCGTCCTTGAAAAAACTTAAGTAGGGAGACAAACAATATCTGCTCCGACAACCAGTTCTGGATCAATCTCGTTTAATAGAGATTTGAGGGCCGGCGATCGGCTTTCCTCTAGCGATGCTGACCAGTCTAGAATACGGTAGTTCACATTTCGATGAGATGAAGAGGGATCTGTTCAAAAAAAAAAACATTAGGTTAGGTCGATGGACAGCGTATAAGCAAGATAGAGTTACTGCATGGGAGGGTAACGTTATGACGACACCTTGCCAGGACTACGTAGTTGATGTCCGTCAACCACACAGCGCCAGTTGCAGAAGGGTTCGAGATGCGTTGGAGGCTCGCAATAATAATACCGAGAAAACCGGCACCCGATCCCAGTTCCAAAATCCGTTTCGAGCTGATGAGCTCTTTGGTCAAGGTCAAATGTGAGCGTAAGTCTTGCTATGAACTATTGATAACACACCAGGATGGAGGATGAGGTACTGGGAAAGTACGAAGCTTGCTAGCCAAGTTCGTAGGCCGGTGGTTCCAGACTCGATTGTAGTACGGGATTCGAGGAGGGTTGCTTTGAGATATGAGGAGACGTTGTCTGGGTTTGTTGGTTGAGGGTTCCAGTAGTGGGTAATGTAGGACGGGGACGGGGTTTTTTGTACAGGTGCAATCGCTTGTCCACGTATTTGAGGTCGGGACTCGGCATCCAAAGGGCCTAGTGACCTGCATAGTTATAAGTTATAAGTGTCGCCAAATAAACTTGCAGAGTTACGCACTGAGGAGGCAGAAGGCCAAGGTAGTGCTCGTATATTTTAGGATCAAGTTCGAAATCCTCGTTCTGTGTTGAGGACAATCACCAGTTTTCCATTGATTGGACGACTCTAAATACGGATACATGCCTCGTCAGGAGATAGCGCCTCGAGGTTCTCGATCGCCCATTTCCAGAACCGTCTCTGGTATTGATCAGAAGGTGGATATCGGCACAAGTGTGGGCTCAACAAGATTTTGTTGATAAAAAAAACGTGTATTTCCTCTAGGGGAGTAAGGCGGGGAAATATGAAATTGTTTGGAGAAGAAAGACCAGAGTAACCGCGAAGAATCGCGAAGATTTCACCGTGCATGATGGTGAATTCGAAGATCGCGCTTCAAACCGGCCGTAAAGCAAAGTCATGTGACCGTATCAAAAATTCCTCAAATTTTTCTCGCTGTCAAGTTTTCTAAATGCTCTCCTCCCTTCGTCTGGTGCCAGCCCTCCGACCATGCCTCCCAAGTACCTCTCGAGGCATTGCATCCTCCGCGTCTCGGTTCACGGACCTCGCACCAACGCCTCCAACACCTGAAGAAGCAGAAGCCTTGGCTGCGCTCGAAACGAAGGAGGAGCCTTTCCAGGCAAGAGACGATCGCTCCGGCGACGATGAGAAAGAGGGACCTACTTATAAAAAGTTTATGGAGGAAGTGGGTGAAAAGTACAAGTATGCGAAGCCCCAGAATTGGATCGGTGGAAAAATAGTTGAGTTCGTCTTGTGTTTTTCTTGAAGGACAATGGGGAGGCTCACATGGACTTATTTCATGGTGGTTAGCCGTTCCCTATGAACCCTTCGTTCAAGCCTCCGCCGCCTATAACGGACAGGCAACGGAGCGAGATGTATAAGCTCTTCATGAGCAATCCTGACGAGTATAGCGTCAGGGAACTTTCGCAACGCTATGGCATCAGTCTCAAGCGCGTTGATGCTATACTACGCCTGAAAGGACTCGAGGATGCATGGAGAAAGGTCAGTATTCGGTTGTTTTCTTTGATTCTATGACGAGTACAAACGATTAGTCTTGAAGACAATCGATATCGATTCTCATGGTTACAACTTCAACATATCTGATTCTTTTCCTTTTAATCTCCTGAATTCTCATCAGGTTACTGACCAAGTTTAAACTTGACAGGTAGATATTCGTCACATACAGGAATCTCTGACAACTGATCTCTCATCTTGTTGCTTCATGACGGTTTAGGAGGTTAGTCTCTGTTTTTATATTCTCATACCTTCCCCGCTTGCTGTGACGAGTTATTACTTCATTCGCGAACGGAAGATCATCTGGGTAACCTTACATACGCCTGGAAACTGGTTAAACCGTTTTCAACCCCATCTGAAGATTCCTCTGTCTCTCCTTCGTTTGGATTCTCTTGCTGAATCATGACCAATCGCTAGGGCAAGCAAATTCAGACAGGCTTTACAAAGGGAATGGAGCTCATTCTCAATGCTTCACAATCCGATAAAACCGAACGGTCCTTTGTGAATGCCATTCGATACGACGTCCATGAAGCTGATACGCTTGAAGCCGAGGAAAGGCGTGATGCTGCTCGTCAGCGTTATCAACGTTCTTACTGGGAGTCTGTACCAGAGGATGGTCGGGTAAGTAATCCCACTCAAGTCTATCACGTCCTTTTGACTTGACTTGCTCCTAGGAACCCATTCTACCCGGGTCGTTGGAACATGCTAAAGCTGCGGCGAAGCGCTATGTTGAACGAGGAGACAAGTTGAAGGCCTCACCAAGGCTTATGCCCAGGATACCAGATACTGAATACCTCAAGCGGCCCAAGGAACCTGTTCAGATCTTCGAGAAACCTGGACGGCCTGCGTTCAAGTTTGTAGATGTCGGAGCCAAGTTTATGGATGTGGATGAGCGTATCCATAGAATGACGACCGCTGGGCGTAATTCCAAGCGCCGACTGCAAAGGTCTGTGCAGAAGGAGGAGTCGCGGAAGGTTGCGGACGCCAACTAGCTAATTTGTCGATTATTCTATACTTAATTTGGAGACGTGTGGTATATATTAGGTTTTACGAAAGAAATATCATTCGATTATCGTTCCCTCCACCTTCAAATCATACACCGTGATTCTACCAAAGAAATCTGAGCTCTCCTCGAACAGCAGACGCAACCCTGTAACCCCCCGTTCCAGACTGACGGCTCCGATGGGCTTCAGATCGAAAACCTGTCGGCGATTGACGTCCTCGGGGTATATACTTGTTAAAACCTGCCAGTCCTTCGCTCCGTCAAGAGGAGGTATCTGGACGACACATCGAGTTCCGACGAATCCCCCTTGAAAAGTCATAGACAAGCGCTTGGGAACAACGGGTTTATCTGCGAAACCGAGTTGAATGAATTGCGGTAGGCCCTAGTGGAACCGGGAATTTAAAAAAAAATCGATAAACCCTTCGCATGGGCGTACAACGCACTTGTTGAGACGTCCAACATGTTTCTGGGCTGTTGTCCACGAGATGCTTCTTTCCTGTTGCTTTCTCTAAAGTCGAGCTAACTCTGAGACAGGGTTGGAGGTTGTAAAGTCAAGAGAAAGCATGAGGACGGACTTGATGGATGTGTTTTCGTCAATGAGGGAGATAAGATCGTCGCTTGTCATTGCCGTTGAGAATAAACAGCACTGCGTGGGAAAGATCATCAAGACAGCATGATCATTGAGAGCAATGTCCTCAACACCCAAGATCCCGCCGTGGCTTTCCGCCTCGATCACGCCTAAACACCTCCGACGCGTTGTTGCTGTTCTACGTGAACGGGAATCGAAACGCGAAGCTGCCCGATCGGCGTCCCGGAAAGCAGATGTTGCCCCCCAGCCTACTACACACTCTAGCCAGTTCATCGCCTCTTTGCGTCATCCGAAACCAGGACGTGATGTCGATGAGCACTATACCATTCTGACGGGGTGTCAAGTAGAACACCAACCCAAGAACCGCTATCTTGACCTGGAGCCGTACGATCGCACCCGTGTCCTTGTTGGAGAAGAGGGCAGGTATCTTCACGCTAGCTGGGTATTGGAGCGATTCGGACACAAGTGGTGGATTGCGGCGCAGGCTCCGTTGCCTTATACCTCTCATGCGTTTCTCAGCGTTATTTTACAGCCAAGCACGCGTCCTCCAGATCATCTGCAGGGTGGTGGTTCGCCTAATCCACATTCACGGTGGGGCCGCGTGAGGACTGTTGTTCAGCTCACTCAAAATGTGGAAAGTGGGCGAAGGAAGGCGCATGCGTATTTCCCGGACGATGTTGGGAAATCGATGATTATTCCTGTGGAACATGGATCTCAGGCTCCTGCGCTCAAGGTTACTCTTATTGAATCTCGGGTGTTTGAAGAGGCGCATTGCATTCAAAGTACGGTGGCTATTGTCCCCGTCGCACATCCACCCTCGGGCGTCAGCGCAGGTTCGTTTGAAGAGATGGAGGTGGACGAAGGCGTGGATGAGGAGAGGTACGGTGAACATAACGAGGAGAGAATAGTGTTCCGTCACCTGCTATACACGTCCTGGCCAGACCACGGCGTTCCGGAGACAGAAGACCGCGCAAGCCTCCTCGCGTTTCTTCGTTTGGTTGATGAGACGAACCGTGATACCTCCCTTGTTGGACAGTTACCTGACGTTGATCCTGATCCCCCTATCATCGTTGGGTGCTCTGCGGGCATTGGGCGTACAGGATCGTTCATCGCGATTTCATCTCTTCTTCGAAGTTTAAATCTCCTTCCACCACCCGCTTCTCCTTCCCCATCCACTGTACTCCCAACTTCGCCTCTTGGATCGCTGCCCCCCGAGTTGGCTGAGGACTGCGTCGCCCAGGAGGTGGATTCGTTGAGAGAACAGAGGCCGGGAATGGTGCAGCGGGACGCGCAGATCACGCTTATCTACCAGACGGTGATTGACGCGCTTGAGGTGTGGGGATAGATAGGATAAAATGTATACCACGAAGATCAGGTTCTACGTTGCGTGAGCAAGCGCCATTATTAGTTATCGTGGATGATAAATCAGAGACGGAGTAAGCTTGTCTTTGTACCATCACTCCCCAACTAAATATGTCGCTGCCCGCTACTGTTGAAGCTATCACTATTCCCCATGTAAGCCTTCAACTCAAGATATCGAGATTTTCTTAATACGACGCGACAGACTGGAGCCATCGAGGTCATCGAGAAGACGACCCGTCCCTTTCCAAAGCAGAACCCCGCGGACATTGTTATCAAAGTGCGATAAGATCTAACATTGCTCTGCCGTGATACCTGATCACACCCAAGGTCGAGTATGGGGGGGTCAACTTTATTGATACCTACTTCCGGTGAGGACCAGTGGATTTCAGGTTGTGATTCTAGCTAAGTTGAAGATAATAGCGCTGGACTGTACAAGTTTGAGAAATTCCCGGCTGTACTAGGGAAAGAGACCGCTGGGATCATCGTGACGCTTCCAACCGACGAGAAGGTACTACAGAACGAGACTTACAAGAAACAAGGCTTCGTCGTTGGCGGAAAGGTCGCTAGCGTGGGTACTTTCATATTCTTTCCGTGGAAAGATGAGTGACGTTCGCTTGCTAGGCTTATAGTGAATCTTTCGCGGAGTATATCTCTGTTCCGTGGAGCGTCGTTAGCCCTGTGCCCGAATCGGTTTCGACGCGCACTGCAGCAGCAGCGTTGCTTCAAGGGTTAACGGCCGTCAGTTTCGTCGAGGAAGCGTACCCCGTCAAGAAGGGTGATACCATACTCATTCATACCGCCGCAGGGGGGTTGGGTCTCTTGCTAACCCAGCTGGCGAAGAACGTTGGAGCTACCGTCATTGGGACGACTTCGACAGCGGCAAAGGCGGAGCTTGCCAAAGCGAATGGAGCTGATCATGTTATTCTCTACCCTGTAGAAGACACGGTGAAGAGGGTGCTGGAACTCACAAATGGAGTGGGTGTAGACGCTGTCTTTGATGGCGTTGGAAAGGACACGTAGGTGTCTCGTCTTTATTATGGGACTTGAGTTGACGCTTGGCAGGTTTGATAACAACTTCAAGCTCATCAAGCGGAAAGGGACTATAGTGTCAGTTGGTAATGCTTCTGGTGCTGTGGAACCCTTTTCGGTGTTGAGGTTGGCAGAGAAGAACTTGAGACTTCTACGACCATCGTAAGCTATCATCAACTTGGAGAAGAATGGAAGACTGACAACCCATAGACTGTCCAACTATGTGTACACACCTGAGGAGAGTGCGTACTATAGCCATAAGCTGTTTGAACTGGTAGCGAAGGGAGCGCTGAAGATTGCGGTGTTTGAGGAATACCCGTTCACTGCGGAGGGCGTGCAAAAGGCACAGCGAGATTTGACTGGAGGAAAGACGACAGGCAAGCTAGTCGTAAAGATTGCACAATAGATAGCAGTAGTAAGTAGTGGTGACGTAAGCGATAGATTGAGACCGACACAGGAACATCGACCTTACATCGACCTCGTCGTCAACAAAGACGACAAGCAAACAAAAGATCCAGTAAAGTCAAGAACTAAACGACATTGGCATCTGGGACAGCAATACCCGTATCAAACACGATCTCTTGACGCTCATACGCATATCGATCGCCCCCTCTGTGGCACAACAAGTCTGGATACCCTTAGGTAGCCTTGAGAATCGACGAGCAGATCAACATGGATAATAATTCGGAACCACCAAAGCCTAGACGTCCTTTGCCTACTCCAGGCGCACCTTCTGCACAGAGGCCGAGCACACCAGTCCTCAATATCAGCCCCATTCCTCCTTCCACTTTCTATGGCACAACGCAACCCCAAAAACCTCCTCTACCTACACGTCCATCCAAGCCACTCGGTTCTGCATACACTTCCTACCATGCACCCTCAAAGGCTACCGCCCCTCCTCGCTACGGATCTCCGGCGTTCACTGGTTCCCCAGGTTTTCGCGAACCTGAATTCATAACCGAGGAGCCCATTGACGAAGACGACGATTTGCCGCCAGATCTTATACCTCCGGATGAACCGCACAATTGGGGGAGCGCCGAAGCATCCTGGTCCCAGACCCAGTGGCCTGCTGGGACATGGCATGATACGACTACCTCCACCACGGAGTGGATGAGGTCGGGCGGCTATGGTGACGGGAGCGACTACCGCAGGAACACAGAAGTAGCTATTGATGGAAGAAGGAACTTTGAGGAGGATAATTGGTGGAACCCTGCGGAACGCGAAAGGAATAACCGTCCAGGGCCAGGCATGCTCCCGCCTATTCTTGCGGAACATCTGCATGACACAAACCATTCGTTGTTTTGCGTGAACGTTTCCTCTTCGAATTTCATGGGGCAACTAACTTCATCCCACTCAACGTCCTCTCTAGGCCACCATCGCGAGCACTCGATATCCAGTACTGCCAGTTCTCAATCGACCGTGCACGAACCGTCCCCTAACGCCCCTCCTCCGACCGAGGACGAAATTCGTACGTCGGTGCCACATCCAAACGCACATTATTGCCCGAGAGAGAATGGCTGGGTCATCCTCAGCTGGAAGGCGTCGTCCGTCTCTCCTCCCCTCGCTGCGTCGTTTCGAGAGGATCAATTTCCCCTCCCTGATCAAAACAGGCGCAGAAAGGCGCATTCTTGTATCGATGACGTCGAGCACTCGTTCGGAGCTGCCAACAAGACACATCATTTCCACAAATACCCAAAAGCTATCGACTCTCATAAATTGACGCCACCTCTCCGCGAGGATGAATGGCAGTCGTTGGAGAACATAAAACAGAAGCGACGCAATGGGACTATTGTCATGGACGAGATTAATGTTGAAAGTCTGGGAGAGGCTGAAAACCCTATGGATACGGAGAGTGAGGGCAAGCTATTGGACCTGTACGTTTGTTGTCAGTGTTCTCTTTACGTCGTTGCGTCTGGCGTTATCCCTGGAGTTATTCCACGAAAGCACTTTGAGGAGTTTGTTCGTGGCAAAAGGAACAACCCTATCGTTGGCAAGAGTGGGGAACTCTCCGTCGTTCTATCCTTAGAGACTCTTTTGCTGTGAGTGAAATTCAAATTTTGAGTGTTCTTTTCTTATCAATTGCAGAGCGGTCGAAAACAAGCTGTGGAAAGGCGACAACCGCTTGATAAAGATAGGAAGCAGTGGGTTCAGGTCCAAGCTCGGATGGAGTCCAAACACGTATGTCGAAGATACTCAATCATTCTCGCCACTTTTTTTTTGAGCTCTACACAACAGGAAGCGTATACTTGAAATTTTGGGCTTTTATGAGCAGTCGGACGATCAAACCTTGAATCCGCCCACCACAGACCCGTCCACCCCTGAAGGGGTTCAAAATCGACGCAAACTCCTACGCGCTTGGGTGGAGGTTAATGCTTGGCTGGCCGACTTTAAACGTAATAATCGTATGTCATACTTTCCGCTGACTCTTTCTTTTTTGCGGTCTCATTACCTTCTTGTAGCTCAACACCTCAAAGATCACCATCCGAATCAACCAACCACTGGTACCGTGCAGATTGATAGTGCAAGGGAGATGTATCAGACTGCTATTGGCGCGCATCCGGTGCAGAGTGGGTTGGAGAGTTTCTAGGATATTTTATTCTAAATATCTTTTTTCAGTTCCTCGCGGTGAGCTTACGGATCCGCTTCTGGAGGCGGTTCGCGCCCTTCCTGAATCTTGGAGTATTTTCGGCTTGACACCGACTACTTTTTCTCCTGGTACGCTTTCAGCACTCCTTCAAAAATGATGAGTATGTTGACGATGCACATAAGACCTCCTTGCCTTTGCGTATCTCGCACAATGTCGTTGCGACCCCGCCAATACCATGTTGTATTTCACGCACCTATCGAAACTACTGAAAGTTTTCCAAGACTTTGGAAGTTGCCCGACTCAACTCCAAGATCTCCTCGTAATGGAACGATCGAGGGATCGGTTCACAACTGACGACCTGGAAAATGCAGCTAGTACCCTCGGGTTTGGTCCGGATGGCCTGCTCTCCGTGGACTATGACGACGAGATACCCGACGAGTTTGTTGAGAATGCGTGGAAGGACTGTGTGAAGCGGTCTTGGCGGGATCATAACAATGGTTCTGAGCTCCACCGAAAGGCCAACGAGGCTTTCAGAATACTGGCTGAAGCCCGTGGAAGCGTTCGGCTAAAGAAGGTTTGGGAGGCGGGTAAGAATAAGTATATGAACCCAGACCGGGCGTATGATACCCTTGAGATTCCTAAGGATGTTGATGACCATATGCTTATAACGGTGTTCACCATGAGGGTGGGTGTTTTCGACTTGTTCGGAAGAAGATGTGCTCATCTGAACTGGTTTAGCTCGAGGAGACCCCTTCGCAGATTGATAAAATGCGTGAAGCTATGACCGTTATCGCTGAAGTTCGAGATAGCGAGCGCTTGCGGCAATTTCTAAATTCTGGTCAAGATCGTATGTGATGTTTTTTTCTTTTGCCTTTACATCAAGAATTAAATAGAACCTGCAGCTGGTGATATCGTCGCACCTACTCGCGCCGACCTTCCGCGTGGCCTCAACCAGCTGGGAAATACATGCTACCTCAATTCACTTCTGCAGGTTTGTCAATGATCACCTTCTCCTTAGTTTGCGGTTTTTGAGGTTTTTGCAGTATTTCTATACCATTAAAGATCTACGAGACGCAGTCCAAGTCATGTCTAAGCTGGATCTAAAATCAATTGATGACGAGAAGTTCTCTGATGATGACCTCAAGCGCCATAGAGTTGGTGGCAGACTTGTAACACGGCGGGAAATCGTTCGATCAAGAAAATGTATGGCTTGTCAGCATCCTGCTTGTGATTCTTTCGCTCACACACGCCTGATCAGTTATCAATCAACTTGCAGAGCTCTTTTTCAACCTCGAGTACTGCGAGTCTGCGGCCGTCACACCCACGATTGATCTGGCGAAACTAGCCCTTGTGACGTCAAGAGATGAGGAGGAAGACGAGGCTGACAAAGGGGGAACAGACTCCTCTAACGATACTGACGCTACCTTAGTTGACGATGGGCCTTCGCGTGCCCCAGCACAGTCACAGTCACCACCAAGGTCATCTAGTACCGTTCTTGGGAAACGACCGCGCGATATTGATCGTCAGCGTAGCTCGATGGACGTCGATAGTCCCATTGTTTCGTCGCCAAAGGACAAAGATGACTACGTGATGGTTCCTTCGCCCACCAGGCGCTCTAGCTCGCCACTGTTGATCGACAAGGAGAATTTGGCACCCATTTCGGAAGCTTCGACGTCCAAGGCCGCTGATAAAGACGGAGATGTTGATATGGGAGGGACTCCTGCGCCAGAGGCTAAGCCCCCTCTTCCTCCGCGAAAGCGCGAAGTCAATGATTCTACCATGATGTTTGGTATTTGAAACTTGTCTTTCTTTGAAGATTCTTGATCGCTGAAGCAAGATGGATTGATAGGAAAACAACATGATGTTGCCGAATGCATGGACAATTGCATGTTCCAAATTGAAACTGCTCTCCTGAAATTCGATGGTGTGAACGATGGAGAGAGTGCAGAGAAGACGAGTGTGGTCAAAAGGTACTATCGTCTCTGTAATGTCGTGTCTTATAACCCAAAGCTGCCCATTAGGCTTTTCTATGGGAAAATCCGACAACGTCTGACTGGCACTGGGGCTCAACGAAACCGGCCTTCAATTCACGAAAAGGAAGATTTGTTCTCCCATCTGCCTGTCAACGTTACGAACGATGGGGTCGACATTTACGATGGACTGAGTGGGTATTTTGACGATGTCGTTGATTACGAAGGCGGCAAAGCCAGAATGGAGGTTTCTCTGGTTGATCTACCTCCTTTACTACAGATCCAACTTCAGGTGCGTGTGACACTTTAATTGGCATTCCCCGTTATGGTTGACACGCTATATAGAGGGTCCAATTCAACCGAGACACCCTCCAGCCATACAAATCGCAAGCGTATGTGAAGTTCGGGGAAACTATCTACATGGATCGATTCATGGACAACGCCAACCTGGAGAAAAAGGCCAAGTCGAAAGGGATTCAAGCTGAGCTTAATGCGTCCAGGGACCGTGTTAGGCTTCTTCTAGAAGGCAAGGTTAGGGGCTCATTCAGTTCAACTGAGAGATTTCCGCTATTGACAAGGGTTTGAAGCAGGATGCTTCGTTTGTTACTGCCCTTGATCATACAAGTAAATTCTTGGCTGGTTTGCAAGAGACTGCGTTGCCAGGCGTAGACGATGATCTTCTTCACGAGTTGCAAGACGAAAAAGGCCGGATAAATGCAGAGATTGACCAACTACGCGCTCGGGTGAATTCTCTCAAGGAAGAGCTGGAGACTCTTTGGCGAGACAGTTGTGAAGTTCCGTATGAGCTTACCTCTGTTTTTATCCATCGTGGATCTTCGCCGTCGTGGGGCCACTACTTCTTCTATTCGCGACATCTCCCAGACCAGCCTGATTCGTGGTTCAAATACAACGACTCCGACGTCACAGTCGTTTCGAAAGATGAAGTTCTTGCGGATACAACTGGATCTACAGCGAATCCTTACCTGGTATGAGATTCAATCCCTTTTTTTTCCCCCTGTAACCCTTCTTTTGACGACCCCTCTTTTTCTTAGCTTGTCTTTGCACGGAAAGGTTCAGACGTGGTTGATACCGTCCGACGATTCGATGCTTCCTCAATAATAGACCTATGATGATCATGAGAGCACGTTTTTGGGACTTTTATATTATCTGTAGCATTAGAATATGTGTCAATCGTTACTGACTTGCTATGATAACTTCCACTGCCATGACGCCCCCAGTCAACATTCAAGCTCTGACTCCTGATTGCAAACGGATTGAACACGGACAGCTCAAAATCGACTATTTATACCCGCTTCTGTGGGACAACGCCATCCTATTTTGCATGTCGTTACAGAATGTCTACAGCTAACAGTTTGGGCATTGCAATAGTTGTATATATTAGTAGTAAAGACCCCATGTAACTGCTAGCATACGGCCAGGTGAGTGGAACAACAGCGAAAAAGCAGTAGCACTTTGCTACTCACCAGCTACCGTGCTCTGCAAATCACCTCGCCAGGTATCTTCAAGCTCAACGCCTCCCTCGCCTCCAACCACTCATTCTCCTGGTCCTTAGTCCTTACCACCGCAACTTCACCCATACCAAGAGGCTTAATAGTCTGCGCCCTCCTTCCCGAGCAAATAAGCCTAATCTCTGTCAAGTCCATGAATATCCTCTTGCTGGGTTTGCTGACGAGCTCCATGTTGCTCAGAACGGGCTCGTCGTCCCGGTATTTTAGGTCGGCCCATATCCGGCGCTGGGACTCGCTGGCTTTTGTAAAGTCTGCTGGGGAGGGAGCGGCGATGGTTCCGCGTGTGAGGGATGAAATGAAGCCGGAGCGGAGGAGGATGTTGAGGATGCCCAGATTTTGGGTATTGTGGTGCACGGATATTTTTTGGTGCCGGGCGCGGAATGCGTTTTGGATGTGAGCACACAGGTCGTGTGGCAGAGGCATTGAGGGTGGCTATGGACTCTGGACGAGAATTGCAGCGGACGTGTTTGCGAGTTGTATTCATTTGTTTGTTTCAGGCTGCACTGCTCGTGACAGCTCGTGACCAACGTGCTCTCCTCATCATAGCTCTACTCAGTACCGAGGAAGCACCGAATCGTCTGACGGTATTAACCACCTCTGAACCTTTACGTGCAATGATCAGCGCCACTGTGACGCCAGTCCATGACCCGGTCAATATCCTTCAAGCTTGACTTAAGCTCGACTAAGGACTGCTGATTGCAAACCCGGCCCAAATGGATTCAACGCAAAGGTTGATGAGGCGGACGGCTCAAAATCGACTATTTATACCCTGCTTCTGTGAGACAACGTCGTCCTATCTTTCATGTTGTCGCAGACTCCTGTGTATACTCCTTTGGCGCAAGGATACGCCACCTTTGCCAATGCACATAACACTATCGGCCCAAGATCAGACGAACCAGGCAACTCAGGTCCTGATAATCAGTTGAGGGCCATCGCCAAAGTGCGAGAGTTGATCGCCAATAACACTGGGTTGCTCCTTGTTACTGTATCGCAATTTTTCTTCGCTCTTGTGCACGCAGCCGCGAAGAAAATGAACAGTTCAGAGACCCCTGTGCCGGTACTCGAGGTGTGTTCGGCAGTCCGTTGTACGAGGTGTACCCACAACGTTTATTGGAGTAGCTCGTATTTGTCCGCATGGTGAGTTGCGATTTTCTACGCAGTGAACTTTTCTGACTTCAAACTTCAGTCTATCACCTACATTTGTTCTATCTCATGCGTGTAAATTCCTTCCATTTCGGTTTCATCATTCATTTTTACGTGTTATATTTAAGCCTTCTGTCTGGCCTTCCCAGTCCTTTTTTCGGACCCAAAGGTGTCCGTTTGTTGCTAGCTTTCAGGGGCTTTTGTGGGTACGGACGCACCTCCCTTATCTCTCCAGCTCAAGCTGTCATCTTGCAGATTTGTCGCGCTAGTTGGAATCTATTGCTCTTTGCAATATCTCTCTCTGCCTGACGCAACAGTCTTGACTTTTTTGGCCCCGCTGTGTACTGGAGTGGCGGGCGCATTTTTCCTCGGAGAAACATTCACACGCCGACAAGCATTAGCTGGAGGTTAGTTACTCATAGAATATCTCTTTTGACATTTTACGCAACGGAAATAGTTTTCAGCCTTGCTGGAGTTGTGCTTATCGCGCGGCCGGCGACGATTTTTGGCGATTACTCCAATCTTTGGGGTGCAGGGGCAGGTTTTCTCAGAGAACCAAACGAAAACGTAACCTCTGCTGAGAGACTGTTTGCTGTCTGGTCCGCAGCACTTCTCTACAGTTGGAATGTATAACTGATCCGATTTACATTAGCATGGCGATGCTCGGGGTATCGGGTACAACTGGAGCATGTGAGACGATACTGCGCACATCTATCAACAAACTGGAAAACGAATAATCTTCCCGCAGTTGTCCTCATCAGAGCTATCGGCAAACGAGCTCATCCTTTGCACTATCTTATCTGTTATTCCACTCTATACGTCGTTGTTTCGTCGGTGGCGTACGTGCATTCCTTGAATCGATACTCCTTTGCGGTATGCTAATCGGAATTTCAGGATGCTCGCCACAAAGACCCAGTTTGTTATTCCGACAGGCCAAGGCTGGCTCCTCGCATCATTCGGCATTTTCGGGTTTCTAGCACAGGTATCTATCACAGAGTCAACCTTGAAATTCCAACTCTTTTACATCCCTCCAATTAGGTTTTTTTGACAATGGGTCTCCAGCGTGAAACAGCTGGGCGAGGAACAATGGCCGTTTATACACAGGTAAAATCATCCATAGGGAACGACACAAGCCCTGATCAAGAGCCTCTTACAGATTGTGTTCGCTACTGTACTGGACCAAATCTTCTTCCATTCTGTCCCTTCGACGTTATCGGTGATTGGAACACTCATCATTCTGACATCCACACTATATGTTGCTGTGAGCCCTCCTGTAATGTCTTCTTTGCTACCTTCTGAAGAATTTACATAGTATACGAAGGAAAGGGGCAAGACCGCACATATAACTTGCGATCAGCCCATTCATGAATCGTTTGAAGAAGGATTCTTAGGACGTACACAGGAAAACCAAGCTAACTACGCGGGAAATGACCAAGATTGGCGGCAGGAAGGGCGGACGTAGGAAAGAACTTGGTCGGGTCTTTCAGTATCTTGGACAAGATCTATTATTTTACCTACTTATACCTATCGCGAAACCCTTTTTCCAACTTTGACGAAATATTCTGTTGCTATTTCAACCAGATATTAGTAAGTCGGAAAAAAAAAATTGCCATCCGGTCCGAAGCCGGGTCAAAATTCCTAACCCACCAACTCTCCGAATCCATCTAGGAAGATCTTGGAGATGAGAAAGGCACCTCAAAACTGGCTATTTTAGGCCCTGCTCCTGTAGTTCAACGTCGTCCTATCTTCCATGGCGTCGAAGAACATCTATATCCCCTCAACCCAAGGATATGCCACCTTTGCCACCACACATACCACCGTAGACGACCAAAATCATGGAAGTCACTCGGGGGCGAAGACGATGATTACCAAAGTGCGAGAGCTCGTCGCCAGTAACACCGGATTGCTTCTTGTTACCGCATCTCAAGCTTTCTTTGCCCTCATGAACGTGGCTGTGAAAAAGCTGAACAGCTTAGACCCCCCTGTGCCGCCGCTTGAGGTGTGTTTCAATTTTTATAGTGCGAAAAGTATTTACAACGATTTTTGGGGGGCAGCTCATATTTGTTCGCATGGTGAGTGATCTTTTTACTCTATGATCCACCGGAATCTGACTTGAACTTTAGGCAATCACCTACATTTGTTGCATGGCGTACATGTACTATCATTCATTCCTGTTCTGTCGCGTTCTCAAATGGTCCCGTTATCCCCAGGCTGTCAACCGGTGTTCCCGAGCCCTTTTTGGGTCCCAAAGGGGTCCGTTTGTTACTGGTATTGAGGGGGTTTAGTGGGTATGAACCGCTCCTGCCACATTAAGCAACTCACAAGCTGAGGCTAATCTATAATCTTGCAGATTTTTCGGGCTTTTTGGAATCTATTATTCCCTGCAGTATCTTTCTCTATCTGACGCTACGGTTTTGACATTCTTGGCGCCGCTGTGTACAGCGGTGGCTGGGGCACTTCTGCTGGGAGAACAGTTCACACGCCGACAAGCTTTGGCTGGTGGTCAGTTTTCGTTTAATGTCTCTGCGTTCTTTGAATAACAGCGTTATGCAGTTTTCAGTCTTGCTGGAGTTGTGCTTATTGCGCGGCCAGCGGCAATTTTTGGTGTTAACTCTAATCTTTGGGCTCCAGGGGCTAGTCCCGGCCTAGAATCGAACGAAAAAGGGACACCTGCTCAGAGATTGGTCGCAGTTTGGTGAGCGACATGTCCCTTTACGTGGAACCTAAATTTGATTATCTAAACCAGCGTAGCGATGGTAGGTGTACTGGGCGCAACTGGCGCATGTGAGATACTACAGCCTGAGTTCCATGAGTAATACGGCCCAAACAAATTCCTCGCAGATACCAGCATCCGGGCTATTGGCAAACGAGCTCACCCTATGCACGCTATGACCTTCTTTTCCACACAATGTGTCGTTGCCTCGTCGGTGGCGTACGTGCACCCCTCAAATCATGATTATATCTTGGGTTTACTAAGAGTCTTCCAGAATGCTCGTCACAAAAACTCATATTGTCATTCCGACACGCCTGGATGGGGTCGCCCTCTTTGCGGTGATCGGCTTTTTCGGATTTTTTGCGCAGGTATTAGCTATCGAAGTCCATTCGTCCAACCCGGCCTTTCTGATTTCCCCTATTTAGATTCTGTTAACAATGGGTCTCCAGCGTGAAACGGCTGGGCGAGGGACAATGGCCATCTATACACAGGTAAAACCATCCGCAAGGAAGCCAACCAGCTCTGATCACAAATTCTTTACCCCAAGATTGTATTTGCCTCTGCATTGGAGCAAATCTTTTTCCATACTACCCCCTCCATGTTCTCAGTGATCGGAACGGTCGTGATTCTAACGTCCGCACTATATGTTGCAGTGAGTAGTCCGGTGATCTCTTCTTAGCTATTAACTGAAGGAGCTATACAGCTTACGAAGGAAAAGGGCAAGACTGAGAAGCAGCCCATTGTTGACGCACTCGAGGAAGGATTAATAGAACGTGCACAGGAAAACGAAGCTGACGACAGGGGTGTACTGGCACCAAATATTCATTTTTAAATCTGACATTTGGATGGATCTTGCATTATCTTGGATAACAATATAAATATGTCTTCTACCCATTGAGGCTATTTCTTCCGGGATCCCATTGGGAAGATGGACTTGGTTCGTGAAATATTTGAGAAGCGGCTCAACACTGTATGTTGCAGTCCAAAGAGCTGAATTCTAAACTGCACCGCGAAGTCGCTGAATTTAAGCGTTCGCGGAAGGAACGCACACACTCTCTGGCTAGTTCCGACTGTAAACGAGTCAACGGAGGAGAGGCGGAGGACAGTTCTAGACGCTATGAACTGAACAAGGAAGGAGACGGAATCAGAACATTGCTAAAGTGATCTATGGAAGAAGCCGACCTCCCCTAATTACAAAGCCTTCACCCCAAGATTGTATTTGCCTCTGCATTGGAGCAAATCTTTTTCCATACTACCCCTTCCATGTTCTCGGTGATCGGAACGGTCGTGATTCTAACGTCCGCACTATATGTTGCAGTAAGCCGTCCGGTGATCTCTTCTTAGGTATCGCCTGAAGGAGCTATTATCTATACAGCTTACGAAGGAAAAGGGCAAGACTGAGAAGCAGCCCATTGTTGACGCACTCGAGGAAGGATTAATAGAATGTGCACAGGAAAACGAAGCTAACGACAGTGGAGGTGAACTGGCACCAAAGATTCATTTTTAAATATAGATATGTCTTTTACCAATAGCGGCTATTTCTTCCAGGGTCCCATTGGGAAGATAGACTTGGTTTGGGAAATATTCGAGAAGCGGCTCAACTTCATAACTATCCATTGAGTAATGATCAGAGGACCGTTGAGGAACGAGGTTGAAACGCACACGAAGCTCAGATTTTCATGAGACTTTGGGAGAGAAGTAAATCCTAGCACCGTTGGAAAGATGAATGAATGAGAGAGACGGCCGTCAAGAATGTTGTCAGCTGTCTTCTTGAGTGTAGATGACACGACTCTGACTAGGGAGTGATGTGATGTGGACGTTGGTGGGCAAGGGAACTCAGGAAGATATGAGACCATCATTCGAGATGCGGGATGGGTCCGTAGGCCTTGAGGCAACTAGATGATTCGTGTCAAAAAGAGCTGTACTTCAACACAAAGACACATACAGAAAAGCCAAAGTTCACATGGTCTGAAAAATGATCGCTCAGTGCTGTGGTGAAGGTCAAAAAAAAAGCCGACTTGGATAGCGTTTTAGCACCCTTGCACTGTTCTAACGGCTGGCACCAGGCTGGAACAGTTCCAGGTCGGTATCATAGCCTCCCACGTCCAACTCTATGTCTGTAGCGAATCCTAAGCTGCCGTCAGCATTTTAATTATATGGCACGCACCTTTGTCGCTGATGGTAGCCTCCACCGCGGTTTTCATCAGACGCAAAGACGCAGAGCACATGTCCAGGTCCAAGATATCCCGAGTAGTTGTCAGCAAAGCAAATAACAAAGAACAAAAACATGGCTAGAAACAGTAGTCATTCAACAACCTCACTCCTTCGCAGGAGCCTCCCCTCCACTACTCCGCACATCATCAGTCGACTTCTCATCCTCAGCCTCTTCAATTGGTGGGGGAGCACGTCCAACAAGCTTAAGCCTATCCTCAAAGCCCAAATGAACAACCATCCACAGGTAGGAGGAGAATGGGAGTACGTACATCCAGTAAGGCATGATACCTCAAGGAGGTAGTATAACCCAATCTTCCGAGTTCTCGATGTTATGAGGTACGAGTCGGCCTCTGAAGAGTTTTGTGACTACTAGAGGGACGGCGTTGAGGAGGATGTAGGAGAGTATTCCTGCTATGACGCCGTATGCGATGCTTTGGGGTTGCAAGTTGGCATTCTTACTTTTCGGTTTGCATCCTCAGTCTTGTTTTGTCTTCCAAAGTGCGCAACCTTTTTGGTTTCCGAGAGTCGCATAACACAATCTCCTTCCCTACCCTTTAAGTACATCACCAACAGTGCACCGACACAATTGCGGCAGGGGTCTGTTCAATATGAATTGTAACGAGATTACTTCCAACGACAGGAGAAATGAGAAATCTACCAAGTTAGAGCTCTGACAAATCACCATTCTCAGACACTTCCGGCGCCGCCCCAGCATCCACACTCTCACCATCTTCGGGTGGGTTCAGCATTACTCTAACAGTAAGTATTGAAATGGTGCGACATCTGGTTTCAACGAACCCTCAATCTAAAATCATTTTTGTTAATGTTTTAAGTTGGGAGATCCAAGATGGTCTCTCACCCAGCGCCGAATCAATCCGACAACAAAGGCGAGGTTTTCGAGGCGGTCGCCAATGTCAAAGAAATCCTCGGTCGATGAAACCTGTCCACTCCCGTCGTCCTCAAGTGTCTTTTCATTTTGCCGGAAAGCTAAAAATTTCCAGCGCCGACCGTCTGTCAGAAACCCTTTAATATTTGGGATCCTTGTGCAAATCTTAGTGTTTCTGACAATGAAAAATAGTCGATTGAACACTTTACCTTTTGGCAAGGCAATACGTTGCAAGCTCTGCAACGGTTTGAGACATTGCGCGTTTCTGCAATGCCAAACTTCCTGTTGGGATAATAGTGTCCTCACTCTTTGTTTCTATTATAGACGCAGTGAAGCCAGGTGCGTGATGCAATTTGTTTTCCGAGTCTTTCAATTTATCTTCAAACAAAAGTCAATAGGTACAGGTCAGTGAAATTTCTGCTGCAGATCAAATATTTGAAAATGAAGTACATTTTGGGTGTTCATGGATGAGAGTTCGTGGACCTCGTAAAATGAGGTAATCTAGGTAGCCCCCAAAGGCCATCCTAGTTAGATCAAAAGCAGTCGACGGAACTTGCTCTTCAGGGACAATTGTGACGGCTTGCCCTGGCTCCGTATCGAGATTGGAGACGACGTATAGGACTATTGTATCAACCACAATACGGCATGATGCCTCTCTCCCCGTCTGAATAGCACGTCAATGTCAGATAAGCCTAAAAGGTTTATGAAAAGTGGACTGGGTACGCGCTTTGAAGGAAACCGTCTTCTTGATAAGCGAGAGCATGCTCTTCAAGGTTTCGAAGGTAAACCCATTCGGCTTGTTCTTCATGCCATCCTCATCTATCTCTGCTCGAAGGGTTGCATCTGAGGTAAGGTCTAGCGGGGGCCCGACGGTGAGTTTTGCCTTTCCGCAGTCGTCTGATCCCGCGTGCGAGAAAGAACGATACTGTGTCAGTCGCGAATGGTGAATAATTGGCGGTAAGGGTGGATAAAATGTCAACTCACCTTGGCCTGAAGCTTTTGCAGGTCATGTGACTCGCCCATAAAGGCCAGGGCGGTCAGCCCATCCTCCAGCATCTTCATATCCGCTTCATTGAAAGTTAAGTGGAAAAGTTTGCTCATTGGATGTTGGGAACGGAGGAGAATGATTTTGAGTGTGCAGCTCTACCATTCTTCGCTCTTCTTGGTGCCAGTTGGTCTATGTCGGAGTTTTCTAATTAGGCATCACAACCGGTTCTAACTTGTTGTGGACGTTCCTATCAAAATGGCCGTTATAAACAGAACCAACCAAAGAGTTTTTAGTCACAATTTTGGTCCCATCCAGGGTGGCAACTGGTTGCAACGGAGCTTGTGATGCGATTGTTGCACGATTGTAGCCAATTTTGGGCTAAAAAACAGAAAAATGGGCAACTTTCAACAGTTAGCACCGGTTAGAACGCCGATTCAATGCCGTCCCAATCTCAGCTGGTTGTGACGAAAGAATTAAATCTCCAACATACTTCTCTTGAAAGTTGAAGTGTGGCACCTACTAAGTTATTATCGAAGCAGAACCATCATTAATTAAGCACTAAGTAGTGTCCGAGCGACAACGGCAGCGCGCCCTTTGCGCACTCTCAATGATATACTGCAAAGAATTGAAGCAACTTCTACACAAGTGCATGTGTCACCTACATTATGTTCTATCTCCTCTTTCATCGTAGCTAGCCTCTTAATTCGCTACCTTTCAAATATAAAAATTGGTAGTTGAGGTGAACTTTGAAGCGGGCCACGGGCCCATCTCACGCTGCCAGTCCAAAATACATAGACCATGTTTTTCATCGCTTCCGTCTGACGCTGCCCGACGTCGTTTTGATGGCGTCGTGCTTGACCGCCACCATCATCATTGTTTTTTTCATCTCTCTCGAGGGTACTATTGACATTCCAAGAACAAGAGCATGATGATGTGAGTACCACAAGAAGTATAACCAAGATGCGACTTACCTTGGCACCTCCGCTCCCTCATCGTCCATAGAACAGCGGACCCCACGATCAACCAAATTAATTGCCGGCGAGATATGGATTACCCACATGTGGATAGTCGGGTAGCAGGTGCTGGGGTGATAGTGAGCGTTGCGGGCGTTGATACGGGGAGTGGGGCTGGTGTTAATGTTACGCTTATGTATCCTGAAGGGTAGGGTGATGAGGGGCCTCGGGCGCTTCGTATATATGCTCGCGGATGGGTTGAGAGGTGAGTTTGATGCCGTCTTGTTCCGGCGAGTGAGGAGTCGTTAGCGTGTACCAAGACGGAGATGGTGGGTCTATGGGTGTAGCCTGAATTCTTCACATTAAACCGATGCATCGAAAGAAAAATGAAAACGTACAGGAAGAAGCCGAAACCAACATCGCTTTACTAGGTCCTACATCCGAGTTACTCAAGCTACGCCGGTGGAGGGTTCTCCATCTGGGCCAAGGTGCATGCGGTGATCAAACGGGTAAGGCGTGAGTTTCGGTGGTATGATTTGAATATTTCCTGGTCATAAATTGGGTTGTAGCGCCAACATTCGCGGATACTAGCATGCTTCCACAAAAGAACGCGTTTGTATTAGAGTCAATTAGGTGGAGAATTGTCAGTGCTGGAGTTCGATACGATTAACCAACCCAAAAACACCTTATATGAGACGGGTGCGGGCTTTCCACGATGTGCGAAGGCGAGTGGAGTGCGATAGGAAAACGTTGTGCCCTTGCGGGTGTACAGAGGGCGAGAGAAAAAGAGAAGACGTTGAAAACTTGGTTTGAAACCTGGCTGGCAGCGGCTAACGTTGGAAACGACGATGTTCTTGCTGAAGCGGCTGCAGGTTCGAATATCCACACAAAGAAGCCCAGACATGATTGACGAGGACTTGCAACTTCCACTATTTCACTGCATTCATCATCCCTTGACCCAGTGTTGCCTTCTCAACCCTCCCTTTCGACACGGAGATTCGAGATCCCCAACATTCGCATCCTTCCACACCTTCCTATGCTGACCACTCTGTCGATGGCAGCTGCTTCTATCAAGCCAGACATGTATCCTGCTCTTATTGCGGAATTTGAGGCTAGATGGGCTGAGGGCGTCGCTCAATTGGCCATCACTCGTGCGAGACTCTGAGCTAGTGCGCGTAATGGGGTTAGGGTGGTCCGTTTTATGGAAGACAGCTCGTCCAACTCGCAGGACGAGGGCCGCGAAGGGTTGGAAGAGTTAGAAGACATCAACCAGGACGACCAAGCTGCATTTGACATGCCTGTGGAAATGGTTGATGGAAGAGACATAAACCGGGCTCCCGTTTGCTGCCTTGCTGGTGATGCAGAAGTAGGACACAGTGAGGGCTGCGGACATGCTGTAGGTTCTCGATCAATGTCTTGAAACGCACGGAGAAGGTGTCGATTTCTGAGTTGAGTACGGGGGATGTGCACAGGTCAATGAATATCAGCTCGGAAATACTCAGTGTATGAGTATCGAGTGTAAGGGCTGCTGACGCCGACAAACAGAAAGCGCTTGCTACTGGCCGTGAAGGGACACGGAGACGAACAGACGTTAGGGACGAGGACAATGACTTCGAGTGGATGAGGATGGACACAGATGGCTGCAGTCGAAAAAAGACAATAAGCTGAGCAAAAGCTGGCCTTGACTGTTCCTCCTGAGGGACTGGATCCTGAACGATAGAGATGGTAGCGAGGGCTGAGGGCGGCCACCGAGAAATTGCAATGAGGGTTGAATCAAAATATGCACCCTGGTAAGATTCCTCTTCAATGAATGTGAATCGCGATGAAAACGGAAAAAAGCATGCCTTCAAAGTTGGTAGTAATTGACTTCTGAACACTGCCGAAGGAGAGTACTTAATCAAATAACTGGAGAGATGATGAGCGCATTTCGCTCCCACCCACTAAGGTCTGAACCTTAACGAAAGATAAGTTAATCTAGGTATAGGCCTCTCAAGTAGCTCCTCTAAGTGTTCTGGAGTGAAGTTGTTGGTACTGATCCATAGGTCTAACAAGATAAGTCGAGGAATGAGTTTTACGAGATTGAGAACCATGTCTGCGTCGACTGACCACGATTTAATGAAAAGTTCGCGTATCCACGACGCAGCCTTGTCTTGAGTTGCCTCCTCAAGGCCATTGAGGTTTGGCTTCAGTGTAGGGCGATTTCTGAGGCGGAGACGACGGTACAAATGAATGGCCGGCTTGGGGCGAGTGATTTGAATGCTGCGGACCAAATCATGAAGTGGGACAGGGGAGAAAGTGCCTGAGAGATAGACAGAATCAAGTCACCGTGATGGCCGGGGAGGTCTTGGGCCAATCTTGGGGTCAGTGCTTTCCAAATGTTGAGGTACTCATCCGGGAGTACATAACGACCAAGTTCCCCAAGAGTGTGGTTCCAAAACTTCAAGCCTCAAGGCCTCAGGCCCAGGATTCACTCCTCATTTCTTTCCCACATCCATGTTGAAGGTACGTACTTAACTTGTACTTAACTCTCGAACGTCGGCTTGTACTGCGTGAATCTCTCATTACTCTCTCATTACAAGTCAATATCATGCTCATTTATGTAATCCGACAAGAGGCGGACCTCAAGACGTTTATGGAAAACACTCTTCCTTGACAGGATGTAATATTCAACTGTCCCAAGTTTGAGCTCGGAGGTTCTCGAGAGGCTTTATCGTGTCAAGCCGACGACGATTGTATGTCCCGGCCATTTTCTGCACTGCTCGAGCTGAGAATAGTTTCTTGACATAGGGAGCTGCGAAGAGGATGGAAGGCATGACTCTAACGTCAGTGGTTACCTGTTGAAGCACGCGAAACAAACCTAGATTCAAGGGCCCCGAAGACAATGCTGTATTAGCAGGCATGGAGAAATCGGTTCTCGCTTGTTCTCCCCTCCCATGGCGATCGTGTCAGGCCCCTCACGAAAAGCTGATATCTGGAAGCTAACCACGTACATGTTGTACTCACAAGAAATATTTCTACGGTTCAGTCACCTGCCAGTGACCGTGTTCTGCGGAATCCACTTCTCATCTTGATGGAAATTTTGCTTGCCCTGCTGAATGTGTCCAGGTCCATGCCGGGGTGATTGCTGATCTGCGACGAAGTTCTGGTATAGCAGCTTGTCTGGGCACTTATCTACCAATTGTCCCCTCTCCCCCTTCCACTCACCATTTGAATGTCCGCCCTCTTCTCCATCATCAAACCAGTGCGGCAACGTCATTAAGGGCTGGTGACAACTGCACCTTTGCCAAAGGACAACTCGTACCAACCCATGATATCTCTTCCAAGGTAGTCATGAAAGCCATGATAAAAGCTGTGACAGGCATGGTCCAATGGTGGAATCTTCCCCTAAATCTCCGCTCGCAAGGTAGCCTCCAGAAACTCATTTTGCATGGGAAATAGTCAATTTCCAGGGAATACACGGATTTCAAGGAACACCCCAACGAATTGGACTTCCATTTCGACCATACGCCTGCTGTGGGGGCCTCGCCGGCCGACGTAGATGCCTGCAAAGTTTCGCAGGCTTAAGGGCTCTTAACCACCGTTCTCTTTCTCAACACTCGAGGTTCCGTTTTCCATTCACTGCCCATCTCATCCTCTGCACAAGTCGACCTATCCGCGTTCTTGTGTGGACTAGGGTCTTTCCCCCTCTTGCGCAGCTTCTCCGCGCTGATCTGGTTCGATGATACACACTTATCCACTGGCCGCGTCAATCTACCGACCACCCACTCAACCCTCCTTAACGTCGAGTTGAGGCCCAACTGGCCTACAGAACCCATCCCTTCTCCACGAGGATTACTAGTCTGGAAAAATTGCAGATATCTTGGGGCCCTACGAAGAACTAACGTCCAGGTGCTTTATGGCCTCGAGTCGTTAGCGTTGCATTGTCACAACGTCGAGGAGACCCTTCCTCTTCTCCGCCGCTCCCGGGACACCTTATCCCGGCTTAGTCTTATAAACAGATATCTCAAAATTGACGAGGTCAAAGCCCAGCTCTACCACCGTGATTATTCTCTCAAGTTTCTCCACATCGAGGTTCTGGATATGAGCACAGACCTTATCGGACTTCTGGACGCCACTCTCCCAGGGCTTCTTTTGCTTCCCATCGTTTTTGTGGAGGAGGCATGGAACGGTGCCAGTGGTCATCTTTTCTTCTTGCTTTGTTTACGAGGGTACTATCGTTCACCGAAACTTTATGGCAGGATTTTGATTCTGTCGTATGTGTTCTATCTTCAATGACCCGGGCCCAGACACGGCTTGTCCGCCTCATAGCATTGTTGAAGACAGAAATATGAAGTTTTGGGGTGAACGTGCCCAGCATCACAACTTTTAAGGGGCTTTCCATACGCAGGATGTCTTGGACAATACTACCAGGCTGTAAGGATGTTCATAGGAATATTGGATACTTTTCGTCGAGTCACGCCATCAACTTTAATTCTACCTGAAGTACATGATCACATTGCCTGTTCTACAGCTTGAGTGAAAGAGAGAGAAAATGGTCGGGAACAATCCCTGAGATCCCCTCAACTATCTTTAACTGCGACAGCATCAAGTTTCAGTCTAATCAGTTGTGAGCGTTGGAAGCACAATGGTGTTAGTGTACGTCGGACTGACCTTTTTCTTCTTCTTCTTTAGTTTATCATCCGCTTCTCCGGTATCCCGTGCTGAACTGCTCAAGATCTATTCAAGGGCTTTTAGTACAACAGAACAGAACACAAAGAGTCCTAACCTCCAAGTAACTTTCTGTTACCTTTTCTGAGTCATCACCTTCTACGACCATCAGGCTTTGACTGTCAATTTGGGTTGAAACCTGCTTTTTCTTTGCTTTCCGCCATTTCCTCTTTGGCCTTGGAAGAATTTTGTCTGCTTGTTGGCCCAGTTTCCCTGCGTCGGGAACCGCATCCTGAGGGAAAATGTTTTCCTGAGAAAAGTCAGGACAAGAAACTTCTGAGTACTCCAAAATCGGCTTTGGAAGAATTTCGTCCGCTTGTTGGCCCAATTCCCCTGCGTCGGAAACTGCATCCTGAGGGAAAATGTTTTCCTAAGAAAAGTCAGGACAAGAACAAATTTCTGAGTACTCAAAAAAAAACCTTTTCATTCTGCGTCATTTCTTCTGTCTGGTCGTCAGTCACGAGCTCACAAAACTGCAGGTTTTCATCCCTGCAATTTCTCACCTGAATCATGCAGGTAAGCTGCGACCCTCGAAAACAAGGAGTGTGTTCAAGTTAGCCCACCCAATCATTAAGGACGCCCATCAGCAGCGGAAGGTCGGTGTAAGGAATTATAGTATCAAAGAGCAAAAGCTCCCCCGTTTTTCCCTTGTCATTCTGGACTCGGAAAACGAAGAACTTCCAGTCGAAGCCGTTGGTAACACACCCTCGGAGGGCATTCAAGCTGTAATCATGCATCAAGGTAGGCATGTGATGGAAGCAAGAATCATACTTACCCGCTAGGACGACGGCAAAACTTTTCGAGAAGTGGTACATACTGGTTGATTAAGGCCAAAGTCAGGGTTAGATGGTCAGTTTGGAAAATCGCGCAAAACTGATGGCTGGCCATGTCGTCTATGTTTGTCGCGAAAATCATAGGCATCTTAACTAAATGCCCTAAAGAGGCAGATCTAAGATGTCATTCAAAATTTATTGTGATTAGAACGTACTTCCAATTGGCGTTCCACCTTTGGAGACTACAAAGTCCACAATCGGACCCATGTCAATGACGTCAGACTCATCAAAGGGAATGATTTGTATCTTGTCCCCATCAGTAGAACTGAAGTGTGCAGCAAGCTGGGTCAAGATGTAACTAGATAAAAATCTTCGGCCTGCTCCGGTCTGACGACGGTGGAGCTTTGTGAAAAAGATCATGCATGAGGAGGGATGTATGTAACGTACCTGTTCAACGGCGACAGTGCGACAGATAACGGCGACTGAGTCGGCTAACTGCCCATGAAAACTCGCGGGAACATTCGATCTCTCCTCTCCTGTAAGCCTGACCTCGTGGAGTTTAGAAGGTGTAAGACGAATGGAGGTGACGACGAGATTGTTGTTCATGGGTGCAGTAAAACGGATGATGCACGGCTTTCACCGTTGTTTATATCAGGGTCGGAATTCGCCAAATCTCCGAGGAGTTTGTTGGAGTGAATAAACCGTAACACCAATTGATTAGATTCTATTAGATTTGTTTGCTAACCGTGAAGCAACTCACTTCCCTCCCATCTGCGTGACTTGGAGGTCAAGCAGGCCCATGGGTGGGTGAATTATAGTTGATACTAAAGCCACTCAGCCAGAAAGTTAGGCCACACAACGAATGAAGTTGGAATGTGGCAACATCACTTGAACATCGCGTCGACGAATATGCACGTATATTGTGCAGTACGTACTACGGTATATGTAGGTTAATCTCTGTAAAACTGTGATGTATAGCTACCATACAACTCGGATGGCGAAGCGACCCCCCCGCAGAATGCGGATACGTAATAATAATGTCAGGGCACATGTTTAGATTGAGGTGCTTACATAGTTATATGTTGCAGTTCAAAGAGCTGAATTCTAAACTGCACCGCGAAGTCGCTGAATTTGAGCGTTCGCGCAAGGGAAACACACACTCTCGGGCTAGTTCCGACTGTAAACGAGTCAACGGAGGAGAGGCGGAGGACTGTTCTAGACGCAACTATGAATCGAACAAGGAAGGAGGAGGAGGAATTAGAACATTGCTAAAGTAGTCTATGGCTCCGATCCTGAGTGGAATATGTAGGGATTTTCGGGAGGTTTTACAAGAGTGCGAGCCTGGTCACTGAAAACTCTTCATCGGTGAACACTAGAAGGGGATTTACATCAGACACTAGGGATGGATAGAGGGTATAGCGGACATACAACCTCAGTCTTTCGAACATTTATTCTCACTTTTAGTTCCTTCGTCGGTCCGACTCTCAACGTCATCATCCGTTCCAAACAAAGTCAATAGCCTGTCCAGATTTTCTAAAATGTTATCCAATTTGCTTTCTACTCCTTGCGCCACGGTGTCGGCAGAGTTTAGTTGGTGAAGTAGCTCTTTGATATCCTCCGCTCCGAGGCCCTGATCGTCAGGCTGATCGGGTCCTGACGACAATGCGGTTGATATCTGTAATATTTCAGCTTCTATATCCAAATTCGTTCCTACGAGTGAGGGAGTCCCGTCGACTGCATTTTGTGGAGGTGAAGTCATTTGGCGAAGGGGAAATTTAAAGTTCCGACGCTAGATCATGACCTCCCTCCAACCTTTCCTCACGTCTCTACTCAAATCCTTGCCCCCTCCCCCTGCTGCACAAGATGTCCTTAATGAACTCATAAAGAAGACTCTACAGGACGCGAAAGACAAAGCGTCTCCAGAAAATCGAAAGAGTCAATGGGAATACTTGCTCAAGAATGAAATATTTATTCTTGCCGTACGCATGTGTTCGACTCTGTATATCAAAGCTCTCATTCCTGAAATGAAATCGGTTTTGACTAGTCGAAGGAAGGCCAGGCTCTCAAAGACCCAAACACGAAATATTACGACGAGTTACGCGACAAGCTTGACGTGGTTCTCACATTCACGGAGCACGGTCAGTTTCATCACTCGACTATCACTAACCAGCTTATGACCTTTGTTTTCAAGATGCCTGCGAGCAAACCTTCCCCTTCATAGTCCTCCAAGACCTCCTTGAGACCCAGACGATCGCCTCTTGTTCTCACATCTTCTCATGGATCGAGGCTCGGGCTGAGAGACTAACTGAGGGAATGGTTCCGCAGAAGGGCAAAGCACTTATCCTCTTACGTACGCTGAACGACCTGCTACGCCGTCTTTCTAAGATGGGGACCACGACAATCTTCTGTGGTCGAATCTTGACCTTTTTGAGTGGCGTTTTCCCTCTTGGTGAGAGAAGTGGTGTAAATCTCCGGGGCGAGTATGGACCCACATGGGAGGGCGTTAGTCTGGGGGAGAAAACCAAGGCGGATGATAAACATGTGGAGATGGAAGTTGCGAAAAGCCTGGAGGAGCCCGAATCGAAGGAAGGTGAGGCGCAGGGTGATAAGATGCAGGTTGACTCCAAAGAGGTGAAAAAGCCGGTGCCAACGGAAGGTCTTGCCGAGAAAAAGGATGGTGAGTCTCTTGACTTCCGTTTAACATACCTTACCGTCTGAGCACGACAAATGCAGCATTTTACAACACATTCTGGGCCCTTCAGCTGCCCTTTTCCAAGCCTCCCCTTTTCGCTGCAGATGGCACGTTCGAGGACTTTAAGGAACGCGTCAACAAAGTCATGCCTGTCATAAAGGAGGCCACTGCTAAAGAAAGGGCGATGATGGGAAGCAGAGGTGTAGCAGGGACTGGAGCTTCCCTCAAGCGGAAGAGAGACCTCGACAGTGAAGAGTCGAACTCAAACGAATATTTCTTCGCGAAATTCCTCACGAGCCCTGACCTTCTCGACTTGGAGGTCAGTTTATCTTTCTTCGCAGTTGAAATTTGGCTGAGTTATTGCAGATCGCCGATACCCATTTCCGTCGCCAATTTCTGTTCCAACTCCTAATTCTGCTCAATCACCTTCTGACTTTCACTAAAACCGCTAAAGCGGCTTGGACCTCCACACGCAACCGATCACTGCAGATGGACTTCACGCTCGAGGACAACGAAGCTCAATGGGTTCAAGAATCTATTACCAAGGTTACTGAGGAGTTACGGCAAACAACCCCCAATGGGCGGATCTTTGCAGAAACTATCAGCGCCATTTTAGATAGGGAGAAGAACTGGGTTCGATGGAAAAATGAGCTTTGTGCTCCTTTTGACAAGGAGCCTTGGTTTGTCGAGCAAGAAGGAAAGTTCCTTGATTTGTTCGATGCAACTGCGCCTATTCGGGCGAAGATGAGGGAACCACCTGAGGACTGGAAATGGCAATTGGGCACGGAACCATTGACTGAAATATGGGACATGGGCTACAGAGATTTGACTGATCTCCAGAATCCATTCCAGTTGAGAATCCGCTTCCATCTCCCCCTATTTTCCTCACCTTTGACATTGCTAGGCCTGGCGACGTGAAAGATTTCGTCAAGAAAATCAAACAAGAAGATGCACGCATTGAATTGCGAAAAAGAAATTTGACCAAGACCGCAGAGCGCCTCGCCCTGGCACAAGCTAGAGCTGCAGCTGCAAAGGCAGCTGTGACTACAGAAACGAAGGAAACGGTTCCGTCAGCGAGTACCTCAGCTGAAACGTTGTCCGCTCCCCGACCCTTAGTCGGATCAAATCAAACGAGCTCTTCTCTTCATCCTTCTCTTCCTCCGAAACCTGGTTCCCCGGTGAAGCCATCACTTTCTCAAGATACCGTACGGAATGCAACACCCGCGCCAGCTGTACCAGTTATAGCTATAGCTGCTCCAGTGCCCGCTCCTTCGCCTGCACCAACGCCGGCACCCACAGCAGCTCTTCCTGATGAGCAAATATCGAAATTTGAGGAGGTAGGCCCGTCTTTATGAACAGGAAAGGCTTCTCATGCACCGTTTTCTCAGAATAAACAACGATGGTCATGGCTCGCGCTCCGTACAGCCCGCGATCAATATTTGCAACATTTCGGAAAGATAGGAACTGGGGACATTGAACTTCTCGCGCAGGAAATTGAGAAGGAAAAAGAGAAGCCCCAAAAGGGAGAGGAGTGTTCAGGGTCGGTGGAAGAACAGGGGTCTGGCACATCTGGCACAGAAAATGGACCTCCAGGGGAAAATTTAGGGGAAAATGGAATGAAGACGGATGGAGAGGGGGATATAAAGATGGAGGAGCGATGAAAGGCAGTGAAAGGCGTTATGTAGATTATTTTTTTTCATACTGGATATCATAATTGCATGTGTTGGCACACGGTTAACGTGATCGGAAGGTTGCTAAATTTCTAGTTGACCGATCATCCGATAAACAGCCGTTAAAAGACTCTGACACTCGCTCAGGTTCAATTCCTTTCGCTCCCCTACGCTCCCTACCGTGCCAAGACCGCGTCAACCACCTATGGCGACACACACATCTCCCCTCAAAGTATGTCGACGCGACCTCGCCGTCAGGAATCACCCTAACATGTTGATCAGAATGTACTCGTGACTGGAGGGGCTGGCTACATTGGTGCAATTTTACCATGCATGGGCCCAACATTCATCGTTGTCTAACGGACCTCCTCTGACAGGCTCACACGTCGTCTATGTCCTCCAAAAAACAAGGCAATACAAGGTTATATCGATAGACAACAATCATAATTCCAACCCGGCAGCCCTCGACCGTGTATCTCAGCTTTCAAAAAGCGAACTGCCTGCGGACGCTACGGAGATAGATATCCAAAGCACTGAAATTGATTCGCACAAGTGTGATCTCACCCAACCAGACCAAGTTAGAGCTGTGTTTGAGGCTTATGGCAAAGGTGGCATTTGGGGAGTGGTTCATATCGCTGTAAGCAGCCTCTCTCATGTCCCAAAGACCAATACTTCATGTCCCTTTTCCTTCTCAAAGGCCTACAAGGCTGTTGGAGAATCCTCAGAGATCCCCCTGACGTACTACGCAAACAACGTGGCAGCCTCTGTATCACTATTGCAAATAATGGCGGAATATGACTGCCATCGCATTGTATACTCTTCTTCGGCGACTGTCTACGGGACACCTCCCATTATACCCATTCCCGAAACGACGCAAATGCATGCCTACAGTCCTTACGGAAGGACAAAAATTATGGTGGAACATATCATAGAGGATCTGTGTCACTGTACGTCATATCACCGATGTCTCGAAGTCTTCAACGTAACATTTTCAACAGCGGATAGAAAGTGGCGGGCTGTATCTTTACGTTATTTCAAGTACGCATAGTCCGCACATGTCTTTCGGACCTTCGACTAACATTCTTATAGCCCAGCTGGTGCCCACCCGTCTGGTCAAATTGGCGAGGATCCGCGCGGTAGGCCCGGAAATCTCCTCCCCCTTCTGGCCCACATGGCCGTTGGTCGTGTTAAGGATGCGACTCTCAAAGTTTTCGCAAATGATTACCCAACCCCGTATGTCTCGCTTACACCTTGGCGTGTGTGTATGCGTGTTGAACCTCTTCCAGAGATGGGACGTGTGTTAGGGATTATCTACACGTACTCGACCTTGCGTCTGGTCACCTGTTGGCATTGAATGCACTCGGACCGGATTCCAACGTTTTCGACCCTGAAGCCACCGACTTCTACAAGGCATATAACCTTGGAAAGGGCAAGGGGATGAGTGTCCTTCAAATTGTTGAAGCAATGCGGAAGGCCACTGGATTTGACTACAAATACGAGATCGTCGGTCGGCGGTGGGTGGTTTCTGGGCTCTGATATTGCCCTACTGACGTGATATTCACTGTCAGGCGTGGAGACGTGCCTGACCTGACTGCCGACCCATCCCTTGCTCAGAAGGAGCTCGGATTCACCGCGCCGCAGGATCTAGAGACCATGTGCAGGGACTTGTGGAACTGGCAAACCAAAAATCCTTTTGGATATGGTGAATGCTACTGATTATCGGCGGCAACAAGTCTAGAGCTGCCGATACCAAAATTGCGCAAAGCACGCAGCTTTTAGGCGCCATCAACTAATACTTTCTCCCGTGGCTTTGTGTCGCGTTACACTTTCCCTTTTGTTTCACTGGTTGGTTCCTTGTCTGTTGTGATATTCCCGTAAACGTAGCCTATTTTAATGCCTTTTCAATGTGTCTTCATCGGAATAGAAAGCGGAGATCAGGTCTTCCGTCCCACCGATGATTAGCAATTATTTGCCCATAAGATGAGCTTTCAATAGGTTCACGGTCATTCTTGCCGTTTTCGAGAGAAAAACTATTCGTGGAAGGAAGGAAGAGCGGAAAGTCGCTTCTCCTGACCCCATCATCTTGCAGGTGGGCATCTTAGAGCTGGAATTGCGGAACTTCATGCTAGTAACATGGGTCGAAGTAATTATTTGAAGACTCGTTTGCCGGACTCGAGAGCACAGCTATTCGCTCCTCGCAGGTGAAGGGGGCTTTATAGGTACAAGTTGGCCGAGGTTCTTTACCTTGGCGCACCACTAGAAAGAGAATAGAATCGTTCAAAATTTGCGGGAAACACATCTCGTTCGAGCGTTTGGTGCTATTGAACAACAACGATCGTCGTATACGATGGAGCCAGTGCTCAAGGTAGCTGACCGAACAAGGGTTGACCAGACTTGAGCTCAATTAGACGGTCGAATGGGTTGTCAGTGGGCGAAATCGGGTCCATTCCAGATATCAAACGGGATGCAGAAATGATAATTGTTGCTACATTGGGTGAATCTTGCCCGACTCTTGATCATTTCTTGCCTATAAACTCCAGCTTCTTCGTCTGTCATCAATCCCTCAGTATGCTCCATGATATTGTCCAAAACCTCTATTGGCAGTCGTGGATCGAGACTTTCGTTGAGGGCTTTCCGAATCCATGTCTTTTGTTGAGGACCAACCGATGAGGTGGACACAATGGGCTTTATATCCGGATCGACGAGCAAGAAGTGAATTAGCGTCATTTCGCCCTCCTTCGTCGAGTCAAGGATTTCGAATGGAGTGTGACGGTGTTGGTAGATATTCGGGAAAACAAGGCTGAGACCTGGACGAACTGGAACGGAGCCAATGTATTGGTGACAAGAATCACCATCGGTGAGCCCCCATGTTCTTAACGTGGCGCCTGTGTCGCCAGCGAAGAAGCCACGAGGGTAGGTAACGGCCATACGAAATTGGAGTGAACTTGATGTCAAGTTTTCCTATTTGCAACGTAGTTCAGTATGTTAAAAAGTCTATTTCCGTGAAGGAGTGACACACGGAAGATAAGACGTGAATTCCACAGGCTACAATACGTTCACTTCGCATGCCTTCTGCATGCCACTCTGAGCCCGGGAAGCTAGGTCCTTGAGGGGTCTGCGCCAGAAGAGCCAGTCAATGACATCGTCGGTCATGATTCCCATGATAGCTTACCAAGTGGACTTTGGAGACGCGGAGCACAACCTGGACATTTCTTCCCTTCAAAGTGACGATGTGTTTCCGGTGTTCGAGCCCACCAAGATAACCGGCATTAGGAACGTCCGGTAGCTGCAGCGGTCGATTCATAACCCACTCCCGTACCTCCCTTTCATAGTTCAACCAACCATCTTCATCATCGGAAAATTCTGGGCACTCGGGTTCGTCCCAAATGGTGTATGTACAAGGTCCAAGTATTCTTTGCGTGAGTGGGTTGTTTCGGTGCAAGTCTGTCAGGGTGTGTTCGAAGAGTGGTATGAAACCTGAGAGGCAGGTTTCGAGTAGGTTATACAGGAATGAGTTCTCAGGGTGTAGGTTATTTATGTAGGAGGAAAACTTGACGGGTGAGCCATCTGCAGGTATCCATACATCGGCCGGAAGATATGCGAATTGAGAGCAGACAGTATAAATATCTGTTGAAGGAGGCGGGGACAAGGAACGCGGTGGGCGGTGTGAAGAGTTGGACACAAGAGTTTGGTTGTACACCAGGGAGTAGAGCATCGGTTCGATGACAGAAATTGTCACGCCATCCTCGTTCCTCCTCGTAAGGTGGAGGCTGTCCTTCTGAAGTTCACCCAACTTCTCTTGAAGCTGGGCAATGGTGGCTGATTCAAGAAGCGAATCAGACTCCCATATGCGCTCGAAGCAGGAAACTTGGCTATGAACGTTGAGCAATTAAAGAGGACAACATATATCAGTGCGTATATTGACTTGCCAGCCATTCGCTTCATCCAGTAAGGATTTGTATCCGGCCAACTCGTCTAGAACGTAATCGATCTTCATTGTAATGGTCAATGTTGCAACATGGTATACGTCCGCAAGGAGTCACCTGTTTCTCCGAAAGCTGAACTTCAGCACTTGAAGATGGCGTTCTTACGTTCCATAGACTTTTACGTGCCTCCTTAGCCCAGGAAGATCTCGCATCTTGGTTTTGAAAGGATTTCCACCACTCTGGCTTTCGTCGAAGTTCGGCCGAGAATTGCGACATGGCCAACTCGGACAGCTAGAAATCCGCATGTGTCTACGCGTTTATTAGATAACAAGCGGTTATTGAATGCTCACAGTTCTTGGGTTATCTGGGGGACGTCCGTAAATATTACTGAGGCTAATGCGAAAATTCGTTGTGTACCTCCTACACCACCCAAATAATGGATCCCAAATAGAAAAGGGTGGCGATAGCCTTTGTGGTGATCCGCTGGTAATGCATTGGGCATGAACAGTGCTGACAGCCTGGTTCAGCTGAAATGATTCTGAGTGGCAGTTGTTGTGGACACCAAATCTCAATTCAGTGACGTGATCGAGTTATCTAATCGCGGAAACATTGTAGCAACGAATCTTACGTTCACTACTACCGTGGTCCTCTCACAAATTGCAACTGTACACCATGGTGCGAATGCCATATTTATCAGAGATGCGCGATTTCTCATCACAATGTTCGAATCAAAAAGTCTCAATGGGAAATCCGCATGTCAAACTCGAAGAAAGTCCCGTACTTCTTCAACACAGAATCCAAGCAATCTGTTTGGGAGGCTCCACCCAACTTGTCCGAAGAGGAAATCAAGGGGCTTCCGGGGTACGAATACTTGAGCAACCCGCACGCCGGTCAAGTCCGCGCCAGCCATCTGTTGATCAAGCACAAGGATAGTAGGCGCCCTTCAAGCTGGAAAGAGGTGCGTGACTGAATCTTGATCTTATGGTTTGAGGAAATCAAAATTCCATAAAGGAAAACATTACCCGTACAAAGGAGGAGGCTACTGAGATTTTGCGAGGACATGAAGCGAAGATCAATGGATCCACTGACAAGTTCACGGAATTGGCGTCGAAGCACTCTGATTGTTCGTCGCACACGCACGGTGGCGACCTTGGATGGTTTGGGCGTGGTCAAATGCAGAAGCCGTTTGAAGATGCGGCGTACGGGTTGAAGGTTGGGGAGATCAGCGACGTTATTAGCACTGACAGCGGTGTTCATCTGGTGCTGCGCACTGGGTGATTTGGTTGGGTACTCATGGACTCGTAACAGTGGAAGGAAAGGAAAAGGAAAATGTCAGAAGTAACTTGAACGAAACTTGTATGACGCTACTAGACAGAGTCTATGTGAAGTTTTGTTTGCCAATTGCCTACTCGCGCAAACACCTCCAGCTATAAATAACGTCACGGTTGAACCGTACAACTCAAGTACAACTCAAGTACGAGGTAAGTATAGCGGTTTCGAGCAATCGCATATGTTCATGGACACATATGGTCCTTCTCCTTATCTATGGGCAGCTCTTGTAGTAACTGCATCCATTCTTTTCCTCTCTGTCACCTTTTTTACGGTGAAACGTCCTCAAGCCTCTAAAGCCGCTTCAACTGTCCCCATGTCCACTGTGCCACCACCTGCACCAGGCAATGTTAGCGTTTCAAAAATATTCATTCACCCTATCAAGGTGTGTGGATTATCCAGACCTCAAAAGCGTTGATTCGAGTTTTCACGCCCATTATCTTACTCGACTTTTGCGGCTTTATAAGCGTTTTCGCTGACATGCGCAATGTAGAGCTGCAGGGGGATTAGTGTCCAAAGCGCGAGATATACTCCGGAGGGTATGGAGGTAATTTGGTTTGCTACTCTGCTCGAATAAGCCTCATGTCCGCAGAACGATAGAAAGTGGTCCATCATCGACGCAGAGAAGGTGGCCATCATGACCGCCAGAGAGTTTCCAAAGGTCTTATTCAGGTTCCTGTCCCATGCTCCGCGGGGGTTAAAGGGTCTGCTCCTTTGACAGATGGTCCTGATAACCCCTCAAATTGAAGTGGATACTTCTTCGCCTCACAGTGGACTCCTCAAAGTTTCCTTCCCAAAAGGCTCAGGGTGTGAATCGTTTTCCATTCCGTTACAGCCTACGGATTCGATTCTTCAAAGTTGGAAGATGTGAGTTGGTTTTTGGCAGGAGACATGAACATCAAACCAATGCAATGCCTTCAGTTTGCGTGACGTAACCATATGGCCAACGCATGACAAGGTTGATGGCTACATCTGTGAATCCTTGTCCAGTGATACCCCTTCCCCGTCGTCGATACTGTCAAAATATTTTGGAAAACCGGTCCATCTGATTTACAAAGGACCTCGCCCACGGCCGATCGACCCCACTACAAGCTTCCCGGACCTGAAAGCGACGGCGATTTACCAAGACATGTATCCTTTGCTGGTACTCTCGGAAGAAAGCACCACTTTGCTTGAACAAGAGCTCCGCGGTCATGTCGGAACACAGGGCATCCACGAACGATGGAAAACAGACCCCGTTCCAATCGAGAGGTATGCAGTTGTCTGCTACACTTCGAGAGAATTTGCTCTCGGGTGCAAAATGCTTCCGGATGAAGTGAAGATGCTAATCAACACCCCCGCCCCCTAGATTTAGGCCAAATATTATTTTTAGAGGTGGTGGGGCGTTCTCTGAGGATCAATGGGAGGAGATTTCGATTGGATCCAAAGGCGCTCCGACCATTACGCTAGTTTCCAAATGCACCAGATGCTTGGTATGCTTGTTATATTTTCCGAGGTGTCTGCTGACCGGTGACCTTCACAATTTCCTTCAGTTACCCAATGTTAGCCCAGAGACAGGAGAGCGTGATAATGCTGTCCCGTACAAGGTCTTGATGAAATTTAGGACTGGAATAGATCCAGCGCAGAAAATGAAACCGTGCGTTGGCTGCAATGGCGTCCCAGCATCGGATGGGGTGGTGAAAATTGGTGACTGGGTTTATGTGAAAAAGATGATATGACTGGGTGTCATCGAGCGTACGTAGATGCTTGAAAGTCCGCAAAGAGGAAGAGATCGAATGTTTCTATTCGATAACTATACATGGCTTTCTCGGATGACACGAACAAGAATTGGATCAATAATGGATGGACATGTCCTCAAGCTTAGCGCCCTGTCCATATGTACGAGGATTCGTGACATCAGAGGTCAGGCACAGACGTGCTGCATACGTAAGCATAGCAGATCGAGATCTATAGCAGCCATAGGCGCGATTTCAGGCATTCCTTTTCATTTTTAAAAGAGAAAGCTTTACGAGGGAGTTCTAGGAGAGTGCGTGTACGACAATACATAAGGGCACACGCCAAAAATCAGAGGGAAACAGCTGTTAAGGAGGGTGGTATGACCTAGGTCACGTGAGAAAAACTGTCAAGGAGCAAGCGGGTTGATCCAATTGCGAACCAAGATCTAACGTCTGTAGGGCTCTCCACGTCCATTTGCTGGCCGTCCTACACCCACGGCGCTTCATTATCTTGCTCGCCGTGAAATATGGCCAGGTCAAAATGGATCTCATTCGTTGGTCAACAAGCTCTGGATCGAGCAGCAGCCGCAGCGGACTCGAGGCCCAAAGTACCACCCTCACCCACCGTATCCTCTGCGGATGCGAAGAAGTTTGGCTTGGAGAATGTATGTAGTTCTTATCCTTGGTATTTCTGTGAAGAATTTAATTTTTCTTATCCCAACTACCTCAGTTCGGTAATACCTGGTGCGGCTCTCATCCATAAACCTGGTTGTATCGTCTAATATCATATTATCTACTAGCTATGCAAACTCGGTCCTACAAGCTCTATACTTCTGCACTCCTTTTCGCGATCTCGTGCTTCAGGCGCACGACCCTTCGACGTCGAAGGCGGCGCAACCTCCTACAGGCCAACCCAAGCCACTAGCGCCTCTAGTTCCAGTCCGACGAAAGTCTGAACGAAAGCCATCAACCTCGGGACATCCGGCTGAGCCGGCGGTTACCCTACCATACGCACCAATACCCCCCATACCCTCATCACCCCCTACCCTCTTCTCCGCTCTACGATCCTTATTTCTCTACATCTCATCCCATCCGAAAGAGAGGGGAACGGTCTCTCCCCGCGCCTTCATAGACAAGGTCAAGGAACTCAATGAGCTCTTTCGGGGGACCATGCATCAAGATACACACGAATTTCTTATGTTTCTGCTCAATAGAATAGTGGAGGAAATAGAAGAGGAACGGAAGGAGTTGCTGAACGGCGGAGCAAAGGAAGAAGATCGTGAGCGAACCCATACAGTTGGTTACATGCGAGAGATCATTGACCCATTTTTGCAGTGTCGAGTTCCAATGCAACCACATCCTCGAAAACACCGCCTACCGTTGCCACGGGCTCAAATTCAGGAACAAGCCCACAAGACGCTACTCTTGTGCATAAGCTGTTCGAAGGCGTGCTAACAAGTGAAACTCGATGTTTGACCTGCGAAACAGTATGTCGTCAAGCGTTGAACGATTGAACTTGCGTTTATCTACGAGTTCACAGGTTTCTTCACGTGACGAGTCTTTCTTGGACCTATCCATCGATATAGAGCAAAACTCGAGTGTCACCGCGTGCCTCCGACAATTTAGCGCGAGCGAGATGCTGTGTCAGAAAAACAAGTTTTTTTGTGATGCGTGTTGTGACTTGCAGGAGGCGGAGAAACGGTGAGTAACTTTGAGTCTTGTTCAGTATCATTCCTGATGGTGCACTTGTAAGCATGAAAATAAAAAAACTACCAAATGTTTTGGCTCTTCATCTAAAAAGGTTCAAATACCAAGAAGACGTAGGGAGGTACATCAAGTTGGCTTATCGCGTCGCTTTTCCCATGGATCTCCGGCTGTTTAATACGGTCGACGACATGGACGACTCGGACCGACTGTATAACCTTTTTGCCGTCGTAGTTCATATTGGAAAGTTAGTCAGTTTCTTGGTTTCCAGCTTAACATTTGTGTGACGTAATCGTCATAGCGGACCTCACCACGGCCATTATATATCTATCATCAAGACTCATGGAAGTTGGCTTGTTTTCGACGATGATAATGTATCAACAATACCAGAAAGCGATATCCCAAAATATTTCGGCGACTCTAACTCTGGATCCGCGTACGTCTTGTACTATCAGGCTGCTGACATTGATACCGTATCTCTTGGATTGCGTTCACCGGACCCCGCCCCTTTGGAATCTTTATCAACCAGTGCATCAACACCTTTAATCCATCCCACTTTTCATTCAACTCCGATTCTGCCACCTGGTCTAGACCCCGATAACACTTCATCTGACGCCAGTGATCCTTCATTCCCTATCACCCCTTCCCTTGGTACCCACCTCCCGGAGTTCCTTGCGGACAAACCAACGTTGGTTGTAGCGCCTGTGACAGGTGCTGTTCCTGAACAATCACCCTTCCCGAATTCTGCCACACCTACCTCGCCCACAGGGATCACAAAAATTTTCAACACTTTGCGACGGGCGCCATCGATATCCGTACCTCGTGGGAGCATAGGAAGTGCATCTGCCGCTCATGGCCCGGATATCAGGCGCTCAGGTGTCGAGAGATCACCCAGACCATCTTCCTCCACCCCTTCATTGACAGCTGATGATGTCAGAAGATCACTAGAACCGCCACCGCCATTACCGCCATTACCTCCAACTATCCATGCAGCCGCACCAATACCAATACCACAAATAATAAGCGGAGAGGAAAAAGAGCCGTCGAAGAAGTCCTCTGGTGGCTGGTTCAGGAAGCGAAAGAGTTTGAGACTCAATGATAAATCGCGACCTGAAGACTATCCAGCCTCTCCTGCCCTACCATCTTCCCCCGCCCACGTCCAACGGGGGGATGGCCCTGAAGAAGCCCAGTCGTCGACGTGGTTCAAGACCTTTGATCAATCGAAGCGAGACCGTAAACGTCGACCGTCTGAAAGTGGTCTTTCAGGTCCCACAATAGATGGACTTCATCCAAATAGACCACGGCCCAAAAGTACACACACCGGCGTACCAGTAGGAAAACACGAGCGAGAGCGACATCATCGACCGAACGGATACGACGAGAGTCCCACACCAAGCTCAGCATCATCGTCATATAATTCGTCCAGCAAGCAACCTCTAGCACGAGCAACGCGGCCGTCCACGGGTGCTTCATCCTCGTCGTCTACTTCAGGCCAGCATGTAGATCAGCCACCTCCCAAGATGTCATCCTTAACACCCTTATCGCCCGGTCGGCAACGTCCACCATACGACCACGCCAGACAGCAGAGAGAATCGTCGCCGTCGAAGGTCAATGTCAACCACAAGGGCTCTCAATCTCCGCTGTCATTCACGAAAAGCCAGGATTACGATCGTAATCTACCTCCCCTCCCCCCAACCCCTCAATTTCTTTCACGGTCCTCATCTTCTTATCAACGAAATGACAGTAATGGCCATGCGTTCGTGGCAGAGCCGGATGGTACTGTACTAGAGGGAGATGATCTTGGAAACGGCTCAGTGTTCATGGCATCGATGGCGACACCGATGTCGCAGCCTTCCGTGCCTCCTGCTACTTTCCCACCTTTGTCGATGGCAAATAGTTTTGGAGTCAACACGAGTACAGGAAGTTCCAGCTCAGCGTCTGCAGTATCAGGCATTAGACTTGCAAGGCGCAAATTGAGCTTCACAACTCCAATGCTTGGGTTCGGAAGAAAGGACAAGGATAAGGACAAGAAAAGTTAGTTTGATACTTTCGCTGGAATGGAAACGAGCGCCAGGATTTTGCTCTCATTTTTTACTGATATTTATTCCCCTTCGTCCCACCTTCGCCATCTTCCTGTTTCATCCTATATCTCCTGCGGACTCTTCTTTATCTCTTTCTACCAGCAGCAAAGGTCAAACATAACACTAATCTAGTACTACCATTACCATCATACCTACATACCATGACAGCGCACTTGTGTAACCAGTATCATTCATGTGCATGGAACTATGATTCCTATGTCCGTTGTGAGAAGAGTATCCAAGAGTATCTTACACGCACAAGTAATTACGAAATGATACGGTAAAACATACAGATTGATCATCTACTCAAAGGGGTTCACTCGGATTGTTAAGGGCCGCTTGCTTTCTTTTCCACTCTGCAAAACGCGCATCGGGAATCGTAACATACGAGCAATCCAAAATGCGAACTTCGTTTTCCTTTTCGGCAGCAACGCAAATACGACCAGAGCCTTCGTCCCATGCGATGGCAGCCACGCCACCGCGATTATTTATCTCTTCGACAATGTCTTGTGGCCCGAATGTCCGGAAGAGGGTTTTACGAAGAATCGGTTTACGCTTTCGACGGGAGATGGGTTCAGGTTCGGGCTTGAGGGCCTCTTGGTATTTCCCGGCTCTGGCGAATGGGTGGTTATACCGCCGTAGCCTGAGCATTTTAGGAAAGTCTGTGCGATCGTCTTTGTCCACGGTATATACGACCGCTCTGGTCGCTCCAGGAAGAACATGGGCGACCTCAGGGTCGGAGATGTGGGTTGTTACATGGACGGCGTTGTGCTTGTACTCATATTCGTAGTGAGCCGGAGCGGTGGCCGTGGCCTTTACTTTTGTTTCTATTGGGTAGATAGCGTGGTGCAAAAGTCCGCTGGGATTTTTGAGGCGCAGATAGATGGACACCGGAGGTGCGGGATCATAATAATAACACAAATCCGGTTGATCAGGGCCAGTCGGTCCTGGTACGTCATAGTCCGATATGTGAACGCTAGCGACGGACTTTCTTAACTCGTAACCCCCTTTGTGCGGCAAGACCTGCAAACCGGATGCGTCTGGGATGTCGTATGCTTCTATGAGTTGCACCTCCCCGGTACGTGTCTTGACGGAACGCACAATCACCATATCCGTCTGACCAGGATGCGGACGGAATGCTCGAATCTGGTGAGGCTAGGGATGCAAGTGAGTAGATAAATCGCACCACGAAAACTTGACTCACGTAGTCCTGGTATTTAAGCCATCGCAGGGGGCAAAGGGTCATCATCGTTTTTGCCAATAAGTCAATGAAAATGATTTCATTGTTGATGGCATGGATTACAGCCAAAAATGGCATGCCCTTCTTTTCAAACACCTGGAGATCCTCTATTTCGTATTCCGATTCAACGGTGGTCAACTCTAGAAAAGGCGGGGGAGAAGAAGTGACGTTGTCGATGTATTCGCGAGATTCAATGTCGAGGTCGGGATCGGATAGTTCCTCTATTTTCTCCATGGATATGTAGAGACAAACGGATTGATAGAAAAAATCTTCAGGTGGGTCGATGTCGGCATCTGTCCTAGTGCTGTAATCATTTGCGTCCGCCCTGCACTTGTCATCAATTCGATGTCAAAAGTATTAGAAAAATGACAGACCAGACTGGAGCCCCGGTTCTGAACCTCCTTCGCGTGTACCCAATAACGAGCCCATCCTCACTTCCAAAAACCTTCATAAACCTAGCGTGAACGTTGTACGCCTTCATCATCGTCGGAACCCTTGCGATTGCTCGTGGACCCTTGGGATGATCTAGGGCATAAATCACGAGGTAGAACCGAAAGTTGCATCGATCTTTGACCGACGCAATGAGGAACTTGCCCCCTGGGAGCAGATACATATCGAGGACTTTGTTGTAAGACAACAGCAGCCTGCGACTGACAACCTTCGGGTCCTCTCTCCTAAAGTTGTCATCGACTGTTATTGCCTGAATAACCAGCTGCTCTATCTCATGATCGGTGGCTCGGTATGAGTAGCGGAAGGTGGGTCGGAGAGGCGGGACGGGAATATCCAATCGAACCAAGAAACGTCTCCAGATAATCGGTTCATGTGTAAGAAGATAAAAGGCCTTGCTGACCTGTATTAGATATGAAGTGGATCAACGTGCAGGAACAAGGAGATGTCTAGTGAATTCACCTGCCGCAGACTTACGATATCTTCGACGTCAAGGTAGATGAAGATGCAATCAACGTAAACGTCCAGAGGGACCCGGGAGATGTGACAAAATCCGTAGGTTTTCCTGAATCGATCAAGGAGGATGCGTGGCACGAAGTTCGATATAAGCGACGCCATTTGGGATTTGTAAGTATTTGAGGGGGGTATCGCGTTGTTGGCGTTGGACTCGCGAGGCGGCATTTATGAGCTTACGACCCTGCTGGTAGAACACCTTGTCTTCTTGACGACGCCATAGGAAAAGCTATCCATGGAGACCTTGTAGGCGCGGAACGCTCCTTGTATTCAGCAAAGCAGGTCGAAGGTTGGAGCTAAAAAGAAATACAAGAGGCATGATGTGTGCTTGATGCTGTAGAGTCTGTGTTGATTTATGTTGACCAGAAGCCTTGTTCAGCAGTTCATTTCGGTGAAGAGCAGAAACATTTTAGATTGGCAAAAGTAGCGATCCGTTATTGGAGACTATGGGCATCAGTTGGGCAAACTTTGTTCTCAGCCGCCTGTGAGTGGATCGATGGTGCGCATGGCGACTTGTAGACCGAGATGCACAGAAAGGTTAGCCAGGTTTGTTAGCGGACTTCACCGCATGCAAGGAGTTCGAGAATAGTCTTATACAATATAGTATATATTCTACTCAATCGTAATATGATAGAAGCTCGTCAATAGTGTGCTTGGCATGCCATGGGCACCACATGGATAAGATCGCGGAGAGAAAAAATTAAATGACGCCGCGACCATCACGACGCTTCTCTCGAGTCTCCATGTGGAGGTGTCAAAACCATTTTCTCTCTCCAAGACAAGTTTCAACGGGGCGATCGTCGACACATACCTATATCTGTCAGAGAAACGATGGAAACAACCGCGAATATTGGAAATATGTGGTGTTTGACATTGGCAGCGCTGCCGTTGAGAAACAATCACCAAGTATCATGATCAAAGATGAATGGTTGACTGTACTAATGTTACAATTTCGAAGAGTCAAAAATAGGCGGGCCGACGAGAAGGACAAGAACGAAAAGGAAAAAAAAAATAGCGATGTACAAGATCTCATACCAAAGCCTCTCCAACAGTGAAATGAACATGATCGCCTTCTCCCAGGGTGAGCCTGACCGGGAGGCGGGGGTCAATCCTAACGGGAGCACTGGACCCTACGTAGAAATCGCCACGGCTAAAATTACGAGTGATGGCGGCGGCCTCCTCCTCTGTGAGATTGCGAGGTCGTTTATTTGGACGGAATGTAGATGTGGAGGCGCCGGTAAATGTTCCATTGTAGTCATAGTACTGCTGATGGGACAGATTGGGGGCTTGCAGCGTTGCGTACATGGGTGGAGGGGCGGTTACGCCAAACTGGACGTTGGGTGCTACCAAGGATGATAAGGATTGGAAATACGTCACTTGGCGAGGGGAGGGGAGACGGGTGGTGTGGCGACGTACCAGGTGCATGGTGAGCATGATGATCTTGTGCATCAGGATCTGGATAGGCACAAGTGTTGCCCAAGCCTCGTTTGAGACAACTCTGGAAGATCGGGTGAGAAGAGAGCGCGTGGACGAGAAGGGGAAAGAAGACTACGGACCTGGCATGGTAGCACCTCGCTACATCTTGTTTTGCCGGTGTGACATGCAACGCAAGCTCTGCGTACGGACGGTGCCTTTGCTGAGGGTAGTAAGGAGAAAGAGATCAGACCGCTGCCCGGCGTCGAGAAGATGAAATACGTGCGTTTACGAGTCTGGTCAGATGTAGGGGGCGATTGTACGTCTGAGAGCTGTTGTTGCTGCTGAAGTTGCTGCTGCTGGAGATGTTGAAGCTGCTGGGGTTCGATCGACGGCGGGGGGTCTTGGGCCGGCTCGTCTGTGGGGATGGCCGACATATCAGGCGTTCAGGAGCAACGGAGGCAAGACGGAGGTGCAAACAGGGTCTAATTTGCAGGCCAACAACGGGCCAACAACCGTAGACAACGGACCAACAACCGTGAGCAACGGTCTGCACCGTCCCACTCCGGAAACCCGTCACATCTGTCATGTCACGCAACCGGCAACTCAATCAACCGAAACGTTCAAAAGGAATCAATGTCTTTCTGAAATTTCAATACACATTATGTCCACAGAACCCCTCCAACCTCCAGTACCTTTTGCTGACTTTGAGTTCTCCTTTGATCCTTCGCTCTCAAATCTCTTTCCAAATCCGCCTCCTCTACCTTCTTCTGCCGATCTCTTCTCCCCCGCAGAGACAACCGATCTCTTGGGCTTCCTGGACAACTTTGGTGAACTCAATCATTGGGAATTTAACAACACCGGCAACGATTATATCACTCAAGAAGCACTGCCCTCCCTTTCATATGACTACGCCGTCCCCACATCCCTAGCGCCTTACTCAAATCCCCACCTCAACACCGCTCCGGATCCATCTACGTCTAATCGACAAAGACCGAATACCCGTTCAGGCTCATCAAGGGGTAACTTACACACACCCGATGACTCCAACAATACCCACTTTGAGCAGCAGCGCCCCGCTAGCCAAGCCCGGAGTACCACATCAGAATCATCTCCATCCTCCTTTACCAACGCCGGCTCAGAGTCGCGCCGATCAACCTCTGCAGCACCCCGATCCAAACCCCTGCTCTCCAGCCCGCAAAAGAGGCTAAATCACATCATGTCAGAGCAGAAACGGCGCAATGCCATCCGAGACGGATATGCGCAGCTTATCGCGCTCCTGGCCCCTGCGGGCTCAGCGCCTGGTCTTGGGATGCCCACGCGCGGTAGGCCAAAGGGGAGTGGGAGCAGAGGGAAGGGACAGAGTAAAGGAAAGAGTGGGGTGTTGTTCCGGGCGGTCGAATATTGTCGTTGGCTGGAGGAGGGTCGCGACGCGTTACGCGACGAGGTGTTGCGATTAGAGACGACAGCTGGGATTCGCCATTCATGATCTGACGCGTCTTGCCTAAGGAGGCATTCATTATCACACCCACTTATGACACCGCCCTTTGACGATCATCTAATTTACAAAGTAATTATAATGCTGTCTACATACCTTGTATTTCTTACGGAACATCGAGCTCGTTTCATCAATGTTTGATTGTATCGTTGCGATGTCTAGTTTGCTCCTTTTCTCTCATGCCTCCAACCGCTCCTATACCACCATCATGGCCTATCCCAAAGTTCGACCTCCGGGTTGAAGACCTTGCGCACGAGGGCGCTTCAATCTTCTTCGATGTTATCAACCCTATCGCTGCGCTCCGAGAAGCCCTAACCGCCAGCTTCAAGTGGTTATACACCCCAGAGACAGCACCGACGAAGTACGTACTCCTTAGTACACCTTCGCTTCACACTCCTAACTTGATATCAGTGTCAAAGTGATTCTGCTAGTCCTCAAGCCTATGGAAGGCGTCGCGCACACCTTTGGGACGCAGTCGCATAAAGAGATTCACTTTTCTTTAGATCACATCGTCAACTGCAAGAAGCGTGCACGGGAGGAGATCATGGGCGTCCTCGTACACGAGGTCGTGCACTGTTACCAATACAACGCACTTGATACGTGCCCTGGGGGCCTTGTTGAAGGCATCGCAGGTACGCGTCGCGCTTATTCTACTTTTCAACATCATGACAGTCAACATATTTAACAGACTTTGTCCGCTTGCACGAAGGACTCGAACCACCACACTGGAAACGGGCTCATACGGGAGAGTGGGACGCGGGGTATCAAACGACGGCGTATTTCTTCGATTGGATCGAGCTTCGCTATGGGGAAGGAACGATACGCGAGCTTAATGAATGGATGAAAGAGAGGAAGTATCACCGGAGGGTGTTCAAGGAGCTCACGGGGAGGCCTGTTCGCAAGCTGTGGAAGATTTATTGTGCGCAGCTGGCTGCGACTGAGATACCCGGAAAACCAGCGCTCAAGCATGGAGTAGATGGAGATCCCAGGCATCTTGTTGGTGAAGACTCAGACAACACTGTGGTTAGACGTCTTGTTGGTGAAGATTCAGACAACCCTACGGAAAATACCAAGTCTGAGGGTGAAGGGGATAATTGGCTTGTGATAGATATACAGCCAGATCTATAGCCTCTACGTTCGCTTCATATAGTGTCGAGATACAGAAAATACCACGCTGTTCAGAAGCAAATCGAATTACCCCATTACATATATATATATTAATACGAGTCTACGCGTAGAGTTCAACCTCACTGTACGTGATGTCAGGCCTGTTAGATCTATTGTACCAGTCCTCCACTGGAACATGGGTCAGGCGCAGGTATCTCCTCTCTTCGGATGCTTGAGGCGCTTTTAATATTGCTTTGCAATCATTAATTGTCTTTTGGAGATCTTGGGGGCAAGCATCGCCTTTGCTGATCCTCGTAAATATTTCAATAGTGGTCAACTTCTTGAGGCCAGAGAGAATCTTAATCATCGCCTGTTGTATGAAATGTTAATTGGAATACAGCAGTGATTCAAGGTAGCGCACATCATCCGTCCACACTGAAAGTTGTATGGTTGTTAGATTTGGCGCCGCCTTCACAATGCCTACGTTATATTATCAGTCACTATTCAGGCTCTTGACAATAAGACATACGCTTCATCATCTTTTCATCAGTAGAAAACCCTCTTATCTCTTCCACGTGCTTACAATTCTCCGCAATGACGGTGACAAGCTTACTTCCATTATCACGAATGCAACGGACAGACCTCACCCCCGGGCAACACTTCAAGAGTTCGTGTCCATAGCCGGGAACAATCACCGTTCGAACATGGGGTAGCACGATGTTTCGAAACGCCCCTTTAATGGCCGTCGTCATCTGTGTATGATGAGCGTGGAGCACATGTATAGTGTGCAGGTTAGGTAACGATTGAAGACAAGATGTTAATGCCGGGAGGACGACATCGGTTTTATAACGCGTCAATACTAAATTAGCTACCCTGAAGAACTTGTTTAATTCAATTGAAAGCAGGAAAGGGGTGTCGGGACACACCCAACATATTTTGCCAAATCCTTGTTTTTTAACAATCCATTCGACTTGCGTTTGAGAGTTTCTCCGGCGTGCTTAAAAAAAGTGCTCTGGACCCTTGGCGTAACACATAAGTCCAAGTTTTCCCATGCCAACGGTAAGAAAACGCGTCGAACTGCTACACATGTCTGGGACAGCGCGCGAAGGATATCTGGGCGTTGCAAATATTCAATTGGTAGCACTGGTTCGCCCTCTCCATGGATGATACCAGTGTGCGCGTCGATTTCAGGGAAGTGCCTCAAGATTTCTGTTGTGAGCTCCATAGGAATGGAGAGGAACGCCTTGCCAGCATTCGCAGGGTTTTCTGCGATTCCCCATACTTCGAGTGGAGGAAGAGACGACTTTTGTTTTTTGGAAGATGGCTCTGCTAACTCGGCATCTTGGGCTTTGCGCTTTTTGAAAGGCATGGTGTATCTAATCGTGGGAGGGTTCAAAGGTTTGAAATCTTAAGTAAAGGCATAAATAGGTGTACGCATAAACGCGCAAACGAGAGCTAACCGATAGCAAGCTCGAGTGGAGGTAAGACGAGGGAGCTGTCTTACAACTTGAGGTGACTCCCCCCGTGGGTGAGTCTCAAGTATAGGGCTCGCCCGCACTGGAAATCGCTAGTCTCCGAGACTAGGAGTATCTCGGGGAGAGGAGAATATTTCGTCCCCAGGCACCCGTGCGCCCCGATTAGACTATAGTAAAAATATTTTTAAACTCGATTAAAATTATGGTGAGCGGTGGAATGAGAGCAAATTGGCTAACAAGACAATCAAGTTGTTGGCTTTTGGAATTAACAGCTGCATACACCCCCTCATCGCATTTGATACGTGCCCCGGGGGCCTTATTGAAGGCATCGCAGGGAGGATAAGATAACTGTTGCGTATCATACAGAAAAAGGGAAGGCCAAGAAATTCGTATACACAAATAACTTGGTTGTGCAAAGACTATGCCCGAACTCAAAGAAGTGCGAACAAGGTCTGAGTGTTCAATAAGCTCAATTTGGGCTTGCCAAGCCAACCAGCTGTTTTGAACGCTAAGGGATGGTGGGTGGGGTCAAAAAAATTTTGTGAGGTAACCGACAGGTACTTTCTTAGCGTCAGAACCAGATCCGAAGGTGATGGGAGAAGCACTCCCAGAAACGCAGACATTCATTGGTGCCTACATCTGGGTAAGACGTCTGGTTCTGACGCACACACGTTATCTTATCCTAAGATGAGTTTGCACTCGTGCCTCATGCTTACTCATCACGGAATAAGATAACTGTTGCGTATCATACAGAAAAAGGGAAGGCCAAGAAATTCGTATACACAAATAACTTGGTTGTGCAAAGACTATGCCCGAACTCAAAGAAGTGCGAACAAGGTCTGAGCGTTCAATAAGCTCAATTTGGGCTTGCCAAGCCAACCAGCTGTACCAACCCGAGTGTAAGCTCACGCCGGCGGGTTGGTGAGGCAAGGAAGAGCCAAGCTGGCTTCCCAAATGAGCGTCACTCGGAGAAAGGGTTAAGGTAGATAGAATTTACAAAAGTTGGATGGACAATAAAGAGAACAAGACGTTAAGGTAGATAGGATTTACAAAAGATGGGTGGGCAATAAAGTAAACAACATAGTGATGAGTTAAGGGGTGGAGTTATCAAGTAAGGAGGAAGGAATCTTGTGGGCAATACGAAATTCTTCAAATATAGAAGCGAGACGGTCGAGCTGTGCTTTATTATAAGCTTTTGAAGTGGACATGGGCAAAATTTCGTCCATACGGCGCCAGTACAGTAAAAACGCGAGGGAGGTCCAGCCCCCGGTGGCGGCGACGATTTCGGGAGGTACCCCGGCCAACAGTAACTCAACAGCGCCGCCAATACGGAAGCTGTGGCCCAGGATATGAGCGAGCATGGCAGAGGACCAAATTTTGGTAACGAAGCTGAGAAATTCATGCTTGAGGAGGTTTTTGGGTTCACCCGATGCAGAGACATAAGCAAAGAGGGTGGAGGAGGATGGGATAGAGGAATTGACGTCGAGGTGGTTTTTGAAAGCAGAGACAGGGCAGAGAGGGTCGCCATCACGACGGGCAGTGAGGATGACAGTGGCCCCAAGCTCTTTAGTTGTTTTCGTCCATGGGATGTCAAAGCTTGCCGAGCGGGCACCGTCACGCAGAACACGAAACAAGATTCTAATGAATGGTAAGAAAGAGGGAGTAAAAAGAAGAGTAAGAACGTACTTCGTAGAGCGAAGTACATGATATTTCGGGTCAAGCGCCCCGGCAACAGTGAGGGTAGTTTCCCCCAGACGACGACATCCAAAGAAGGTCACGAGAGCGACAGCCCAAACGGCAGCATGGAAGGGGTCAGAGAGGTTCAAAGCGCGACGCAGGCAGGAAAGATGCTCAATGGAGACGGGGGAACGGAGTGGGCGTTTGTGCTTCGTACCCTCCTTATTAGCTGAGATGCGAGCCAAGTGCACCCAGGTATCATCACCATGCCAAGGCGCATGGTTCATGACATGCCAGCTGCGTAGGCCAGCCAACCATGACCGAATGGTGTTACCAGATTGCAGACCTTTGTATTCACCAATAAAGGCACATAGCAACACATAGTCAGCAGGCATGCGGTCCTCCTCTGAGATCCCCCATTTGTCACAAAACTGAGTAAAACGGAGAGGGCCAGCAGCATATGTTGACTTGGTGTTAGGAGCCAAAGCTCCTCGAACAGCCATCAACGCAGAGTCAACGAGGGCAGGGGGTAGGCGCTGGGTTATGTGATGCTGATGATGAGAACCAAAAGGCGTGTGCCATGAGAAGATACGGTCAGCGGCAGGAACATGGGGACGGAGTTCATTGTGGGTGATAGAACGGCCAGCATGCGGTTTACGAGCGCGGATGGTGCGTGAAGAGGAGCCGGAGATCACAGGAGATGGTTTTGGTAGTGGGTGGAGCACAGGACGGGACTTGGAAGATAGGTTGGCAGAAGTGGAATCGAGGGTAGAATCGAGAGAAGGTGAGACAGGAGGAGGACGTTGGAAGGGGTGAAAGGAATTTCGAGGACGCGTGGGGCGCGGTGAGATAGAGATGTGAGATTGCTTCTCACCCACGGACCTCTCGGCGACACAAGTCGACGATGTAAGCCTTCGGTTGAGACTAAACATAGAGAAAACAACCAGATAGCTCCTCTGGGAGCTTAAAAGTAGGGAAAATCTGCTTGCCAGCCTCCCCCGGTTCTCCGCGCGAGATGGGGTCAGCTGGATTAGCCTCGGATTCAATGTAAACAATGTCTGGAGAAATAGAGAGATCGGAGAGGACAAGATAAGTACGGCGCAGAGAGAGGTTAATGTGAGAGTTAGGGCTGCGCCCCTTCTCCAACGCACCAATAGTACCCTGGTTGTCAGAGTGGATAAGCAAACGGCAGTGTTGCAAACCCATATCTTCCAGGAAATAAGCAAGCAGCTCGATGGCGAGAGTCTCGAGCCAGCAGATATCACGACCAGGCACCTTCCAGATGGGAGAAAGCTGGAAGGAAGCCCAATTGCCTCCAATAATGATGCCAATTCCCCAGGATGTGGAGGCATCAACATACAAGCCAAGGTCTTGCAGAGGACCACGGGGGCGCAGAGGACGAGATACGCCACTGACCTCAAGTCTCTGGAGCCACCAGGAGAGATCGGTCATCATGGAATGAGGAGGGTGTCTTGTAAGGAGTTCGTTGTTATAGAAGGAGGACGCAAAATTAGAAAGCGAGGGAAGGCGCGAGCGGCCATCCATGTACACAAAGGCAACATGACAAAGGGACCCATGGATTTTTTCGACATCAAGCAAATGGCAGGGACGGCTGTTGAAATCATTGAGAAAGCGTCGCACACGCTCGTGGAACTTCAGCCGCTTCTCTTCAGGCAAGCTAACGAGCTTCCCAGGAATGTCCCAAAGAAAGCCGATGAAGGTGGTGACAAAAAGGAAATGGTCGTCTCCTTTTTGATCGTGCCAAGGCACACCCAAAGGGTCGATACGGCGCAGCATCTCAGAATGGTCGTAGTCGTAAAGAAAGTCACCGTCACGAAATTTGCCACCAGATGAAGGAATACGGAAGACTTTAAGATCATCCTCGTATTTGGGAACAGGGAAAACACCCTCTCCCCGCCAAATATCCACAACAGCGTTAGCAACCATACCCGCATTGCTGCTAGCACAAGCGGCACCGAAAGGGTGCGCATGATCAATAAAGAACTGGCCAGGGGTACCCTGGACAACCAGCCACGGCTTGTGAGAAGGCAAAACAGGGCAAGTACGGTGGAACTTCGCAATGTCCAGAGTACAAGCCTGAGTTCCTGGAGGGGCAAGAGCAATCTAGAGAGTGTGGGTAAGCACGAGGTGTGGAGGGAGCAGGGACGAGGCAAAGAGGGGCAAAGAGATGGAGAAGTATAAACCAGCACAAGGCGTGCAAAAGGACGGTAAGAAAAGGAAGAAGGAATAGCAAAAGGAGAGAACATGGTAAGAAAAAAGGTAGTATGTAAAAGAAATCAATAAAGAGAAAGGGCGCGTGGAACACGCAAAGGAAGAGGAAGAGATGGAGAGGGGCACGAGACGGACACATGAAGTGCTCGACTGTAGAGAGAGGCGCAAGAGCACAAGGGAGCATAGGGAACTCCAAAGGGAGTCCAGAGACAACGAGAAGACGGACGTCGGAAAGACAAGGAATGCGCAAGATGCGCAAACACAAGAAAGCACAAAGTGCACAAGAGTATCAAAGGAGAAAACCCGAGACAGCGCATTAAGAATGCAAAAATCTCAAAATGGATGCTGCAGCAAAGAAGAAAACACCCGACGCACAAAACGCAAAGGGGTGTGTTATAAAAGGCGGAGAAGGGGAGGGGAAAGGAACTGATAGAGGGAGACTCACGATTTCGGCAACCTTCGAGGCCAAATCAAAACGTGTTGGAAAATCTCCCTTGTGGATATGTGAATTGACGGAAGGATGCGACTTCGAAGCCTTAGAAAGGTGTCGGCAAATCCTAATCTTGTCAGGTGTGCCGGGTTGCTGTGGCTGGACGTCGACAACAAAGGGAGAAGAGAAGAAAGGGCCGCGTAGAATAAGTTCCACCTCCTCACGAGAGAAGGGGCCAGACATCCTACCAGCCAGAAGCTCCTTATCCAAATAGTCTTGGATATCCTGCAGGTAAGGATAAGTAGAGGGGTTGTTAGGCAAGATGACGGATTCCATCAATGCCGGCATGTGTCCAAGAGGGAAACCACGCCGTAGGTTGTCAGAAAGGAGGGGGTAGACAGAAGAGAGGCCATGCTTGAGAAGGAGAGAATCGAAAACTTCGGGATGATAAGGGTGCGTGATGCGCTCGAAAATGGAACAATGGTGTGGAGAAGAAGACGGAAGCGGGAGGCGAGGAACAACAGAAGGGGAGAAATCAGTGTAAGATAAGGGGAGGGGACATGCGACAGTGAATAAATCTTCAGGCGGGTTTGGTGCGACAAGTCCAGGAGAGGGCGTGATGGCCTTTGCTGCCACAGAAGGAGCAAAGGTGAAGGCGGTCGTCCTTATGGAGGGAGGTGCATTGGGAGGCAGCCTCAGTGCTGCGGACGTTCCAGTTAATGCAGAGGATTTGGTTGTCGGGTGTGGCGAGACCATAGCCTGGGTTGCATTTTGCCCATACAACTTTTCCGTCGGCAAATTTTGGCGGGGTGGTGGCCTTGAGGTGGAAGAAAACGGTGTGCCCCTTGTGCGCGCAGATGAGGCAGACGGCCGTAGGGGAGGACTTGCCGCTGCCTGAGGGAAAGGGCTGAGAAGAAGTCAGTGACTGGGAAGGACCTCGTGGCAGGGTCCTCTGGGAAAAGGAACCACCTCCCCGGGAGGACGGAGCCGACCGCCCAAACGCCGGTTGGGAAGAATTCACGAAATCTTGAAATTCCTTGCGCAACTTGTGACTTTCCTCAGTAAGATCGTGAAATTCCGTGCGCAACTTGTGACTTTCTTCAGTAAGACCGAGAGCCTTGTCGTAATCCGTCGCACTAAATTTGAGATGGCGACTTCGGTGGTCTTGGCGAAACTCGAGCTCCATGGTCTTCCAAGCGTCGTATAACTCGTCCCTTTTGTTTAGCATGTTAAAAAAATTAAAATGCTTTTCAAACCACGTAGCGTGTTCCCCCTCACTACCCAGTTTGTCCCTCGAGACCTGGAAGCTCCACATATTGGCAGCAGCCTCAGTCCATTGACTACAAGTGAGGGTCAACTCCTTCCCAAAGCGGGTGGACAATTTTTCTATATTTAGAATATAAGTTCCCTTGATTTCTCCAGGCGCAGGGTTAGATTTGACAGTAGGCAGGGTTGATGCCTCATCAACCAGGGCCCGTAAATTCCGAGTAAGGAAGAAGGGGAGGGGAACTGCAACACAAAGTTCAGTGTCATATAGAGACTGTGGGAATTCAATGGGAATGGGTTCCCCAACCACTCTCTCGACATGGTTGGAACCATCCATACAACGCCTTTTAGAGGCCCTGGCATCCTCTGCAAGGATGTCGTCGTCCTTCCTCTTCTTTTCGTCCTTGTCTTTCAAATCTTCGTCCGCAAGATACTTAGCCAGGCTAGTATAAACAAAGTCACGGACAGAAGCAAAGAAGGTGGGAACCCTTAATCGGGCAAGATCCTCGGGATCAATGGTGATCAACGAGGCTGCTTCTGATCCCGGTTGAGGATGGGCAGCTGGGTCTAGAGCATTATTCAATGTCTTGGCAGATCTGGCATCGTTGTCGGCCTCAATCCTTTTATTCTGTTGCAAGATATTGGTAAGAGAGAGATTCTTCAAAAGCTGGATAATAGCAGGGGAGGTGTGGGTACGCGGAACACGAGGCGGAACGCTGTCGGTAGTCGTACGAGACTGCACATTATCGGTAGAGGCCGCAGGAGCGGTCGAAGCAGTACCAGATGGAACAGTGGGGGTGTCAGCCATCAGGAGAAAACGTCGAAGGTCAAAAAAAATTTGTGAGGTAACCGACAGGTACTTTCTTAGCGTCAGAACCAGATCCGAAGGTGATGGGAGAAGCACTCCCAGAAACGCAGACATTCATTGGTGCCTACATCTGGGTAAGACGTCTGGTTCTGACGCACACACGTTATCTTATCCTAAGATGAGTTTGCACTCGTGCCTCATGCTTACTCATCACGGAATATACCAACAGCAACACACTCCCCGAATGGGGAATTCAGCGGAGTTTGAAACCCTAACCACCTCCTAACCTAACGAGAACCCTAACCATAACCCTAACCTCCATGTATTATCTTATATGCTAACCCTAACATCCCTAACCCTAACGGCACCTACTCGGCAGATACGTCGGAGTGTCAATAATGGCCAATTTGATGGGATATCAGCGACACATCGTCATGTGCCTGAGTGTGTTGGGTGTCGTTGTTGGTACACCCTGCATCGCAGGTACGCGCGCTTCAAGTTATTCTACTTTTCAACATCGTAACTACTTCATATTTAACAGACTTTATCCGCTTGCACGAAGGACTTGAACCACCACACTGGAAACGGGTTCATACGGACGCGGGGTATCAGACGACTGCGTATTTCCTAGCTTGGATCGAGATCCGCTATGGGGAAGGAACGATCCGCGAGCTTAATGAATGGATGAAAGAGAGGAAGTATCATTGGTGGGTCTTTAAGGAGCTCACGGGGAGGCCTGTTCACAAGCTGTGGAAGATTTATTGCGCGCAGCTGGCTGCGGCTGAGGTACTTGGAATCCCAGTGCTCAAGGCTGTGGTCGACAGTGATGGAGATCCTAGGCACCTCATTGGTGAAGATTCAGACAACACTGCAGTCGAGGGAGACACTAGACGTCTTGTCGGCGAAGATTCAGACAACACTGCAGATGAGGGAGATACTAGACGCCTTGTCGGTGAAGATCCAGATCATCCCAACCTGGATGAAAATACCAAGTCTGAGGATGAAGGGGATAACTGGCTTGTGATAGTTAAACAGCCAGATTTATAGCCTCTGCGTGTTGAGATATAGAAACCACACGCTGGAAATTCTTGTTCAGTTAAACAGAGTGTTATATCAAACAACATTATCGCAACAAAATTACCTTGGTATATATTAATGCGAGTCTACGCGTAAAGTTCAACCTCACTATATGTGATGTCAGGCCTGTTCAATGTATTATTCCGGCTCTCCTGTAAGGAACGTGGGTCAGGCGCAGGTATTTCCTCTCTTCGGATGCTTGGGGCGCTTTCAATATTGCTTTGGAATCATCGAGTCTCTTTTGGAGAACTTGGGGGTAAGCATCGCCTGGGCTGATCATCGTCAATATTTCAATAGTGGTCAACTTCTTGAGGACAAAGAGAAGCCCAATCGCCGCCTGTTGTATGAAATGTTAATTGAAATACGGGTAGCAGTGATTCAAGGTAGCGCACATCCCTCCACACTGAAAGTTCTATAGTTGTTAGATTGGGCGCCGCCTTCACAATGCCTACGCTATATTGTCAGTCACTATTCAGGCTCTTGACAATAAGACATACACTTCATCATATTTTCACCAATAGAAAACCCTCTCATCTCTTCCACTTGCTTACAATGTTTCGCAATGACGGTGACAAGCTTACTTCCATCATCACGAATGCAACGGACAGACCTCACTCCTGGGCAACACTTCAAGAGTTCGTGTCGATAGCCGGGAACAATCACTGTTCGAACATGGGGTAGCACAATGTTTTGAAACGCCTCTTTAATGGCCGTCGTCATCTGCGTATCAGCGTGGAGCACATGTATAGTGTGTAGATTAGGTAACGATTGAAGACAAGCTGTTAATGCCGGGAGGATGACATCAGTTTGATAGCGCCTCAATACCAAATTAGCTACCCTGGAGAACTTGTTCAACTCAATTGAAAGCAGGAAAGGGCCCGGGTGTCAAGACACACCCAACGTATTTTGCCAAATCCTTGTTTTCTAACAATCCATTCGACTTGCGTTCGAGCGTTTCGCCGGCGTGGTTGAAAAAAGCGGATTTGACCCTTGGTGCAACACATTCGTCGAAGTTCTCCCAAGCCAGCGGTAAGAAAATGCGTCGAAAGGCTACACATGTCTGGGACAGCGCGCGGAGGATATCTGGGCGTTGCAAGTATAACACTGGTAGTACTGAGTCGTCTTCTCCATAGCAAATACTGGTGTGCGCGTCAATTGCGGGAAAATGACTCAAGATTTCTGTTGTGAGCTCCATAGTAGGGATGGAGAGGAACGCCTTGCCAGCATTCGTAGGGTTTTCTGCGGTTCCACAAACCTCGAGTGGAAGAATAGACGACTTTCGTTCCTTCGAAGATGGCTCTGCTAACTCGGCGTCTTGGGCTTTGCGCTTTTTGGGAGGCATGATTGTATTTATGGTGAGCGGTGGAATGCCAAGAGCAAAATTGGCTAAGGAGATAATTGATGGCTTGGTCTGGCTTTTGGAATTAACAGCTGCACACACCATCGCACTTGATATGGCCTTGTTGGTGAAAATTCAGACAACTCTATTCTGGGTGAAAATACCAAGTCTGAGGGTGAAGGGGATAATTGGCTTCTGATAGATAAACAGCCGGATTTTTAGCCTCTACTTTCGTGTCGAGATACAGAAACCACCACGCTGGAAATTCTTGTTCAGTTAAACAGAGCGTTATATCAAACAACAAGCAAATCAAATTACCCCAGTATATATTAACGCGAGTCTACGCGTAGAGTTCAAGCTCACTATACGTGATGTCAGGCCTATTAGATGTATCATTCCGTCTCTCCAGTGGAACGTGGGTCAGGCGCAGGTATTTCCTCTCCTCGGATGCTTGGGGCGCTTTTAATATTGCTTTGCAACCATTAATGTTCTTTTGTAGATCTTCGGGGTAAGCATCGCCTTTGTTGATCCTCGTAAATATTTCAATAGTGGTCAACTTCTTGAGGCCAGAGAGCATCTTGATCGTCGCCTGTTGTATGAAATGTTAATTGGAATTCGGTTCTTAGCAGTGATTCAAGGTAGCGCACATCACCCGTCCCCCATCTAAGTTCTATGGTTGTTAGATTTGGCGCCGCCTTCACAATGCCTACGTTATATTATCAGTCACTATTCAGGCTCTTGACAATAAGACATACGCTTCATCATCTTTTCATCAATATAAAACCCTCTCATCTCTTCCACGTGCTTACAATGTTTCACAATGACGGTGACAAGCTTACTTCCATCATCACGAATGCAACGGACAGACCTCACTCCTGGGCAACACTTCAAGAGTTCGTGTCCATAGCCAGGAACAATCACCGTTCGAACATGGGGTAGCACGATGCCTTCAAACGCGTCTTTAATGGCCGTCGTCATCTGCGTATGAGCGTGGAGCACATGTATAGTGTGCAGGTTAGGTAACGATTGAAGACAAGCTGTTAATGGTGGGAGGACGACATTGGTTTGATAACGCGTCAATACCAAATTAGCTACCCTAAAGAACTTAATTAATTCCATTGAAAGCAACAGCGGGTGTTGGGACATACCCAACGTATTTTGCTAAATCCTTGTTTTCTAACAATCCATTCGACTTGCGTTCGAGAGTTTCGCCGGCGTGTTTGAAAAAAGCGCTTTTGACCCTTGGTCCGACACAGACGTCCAAGTTCTCCCATGCCAGCGGTAGGAAAACGCGTCGATAGGCTGCACATGTCTGGGATAGCGCGCGAAGGATATCTGGGCGTTGCAGGTATACGACTGGTAGTACTGGGTCGTCCTCTCCGTGGCGAATACCGGTGTGCGCGTCGATTGCAGGAAAGTAGCTCAAGATTTCTGTTGTGAGCTCCATAGGGATGGAGAGGAACGCCTTGCCAGCATTTGCAGGGTTTTCTGCGGTTCCCCAAACTTTGACCGGAGGAGGAGAAGACTTTCGTTTCTTGGAAGATGGCTCCGCTAACTCAGCGTCTTGGGCTTTGCGCTTTCTGGGAGGCATGGTTGAACGTAATGGTGAGCGCCAGGTGAGCGCTAGTGTTGGCGGTTACCAAACGGTTACTGGAAATTGTAGAGGCAAAATTGGCGAACGAGATTTGATGGCGTTGTTGGCTTTTGGAATTAACAGCTGCACACACCCTCTCATGCCCACGTTTCCCATTCTTCTCTAGATTTAACCTCTTTCTTCCGTCATATACGCTTGTGCGTCATGGATAACGAGTTAATACGCGTATGGCAGCTCGTAAATGAGCTCAGCGAACAATTAGCGCAGAATCAAAAGCTCGCAAACACCTTGCATTCCCAGGCAGGCTCCCTGAAGGTGAGTTCAAGAATACTCCTTGCTAGGGTTGGAATGAATTGTTACAAAGAATCAAGCTGCCCATGCAAGCTCAGGATTCGCACTACGTCGATTCAATACAGATATAACGAAAGGTTTGTTCTTTTAATTCATTTGAAGCCGATCGCCTTTGTTCAACCTCGTCGTTACAGAGACCTTTGAATCCGAGCTTGAGCGCATGAATGCTCAGATAATAATAGAAAATCAAACGCTTCTACAAGAAAACAAGCAGCTCAGTTTATTGCTCAAGGAATACGAAAATACGATGGAGACCGTTATGGCCAAGTTTAGAAATCATGCTGTACGTCGGACGGCCTTTACAGAGATGTATCTGACGAGTGCCTTTCTCAGCTCGCCGCCCAAAAACATGAATTAACACTTACACGACACTACGAAACCCTTCTCCTTGCCCGCGACTCCCAAAACCTTTCAAACGACTTAACGTCATCCACAAATATGTCCCAATCCCTTCATCGCCTTGCACATCATCTACGTGGACTTCTTCGGACAATGGCCGGCGAGGACCCCGACGACCCAAAGCACCAAAACATTGACCCAGACTATGACGGCTCAGGGTTCGGTGTTGTAGATGTGAAGGAACTGGAGACACTCCTTGAAGCCCTCGACGAAAGAGGGGCAGGCGGCTACGCCGGAGTTGATGAAAGAGGGGATTGGGCTATGGAACGTGAAGCTGAGATATCAAGATTGGAAAGGGAGAACGAGGAACTTAGAGCGTTGCTGGGGATTGGCGAAGGAAGCATGGCTGCGCAAGGCGTGAGCGCGGACCTTGAACGAGTGGAGAGCGGTCGGTATTCGACTTTCCTTTCTAGTTCACTAAGGAAAGGTCCACGACATCTTCAGCAAGAGGGCAGTGGGGACAATTTCCCGCCGCTCACACGAACACCATATTTAAACTGGGACTCATCAAATACTGCGCAGCAGCAAACGCAGGGACCTGGGAACAACGCAATCCAAAGAGTTGTTGACCTGCAGCCTGGTATGCGAATGGGACCGCAAGCTCGTAGGACGGGGATATTTGGGGCGGGGCAACAGCGTGGCGGATTCACTGGAGGGGCAGGGCGTCAGCTTGTGATTGGAGTTGGTGGCCAAGGTGCGCCTCCAGGCCCACCATCGCTTTGGACAAATCAACCTGCTTCACCTGCCCCGCCGTTTATTGAACGGTCATGGCAGGCCCAGGGAGCAACGAGTATTGATATCGGGAACCGTTAGCTTTGCTTTCATATTCTTTTGGGATGGAGCCACTATATCATATTTTTGTACCGTTTGTAATGATGCTTTTATCGGTGTAATAGATGTACTTTGGACTTGGTGACAACCATCACTTTCAAAAATGACCTTGGCCGAATTGCCCATTGAGCTTTACGAAGCAATCCTGTTTTACGTACCTTCTCGGGATCTCCAGTACACCATTCTGTCCGTCTCTCGAGCGCTTCCTTTCTCTCCCGTCCCACTTCATGAGTTGTTCCGCAGCATAAGGATCACCCGCCCCGAGCAAGCCATTCACTTGTACCGTCGTCTTCGCCTCAGAAATCGCTCCACACTCAAGCCAAACCTCAATGGCCTTGAGGAGGCAACTCAAGACAAGGCTGCGTCGTGGATACGCGAACTCTTCATTGAATCGTGGTCGGTCGACGCAGACGTGGTCCTCAATCTCGTAAAACTCATTCCTCGACTTAACTTGTTGAACCTATGGATCGGTCCCAACAACTTCACTCCGGAACACTTGGAGGAGCTGTGTGAGAAGCCTATACCTGGACTGACTTACCTTTCGTTGAGGTTCAGACCTTAGTGAGTGGGAATGAAATGCGCTAATCATCTCTCCATTTATTTAACTCCTCTCTCTCGGCAGTGTTCAAAAGGCCAATTACTACCAATTTCTGAAGGCATGTCTCTCTGCCGTTTTCACCGCGATTTGCAAAGTTTACTGAAGAGGAAATTTATCAGGGTGCATATTTTGATTCAACCCTCATTGCGATTTCTCGATGGCCGCCCTCAGACCTCGCCACGATCTCTATTGTTCAGGATCCAGTCCCCCCGGAGGAACAGTCAAGGCCAGCTTTTGCTCAGCCTATTGTCTTTTTTCGACTGCAGCCATCTGTGTCCATCCTCATCCACTCGGAGTCCTTGTCCTCGTCCCTAACGTCTGTTCGTCTCCGTGTCCCTTTACGGCCAGTAGCAAGCGCTTTCTGTTTGTCGGCGTCAGCAGCCATTACACTCGATACTCATACACTGAGTATCCCCGAGCTGGAATTCATTGACCTGTCCACATCCGCCGTACTCGAGTCAGAAATCGACACCTTTTCCGTGTGTTTCAAGACCTTGGAACACCTTATATTAGACGGATGCGGGCTTTCCACGATGCGCGAAGGCGAGTGGAGTGCGATAGGAAAGCGTTGTGCCCTTGCGGGCGTCCAGAGAGCGAGAGAAAGAGAGAAGACATTGAAAACTTGGTTAGAAACTTGGCTGGCAACGGCTAGCGTCGGAAACGACAATGTTCTTGCTGAAGCGGCTGCAGATCTGAATATCCGCGCAAAGAAGCCCAGACGTGGTCGACGAGGACTTGCAACCGCCACCATTTCGCTGCGTTCATCATCCCCTGACGCAGCGTCGTCTTCTCGACCTTCCCTTTCGACACGGAGATTCGAGATCCCCAAAATTCGCATCCTTCCACCCCTTCCTACGCTGACCACTCTGTCGATGGCAGCTTCTTCGATCAAGCCAGATATGTATCCTGTTTCTATTACAGAGTTTGAAGCTGGATGGGCTGAGGGCATCGCTCAATTGGCTGTCACTCGTGCAAGACTCCGAGCTAGTGCGCGTAATGGGGTTAGGGTGGTGCGTTTTATGGAAGACAGTGAGTCCGACTCGCAGGATGGGGGCCGCGAAGGGTTGGAAGGTTTGGAAGACGTCAACAAAGACGACCAAGCTGCATTTGATATGCCTGTGGAAATTGGTGATGGAAGGGACGTATACCGGGCTCCTGTTCTTTGCCTTGCTGGTGATGCAGAAGTAGGACACAGTGAGGGCTGCGGACACGCTGTAGCTTCTCGAATTTGGGTTGGTTAATCTTATCGGAGCTGCATCTTATCTCATCTCCAACCATTTACTGCGTCATCACGTCATCATAATCATTCCTCTTCCCCTCCATTCAAATGACATCCGAGTCCTCGAGCGCAGCGACCCCCGCGAAACACGCTGATTCTTTCTCTCGGCCGCCAGTTACCAAGGTCAACGCGTTGTCACGACTCAAAACCTTTACCGGAACCATTGTCTCACGCAAGGACAAGGGCCCACCAATCGTCTTTCCCCCGCCGTCGTGGGACCTCGATGATCAGACCATTTATGAAAGCTTATGGTCTAGGAAGGGCAATAAGAAAGTCGCTCAAACGTCGAAAGCTCCTGCGAGCAGTAATAGTGTTGAAGAAAGTGAGGAACATCCAGAACCTATGACGTTCGCGAAGAAAATACGAGGGATGATTGAGCTGCTGCCAGTCCCAAGTGCATTGACATCTACATGGTCGAATGCACCTGCGGCTGCTTCCGAGTTTACTCCTGCAGATGAGGGTATGACAGGCTCTCCCGTACCACCTGGTATGGATGAAGGAATGGTCAAGATGTTATCGTCGGAGGACTTGATGAACGGGACGAGGAGCAACAAGAAAGGAGTAGAAAGGCAAAGTGTTTGGGATACCCTAGCGGGTATAAACCATGATGTGCACGACCAGGGAAGTTCACAACGGCCTACACCTTCCAAGGTCGAGGAGCAGGAGGATGGCGTTATGATGTATGTTCCACTTGAACCGAATGAAGGGTCGGAGGTTGAGCTGGCTGAGACGGAGTCCGTGCTTGAACATGACAAGGCGCCGTCTCATGAGTCTGCGTCGAAAAATGGAATTACCGCTGAGGAGCCAAAGCCAGCGCGCACCGATATCGCAGTTGAGAAGAAAGTTTGGGTACCATCAACCACGCAGATCTCTGTCTTCACGACTTGGTGGGGATACAGACTTTATCTTCCTCCGCCCGTTATGGAGAAACTTGGTTCGCATTCCCTCAAGGCGACTGCACGAGCTGCCATGATAACAAGCGCGCTGAAATGGCTTATCGGAAAAATTCCCATGATGTTCGTCCCAGTCCAGTTTAAACCAGCCGTGGCACTTTTGAAGAGATTGAGTCCTGTGGTTGGGTATGTTGGCATTTTCATCGCGTGGACTTGGGATAGAGTACGTGCTTGCGACGAAGGTTTGTTGTTTTGGTTCCCATTCTTGCCACACATATCTCACGCGTGAAATACCTATGTAGGGAACGGAGTGGTTTTAAGCGCTACTTGGCTCCTTCCAGTCGCCCTGCTGCCAATGGCTTGGGATGCAGGACATATATACGGTCCATCGTTGCCAAAGCCTGTAGACGCAGAAAAGGAAGTGTCGAAGCAGTCGAAGAAAGACAACCCTCCTCAGAAGAAGAGAAGATCATATTTTCTATGGTAGCTTGAGTACCCTGCTCGTATTCCACCTTTTTTGCAGCGAAACACGGATGCATTCATGACATATCGGGTTTATCGAGGGGCGTTTTCGATCTTTGTGATATCTGTAGGTTTCCAGACACAGGCAATTCTTAGAACTCAATGATTAACTCACGGCGAACTCGATCTCTTGGTCTCCGCCGCCGCCACTCGATTGATTCTTCTCTAGGTCGAACTCGGGCTTTCGACGGCTTCACCTAACTTGCGATTTCTTTTTTTCTTTCGCTGATCATGTTGCATGTCTCTAATCGCGTGTGTATCGACGACGTAAAATAACGTGCATACCCCAAATCTGAACAGCCAACGCCAACCACCAATGTCATGTTTCTCTTTCACAGATCAGATATCTAGGGATCAGCGTCGTCTTGACTTGGTCTTGACAGCTACTTGACTCCTCCCAATCGCCCTACTGCTAATGACTTGGGATGGAGGACACGTCTACGGTCCCTCACGAAGCAACAAGGAAGAGTCAAAGCCGTTCAGTACAACTCGACGCAAAAAATGAAGAAATCTCAGGTTTTTTTGTTACCTCAAAAACCTTCCATGCTCATGGCGTGTGATGGTGATATGGGGTTGAGTCGTGTACTGACACTTCTTAGCGATAGTACGGTGGAGGTAACACTTCATTTTACCTCGCGGCCAACTCGATCGTGGCCTTTTCGCATTTTGCGGCTACCTGGCAGCCTGTCGCATTCAGCAAAACAATTCCGGTACTTTGAATTCTTTCGACGGTTTCACGCAATTGGTACTAGGGTTGTGAACGGCCTTTCGTTCATTAACGAAGATCTGCGGTGTCTGGAAAATGTGGTACGTCTTCCATTGCATGAACTGACAGCCGACACCAACCATTTGCTATGTCAGGTTCATTGATGAGCGTCTGTCGCCGTGTCGGATTCTGCAAAAACTCGCCTTGACAGGCTTTCGACGGCTTCACGCAAATGACGCCAGGGCGTTCACAGATCATGATCACGTTCTTGACATGGTAATGTCGTATGTCGAGCTCGACGACATAAATTAACACGGTACCTCAAGGCCTCAAGTCTGACAACCGACTCTGATCAGACGCCAACCGTCATATGTCATGTCATTAATGACCACTCGCCACGATACATGATTATCATTTTACGTCAAATGGGGTTCCTCGTACCCTCTCGTACCTCCTGGTTGTTTAGTTCCTCCCTTTGGATTAACAAACTCACAGTGATTGCCAGTTGATTACCCCAGATTTTTCTCGGCCCGGTCTAAGAATGGAAAGTCGAGTTCCGTTTGTGGACTACACTTCCGTGGGTCCAGAAAGGTCCAGAAGCCTGATCAACCTTCCTCGATCCCAAGATAGTCAACTCGAGGTGGTTATCGAGTATGTTCTTCCCAATCAACGTAATAAAAACATATCTCATCTAATCGTAATCACCGAAGATCGTCCTAGAAAAGCGGAGTTTCGGCGTCAATCTCCACTGCCATTGAGGCACGACCTTCGCGGGGTCACCTGGCCTCTCTCTACCTGATTGGTTTTTTTAGCCGGCCGGGGTACCTAAAGGCTCCAATATATCGTTTCGGAGATGTCATTTGTAGCAACCACGAGGCAGCGGACAACAAAGGAATGGATGGGAACGCCAACAAGGTTGTCTGGGATGTAGTGGTTGATGTGATAACCATGGCATTTCGAGCGTGTGCTGATTAAACTGTTGACTTTTGCAAGTGGCTTTGCTGAAGTACACTTTGTTGGCATGGGGTTCCCGGAACTCGGTTGGAAATGAAGCTGATTGGGGAAAGGGGGGTATGGGGAGCCTATGACCAGCGTCATCTCCATGGGCTAAATTGGGTAGGGGAGCTATGGCGTACCGTTGCGTTGTTTACAACTTGCTACAACTGGCGTTACGCGCTCATATTTCGAATTTGATTTCAGAGCTGAGAGCAATATGATGCATCAAGGCAGTGCCTTGAAGCTGTCGGTTGATGTTCCGTGAACGTCGTCCTCTGGATGCACGCTGCTTGCTCCTCGCCTTGCCGCAGTGCATACGCGCTGGACTGCGGCGTTCTTATCGCACTATCACACAGACGCTCTCAACACTGCTATCACAGTTTGACAACCTTGAGTCATGTTTGAATCAGCTTCTATCTATTCAAAGTCAAAAATTATTCAAGATTGGTGTATAAGCCAACACACTGTGCCCGGTCCTTCTTTAGATTTTCGGGGCCGTGGAGATTCAGCGTCATTGTTGGGTGTTTCGTCTATAGATACGTTTTTACGTTTGATATCTTATCTGTACTCCATGAGTGAAGGGTCAGATTGAGGTGGCTTTTCACGTACGTACGCACGCTCCAATATCTAGACGCCCCGCGAGGTTAAATGAAGTCTAAGACGGGGTCGACATAAGATAACATGCATCGCGAGGCGCCTCGTTAATCTCCCTGAATATTACTTCCTTTGTCTTGTCTTTATTCTTCTCGGGGTAAGTAAACGAACGTTCGTTTCTGATTGTGAGTTCGCGGACTTGAAAGTTCATTCCTTGGCCTTTGTTGCGGTTAATAGGATGCTATGACCGAGTTCAATCCGACTCCAACGCACGGAGTTGCCGGGATGGTGTAAAAAGCCAAGTTCCAACTATGTAAAATCCATGCATGTGTTTATCGCTCCAAGATAGGTGGTTTTGTGTGTGTGAAAGTGGTGTAAGATAACGCGTTGGTTGGGTGGTCAACAGAGCAACGCGTTGCCACGCATAGCGCCGTAAAGGCAGAAACTTTAATATAAAGATAGTGGTTCAGAGGTGTACAGATATAGGTGTGGGCGTACATGTGGATGCGTGTGTGCAGGGAGTGGCCATGGGTGGGTGGTAAAGAAAACGCCGAGTTTAGATGTTTTTCCGCGCTGCTGAAAACATATGGATAAGAATGAGTGCGGTAGCATCTCGTAACTCCGCACTTGAGCGCGAGGTAAGTTTAACCAGCGCGGTCGATTGAGGTGGGTGGGATAATGATAGCTTGGTAGAAAGGTCGGAGGCCGCAAAGGAGAATGCCGTGGTAATTGCGCGTGTGATTAAGTAGTAGCGAATGAGTGACCGGGGTGAAGGAAGGCTGAGATTAAGCGGGTGCAGCTGACGAGGGATGCCACGACGGAGAGGCATCTAGAGGCATATGCGTCTACGGTGATATTTGTTAAGATATTGAAGTAACCGGATTGGCTGATAAGACGGAAAGGGCCGATCTCTTGAATACCCATTCCAAATCCAATCCTGCATGCCTCGAGGCCCTATATATCTCTTCATTCACTCTTGTCTTAATTTTCCTCCCACCTTCATGCTCACTCTCCACCCCACAGACCCCGCACGTCCCCCGGACATGCTTCAGTGTCGTGGCCGCTCTCGTCAAGTCTCACACGCCGCTCTTGCACGCCAAGCGTCAGAGGAACGCTTCTATGCTGTGGGGGCTATACATCGCTCACTCCTTACGCGCTCAACCCCGGAACGGAACAACTACTCACAACAACAGCCCTGTCTGACTGGTGAAATACCTACAGTCTCTCCTTTCACTCAGCCACCTCCACCCCCATACACCGACCTCAACTCCCCACCTGTGTCCGAACCCGAGGTTATGCCAATAGCCGCTCCCGTCCCAGTGCGAGCCGCATTCACTCCGCACTTTATCCATTCAGAGTCGCCCTCTCCTCCCAGTTCCGCTTCCATGTCGCCTGACTACTACGACTCGCCCCCGTCGCCACCGCGTTCACTAGAAGACCAGGTTCACGTGGCATATGCACACGACGACATTCATTTGGCCAAGATTCTCCTTCTACGCCTCAAGGGGATAGAGGTCACGTCGGACGATGACCCACGCATAGCCGAGGTCCGTGATGAGGATTTTGATTTTTGCTTTGTGCCCAATGGGGGTTTGATGTTGGATGATGGAAACGAGAAATGGATGATGGAGCGACAAAGAGAAGAGAGGGAAAGGTTGGACCAGAGGAGAAGAGAAGAGAGGCTGAAAGCTTGTGAACAAATTTGGGTTAACGTGAAACGGCAGCTCAGAGAGGATAGGGTGATGGTCTTGAGGAGGCGAGAAATGTCGCGATTAAGGGAGGAGGGGAGGAGGAGAAAGCGCGAGGAGGAGCAGAGACGGTGGGCGGAGGAGGAACGAAGACGAGAAAAAGCCGAGGTGGAGAGAGCTGCTGAGAGGGCCAATGCGCGTGTACGGGCCAGGGCAGAACGCAAAGTCGTTTCTTACAATTTCTTGCAACCATCCGACGACTCTTCGAGTTCAAGCGAGGAGCAATCTTCACCGTTCGTCTACAACTTTATGGTCTCCACCAGCTCTCGGACCATCAAGACCCTATTTTCCTGCTCTCCACCAAATAAAACCATCCCACAGATACGGCCTCACTTCCCCACCCCTTCCTTTGACGATTCGCGATGTGTCCCCTTTACCGACGTCCTCAAGAGCATGCAAGGGCCCCTCTTCCCTCTTTCACGTGAAGAGCGCATGCAACGCTATGGCAGTCCCGCTCATAGCAGGTCTTCCACACGCTATCGTCGAGAGGTCGAATTGCTGCAGTCGCTGCTGTCCAACGTACAGTGCAAAGGGGGCGAACGGAGTAAGCAACAAGTCAAACCACGGGGACCGATCAGGGCATGCGCAGCTTGTTCTGCTTTTGGGTCATTGCCTTCCCCTGCTTCATCACCTACCTCTAGCGCTGGTTCACTACCACGCTCGAGTTCTTGGTTGTCATTCCGATCGTCCTCAACATCATCATCAGTGTCCACAATCACGACTACTCCCTCTACATCACCTGTCACAGCGCCAAAGGCCAGCTGGTTCATCACCACCACCACCACAGTCCCATCCTTCGGATCACGTCGTCCCAAAGCAACAAGCGTGACAATATCTGCACCGGAACCAGTTCATACATGCCACTCGCATTCCCACCTTACACCCATCGCACCCTCGGAAGGTCCGTTACCACTAGCGCCGCCTTCCACGGAACGTAAAGCTTATTCTGCGACTCGGGAGCACGAGGATGCTTCACGTGGTGCTCGTGAGGCGCGCAGCTCGCCGACAAGGAAGGAGTCTTCGAGTGGAGTGGTGGTCCGACGGATGTCACAGCTCGTGGAGCTCGCGAAGGGGTTGCAGAGTGCTTGTATGACAGCAACGCTGTCCAGTCCGTACGAGTCGCTTGAGGAGTCACGGATCGGATCTGATGCTGCAAAGGTGGTGCATGATGGGAGTATCAGTGGAGAGGGTGGGCAACAACAACGAAGTATGAAGAAGAGGTTAGCGCCAGCAGGATACCGCGTGTGTGCAGGGGACGTGGCTGCCTTTTTGAGTCCTGCACGATCCACTTCCTCTTCCCGCGATACCCTTCCGCTCTTGGGCACGCATCAAGAGCCTGAGGAAGGCGAGCTTGATCGAGAAGATGACGTTTTTTACACTCTGATGCCACGGTACATTCCTCTGAACTCGTCATCCTCCCCATCCTCGTCCTCACCTTCATCATCGCCGCGCACCGTCCTGCCTAACCCGCTCCCGTATCCACTCGTGTTCAAGCCCATTCCGGCACCGCCGCGGTCCCCGTTCTCGATGCACCAGCATCAGCATACGGTGTACCCGTCGTCTGCCCCTGCTGCGTCTGCGTCTGTGTTCAGGAATGGGAGTACGGGCGTGGTTATAAGGGAGAGGGCTGTGGGGAATCCGGTACACCTGCGCTTGAAGGCGCTGCATAATATTGTGTGGACGCGCGGGGTGTTGTGGGAGGGCCGGGCGAGGGAGACGGCGTTGGGGGGTGGGAGGGAACGCGTGCTTGGTGTGGCGTGTGAGGGTGTTGGGAGGAGTGCGTTGCCTGTTGGTGTTGTGGGTCGTGGGTAGGGTGGTGGTGGTTGCTTGATTTCTTTCTTTCTTCTCTCTGGGTCTTTGGTGCACTTACTATACAAGCACTAATGGTTTTTTCTTTTCCTCTTGTCGTATCGCTTCGTCATTGCTTGCTCCGTCGCTTTCTTGCACATCATCTGTATTTTGTAGGCTCAACACAATCCATGGACTGTACATTACTCTATATATGTTCTTCACTTGCTTATCAGTACAATGAGCAAGAATTTTAGACAGTCACTTTCTTCACCGATTTCGAACTCGAGTTCATCAGCCGAATCCGGTTTGCAAATCATATTGTTGCAATAACGTTGCAATGCCTGAACTCAACCTGAACTACACCTTCGAGAGCTCAACGCAGCCGGCCCAAGTCGGTACAGTGACTGGGTGACTCGGATTTGCATCCGCACCGGCTTCCAATGGCTGCTCAAAATTCTGCACCGCCCCAACGGCTCTCCCTCTACTGGAACGGCGCCGACGACGTCGAGCAGATTAGCCGCTATACCTCTGGGGGCTATCATCCCATCCGGATCGGAGAAGTAATATCAACGCCCCCGGATACCGAATCAGGCCTCAATCCTCGCAAGTACCGTGTACTCAATAAGCTCGGTCATGGTGCTTTCTCTACCGTGTGGCTGGCGTCTGCTCAGCATTATCCTGCGCCCGGGTAAAACACACACGACCTTCTCATCGAGTGACTCACTTATTGAATGACACGCAGACGCTATTTCGCACTCAAGTTTTGCGTTGCCGATGCTGATTTTAAGCGTGAACTAGATGTTTTTAGGCGGCTACTCGATGATAAAAAACGTTGTGTGCTGAGGCTTCATGATACCTTTACGATTGATGGTCCTAATGGCACACACGCTGTACATGCTTTCAATGTTCTAGGTTCATTGGACACAATTTCTCAGCTTGTGCGACCTTATTGGAACCCGCGCGAACTTTGTCGTGAGGTTGCGCAAGGCTTGGCATTGCTTCACCGTCACGGTGTTGTACATGGAGGTTAGATCATTTTTATTCTACTAGCTTCCAGTATCGGTACTGATGGAAATGGATGGGCTTACAGACCTCCACATGAGAAATATTGGCGTGTCCATGCCGCAACTGGACGAAATCACCGAGGACGACCTCATGGACCGCCTCTACCCGCCCGAAATCACAATAGTTTTCCCTCGTCAGATACCCGCACGGCCAGAATCCCTGCCTTTCTACCTTGTCCCGCCGACGCCTATCTCCGAAGTTCTCCTCCCGAAGAACGGGAAGCCAGACATTGAAGTGCACGTCGAGCTACTCGGTTTAGGAAGTGGTATGCATTCAATGAGAATGATACTTGCCGTGAACTGACGTTTGCTTTGTAGCTACAATTGTCGGAAGCGGCTCTGCACCTCCTGCGTGTACACCTGCGATGGTATGTGCGCCGGAGATCATGTTTGAACAAGTCACTACCTCGGCCATCACCCAACCTGCTACAACCGCGAGCGACATCTGGGCGCTGGCTTGCCTGGTATGCGCCGATTTATATGTTGATGCCCCTCTAACGCTAGCTATTTGCATTGACAGATGCACGAAATCGTCTTTGGCGGAGACCTGTTCTACTTTGCATCAGCCAATGACCGCCTCCTGGGCGAGATGGCATCAACCTGCGGCCAAGTCCCGTCGTCCTGGCGCAGCTATTGGGACTCAAACGAAGGGCTCTGCAAACTGGGTGATTAATGGTCGAAGTTTCCTGATTCCTTTCCCTGCACTGATTCTTCGTCTTCTCTTGCAGATGTTTCCCAGGAAGGGGCTGACAAGCAGTGGCAGGAATTGATAGATAATTCTACAAGTGAATTTGCGAGAAGAGGTGCTGCGACTACTAAAGAGGATTTTGTTATCTTTTGCGACCTTTTACGGAGGATGCTTAAGATGGATCCAAGTGCTCGACCGAGTATTGAGGAGGTATTGGCGCATCCGTGGCTCACCTAGACATCATACTGATGGAAAACTGTCATTTGCAATCAGAGATACTTTGTACATATGCTTTTCAAACACCCAGAAGGGAACCGCGCTCGCGAGATTTGAGGGAAATTCCTCGACGCCGCAAAGTCGAACTCTGGATGCGATTCAACGACAATACCAGTCCGCGCCTGTCGACGCACTCCAGCGCTTCGTACATCCTATGTTTATCGAAGGACACACCCCCTTGATACTACCTGGCGGCCTGAGGTCGACTATCGTCAGAATACCATAGAATTTATCTCTAGGTCTCACAAGGCGAGTCGCATTTCAGACGTGACGGCGTCCGCTTTGTTCACTTTCGATGGCCAGAGTCATTCTGGGGTCATTCCTGCTTGCGCATTTTTGTGAGTTACTTGGACATTCCTCTGTGGCTGACTTCGGTAGACCCCCGATTTTGTGACGACTGTGAAGGCCTCGTTATGCAACTTGAACTCCAGGATTCACCACAGTCCTCACATTCCACTTGCGCTGGCCAGATACGAGACTACCGGTTTGTGGTGACTGGCTCCTGCCTCTGGTTTTCGACGTTGCCATGTGGTTGCGCCGCCCTCAAAACATCGGGAGTGCCTACATTTACAAACTCGCACGAAGCACGTTTGCTAGATAACATCAGAGGCGGCAGTGGTGATAGTCAGGGCAAGAAGCATTTACAGAAGAAGATTGCGACCGACAACAGCGCACGCAACAGACGGTGAAGAACTGCATGTTTCCGACATGATTTCATCGTTATGGATGCATAATATGAGGGAGCGCCAGCCTCTGAAGGCATCCAGACCCTAGGAGAAAGTCAGAGCGTGGCTTGGTTGAGAGTAGTCCATGCCGTGGACATGATTGCGCGTCATACACGCTTGCAATGAGCATCAGTCATTGACTCATAGACTATCGCGATCGCATCTTCTGCTTCACCCTGGCGTAGTCGCGAGTCGCGAACTTGAAGAACTACTGTGGCGTTTCCATCATGGCCTTGACTACTTGTTCCGGTTATGGATAATGGATGCCTAGTCAAGAACTTGAGCGCTTGAGCGCGGCTCAGTAACCGGATGATTACAGAATTCAAGTGATGTCATCTCGCTTGGAATATTGGGGTGTGACGCCGCCTTTAGACTCTTCTATTGAGCGCGCCGAAGTCGTCCCTTTTCCACAAGTATGGCGTTGCCAGTGCAATAGAACCTCGGACCTGACCTCGATCACAGTATGCCTCTGACTTTGGAAGCTACGCACCAGTACGCACCAATAACAAAGTACGTGTACAGCCGGACTCAAAGAGCATGCAACTCATGAGGGTTCTTCAGGTAGAGTTATACCTTGTCTACCTTGAAATAATGTTTGAATCGGCCACCTGTCAGTGTCTCCGTGGCTCGCCGCCTACGGGAGTTCCCAAGAAATTATGTGATATGGGTTGCTATTAGGCACACGTTTCCAGTGCACTTGCCCGAGTCGGCGGAGGTTTTTTGTCAGATGAAAGTTGTGTGCCAAAGCCAGTATTTCCTGTTTTTTTTTTTGCCGCCGCATCACTATGGCATCAATTGAGCCTTGATTGAGCCCTTTAGAAGCCCCATTGTTTCTGTTGCTTGATTGTGCTGGACAAGTGCTGGATTTTACTTCTTTTCTATTGTTTGGTTTTTCCATTTATCCCAAACATCGTTTAAGCTGATGATGTCATGTGCTCCGGTACGAAGAGTGCACCGCAGGGACAGGCGGGGGCCAGCTGGCTTCTGAAAGAGGTTTGCCATTTGCCGTGTTCGGCGAATTTGGAGTTCTCCTGCGGAGCAGAGTGCTGACGAGAAGTTGAGCCACGTTTTGCCCAATGAGCTTAGTGCGAACCAATACTTAAACTCAAACCTCTAGCAGGAGTACGACGCAGATCATCCAATTTTGGTCGTGGTCGTGGGCCCTAATCGATAGCACCCAAATAATTCAGTGGGTTTGTCAACAGGCGCGCAAATGATTCTGCTTTCATGTGCTTATTTACATACATCGATCTTGTCGGAATTTGGAGACAACTCCCAGCGGGTGCGAAAAACTTATAAAATGACTCTAACCAGACACAGAATTACGCAACCGGTTCCTTGAAGGACGAATTTAAAGCATTGGTAAGTAAGCACTTGGCTCAATTTCTTACGAATATTTCGAAGACGATCGTGAGACCAAACATGACTCCTTTGTGGCTCCGAGCCTGTTTGCAATTGCAAACCCCCACACTTTCATTTAGTGTAAAAAAAACGGTCTCGAGGCGCAATTCAAGCTTCAGAGTATGACTCAAGGAGGGTTACGATGAGGTTTTGGCGACCCTTGATAACGCTGATATCTCGAGCACAAACATGCGTTTCTAGGTGTGCCTCGAGACTTTTGACATGCCGATCACAAAATGACTTAGTGATACCGAATCGTTTTTATTTCCGGTCAAAAGAATCGCTCCTTACTCAGCAACAGATTTTGGCGGTATAAGATCATAAGGAGCTCCAGGTATAAAGGAAGTGACTTCCCATTCATTCCTTGAACGCGGTCCGACTCCACTTGCCTGTTCAATGGCTGATGCTCTCGGCAACCTGAATGACGGAGAGAAGCATACCCCTGGATCAACAACCCCCAACACCCTAATATCACACCACGTCGATGTCGCCCAGGCTGAAGCAGAATTCAATGCCCTCTCACGACAACTTACGAAACGATCTGAACTAGCGAGGCAGCAAAACAGGAGTCAAAGCTCTGTAGCGGGTACCCTACAACAACAAGATGTCGAGAAAGCTCGCGTCGACGATTTTGATCGCTTCGACCTACGCGAATATCTCACGTCTTCCAATGACGCGAATCAAAAAGCTGGCATAAAGCATAAGGTTTGTAGTGCGTTTACTCTACGATTGATGGGTCTAATGACGCGTCCTTCAGCACGTAGGCGTCGTCTGGGAGGACTTGCAAGTAGAAGTAATGGGTGGGATCAATAGCAAAGTAATGAAGTTTTCTTTTCAAGCCTTTAACACGCTGATCTCGCCATAGATATACGTCGGAACACTAGGAGGTATGCGCATCAATGAGCTCCCTTGGAGTTCTTACTGAACAGGGCTATCTTAGGTGCCATTTTGGGGTTCTTCATGGTGCCAATCCTATGGGTATGGGCTCTCCTTAGGCTTGCAATGCCTGCGAAAGGGGAAACTCCAACGAATGTCATCCTTCACAAGTCCGCATCTTTTTCGCCTAACTTAGCTACCTGGCTGAATCACAATGCAGATCTTCTGGCGTTCTAAAACCTGGCGAAATGTGTCTTGTCCTGGGTTGTCCAGGTGCTGGATGCACGACGTTTCTGAAGACGATTGCGAATCATCGCGAAGGTTACGCGAGAGTTACTGGGGATGTCCTCTACGCTGGCATCGATGCTACAGAGATGGAAAAGTATTACAAGGGCGAAGTTGTTTACAATCAAGAAGGTGAGAAAGTGTTGACCTTTCATGCCCTTCACACCCTGATATGTGGCATACCAAGACGACATACATATCGCAACGCTTACTGTTGCTCAGACCCTCGCATTCGCCCTATCAACGTCAGTGTATTCGAATGATCTTTAAGAGCTAGCATTGATATGGTTGTTGCGTTTTAGAAAAACACCAGGTCCAGGCGGCCGTTTACCAGGAGTCACGAGGAAGGAATTTGACAAAGAAGTCTTGGACACTCTACTTCGAATGTTGAACATCTCACACACGACGCAAACTCTTGTGGGCGATGAGTTTGTCCGGGGTGTCTCTGGGGGAGAACGCAAACGTGTCAGCATCGCAGAAATGATGGCCACTCGTGCGCGCGTCCAGTGCTGGGATAACTCTACCAGAGGATTGGATGCATCAACGGCTCTCGATTTCATCCGAAGTTTGAGAATAATGACGGATATCTTTGGACAGACCACATTTGTCACATTGCGAGTGGTCTTTCCTCTCGTGATATGGATTCGTCTCATTTCTCACTTAGGTATCAAGCAGGAGAAAGTATCTATGAGCTTTTTGATAAAGTCCTGGTACTCGACGAGGGCCGTCAGGTTTTCTATGGTAAACCTTCTGAGGCTCGAGCGTATTTTGAATCATTGGGCTATAATCCCCTCCCTCGCCAAAGCACTGCCGATTATCTTACGGGGTGCACCGACCCGAACGAACGACAATTCGCCTCTGGACGATCCGCTTTAACTGTTCCGTCAACACCTCAGATGTTAGAAGATGCATACTTAGACTCAAGACATTCTCGCGATATGGTTGATTCTCGCGGGAAGTACAAGCTTCACATGGAGACTGAGAAGACGGACCAGGAAACTTTCCGCGAAGCGGTCATCTTAGATAAAAAGAAAGGAGTCTCCCAAAAGAGCCCTTACACTCTTGGCTTCACCGGGCAGGTTAGGGCGCTGACAGTGCGGCAATTCCAGATGAGATTGCAAGACAGATTTCAGCTGTTTACAAGCTTCACCTTGTCCTTTGTAAGATATGTCGAAACTGTCGTTTTCGCGTTTTTCATTCCCTCTGTTGCTAGGTCCTTGCACTCGTCATAGGCGCAGCATATTTCAACCAACCTTTAACATCTGCTGGCGCTTTTACTCGTGGGAGGTAAGCCGTAAAGATTACAAGGTTTCTAGATTGTCCGAGACCATTTTTTTTTTTTTCTTCTTTCAGTGTCATCTTCGCAGCTCTTCTGACAACCTGTCTGGATGCTTTCGGAGAGGTGAGCTATCTTATTCAACCTATATGCTACACCGTTATAAACGAAATGCTCTCAGATGCCGATGCAAATGGTTGGAAGGCCGATTTTGCGAAAACAGGTACCAGGTTTTTTCATTCTACATGTCCATCCAGTGAAATTTACAAAATTTACATGTTATCAGACAAGCTACAGCATGTACCGTCCCTCTGCGATAGCGATAGCCAACACTCTTGCTGACGTTCCTTTCTCCGCTGTTCGAGTGCTCATCTTCAATATTGTGGTCTACTTCATGTCTGGGCTGTATCGTTCACCGGGGGCGTTTTTTACCTTCCATCTGTTCAACTATATTGCATATCTCATCATGCAAGGCTTCTTCCGCACATTTGGCCTGATGTGCTTCAATTTTGACTCAGCATTCCGCCTGGCCGTGTTCTTCATTCCCAACTTGTAGGTATCTTATCGTTGATTGACAGCTTTGACTAATCCATTGACAAGTATCGAATACACGGGCTACATCCTTCCCGTCACCCACATGAAGAGATGGCTATTTTGGATCGTCAGTCTTTGTTACATATTCAATTTATCATGATCTAATATCCAGGCAGTATTACGCGAATCCCGTCGCTTATGGTGAGTGTTCGCTTCGTCACTTTCTTGCATTTTGTTGTTTACGCTATATCTAGCATGGCAGGCTTGTGTGGAAAACGAATTCATGCGAATATCGGTAAATCTAGTCGGTATATGAAACATTTCCTCAACATCTTATCATATTTGGCAGCTCGTCTGCGATGGGCAAGGCATAATTCCTCGGAATGGACTCGGTCTAACCAAATACCCGTAAGTCTCTGGGACAATGCAGGAGTTACGCTGCTGATGAAAGCAGAGATCAACTTGGCCCTAACCAAGCCTGCACTCTGTTTGGTGCCAAGAGCGGCAGCGACATCATTTCTGGTGCTGACTACCTTGCGGCTGGTTATGGCTTGGACGTGAACGATCTCTGGCGTCGTAATCTTACCGTCTTGATAGGATTTTTCCTCTTGTTCCAGTTGACCCAGATTCTGGTCCTTGAGTTTGTTCCTGTGAGCCCTCGTCAACTGAATGTTCCAAACCGGTGGCTAACTGTATATCAGCAATATGGACTCGATCTGTCCATCAATATCTTTACCAAGGAGACAGAAGAAATCAAGCAGCGCAACGCTGAGCTTCGAGAAAAAAAGCTCCAACGGGATGGTAAGGCAGCGATCCGTGAAAATGTTGACACTCCCGAGAAACGGCGAAGGTAATCCACAGATGAACTTTTGAGTATTTAGATTCTCACGTCTTTTATAGCAAGGAGACTCTTGGACAAGGTAGAACGTTTACATGGGAACGACTCAACTATCATGTTCCAAGTCCAAACGGTCCGCTTCGGTTGCTCCACGACGTCTACGGCTATGTAAAACCTGGAACTTTGACGGCTCTGATGGGAGCAAGTGGCGCTGGTACGTAGTAAAATAACATCCTTTTTCTTCGGCGCAACTTACATGGCGCTGTAGGAAAAACGACATGTCTGGATGTTCTCGCACAACGCAAGAATATAGGCGTGGTAACGGGCGACGTTCTTGTTGATGGGAGGCCGTTATCGTCTGATTTTGCTAGGGGAACGGCATACGGTGAGTTTGGAGTCTTTCACATACCTATACCTTTCTGAAAATGAGATCTGTTCAGCCGAACAAATGGATGTGCACGAAGGGACTGCTACCGTTCGAGAGGCAATGCGTTTTTCTGCATATCTTCGACAACCAGAAACGGTGTCCATCGAGGAAAAAAACCAATATGTAGAGGAGATGATTGATCTGCTTGAGTTGCAAGATCTATCAGAGGCCCTCGTTTTCAGTCTCAACGTCGAAGCCCGTAAGCGCTTGACCATTGGAGTGGAACTCGCCAGTAAACCAGAACTCCTCTTATTCTTGGACGAGCCCACGTCAGGCTTAGATGCACAGAGGTGAGTGCATCTGGAATCAGATTGTTCTTTCAGCTGACTCAAGTTGACCATAGCGCGTGGAATCTTGTCCGATTCTTGAGAAAGTTGGCTGACCAGGGTCAAGCTATTCTTTGCACCATCCATCAACCATCGTCCCTGCTGTTTGAAAGCTTTGATCGTCTCCTTCTTCTCGAACGAGGCGGTGAGACAGTTTACTTTGGGGACATTGGAAATGACTCCCGACTCGTCCGCGAATACTTTGCTCGACATGGAGCAGTTTGCCCACCAAATCTTAACCCAGCGGAATATATGTTGGAAGCTATCGGAGCTGGTGTTAATCCCAGGGTCGGAGTTCGTGATTGGAAAGACATTTGGTTGGAATCTCCGGAGTTCGCGGCAGTCGAAAAGGAAATCGAAGCAATCAAGTCGGAAGGGCTTTCGCGACCAGAACCTGATAAAAGGGGCATAAGCACCTGTACGTTCAATACTCTTATTTGTTGATGGAGTTGACTTGAGTTCTTAAACAGATGCCACATCCTTCCTTTTCCAACTTCGAATTGTTGTTGAGCGCAACACCACTGCACTTTGGAGGTCTCCGGATTACGCGTTCACTCGCCTCTTCGTGACAACTTTCATCTCGTTCTTTATTTCGCTCTCTTTCTTGCAATTGGGAAACAGTGTTCGAGACTTGCAGTTCAGGGTCTTTGGCATGTTCGTATTCCGTCCTTTATTCTGCGTTATTTCATTGACGGGCCTCAAAGATTCTGGGTTATCGTTCTACCCGCGCTCGTGATGTCACAGATTGAGCCTTTGTTCATATACAACCGAAGTAAGTTGTTTGCCCATTTGAATCGAATGCTCCTTACGGTATGCATAACAGGAATTTTCATACGTGGTAAGCTTTTGAAATTGTAGCGTCGAAGTTGCGTTTGCCAAACAAATGATAGAATCTTCAAGCCGCATATACTCTCCCTATGTCTTCGCCATCGGTCAGCTCATTGGAGAAATTCCATATAGCATCGCGTGTGGCCTTTTGTACTGGGTTCTGATGGTACGCTTTCGTGGGTATCGTTAGCACGTTTTGCTAACAGCAATCACAGGTGTATCCTATGGGGTACGGTCACGGTAGCGCTGGAATCAATGGTACAGGTTTCCAGCTCCTCATCATCCTCTTCATGTTACTCTTTGGAGTATCTTGCGGTCAAATGGTTGCTGCTTTGTCTCCCAGCGTGCAGGTCGGTCGTTTCCTCTCTTTGGCTGATGTAAGTTCACAAAACCGCACAGGTCGCCGTTCTGTTCAATCCTTTCATCACGCTGGTTCTATCTACTTTCTGCGGTGTAACAATTCCGTATCCTGCTATGGGCAAGTTCTGGAAGGCGTGGCTTTATCCCCTAAATCCGTACACTCGCACCCTCGCAGCGATGGTCTCCACAGAACTCCAGTAAGATTTGATGTCTTGACATTCTAAAGCAAACGTTGATCCACCTTCCTCAGCGGTTTGGTGATTCGATGCAAGCCAGACGAATTCGCCATTTTCAATCCTCCGGACGGGCAGACATGCGCCGCATGGGGACAGGACTTTGTCGACAGATTTGGAGGGTACATCGACAATCTTAACGCCACGGTCGCCTGTCGGTATTGCCAATTCGCCGTTGGTGATGAGTTTTTCTTGCCGTTGAACATTGAATTCAGCAAGAGGTGGAGAGACGCGTTTATTCTTCTTTCATACTTTGGTGAGGACTTTCGATCTACTGCTGTCTGTGGTCAATGCTGAATGTCTAAACTGTGATAGTCTTCAATTTAATTATAACCATCAGTGAGTTGAAGTTGTGTACTGCAGAATGGTCAACTGACACACTATACAGTCGCTTCCCGGTTGCTCAGATACGCTAAACGATAAATTCACGGCACATCATGTTTAGGATCATCATACCCCCATTGCGTAGGATTACGGTCGGAGTTTTGGAGTTGCGTGGATAGTGATCACATCGTATCCTAGAATTGTTATCATCGGATAATATAATAAGCAACAAAGTGCATTGTACCCATGGTTCCTCTTGCAGTGGACGAGAAGGGTTTTCGGGGGCAGGAAACTCGTACCACTTGGCACCACACCGAGAATATGACTTGTCGGCGGAACCGTACGGCTTCCAGTTGATACAAATACAACCCGCAAGCTTCGACTGAATAGCAAAAAGCAATATCAAAGTAAGATGACAGATAAATCTACACTCGATCTATCTACCGTCAAAGGCGTCCAAGCCTACATCATCGATACACCCTTCACCAGCACCGAGATCCTACCCCTATCCGGCGGATCCGCGAACTACGTGTTTAGACTCACGTTGGAGAAACCATATGAGGGCCGCACGACGTTGATCCTCAAGCACGCTAAACCGTATGCCAAAAATCATCCAGAGTTCGCGTTACCAGCTGAGCGGCAGGTTAGTCTCGTCATTTCGTTTTACTGTTGGATCGTATCTTTTATCCTGCGTAGATATACGAAGTCGAAGCTCTAAGACGCGTCTGGGCGTTGATCCCCGCAGAGGCGATTGCAACAGTTCCGCAGGTCCATTTCGTCGACGAGTCCATGTGCGCGATCATCATGGACGACTCTGGGCCTTCCTCCATGACTCTCAAGGAATTTATGATTCAAGGCAAGGCGTCAGTGGAAATGGCGTCTCAAATCGGAGACGCTATTGGGGAGTTCATTGGGACGGTGCATAAGTGGGGGAAAGGCAATCGGGAGGTGTGTGAGTTTTTTGAGGGGAATGCGAGGGCGAAGACGCTGGCGGCGTGGATGTATTATGGGAGGTTGGTGGACACGGTGACGTTGAAGGGGCTTGATGTGCCTCCTATGTTGTGCGATCCGCCTATTGAGGTGAGCAAGGACGATTTGGATATCTTGCAGAAGGTGGCGGATGAGACTAGTGAGGCTGTAGTGGGCGTGCGCGATACGGTGCGTTGGTTCCAATTGCTGTATGTGCTGACTTTTGATCGTGTTCAGTTCGTAATGGGTGATTTCTGGCCGGGGAACATGATGGTGATCCTGGATGTGAAGACGGGCGCGTTGAGGAGGATCTACGTGGTTGACTGGGAAATTACTAGACCTGGGTTGCTCGGGATGGAGGTTGGGCAGTTCTGCGCGGAGATGCACCTGTTGCGGCGGAGTCACGAAGCGGCGTGTAAGGAGACAGCTACGCTGGTGTTGGATCATTTCATGAAGAGGTACAAGAAGATATGTGCGCCTGACAGCAATGATTGCAGTCGGGCAATTGTTCAGTGGGGTGTGCATATGGCGGTGTGGGGACCGCGTACGCCATGGGGAGGGAAGGAGCTGACGAGGCAGATTGTGTTGGAAGGCGTAGACTTGATTGTCAATGCATACAAAGGAGGAGATTCATCGTTGAAGGAGTCGTTTGTAGGAGACATGATGTAGCCTCGCGTAATAATTGTTGGTCATAATTGCTTGGACGTTGCTTTGCTCTGAACTTGTCGCCGCATGCATGGAGTCCTCTCCAACAGATTTATACCTGCCACAGAGCTTGCCTTATCCAATAAAACTCACCTCTCTCGACGCTACCCCAAATTCTACAATCAAACGCGGAACTCGTCTCCTCTCCTACTCCTTCATCCATTTCTCAAACGGTATACAAGAAACAAGATTCGGAACATGGGACTCTGCCATTGAAGGCGACCTTCACTCTTGGTTGGTCAAAGTAGGGGATGTCATCACACAGAACAAGGCAAGCGACCGTCCTGCAGTCATCGTTATTGAACCATGCAAGCACGGCATGCAGCTTGGTGGTCTTTGCGTCCTCTGCGGAAAGGACATGACAAGGTCAGTCAGTTGCCTTACTTTCCATTCATCAAATTCTAACATTGCCCTATAGCGTCGATTACACTGGGTTCTCAGACGCCTCTCGAGCATCTATACAAATGACGCACTCCGCCTTTGGCCCAACCGTCTCTTTCGAGGAAGCACAGCGGATCGAACGCGAAACAGCAGACCACCTCCTCAAATCCCGCAAACTGTCTCTTATCGTCGACTTGGATCAGACCATTGTTCACGCTACTGTTGACCCAACCGTCGGCGAATGGATAGCTGAAGGGGAGGCTTGGGAAACCAGACAGGCAAAGAAAGCGGCTCACGATCCTGATGACTCTGATGACAGCTCGTCCGACGACAATGACGAGGAGTGTAATCCCAATTGGGAGGCTCTCAGGGACGTCAAGAAGTTCAGACTCGGACCAGAGTCGTTCGTACCCCCTTCTCTGCGTGGAGCACAGCAAGGGAAGGGTAAACAGAAATTGGTAGAAAACGAGGGGTGTATGTATTACATAAAACCTAGGTCCGTATCTTTTTTATTTTATTGTCGTTGAGCTGCGCATTTAATTTAGCCCGTAGACCCGGTTGGAAAGAGTTCCTGCAGGAAGCATCTACAAAGTATGAGATGCACGTTTACACTATGGGCACCCGCGCATATGCGGAGCAAGTTTGTGCTGCAATAGATCCAGATGGAAAATTATTCGGCGGGCGAGTATTGAGCAGAGATGAGAGCGGAAGTACGTCTCACCATGTTGCTCATATAACCATACCTTTGCTAAAATGCTACTGTAGGTTTGACGCAGAAGAGTTTACAACGGTTATTTCCCTGTGACACATCAATGGTAGTGATCATTGATGATCGTGCAGATGTATGGGAATGGAGTCCAAACCTACTCAAAGTCGTCCCTTGTGCGTTTCCCTTTGAGACATCTGTATCATTTCTTACTATCTTTCTGCAGATGACTTCTTTGTTGGAATAGGAGATATCAACTCTGCCTTTTTACCAAAGCTCGAACCTCTTACCTCTGCATCAACGCCCCTACCAACCAGCAAGCCATCTGAAACAGCCAACGGCGGTACTCCTAGCCCAGTTATCCACCCAGAACACACTGGGGCGGTCGATGCAACAGTCGTTGCATCCACAGCGCCGGAAGAAAGCGCAAAAACAGCAACGACCAAGGTCCTCATGACAAGGAACAACGCTGCTCTTGAAGCCCAGCTGGAAGAGAGACCCCTTGCCAAGAAGCAGGAAGCACTTCGAGAACACGAGCTACACCCTGATGGTCCTGGCGTTTCTGTGAAGAAAACACCCTCACCAGAACCGGAAAAGGTGCCCAAGAAACCTCTTTTAAAGAACGACGATGTCGAATTGGAGAGAGTGGGAAAGGTCCGTGATAATGATAGTTGATTTTCTCGTCTAACTAGCCCATTCTAATAGCTCTTGAGGTATGTTCATCGCCGATTTTTTGAGGCGTATGACGCGCGGTCGCCAGAGAATAGTCGACGGAAAACTGGGCCCTCAAGTAAAGCTTACGACGTCACTGTACGTTCATCCGTTCATATCATCCACAACTTCTAAATGCAATCCCTTCTTTACTAGCGCATTATCCCTCGGCTTCGCTCAGAAGTCCTCGAAGGGGTCCACATCTTGTTTTCAAGCGTGATCCCACTCGACACCAAACCAGAGACGACTGAGATTTGGCGAATGGCGCATATGTTTGGTGCTCGGTGTTCTACTGAACTCACGAGCGACATCACGCATGTCGTAGCTGCAAAGGTGCGTTCGTTTTGGAAAAAAAAAAAGTTGGATGTCATTCATTCAACCACCTCCATGATCAGCGAGGTACAGTCAAGGTGGACATGGCGCGCAAAAGGGGCGGTATCAAGATCGTTTGGCTAGCGTGGTTCACGGACTGTATTGCATCATGGCAAAGACAAGACGAGAAACCGTACCTCCTAGACGACCTTCCAGCCGTACCCCCCATTCCCAGCGGCTCTAGCCCCATCCACACCGACCACCAGATCTCATCTGATCCCGATCCGGACGAAGATGACTGGGACGAGGAGCCGTTTGAGGGGGTGTTGAAGGATACGGGGTCATTGCAGCTCTCTGCCATTAATTGGAGCGACATTAATGATGAAGTCGAGGCTGCTATGAATGAGAGCGACGATGAGGATGATAATAATGATGATATGAAGAGTGTCCGGAGCGAAGACGACGTGATGGGGAATGCGACTAGGTATGTTTATGTTCGGGTTAGAGTCGTTGAACTCTTTGGTTTGTTTTGAGTTACTGGCTAACATATGGTTTTTCTCGCGAATAGCAGCGTTATTAATAGCCCCCGGCTTAATCGAAAGCGGCTACGAAGCGTTACGCCCTCTGATGGTGGAGGAAGCCAGAACGGTGCGGGAGGTCGAGACGATCTCCGCTCTCCGTTGTCGAAGCGGAAGAAACTCGCGGCTGATAGGTCTGGGTATTCGAGGCTTAAGGAAGCTATTTCCGCAGATGAGTTGGTGTTTGGTGGGTCGGAGGGAGGAGGAGAGCCGTCGAGGGCGAGGGCGGCGAGTCCCAAGATGGTGATGAAGGATGAGATGGAGGAAGATGATGATGATGATGAGGATGAGGAGGATGAGGAGGAGGATGACTTTTTAGCGAGGGCGTTGGAGGAAGAGTGGGGATAGCGATGGCGCGAAGGTTGGGATTGGGGGTACTTGTTCACGCTTCCTTTTTTTTTATGTTTAAGTCACGATACACTCACGATAATCTCTCCTCTCTCTTTTTCTGTCTGTGTGTGTATTTCTCTCTTTACTTTTGACATTTGTGTAGCAATTTCTTTTTCCGAAAATATCTCCAACTTTTTGGCGAACCAAGCCCCACTGTCAAGTAGTGTAAAGTGCAACCCAACCTCACTTTCGACAGGTAAGATCTGCCAATCTAGCACTTTTGTTCTTCCTTAGGTTACTTTGTGATGAGAGACTTGCTGGAGGAGAAAGGAAATACCTTGCGACTGTCGAGCAAGAGGAAGGTTGTGCAAAGCGTTGCTTTCAGGAATGAATGTAATTGGATTCTGCATTGAAGTCATACTGACTGAACCTTTCCGCTAGCTGATATGTACGAGGTAAAACGGATTGCCAGGGTTGTTGTAAAATTGTCTCAAGAAATAGTAACCCATAAACCACGGATTCAGGCTGGACGTTTGCTCTCGAGGCATTGTTCGCAGTCACAGCTTTCGCGATCGTCATCCAATAAATCGGTGATATTGACAATCTCCCCATCGAGCCGCGCAGTTTCGCTTGCCGGCAGAGTCAGTGAGCGGCCTCTCTCATGTTCGACTCTATCCCATTCGGCAAAACCCACTCCCCAGTAGCTGTTCGAATAGCTTTCCTGATCTTTCATCTTGTCTGGATTGCTGCCTGGCCATCCAGCGCCATTCAGCGCCGACCGTTTGCGGCTGATGCTCAGAAGCTCGTCGAACCAGCCCCTTGTACCAAACCAGTCCACAGCCACATTGTCAGATTGGGGCACGACAATATTCTCCGGAGTCATGGGGGTGAAATCGGCATATATTTCATATCCGGATCGCCACCTCATTTTTTTATATTTGCTCAAATCTTCCGGTGATATGTCGCTCATAGGGACTGGTAGATTTTTGTCTGGCTCGTGGTCAAATTTATCCAAAAGCGATTTTACGTCTTTTGGTTTCATTCTCCAATGTAGGGGTACTGGTGTTGCCTGACAGATAGATCGAACATGATAAAAATGACTACGGAATGAAATGAAATACCTGGGGGACTGAAGCAAAGGTTTCCGAACGCGGGAAAACATAACAAACCGCGTCATCCAAGGGCCAACCTGGTACAGAGCAGGCGTCCGTAGCAGATCCCTTCTTGGTTAGTCTCATGGCACTGCTCCCTGGAGCTCGAGGTCCCAGCTTGATAGGGACGACCTTAATCACGTGGTACTCCTTGTACTTCAACAATGTTTGAAGGACGATGGCAGGCCTCCTTTTAGTCATCCAATAGTCACCTGAGAGGTCTGGGCCATGCCAATAAGAAGCATCAGCTTGACAACTGTGTCCTTCAATGGTGATCTTGGAGAGGACTTGCACATATACAAGCTGTCCCGGGCGGACAACGCAAGGAGGGATCGTTGAGCTGGGTGTCGGGGTAGGTGCTAAAAAGGTAAGTAAGCACATTACGCGCAAGATGGGTCTCAACATAAGTACGGATTATTTTCGCGTTCCCCGGGACAGTCCAGTCTATGTCATCGGTAATGCTGTATCCATGATCACAGGCTATTTTTCGGAACTTCAAACGCCAGCCATCGTAATCGAAGTTGTCGTGATATGAGAGGCTACGAACGGAATCCAGAAGGTCACCGAAAGAGGCTGGGTGGCTTCCAGCTAACATTGAGCCAGTCCAAGTTATCTTTTTCTGTCGGACTTGAGCTGCCCTTCCAGCGAGAGTTCCGTGACGACTATGTGAATGACGTCCCCAAGGAAGGTCGCCTCGCAAAAAAAATAGCAGGACATATGCCAAAGATTCCAAGTCGTCAAGAGGACTGAAACCTGTCATGTTAAATCTCAGAAAGGGTTCAACGTTCGAAAAACTGGGTATGCACCGTAGCCGTGGTGAGCAAGCAAACTGGCCCAATCCAGAGTTCCCACAACCCAGTGGGCTTCAATGGGGGGGTTGTGCCGGATGGAATCGCCAGGCTTAAATCGTTGCGCAATCCCGAAATCGATGAGACGAAGTTGATTGTTGAAATCGATGAGGATGTTACCTGGCTTGATGTCTCGGTGAATTATTCCATGTGCGTGGATGTGGCCTAGGGCGGACAGCTAAGTAACATTGAGCCTGTTATCACTGAACAAGATAGGAGATATCCACTTCACCATCTGATTAGCGATGAAAAATACAGCCTTGAGAGGAAGGGCATGGTCCTTGTGAAGGTCTTCCAGGCTCGATGCAAGAAGTTCCATGGCAAGATACTCAAAATGTCGGAATCGGCCATAGCCATAGACGCTTGGGATCGCAGGATGGCCTCCGAGGAGCTGCAGGACCCGTGCTTCATGTTTCAGAGGTGGCCGCTTGACCCTCATGGACGTTCGTGACTTCTTTAAAGCAAGTGCGGGCTGAGTGCTTTCATCTGTGCGAATTGCATGATAAACCCGCCCCTGCATGTGTAGTGAATATTCGTTACTGCCTCGATTTTAAACCTTTGGCTCACAAATGCGCCGGATCCAAGAAATTTGCCTACTTTGAGTAGGGCCATGGCTTTAACAGGTTTGTTTCCGTCGAAGGAACTCGCAAGGGCGTCGTTGGGCGGTTTCTGGGTTTGAGAGGATGGACTTGTAAGTCCCTCTATGAGTTCTGCTTCACATTGAGGTCGCATCATCGGGCTGTCGAGATTCTTCTCCATAGAGGGGACTGAGTGAGACACCAACACCGTGAGCTTTCTAAGATTCAGTCGAGTCAAATATTTAAGTCTGAAATGATTACATACCTTTGTCCCATGCCCACCGTGAAAACTTCACAATGAGAAGATAAACTTCAACATTTGTATGATCATGATGTCGCAACTTACGTATATGACCGTCAAGAGGCTGAAATAAACTCAAGGCCCAGACGTCCCGAATTCTACGTCTCCTTGATAAAAGCTGTATGAGAGGAGGTTGAGAGGAGGCGGAAAATCTATGCGAGTTCTTCAATTCTCCATCGACCGATTTCGTTCTGGACTTACATTCAACGCCAAAGGGTATCGATACCGCCATATCTATTGCGGGAGGCCATGTTCCACTAGTTTCCTCAGATGCTCTGGCAGGGCTTCTCGTTAAATACAACAGATGTAAACAACTTCAGGATGCGAAGCACGAGCAGGCTTGAATATTTGAATGCTAAACAAATGCTAAATCACTACACTAGCACTTCTCCTAGGCTTGTTAGAATGTACTAATACAATTTTTACGAGGAGTGGTCGTCGTCTAAATATCGTCTGGGCTAGCAATTGCCGGAAGTGATTACTTACTCAACATCAGTATTATCCCCATCGTCCGAGGTCTCTGCATCAGTTTCCACCTCACTTTCATCATCACCCACCCTTGGTGTGCTCACCACCATGGGTCGCATCTTTGTTGGAGACGTGATATCTCGAAGGCCCAACGTCCCCCCGCTCGCAATTCTTGGGCTCATCCCAGGAGGGGCCCCAAGACCAAGCATATACATCGTTGACACTGTCCTCACCATTTTTGTTGAGGGTTGCTGTGCCTGTTCACCAAGGCCCGTTCCAGGAGCGACGCTGAACTTGGGCATCGGAATTCTCAATCCCAAACTCGCTAGCGGATCTACACCAACATTCTTTTGAGGGAAATTCATTGATGGAGACTGTCGTAGCCTAGGGCTCGTCATGATATTCCCAAAAGTTGGTGACAGAGCTGCACTAGCAGAGCGGGGCGTCCCTAAACTGGAGCTGGAGCTTGGACTTCGAATCCAAGACGTCCATCCGCCTCCATTAGATGGTGTAGCCGAAAGAGTAAGTGAAGGAGTGATAATTTCGGGCTCGTGTAAGGCTTGTTTGAGGGCGGCAATATCATGCTGTACATCTTGTAGCTTCCGCGCAAAGGTCTCTTGATTCTTTTTAACATTGATATCAGTGCCTGAGATGAAGGCAAGGATCTGTAATTCCGTCTCTGACTGGGTGGGCATTGAATCACGATCGTGACCGTCTTCAATCGATGATAGGTCTGAGGAGGAGGACAGGGCACCCGGGACAAATAACAGCGTTTCATATCCTCTAGCAAGCAGTCTCTCATCACTCGTCTTGATTTCTAATTCGACCCTAGCATCTTCAGTGAAATCATCCAGACGCTGCAATGCAGAATGCAAAACCTCCGGCGGGATCTTGGACGACGATTCTGAGAACTGAACAACATTTTGTTGTGATGTTCCGGAGGATGCCCTCGATGGTAAGGATGCCTTGAGTGTCTCCAATGCCAGATGGCAATCACGGAACGCGCGTTGGAGTTCGTCATAGCGCTTGCTCACACGAGATAGCTCTGCGAGCAATGGATGTGGTGTTGAAACAACCGGTGGTTCATTTAGCAACTCCACTTCCACCTCCTTCTCAGATTCAAAATGAGTCGAATTCGTTCGACCGGTGCTTCCGCCGCCAATGTTGCTAACAGACACTTTGTGGTCTTCCCGATGGAGATTGATATCATGCGGTATACTGCCTTTGAGATCGTTAGACACGTCTGCAGATGCTTGGTCAAGAGATCCACCATTTGTATCCAAGGATGGGGCAGCACAAATTCCGCTATCATGAACGCTATCCCCAGGAGCACCAAATATAGCATTCCCAGCGACATTCTCATTACCAACCAATCTCTTATCGAAATCAGACGGCGACGCCAGCGTTACATGAGACGGTTGGACATTAGATGAGGTTGCAGCGCAGGTTGTGCCAACGTTTTGAGCCGAGGTGGTGAAAAGTGAGGAGGCATATCCCTGAACTTCGGGAATGTGGACGAACGCCGGGTCTTTCGATAAGCCCGAATCCGGGATAGAAACTTCAATAGGCAGCGGACGATGGATATCGACTTCGGCCTGAACCTCAGTGGGTTTGTCATCGCCGTGATCGTCGTCCTCAGCAGATATGGGATTTGGGTTGTGAGGATCGTTAGCTTGCAGAGATCCACAAGTCAAAGGAGGAGGCGAAGCGTCGCTCACAGCTACGGAATTAACAGCGGACTCTGAGGCGATAGCATTGGCAGGTATCAGTGTGGTCGTAGTACGTTTATTTTCGTCCTCGCCTTCATTTTGATGCTGATGTCCCTCAATATCCCCTGGTATCTCTGCTATGGGTGTCCCCTGCTCCGTCTGCTCCGCTACCATTTCTCCATGTAAAGCAGAAGACAGAGACCCGTCAATTAACTCATTCTCGCCTATCTCCAATGCCTCAAAGTCAGCCACATGTCCCTCAAGTGGTGCCAGAGGAGCTTGGACTGTAGCACCCGTGAAGAGAGCAGGTGATTCGGGTGAAATTGTAACCTTCATATCTGGAAGAGGAAGGCTTGGAGGCTTAAGCTTGGGATTGATGTCTATGACCGGTGGATCGAGACCGTTTATGTTAGTGTGCACTTTGTCTGTGGAATTGATAGATTCCGAAGGCGAACCAACGACATCGTCGTGGATAGGTATCGCACAAGCAGATGCGGGCGTTTGGCCTGCGAATGGGAGCAGGCGCTCTAACTCTAGCCGCCTCTGCGTCTCGCCCGTTAATTCCTCAACGAGCTGATCAATAGTGTTCTGCGCCATTATGATACGTGCAAGGGAGCTCGAGAGCGTACCGTCATCTGTGACAGGACCGTCTTCTAAAATAGTCAGGAGGATGCGAGCGTCTTGAGACGACGCCAAAAGTAAATCGTGAGCTCCCGCTTGTGACTCGTTGGAAGCTGAGATTGAAGAAGGCGAGGATGACGAGTTGGGCGTCTGGAGAGAGCGAGAAACAGCTTCCTCCATCTTCCTCAGCCACCTCTTCAGGCCCTCCTGAATCTTTTCCTCGCGATTAAGCATCCTAATGCGCAAAGCGACCTCAATTCTTCTGCCATACATCTCCTTCATCATCTCCCCACCAAGTTCATCTAATGCCGATCGCAGGTGCTCATTTTGTGATTCTGCTGTGTGCAATTCTGATGAGAGGGAGTAAATTTGTGAATGGAGCGCATCGAGGGTGGCAGCATGGCGTGCTTGGAGAGCGCAAAGGGAGGTTTGGAGTGTGTCGTTCGATGTTTGGGAGAACTTCCTGAATATGATATTCAGCTAGGACAACCGTGAAAAGCAGAGGACACGCACATATACCGCGATACCATCTTCGCGGCAGTTGTATCGTCCGTGCGCATCCTTTCAAGCTCAAACTCGACTCTGGCGCGTTCAGTGCGATCCAACTCTGCAGCTTTTCTTTCTGCCTCTAGTTTTGACTCTGAAGCAGTCAAGTCAGCTTGAATGCGATCGAGTTGAGCCTGTAGTTCCTCCATGTCCTTCCGGAGGTCGGTCAGAAGGCGTTTCGAATTATATTCGCGTTCCAATCGAAAGTCCACACCCATCTTAGAGCCAGAAGTCGAGGACGCGTCTTTCTCTGGAACGGGAGGGGGAGCCTGCTCATTTATCGAGGGTCTTTCAGCGGAATTTGTCAACCGCAACTCCAGTGACCTAGTAAGGTCAGCATACTCCCTCACGGCCAAATCCGACATCTTACTCTCCTCCTGCGCAGCGCGGACCTCCCACTCCAGCTCCCTCTCCCTAACTTTCCCAGCTTCCTCCCGCCCTCGTATACGCGCCGCTAATTCATAAGCAGATTCCGCTGTTAACTTGGCTTTCGCCACATCTGACTTGGCGTGTGTGAGCTCAGCTGTACGCGTTGCGAGTTTTTCTTCCGTCAATGAAAGTTGGTCCGAGAGACGGCGAAGAGACAGGGTAAGTTGCTGGACTTGCGAAGCTGCTTTAGCGTTGAGAGTGCCGTTAGACACGTCGGGATGTGGATTAGCGCGTAGCACAGCCAATTCAGCTTTGAGCGCGGCGTTCTCTCGCTCTAGATGTTGAGAGCGGTCGTGTGCACGCGTGGTTTCTAGAGAGTGACGTTGTAGCTTTACTGATGCCGTGTGGGCTTCATCCTACACATTCCCATCCTCAGGTCAAACGTCATTGAGGAGGATGTAACAAACCTGGAAACGAGCGACAGCGGTCCTCAAGCCCGTTAATTCGAGGGCTAGAGGGTGATCTTTACCGAGGGGAACGTCGGTTAAGTACACCATTCTCTTGGTGACTGATGGGAGTGAGTAGGGTCGCCAGAGAATGGATAGTACAGGCTATATGAGAAAATCCATTTCAGCAATGATCGCAAGTGTCGAGAGCTGTTCAAATACATATCCAAACAATTCGTTCTGAAGAAAAAATCAAGGTCATCCTCGAAACTAGTACACTCTATAAATTAATAAATACTCTATTGATACAGAATGTTTGCATGAGAACATTTCAGCATACCAACGTAAGTAACATGAATCTCCAGCCCAAGAAAGCGGTAAAACAGGAATCTGCAAGAAAGGGTTGGTGACAACGTACCAGAAGTCAGATAGTCCAATCAGTCAGACTCGGAAAAGTCGTTTGCCAGGTCATCATCATCTAAAAGGCAGTCTACATACATCTAATACCAATTTAGCAAGCACCGAAACGACGGGGGAGGAGAGAGCTCACGTCAAAATCAAGGTCCTCTTTGTTCACTGACACCGGAGCAGAAACGACGGATGGGGATTTCACTGTAGTCATTGACGGAGGCAACTTTGTCTTATCGTCTTGCGTCGCTTTCGGTGCATGCGAAGACAGGGAACGGGATTGCACAGGAGGTTTTAAAGCAGCCTCCGTCTCGAGAATCCTGTGGAGGCTCGACGATTTTTTCTGTGAGGAAATTTCGACCGGACGCGGGGATATGGTTCTTCTATCAGGGTCAAAGCCCCCTTTCTTCACTGGCGCCGGAGGAGAGACGACAGATGACGCTTTCAGAGGGGCCACGGACGGTGGCATCGTTGCGGCATCGTCTCGCTTGATCTGCGCCGCGAGTGGTGCATGCGAAGACAAGGAGCGAGAGTGCAGAAAAGGCTTGAGAGCGGCCTCCATCTGGAGATACCTGCGCATGCTTGCCTCTTTCCTCTTTGGGGAGGAGGTTTCGTCCGCATGTAGAGACATGGTTCCCCTATCAAGCTCAAAATCCTCCTCGTTGACTGGCACCGGAGGAGCGACAGTTGAGGGTCTCAAAGGGGCCTTTGACGGTGACAACCTTGCTGTGTTATCCTGAATCTGCATCGCCTGTGGCGCATGCGAGGACGAAGGGCGGGATTGCACAGGCGACTCAAGAGTGGCCTCCAACTCGAGAATCCTACGTGAATTCTGTTTCTTTTGCGGAGAGGGAGTTTCAGCCCGACGTGGAGATACAGTTCTTCTTCTCAAGCTAGGGAGCACCTTATTGGCTGTCGCATTGTCCTCAAGAGAGACAACCTCTACCGGAACAGCATCTTCCACTTTCTGTGCGTGCCATTCCAGCTCAATCTTCCTCCTCAGCTCTTTTTCCATCGCGGCCCAATCAAGTTCGCCTCTTGGGGGTTGAGTCGTCCCTTGATTCGCCTGCGCATCTGCGCCATCGTTCCCTGTATCACCACTGTGGCCCTTTACATATTGCAGGCGAACCTTTTGACCGGATTTTGCCCGCAAATCAAGAAGAGCAGATATATAACGAATAATGCCAGCATTCTTGACTGGCTCTTTGCTCGAGTTGACCCAGCCATTGCGAGACCAGTTTGAAATCCAGTTTTGAAAGCCTACAGATTCGTGCTCGTCAGATACACAAGAGGGGGACAGCATAGATGGGAGACAGACAGTTAATGGAGTATTGAGAATCTGTTTTGATCAACAAGGGTTTCTTCGATCTAGGCGTCGATTCCAAGACGCGAGCGATAGCCTATGAAAAGTCATTAGAATTAGAGTGTGACTAGTTACAAGTGACGAACTATGAGTTCTGCACGGTTGTTTGTCTGGTCCCCAGGACACCTTTCCGCAATATTCCTGCAAGGATCTTTGAGTGATGGGTCACTCGGTACTAGAGTGCAATTGCAAACCGTGGGTCATTGTGTCCCCACCACACACCGACGCCAGCAACAGATCCCACTTTTCCGTTCCCTTTGCAGGCCCCGTCGCTGTAAACAACATCCCATCCCACCTCATCTTCGACGTCAAGCGACAAAGCCCGTTTCTTTCCCTTGTTACCTTCTGCTACATCAAACGAAAAGGCGGGAGCCAGAGCCTTTAAACTATTGCCAAAGGTAACAAAGTGTTCCGCTTCCGTTGAATTAACAAATTTCTTAAACTTTGCACCGGCATATCCGTTGGTTTGTTCAAGGCATTCATCCCTGAAAAAGAGAAGTTCAAGGGGGGGAAGTGTATATCAGTGAATAAGACCATACCAAGTGAGAAAGACACCTGTTTTCCTTCCCTTGTGAACGGCATAGAACGCGGGGCCTTTAGCTGACTTCGAAGGCATCAGGTTGGAGTTCTTCACGATTGGTACCACTCGACTGAGAGCACTGGTTGGCCTAACGCTCCTGAAGGACCGTGAAGGTTTAAGAAAGGGAGACAGGCGGGCCAGGTCGGAGTCGTCGTTCAAAGTCGCGCGTTCACGTCGTGTTCCGATCAACCTTCCCAGTCAACTAGAGTCACGACTCACACTACGCGGCCAACACGCGACTTAAATTGTTGTCACGTGGCTTCAACGTCCTCGACAGTCACCAGGGCTTCCAGAGCTTCGCATCCGCTGGGGTACTTAGACGGAATCTGACGGAATGCGCTTTGTTATGCGTGATGAGAGAGCGCCCTAGATCAACCGTAGACCCTGATGTGCCTGTGCCCTATCTGTGGACTCTGTCTATGTACCCCGGTGACTGACATGCCCTCACAGTCACTCATCCTGCAACACGGTAAGTACCCCCGCGCGCTCTCATATCTGTCGGGCTGACATTCCTCACAATCAGAATAGTGATTATCTCAGGCCCCGCCTTTTCTATCATATATTAGGCTCGTGAACGTGGGCATCCACGGCACCACATCGGCTTCACTCGTTTGCATCAACAGCCGAATCCTACGACACTTTCAGACGATCGATTCTTACACCATGGACACTGCCATGAACATCGAGGACTTATTACAAAACTTTCCTGAACTCAGCAGGGGCAGCGTCGAGAATGCTGTGGCCGAGTCTCTTCACGAGATGTTCAACAAAACTTGCGAAAATGCGCACAACATCCGCGAGGAGCACAGGAAACTTCAAGCTGAAGTATCCAGTCAAGAATACAAACCGCTGCGCGCCAAAGGGGCCTCTATCCCGGAATATGTTCCGATGCAGCTGGTTAAGGACAATATCCATGCAAACGGCTTAGATGCTGACAGATGGCGCTCTACCATCCAAGCATATACGACTACAAAATTGGAGGCTTACGTCTCTTCGATATCTGATCCTGCGACCGCGAAACCGGTCGCCGATGCACTTGAACATTTCAAAGCGTGTTTGTCCTTAAGTGCATCGGCACTGTCAGGCGATGGAGTGGTCTTGATCTCGGAGCGTATGGCCAACCGGAACCTGTAGGAGGTAATCTCACCGGGCAACCGTGAAACATTGTCAGAGCACGTTCTGGCTTTGGCTCAGCTGGCGTCTACCATCAAAGACGATGTGTCTGTGCAAGGAGTCGTCATTATTCCCATCCTTGTTTTCTTGCTAGTAGTCGTGGGATCGTCGTTATACATGGCACTAGTCCTCATATCGGCTCGAAACGGCCATTCACTCCGTATAACCCTCCAATCTGACTATGCGGCTTTCCACGCAGCTGTGCAAAAGTTGATGGAGAAGATTGCGAAGGCAAGAGCACAGCAAGAGGTGTTTGATAAAGCCAATCTCGAACTCCTACAGAAACAACGACGAAATCAGGACGAACGATATCGGAAGAAGGACAAGATACGTGAGGACGAAGTGCAGAAGGCCAAACGAAAAGATTATTACTTTGGCTCCGTTGTCGCTATTGTCCCTTTGGAAAGAGGGTCCGGAGAACCTCATGGCTACGCAATCCGTATCGAAGCTATCAAGGAAACCCTACTCAGCGACGATACGCTGCTCCAAAGGATCAAGGAAATCACAGTTGCTGATAACATCACTCCTACGGTTGGCGCGAGCATCTATTGCCTCGAGATCTACTGCCATAGCGTGCCTTCGGATGTCAAGGCCGGTGTTTGGGTCAATTTCGAACTGAATATGAAATCGGCTACCCCCGCGACATATGCACCGGTGCTCCCAGCTGAGGGCAACTTCGACGACGGTCTTTGCTGGATAGAAGAGACATCACCATATGCCTCATTCGCAGGAGGCTCTCTGGGTAATTTCGGAAAGACTGACCACGGCTTCAAAGCGACCGTGGACATGGGGAAGATCAAGCGTGACATCCCTCAAACAGCTTTGGACAAGCTACGACTTCTATTTGAGCGGACTCATGTTATCCGTCAAAATATCACTAATTTCTTCCGCTTTTCCGACGTCATTGAAAAGACGTCAATATCACTTGATCAGTACAAAACTGCAGATCATTACATTATTGCAAATGTGGGGCAAGGTATGTCCACTCAAGTAGTGTAAACCATGTCGTGGTGACTAACATGCCACTTTTAGGAGCGACAGGGTTGTTGTGCTCAAGCAAAGAGGGATGGAAGATCGTCTCTGACTTTGGCTTTGGCAAAGGAGACCGTGATTTCTCGGACATGATCGATGTCCTTATTTCTGAAACCGAGGGCATGCCCATGATGTTATCACATTGGGATCGCGACCATTACCGGATTGCGGACTCCAAAAAAGCCAAACTCCTTCGCGACACCAACCTGTGTCTTACATTGCGCCACTGGATCGTACCTGATCAACCATTAACCCCCAAAGCTTTTGATTTGGCTTGCTCCATACAGGCTCAAGGGCACCTAGAGGCCTGCATTATGGATGAATATGGTCCACCTGGAGGGAACTGGAAAATACTGAGATGTCAGTCACCGGATATGAACGACAAGAATAACCACGGTGCGCTGGCTTTGATAATTGGTCTGAATGATGGTGACCATTCATTGCTATACCCTGGGGACGCAAACTATGAGTACATTCATAACATCAGCCAGTACGATGGCACGCTTTTCTTTGTCATTGCTACTCATCATGGCAGCGAGCTATCATTGAAGGTCAGCCGTAGGGATATTGGTGACTCTATCCCTCGGTCCGTCGCAAGTGCGGCGAGTTCAACTGTGTTTTTTTCTTTCGGAAAAGGGAACTCGTATGGCCACTCCGTCGAGAAGGTTGTAAAACTGTATAGGGATCACGGATACAAGAAAGTTGAAGCAACAGCTGATTTAGCACAGGACAAGGACCTTTTGGTGGCCTACATTGATCCCTATGCAACTTCACAGCTCCCCAATCCGCGCCCCATACCTGGCGTGCCTAAGGATGTGGCCGTCTATCACGACATGGAATCTTATTTCGCTTTCATGAAGGAACGTCTCAAATCTTCTGGGATTGCCCACCGAGTCCGTAGGGAAAGCTCCGCTCCACCTGTTGTAGCTGATGCAATTACTCTCGACGGCGCCAATAAGGATACTCTGGAACCGTTTGCGATCAGAGACAAGTTCGAGCAAATAGTCAAATATCACGTTCTCGCGCGCAAATTGATTATACGCAATTGTCCCCTTCTTGTCAAATGCGAAAGCGATGTCCCGATACGTGTTCTTCTTCAATGCGAAGACATCGAGTTATATGCCACAGCACCATCAAGTACGCCAACAGGACTCCCTGTGATCCTCTTCGATGTGAAATCAGGTGATCCATGGCGCGGATATGCAGATGTGGGGGAAGAGGGCATGCAGGGGAATGGAGGATACATGGGCGGTTTCATGGATTTACGTGTCATTGGAAATTGGTTTGTTCAAATCGCTGGCAAGAACGTCTACAAAAGCGGCGAGATTGAGCAACATGGGCTCCGACTTGAAATCCAATATCGGGGTGGGCGTGGTGGAAATGGAGGGCAGGGCGGTCATGGGAATGCTGGTGTGGATGGGAGCCAAGGCACTAACGACAAGTGTGTCATCGAGCCGCGTCAAATCCCCGGCCCTTTTGGTGGCACAATTTGGGTCCAGTATGTTGTTGAAGGTGTGCGTGCCACTGCAGGAGGCAGGGGCGGTGATGGTGGTAGAGGTGGTCGAGGCGGGCGACCCTCGGCATTCCCTATCTCCCAAGTGATAGCGACCAAGACTAAGGTCCCGGAGTGGCAACAAGAGGGATTCACCGGCCCTTGTTTATCGGTTTCTTTGGTTTTGTTGACCGACGAAGGAATGCCCTTTGGAGCATCAGGCCAGGCTGGCCCTGGAGGCCATGGAGGGCTAGGGGGTCATGGGGGGATTCAAGGTCAAAGATTCCGATTTATTAGTGGAAGGTTCGAAGAGCTCACAGAGGAGAGCTTCAAATCAGCACCGGACGGGCCAGTTGGGAACCTTGGCTACCCAGGAGATTTTGGAGGCAACCCTCCAAATTATGGGATATTAAAGCCCAATGTAATCATATGCACAACTGAAGAAGAGACACACGACCGCTTTATGGAGGAAGAGCTTGTATGACCAGTGATATCGTGACTCATTACATGATGAGCCATTGTGGTGGAAAGTCTGGTTACTTTGAGCCATTGGCAAAGCATGCTCGAATTCAACATCCTCATCACGAAGTACCCCGAGACTATAGCTACTATACCCAGATATACATTGGTCTTAGTACGGTCAGTCATCCCCAAACATGATTTTCAGATTCTGGATGCTTTCCGGATCTGACTTGCTACCGCGGAAAGCCTCGTTCACAATGGCCGTCTTACGCTTCTGAATCTGAAGAATGCGACTTTCAATGGTATTCGCGACCTAGCGGTTCGCAAGAATCAAATCACTTCCCGATGTCATGGAAAAGGATAGGTACTCACGATGAAATGGGTAACGTAAACAGTTTTTTCTTGGCCAATCCTGTGGACACGGTCAATAGCTGTTGCACGAAGGTGTGTAAGTCTGAGAGAACAGCAAGTCGGCGCAGAGGAACATACCTTGGTTCTCCGTTGCCGCGTTCCACCAGCAGTCCATCTGATGTTTAAGTTTAGTGGTTACTCAGGCCGCGAATGGCTGCATCTTACCATGAAAACATGGTTAGCGGCTGTGAGCTGGAATACCAAGCACTCATTGTCTCATCGTAATGCGAAGCAGTTAAAAACGTACGTTTAAACCAACTCCCCCAGCTTTCAAGCTAACAACCAGCACTTTGCCTTTTCTCGAAAAAGATTTGAATTCGTTGATTGCTGCACTCTTCTTTTTGACATCCATTGTCCCATCAAACCGGTATTGATCAAATCTTTCCCTTTCCAAGGCGACTTGGATAAGGTCCAAAAAACTGGTAAATTGCGAGAACACTACTGCTCTGAAGCATGGATCTTGATCGCGAAGCTTGCCTGAATTTGTTCAAGATAAGTTACGCTGTGGAGGGAAGGAAGTGAAATTCGTACAAAGACTTTTGATCAGGGCATTAAGTTTCGTCGAAGACTGAAAGTCATTTCTTCGGAATGTCAGTCCTGATTCCGAAGCTGGAGAGTTCAGAGTGGCGTCGGGATCCGTCTTTTTTCGTATGATTTCGACGAGATCGCTGCTCTGCACCGCCGTCAGGAAATTTGAAGCGGAGGCGTTTCGAAACCAACCAACCTTAAGAGCTCCTTGAGAGCATGTGGGGCATTGCGGCTCTTGTCCTCTCTCTTCGCAGATTCCTATATGTGATACGATACAATCTTTGCAGCTCAACAAAACATCATCCATTAACGAGCAAGGAGTCGAGCTTGACAAAAAGACATACAATTGATGCATACACCCAGGGATAAGCACCGGAGCCTCTGGTTCACTGAAACATATAGGGCATTCCGCAATGTCGTCCCCAGTGAGGTTAGCCATGAAGGTTTCAGCGAAGGTGTTGCTCTTTTCACCAGAATTTGTATCGTCCCCTACAAAACGTTTGATGAGGTCGTTGACGTCCACGTTGCCATCCCCTCCAGGTGATAAGGCACGTCCATCTTTCTCAGTGAGAACAAGCTTAGGATGGAGCACAGCACGACGGAGTCTGCAAAAAGATTGAACAGGTCATCGCATAAATGGATTTTGCCGCTTCTTACCTCATGAGCATCGCTAAAATGTGGGTATAGTTCTTGCCAACGAGTCCTTTAGCTTCTAGCTGATCGAAGTTTCGTTTTGCAGTGTGATAGATTGAGTCATATATCTTCCTTTCTAAAGCAGTAAACTCAAGTGTTTCCACTGTGATCTGACAGGGTGTTTGGCATGGGCCCGATCGAGGTAAACATGATACTCACCTCTTTCGGAGGAAGCTCGACTATCTTTTTACCCTCGCTATCAGTCATGTTCTTTTCTCGTCTAAGAAGGATGCTCTCGAGAATGACTTGCACAATTTCAATGGCCTTTGGATCGCGAGCCAAGAAAGGAAGCGTGATAAACCTGCCAGTGTGGTCAATCAACAAAAGGAAGTGACCTCCAAAAATCAATAGCCTTACGAGCGAAAGTAAGAAAATTCCGACCAGGGTTTGAAACCGAGGAATTTCCTAGCGTTCATCCTATTAGAGATGTCGTAGGCTGTGTTGCTTATCACTCACAGCAGTGAGTATAGGTCTTCAAGTCTGTTGACGATTGGAGTGCCTGTAAACATATTTGTCTGAGCGGACCAAAAAACAATTGCATGGCAAAATGCCTGCCTGTAACAGCCCAGCGTCTCCGCCCAGCAAGTGCATAGACTGCCTTTGCTGTTTTGCTAGTCCGCGACTTGCACGCATGAGCCTCATCAAGCACAATCCTGAGCCAGTTGACTAAAAAAATATCATTGCTGATGATTTCAAGAAGAGGCTGGTAACTAACTTTCAAAAATAGGTGACTTCGCAGACTTAGCATGCTCGGACGCCAACACGCCGTATGAGGTGATAACGACTTTGATGGTCTTGTCGTCCTCGCCATCGCTCTCGATCATTGCCTCTATGTCTAGACGATTTTGACCATGCCATACGAGGACATCCACAGTTCCAGGTTTGCTTGATCGCTGTAGCTCCTCAGACCACTGGGACAGAAGGGATGTTGGAGCGATGATAAGGGTCGCGGCTGGTGGCTTATGTGGTTGTTGTTTCCCTTTTGGTATGATTCGGAAAGCATTGTTCAACTTGATTTGCTTTGCCTTGCCTTTCGAGTTTTGCTCCTCTCCTTTGTCCGTATCAGACGCGAAGCTAGTTTGGATGAGCGCAGAAAGCATGATTGTCTTGCCCATTCCCACTGCAATGAGACTGGGTCAATCCATATACATGAACAATAGCAGAGCGAGGATGCATACTTTCTATCAATTCATCAACCAAAAAAAAAATTGTCAGCGTTTGCTCGAAAAGAAGAAGTCAACGTTACCGTCTCTAGATCGTTTGGTAAGTCAAATCAAATTATTACCAGGGGTTGAAACAACTTACGCAAGAATCCCCCCGCGACAGTTTCTTTCGGCTTTCGGGAAATCCAAGCTCAACTCTCCAGAATATGGGTTGAAGTAAAACAGTTTCTCATCCGCTGTCAGGTCAATAATATCGTCATTCATGCATGGCTCGTGCGGGAATGAGTATCTGCAAAAGGTCAGACATACTCAAGGCCACAGCACAAGAACGTACTCGCTCCATAAGGGATGCATCGACCACGCTTCTCGTGCGTTCATTTTGCCTGACTCTAAGGAGTGCATCCATCTGAAATTTTGTTAGGCACTGTTTTGTTAGGCAACCTTGTTAGCTCACGATAAAGCCTGCTTCTGATAACCACGTAATGTGAGGTTGAAGGTGTCCGCTGGTTCCATCTCACTCATCGTGCGGTCATTATGCTGTGCTCTAACCATTTGTTAATGAGTCGTCAATGAACAACTGTCCCAAAATCACTTGCTTACCTTTTATAGATGGTGTCGATGTCATTCTTAGAAAGTTCTTCAGCCTCCTCGACTTCAATTTCTTCACCGTCTCCAACGATTTCTTTCACTTTCTTCGTTGGATGTTGTGCCATTCGCTTCAGAGCCTCCTCATGGATTTTGCCATCCGAGCTTTTACCCTTGAAATTCGCACCGGCTTGGGGCTTGAGACCAATTACTTCGAACAGCTTGACGACTGCACTTTTACGCTCTCTGAGGGAACTAAAGACAACTATCAGTTTGCATCCGCAAAAAAATAACTAGGAGTTCGAACGCACGTTTCTTCGTTGGTCTCAGCACCCTCGTTAAAGGTTAGTTTCGGAAGTTCATCAGAGTTTGATGTGCTGAGTGGTGTGAAAGCAGAGGCAACAATGTAGAAATGCAGTGTTACAATCAAGCTCACACCGGTCGTGAGTTTCTCTGGGCAGTCACTCATCGTTCCTCGAATCTGAACAACACCTGAAGCGGATATGGTTAGTGATGATATCTGCACAAAGGCCGTTGTGAACAAACCGAGCTCAAGAAGCTTTGATATCCACCAGGAACATTCCGTTGGCAAACGTCCGAATTCTTGATAGAAACCGTTGATCAGCCTAAGTCGGGAGTAAAGCAGAGATGCAAACCAAATCCACGGCTGTTGACAAGCCGTACGATCGTATCAACTTTCTTCTTCTTAAAATTATTCGTTGGTTGAGCCTTCAGCATCGTCGCCAAAGAAAGTTGTTTCTTGCCATCCCCCGTTTTTTTATTCACAGATTTAGCCTGTTTACTGGGACCTGGCTTGGGAGCAGCCACTTCATCTCGTTGAATCTGTATAGACTCATTTGGCTTTACATATCCTTTCCCAGATACGTTGCTCCATGCATTGGTAATCAAAACTTCACCCAGGTAAGTTGGTGGAAATGAATTGGTGGTGATATGAGTGTCTTGCGGAGAAAGACGGCGCTTTTTCAAGGGTGGACCAGAATTAGAACGCTGCTTGGCGTCAAGAGGAGATGATGATTTTTTGAATGGCTTAGACGGTCCAGCTTTAGCATGGGTAGCCGCGCTGTCGATGTCAATTTCCAGGACGTCATCAACGACAATGGGTCGCCTTACGGAAGGAGACTCGCTTGTGCAGATATCATTCACGTCGTCATCGCTATCCTCGAGGAAAAGTCTGTGGGGAGGCGAAGACCTCGAAGAAGAAGTGCGCGGCGTGGTGGGCAATGATGAATGAGGCACTTCTGATTCGACTCCTGCCATATAGACGTCATCACCCTCATCTTCGGAGCTTGCAAAGAAAGGTCCTGGCGGAGGGCTTGAAGGAATTTGCATATTTGAAACGCGTGAGCAGTTGGGAGAGAGTTAAATAAACGCGTCCCAAAACGCGATTCCTTCAAACAGAACCAAACATACTAACATCGTCGAAATTTCTTGAAGCAAATCGTCAAATCCACGCTCAATCCAACTCTCAAAATGCAGCGCGGTTTACCTATGGTACTGCGCGTCCTATATTATCAGAAATCGAGGCTAACACGTTTCCACCTAGCAACCGACCGTCGTCCTTCTTCGCGAAGGAACAGACACTTCTCAAGGCAACCCGCAGCTGCTTTCCAACATATCGGCATGCCTTGCCATCGCGGAGACCCTTTCGAGTACTCTGGGACCTAGGGGAATGGACAAACTGATTGTATCAGATCGTGGAGAAGCCCAAATAACGAACGATGGCGCGACAATTCTGAAACTTCTCGATATCGTCCACCCCGCCGCGCGTACTCTTGTGGACATAGCTCGGGCTCAGGATGCAGAAGTTGGGGATGGGACGACTAGTGTTGTGCTTCTGGCAGCTCAGTTGTTGAAGGAAGTCCGGTCGTTCATCGAGGAGGGTGTTAGCCCTCATATTATCATGAAAGGTTTTCGCCAAGCTTCTCAACTAGTACGTGCCATTCTCCCGATTGCTTAAGAAACTCCTCCTAAAGTCATATTCAGGCCATTGACCGGATAAAAGAGCTTCAAGTAACAGTTGATAAGTCAGATCCCGAGTATGTGAGATCGCATTTCATCTCAGGACATGCCAATGATGTCTTTCAGGAAATTTCGTTCTTTGCTTCTAAAGTGCGCGTCAACATCGATGTCTTCCAAGCTGATCCATTCGGAAAAGCCCTTTTTCTCAAAAATGGTTGTCGATGCTGTTCAATGTCTGGATCAAGACGATCTGGATGAGTCGCTCATTGGAGTAAAGAAGATTGCAGGTGGAGGAATGCAAGACTCACTCCTCATCAAAGGAGTCGCTTTCAAAAAGACGTTTACATACGCAGGCGCCGAACAACAACCCAAACATTTCGTCAACCCACTCATTCTCTGCTTAAACGTCGAGTTAGAATTGAAGGCCGAAAAAGACAACGCTGAGGTGCGGGTTGAACAAGTTTCCGACTACCAGGCCATTGTCGACGCCGAATGGGAAATCATCTACCGTAAGCTCGAGGCAATTGAAAAGAGTGGCGCCAAAGTCGTTCTAAGCAAGCTTCCTATTGGTGATTTGGCAACACAATGGTTCGCTGACCGTGATATCTTCTGTGCTGGCCGTGTTGCTGCGGGCGACCTCAGGCGAGTCGTGCAGGCCGCTGGTGGTGCGGTCCAGTCGACATGCTCCGATATTGGCCGCGAGCATTTGGGCGTCTGCGGTGACTTTGAGGAGAGGCAGATTGGTGGTGAGAGATACAACATCTTCCAAGACTGCCCTAAGGCAAAAACTTGTACTTTGATCCTTCGCGGAGGCGCAGAGCAATTTATCGAGGAGGTTGAAAGAAGTTTGCATGATGCATTAATGGTCGTTAAACGTGCTATCAGGAACGGGGAGGTTGTCGCAGGAGGCGGTGCCATTGAAGTGAAGTCACCCCGCTTCCTCATAGAGGTAGATGTTCTGATCGAGTCCTACAGATGGAACTCTCTGCCTACATTCGTAAACATGCTCTATCTATTCCAGGCAAACTTCAGCTTATCATTGCTGCATTCGCCAAGGCTCTTGAGATCATTCCTCGTCAGATATGCGACAACGCTGGTATCGATTCTACTGATATCCTCAATAAGCTGAGGATGAAACATGCCAATGATGGCAAATGGTTTGGCGTTGACGTGGACGGACCCTCTGGCGTACGAGACAACATGGATGCGTTTGTCTGGGAACCCAGCCTGGTGAAGGTCAACGCGATCAGCAGTGCTGCTGAAGCGGCTTGCTTGATCCTCAGCGTCGATGAAACTGTTCGAAACCCTCAAAGTGAAGCTGTACGTTTCCTTCTTACGTCCCATAGACATTCTCTCAATAACCTCACTAGCAAAATGCCGGACCAAAGGCACCCCCAGGCACTGCTCAGCGAGCAATCAGGGGTAGAGGACGTGGTATGCCTCGCCGGTAGGCCGCTCGAGACGAACCAATAGAGATCAGTGCCGTGTAATGTACTATCTTTTCGTGGAGTAATCAAGCTAAGAAGATTTCAATGCCCCTGCGAAGCCGAACAGAACCACTCGGCATTGAGAGGGAACTAAATCAGGTAATGTTCACACTTAGTTGAGGACTTTCTGGACTGCGACGTTCAAGCGGAACACAAGCTACTTACCCACAGATATCCCCAACCGCCACAGAGGGCCGATCGAAAATGGAAGCCTTGCCCTTCTACTCCAGGCTTAAAGTGCGTAGAAAACGTCCTGCTTCCAAAGTCCCTCTAGCCCTCCCACCATGGCTACTTGTCTTCTTGGTGATGGCGCACTTCAAAGGCCTCCGTTGTATGATGAAGATTCCGCTATTTCAGACAAGACTGGAGAGGCTGTGATGATCAAAAAAGAGCAAAATCCCCCGCTTGGCGAACCCCGTGAGGCTCAAGAATGGCGCAATGGCTTCAGTTCACTCTTTCGACAATGGGGGAGACCAGCAATAGACTTGGACGCTATTGCCACTCAACCTTCGGTCTTTGATGATCCGATTACGCTGGAAGCTTATCGCCCCCCACCCCAATTCGAGAATACTCACCGATTCGATCCAGCAGCCCGCTGGACATGGAGGGAAGAAAAGGTCAGCATTCACCACTCTTCTCATCCTCCATTCGAGGTCTTCATCGCCAAATTATCCCATGTAGAAACTTATCCGCAAGGTCGACTCGAAAATTATGGTTTGGGCTTGTGTCATGTTTTTTTCACTTGAACTGGATCGCAGCAATATTTCACAAGCCAATTCGGATAACTTTCTGCAAGATCTGGGACTAACGACGAACGACTTCAACCTCGGGAACACCCTTTTCCGGCTTTCGTTTTTATCTGCTGGTACGTATCTGATGTATCACCCTGTGCCTTCTAATATTTCGCAGAGATACCTTCTCAATTGATCTCTAAACGAGTTGGTCCAGATATCTGGATTCCTAGTCAGGTAAGCAAGTCGCACGTTGGCAAAACGAACCTCCGCATAGCTTCTCCAGATGATGCTATGGAGCATTGTCTCCCTATCGCAGTTTTGGCTATCTGGAAGAAACAGTTTTTTGGCGACTAGGTTGTTTCCTCAAATGTTTTGAACGAACAATATTTCTGACGTTGGAATTCACAGATTTCTTCTAGGTTTTTTGCAGGGTGGCTTTATTCCCGACGTTGTCCTTTATCTTTCCTATTTCTACACCAAGACGGAATGTGAGTGAGCTTTCTTGTGAGTTATCAAATCTAGCTGTGACCAAGTATGCCCCAGTGCCAGTACGATTCGCCTTCTTCTGGATCTCAAACTATGTAGCCGATATTAGCAGTGCTTTCCTCGCTACCGGTATTCTCCGTCTGCGTGGCGTAGGTGGAAAGGCAGGGTGGCGATACCTATTTCTTCTGGAAGGTATTCTCACCCTGGTGGTTGGTTTTACCTCTTTCTTTATGATGCCACCTGGTCCGACGCAGACCAAAGCCTGGTATCGACCCAAGGGGTGGTTCTCCGAACGGTGAGCGATGCGAACGAGCAACTGAAGCCACCAAATCTGACTGCTCGTTTTCAGCGAGGAAGTCATTATGGTGAACAGGTGGGAAACTTTGAGTTCAAAATTTAGTTTTGTGTTCTTGACGGACATAAGCAGGGTTCTGCGAGACGACCCGTCCAAGTCAGATATGCACAACAGAGAAGGTCTCGATATCAAGATGATATGGGGCGCGCTTATTGATTGGCAACTCTGGCCCCTGTACGTTCTGGGACTGGTCCACTTTAGTACGTAGCAGCAGAAGCAACAGTTTTCTCCGTCCTCATATACCGCTTCTGTCAGTTCCCGTCATTCCTCCCCAAACGTACCTTACGCTATCACTTCGCAACCTTGGATTCAACACAACACAAACCAACCTTCTGACCATACCGTCCTCGGTTCTTGGCGCTTTGTTGCTGCTGGCTTCTGCATACTTGAGTGAAATTATTGACAGCCGGGCCGGAGCGACAATTATTCTTCAGCTATGGGCGCTTCCACTCCTAATCACTCTCCACACCTTCAATCAGCATACACCACAATGGGTTTATTTTGCGGTTGTTTCACTTATCGCTGGATATCCTTATGTTCACCCAATACAGGTTGCCTGGACCTCTAGGAATTCGTACAGCGTGCGAACTAGGTAAGAACATCACTTGCCTCTAAAGCCGTGATTCATGGTCACGCTTCAGGACAATTTCCGCGAGCGTGTATAACATGACTGTTCAAGCTGGGGTTCTTATCGCAGTAAGCCAATTCTCAACGTCATTCCCAATCAGTACTGACAATGTGGGCCTGTCGTGCAGCAAAATATCTATCGCCAAGATGACAAGCCTCTCTGTACGTCGTCGAGTTTGCTTAAGAATCCTTCTGAAACTGAAGATTTGCAGATAAACGAGGAAATCGAGATTTGATCTGCATTACAAGCATGAACATTGTGTTATATATTGGGACATATTTTTTTTATCGTTACCTCAACGCTCGGAGGGACAGGGTCTGGAAAACTTGGACCAACAAGGTGAGGGGAGCATGCTGAAAGGATGTATGATATTGACACCGACGCGATAAAGGAGCAACGAGAGTACATGAAGACTACGAAGGACGAAGGGAACAAACGAATGGATTTCAGATTTGCGTACTGAAAGATTGAACCACTTCACTAGCATGGCGGCTTACGGCTCAAGAATTTCACAAGCTTTCCCAAATGGATTAGCGTTGTCCCCTTTCCTACTTGCCAACTAATCATCCCCAGAGAGGTACAATTAAGCCTCCAGTGTGCTATGTCGACAACCCATTTCCAAAATTTTGTACCTAGCTAACTTCATGTATGCTTACTTTCTCCATCGATCCTTTTGAGTATCAAGATTTACTCAACATATTATTTCTGACTCTAATAAATTACAGTATACGATACATTCGGCATCAACAACAGTGGTGATGAAAGAATAACAACAGTGATGGAACACAAAAAACGAGTGCAAATGCAAGGCCTCAAGCTCAAGATCAAAATCAAGCGTTAACCCTCCGAGTCGGCACTCTTGACCGTAACCCAAACCGCATCTTTGTTCTTCCATCCTGACCCCCATGTTTGCACCCTTTATCACCTGGTTCCTCCTCAATGCAGTTTTGACGAAGATATGACAAAGATTCAAGCATCCCATTCAATATCACAGTCAAAAATCATCATTGAACTGTGCCTGGAGATTTTGACTTGAGTATTGACAACTTTGGATGCGGGAGGAGATCACACCTTCACGAGAGCATCCACGTATTCTTTTTTGGATGTCTTTGTGGTAGGATATCCCATTATATTGACAGGGGGAAGTCCACAGCGTAAAAGTGGAATTGAAGACAACAGTCGACCGACTCGACCATTTCCATCCTGAAATGAAGTTTATGAGTCGGAGAATGACAGTTTAGTAAATGGCTTACACCGAATGGGTGAATAGAGCTAAACCAAGTGTGGCACCATACCGCAAATTTCAAAGCAAAAAAGGGTGAAGCTGGTAGATCCGATATTGCTGTGTCAAAAATTAATGCACAAGCCTATTCAAATCACAAAAATACGAACATTGGATAGCGATAACATCTTCTCTACCTCGCTTGGGACTTCGCGGAAATGGCAGTATTGAACCACGCCAATTTTACCATCAGCTGGGTAGGTTGTGGAGCAAATTGCTTGTCGAAAGGTGCCTGGGAAGGTGATTCCATAGGTAGCAGGCCTTTCAATTATCGTGAATCGAGAGTGGAAAGTGCATTCAAAATGAAGCTGTTTGATGCTTGCGGTATCGACGGGAATCTTTCCTTCAGATTGTAATGTAACAACTTTGATAACCTTTTATGTAGACGGTTAGGGATGCGTAGACGCAACAAATTAGTGGCGCACCTTTAGGACATCTTCACACACTTGCGCTACTTTGGGTTGTGCTTCATCTAAAGTCTCAAAGTCAAGGGAGCCCTCTTTCAATAACACGACTGCAGCGGGAAAGAAACCGATACGGACGAGCCGAGAGATGCTCTATTGTATCTATGTTTAACTTTTTAGAAGCTGAATAGAACTAAAACTCACTTTATCATGAAGGCAAAATAATCCTTCAAGTTCATTGGTCTGAAGGCTGAGGAGCCTGTCATAGCGTAGAACGGCTTCTTTTGGAGGTAAAAGTGCTTTTAGTTCATTCCACTCTCTGAGCACAGTCTCCAAGAGGATGTTGATCTCTGGAGTGATTTCGACTCCTTCAGGCATGGCACGAAGCGGGGTCCATTTTCGTATCCAAGTCTGATTTTCCGGGTCATCAACTGCTGATTCCATGCAGCGTCTTATGGCAATTAGAATTTGTGGTGAGGCAAAAACAGGAACACCAGCACACCATTATCTCTAAGCAGCCTTTCAACATAGGCGTCAACGAGGTCAACGTGGCGATCGAACTGTTCATCGCGACCACGTCCGACCAACGCCTGCGCCTAAAAACAATGAGTACTTGACATTTGATCGATATTAATTAACAAAATTTCCGTACTTCACGCAACAAAGCCAGTCCATCAGGTTCAGCGTACAAGACGATACAGCCCCATCCTCGATGAACCAGAAGAGCAGGTTGGCGGATACCGAAATCGTAGTACAGTCGATCCCAGCCAGTCATTCTATGAGCAACTGCGAAAGCTTGGCAGCTTCTGGCCCAGATGACGTATTGTTCAGAGGTGAGAACAAATTCATCCATGGCCTGGCAAACAAGTCACTTACAAGCGGAGAAAAAGGTGAATTCAAGGACTTGCATAAGGACCAGTGGGATCATACGGCACTCGTGTGTAAGGAAACTTGGGATCATCGACTTCCATGTTACTCGTACGAGAACACAATGAAGTCGAGGTAGGGATTGAACGTTGAGTCTCAGCTGAGTCCCCTGAGATTCGATTAGAAACATGCCCTGCAACCAAGTTGGGTTGGCGGTACCGTTGGGCGGACGTACGTATGGATTTAGATTTCCGACATGCGCCATTCATCGAATCAGTGTCCGGTTCGGGGATTTAAGTATTCGGATTGGAATTCCAGACCTCATCCTTGGTAGGTAGTCGACGTGATTTCATGCTGTTGAAAATTTTCAACGTGGTGGGAGTTCAGTAAACGTTAAAAGTGGTCAAATAGTGCACGGTCTGCAAATGTACGCACTGTACTCAAATTATTGGATCAAGAGCCACCGTCACGGCTGGTATGCACTTGTCTCTGAGTATAGTTTCTAGACTTTGTACTGCAAGTACAGCGTACATAGAGATGTCAACGATCCTGTGTCTCGTTACTGTACCACTGGAGTACTATGACCTTCGATGTGCTAATTCACCATGATTTTCACAGGGATCGCGGCTCTTCCCAATCTCAACACAAGTTTGTATAACATGCATATAGCTGCTCAGCCGCGTTAACAACATTCCACGATGTCAGAACAGTTCAAAGGGTTCCCAGATGGGTATAATTCGACCTTTTTGGTCTACATCGACCCATCTCCGATTTGTTTCATCAGCGTAGCCCATTTGGTCGACGAGACCAAAGGCTCGCTCCCACCCCAACCCAACGGCCGTAAGCCGACAGACATTGGAGCTACAAGCCCATCTTGAGAGAATGGGATCATCAAGATGAAAGAAGACACACCTAATAGAACACAATGCAGCGACTGGAAGAATATCATCTTTTCCAGCCCACATTCCGCTAAGCATGGCAAAGTCGACGATCATTCCTCTGGTTGCCGTGACCCTTTCATCCTCCGAGAGTTTACTAAACTTTTGCTGGTAATAATCGCCTGGGCTTGCAACGTCCCTCAATGAAGGTATCTCGGACTCGAAAAGGGAGAATGTTTGTCCATCGAAGTCTTCCAGGAATTCGCCCAAAGCAGAGGGTGAGTCGGAGGCAACGTAGACTATTGGCTTGGAGGGCAAGCCATCAGCATCAGGATGTAGTCGTCGCCAGTTATGGTTGGCGGCTTGGGCGAATTCCTGTGTTGGTATATAACCATGATACTCGTAAGAAGCTGGTTTGCGGTCTCCCCGTCGAACGTGGATAGCCACATAGGAAGTTGCATGATGCTGAGACCCCATGAATGTAGAAAGTTCACTGCGAGCCAGGTGGATTAATTCATTATTGTGGGTGCCGGGGCGAATCGTTGTTTGGAATGAGTCTACTGCAAATTTGAATATTGGCTGAAGTCGGTTGAGATTATGCGCATATCTAATGTAAAAGGTGATTGAAGGGTATGGAGTCTAGATTGTGAGAAGTCAACGTACGCATCCTCGTAATAATTTGAAAAGCCATGGCTAAAATGAAATTTTGCCGTTCGGAAGTTAATCACCTAGTAGATTCAAAAGCAGGTCACGAATTAGAGTGTGCAGTATCCTTTTCGAGTGGTTGCTATTCACCCAGTGCCTGTAATTCAGTATTCTTGACATTGTGTTATGTCTTGAGTTATCTATACATACCTTGCAGTTCGGGGACAAGCAACCAATTCTACAAATCGAGAGATTACTATCAAAATTAAGGGAGACAGAGGGATGATAACGTACCCTCAGGAGGTGGAGGCTTACAACCTGGCTCTGGTCCAGGTTGATGGGAACGAACGTCCTCAAAGTGATCTGTCCACCTAATTATAAGGGACAAAAAGAAAATAGACGCGATATCAGGCCAGCGTACTTTCCACGATTCCAATTCGTGTCGTCCACAAAGAACGTCCGGTTTCGCTGTTATTTCCGGTCCAGACCGTGTCACAAACCAGGAAAACCAGGACACTCACATCTCTAGCCAACGCTGCTGCCTGTGCAAGCAATGCGAGGTCCGCAAAGAGACCTACATCGCCATCCATCATATAAGTGATCGTAGATGCACAAACATCCTTAGCTTCTTTGTGTTCGACGTCGCTTGGCCCCATCGTCCTCGCGTCCCAATAATTGCCATGCGCCATGTATCCCTGATTCAACTTTTCACACTCCTTTCGATACTCCAATGCGTGCAGAGGGAAGTGGGTATAGTTCTCGTAGGAAATGAGATGGGGATCTGCATTGGGGTGTGGCTTCCCTTGAGCCACGTTCACTTTCTCTTGCGAGGCAGCCGGTGCTAAGGGGGTCTGTGGTATCTTGGCTCCGATATATCTATGAAGCGCCTCGGGCCGTGTGAGAGAAAAGAAGATGAGAACGAGGAGGATGGCAGCGAGGAAAACCCCGAGGGTGAGCATAAGACGCGAAATCGGAGAGAACTGAGGTGGAGGTTGGGGCACAGTGCGTTTGCCGTTTCTCGCATGTTGACCTCGGGGTGCGAATCTGTCGGAGGATGAGGATGCAAGCAAGGGTGCTGATTGTTGTTGGATCTGGTTGAGTTGGATGTCGTCTAACTCTTGATCGTCAATAGACTCTATGACTTGGAGCTTCGCAAAGCCCCCTTCTGCTCGAGCTGTCCGTGAATGGGGTGTTCGAGGTGTTAGCGCTTGCTGCTCGTCAGGTAAAGCGGACGTAAGATTCGTGAGGGGTCTCGGTCGGGGCATCAGTCGCAAACGTGAGCAGACTGATATTAAAGGTCAATGTTAGATATTGCACATGGATGGATACGAACAGAGTGCGTTGCGCGGCACCGCTTTCGGATCACATTGAAGTATGTAAGGCTATGGAAGGCTATGGATGGGCGAAATTATCTTAACATCTATCGTTGAGGGTCCCAGTATACTAAGCTAGGTCGAGAGAAATCAATGCACTTTGAGTCATGTGGAACATGGCAAAGATGCGTGAACTGGTGGAAAAAACGGTGTATCTGGTCTCGGGGATAGGAGGGGGTGCATTGGGTATCTCAGGGGAGGCTTGGGGAGTCGCGGAGAGTTCGGAGGCGGATGCAATGGAGGACTTTGAAGCGGCACCGATATCTCTGGCTGCGGCAGACACAGAGCGGAATGCGCTGCAAGCGAAGCTGAGGATGAGGTAGAGGTCGATGTCGAGTACCCCGACCTCCCGTCGAGTTGCCGTCAAAATCTGCAGCTGCAATAGACTATATATAGCAGAAGAGGCAGAGGGTTCAGCTGAGGTGCTGTTCAAGGAAGGAGTATCAGCTGTTGGTTTTTGACGGGCGTTGAGTTTGCCTGCAGAAGCATCAGCAGAAGGCGCTGTACCATCAGCACGAGAAGAAGGAGCAGCAGCAAAAGGTGCGTAGGTACTAGCAGAAGGAAAGGGAAACCACAGAAGCTGTAGGAGCGCTGGCAGAAGGAGCAGGAGCGCCAGCGAAAGCCGCCGGCTCTTGACTCCGCGCCTTGACGATGTTGACCAGACCTTGGCGGGGTTGCCTAAGACAGGGGCTGCCAGCTCCAGTCACGCAGGAGGGGCGAGAGAAGATGACGAAGTCGAGATCGCCGTTAAACGTTGCGAGAGTGAGTGATGAGCTAGAAGGAATCTTTATGAAGATATGCAGGACAGACTGAGCGACTCAAATCTGAGGTTTATGTTTTAGGATTATTTTGTCGGTAGTCGTGGATGCCTATATTTGTCCGTAGCCGAAATCGCAATGTTGTCATTCTTTTAAGGGGACGGACTAAGAGAGTTTGCAGGACTGTACTGTGCTTTTGTGAAGTTGATTGATTTTCTAACAAAAATACTTTACTGAGTCTCACCTGCCAAGCCTTGAAGGATAGATTGTAGACATGCATATTCTTTGCCCTTGGCCGTTTTGCTACTGCACTGCCTTGAATTCCCAAAGTCAATGATGGTGACTCCCAAGTCACCAATGAGAACATTGTCTGGACGAATATCATCATGGAGTACACCTGCAAAATGGATGGACTCCAGCGTCGACAGTGCAACTTTACTAATTGGAAGTGGATGGTCAGGATTGGTGGATCGAGTTTTGACAAGATCATAAGTCTTACCATTCAGCGGCTGTCAGGTTCCTTCCCAGATCAGAGATCGGGACCCCTGCATACAGCATGACAAGCACACAAGCAGAACCATCGGTGTCGTCATCAAAGAAACCAATAATTGGAGTTATCCCCCGTTGAACTCCTTCAGACCTGAGGTGCAGATAAAGTTTGTACTCTTTCTTGAGGGAATCCCGCTGTCCATCGTCAAATGCAAGCTTCACGACGACATCCAGTGCACCAGCTCCTTCCATGTTTTCTGGCGTCAAAGTGCCGCGGAGTGCTACACCCGTGGCCCCTTGGCCAATTTCTGAGGTGAGGACAACTGTCATACACTCATCCAGTCCATGGGTGTGGTTGCGTGAGGAAAACAGGGAACTCGGGCAGTTTGGGGGCATTGGCAAGGGGAATGAGCGAATAAAAAAGGCAGGGACAGGGGAATCATACACATCATACTGCAGGTACATGTGCATGGTACAACACTTGCTGGCCACATATATTGTTTCCTGGTTGTTGTCAGTCATTGCGGCTGGAAGATTGACATTGTCCAAACAAACGCACCAGGGCCAGTTCATCGTCAATAAGGCGGTCCCCTCCTCCCAAGCCACCTGTTGTCCTTTTTTTTTCCACCGAAGCCACCCAATCCACCTGATCCGGAGCCTCCACCTCCACTACCACCTCCGGAACCCTCACCGCCACTTTCAGCAGGTGCACCTTTTTGCCCCTTCCTATCGAACGTGTCCTCGATCGAAGCGATACAAAGAGCGACATGCAATTTACCATAACCAGGATTAATGCAGTTGTGGGGTTCGACTACATCGGAGACAAAGAGAGTTTGTGATTTCCGATGTCGAACACATATGAGCTCGTGGTTACCCGAATGAAGAACAATGAGGGATGTGTCCAGCTTTGTAGCGTGCACCCAAGCCTGCACAAATTATATCAGTATTCTTTGGCAGATGTTGAAACACGTTACCTGTTGGACTAGGTCGTGCGCACTAACATTATGGTGGTCTGGAGCTTCGACATTCGTTGTTTGGCGGCTTTTCTCTTTACGTTTCTCGCTCGTATCGGAGACCTGATTTCTTTTTCGTTTCTTGACACCAGCTGGCTCTTGTACCGAAGAAGTCCCAGGCTTCTCTTGTGGAAGAAATAATGATGCTGGTGTAGTTGGTGGGATTTGACCTGTTTCCTCTGAAACCTATAAACAAAACAATGAGCATATTGCTGGATGCAATGTATGAACATACACGAATATTGCATGGGGGGTGCAGCGCATCAGGTCCACGTACTATAGACGCAACCTCAGTCCTCAATTTCTTGTGTTCAGAGTCGTTGCAGGGATGTTCGGGTGACGCGCAATACTTCCATGCGAAAAAGCCCAGTTTAGGAATCGCGGTCATGGCGGGACCTGCACTTAGACTTTTGAATATGTAAGTCATCAAGGGTTCCTCCTTATCACGCATCGCCTTCAGAATTTCCCGACGGCGGATCTCAATTGTATTGACAATCACCTCCCGACCCTTCCCGACCTCTGTATTAGAAACGGCGGCAAAGAAAGCAAGTTCAGCGTCCCAGATGGCGTACTTGGAGCTGGATACAGAGTCGGACCAAGTAATAATGGGTCTCCAGCTCGGAGCCGTGGGGTGCAATGCGAGGGTCGAAGCCACAACGGGGCAAAATAAGCCAGTGGTGCGAGAGTAAAACGAGAAAACTCCTCTCTCATCTCTCAAATGGTCGTCTACTAATTCAAGACCCTCCCTTCTGCGTTCGGCTGTCCAGAAGTGTTGAGAGAGTGCGGGAAGAGTATGTTTTGCAGCAACAAGCGCTGAGTCAACAGTTTTTTCTAGATCTTTGACGAGCGATGGAAGGTGTACTACCCGCTTAAGAGCGAGCTTGGTAGAAAAGTGAAGATCGAAAAAGCTGGGTTTGCGGGTGGTGGTGGATAGCTTCCCGCTACCCTTGCGGATTTCAAGGCGAGGGGGATTCCAAGAGAATAACTCATTCAGTTCTTCAAGGACTATAGATTGGGATGCAGCGGCAGCACTCGGAGTCGTAGGAGCCATGTTGCGTTGAAAAACGAAAGTTATTACAATAGCAGTCTGAGTCACCTGGCCACCATCTCCTGTCACGTGTAAACCCTCCCGTAAGTACTAAAGTAGTACCTCAACGAAGGGCTACGAAAGGGATTGATTATAAGAAATGTTGAGTGACCATTCAAGAAGTATTTGGAGAGATGCTGGACAATTTTTGACACAGACCGTCGAGAGTGGTACCAACGTGGTACTACTTACGCCATTTCATTCGATTCGGGCGTCGAACTGGGCAGTGGAAGCATGGCGAAGTCGACGATCATTTTGGTAGCCATCACCCTTTCATCCTCCGAGAGTCACTCACGGAAATGTTCCTGGTAATATTCACCTGGGCTTGCAACGTCCCTCATCGATGGTATCTCCGACACGAAAGGTGAGAATGTTTGTCCACCGAAGTCTTCTAAGGTTCCACTCAACGCAGAGGGTGAGTCTGAGTCGATGCAACGCAGACTATTGGATTGGAAGGCAAGCCATCGCCATCAGAATCAGATGTAGTCGTCGCCAGTTATCGTCAGGACGGCAGCGGGGGAAACACCAAGGGCGAGGATGAGACGCGAAATCGCAGAGAAATGGGGCGAAGGTTGGGGAACAGCGTTTGCCGCTTCTTGCATGTTGACCTTGGGGTGCAAATCTGTCGGAGGGTGAGGATGCAAGCACTAATTGTTGTTGGATCTGGTTGAGTTGGATGTCGTCCAACTCTTGATTGTCAATGGACTCTTGACTCGGAGCTTCGCAGATCCCCCTGTTGCGCAAGCCTTTTGTGAATGTTCGAGGTGTTGGCGCTGCTCATCGGATAAAGCGGACGTAAGGTTCGTGAGGGGACATAGTCGCAAACCCGTGAGAGGACTGGTGTCAAGCTGGTCAATGTTAAGAATCTCTGATATTGCACATGGAATGAGGCTATGAATAGACGAAATAAATTATCTTAAAATCTGATCGTGAAGGGCCCGGGTATATTAAGCTAGGTCAAGAGAAATAGATGCACTTTTAGGAATGTGTGGGAAAAAGGGGATGAGGCAAAGAGGCGTGTACTAGTGGAAAACAACGGTGTCTAAGGTTTGATCTCGGGGGTAGGAGGGGGTGCATTGGGCATCTGAGGGGAGGCTTGAGGAGTCGCAGCCGTAGAAGATTCGGAGGCGGATGCAATGGAGGATGCAGAGGCAATGGAGGACGTTGAAGAGTCGCCTGCATCTCTGGCTGCAACAGACGGGGCAGAGCTGGGCACAGCCAAAAGTGACGAAGATGCGACTGAAGATGAGGTGGGTTCAATTGTAGAACTGCTAAAATCCCTGGGTTTAACGGACTGGGAAGGTGCTTCGGATGCAGAAGTTGAGGTAGAGGTCGACGTTGAGTTACCGGCAAAGTTGGCGGCTTCAACGGATTGAGAAGGCACAGCGAGTGAGGAAGAGGTCGAGGTAAAGGTGGACGTCGAGTTACCGTCAAAATCTGCAGCGGCAATAGACTGGGTTGGCAGGGCGGAAGAGGCAGAGGATCCAGCTGAGGTGCTGTTCGAGGAAGGACTATCAGCTGTTGGTTCTTGACGGGTATTGAGCTTGCCTGCAGAAGCATTAGCGGAGGGCGCTGGACCATCAGCAGGAGGAGAAGGTGCGGCAGAAGAAGGTGCAGAAGGTGAAGGTGAAGGTGCAGAAGGAGCAGGAGCGCTAGCAGAAGAAGCAGGGGCGCCAGCAGAAGCCGCCGGCTCTTGACGCGCCTTGACATTGTTGACTGGACCCTTGGCGGAGTTGCCTACAACAGGGGCTGCTCCAACGACGGTGCCAGGAGTGTGTGCCACAGTACCCACAACACCTCCGGCAGGGGTATTCCCAGCAGCTCCAGCCACGGTGCCAACAACACCTCCGGCAGGGGTGTTCCCAGCAGCTCCAGCCACAGTGCCGACAACGCCTCCGGCAGGGGTGTTCCCAACAGCTCCAGCCACGGTACCAACAGGATCAGGAGCACCAGAAGCGGCGGGAGTACCAGAAGAGGCGTGAGCATCGGCTGAAGAAGTATTGTTGGGGCCACCGTCCTGTGTTTCAAGAAGAATACCAGCTAGAGCGGGCGGTACAAGATTCTTAACAACACCGCAGGCTTGGGTCCCCAAATCTCCTGGTATCATCCCGCCGAGCATGCTACAAAGTTTATCGGTAAGTCCGGGCGCTTCAACGGCATCTAAGAAGGGGGGCTGTCAACCACTCATAGATGAAGTAACTGAGAAGAGAGACGTACTGTCAGTCGTGGACCTCTTATCGTGACTTTCTTCCAAAGTCATGTCAGCCGCACGAAGACCACGGGCTGCTGAGCCGCTATGATAGAACTGGGAGATACGACGGTTGCTGTGTGACGTTGGCATGCCAGCTTCAGCTTGAGGAGCATCACTTGCAGGAGCGGCGAGAGAAGACGACGAAGAGGAGATCGCCAAGGTTGCGAGAATTACTGAGGAGCTAGAAGGAATCTTCATGATGATATGCGAGATAGATCAAGCGACCAGGCTTTTACTAGGGTATGATGGTGGATAAGAGGAGAGATAGGAATGAGCGATTGGAAGGAGAAACTCGGTTTATATAGGCTGGGTGGGGGAGATAGGAGTGTCAGCCAGCAAAAAATACCGTCCCAATGTCCATTGTGAAACGGACCAGAGCGATCGCGTCAGTGAATGGAAAAAGTAATTGACGCTCTTGAAATATACCTTCAAGACGTCCTTCAATACATAAGGTGGAACGAGGATGAGCACAAGAAATCATTGAAAATATCGGGAACAACCATGACTGCAAAAATATTCAACCAGCTCTTCCTCGATGTTCCATTTCCCAAATTTCTTCTTCGCCAAGAGCCCTCCTCCGATATGCCATGGGGTTCCGGTGGTGATTTCTCGAGCTCAAGACCGCGTAATCCCATAAGTTCTTCATCGACTGCAAAACTGAAGTGCCCAAGCACGACGAGATGAGGCACCAGAAAATAAGCGCTGCCCTAGAAAGGACCAAATCAAGAGACTTTCAACGGTCGAAAGGCAGAAGGGTGTACATCAGGAAAGCAAGGAGGAAGAATATTGGAGTGAGGGCGGCGATGCTGCTGTCGCTGCCGTCCATGGTGTTGGTGGGTCTGAGCAAACAAATGTGATGCAGAAAATCAAAAGTCTAGATGAGCGTCAACAGCTGAGTTTCAGCCGGAGAATGAACGTTCAATAAAAGCGACAAGTGTCCATCGATTCATAGTAGGCGTTGCTGACTTCCTTCCCAGGCCTTTCCCCCATTATAATCTTCATTGCGAGCTCAATTGGAGTCCAGCTCCAACGTACCAGCGCTCAGCATTCATTGACACTGCCTTGTGAGCAACCACTTTTTGTCCCAACCGTTCGGATACCCAAAGGAACGGTATTGACATCGAGATTGACTTGATCAGATACGAGTCTATCATCGACGTGTATCCGTTGTTTTGGGTTTTCCCCGCCTCCACGTCACTTTCCTTGAAACTCAGAAACTTTCGCCATTGCACTAGGACATCATGGCTGATGACCAGAAGCATTCAGCCTCAACGGCCAAGACCTCACTGCGCCAAGAGGTGATTATATTTCATCCCGAATCGTCGACCTAAATTCCCGATCAATGAGCCCCACCCAACACAACGGTAGCTGATAAGTCCTCTATCACCTTCAAGGATGACATCGAACGGGCCTCTGGCTCAACAGCTATTTTGCCTGTTGACCCCTTCCAATTTCGCGATGGTATTGTGTCGGAAGAACAGCTCACCAATGTCCGTCGGAGAAAAGGAGGCAAACATGTTGCTAATTACCAACGCAGGCAGAATGATGTATTTGCCAATGCTTCTCTTTTAACACACCCTCTCAAGATCACTTCAGCTCATTGCGTCCTTGCTAAAACCCATGGATGAGCATACACAAGATGCCATAGTGGAAGAAGAAGCAGCGCGCATACCCGTTAGTAGATCTTCCACCCTCGTCCTTCTAGATTCGTCTCCTTTGATCATATACTCTCGAAGATCAATATTGCAGTGTATGCTAGCCTTATCGCCAACGCCGCGTTATGCGTTTTGCAGAGTACGTGATATATATTTCTTACCCATCTATGACAAAGCTTACCGTTCAATTCAAGTGTACGCCGCCATCTCTTCATTGTCACTCTCACTGCTCGCCACGGGGATTGACTCTGTGTTCGACATTGGAAGTAATGTTCTCCTGTGGTGGTTACACAGAAAAGCTGAGAAGTTGGATCCTAACGACTGGCCTGTGGGTGGTGCCCGTCTTGAAACCATTGGCAACATTGTCTATGGTGTGTAATATTATTTCTTCCTCCCCGTTACCATTATCATGACACGACATATGAAGGCTTCCTGTGCGTAAAGCGAAAGGATTATTTGAGTGGAATAACTGACTATAATTTAGAATGGGGTCTGTTAATTTAGTCGTTATCGTGGAGTCCATACATAAACTCGTCACGAAAAGTGACGATTCATTAGAAGGTTTTCATCTCCCATCCATCATCGCCGTTTCAGCCGCGCTAGGTAAGTAATTGCAGTTGTCCACATCTCTACATATTCAACGTCATGCAGCGGTTAAGTTTATTCTATTCGCCTACTGCTATTCTCTGCGGAGTAAATCGAGTCAAGTGCAGGTCCTGTGGGAGGATCACAGGAATGACCTCTGGATAAATGGATTCGGTAACGAATACGGTCATATTCTAGTCGCAGCTTACGTCTTTCAGGTATACTGATGTCCTGCGGTGGCAGCAAGCTTCGTTGGTGTGAGTTGTATATTCATCGACTGGTTATACTTTGTGTTAGGCTGACGGATGATGCGTAGGGTTGGATCCCATGGGCGCTATAATCGTGAGGCCCTTGCGCAGAGTTTCCTTACCCTTCTGAACGTCGCCTTTCATAACAGATAGCTCTGGGGGTGATTATCTCGTGGGGTAGAACCGTCTACACCCAATTCGAGTTACTGGCTGGGAAGTCCGCCGCGCATGACTTCCTGCAACTCATCATCTTCAACACCGTGACATTTAGCGAGGACATCGAGAAAGTCGATACTGTCAGGGCGTATCATGTGCGTCGATTCCCTAACCGAATTCAAGATATTCATATTTTTTAAATTTATGCTCAACAGAGTGGGCCGGTGCGTCACCGTTTTCAAGTGTTCATAACATGCCCGTTAAATCTGAAATTTATGTTTTAGGATTATTTTGTCGAGATTGACATAGTCATGGATGCCAATACGCCGCTTTGGAAAGCACACGATATAAGCCAGCAATTACAGGACAAGATTGAAGTTCTTCCGAACGTCGAGAGAGCCTTTGTCCACGTCGACCACGAATTTACCCACGTCCCGGTGCGTTCCAGCGCGGCCCCCTTTTTACTTACGAAGAACAATTCTCATATTTATCTCGTAGGAACATCGGAAAACTCCAAAGCCATAGATTATCCAGATTCTGGAGGCTTCATAATCTCTGTACAACAATTAGCCATAGTTTGTCTGCCGTGTTACTTGCTCGCCTGCTTTCCGGAACCTGTTATAATACCACACATCTGTACCAGCAGCACCGTTTTTTCGTTTCCCGAAAGAGAATCAACTTTATGAATCACGATCATGAAAACCAAGCATCGAAACCGAAATCGTGGTAATGTGGTTCCAAATCACTGAAATGCTCTGCGGAAGACTGAAGTAGTCGACCAAGCGCATGGAACCATCAAAGAAGATCGACGATCTCAAATGTTTGTAGTTTTTAATTTTGTTCCAGCAGATCCTTGCATAGATACGCGCTGATCCCATATTGTGAGCGGGAATGTGAGAACGATGATAGAACCTCGGCGTCATGCACGTTCTCTCAGCTCTGTATACCGCAGTGCCTGAGACATTTTTAGCACCTTTTCCAAGACAACATAAAAAAAACTTGTTACACGATAATGATAATAAACTGAAATGAAACATGCGAGAAATGCGCAAAACTGTACAGGCGGTCCGATATTACACGACGAAGCCGAGATGTCCCTGCCTACATTTCGACGACAGACGGCACCAGTTAAGCTGAAATCCGATAAAAAGGAAAGGAGAAACCTAATCAGCAGTCCATGACATCGGCATTGACAACAAAGTGGTAGATGAGTCGGGCAGAACGGAGCAACGAGTGAGTGTGATAAGAGGAGACAAGAAGAGAAGAGGCATGATAGCGGAGGCGTGACGATGGGAAAATCGAAAGACGACTGCGTTTCGAGGTGTTGAACTCGCAATGCCTACTCGACAACGTCATAGAGGAAGGAGTCAGGGAATTTGAACTTAATCTGCTCCTCAATTGACCAATATGGAGTGAGGTAGGAGATATCGGTTTCACCGGTAGGGCCTGCGCCGCCAGTGATGATTCCGACGATGCGACCAATCCTGTCGAGGACAACCGACCCCGAGTCGCCCCGGCTTGAAAACTTGCCGTGCGGCTGGCCGTAGTTCAAAACCGCAATTTCCATGTATGTCTGATTGATACCCGGGTAAGTGTAGATGCGCGTGAACGATTCCAGACCATTAACGCGACCGACGGTTGTCCCTGTGGCCATCCCGTGTTTCACAACCAGCAGACACTTCTCACCATGAACGTCGAGGTGTTGAGGATCGCGCATTTCGTTGTCCTGGACGACTCCGTAAGCTTGAAGAAGACCATCTTCGGGGTAGTAGTAATCTTTTGAATCTTCCGCCTGAGGAAACATTGTATTGCCAAAATCGGCGATTGAAAGGTTACCGCCTGCATAGAGAAGAACAATAACCATTGGTTAAAACCGAAAACAAGGAGACGGTGGATGGAAAACGTGACGAGACCATGACATGGAAAAAGACACACCAACAAAGACCTTATTTCCTTTGAAACTCGACCAATCAATTTTATCGTTGTACAGCTCAATAAGGGCCCAGTCATTGGTGAATTTATGGGGCTCTGAAACCTCAATCTTCTCTGCGTGGAGGACAAATCCGATCTTGCGCTGTTCAAAGGTGCTGTACTGCTTTGTGACCTCGTCGTGGAGCGTGTTAACCATTTGAATCTTCTCTATTGCCTTCAACACCAGATCCAAAAAATCATTGCGTTTCTTTGTCACAGAGTTGCTCTCCCCCTGGTGAAATTTCCCTAACCCATCAATCGACCGGTTCCAGACTTCAATGGAACGGTATAGACCACCGATAACTTTCATCATAGCCGTAAGGCCATTGTTGAAACCCATGGTGCCGAGCGCGATAACCTCATCGCGATACTTGAGACCCTTGGTCTTAGACTTTTTCTGAGCCGCGCTTAGGTAAGGAGGACGGACGACATGTGCGCAGGTCAGGATGGCAACGCGGTTGTCATCTTTTGAAAGGCGGATGTACAAAGCAGCTGTGCCCTCGTGGTAGGGATATTTTCCAAGGGCGATGGGCAGACCGAGAGCCGGGGTAAACGGCTTTCGCAACTCGGGGACATCGTCGAGGAGGGGGTTAAATGGGAGGAGCTTAGGACCGGCAGAACGAGTCACTACAGATTCGACAAAAGCCACCTCGAGGTCAGGGAAGCCAGCCTCGGCGAGAATCTTTTTAACAATAGCTGCAGCTGCAACGGCCTTCTCGTAGGGGAGGGTGTTAGGTTTCACGCCAATGCATATGATAAGAGGACAAAATGGCTTGCGCTCTCCGGCGTTGGCGTAGGCGAGGGGGTTGATTGATGTCCACATCACATCGAAGGAATCGAGCTCTTGGTAGATACGCTGACCGATAGAAACCCAAGCAGGTTGAATAGCGTGACGATAGACCGGACGAGGCTCACGGACGACGCCCTTCCAGCCAATTAGAGGCCCTTCGGATATGGGCCACTCGGGTCCAGACTTGAAGATGCAGGGAGTTCCGCAACCATGAAAATCGCTATATGCATTCGGGTAGTTTTGCGTGAGGGGGGTCTTTGTGGCGTCGCCGTCATCAGTGCTCTCGATATCATCGGAAAGCGAGAGGTTGTCAAAAGAGGTCGGAGAAAAAAGGACTCTATTCGGAAAGAAAGGACCCTCTAAACAGGAGGCAAGGAACCTCGGCTCGAGGTTGACTTGGGGGCCGGTGAACGACATTGTTGACGAGAGAGAAAAGCAGGGTCAGGATCGGACGAAACAAGCAAGATGGCTTGAGGTGGGCACTTGTTGAAAGACGAGAAAGCAAAAGAAATTACTATGCAGAGGAGCAGGCGGACGGAGAAAGCTGAATGAAAGACCTGGACGGGTTTTTCTGACCCTTTTTGGATGCTGTTTGTTCCTGACTCACATCGCCAAACAGCCCGCACAGAACCCCCCCTGTATCCCCCTCTCGAAAGATCGTGGAATTGTTGCAAAGCTTCATCGATCCCTGTTCAGAAACCATCAAACAAAATAATATCGCAGCTCGCTTTCACCATGGTGGTGACCCGCTATTGCAATATTATGAGCCCAGCTAGTTGTTCCATGCTTTATTTTATTTGTTGGGACGCTGTATAGGTCCAAATGTCGTTTACGCCAACGTGGTCGAGAGTTTTGTCAAAGTCCCCACAAGTGGCCCAGTTGGTGCTCCTTCGTTCTCCATGGAGGTGTTTTGCAAGATGGAAGGTTCTGCATCACGTATGCTTTGAGCACTTATAGCGGACCAAATGAGGCTGCCTGCTGCGATGTGCCCGAAAAAAACCCCAAGAACAAAAAAGGAAGGTTCAGATTCAGATGATTCCTCGTCATCGATGACATGGTGTCTACACAGGAGACTGCAACTGGCGGGTACCAGTACCAGATGATACCCTTCTCCGGCAAGTGCGATAGGCCTCAAGGCGCGTGCATCCGTGCTTGTATGAGAAGTTAGCGCCACATCTTTTCTATCTGTCAACAACAATTTGACGATTGAGTTTAGTCCTGCTTGAACACCACGCGATCGAGAGGTTGCCACTGCCAACCTGAGCAGCCAGAGGCGCGAAGTTGATGTCTTAAAATCAGGGTGAACGTTCTTGAAGACGAAGAAGGAATTAGTCAATCCGCTTATCCACGAAATTGTGATTTGGACTGACCCCTTTATATCAATGCACTTCACTGCAGGCATTACCCTTTCACCACTCCATTTTAAAGCCCTCGCCAAAAATGATGTTATTCACCGCCATCAGTACAATTATTGGTTTCATTGGCAGGCATGTCTCCCTGGCAACTTTACACGTCGCTGGCCGACATGGGGATGGCAGGAGGCGACTCACTATTTCGGACGCGGGCTCGTCAACGTCGCTAACATCACCCCAAAGTACACCCAGCCTCTCTGAACTTGATACGACACCGGTGTATCCCACCCCCCTACCATCAGCTGCACAGTCTTGGCGCGATTTCTTCGACGACAGGGGGATGCTCCTCTTGCTCATTTTGTTCCTCTTTGGAGTCGAGCTTTTCTTCATCTTTTGGTTCTACGGATCCTCGATCCTGAGGCATGTCATTCCTCGAAGCCAGAAGTTTACGACGAATAAGAACAACATGGTTGCATTCACAAGCTTCAAAAATGGAAAGGAGCCGAGAAGACCAGAGACGAAGAGAGTTCGATTTCATGATGTAGGACGCGTCAAAGAGGAGTCAAATCGCGCCACAAGAAGGATGCCTGCCAAACCAGCCGCACTTGTGCTGAAGCATACATCGCCCGTATTGAAGCATTCTTCGCCACTACGTGGACCGCCGCAGCAAGCCGTTGAAAGAGAAAATATATGGATGTTCTGAAGTTGTATGGTCATCTGTCGTATACATATACTTGAAGTATATTATTGCGAGACAGTGGAAAAACGCCGCAGTGGGTGAGCAGAGGAAGCAAAAAGTGTCGTTATCCGAATTTGGAACGAAAGTGACCCAACACTCCCCTTTTACACCATCACTCACTATTCCTCGAGACCTACATATATCGAGCGAATTTCACTATCCTTACTTTTATTTCTTTCACTGTTCTACAGACGCGTCTCCCCTTTCTTCTCATCAACCATCTTGCTGTGTGGCAGCACACGACGCGACGCGACCCCTCGACTAAGATAAATTACATCTACGAGCGGTATCTGCCTCATGGTTCGCCCGAAAAGCGTTGCCTGTTCATGATCGGCCGAGATCTAATCCGCTGTACAGGACCACCACCAGGATCCAGAGGAGTTCTATGTTAAACAGGATAGGATCGGTTCGTTTCTCCATTCTTGATTAAGGTTGCGGTGACATCCATCTTTTTCTACCTAGGGAAGGGTTCATTTGGAGAAGTATACAAAGGGTGGGTGTGCAGTTCAGTGGGACGTTCACTCCTTTTCTCAACCAAGTCAGCTTCGACAAACGTACCCAGAAGACTGTCGCCATTAAGATCATAGATTTGGAGAGCGCAGAGGATGAGATTGAGGATATTCAGCAGGAAATACAGATCCTTTCTCAGCTGGATTCACCACACGTTACAAAGTTCGTCTGTTTTATGTCGCCATTCAACGCTAACCTTTGAACAATAGATATCATGGATCATTTCTCAAAGGCTCCAATCTTTGGATTGTTATGGAGTGAGTAGCTCCTTCAAAGTTCAATCTATTATCGAGTTTATGCTTTCATAGATACTGTTCTGGCGGTTCTTGTTCTGACCTGGTAATCTCGTAGAATCGCCGCGTCAAACGATGATCAACCTTCTTGATGCACAGATGAAACCTGGCGTGTTCCGCGAAGAGTACATTGCTATCATTGTTCGTGAATTACTTCGCGGACTTGAGTACCTGCATACCGAAGGGAAATTGCATCGTGACATCAAAGGTAACACATCTATCTTTGCCTTCAGGCATAGGAGTCACTCAAAATGTCCAGCTGCCAATATTTTACTTTCCGCTGGCGGCGAGGTGAAATTGGCAGATTTCGGTGTCTCTGGTCAATTGTCAGGGACACTCTCAGCTAAGAAGAATACGTTTGTTGGGACGCCATACTGGATGTCTCCTGAAGTGATCAAACAGAGCGGGTATGATCACAAGGCCGATATTTGGAGTCTGGGTATAACTGCAATTGAATTGGCAAAGGGCGAACCGCCATACGCCGAACTTCATCCAATGAAGGTTCGTTGTCTCTGATTATTTCTGAGAAGCTATGGGGGACTCGCTCAACTGAAAAATTGTCTAGGTACTTTTCCTCATTCCGAAGAACCCACCTCCAACGTTAGACGGAAATTTCTCAAAGCCATTCCGAGAGTTTGTGGCGTACTGTTTGCAACGAGACCCGAGAGAGGTAGGTAACTCCAAGTTTAAGCGCGTTTCAACATCTCTTATCATGAGAAAAGCGACCTACAGCACGCGAGTTGTTGAAACATAAATTTGTGCGAATGGCCAAGAAAACGTCATACCTGACGGAACTGATCGAGCGACACGAACGGTGGAAAGCTGAAGGCGGAGAAAGAGCAGAAGAGGACGACCGAGATTCCGACCCTGAGATGTACTTCTCGACAATCTGGTCTTTTCCTTCTGTAATTGACCCCTTCTTGGTATAGGGTTGGAAACGGTGACCCAGAAGACCTCTGGGACTTTGGGACTGTCCGGCACGCCGGTCGAACAACGACACTTGGTCGCAATCAGAACTCCGTTCGGGTATCTGGACCTCCATTGACTTGGGAAAACAACGGTGATGAGCGAACAGAGAAAACAACGAAAAGAGGCTCGGGTTCATCCTATTCCTCGTCGATCACAACCAAGGGTGATCTTCCTCCCCTGCCTCTATCGGCACCCCCCACGCCCAAGCGGTTCGAACAAAACACCGTTCGGCACATGCCCCCCGACTTGGCTTCACAAAACAATCGGCGGGTCGCGCAACAAGAACCCTCGGATGAGTACGAGGACTATGACGACCAGTATCTTGATACACTTCCAAAGACGGCCGTTGTAGAACAGAAAATGCAAGATACGCACCTAGACGACGAGGAGTTCCCAGATACAACGATGCTTGACTCTGTTATCTTGCCGGCTATTGCTTCGGTCTGTCCCTTCTGACACAGCTTGATCCTTTTGCTCTACTAAATTTACGGCTTGCGGTAGCTGTTCCCTCGAGTGTCCTCCCAAGAGGCGCGGGTTGCGCTCAGTGCTCTCCAGCGTGCATTCACAGAGGCTGAAAGGATCATACCTGGCGTGACTCTGGAACTCGTCAACGAGATCGTGGACTCCGTCGAACACGTGGACGATGACCGGTGACAACGTACTGGCAGGAATGTATCTGGAACTAATTACTTACGCATACGTATGCCCACGTTCCCCATCCTCACCTGTCGCTGTAAATCCGCATTTTATATCCTTTCCCTTGTTACCTCACATTAATTATACCTACCATACACCTCTCTCCATCCAGTCCATTGCTTTCTCGGTCTAATATATGTTGTATACATGACTTCGGAGGAAAGTTACGATAAGAGGTCTGCGGCTGAAAGTCCCTCTTCTCGCCTATAAGTCATCGACAGCCCCCTTCTTGAATACCGTTGCAGCGCGCGTACTGCGCACCAAATTCCAATACAATCTGTAGCGGGCTGCTAGTCTGCGCGACCGTGTAGGGTTCACGTGACGGCACACGGTCGTCAGGTGACTACCACAATTTCAACGCGACATGGCTTCTATAAGTGCTGCTGCTGCATCCCCACCTATAGACTTGAAAGAACTGTATGATTTATTCTCTTGGAGTCCCCCTCGCCTTGTGCTTTACCCGCAGATGGAAAACAAGGGGCCATCCACGTCCGGATCCACACGCCAACCTGCCTTCTTTGATCGCCACTTTTCTACCAAGCTGGCTCTTAAGCGGGTAGTACACCTTCCATCGCTGGTCGAAGATATAGCAAAAACTGTGGACTCAGCGCTTGATGCTGCAAAACATACTCTTCCCAAAATTTCTAACGGCGACTTCTATACAACCAATGACAGAAGGAGGGCCGTTCGAGAAGCAGAACGCAATGTGAGAGATGAGAACGAAGTTCGCGCGTTTTACTCTTACACCACCGCCCGATTTTGCCCCGTCGTGGCTTCGACTCTCGCATTGCACCCCGCGGCTTCGAGTTGGATATCCCTTATACATTGGACCACCTCTGTCTCCAGCCCAAGGCATGCCGTCACGGACGCAGAGCTTACCTTCTATCGCCTTGATGATACGGATGATGCGGTACGTCGGGAGGAGATCCTTGATACAATGGAGAGTCGCCGTCGTGATATTCTTAAGGGAATGCGTGAAAAACAAGCACCCTTGATAACTTTTGAATTCGAAAGTCTGAGTGCAGGTCCTGTGGTGACCGCGATTCCTGAACTGGGCGATTTCGAATGGACGCATTGCGGGCCACCCGAACATTCCTGCAACGACCCTCAACATGGTAAGGTGAAGGATCAGGTTGCGGGCATCGTACCTGGACCCGATGCGTTGCGCCCCCCATGGAATATTCGTGTATGTTCATACATTGTGTCTAGCACTATGCTCAACGTCTTGTTTAAACTTTCAAAGGAGGAGACAGTCCAAAGCCCACCAACTACACTGGCATCACCATTGCTTTCACAAGAGCAGCTTGGGACTTCTTCCGCCCAAGAGTCAGTTGGTGTCAAGAAACGAAAAAGAAACCACGCCTCCGATACGAGCGAGAAGCGTAGACGAAAAAGACGCCCAAAGGCGGATGTCGACAATCCAGACCACCATGATGTTAGTGCGCACTCTCTAGTCCAACAGGTAACGTGTTCCAAAATCTGCCAAAGAATACTGATATCAATTCGTGCAGGCTTGGGTTCAAGCTACAAAACTGGACACATCCCTCATTGTTCTTCATTCGGGTAACCACGAGCTCATATGCGTCCGACATCGAAAATCTCAAACTCTCTTTGTCTCCAACGTAATTGAACCCCATAACTGCACTAATCCTGGTTATGGTAAACTGCATGTTGGTGTTTATGTCACCTCGATAGAGGACATGTTCGACCGCATGGGGCAACAATCTGCACATGCTGGAAATAGCGGTGAGGGTAAGGGCGGTGGTCGCGGTGCGAAAAAATGGACAACAGACGGCTTGGGAGGAGGGGACCACCCTATTGAAGATAAACTGGCCCTGGTGCGTTTGTTTAGACAATGTCAATCTTCCAATTGCAATGACTGACGACGTCCAGGAAACAATATATGTGGCCAGCAAGTGTCGTACCATGCATATGTACCTGCAGTATGATGTGTATGACTCCCCTGTCCCCGCCTCTTTTATTCGCTCTTTGTCCTTGCCAATGCCACCAAACTGCCCGAGTTCCCTGTCTTCTCCACGCAACCACACTCATGGACTGGATGAATGCATCACAGTTGTCCTCACATCGGAAATTGGGCGAGGTGCTACAGGTGTAGCACTCCGCGGCACTTTGACGCCAGAAAACATGGAAGGAGCTGGTGCACTGGATGTTGTTGTGAAACTTGCATTCGACGACGAAGAGCGTGATTCCCTCAAGAAAGAGTACAATCTTTATCTGCACCTCAGGTCTGAAGGGGTTCAACGGGGGATAACCCCGATTATTGGTTTCTTTGATGACGATGCTGATGGTTTGGCTTGTGCGCTTGTTATGCTCTATGCAGGAGTCCCCATCTCTGATCTGGGAAGAAACCTGACAGCCACTGAATGGTAAGATTGATGATTTCGTCAAAACTCGTTCCCCTAATTCTGACCATTCACTTCCAATTAGTAAAGCTGCACTATCAACGCTGGAGTCTATCCATTGTGCAGATGTGCTCCATGATGATACTCGTCCATACAATGTTCTTATTGGCGACTTGGGAGTCACCATCATTGATTTTGGGAATGCAAGGCGGTGCAGTAGTAAAAAAGCCAAGGACAAAGAATATGCATACCTACAATCTATCCTTCAAGGCTTGGCAGGTGAGAGTCGGTAAAGTATTTTTGTTGTAAGTAGTCAGAAATCCAAGCTTCACAATGATTCCATGGTCTGTTGAGAGGGAATGCGAAGCACAGCTTGACACCTTGTACGGCATCCACTCTCTTAATTCGTCCACTTGGGAGAAAGACAACATTGTAATTTCGGCTCCAGAAAATATTGGCATCCATGTATGCCAACCTCGACAAATCTACCCTAAAACACAAACCTCAGATTTAAGTCACTTAATCTACCTCTCATACCATTATATAGATTCCTTCTAGGTCATTAGTGATTCCCGCAACGTTGTCGTTCTCCTCTTCGTCATCTCTCTCGCCGCTCCTGCAAGTAATACTGCTCAAGCTGACGCTGGCATGCCAACGTCACACAGTAACCGCTGTCGGTTCTATCAAAGCGCTTCAGCAGCTCGTGGTCTTCGTGCGGCTGATCGATCCGAGCAAACTAACGACATGCAATCTCATTAAGGGGGTGCAGTATCGACAGACGAAAGTTGTGTCCGTTTCTTCTTTCCTGTTCCCTTCTTCTTTGGCCGAACCACCTTGATAGGCTCCGGCGTTCCCGTGCGCATCACCTCGTCGCCGGGAGCCTCGTATTGCGGGAAGGAGCTTAAAGGAATGGTGGGTGTCACCGAGCGATATGGGGTCTGCGGGAGTGGGATGGCTGATGGCGTGAGTGGTCGAGCACCTTGCGGCATCTCGCCGTCTCTGTCAATCACAAACTGTTGGGAAGAAAAGTTCTGGGAAGATGCTCTCAAAGACTTGAGCCGGGTATCCATAATGTCTAAGGTTTTTCGTCAGATCAATCCAAAAGGAAACTAAAGAGTCATGTACCTGGAATTAGGGACTGCATATTCTCCAAATGTACCACTGGTATTGAATCGATGTCCTCAACTATCTTTTGCGGACGGTCATCCATGATATAGTAAGGATCATCGCGAAGTTGAGCCAGCCTCTCTGCTTTTCGCTGTTACTTCCAAGTCAGCAAATGAAAAGGTGGAGAGTAAATCACTGACCCGCTCCCGTTCAACAATCTCCTCTGCGGTCTCGTACTCCGGCTCAACGGGAGCAAGGACAATTCGGTCTTCATCGAGCTCTTCCTGCTCAATTTCTCGCCGTTTTCCTTTTGCCTTCTTCCCATTTAGCTCCTTGCCTTTTCCCTTCTTGACCTTTTTGGCTTTCCGTTCCTCATGGTGATATTCTTCCTGAAAGGGCTGAACTATCCAAGCATCCAGATCTAACCCTTCAGGCACGGGTACGCTTGCTTGTGCATGTAAAGCGACAGGGTTCAGCTCGTATTCAGAGAACAGCGGTCGGATGAGATATAGGCTTTTAGGGAAACGAGGTTCGTCCAGTGGAACTACGTCGATAGATGAAGGCCCAGCCAAAGAAGGCGTGGATGACTGGGGTTTGGGTCGGTAGGCGTTGAGGTCAGCTGATATAAAGGTAAAAAGTTGCAAGGTGTTTGCCGCCTAAAAGTTATTAGATGACAACAAACGAAAGAGAGGCTAAATCCACAAACCCGTTCCTGAACCTCAATGTGTGGACTGCTCACAAGCTCGCTCATCCGCGCTAATATTGTTTCAACAACTCTCTTGACTTCTGGTAAATCGTCATCATCCCATCTTTGCGCCAATTCAGATGCCCAGTAGCCAAATACTTTCGTGGCTGCAGAGATGTAAACAGCAATGGTATCTGGATGAAAAATTGTTACACCCGGCTCAAGGAGGTGAGGCAAGAGCTTTTGAGGCTCAGAAAGCTCCCTGGTGTTGGCATGATATAGTGATATGAAACCACGAAAACAATAAGAACGTACTGGCAATACTCTCCACATATCCAAGCTGCTGCCCATAAAACTTCTGAACAACTGCCTTCCTCTTCCGCATTGCGCAACATGATATCATCACTTAACAACGTGTGCATCAACTTGACTGCATACGGTCTTGCTGCACGAACACGACCAACAACATCCACAAGCTGATCCCGTATTTGGGTGCCTACGTTGGCTTTGGCGATATGAGCAAGATCCACGAGGACCGAGAGATACCATTCGAAATTGATCACATTTTCGTAAGTTGATTGTGAACACATGTTGAGTATCCGCTGCGAGAGTGTCAAACGATAGGCGGGCGATTGGCTAGATGACATCGTAGGGCTTGGACTGCTAGGACGCTGGGGAGCAGTCTGTTGAGCGAGCAATTGGGCGGCTGTTTGGGACGGTTGAGAATTTTGAGGAACAAGATGGGTAAGCAATTGTTGTACTATAGATTGGAGATTACTTCGATCAACCTATACCGCCATTCAGTGCGAGGGAGGCAAGGGGACGTGCAATTCGACAAACCATTGCTGACACTAAGTCAAGTGCCCGCATCCGGATACTGATATCTTCGTCACTTACACTTGCAAGAATTGTATCTTGATACTCGGCGACGAGATGGGGATGCGTAGGCACTATCTTCGCCATGGCCAACAAAGCGATGTATTTCACTGATCCAGGTGTATCAGATAGGCTGTTGCTGAAAAGCCTCAGAAACTCACAATTTTGATCCGCATCCTGAATAAAAGCGGCCAGCTTTGACACACACATCGTCGCTAAGGAATCTCCGGAAGAACCATGTAACATGCCTCCGATAATGCATGTGTGAACGCATTCGTATAAGAGAGAGATCGCTGGCGTGGTGGATATAAGCTCGGTGATTGGTTGTTGCAGCTTCTTCACTAAACGAGGCTCGTGAGGCGACAATGACCCAAACTAAAAACTATCAGGAACGTTGTATTATATAAAGAAAGAGCTTACTAGTTTGACGATCTTTATCAGCATCCAATTGTTGGATGATGTTGTCAAGAGGTGAAATAATTGGGGCGCCAATGACAGGTAATCTTGTGGGTTGCAGCGTGCGAGCTCGCAGAGAATGTTGACAGCAGCGGCGACGACAGCTGCGTGATTATCAGACTCTGTCCTCGCAGTAAAGGACGTCCAACAATTGCACACCAGAATCAGGATCTTCCAACTTCTCTTCAAGACGCGCACGAGCGTGACTCATTGCCTCCGGATATTTTACAACTACTTTGTAGAGAGCCAAAATTGCTCTCTTTCGTATGTGGGGCCGCGAGTGGTTCAACATGCCAATCAACTCTGGTGAGAGATCTCGAGCCAGGTCGGGCGTCACAATGTGAGAGATCCCATTGAGTGTAACTGCAATGTCTGCAGGTGCAGAGCCCATGTCCTAAGAGATTGATGAGGCAGGAGATCCAAGCTGAGAGGACAGTTGCTGACCTTCTTCAGGAGATTGGTTGTGAGCATAAGAACATCCGTGTCCTGTTCGAACGATTGCACAGCGGCCAAATACCCAACGCTCTTCAAGTGGACTCTCGGAGACGACATCACCTCTACAACGTGAAACGAGGCCCAGCTCATGTCATATCCTAACATATCGAGCTTTTCGAGTAGAGTTTAATGGATGCAATTCAGACGTAAAGTCAGAGACGATACACACATATGTGAGCTTTAATACAGCCCCTGCCTTCAACTCCATGTCATCGCCCTTGATCTCCTGCCGAATTTCGTCGACTGCTTTCGCTATAAACGTTGCTTCATCACTCTTGTTGGCACGCAATCCGCGAATCAGATCTTGCAGTGTTCGCTCCCACATAAAGAGGTCCGTATGCCTGTCCTTTTCGACTGAAAACTAGATAGAGACGCGACTTGCACGCAACGTCGGGGGAATTAGTTGCGGATTATGGCACGTGCCCACCATAGGCAGCACGTGGATCGCATGACCTCATGAGTCGCACGCTTCCAAAAGGGTTCGAATTCCATCAAAATCTCAAAAATGGTCTCGAGCTGCGTCATTGCTCCTACCTCTCCATATAAGACGCTCCCTGGTTCCAGCTAACGATCCTTACGAACACATCAACGCCCTCCAAATACTCCTAAGCGCCGTCCTCAGAATAAATCATGCCCAGCCCCGCCCTTCCTGGTGTGTTTTTTTGCTTCGCAGCTATGGTCCTGCTGATCTTCGTGAGTCTCCTCCACTTGAGACTGTCTTGATCCATCTGAACAGTCTCAAGGTGTCGGTATCGTCGCCTACGTGGCAATCGGTATCATTTCTGCACGTTGGTTCAGGCAGCAGTACCGTTCGTTACGGTGTCTTTGGCTTCACAGGACACAGTCCTTCTGTCGGTTACCGCTTCCAGTTAGTTCCCCACCTTATACAAAAAGTTGAAGTATAACTTGTATATTGCATAGGAACAACCCCCGTCTTCAATCCAGCATTATCCACAGTCTCACCAGGACCTTGATCCTTCATCCACTCGGTGTGTCTTGGATCTGCTAGCGATTGTTATCACCGTTCTAACCTTCATCAAAGCTGCCGGCATCACAGGTTTCGCATTTTTTGCTGGACTTTTTGGTCTCGCTTTCCATCGCGTGGGAACCATTATCATGGCTCTCCTCTCTGGCCTTGCGTTCCTTGTCATCTTCGTCGCTTGGGTTATTGACATGATTTTGTTCGGAATCGCGCGTCAACGCTATCGCAATCAGGGCGATCGTGCACAGTATGGGAATGCCAACTGGCTAACTCTCGGCGCTCTCGTCGCGCTTGTGTTTGGGTTCTGCCTCTCAGCTTTCGGCGCTTTGGGCAGCTACAAGAGAAGGACCAGGTCAACTTATTGAAGTGTGAACCTGCCCCCGACAACTCCTTCGTTTTTTCTCATTTCATCTACCATTTGGACAGTTGATTTATTGCTCATATGACACTTACTCGCTCACTTACGATGACACGCTATCGTTCATGCCTTTAACAGCCCTTGCCCTTTTTCGAGCTTTTGAAATCACCAAGTATTGTACACTATGACGCTTATTGTACTTCAAGTACAAACTGCCCCTGTAGCATGTTTGAAATGAAAATACCCCGGTCTTTGGATGCGACGTCCAGCGCACTTGAAGTGACCATGCTAAAGTCTGCCTTGCACTTTGGCTTCAGTAGTTCAACGTTTGACTGGAAAGAATATTCACTTGAGACAGGGCCCAATAAATATTCAGGACAAATCAGGACATATGTACCTCCTTAATCATAGCCACTTGTAAATTAATGAAGTGAATGTGCATCCCGAAAACATTAATTCTCAAAATTACAAAAGGAAGAACAATAAGAACATCAACCACATTTAATTTGCATATTTAAACAATTTCTTTGTGAAATAGTCTTGGTAGCCATGGCAACACCACTCAGCTGAAGAATATGTGAAAGAATAAAATAATGAAATTGGCCAGTCAAGATGGCTGATGTTCTTATTGTTCACCAGTTTGAGATTTTGTTAATCAATGTTTGTGGGATACACAACAGGTTTATTATTCTACAAGTGTCGACAATTATGGAGGTACCTTTGCGTAGATCACACATTGGACACTGTCTCAAGTGATTGTAACCACGGATTATTCATGCTGAATCCTGATATGCGACATCAGTAAAATACAATTTATAAACTTATACAGCTGCCTGGACCATTAAAATAGAAAAACAAGTGACTTCACACCTCCCTAAATCATTCCTTCCCTCTGCGGAACAGCAACAGGCGGTAACCGGTGGCCCGTCGCGCTCCCAGGTCGGTTGATAGACCTTGGGGGGAGCGATCCTTGATTATAAGGGACAGGACTACCCCTCACAGACCTGGGCGGTCTGTCTCTATCAACTCGTTCTTTCACACCACCACCACCAACAGTACCAGCACGGAACGGGTTAGCACTCAAAGGCGGAGACCGAGGTCGTCTCGCCACGGGAGAGGTCAGCGGAAGATCAGGGATGGGCGCAGAGGTGGGTGGGGGTCCTCCCTGCCATTGTTGTGTAACTGACGGGGTGCGACTACGGTTTACCAAGCCTCCTGGGTACACTGCCGGACGCGCAGTGTTATTCAGTGGGGCCCCGTTGGAATAGGAGCTAGGGCTGCTAGCATTGCGCAGCCCCAAGTTCGAGATCAGGGTGTTGGGTGTTCCTGGGGGATGCAGCGACTCTCCGGTGCCTATGAAATGTGGGAGGGACGAGGTGCTGCTGGAATGTGAAGAGGGTACGGGTGACCGGCGACGTCGGATAGGTGGATCTAATAACGTAGGAGGTGTAGGCGCGGGTGGTAGTTGCAAGGAGGGAGGTGGCTGTTCGACTGGCTCAGAGATAGGCGGGGATGATTGGATGGCGGGCTTTGATGTGCGATGACCGTCAAGAGAGAATGCAGCAGTAGCTTTGACAGCTTCCTTTGGATGTTGGACGAGAAGTTCGTCGAGTAGATATCGAAAGTCGAGACCATATTCTTGAAGTAGCTAAAGGCAGGATAGTAAGATTACTGCTTTGCTATGAACGAAATAGTGTCACCTTCTTGCTCTGCGTATGAGTGATCTGAATAGCATCCTCCACAACCTTGGGGTCGACGTCTTTGGAGTAAACCTGTTTCCTGAACGTTTCGGCATAGCTCTGAATTCCCTCTTTGGCCCATGTTATAAAGGCTTCAACGTCTTAGTTAGATACACGCAAGAGGTGAAGACGAAATAAAGATCTTACAACTTGCCACCTCATTCTCCTTGAAGCTTGCCAGGTACCAGTCCGCCGTATGTTTGATTCCTGTAAAGTAAACAGTGGCAAGATCGCCAATGTACGACCCGATGTGGCCCTCAAATCGTATCTTGCGCACGTGTCCCCGAATCACCTTGCTACGCATTTCAAGGAACGTACTCCGAGCAGGGGCACCAGCTTTCAGCCGATTGAGTAGGGAGATCAGGAGCACGACACTAGACTTTCGGTTCGACATCAAGGAGAGGGACGCCAGCAGTGATGTGGTCAGCTGATTCGTGAGAGCCGGTAGTTTGGACGCGAGCAGAGGAATAGTTGAGAGTTTGGCTTGTCCTGAAGAAATACCTGTCAGCTTCTTCGAAATAAAAAGAGGCTAGACGGAACCTTGTTCAACAAGATCGACAGCTTTGGGCCACTCTTTCAGAGCAATAGCAACAGTCAGATCGTCAGACCAATCCCCGACAAACCGTGCATCCCGCTCCGCCTTTTCCTTGGCATCGTTTCCGGATCCTGGAATTTCACCACCTTTTTTCGCAAGGTCAGCCATCCACTCTGGCATTGGAGGTATTGTTGTACTGCGCTATAGCACTTATCAGACCTTTGGATGTTCTTCACAACCCCAAAAGACTCACATCACCACCACCGCCCTGCCACATGCTCTTCCTCCGTTCGTGTTCTCCCTCCCTCTCTTTGCGACGCTTCGCCGAGAGCTCTTCGGCTACTTGACGGAATTGAGACAATAAACTCTTCTTCTCCTGCGGAGTATCCGTTCGATAAACATGGGTCTCCTTCCCATGTCTTATTTTGAAGACATTCGTCATGCCTAAAAAGTCGCCTCAACAACCGTGTCCGCTTTAACAGATTCCAGACGTACTTGCAGAATCTTTGGTATCCAGAACCAACATTTCATTCAAAGCCCAGCATCTTTCCGCGACAAGCTTTCCCTCATTTACCGTGGATCCAGTGCCTTCTCTTCCTCCGACATTCCGTCTCCTTCTCTTAGCCACCAACACTGCGTCATTCAACACGACGAACTTCACCTTATTGATGATCTTGTATGTGGCTGCGTTAAGACTGAGTACGCCCTCCATTTCACCAACGACATGTCTGCCAGGCGTCGTAGGGACAAATTTGGCTGCGCCCTCAATTGAAGCGTGGATGGCTTGCATTTGGTTGAAGTAGAGTACACGAAGATCGGCGACGGAGGAGCGTTTGTATGTAGATAGAGAGGATGAGGAGATGGCGGTTGGGTCGGGTATGTGTAACATTGACGGCATTGATTTGTAGTCTGATAGAAGCTCCTTTAGCTCAAGCATCTCGTTTTCCAGGACTGATATCTCTTTCGAGATCAGGACGAATTCCGCATAACTTCAAAGGGTCAGGCAAATAAGCTGCGAGGAAAGCACGGCGTACTTTTTGAAGACACTCCGCTGCAGCTCAGAAGCGGTATCATCTTTTGCTTTATGCAACGATGATTGGAGTAATTTCAGCTCAGCTTCCGTCGAGTTTGCAAGTTTCAGCTTCAGAACTGTTCATTCAGAGAGACTCTTTCATTATCACTTCAAGTCATATATTCGCGACTCACAAGCATCAGGATCAAAATCCTCAGCACTCAATAATTTCTTATCATTCACTGCGACCTTGGCCTCGTCCTTCGACCCCGTTCGATCTCGCACATCCTCTTCTCCTTCTCCCATCATTCCACGCACAGGTGGCGACGTCATCCCCGCGAGACTTGGCATCGCGGGCAGACCTGTCAGCTCTGTCGGACTCGATATGTCAGCGTATCGCATGGACATGCGCTTCTTAATTTTGTCATCGATGCGGGTCTTGTTTCGGTCGCGCGGTGCGGGACCAGGACCTTGCTTGGAGAGTTTAGTGGGAGTGCGTTGCGCTTTCCGAGGTGCCTGAGACGGTCGTGATCGTAGCGACTCCATTATGGAGCTGTGGAGGGTTTTGTCACGCTGACAGAACGAGTAACTAAAATTCGGGAGTCACCCTCGAAGTTTGGTTTGAAGATTGATTCTGAACTCACCTTTGTGTAAGTCCACTGTCCACAACCAGTCCTTGGCGAATAGTATTACGCGCAGTGTGGTGTAACGGATGTGAGTCATGTGACGCATCTTTGATTCTTAAAGTTACGTCTGTCCTTGGTCTGTCCCAAATCTCTCGGACTCATCTCCCTTTTGGTTTGAGTGCATGAGTGGTGCAATGTTGAGGCCCAGCTTGCTTGTCAGCATTGCCGATGTTGATTGGTGCTCAGCACCGTGCGCCAAATAATAACGACAAAAAAAAGTGATCAACCCCCACAGCGGCAACTGATCATGATGACGCGTGCAAGGACATGCATACACCAACCACCATTACGAAGTAGGACAAGTGCTGCCCATGAAAATGGGTCCAACAGAGGGACTCCTAGGCTAGCCCTTGCCCTCAAACATTAGCCAAGCGCCAGCGAGGCGCTTGGTTAAATGAAAACGGGTGTGCGGCACGGCAACAAGGTGAAAATGAAAAGCAGAAAATCCTGGTGGGCAGATAAATACTAGTGGGATTGTCACTACGATAGGGCGTTTATGATAGAACTGGAATAGGTCATGCACGTCATGACCAAACGCAGAAAAATCAAGTTGGAGTCCATTGATGACATGAATGTAAGTAGAACACCGGCAAGCCTGGATAAACTCCTGTTCAACTTCTGCTGCTCTCTTACCACCATCACCACCTGCATTCATCCAGGCTGAATCAAAGATGGCAGCGTACGCCCAACAACGCTCCCAGCCTGCTACATGGGATAGTCAGCAGTACACCCAACAGCAGCAACAACACCGTCTGTCCATGGCCACTGAATTCGGCTTGCAGGAGGATTACCAGCCAGAAAACCAGCCCGAGCCACAATCTATGCCTTCTCGCCCAAGCAGGGAGCTTCCACGTCCCCCTATTCCTCAACAACCGCAGTCAATGTCGCATCGACCCAGCCAGTATGAGCCGGAGCAGGAGTATGAGGACCATACGCCAGAACCAGAAGACGACAACGATGACTTTTTCAATGGCGACTCGCCGATCAACCCTAGTGGCCTTCATCCGAATTCATCCTACAACCCCGTTATTGGTCGAGATTCCTATTCTCCTTATAGACAACCCAACTCGAACGCCTCACAATCCATTCGCGCACCATCCCCCCCGCCGGCTGGCCCAATCCTCGATCACTCCCATCTTCGCCCCGGTAATCAAGCCTCCCTTCTCTCTCATGAACGTACTCTTGAGCTCTACCGAGCAAATGCCAAGAAGACCCAAGACCCCGACCTGCAGTTCGAGTTTGCCGTTTTCATGATAGATGCTTCAAAGTCGCTGCCGATCCCCCAACAAACGCTGGGAAATGTGATGGAAGTGGAAAAGGCCTTGGAGAAACGCGAAGATCTCGTCCGCGAAGCTACCTCACTGCTCAAACGTCTGGCAGACAGAGGCCATCCGCCTAGTCAGTACTTTCTAGCCGATTGCTATTCTAATGGCATTGGCACCGTCAAGAACAGGCAAGACTTTGACCGGGCGTACCCGTTGTTTATCCTCGCCGCCAAGCATGGACATCCTGATGCAGCTTACCGTGCTGGGACATGCTGCGAGAACGGATGGGGGTGTAGGAGAGAATCAGCGAAAGCATTGACGTTCTTCCGAAAAGCTACGGCTGCGCTACATCCAGGGGCGATGTATCGACTTGGCATTGCGGAACTCAACGGAGAGCTGGGTCTGTCGAAGAGCCCGAAGGAGGGTGTGAAGTGGCTGAAGCGGAGTGCGGAGAATGCGACAGCCGAGTTCCCCCATGCGTTGCATGAGTTGGCATTATTGCATGAACGGGGTGTCGACAACGTCCTTTTCGTGGACTATGAGTATTCTACGGAGCTTTTGGCCCAGGCAGCAGAGCTAGGGTATGCGCCAAGTGCGTACAGGCTAGGAGAGTGCTATGAGTACGGGAAGATGGGGTGTCCTCAAGATCCCGCCCTCTCAATCCACTATTACGCGCGTCCTTCACCCACTTCACCCTGACGTCTCATTGATCTTTGAATTTTCGCAGAACATTGCTGCTCAACAAAATCATCGTGATGCATGCTTTGCGCTAACGGCGTGGTATCTTGTTGGTTCACCTGGCGTTCTTCCCCAATCAGACACGGAAGCTTTCCTGTGGGCACAGAGAGCGGCGGATGCGGGGCTGCCAAAGGCCATGTACGCTGTTGGTTATTTCTTGGAGGTGGGGATTGGGACGCAAGCGAACCTACCCCAGTAAGTTGAGCTTTTACTTGGATGAGGCTTTTTATCATTGTTTTGCCAAGGGCGATATCATACTACAAGAAAGCCGCAGAACAAGGCGATAAGCGTGCAGCTCAACGGTTAAAAGGTTCCCAGAACCAGGCGATGCCTCAACCTGGCAACCCAGGTGCCATTCTTCACCGAAACTCGGATGGCGATACCAGTAAGAATGGAAAGGACAAAGACTGCGTGATCATGTGAGCTTGGAGGAAGAAAGGTACATGGGCGGTTGAACTTCATTCATACGATGGATCCATATACATACACGCAGGAGGCGCAGCAACAGAACATGCAACTAAGGGAGGGAAGGACTCCACACATTAAATTCAGGTTGATCGTCACGCTATACTTTATACACAGCTATTTACCCGTGGATCCCTAGTTCTTTTCCTTTCACCTGCATCCACGGTCGTTCACATTGGCTTTCTTGTCTGTTCCTCTTTGACACTTAGAATCAGATGACACAGTCCCCCCAACACTCATTTTCGACAACATATGCATTTTTCTTCTTCTGTAACCCACTTATCATTATACTACTACAGCTTGTTTTTCGTCTCATATGTGGTTGGTCCTTGCGAACTTGGTGGTGGATCTAGACGGATTATAAACCCATCTACGTCTTTGAAAGTATTCAAATACAGGCCCCCTAGCTCAGTGGATTAGAGCGTGTGATTCCAGATCTGGAAGTTCCACAAGGTCATCCGTTCGACTCGGGTGGGGGTCAGGAAGATGAGCTGTCCTTTTTGATGCTTTTCGCCCCTACTCGATTACTTATGGGTGACTATTCACCCATGTGGGGGATGTTAACTCTATTTTGATTCTATTTGACACTTTGTTCACATCCACGACTAGACCCAAGGCGGGCAATCAAGGATTTCGAGAGCACTCAACGTAGAGAAAGTAGCATTCCTAAAGGATTTTCGGCATTCGACCCAAATTCGACTGATCATTTTGCTGGGCGGGCTGCAGCCATGCCATCTCCCTTTCTCTTCTTGATATTCGTCGTACAAACAATATGGTCTCTTTCATTGGCTAGTTTTACTTTTCTTCTGTATATCGCCTCTCGGTCCAACAAGTATGTTGATAACTGATGGTAAGTGGTCCCCAAGCGCGATTTACTATCGCGCGTCGCGTCCTTGTCGCGTCGCATTATAGGTCATGTGATTCGGATCTTGGCTGAACTTGCCGTGTTCCGTTCCAAGTTTTAGTACTTTCCAACATCTTCTTCAGCATACCAGAGAACGTATTCGTGAATCATGATACCGACCACCAAACGTTCTGTAACCTCGAGATGCCTACCGACATCCTTGGGTCGCCTGTCCAATAGCCACCGAGTAACGACGTCACGCCCGGCAAATAAGGTAACATCGACACCGACAAGAGGATATGGTTTAGGGACCCCGTGGAGGATTGAGAAGAAATGTTACACGACTGAAAGCCATGGTGAGTTGGTCGCGGAGGATCTCGACGAGATTATAACTCTAGATGGGAAGGGTTGACCCGGATTGCACGCAAGCCCCACTTTGACAAAATTCTCATCGCGAACAGGTAAGTCAGCTTGGTTCTGCTGTTTGACGTTGGGATTTAACTGTTGATCCAGAGGAGAGATTGCATGTCGCGTCATTCGTACAGCTAAGAAGCTGGGCATCAAGACTGTGGCGGTTTATAGCGACGTGGACAAGGATTCACTTCATGTACAAATGGTGCATACCAGTTTACGTCATTTCCTCCGATATTACTGACATGTGTAATTCTACAGGCGGACGAGGCGTACAATATCGGTCCCGCCCCCTCTGCTGAGAGCTACGTCAGTCTTTGCGTTCTGGAGTACTCGCGTATTTTGCTGAGCAATGCACTAGCTAAGAATGGACAAGATAATAGATATCTGTCGTCGTAGCGGCGCGCAGGTGAAACCTACATGCTACCAGCTATTGTTCTTTACATGGTGCTGATCTCCACCCAGGCTGTTCATCCAGGGTACACCCCATACGCGTGTCATAGGCAACCCAGACTCACAAGGCTTGTGACAGGTATGGATTTTTGAGCGAAAATGCGACCTTTTCGGAACGTCTCGCAGAGGCGGGGATTGTTTTCATTGGACCTCCCGCAAGCGCCATTGTCAGCATGGGCTCGAAGAGGTTTGTACGATGCTTATTTTGTTATTTATCTTCTTTTTAATCTATCTTGTTTACAGTGAATCCAAGAATATCATGTCGAGTGAGTTTCTGTTAGGTGCTGCACCAAACATAGCGACGGACTCAGAACTATCAAGGTGCTGGAGTACCATGTGTTCCTGGCTATCATGGGGAGAATCAGGATGCAACCTTTTTGTTTGAGCAGGCTCAACAGATAGGTGCGTTATCGCGCCTGTTCTGATGACAACTTGTATCAAAGACTTCCAAGGTTTTCCTGTGCTTATCAAAGCTATCCATGGAGGAGGAGGCAAAGGTATGAGGGCCGTGACGACGCCCACCGTTTCTGCGTTCAACGAAGCGCTTCTGTCTGCACAACGAGAATCTCTCAAAGCGTTTGGGAATGACACCGTACTTGTTGAAAAGTACATTGAGCGACCTAGACATGTGGAAGTCCAGGTTTTCGCGGATAGCCTGGGCGGTGTCGTAAGTCTCTGGGAACGTGACTGTTCTGTTCAGAGACGAAACCAGAAGATTATTGAGGAGGTACGTTGTTTTGCTTTCTTCGCAGGTACGATTGTCACTACGTTCTAGGCCCCTGCACCTGGTCTCTCTCCTGAACTCCGTGCGGACCTTAGTGCCAAAGCCATAGCTGCTGCACGCGCCGTCAATTATGTCGGTGCAGGAACCGTTGAGTTCATTTTCGACAATGATACCCAGAGGTTTTATTTTATGGAGATGTAGGTTATTTTTAGTACAGCTTTTCATGAATTAACAGAACATCTCAAGGAATACCCGTTTACAAGTTGAACATCCTGTCACTGAAATGGTTACAGGTCTTGATCTCGTCGAATGGCAATTAGAGGTTGGCACATTCGCCCGTCTTGGTTTATCCGGATGCTCATCTTAAACCAAAGGTTGCATCTGGGAATCCTCTTCCGCTCGCTCAAGAATGTATTCCTCTCGTTGGTCATGCGTTCGAAGCGCGCATATATGCCGAGAACCCACGAAACAACTTCCTTCCAGACTCTGGATCTCTTCTCTACCTCTCAACGCCCACGCCAACACACATCTTCGCCCCTCCGTTTGCTCCTCTTCCTCCCTCTCAAACCTCCACCCGGTCAGCGTTGACGCCCTCGCTCTCCTCGCATGACTCCATTTCCATCACTCCTTCCCTCAGAATTGAGCAAGGCTTCACACAGGGGGCTCTGATAGGAGTTTTCTACGACCCCATGATTGCGAAAGTAGTTGTTCATGGAAGAGACAGGACGGAGGCTCTGCGCATGTTGCGCAAGGCATTGGATGAGTACCACGTCGTTGGTGTATCCACCAATGTAGAATTTTTAAGAACGTTGGCAGGCAATAAATCCTTTATCAACGGGGAAGTCGAGACGGGGTTCATTCCTGTTCGTTGCATCACTACTTTACATCACAAGGAAGCTAATTAACTAACAGAAACACTTTGACGAACTATTCCCACCAGTAGAGGAGCCGAGTCCTGAAATCCTTGCGCAAGCCGCTCTTTTTGTTGCACTCCGAGACCATTCAAGTTCAATTGGGTCAACCACACAAATTTCGCCCTGGACGTCGCTCACCTCGCGTCGATTTGGAGGGGACAAATACGAACGTGTTGTCACTCTACAGGCTGAGAACACGACCGATCAACAGGTGGTTGTCAATGTCGCAAACACTACCCCAGGGCGCTTCGACGTTACCGTGAATACATCAAAGGGCACCACAAAGTTCTCTAATGTACCAGCTACGTTATCCTCGCCAACCACAATTTCCACACAGCTAGACGCGAACTACTCTCAAACGACCATCGTCTCTCAATCTCCGCCAGCAGCACTCCCTGCTTCATCGTCGCCCAACACCATGGAGCGCCTTCATGTGTTTAGCGATGGACACAAAACGACGCTTGTTTTGCCTTCGCCGAATTGGTTACTGTCCCTCGGTGGGGATCTCTTGAAAGCAACTAAGGGAGCCCTGAAAGCGCCAATGCCCAGCCTGGTGGTTGATGTGCGAGTGAAGCTCGGCGACCGCGTCGAGAAAGGGCAGGCTATCATTGTATTGGAGAGCATGAAGACAGAGACCGTGCTTCGTGCCGATGCAGCAGGGGTGGTGAAAGCAGTTGGGTGCAAGAACGGCGAAATGGTGGAGGAGGGTCGGGAGTTGGTTGAAATCGAAGCGGATGAAGTGGAGCCGCCGTTGCCCTGATTAGCAATAAATTGGGGGAAGGAGCATTAACGAGGACAGCGTCGGATCAAAGGCTACATGTATATAGTAGAATACAAAGGAAAGGATCTTTGGAGGCTGGAGGCTGGAATTCCGAATCAAATTGCAGTTGTCATTATGCCGCCGCCTGGCGTAGGTGTCATTGGATCTTGGCCAGACAACATTGGAGGAAGATTTCGTCCTATATTAGCTGGGAGAAAAGGAGCTCTAGAGCCGGGGGGTTCGGGATTTTGGGTACCCTCAGGTGTGATATAAGGGTCATTCTCGATTTCTGCAGCATTCGAGGCATGATCGTGTGCCAAAGAAGTAGCCAGTATCATACGGTGGTCCCTGGGAGGTCTCTCTTCAATCTCTTTGATAATTTCGAGCATTTCTTTCTCGCCCGTCCAAGAGCCAGCAAATGAACTCATGTCGTCATAGCCCTTGGCCTGTGCCAGAGTTTGCTTGAGTGCGGTTGCGTCTACCTTTTTATAAACAATCCTAGGAGCCTTGAATTGTGCTACGCAGAACTTTGTCAAACCCCAATGATTGTCGAGGTATTTGCCCTACCTGTAGGCATTAGCGGATGGGTGATGATACGTGCGTGCAAAAATGCGTACCACGCGGAGATAAGCGGGTATCAGGGTCTTTTCGATATCCTTGAGAGGGTTCGAGGAGAAGCAAGAAGGGTTGGCTTCAGCTCCTCGCGCAATCATAACCGAATGCGCTCCAGTCGTCTCCCGCACCCTCTTCGCGTCCTCCCAGCTCATACAATCACCATTCTCAATGACTGCAATACCCCTCCCCAACCCTTCAACAAATTCAACAATTTCCCTCAACCGCTCAATAACAGCCCGGTCTTTCTCCCGCATATTCCTCGTCCGACAATGAACCGTCAACGCGCTTATCCCCGTATTCACGATCCTCTCCACGAGCTTCAAAGTATCCTCTTGGGAGGGAAGCAAGCGGATCTTCGCAGTGACAGTTATCTCGGGGGGCATTTCCCGCCTCAACGCAGTCAGGATGGAGCAGAGCAAGTCCGGGTTCGTGAGCAGCGCCGCGCCCATCCCGGCGTGCGTTGAAAAGGGTTTCGGACATCCGCAGTTGAGGTCGATACCCGATACGTCTTGCATCACCATTTTGGCGGCTTGGACCGCGAGTTCGGGGTCTGAAGAACCGATTTGATAGATGAGGTAGGGTTTTTCCACTGGATGCGTCGCGAAAATGGCGCGGGAGACGCCATTGTACGAAATAACGCCGGTTATAGCTGCGATTATCGGTTTGAACGTGTTATATATAGTGCATATTCGAAGACAACTCACGATCGACCTCACGTGTGGAATGAAGGATAGCTTTGTCGACGATCTCTGGGGCCCATACGAGGGTAGCACCGTGTTTCAAAGCGAACAAGCGTGTGGGCACTACTTATAAGATTATGATACCACATCTGAGTATAATTACTCACATGCACCAGACCGTACCATAGGAGCGAGAAATACACCATTCTTGAAGTCCTCCTTGGTGAGATGGTCCCTCTTCAAACGTTTTGAACATCGGGGCGAGGGTGAGGAGGAGGCGGAGCGGCGCGACATTGTAAAGAGAGAGAAACGAAGGGACTGTCGGAGAGATTTGCACAACCTTAGTGGAACGTCTAACCGAATCATAAACGAGAAAAAAAGTAAACGCGAGTCATTTATCTGTTTGGCAGCATCTCCGAAGGTAAACAAACTCAACGAGAATGTAGTGTTTTAGTTGGCATTTAGTAGAGTAGTTATCACAACCTCGACAACGCTCTCCCAGCGCTGTCGAGGTAGCCAAGTATCGAAACAAGTAGCTAGTCGACAACATATACGGAGGAACGCAAGTTCGATAGGCATACCACAGAAAAGCCCCCCCCTTTGCATTTTAGTGATTACAAGCAGTCCATCTACTTCACATTGCGCTTCTTCAAGTTGCCCTCGTCCTTCTTTACATCACCAGCAGGGGCCACAGGTGCCTTTTCGGATTTCTTCTTGTCATCAGGGGTAACGGCATCCGTCTTCTTGGCCGACTAGGGAAGACACGTTAGCGCGTCGATTATATCAACGTATAGTAACACAAACCTTGGTAACGACGGGCTTGGAGGCACCGCCGATGATGCCGAAGAGAGCTCCGAGCATTCCAAAGAGAGTGAATAGGGCACCAACAAGCGCAGCGCCAGTCTCGGGTTGAGTCTTGAAGGCATCGAGAGGGTCGACTTTGGCGGCTTCAACGAAGGATTGAACCTTGGACCGGATCCAGACAATAGGGTCATCCTTGAACAAGGGCTTCTCTTCCTCTTCGTCATCAGAGGCCAATGGCTTCTCGGCGGCGACCTCCAGAGGCTTCTTAACCTCGAAGGTCTCAGCAGCGAATGCCTTGGCGTCCTCAGGAGAGTGACCAATGTAGATGTTGTCGAACAAGATATCCTCAGTCATGGTCCACAGTTCAATTCCAACGCCACCCTTGATGAGGTATTAGTGAGATTCCCCCACTTGCGCTATACACTTACAATTTTAGACAAAGTTTTCACTGGGGTGAGGTCCTCAAAGTAGTTGGGGTTGGGGATCTTGCGGGGAGCCCAGACGCCCTTGTATGCGGGGTTGTCAATCTTGGGGGCAAACCATTTTCCTTTGAATTCGGGGTTAGCCTTGAAAGGTCTGGATGAAGTCGATAGATTAAACAGTAACTCTAACTTAGAGGAGAAGGACCAACCGTTTCCATTCACCGCAACCAGGGGCTTCAGCACACTTGGGGTTAGCAACAGTGGGAGCGATCCAATCGCCGTCTTCTTCGTCATCCCACTCCTCAGGCTTGGTAGCATCTGCAAATATAATAAGTTGATGTTCGGTTACACCTAGAAAAACAACTTACCGGGATCAGGAATGCTGAGGGGTTCGTTATCCAACCAGCCTTCGGGCTTCACGGCTTCCTCATCGAGGATTTCGTATGGTTGGTCCTCATCCCAGTCAGCGGGCTTTAAGATATCATCAGCGACGACATTTCTGGCTGACTGAAAAAGAGACTAACCTTCTTGGCGTCAGGATCAGCGATCGTCTTCTCCTCAACCCAGTCCTCGGGCTTCTTGTCATTTGCGTCATCGATTTCCTTCGAGGGGTTAACAGAAGGCTCGAAGTCCTCAAGGAGACTTCCAGTCTTGTCACTCTCGCCGTTGACGAGTACATTATAAGTGTTATTAGGGCTGCAAAGTAGATAAGACTTGACGTCAACTCGGCTGAAAAGTTGTGCTTACTGAACAATGAGGGTGTAGAGATTAGTCAACTTCTCAATAGAGGGACGGGGAGGAATCTTGAGGTGCTTCTCCTCGGTTTCGCCAGTCTTAGGACTCTTATAACGGAAGATAAAGTGCACCTGAAACACAACCCGTTAGCGCCAGGGAAGCAATGGACACGACATATGGTTTACCTTGGTGCCGGGACACGTCAGATCAGGGCCGAACATAACCACCCAGGGAGTAGTGTCTGAGAACTCCTTTCCGCTGGTCTGGAAGCCATCCTCCAGAAGTTTGACGTAACCACCGCCGCAGTTACCACCCTTCTGGTATTTGACTTCGTATTGAACGACCAAGGGCTTGTCCTTGAAATCAATGGGCGTCGCAAAGGGGGCAGAAATGGCGTGGTGGGCGGCCTTGCTTTTGGCGACAAGACCTTTCTTTCCCTCGATGACAGAAATGGCAGGGTCCTCAACCTCCCACTTGCCAACGTAACTGAATGTTTCGCCGCCGACGGGAGTTTTCTTGGTGGCTTCCGAGGGCGTCCAACGTTCTGACCAGTCTTCCGTGAATTGCTCAACGAAAGGAGCCTTGATGTTGGAAGGCTAGACATACGTCAGTGGTCTGAGCATGTCGATTCAGTCGAGACGACGCCTCACTGTAAACGTCGGCTTGGGAGCGTCAGATTGTGCCAACGCGCCAGAGGCGGCGAGGGCGATAACAGAGAGCGCTACGCTTCGCATTGTAATACGAAGGACCAGAAAAAAAATATAAGAAGAGAGAAGGAAAGAGGAACGAGTGGGTGATGAGCTGTAAATTTGTTTGCGGGGAGCGTCAATTCCTAAATACCGAGATCAAGCTTGAACGGTATACGTGGCATCAGGAACACTTTCACACGACCACATGTGCATGTAGCTTTGCGGCAAACTTTAACCTCGCGTTGCAGTTGGCTAGAGCTGGCAGTATTCTACGGCGAAATCGAACCTTCTTTCTGGACAACACGAATTGGAATTGAAATCGCGTCTATTTTGTCCCTTATGGCCATCGAGGACGTCCGCCCCAATCAGCCTGGACCGGAGTGAGGTTGTAAGCCTCCACCTCCTGAGGTACGCCATTTCAAACAACTAATCTACCTGGTTGAAAGTGAACTTTCTACATTCACGGGGTGTCATGCAACCTCTTAGCTACTTCATGGGTGAGAGTCAGTAAAGTAAAGAATGGCATGGTATTTTTGTTGTACGTAGTTAGCAACAGAAAATCAATCAAGATCCACCATCTTTCGAGACAACTCAAGCCGACACAAGCCGACACTCTAACCTAGCAGATCAGCATGACCAGAAGCAGACAGGGCCAACTGCAGAAAACATATCAACAATGATTGAGAAAGTCTCAGCTTGAGCACTCACCACAAACTCATCGTCGAGATATTTTGACACGGCAATCTGGTCGCCCAAACCTTTCCGTCTACGTGTCTTCAGCACGAGGTCTCTCGCTAGCGCTTGTCCCGAAGCAGGTTCCAGAGGTCGAAGTTTGATACTCGTGTCCGTGGGATCACCTGAAAACACGTTCGACGTCAACTCCTGTGAGAAAACACCACGTCGTACCTGGCACAATTGACCAGTGGTCAAACACTTGCAGACAAAAGGCTTGTCCTTGCGTTGCTGTTCGGAGGTCAGTTTCGAACCCATTGGCATCTATTACTGGGATGAGGGCTTTGACGGTGTATAGCGGCGATCCAGCTTTGGGGATATCTTGAGTGACATGTCCACGACGGCGTGCCAGAACCGTGTATACCGCCGATATACAGTCAGCAGGTGCCTGGACTTCAACATAGTAGACTGGTTCCATTAGTCTTGGCGTCGCCTATCAATTATCAGACGAAATTCTTTTACAAGAAAAAGGGGCTCTCACCATTAGGAATGAAGAATAGCAAACACGACGGGCAGTGGGCACAATCTGTCCGCCTCCGCGGAAGATTGGTTCTTGGGCTAGGCTTGCATCTAAGAGCCGGAACTTGACATTTCGCATTGCTAAGAGTTCAGGGAAAATGATTCAACAACGATTGCCCAGAAACAAGATGATGCAGACCCACGTTCGTCGCATAAGGGACCTTCTCGTGCACCCCACTGGAATCCTTGCTTAATGTGTTCTTTAACGGTTCCCAGCAGCTTCTTGTCGATCTGGAAGGTTGTGAGAAGGATTTAAGAAGAAAGAAAGACACAATTCACTTGAGACGGCAGCGTGTCATCCAAGAGAATATTAGGCCCATTTTCATCGGGACCAAAGGCCCATATCGACCGTGACGCAAGTAAGTCCCACTGATACTTCTCCTCGAAGAATTTTCCCCTCTCCTTCGCCGTCATCCTCATGTTGACGCGTCCACGTTCGAGATCTTCAGCAATGCCGCGCTCCAACGGCTCTGCAATCATCGTAATTTTATTTCTTTACGTCGATATCATCAGTTTCCAAAATTTTCAAAAGATAACATAAAAGCTCACTTCTTGTTCGGTGTGTCTGCATAACATTTCAGAGCACTGGTCTCCAGTACGGTCTCGCAGAATTTAGTCACCGGATCAGATACCTTGATCTCGATCTCGGAGAATAGCTTGCGCAAATCATGCATCACACAGTCCAGGTACAGCTCTCCAGTACCGATCACAACATGCTCTCCGCTTTCCTCGACCTTCGTGGATACAAGCGGATATGATTTGTTAATGCTCCGCAATCCGGCAAGCATTTTCGGAAGTTCCGAAGGAGCAATGGGCTCAATGGCGATTTTGAGAACGGATTGTGTCATATGCTTGATAGGTCGGAAAATGTGCAGATCTTCTTCAATGCCGACTCCTGCGAGAGTCGCTGTTTTGGAGATAGAGGCATCCACACCACCAATAAGGACAAGATTCCCCGCCGGGATTTCATCTGCTGGAATGAAATAGCTGTTCCGAACCCATTAATTTCCCAAAAATAAAGAAAGATCCGAACTAACCGAGATTCGCTGATCCAAAGATTTTCGACGGTTGCGGTCATCATATCCTCTTCGTCTTCTGGTGAGTAACCTTCTCCAAGGACCTTGATTGGCGTCCCTTTGCGAAGAGTGCCGCTCATCACTCGCCCGAAAGCTCTGAACGATTGTGCGTCCGTGGTGTGATAAAGTTTAGCGACATGTACCATAACAGGACCATCTGCATCGCAAGCTTTCATTGAAGCAGCCACGTCAGATGTTTGTGGGCCTAGGTAGGTCGCTTCCACCTATTGGACGCATCAGAACAAAAGTTGGGATAGGTGACGTAAAACATATCACCTTGTCCAAAGCACCCTCGACTGGTGAAGGAATGTTTTCAACAATTACATCAACAAGGCCCGTCGCAGGGCCAAAAAATTGGTCCAGAACGGCCTTCAATAGAGGACGGACATCCATCTTGAACATGACAGGTTTGAGTTGAATACCAAGACCCTTCAATGTATCCTTGAGGTCCTCCGTCTCTTCGCTGAGTACATGGCTGTAAAGTTTATAAAGTGGATCCAAAATGAAGTGGACGAATGTTCTGCTATGTTCCGGATCGGATGGTTTTCGGGTAAATTTGCGTGTGTCTTCAACAAAATAGATATCTCCCCATAACCGATCAGCGAATGAGCCGACATCCAAAGAACCTGCAAGAAAAATAAGATTTGACTTATGCGCATTTTTAGGAGGCTCGTACCGTAAGTATCTGCGTACATCTGCGCAAAGGATCGGAGCGTGAAACACCAATTCATGTCAGTACTGGCGAAAGCAACGTTCCCGTTTTCCGGACTCAACCTCAATGCTGGATCGGGATCAATTGCACTGGCAGCCTCCAACATAAGAACGACTCTCATTCGCTATGAAGCCACGCACCTTATGAAAGTGTTTATCTCCTCGATGGTGTGTTTGATTTTGTAGTACGCGTCGGCGGGCTTGATTCGCAACTCAAGAATAAGCCTGTCAATTTTATTGACGACCAAAGTGATTTTCACGCCCTCTTGTAAAGCATGTCTGAGTACAGATTCTGTGCCGACCATAAGCTGGCAAAATAGTCAGAAAAAGGTTTCTTACTATGGCGCAGAGTAGCTTACCCCCTCTACAACATCAACAACTAATAGAATGCCGTCTACCAGACGGATGGCGCAAGCAACTTCATCAACGAAATTAACATGCCCAGGTGTGTCGATGAGGTGCACCAGATGTGATTTTCCAGAGGTAGTGGAAAGGATAAGGGACATAGGAGAGGATTTTATGGATATCGCGCGTTCTCGAGATAGGATGTGAGTGTCGGTGTAGCGTGTCTGTAACAAAAGACTTCAGGCGGCACATAAGAGGTGTCTGTGCTGAGACTTACTGGGGCATCCGCGTCCCAAATGAGTTTATGGGTTTCGAAGACAAGCATATCCAAAAGCGCTGTTTTCCCATGATGGAGATGGCCCACTACTGCGACATTTCGAATCATTTCGGGAAACGCTGTCATGTTCAACAAAAACCTAGTTTCACGTTAAATGTGATCAATTTCTCTCCAAACGACGAGTGAACGCACCCTTTGTCAAACCGCGTCTCTGGCATATCTTTCTCCTCCACCGTCCATTTGCGCACTTTTATTGGGGCGATGATAGGCTCGGTTAACGGTTGGGCGTCCTCTTCCTGGACAAGGGTCTCCACCCCCGGGCCATAAATCTCCTCTGCTGAAGGATAGTACTGTTTATCCTCGTGAAGAATCACAGCGTTGTGTGAAGGTTCTAGGATGGAATGTAAACCGTATGTATGATACTTGGAATCGACCACAGACCATCAACTTCCATAAGCGCCATATCGTTCGCTTCCTCCATTGCAACATCATCGTAGCCTTCTAGAGGGGCAGTAGGGGCAGCTGGCTGCTGTAAAAACTCCTCTTGTTGGATTTCCTCCTCCTCGTCAGAGTCCAAGTCTGCGCCAATATAGTTGCCAAACTCGTCGTAGTCTTCGAATGAAGCCATAGTTCAGTTGAGAGAGATCAACTTTAAGGGCAGAAATAAATTTTAGAGACGAAGACGCGAATTAGAGCAAAAGATTGGAGAGCGTGAATCTGGGGATGGTGAGGGCAGACGCGCGAGCTTTATTTTGCAACTCCGTTCACGATCACGACCACACATTGCCCCCAGCTTCATTCTACCTATTCCAACCAAAATGTCTCTTTCGGACGATACCTTAAGGAAGGTTCTTACCCTTCGGTTTTGCTCTCTTACCCGCTCCAGCTCAGAGGAGCGTCCAGATTCTGGTTCAAATCCAACAAACTGCCATACAGTCCCAGAGGGCCCTCAATCTTTCGGTGCAACAAACTGCTGCGAAGGAACGGGAACGTCGTATCCTCCAATTGACTATCGACGAGATCAAACAGATAGAGGGCGACGTGAACATGTACAAGGGTGTAGGGAAGATGTGCTTAATTACTGATTTCTCCTTCGCGTTTTCCTCATCCCCCACTCAGGTTCATGATGGTTCCCCGTAAAACGATGGAGGAGGAGCTAAAGGGTCAAGAGAAGGAATTATCAGACGACATTTCCAACCTTCATAAGAAGGTCGGTGATGCTCAAATGGCTTCCCCTCTTCATTGTCCTTATGGTTTCCTAGTCGAAATACCTGGAAAAACAATACAACGACGCGCAATCTCAACTTCGGGACATTGTACGCCAACTCATACCTTCCTTAACGTCTGCCGACGTAGCTATCACTTATCTCACAGTTCCACCACGCGCCAAAGCAGCAATGAGTGAAAACTCGATATACTGTTCCCGTCCACCCTGTTCCAGAATCTACTAACAGAAGCCTGGCTTGAAATTGAATATGTATGATATGTAATTTAGTGGCTTGCGGCCAACATCGAGATAACAGGGAGGCCAATTGAATCCTTGGAACAATTCATTGAGGTTCTGACAATGATCACCAAACCTAGCAATTCGATCTCCGGTGTTCTTAACATTCCAGACCACGACCTACCACGACGCGATTTTATGTAACCAAACGCGCCCATAAAGCTGGGCAGTTTGACTTCGTCAATTACTGTGACGTGCCATCGATAATGTCGACTCAAGACTCTAACCGCGATGCTGCTGAACGACTCAAAGTCCTAGGCAATAAGCTTCATCAAAACGGAGAATACCTAGGAGCCTATGTGAAGTATTCGGAGGCTATCCAGAAAGACCCCAAGAATGCCGTCCTCTACGCCAATCGCGCGGCGAGCAGCCTGGCTCTGAAAAAGTATGGAGCTTTTTTCATCCAAACTACATACAGGGATCTAACGCCTCTTCAACAGCTACATGGACACTGTTACTGATGCTGAAAAGGCTCGTGTTTTATGCTAAATGTGAATGCTTAATTTTTACACGCACATAGGCTACCGAGCTTGACCCCAAATACGCGAAGGCCTGGGCAAGAATTGGAACTGCAACACATGTACGCTTAGTTCATTGGCCTGTTCATTGGCAAAAGCATTCACTCATCATGTTCATCAAGGCACTTTCCTCTTGGACCAGGTGCATTGACGCATGGGAGACAGCTTTGAGCTGCCTGCCCACGGAACAGGACAAGCTGTCAGCAGAAGAGGCTAGGTTGAAGGCTCAATTCCAGGAGGGTTTGCGGAAAGCCCAAGCAGCTAAGGAAAAGCCTCCTCAGGTGTTCGTTATACCCTCTTCAGGTGCAAAGCAACTGCCATGGCAAAGGGCCACTGCTATGCAAGCTAAGCTAATTGCTGATCATAATGTTGCATCAAGTGTAAAAGTGTCATATTTTTTGCTACATTGGCATCTGCTCACATCTTTTTAGGGCTTTGTTATTTTCTATGCTTACCAGGTTAGCCCAGCTCTTATGTCGCTTTCCTCCCCTTTATTCACATTCCGTCTTTAGGAGTTCAGCAAAGGGGTAGAAACAATGAAGTTGATAAAGTCTGGTGTTGGGGCAAATGGCACGTCTACATGGGAAGGAAAACCAGGCGTATGTGAAGTGCAATATGCGATCAATTTACCAAAATCGATGTTTTGTTGCAGGCCATCACAGATATCAGCAACGGTATTCTGCGAGACAGTCGAGTTTTCCACATGGACTGTCCTGACTGGACGGAGAAGTATAACCGCCAAGGTAACTCATTGTTCCTCCTTTGCTCAGCTTGCTGACAATGCATGCATACAGTGGTTCTCGAAGCGCAGGTTTTCAAAGCCTGGGTTACTGCTGGTCCTGCAGAACTGAAAAAGGAGGCACCCGACAGAGTGAAGAAAGAAGGCTGGCAGTCAGCTCGTGATGCCTTGGCCACCACAGTCAGGTTGGCTATTCCCACACACCTCCATTTGATACAGGGCCTTCAATTGAACTTTCAACTTCAGAGCATGGATTATTCAAGCGTTCATTCAAAACTCGTTTGGTAGACACACCGCTGGTGTAGAATTTTTCTCTCGTGCAGTTGATGTTCTTGAATGGGGCCGCCGAGTCTGGAAAGATGTTCCCAAGGATGATCGTGGTGCCATCTTTGAAGTTACCTTTGTGCGAGGGGTTAAGAGGCTCTATTTGTCGGCGATGCATCAGGTGCGCTATGCCTCAGCGTGACGAATAATTGATTTTAGACTTGTCATTAGTATCTCTGCCAAAAAGTTCCCAACTGCTCATATACCAAGGAGGATCTTGCGGAATTGGCTCGGGACATCATCGTCGACACCGATACAAATTCCCGAATTTCTCCAGAGCCCGTGGATCCAGGATTTGTATCCTCCTTCTACATCTATCCTAAAGGTGAAGCATTTTCGTGAGTATCTATTGTCGAAGCTCTTTTTCGCAGCACATTTGAACTGTTGACTTCTATTCCTCAGCATGCTTGGATGGTACCATATGCAAACCGCCTTTCAATCGACTGTAGCTGAAGATCAATATCTTCATTACACAAAATCGGCAACTTACTACACGGACGCCGCCGAATGCTTCCCAGAAGATGATGAGCACCATTGCACCTTCCTAAAAATCGCACTGGAGGCATATACCTTCCGCGGCACACCAGTGAAACAGGTTCTAGCGCTTTGCAAACGAATTCGCCTTGCAATTCCGAAGATGAAAGCCATCTGGGAGGTTTCTTCGTTTTCACAAGGTGGTGGAGACAAACTTCTTCAACAGGCCCTGGACATGGAGATGAAGCTGCAGCGCAATATCCTGGAAGGCCAAATCAATCCTGATTCCAGTGTCAAGCTACAACGTTAGATCTGGTTGAGTGGAACGTATTCCCCATATATTGCAGGAATTCACTTTGCGATCATCGAACTACTGTAACTTTGAGAACATCGGAGTTTATAGCTACTTGCAGTCCACACACTTTTAGACCTAACACACTTTTAGACCTAGTCGAAATATTATATGTACATACCAGATATTCGTCGATGCTTGTTGGATGTTTGAACCGAATTGAAACTATGGATCATGTGGCTGTCACGATCACCAACCTCAGCGCTCACACGAACTTTCCATCCACGGCATGAGGCATTTAGGTTTGTGCGAAGTTTGCCACCTTAATTCACTTGCACTTGTATTCCAACAGAAAGCCACGGCTTAGGGCGCCCTGGTTACTTTTAACCGCCTGAGTTCAAATATGCCGGTCAACAAGAAACCCAACCAGGAGCGTGACACCGTTGAACAACTCAAAGCATTGGGAAATGAGTTTTTCCAGAAGGGTCGCTACGAGGACGCGTACAAAATCTATTCAGACGCCATCAAGAAAGATCCCAACAATGCCGTTCTTTACGCTAACCGTGCAGCCACCTGCTTGTCTATGAAAGAGTAAGGATCATCTCACCCTTATAGATCAACGGTATTCAGTCACATTGTTCAAATCATAGGTACCTAGATGCTGCTTGCGATGCACAGAAGGCCTGTCTGACCTGCGAGTATGCTCTTTAAATAACGCGCTGACAAGACACTTCAGGCGACCCAGATTGACCCGACGTATGCGAAAGCCTGGGCGAGATTGGGGACAGCATCGCATGTGAGTTTCGTTTCTTTCACATAAAGTGGAGGCTTTTTGCTTACTACTACTGCAAAGGCGCTCTCCTCGTGGAAACGTTGTATCCCAGCATGGGAGCAGGCGCTGGCCTGTTTACCTCCCGATGAGAAGATGTCTGCCGCTGACAAACGGCTAAAAGTTCAACTGGAAGAAGGTCTCAAAAAATCTCGAAACGCGATGGAGAATGTGCCAGCGGCACCAGTCATGCAGCTGACTACCGGTCCTGACGATGCTGATAAAGTACCTTGGAAGCGGGCCCTTGTCAAAGAGCAGCAGCTATTGCCCCTGAACAAGTTGTCCAGTGTATGTCAGAGTCATTTTCAATTTTATTGATCCGTCATTAACCTTGACATACAGTCATTTGCGATCTTGAACGCTTACCGAGTTGGTCTTCTTAGCCTTAGCTAAGTTGCATCGAATTAATTTTTTCAAATTGGGCAGGATTTCAGCTACGGTGTTGATCGCATGAAACAAATTCAGTGCAGACCTTCGGGAGGCGGACTCCTGTGGTTTGGAAGCACAGAGGTAAGGGACCTTTTGGCTGAAATGATGTGAGCCAGCTAATCTTTTCCTGTAGGCCATCGCCAGTATCAGCAACGGCATTTTACGTGACCACAGAGTCTTTCACATGGACTCAGAAGACTGGATTGACAAGTATAACCTTCAAGGTAGATACCGCCTGTTTTGTGTGGACTTAAGCTGCACGAACTTATGTCCGCGCGCACTCTCCAGTTGAATTCGAGGCAGACCAGGTCAAAGCCTGGGTCGGTAGTGGTCCTACAATGGTCAAAGAGGAAGCCATCAAGAGGCAGAAGCGTGAGGGCTGGCAGTCTGTTCGTCATGCACTGGCCTTGACTGTGAGGTGAGGATTCTGCCGCATGTGGTTGTCGCCATCCTGATGTCTTCGCCCAGGGCCTGGATTATCCGTGCGTTCATGGAAAAATCCTCGGGGAATCACATCGTGGGCAGCGATTTTTACAGGCATGCCGTCGATGTGCTTGAATGGGGTCGCCAGACTTGGTCAAATGTCCCGAAGGCGGACCGGGGCGTTATGTTTGAATTATCTTTTGTTCGAGCGGTTAAGAAATTGTGCTTGGGAGCCATGCATCAGGTATGTAGTATCCTTGCCTTCTAAATCAGCGCCATGCATTGTACTCACGTTCTTTTCAGAGGTTATGTCATCGGGATGCAGACTGTGTGTTTACCAAGGAGGACTTAGCTGAACTGGCTCGTGAACTTATCTTTGAAACCGATGCCAATCCGCCTGTCCCCGGTGAAACCGTGGATTCGGGAGGTTATCTTTCTTTTTGGCAGTATCCTAAAGGAGAAGCTTTCTCGTGCGTGCTGCCTCTGATTAATTTAACATGATGCTCACTACAAATAGTATCCTGGGGTGGTATCATATGGAGGCTGCCTTTCGATCTGATGAAGATGGCGACAAGTATCATCATTTCACCGAATCCGCTTCATACTACATCCAAGCAGCAGAGATGTACCCCGAAGATGATGAATATCATCCTTACTATCTCAAGATTGCTCTGGAAGCGTATTGGTTACGCGGCGCACCCCTTAGGGACTCTTTGGCATTGTGCAAGCGTATCCGTCTTGCCATCCCAAAAATGCTTGTATTTTGGGAGGTTTCACAAATGGCAGAGGGACGAGATAAATCTTTGAAGGAGGCACTGGATTGGGAGGTAGAACAGCAACGGGCTCTTGTCGAGGACACTAAGACACTTGATAGTGTCGTGAAGGTCACTGGCAGGGTCTTGCGATCGCCAGTATAATGTTAGATGACCGATGTTGTTTTCCGCTCCTCCCTTTCACATCAGCCAAGTACTAATTACGTCAATGGAACACGAGGCGCGACTAAAATGATTCGTTTTTCCAAAGCTTGGTCTGACTTGAACGTTGAACACCGACCTCTAAGATGTCAATCAACGACTCGGAGGAATCCCACCGCGACCGTGACGCTGCTGAGCGACTAAAGGCTCGAGGAAACGAACTTCACCAGAAAGGCCAATACCAGGATGCCTACATGGTTTACTCAGACGCGATCAAACGAGATCCAAGGAACGCCGTTCTTTACGCTAATCGCGCAGCGGCTTCATTGTCCCTGAAAGAGTGTGGTGGATCCTAAGCCCTCTAAACCATTAATATCTGAACTATATACTGCTTTGCAGATATCTCGATGCTGCGTTTGATGCGGAAAAGGTGTGTTCTGCAGCACACTCCTGATCTAGTCGACCAATTGAGAGACTTTAAGGCAGCATACCTGGACCCCTCGTACGCCAAAGCCTGGGGGAGATTGGGCAAAGCCTCACATGTGGGTATGCCACTTGCTGCAGCAGAAAAGGCGGCACAGCTCATTGCGTATCATCACAGGCTCTCTCCTCGTGGACGAAGTGTATTCCAGCATGGGAGAAGGCCCTTGCCTGCTTACCTCCCAATGATGAAATGTCCAGTCCGGCCAAGAAGTGGATGAGAGCTGAATTTAAAGAAGGTCTAAAGAAATCTCAGGACGCCATGAAACAACCAAAGGCACCACTCCCACCGGTATTGTCGGAATTCGAAGATCCTGATAACACACCTTGGAAGTGAGCTCTTTCCAAAGAAAAGCAACTCAACCTGGAAGACAAATGGTCTAGTGTAAGTATGTTGCACTCTACTCGCGGGTGTCCTGTCCCATCCTTGAGCTCTGCAGGGATTTGTGATCATATCTGCTTATCGAGTTGGTGTTCAGATACTTCTAGCCAAGGGATACGGTTTTGATTCTCGCCTTTTCCGGTTAGGAGTTCAGCAAAGGCGCCGAATCAATGAAACTATTTTTGGAGACACAACTAGGCAACGGACAAAGTAACTTGGTCGGTAAGACAGATGTGAGTCTAGGGGGCTAGAAAGAACACAGACACAAGCTTGCTTACCTTTCTTATAGGCCATTGTCAATCTCAGCAATGGCATTTTACGTGAACCCCGAGTCTTTCACATTGACTCACAAGACTGGTTCGTCAGATACAACTATCATCAGGTGTGTATATTGCCCCTTGAATAAACGTGTTTGGGCTCATAACCTCTAATTAGCTGCGTTTGAGGCACGATTTTATAAAGCTTGGCTCCACGATGGACCCAAAACAATTCAGAAAGAAGCTCCTCAAAGATTGGAGCTTGAAGGGTGGCCACCTGTTCGCAAAGCACTGGCCTGCACTGTACGGTGAGAATGTCCTCCACAGCCTTTTATTCCATTCCGATGTCCGTTATTCAGAGCTTGGATTGTGCGAGCATTTATAGAGAGTTCGACTGGGGACCGCGCAGTTGGCAGTGAATTTTACAGACACATCTTTGAAATCCTTGAATGGGGTCGCCGAATTTGGTCGGATATCTCCAAGACGGACCGTGGGGTTGTTTTTGAATTGAGTTTTGTTCGAGGGGTCAAAAGGCTGTACTTGACAGCTCTGCATGAGGTGATTATTCCCTGTGGGCCAGAAGATAAGTGAGCACTCATGCAAATACTTTGCTTTCAGAGATTAGCCGTTGATAAAGATGCTGTCTGTGACTTTACGAAGGAGGACCTAGCTGAGCAGGCCCGTCAACTCGTCTTGGAAACCGATGCCCATCCGCCTGTTCCTTTAGAAGCCGATGGGTACGGATTTCTTCTTTCTTTTTGGATGTACCCCAAAGGCGAAGCTCTGTCGTGCGTTCTGCTACATTATTTCTTGAGTCGTATGTTGATCAGACACAGGATACTTGGGTGGCATCACATGCAGACTGCCCAACAAGCCGAGGAAGCTGACGACAAGCTTCATCATTTCACGGAATCCGCCTCATGCTATATACAAGCAGCGGAGATGTTTCCTGAAGACGACGAGTACCATCCGTACTACCTCAAGTTTGCTCTTGAAGCTTATTGGGGAGGTGGCGTGGCATCTCGGAGGGAGTGTTTGGCGTTGTGCAATCGTATTCGTCTGTCGATTCCGAAAATGGCCGTCTTTTGGCAGACTTCGCAAATCGCAAAGATACGAGATGAACATCTGGCGGTAGCATTGGAATGGGAAAGAAAACAACAGGGTCTTCTTGAGGGCACCGTGACACTCGATGGCGTCATATACATAGATTGTATCAAAGCCAGCGTAAAATGTAGAAATTTAGCGGGAGAGCCAAACAAAAAGAATATTACACGATGAAAGCCATTGTTGAAATTTGCATGAACGGCGGAACATCGGAAGCGCAATAGCAGCCCAGTAAGGTCTAAGATGTGTGCATGATTACTGGGGAAAAGATCGTCAACTAGAAATTCGTCTAGGCCGAGCAAAAATTACTAAATTACTTACTCCACAGAATCAAAGCAGGTTCTGGCTTTTTCCTGTGTCCTGGCTGCTTTTATGGTATCTACTTGAGGCTGGCTCGCGCTATGCATCCGTAACGACAGTTTAGTATTTTGTAAACATCTGAGGCGTCGGAGCTATTCGCTGTAGGTTTCGCTTGCTTGGCTTTCCGTATGTCGCGAACCATCAAGTTCTGCTGAAGAGGGTTCTTACCCTTTTCATCGTCGTAGTTCCTTCGTAGTAAACCTGAATCGTATATTGATTAGAAAATGTTGGCAGCCCATGTTTTGAGGCGGCACAACCTTAAGTATGCGACATCAAAGAGCAGAGGCGGTGACCAGTCAATACTTCTGAGTCGTGAGGAGCCCCAAGCACAGCAGATGAATCACTGAAATTGAAGTGCTGAAACGTGCCAAGAGTACTGTCCGCTTCCGACGGGGTTTTGAGTGACGAATTACAAAAGCTCGTCTTCAGACGTAGTGATAAATACCAGGTTGTGTAGAAATTATAGCCAATGATACTAATAGTCAAGACCTTTGAGGGGGTGAAGATATGTAACCTTCGCCTCCGTAGATTGTGAAGAGTAAAGAACACAACCAGGCAAAGGGACGTGTTGCGAAGCGCTCAAATGCGTCGGCAAGAATGGATAGCGATGGCTGGTAAGTGGAGAACACCTAGACGCGTGCGGTATTCCCTTTTACCCTACTGCGTACCACCACCACTTCCTTCGTTTCTCGCTTTTTCTATACTTATTTATTCGCGTTCCCTCTATTTTATGCACATCTAATCTATGCGACATGATGAGCCTTTGTAAAAACGGTACGAAGCCCTGCACGCCCTGACGCCAGGCACGAACACACCCGCCGCATCAACGGCGTCAAACGCCATTTTCTTCTGCCGTCGTCCCAATCGACCCCCAGCTTCTCTACGTCGACTTCTTTCCCGCTCGGAAACCCGATGGCAGCCTGGTTGCGGAGGAGGTGTACAAAGCCCATCTGTAAGTCTCTCGCCTACTATAATCAACGTGCCTGGATATCTCATCTTGCCTTCAGCTTCACCATCAGAAAGAGAGAGCCCTTGCATGCTCTCATTTCAAGATTCGTTTTGCAACGCGAGCCAACCTAGAGTTTTTGCGGAACGCCCTTGTCCGCGCTCCTTGAGTCCGCTTTTGGTTTTTCTTTACAAGTCGCTCACAGGTATCCTGCACGAGCAACTACAAACCCCTTGCCTGATGACGCTGTGGTCGGTCCATCGAAAACGCTTTCCATTATTATCCCGCCACGCCCAACTCACTCTCTAGGCCAATCGACTGGCCAAATTGATCAAGAACTTCTCGAAGCTGATTTCGATGTGAACGACGATGCGTTGACGGAGCAGTATGACGTGGGTGAGGGGGTCGCGGAAGCCGTATTTGGTGCCCTTGAAACAGGTGGCCTCGAAGAAGAGGATGAGGATGAGCAGTTGGAGGACATGGACCTGGACGACAATGGTATGAGTTTTCTTTCATCGTTACTTTCAAAATAATCAAACTGTCCCTTTCAGCAAGCCATAAGCAGTTTCAGACAAGTGTGCGCATGTCAGCGGCTCAACGAACGGAAGCCAACAGGAGGGCAGGAGGCAAAAAGACGCAGAAATGCGTCGTGAAGTCGTGGAACGTAAGTCTTTGCACCAATCTTCGTGTATTATGCATTCACGGTCACTTCCTTGCAGATTTTTCAGAAAGAAGCACTCGCAGCGGGAAAACTGCGCGATGACATAGTCGACGAGCATGCCCTGCTCCTCTTCATTGACTTCTGCGCTAGGCGTTGCAAGCGAGATCGTCGAGGAGAGTACATACCCAATACTCGCATCGGCGCCGTAAGTACCTCGATATCTTCAATATACTCATTGATAACAATCCTTACAGTCACAGATCAAGAAAGAGTTCTTCGGCGCCCTACGTATCCGAAAGGTGCAAGATGCTCGAGATCCAACTTTGGCTATCAAGCGGCCTGCCACGACCGCCCATGTTTACGATGCGGTCAAGACTCGCATGGACGAGGCCCTGCAAAATGCACGCGAGTAAGTTCCATTTCCATTGACGTTAACTTGTCGTGATGAACTTTTCGCAGAGGGCTCATTCCTGCTGAGGATGCCCATGCTGCAGGGTTAAAAGGTTGTGGGGAACTCACCGCTCGCGGGCTTGCCAAATGCGGCTTTGGGGACGAGCTTCTCACTGCCTTCAACACCTTGGACGATAAAAATCTATCTGAATTTTTTGTAGCCTGGGTAACAAGTATCCGCGAAGAGCTGGTTTCAAATAGCCAGGGATTTCTCCCATCGCGTCGACCAGGACTTGCAGCCACCATCCCTCCTAATTTTCCACCCTTGAACATCATCAATCTCTATGTCCGACCTGAAACGAGCAAATTGTTCCCGTTCAGCCTTGATTGGAAACCTTGCGAGGTTCGCATCAACAAGCTCGCATCATTTGGAGCTGAATACCTTGGTTGGACGGACGCATCCGCTCTCTATAAACACTTCCATTCAAACGTGTGGGAGGGCGTGTTTCTCCAAATGCTTATTTCTGTAAGACGTGTCATTGCTCATTCAAGCCCTAGCAACTGACTTCCTTCGCAGCGCTGGGTGCTCTATGATCCAGACACTCACATTATGCGAACGGACAACATGAACACCACGATTCTGGAACTTCAACCGAAGCTGCGCCAGACCCGACGTCAGTCGGATATTGGTTCTTGGTATCGTGTTAGGATTTCAACTCGCAATTTTGTTGAGTTAATGGGCTTCTGTTACAAAATAGACGGGGAAGACACACTAGATGCTACGGCTCTCCTGTCAGTGTTAGCACGATTAACATTATTCATTCATTTGCGTTTGTTTTCTTTTCGTCCCCTCTATGTCGGTGCCTTGTTGATCTTCTGCCCTCTATGTTTTGGACATCTGCTCAAAACTCGGATTTGCGCGCAACCTGCTCACTCTCGTTTTCCTCGGTCTCTCTGCTTGGATACTTATACCGTCACCGTCATCTATTATCGTTTTTTTTGCACAGTCGCATATCATACATACATCGATTCATGATAGGTCTCATCTAAAAAAGCTCTCATTCAAGGATTCGCCCGCACGTACACCAACCAACTCAGAACCGGCAAAAATGCTTGTCTGGTCATTTTTTTGAATAAAGGGCTTATGACACAAGAACTGCATATCCATTCTGGTGTACGAAATTTAGCGAATGGAGTATAGAATGGACATATCAGGTTTAAGAATAAAAGGATCAACATTTACGGCGAGGCAATGCAACCACTAGGAGGGGCAACACTTCGATTCAAAACCACAGATTTTGGGACTGCAGTTCTTACTCAGCCTGACCCGCCTCAGGGGGTAGGATGGGATTTTGTTCATGTGTGTGTACCTTAAGGATATGCTAATGAACAAGTCTCTTCAGGCTCTCAATCTGAGGGTATTGTCAAAATGGCATTTTCAAACAAAAAACAACTGTAGCTTACATCATCGCCTTCAATCCATTCGACCGTGGCGTTGTCCCAAATAGAGACCCGATAACGTGTGGCCTTGTCAATTTCTTTGACCCAGATGACCAGACAATCGAAGGTGGCAGTGTTATTGGGCAATGGAACATTTCGATATCTGTAGGGACCTGGCTGTGTCAGGCACCAGGTTAGACGTAAGAGTCCAGATGGAGGAGGAAAGGACGGGTGTATGAGTGTTACGGATCTAAAACGCAGATATCAACTTGGACCCGCTGCGAAGGAGGAAAATATTGATCACCGAACCAGTCGCAGGAGCTCGTTTTCCAAGGGCGCCCGATCGGGATTCAGCTGGCCATGGAAAATAAATCGTGACCATCTCTCAAATAATTTCTCCCGGTCATTCTGCAAAGTATTTCCATATTCCTTGAGAAACCGCAAGACCTGCATAATCTAAGGGAGGATCAGAAAATTCTCTGGATACGATTATAGATAGTACACACCAAATACGCCCCGCTCTCGGTGGCAATAATGTATATCTAGATCAGGTACATACGGTAAGTGTTCCACCATTGTTTAGCTCAATGCATTCCGGGCTCTTACATCGCTGATGCGGGGCTGATTGGCGCAGAGGTCCACATAAATTTCTTGTCCCACGCGGCCTTTTTGCTGTTAGTAAGATCGACGCCTCCAAAATCTTGTGAACCCTACCGAGATTCTCGGACTGTCTATAAATGTGATAGAGCCCTCCAGGTGTTTCCGACCAACTGATTCATTTTTAATGGAAAGGGAAGAAAACAAAAGATGACAAACGATGGGGAAGAATAATAGGTAATAAGATAATTGTCTTGCTTGAAACCATCAACAGCTTCCTTGTGCATTTTCATTAATTCTGGTGAATAGAATCAGCGGAAGAATGACAAGATTATAAAAATGCTGCAACTTTTGAGGGCGGCATCTTTTTCATGTAAATTTGCGGCAGTAGGGACAACGAGTAACCATGGGCGCGGGCGGGAGGCTGTATGTTCCATACCTATGCTGTTCAATGTGTACAAGTATTATTTGTTGCCGTGTAATTATTTCTGGGCTCCGCTTGGAGGAGATCATGAAGAATACTATGACCTACCAGCACCTCGGCGCACCCTACGACACGTGAACCTAGACTACGTGATATGCGTGATAAGTACCAACAATTTTCACTTTGCTTCCTAATTCCATCTTCTAAGTTCTAGTTTGCTTCTAGTATGAACTTTCGACCAGACATCCCTATCGTTTCCTCTCGACGACCCCTCCCCAAAGCGTCCACCGCTCAAATCGAGTCTTATGTCGACATGTGCATGCGATTGTTTAACAAGACAAGAGCCGAAGTCGAGAAAGCAGCAGTCGAGATGTGTGGCTCTCTGGATGTGGCTGCTCTTGCTGTAGGAGCTGAGATAGAACGGGGGAGGGCAGATCTCATGCGGGCATTTCCAGAAGGAGCGGAGAACTCCAACAATGCGCTTGGCGTACGTTGTCATCTCCCATCCCATCCACAACCCTGTGGGCTGACTTGCTCTATGTAGCGTAAACCCAGGCCTGGCGAGGACGTCAAATCTGCTCGTCTGAACGACAACTTGTTTATTAGGGTTTGGGATGGGGATCTGGCTGGCATACGATCCTTTGCATTTGATTTTGTGGATGGTCAAGGACGTTATATCTCCACACCCAAGGATATCAAGATTCACACGATGCCGTCTGCTTTCAGGGGGCCAGAACGTGTCCTCTCAATTGAGCAATGCCTAGAGGGCGAGGGTAGAGAGCGACAGGCAGAGATGGAACGAATTGCAAACAACTGGCCTTTTGCTCCCCCCCGTGACAAGGTGTATGACAAGAACTGGGAGACATATATCATACCTGAAGGCGTTGAGCTCCGCATCGTGCAAAGTGGGCATGCAGATCGCTTCCTTCCGATTCCGGTGCGACCCCATCCTCCTACCGACCACGTCTTGCAGCTTCAGCCTTGGCAGCAGTAACAAGTTGGCACTGCTAAATCACATTGTAGAGGAAGGGTTTCTGATTCTCACTTGCTGCAACCGTGTCAATTCTTGTGCTTTTTAACTCTCCATTATGTTCTTGAAATTTCAATGGTGGCTGATAACAGCAGCGTGTCCGTTGTGAATCCGATTGATAAGTACCATTTTTGTACATTCATATATTTCCGAATAGATTGTTCCGTCTTCTATTGTCAGCATCCCGTCGCCCGCTCGATTGATCACGCTAACCTCGTCCGACCTCGTCTGGGGGTACAAACTGAATAGAAGATGATGAAATGATGGCATGCGGAGGCCTAGGTTGAGGAGGAGTGCGGACGCCGGAGGGATGCTCTTTGCCAGTGGCGTGTATACCTACACAGTGGACTTTAGCGATGGGTGGAGGAGACGAATACGATTATGTCGAGAAACCAGCCGTCAGCAGCAAACTTAGGGGACAATGTCGCAAGCCAGGTGGTTTCAAAGACCCTACATACATACAGTGCGATCACCAGCAAATCTGCCGCCAATTTTGAATTTGGCCCCCATATTGTAATGTATCAAAGAATCTGCTAATTCGATTAGGGTCCAGCACCATCTCTACATTTGGGCTTGCGCGGCTATGGGGAATATAAATAAATTGAAAATTAGGGAAAGCAAGAGGTGGAACTCGGGCGACAGTCAGGCGGAACCCGTAAGGCATCAAGAAACTGTTGAACGCAAGACCACCATGGACGACGGGTAAGGGTGGGTGAATGCCCTGGAATGCTGGTGGCAGTGCCATATGGCCGAAATTAGAGACCTGGACGACACCGAAGGATGCGGCGTAGACCCAGTGACCCTGCATCACCTCAATCTCCACTAACAGGATTCCTACCGTCAAGTTCAAAGAAATATGAACAAGGCGGCGTCTGGGCACCCAGGGAGCGAATGCAGCGGCTGGGAGGTGTATGTCGATTTGTCGCTGCCCGACGGTGAACGTTCCAGTGGCGCCAATGAAGCGGCGCGGCATGTGACTGTCACCAATTGATCAAACAATGATTGTCACAACTTTGTGGTCAGTGTCAATTTGGTGATTCCTTGGTTTCCAAATTGTGCGTCAACTACAGTCGTGGACAAGCAAAGCCCACTAATTTGGTATCTTGGTAAATAATGTATCTAGAGCTGAGATTTTTCCAGATTCTGGCTCAGATTTGCGAAATGCGTCGAAAAATGCACCTCCGAAGTTTTTCCCACGAGGAATTGGCGTGGCCAAAATTTTGGACCAAAAAACTGCAACATTTGGGGAGAAAAACAGGTCGAAACCAGCCAGAAATTATCAAAAGTTGGTACCTGTGCTGGGTTTCAGCTGGAAGCTACTCAGAAAGGGCAAAGAATCTATCAGAAAGGGATTTCCCTGCATTTCGAAAGCCTAGTGTGATGGAATTTCTTAGTCCCGTGATAGATGTCACATCAAAAAAGTGACTAAGTGCCCAATTTGGGTCAATGTTTGGCAATTTTTTCCAGAAGAACCGCTCGATAAATTGTTTCGAAACTTGATGGGCAGATTGTTCTCCGTGAAAGGAAGCGATTCCGCTATTTTTCATTTTTTTCTTGGCACTTTTTGGTGTCCGGCCAAAAATTTAGGGTCTATTTTTGTATATGGCCATTTTCTCCAAAACGGCTCGTGAGACTTGGCTGAAATTTGGCCAGAAGCTTCCCTCAACGTATCTGCACGTTTTCCGGGCACTTTGGTAGCCATCAATAATTTCCATTTTTATTAGTGGGCTTTGCTTGTCCACGACTGTAGCAACTAAGCAAGCATTCGTCAAGACAATGTTTAGCTGAGGGAACATATATGGCTACCTTGTCAATTGTGGGGGCGAGGAAGGCTTGTCGCCCACCAGTATGGGTTGCCCTTATAAGTGCATGAAAAGGTGGGAGAATCGGGTCTTCTGTAAGTTCTAATTCAAGAAGGTTCGTCTTGCTGCCACATACCAAACCAGAAACTCCCCGGGTGCTAAAAAAAGCTGAAGAAGGCGATCTGCAATCAACTTATTGAGAACCATGATATCCAAATTTAACGAAATGAAAATCTCATCAAGACAGTGTTGCAGAAAATCTCTGAATTCAAAAGTGCGGATAAAATTATTGAGAAACTCCCTTTCCGCAGAAACCCCTCACTCAAAATCTTTGCTTCTAATAAGTTCTATGCTGTTTCTCAGGAAGTCACATGAGCTGTGGCTGCAAGGTATTAGTAATCCCTCCCCATCAAGTACAAGTACTTATGTCGGCCGATTTAACGGGATCTCCTGGATCGCAACCGAAAGGGGAAGGTGCACATGACCACGTGACCTGGCGCGTCACATCCTTCTTCCTCCTTTCCTCCTCCCCCACTGCTTTGTCCCCTCCCGAAATTTCGCTTCTAGTACACCATTTTTTATTTATTATATGTAAAAATGCATTTTTTTCCCCAGTCCCAGCTTTCCCGGGCAAACATGCAGTCCTTGTCTAAAATGGACCTTATGCCACATCCTTGATCAGAGCCTGGGCACTGTTGAATTCCTGTGAAAGATACAAAACTTGCAGGATATCTTCAATGCATCTGCTGCCACATGTTTACCACTTTTTTTACCCTTCAGGGAGATTTTTGGAAGGTGGTTTGCTGCAAAGACCTGAAAATAAGTCAGAAAAGCACACATAAGTTGGCATAAGTGCTTATGTGTGATGGATTTAGCTTAAATCAAGTTCAATTTAGTGGATTTAACGCCCCATGATGCCAACCAGCTCAATTTAAGGTGCATTTCCATGAGCTGGCCTACCCCTGCACCCGATTTAAGGGTCTTTCGCTGTTTTTCAGTTCAGGGAACTAGCCTCTGCTATATCACATTGGCTAATAAATCTTTCTGTCTTATTATTAGGCTCCTTACATGTAATTCTCATAATGTTGTAGCTAAGGATATTTACATGACATGTAGTACATATATGAGTGGCAAAAAAGGACATTCTATCCTACAAAACTACATATGTCCCACAAAACTACATATGTCCCACAAAACTACATATGTCCCACAAAACTACATATGTCCCACAAAACTACATATGTCCCACAAAACTACATATGGCCTTGCAGCCATTGAATTTTCGGACATACTTTGTAAATCCCCCACTTCCCGATGTGTTGTGATGTGCGCAGCGCATCATTTTCCATCCCAACACGTTGTTGATAAAAGCCTGCTTGAGCACACAAACATTCGGCCTCTTGAAGGTGGGAATGTGATGGGAGCCAAGCTCCACGTGGCATAGTGTTGCCTGCGTTGCCTGGAGAGTTGGCCACAGTGAGAGGGGATTGAGAGAGACGGAGGCAAGAGGCAAGGCATGGAAGGCAGGGTAGGAGAGGTAAAAAGAAGGTAGTTTCTCACGGAAAACTGAATCTGGTGATGGGCATAATTTATTGAATTTAACATTCACTCGCTTAAATCGAGTGAAATAATTGTACTTATGTAATATGACTAACAAGTCAACGTCTCTTTGTTCTGTTGCCCCACATCCATTGCGCAACCATTTTGGACACATCTTGCTAGGATCCTACCTGCCACGTGTGAAGGAGATCATTGATTCCAGTAAAGATCTCATCAGTTGCTCTGTGTTCAAAAATGAGATCCAACTTACTTTGAATTTACTACTTCTCATAGCTTATCCCTTGCTTGCCATTTGCGAAGCGATGGTTCCCACTCCTTGCCCACTTCCAACCTCATACAACAACCTTGGGGCTTACTTCGCTTTGCAAGGCACCCATACCTTTGTGGAAGTGCGCCTGGTTCCATTCATGGCACGCTTCACACATTATTTTTTTCTTTTGATTTAATGCTAAACACCTTCAACGCGAAGTTTAATAGGTTCTATCACGTGAATGCAACCTCATTTTACTTTCCACGCCACAAGATTGAAGGAATAGGGCTTGTCCAGTATGCCTTTGTTTTTAATTTCGTATTTATTATTATTCTTTTAGGGCTTTATTTTTACAATGAAAGACTGCGGGACCAGTGCGCACTCTAAAGACTAGACGGTAGAGTAGAGCATCAATGATCGGGATGTCCGCACTGAGGGCGGCAGTCGCGCACATAAATTGACCTCTCCCAACGTCGTACGTTCCCTGAGTCATCCCTAGTCTGAAGATTGTGTAACGGAAATGCGCGAGTGAAGTCATTTTATTTTTACTTATGCTTTTCTATGCAGAACTCGAAGCCTTCTTTCTATTTTTGTATGTTCCCCAAAGTTTTGGTCAGGCAGCACAAGAGTACGTGCGTTGCCTTGTGATTTTCATATTTTTTGTACATTATAAAAAGTGTCCTCCCACCTGTCGAATGGAGCTGTATTTTCCCCCTCTTTCTTTCAAAAGATCAGAGCTCGAGTCGACCAACCATCTGCTAAAGAACTTTTAAGCAACTTATGTTCACTTCTCAAGACAAGTCACAAGAATATCAAGTTGTATGCATGATGCACATTGTTAGGAACTTTTTCAATAACCTTCGCCAATGGAACACCAACGTGCATATAGCTAAGCTTTCCGTTTATCTTATTTTCTCCAATCTCTCCCCTACGTTGTCTCTTTCCCCGACAAAACTCCTTTCATCGAAAGATCTTCTCACACATTCACACCACCTTTCATCAATTTCATTGTCTTCATTAAAGTCTCCCTCACTGTGAGAAAGTCTTCACACGTTTGCATTGGCACTTCCGTTCTAGGTGCTCCCTTTCTTTTGTGTCTTTTGCCTTTTAGACACGCCTCTTTGTGTTCTTTGCGTAAAATCTTTCGCTTGTTCTTTTCATTCTCTCATTTTCCATATTACACTTTGAGTCTTCACAGACAACCAAATCACTTGCCCTTCTATTAAAATTCTGTACTTCCACACCTTTACACCCGATTACCATCTCGTTCCAGCTTACCCTCAAGGATTTAAGGATGTCGGTGACGTGTTCGATTGTGTTATTTAGCATCTCACTTCTCCTCTTGCAGATGACAATTCCACCCATGTGTTAGTCCTTGCTCACCCGGTGGGCAGGATGCATGTCTCAGGATACCTCATCACAGACTTGTTCGCATCCCTAGCACACATTGGGAGGAAGGGAGGGTCAGTCATGGATAGCCATGATCATCTCTGTACGGTTTTGGCACTTAGTTTGGGGGGTATCGAGGAATGGAGGGAGGGTTTGGCTGTGTGGATAGGTTCTGCTTGAGGTTGGGTCTGTGAACATGATGTTACTCCATTCTCACAGTGCCAATACTCAGGTATGTAGGTATATTATATGGGGAATGCAACTGATGGTGTTCCATAGGCACTATTTAAGCAGGCGCTCGGATGGGACAGGTTGTGTAATTGTGTCCCATTTAGTGACACAGTCGCATCGCCTACTCATGTTCAATCCAGCTGCCAGCAACCCCTTGGGTTCCCCACACCTTGAGGATGTCCCTTGTTTGCAGTTGTCAGTTGCCGTGTTCCTGGTCTGCCTTTGGGATTATGAGTGGGGGTTTGTTATGTTCAGTTATGGTGTATTGCTTGCTCTAGGTGAAAGTGAGTCAATAGTTCACTGTTTCGTTTATTTGCTTGCCAAATTGTCTGAAGAAGGTTCTTGAGCTTTTCCTGGGTTTAAACAGCTGTAAGCAGTTGGCACAAGGCAGCCTGCACCTCATGATAGAGTGTGTGCGTCTTGTTGACATCAGCTGGGTTAGGGCTTCTCCTGGACTCAAAAGTGTTGAATAGAAGGGAAGCTGAGGCTGATGTGTTTTGGGGCAGCTGGGAGGGATCTTGTTTGTGAGGGTAACCGTTCATAAGTATGTTTTGTGTATTGAGGTTGTTACTTTGATACCACCTGAACTTGCATCAACGTTGCCATAGTGGCTTTGTATTGCTGTCTTCTGGGAACACCCTGATTACTTGGCCCATAGATTACAGTTGCGGACAACTAAAGTCAACAAATTGAGTATCTCAGGAACTAGATTTTTTGATGGAAATCTGACAACAGATCTGAAACTGGACAGGCAAAAGGAGCTCAAAAATGGTGTTTTCATGTTATTCCCACGAGTTTTTGGCTGTGCCAAAATTTTGAGCCAATTTTTTTTGCATCCTACAGCACCATCTCCGCCAGTCTCTCAGAAAAATCCTGCTCATCAAGCTCATCCCAATCACTCTCTGCATATCCATCTCTTCTCCTGAATCCTCAGCTTCACTTGGCTCATTTTTCTTGTGTGACTCTTAAGATCTCATGATCAGTTCTTCATCATCTCCCTCACTGACAGTCTGGCAGCTTTGAGAAAATGATGTCACTGATGGAATGGAAATCAAAAAAGGGTTATTTTGGAGGCATGCAAGGTTGTAATGTTTTTAGGAGGACAGCCTCTAGGTTTGGGCAGCATAATAGCAATTTTATTCCAAGGGGAGGATCTATTTTATTTTTATTTTTATGGTGGATTCTGACAGTACTCATCAAGATCTATCCAAAAATGACTTTTTCGAGATTTTATCGATTTCTTTGGGCCTGTGCCAAAATTTTGGACCTTTTTTCTGACAAATCTTCACTTTTGGGAAATCGGCTTGTACCATTTGAAAGATCTACTCAATCCCTGCCTATTCCGATGGTTTTCGGACTTTTAAAAATCCCTACCGGACTCAATAAATTAATCTATAAATTTGTTGACTTGAGTTGTCTGCAACTGTACTTGGCCCATAGTGAGAATAGTTGGAATTTTGTGGAAGGTGTGGATTGGCCACTGTGGTTGAACTGTTTCAACCTCCCCAGACTATCAAACTCACAACCCTCCCACTCTAAAGCTCAGTCTGAAGTCTCTATTCAGTTTTGAGCTTGTTCAACCTTATACCCCATCCCCACTTCTGAGCTTGCCACCAATCTCACGAGAATATTGAAGAGTGCGAGTGCAAGAGGGTAACACTGTAGAAATCAGATCTAGATAACACCGGTAAGGGGTGATCTCAGTCTCGGTATAACAGACTGTATTAGAATAATATGTACCTAGATAACACCGGTAAGGGGTGATCTAAGTAAAGTAAGTAATGTATCGTAGTTGGTAAATGCAAGTGGCTCACCTCAGTCTCGGTATAACGGACTGAGGTGTGTATGGTGAGTATATATATATGCTATCTAGAATAAAGGATGCATCATAATAAAGAGAGAGAATGAGAGAAAAGAAAGAGGGAAATAAAGGAACTGTAACAAAAGGTGTTCACGGTGTCGTGATAATCACAACACTCCTCCTCACATGGAGTCTTGAATTATTTGAGGCCCAGGAAGTTCCGGAATCAGGTAAACTTTTTCGTGTCAAGGGCTTTTGTGAATATATTGGCAATATTATCGTGTGTGTTGATGTAGGAAAGTGAGATTTCTTGGGATTGGATGTGCTCTCGAAGGAAGTGATGTTTGATGTCGATATGTTTGATGTGATTGTGGAGTAGAGGGTCTTTGGAGAGATTTATGATGGCATTGTTATCACAGAGGATGGTGGTGGGTTTTTCTGGTTTGTGTCTGATTGCATTTAAAAGCATGCAGAGCCAAATTGCCTCTTTGCAAGCTTCGAAAGCAGCTACGTGTTCAGCTTCGCATGAAGAAGCTGTGACGGTTTTTTGTTTCCGAGCTTGCCAGGAAATGACGCCAGATCTGAGGGTATAAGCGTGTCCCCCAACACTATGTCTCGTGTCCAAACAATTGGCCCAATCAGAGTCAGTGAATCCTACTAACAAAATAGAATTTTCACCACTGAGATGAAGTTTGAAGTTTCGTGTTCCAGAGAGATACCTCACTACTCGCAATGCCGCATTCCAGTGGGCGTGAGTGTAGCAATCGAGGAATTGGGATAGTTGCTGAATGGAGTAGGTGATGTCGGGGTGGGTTCCTATAGATAGGTAGAGTAGATAGCCGACAAGGGATCTGTAGGGTAGTTTTGCAATTTCGTCGAGTTCTTCACATGTGAGCTTTTTATAGTCTGCACGTCGAAGCTTTAATCCAGGGTCCATTGGGACTGGAGCGGGTGAAGCGTTCTTCTGGCTGAATTGGGAGACAATCTTGTCGATAAGTGCGGTTTGTGATAGCATGACTGTGTTGTTTGGTCAGTCCCAGGTGACAGTGATGTCAACGACAAAACGGACAGTGCCTAGATCTGAAATGGTCCAAACTTTGCGCATTTGATTTTTGAAACACTCGTTTTCATCTTTATTGCTTGCGATTGATAAGAAATCATCCACATGGATGGCAGAGATAATCGTCCCACTGTCAGATGATCTGCAGTATATGCAGGACTCACAAGATAGACGAGTGAAGCCCCAGGAGAGCATTTGCTTGTTCATCATCTGATTCCAGATCCCCCCACTCTGTTTCATGCCGTATAGCCCTCGCTGAATCATCCATACCCACTCCTCCTTTCCTTGCTCCTCAAAGCCCTTAGGTTGTTCCATGTACTGGATCTCGTCTTCTGGTAGTAGGCCATAAAGGAAGGCCATTTTGATATCGATTTGTTGTGCGTCCCAGCCAAGAGTTGCTGCTATGTGTAGTAATATGTGCCAAGACTCCATGCGTGCAGTAGGTGAGGTGGTTTTCGTGTAATCCTTCCCGAATATCTGCTCAAAACCTAAGAAGACAACACGTACTTTCCACCTTACAGCTTTGCTGGTTTCATCTCTTTTGATTCAGAAAACTGGCTTTCCCTTTTGAATTTTTGAACCCTGTGGGACGTCGCATTGGGGGACTAGTTTGTAGATGCCCATGTCCTTTAAGGATTTTAGCTTGTTGCGGTATCCTTCTTCCCAGCATTTAGCATCGGCAGATTGTTGTGTGTCGTTCCAAGTTTTAGGCTCATCTTCAAATTCCAGGGTTGATGGATCTATTTTTGTCATTTCAGAGATAGCAGATAGGATTTGATCGATTTGTTCCACCTTACCCCCCCCCGAGATTCAGGGGTCCAAAAGCTTGGCAGAGTTCCTTGACTGCCGCGTCTTCGACAACTTGAGGTGCATTGCGCATCTCTTCCTCTTGAATATCCTGTAACATTTTCTTTCGCTCTGCTCATGTTGCTTTGAGTCTGACTGCTGCATCAGTAGACTCCTGAATTGCTCTTTCAAGTCATGTTGGACCTGCAACTTTTCTGTGATGCGGTTAGAGTGACGGGGAATGGTGTCCTCTGGTAATGCTGGAATATTCTGAGGGATATCTTCGGCTTTGGGGGGAATTTCTGGGCTGTTGGCTTGGGTGATGGGATCAGCGTTGGGTGGATTTATCAGAGGGAGTAACTCCTCCTCATCTTCATTGAAGAATATTGGAGTGGAAGTTGTGCTTTTTACAATGGATTCAAGGGTTGTGGTTTCCGTTGGGATTTTGGGAGAAGTAGGTGAGTGACCATCACAACTTTCTAGGGACTGGATGTGATAAGAGCTGAAAACTCTTTTCATCTCACGATGGTAGCACCGGTACATTTTTGAATTGTTATCGTAGCTGATGAGGACGCACTTGATTGATCTTTCGTAGATCTTTGGATTGTGTTTGTTCTGTATCAGAACGAAAACTTTACAACCAATTTCTCGTATGTACGAGTAGTCTGGCTTTCGTTCGTACCATTGTTCCCAAGGAGTGGTCCCTTCAAGTGAGCGAGTTGTTGTTTTGTTCTGAAGGTGGCCTGCCGTCATGTAAAATTCATCCCACATGTTTGGAGGACATTTGGCATAGATGCACATTGTCCGTGCGTGCCTTTGCCATGAGCATTCAGTGCATCCATTCAACGCGCCCAATGTGTGTGGATGTGTAAGGTGCCGTGAACAATTGATTAGTCCCCCTTGACTCTAGCCATTCGCACATGGCATTACTTTTGAGTTCACCATTATCTGTTATGTATGTGCCAACCTTCAGGCCGGTTTTGAGTTCACATGCGTGCTCCCATGCGATTAAGTAGTCGAAGGCATCACTTTTTCGTTTGAGTGGGATAGGCCAAACACGACTCATGTAGTCATCGACTATATCCATCACATATTCATTACCCATTCTTGACTTTACATGTGGTCCGCTTAAATCAACCCACACTTTCTCCAGCTTTCTCGTTGCTCTATGCCCAGGCCCCTCCTTGCGATGTTTAGGAACAGGTGTTTTTGTCTGTTTACCCAGGACACAAAATTCACACTTAGGTACGTCTCCATTATAAAGACTTGTGGGCATACCTGGGATCATTCCATTCTTGACCATGTCTCTAAGTGTCTGATAGTTTGTGTGGCTGAGGCGGCAGTGCAAGTTTTCAAGATCAGGTGCATGGTGCACTGTGAGAGCATGTTCAGCATAAATAGAATGAAGGGTGAGGGAGTAAAGGTTTTTGGTGGGGAGAAGCGGTCCACATGCTATAGTTGCATTGGTGGACTTGTTTGTGATCCAGCATGATTTTTCATCGAAGTGGGCAATGGCTTGATTGTCCTTCACTAAGGTGCTGACTGAGATTAAGCGTACTGTAGCATTTGGAATATAGAGGGTGTTCTGTAAAATGATGTAGGCACCCCACACGACCCTGAGTTTGATATTTCCAATGCCAATTGCAGTGATTGAGGATCCTCCAATGCCTTTGACAGAGCATGTGTTGGTTGGTTGAAGCGTCAGAAAATCAGATTTTTCTGGTGATATATGGACTGTGGCACCAGTATCGACATAAAATGGAAGGTCATCGATTGAGATGGGGGTACAATTTTTTTGTTGAATTGGAGTGATTTCTGAGATTGCTGCAATGTTGGATGGCTTCGTATGAGTGTTCCAGTCAATCGTGGCTCATGGCTCCTCCTCGAATGTGAGCCATCCTTTGTATTCAATTGATTCGATGGGCGCGGCGAGGGAATCATCAATGGGGATGGTGTTTGATGCATAGCCTGCAAATTCGGTGTTGGGCGCAGGGTTGGATATATCTGCGGGGTCAACGAGCACCATGAATGCCTTTCCGCCAGAGTCTCTCATGGTGACGGAGACTTTACCTGGGGTAGAAGAGGCCTTATTCTTTCCTCCCTTCTTTGCCTCTTTGTCTCTTTTGCAAGCTGCAATAGACTCAGCGATGGTTTTTCCTTCCATTCCTCCTCCAGGTAGAATGCAGTAAGGGTGGGTGTGTCCTGGACGCTTGCAACCACTGCAAAAAATGGTGGTTGACGATTGGTGGGATTTGGATTGGGCTGCTAATGCCATAGACTCGATAAGGTGATTATTGTGATTGTGTTTGAGAGCGTCGGTGTCGCGCAAAGCTTGTTCTGTCTCAAGTAAGAGGAGGATATTTTTGGAGGTGTAGGAACCGTTGGTGAGCCCAGTGGAAACAGTAGTGCATAGGTGTGGAAGATCCTTGAGTGCATTCATGAGCGCAATGCAGCAGAGTAAGTCTTGGTTGAGGTTTCTGATAGCGAAGGCATGTTTGATATCCTCGCAAATTTGGCGTCCTGTCTCGGGGAGGGATATGTCCTTGGTGCATTTGGCGGCTAGCACTTTCTGCAATAAGTTGACTTGGCGGATAGGCCCTTCATTTTCATGCCATGCCTTTAAGGCAATCCAGGCAGCTTTGGCTGTCATAGCTCCCCCACCCTCAAGTCTGATGTAGGTTCGTTCGCTGGGGTCAACGCTTCCAGCTATAATGGACCAGGCTTGACGATCATTCGCAAGCCAGTTCTTGTGTGCGCGTGGTTCAGCAGTAATGGAAGGAGCAGAAGCATCACCTTCGACGTAATCGAAAAGGCAGTTGCCCATCATATGGATGAGCATATCTTCGTACCATTGGCGATAGTTTCCTTTTGCCTTGCTAAGCTTCTCACCGGCATAAGGGTTACCAGATCGGATGAGGGCGATAGATGGGCATGTGTCATCGTTGGGAGCGACAGCCATGGTTATTGTGGGGGTTGTTTTGACAGTATCAGGCATGGAGAGAGTTTGTGGTAGAGATTGTGAATGCCTCGAGGCGACAAAGGAGGATGCATCCTAATTAGGTATGCATCAAGTACACGTCTTGCGTGTGTGATAAGATGAAATCTAGATCAGTTTCTATCATCACTAATTGTGACTAATGGCCCATAACCTGTAGAAATCAGATCTAGATAACACCGGTAAGGGGTGATCTAAGTAAAGTAAGTAATGTATCATAGTTGGTAAATGTAAGTGGCTCACCTCAGTCTTGGTATAACGGACTGAGGTGTGTAGTACCCATGGTGAGTATATATATACGCTATCTAGAATACTGTAGCATTTCATTCAATTCGACGGTCACGCATCACGGTGCCCTTCAAATTGCTGAAATGTCACGGTGGTCACGCAGATTTTTGTAAGGTGTCGAAATCATCTGGCGCTCATGTGATAAATGTCGAAATTTTTCGTGGCCTGCGGCGCTAAGTGGTCGAAATTTCGCCCAAATTTTCGGCTTGTCACGGCGAATTTGCGTGGTTGTCGAAACCAAAATTTCGACAGGTCTGTCACGCGTCACGGGCCCTGTCGAATTGAACGAAATGCTACAGTAAAGGATGTGTCATAATAAAGAGAGAGAATGAGAGAAAAGAAAGAGGGAAATAAAGGAACTGTAATAAAAGGTGTTCACGGTGTCATGATAATCACAACAAACACGAGTAGATTGTGTAAGCCGCCTCAGGATTATGGCTGGAAGTTTAAATATACAAAAACCAGGGATTTCTCCAATTGCCTCGGAAACCCAGGGGGTTTCCGTGGAAAGGGGGTTTCTCAATAGTTTTATCCCTGCGGCGGGAACTTCTGTCGCATGTCACAGGACTTTGCTCCTGAACTCCACCATGGCCTCGCTGTTCCGCCCCCACCTCTTCACAAGCCCCACACCCAAGAACACCCTTGCAAAAATCACTAGAAATTGAAGTGTTAGTATAGAAGCTAGATGTCAATTTCAACCATGCACTCATATGTACAACATAACCCAGCATGAAGTTAAAATTATGATACTTGAACCGTATGGTATAAGTACTCTTTAATAACTGCCCATCCTGAAGGCTGCTTTACCCCCAAGGTTGTGGAGTTTTTTTCCATCAGAAACTCCTTTTCTATCAATTCTCTGTGGCTCATGCGAGGTGTGTTGCTCCGAACGCATCATGATCTCACCAGTCCTGGAGCCCTGGACCCCACCTTTCCACCACTCTGCCTATTGACATTGACAAAAGGGTGGGAGGAATTTATGATGGTTGATAGAGAGGACGCTGGTGCCACACTCGAGACAAGGACAACTGGTCAGCCACATAGTTGTCAAATATGTAGTACTTATACTTGATGCAGTCCACTGTCTCCCTGTCTTTCTGTTCCTTAATTTCCATGCATACTTACAGTACTACACTTCATTATAAATAAAGCTATAAAATGGGTGACTTACAGCTCAGCGAGCAAGAGTTACACATCGCTTTCCCTCCTTGTTGACGCGTCTCCACTGTTTGGCAAACTGACACGTGACCTGGATCGCCACACAGATCTGCCACACAATGATCGCCGCACTTTTGAACTCAGACATGTCCTCCAGTGTTGAGTTGCGTCCTTAATATGACTCTGAGAGGTTCGAGAACTGCCTTTGGCCGATGATAGCAACTCTGTGTCACTTTCCTTTTTTCTGACTACTGTAGTATTTCGTTCAATTTGGCAGTAACGCGTCACATGACCTTCAAAATCGCCAAAATGTAACGCTTGTAATGGGTCATGTCTTCCCGTGCCAAAACCGTTTCGTGGTAACAGTCTCAACATAGCAAATTTTCGTGGCCTGTGGCGCTGTACTGCCGAATTTTTCGCCTTGTCACAGCCAAATCCTACAAGTGCCGAAATCAAAATTTCGGCTGGGTGGTAACGCATCACAGGCCCTGCCGAATTGAATGAAATAGTACAGTATTACATAAAACTGGTATGTGTCATCGAATTGCACCGAGAGCTTCGTCTGCGACACATGTGTAGAACTTGGCAAGCAAACAGAAGGCCCTGGGAAGCTCATGCCATTTCTTGTCCGCCAAAAGTCGCCAAAACGGGCCTCAAATCCGCTATCCTTTGGGACTCAAATCCGCAATCTTGGACAAGGCCAACACATGACATTCCCAAATAAGGAAGCCTCCTGTGAATTTTCTGTTTGATGACAACACAAGACTGTCCAAAGACAGCCGTTTTGCAGCCGTTTACAGAAGCGTGCTTCCCTCCCTTTAGTTACCAGGAAGTATATCCTCGCCTTCAGTGATATGTATGGTACTTCAAAAAAATTCTGCTCAGTTGCACCCTCAGATCCGCTATTTTTGGACAAAGCTGCCATCCTGATCGCCTCAAGAGTCAAATCCGCTATTCTGGGACAAAGATAGGCCAAGTTTTTGGCTCTCAAATCCGCTATTTTTGGACAAGAAATGGCCTGAGCTTCCCGGGGCCTCAAACAGATGCAAATCACATTCCGGCCTATTTCGACCAAGGTTTTGACGCACACAACGACCGCCGACCATAGACAACGCGACCCTTGTGCTACTAGTAGGCTGAGTCAATGATCAGAGAACCTCCTCGGATTTCTACCTGCCTCGCATGGATTATCGTCACCTTCAGTATCTCTGGCTACGCGGCTCTTGCGCCAGATCAGGAACTACTAATCAATACGGTGGTCGGTTAGTAGACCGGACTTCGACCGATCTTCTAATCTTTTGACGTCTTCAAAGTACATTCTATCGTCTTTTCCAGAAATCCATGACCTGGTGGAGATCAAGCGATGATCAAACCTACGAATGCTCAACTGGTGGCAGCTGTTCGCTTGGATGATTTTTTCAAAGTACTCTATATCAATCAATACTCTTCATCGATAGCTCACCCCGGGCATGCGTCTCAGACGCCTTTCAGCCAGCTTCTTTCGCTTCTTAAGGTGCATCCCCCTTGGACCAAGAGATATTGCTGAGTATAAATAGCAAAATCAAGCTACAGATTCTGTGCCTATCTTGTGACGCTCTGTCCCAAAATGCGCTTCCCTCTGTGCTGGTACTGCGTCGCCGTCGTTCTATGCAGCGTATCCGCGCACTACACCGTTACCTTGACCGTTTCTACCACCGTGGTACTTACTTCCACGCAAACGGCCACATACAGTGCAGTCGCCAATAAAACAACATCATCCGCGACGAAACCTTCGCCAACGGGTGTCAAAAATCCAAAGCGCGGTCTGGCTTTTGCTGCTGGCGACACCCCTGGTGACCTCAACAACGCCAACCAATCTGCGAGCGTCATTAGCTGGCAATATAATTGGGCGGACTCTCCCCCAGATTACCTTGTCGAATCGAATATCAAGTACATTCCGATGCAATGGGGCGGAGCTGGTCTCGACAGCTTTGCAGACCAAGTGAAAGCTCAGAGGGCTGATACGATCCTTGTGAGGCTACTTGGGTTGATATCGTTAATGCTATTACTAAAAGGTCCTCCCGAAGACATTCAATGAGCCTGACTTCGTCTCAGAGTCAAATATGGACCCTGTGTATGCCGCGAAGCTGTGGATGACGTCCATCCAGCCCATGAAAGCCGCTGGCGTTCGGTTGGGTGGACCCGCGGTCACTGCGTCGGATAATGGCCAGCAATGGCTCCAAGCCTTCCTTGCTGCCTGTTCCGGCTGCACGATCGATTTTCTCCCTCTGCACTGGTACGTGTCATTCAAAATAATACCGTTATTGTTCTCAAGTGTTTGAATGAAAGGTATGGGCCCGGTGTAGAGGGGTTCTACAGCTACATCTGGCAAATGCATAATACGTATCCTCAATATCCCATCTGGATCACAGAGTACGCTTCAACGTCAACGGATAGTTCAGGTGCACACTTGGTTTTCACCGACTTTTAATCGTCACACTCATAGTTTCTCCAGTCGTAGCCGACTTTCTGAACCAGACAATCACATACATGGACACTTTGGATTGGATCGAGCGATATTCGTGGTTTGGCTACTTCGTGAGTTGTGAACGAGGTTATCTTTACGCCAAAGGGCTTATCTTACATTACGTCCCAGCGTTCGAGGCCTGGTGTCTATTACAGTAAGCTCTCCCATCTGTGTTGTGGAAACGGTTCTAATGTCAAATACGATTCACAGATTTGCTGGGCGACGACGGGAGCCTCAATACCCTGGGCCAGATTTACGTTGGGGCAAATACGGTGCATACCCAGCAGAGAGCTTCGCCCACCAAAGTATATCACACTGTGGATGGTGCCGACATGTCAAACCAACCCCTTGTCACCACATGGGCACCTTATCCAAACAGCGCACTGCGAGGTTTGAACAGACCAGGACAATATGTCTATCAAATGGCATGCATGGTGCTTCCATTGCTCGGAGGGGTTCTTGGCGGACTTTGGGTGATTTTGTAGGAATGCTTTGCTCCGGTCCTTTTTGGGGTTTACAAGGAAGGTGCTACACAATCTGTCAATATTGTCAATGATGATGCAGGCTTGACACCTTCCCATGCCCGATTATATTTTCCATAATAAATTATTTCGAAGCCTTTTATGGGCCGTATCGACCTCGGACTGCTCAGGGGTTTACTGATGTCGAAGAATTTTGACGCGACGGACACATAGAAGCCTTTTGAGAACTTGTGCATCAGGACAGGGGACATCTTTGGGTGGGAAAGTGATGACAAAGCGGCTAGTCCAAGAGGCGTCAGATCCACCGATCTTGGACACCAACTTCAACCATGACAAAGCATGATCGGTGATTTCCAGAAAGCGGCATGGCAATGGCAAACGCTTCGCCCATCAAATCTGAATCAACTCCGCTGTACTTGCCAACGCCTTACATTACGCGGTGGATCACCTATGTCGAACGGTTATTTATCATGTAAGCCTGAAAATTTGTAGAATACAGTAGTGTCTATTAGCATATATGAACTTTATTCAAAGTTCTGCGCGAAAATGTTGTGCAATGTACAACTTCGCGAAACAGGACAGGTTGCATTATATACGACAGAGAACTTGTTGAAAGCAAATAGTTGTTGACATTGTGTAATTGAGCCATAAATGGGTGCAGGTGGGATCGGAAGACACCGAAGTAGCGGGATGGTACAGATATCATAAGGTATGCGCACACCAGCAAACCCCAATTTACACTTTTGACGATTTATATGCACCAGTATGTGCATTATTAGCTTGCCATGTTGAGAGAGATATGTCGGCGTGGACGCATTTGTAGATAACACAGGTGACGTAGATGAGAAGAATGAAGGTTTTTCGCGGTAAACAAACTGAGCTGCCGACCATGCCGAAACATCTCATGTCGAGTTCCGACGACTGATCACAGCTGATCACCTGCTTACATGCCCTTCCCAATTTGGGGGTACTCCCCACCTACCCACCGTGGGAGCTGTGTACGCGATCGGTGGATCTGACGCCTCTTGGGCTAGTCGTTGCTTTGGACAATCCTCTGAATTCGTCTTTGACGATGCTCAAAATTGTATGTCTGTCATTACTCGTTCTCGTCCAAGGCGCCTTTGGCCATGGAGGACATGAAAACACAGGGCCCGCTGCTGGCGAAACAATTCAACAGTATGCGCAGCGACATGTATGCTTTCATCACCTTTCATACCAACTAAGCTAATTATCGCCTCCGTGATAGATGTCGTCCGAGCACCATATGTGAGTTTGACCCTCACTTGTTCACCGCCTTGTTAAACCTCTTGTACAACAGTGATTCATTCGACATTGGGAGTTTCTTCCAGCTTCACGACTTGGACAGGTCAGTTCATGTCCTTAGTTGACAAAGGCCAAGCCCTCATTCGCATCACTAGAAATGGCTTTTGGGATAGGGATGAAATTGAAGCAATCTATGGTGTTCATCACGTCTACTCACAGAAAAAGTCAAAGGTGTGTAATGCGGGTCCACGTACGGTTTTTGCTGACCCTGGTTGGCTCAGGATGACATTGAACATCAGAAGAAAGCGGACATGATCGTGTCAACCGTTCTAGGTCTCCTTGATTTGGATAAAGATGGCAAAGTGTCACCGGAAGAGTTGGCGAAGGTTGGGCTGGATGGCTTGCCGAATTTCGACGATGTAGGTGCAGAGGGGCATCATTATGATGTTGAGAGTGGTACGCACAATATTCTTCATTTCGCACTCTTGGTTTTCTAATTTATATGAATAGAATTCTTCCTTCACCACGAGGGTATGTCCAATATGCAATGACCTTTGATCATACGAGCTTAGCGGCGCAACAGAAAAATTCCATTCTACGCCCGAAACGCAGACGGACGACTCTTACACCCACCCAGAAGACTTGGAGCATTTCGCACACCACGAGGATATCGAGCGAAAGGAGGCTGAGAAGGAGGCCAAGTTCCAAGGGATGTCGGTTGAGGAAGTTGTTAAATCTCATCAGGACGCCGAACAAGCAGCCCTCAAGAAAGCGGCAGAAGCCCCTCAAGTCCCCGTCGCTCCACATCCTCATGACGAACAAGTTGGCGACGTTCCCGTAGCTGACCCTCCTTCCGCTGCGAAGCCCCGGGTAACTCGAGTGACCCCACCGGAGAAGCAAGATCCCGAAATCAGATACAAGGACGCCAAGAACAAAAAGGGGGATTGGGGATCTGGTCCTGGTGGGTACAAACCACCAGTGGAGCCGGGAGATAAGATGCGGTAAGCTCATCCTCGCGTTTGCACTTCTCGTTTCCTTACTGACCGACTGCGTTGCTTCAGGAAAAATCTACCATACAAGGTAATGGCTTTTCTTGAGAAATCTACTTTGAGACTGAGAACTGATTCAGAGTCGGATGCAGTACAAATTTCGTCGTAACTGGGGGGATTTCTAGTCCAAATGACCGATTATATCCTGCTAGCCAGATGCATATTATTCCAAGTAGTTTGGTTACCCTTTGCCGTCGACTCGCTAAGTTATAGGGGTTAGGAGGATCCTACGACAGGTGCCTCGTTTCTCTTTTGTGTAATGTAGCCTAGTTATTTATACCATTCAGACATATGAGTGAAGATGAGAGAGAAGCTTCCCGTTCTGCCAAGTGAGGTGGTCATGCGATTATTAGTAAAGTATGCTGAGGCAACAAAAGGTGTATACTAGCGAATACAAGGTATCAGCAAGGAGGCGTATCTATCTTCCGTCAAACATGTCATCCATGATCCCCTTCTCCACCGCTTCCCAATCGATATTGCCACCACTTGCGTACACACTCTCATAGGATGATATACTCACATGCGAGAAGAAGGGCACCAGATCGCGCATGCTCTCTATCTGTCGTATGGAGTTCAACAGGGGTCTTCGCATCGGCCTCTGATCGGCAAACGTAGATAAAGGTTCTGGTGTAGCGATCGTAGTTTGCGAGTTCTAAAGCAGCTTCTAAGTAAGATGTCAATGGAAGAAAGAGTCATGCGCACCGCAACAGGAAGATTTCCGGCAATCTCTGCTAGCCGGTCCATCATGGCTTCGGGGAACCAGTTATCAGGACGATAAATGGCATCAACCGTGTCAGTGATGAATATCCATTGATGTCTATGAAAAAGTCAAAAATCATCTGGTACTGGGGATCAAGTTACTGACATTTGGAATTCTTCCGTTTGAAGTACAAGCAATAGGTCAAGACACTTGCTTGCAGCAAGAACCAATTGCAAGTCCTCTGAACCGTCGGCCGGCAGAGAGACAATGACTTGCCCAAATATACGGTACTACTTTTTCCGTTAGATGTGTAAATAGCAGAAGGGGAAAGAAAAGCGGACCATCTCTGTCAAGATGACAGGCCAGAAACTTGTCAAGTTGTGTGGTGATAGCCGACAAAGCAGAACCCGAATGCACAGGAACATTTCGCTCTGCACGATAGGCGAAGAAACGGTGCGGAGAGTATCAACCAGTTTTTCTTGTATTGTTGGCAGCTGAGTGAGGAAGTGGTTCTTTTCTCCCGCGAATAGCACGTATGATAAACGCCGAATATTCAGGGACCGTAGCAGCATCTCGTATTCCCGATTCGTGAATATGTTGGCAGAGGGAGCGTTGGCTACCTTGCCTAGAGCGTTTGTCAGTTGGGCACTCCCAGGTCGCAAACCAAAACTCACTAAGAAGTTCAGGGAACGCAGTCTTATCAGAGTCGTATAGGACCTTGACGATAAGTCTCCATCTACTCGCGGATTCCGGATCACAGTTGAAGAGTCGGTTGTCGCTCAAAAGGTCAGCGACGGGAGCTCGCCATGATTTCAGGGCTGCCGGTATGCGAGTCATCTCTTGCAGTATTGAAATTACGGTGCTATCGAGGTCCATCGGTCTGGAATGGGTTAAGGAACAAATCAAATCCCGAATCCTGTGGTCGCACCTTGTTTTCCCTCTCATGGCAGGGTTGACGATGTAGTAAATGATGTTATTGCAGGTGGTGATGATTTTGTCGTTTTCTATCAGGAACCTACGCAGGTTCGGTAGGGCCGAAGCTGCAATGAAGGTATTGATCTTCCAAAAGTGATCAATAATCAGCAGAGAGGGCAGATATCACCTTACCTGACCAATCACCTCGGCTGAACTTGGGGTATCAGAAGCAATGGAGGCCATGCTACTTTCGAGCTTGTCATCTAGCTTATTACCTAAGAGGTTGTTCTGTAGAGAGATTTGCGCTATCTTACCTGTTTTAGGAGCGGGCGATTCTCGCCCATTTGTTGCAACCGCTTCCTTTGTGCCGCGTCTTATCCACGAGCCTTGGTCTGACGAACGACCAACATAGATAACACAAGAGTCCAGCAGTCTGGCATAGTTATCCTGGATTCACAGCCGATAAATGACTAGCTTCCGAAGAGAGGATCTCATCTACCTGAAGCTCTTTGCGAATCCGCTTGTCATCTACCGCAGTTGTCTGTGTGACCTTCTCAGCTAGAACACCAAGACATCTAAAAAAAATATGAGAAGATTTCTGACTTTCGAGGGACACTGACCTCAGGGCTGGAAAGTTTGGAGCCTTGAATTCCCGCGTGCTACCAACAAGATCTTTGACAAGCTGCAGGTAACGGCCCCATACCTGGAGCGCAAGAGGTCCCTCTAGTCGCCGTAAATATTGCTCCAAAAACCTGAACAACACAGCATCAGTCCTGAGAGACTGTCAGTGAACGCGAGATGTAGATGGAAAGCAGAACAAACAGATTAGGGTTAATCGCCTGCTTCTTGACTTTCTCTGAAGCACCAGAAAGACGACAGGATATGCTTTCGCATATCATATGAACGGCATTCTGAGCGGTAGCAACTAGTACATCAACCAGTTCAAATGCTGCATCAGGTGAAGCAGCAGCAAGCTGCTTCAATTTCAGTTTTGTAGGCAGAGCGGCAAATGGGACCCGGACTCACAGAATTGTCTTTGCTCCACCAATCGACAATCGACTCGAAAACCTCCGCAGATTGTACACGAAAGAGGTGTTCAAGAACTCGGCGACATCGTATCCTTGTCCGATTATATATGAGGGATACTGATTCATCCTTGGGTGACCAAACTTCAGGCGCCTTCCAGATGAGTGCGGCCCAGACTGAATAGAGCACTCGGATCCCTTCATCCAGAGACCGGTATCCCGGAGAACGAGCCTAATCAGTCGATCGGTGCTATGTACGCAGTGAAGTAGTGGAAACAGACATACGGTGAGTTGCTCTGACGGAACCGATTGTGCGCTGTCTGAGCTAAAAACGCCCGAAACATAGCCTAGCAAACCGCTCGTTTCTCCAGATGGCTTTTCCAACGCGCTTGTCTCGTCTTCGGAAGTGTCCGGTTCGGAAGTATATGCAAGGCTCAGCAAGATCAGTCTCTCCAAACCGTTGAGGAACATGACCATTTCTGCTTCTGTGACGCTGGTTGAAATGTCGTCCGCGTAATCCCGCGACTGCGACGAGGCCTTGAGCACTTCTGAAAGAGAGGAAAGGAGTTGACGGCATAGGCAGTCATTGAGAGGAGCAACAAGGGCTTGCAAGGCTGGTTGGAACTGAGGTATAGCGGTGAGAATAAAATCCAACCAGTGCTGTAACACTGGCCGATTCGAGCGTGTTGAAATTCCGTCTATCAAGGCTTGGATCAACAACGGGTTCACAGGATATCGTATGCTAGTATCCGGTGCCTTCTCCTGAGCAGTAGCACTATCTGGCTGGCTTTCTTCCGGTCGCTTACTGACTGCATTCCGCTGGGCAGTTTCCAAGTTGGCTGTCAAGGCAGAAATGAGGGAGTGCAGAAGGTGTAGGAGTTTGTTCTGTAGATCAAGCCGAACCATGTGGATGGAGAAGTAAAGTTTCCCAACGACAATTGCCTCGATGGATTCCGTCGAGATATTATCCACATCCCCGCGAGCCACAATGAGTTGCAGGAGTTCGACGGCAGCAGACTGAATTACTGCGTTAAGCGGTTGCATTGCACTGGACCACTGTGGCTTGGGCTCAGATTGAATCAATCTTGGAACAATAGAGTCAGTCAGCCAGCCATGTGTGCGACTGTTGCATACCGAAGTAAGATCTCCACCATGGTGTCCATGTAACTCCCGTCGCCGTCAACCATGCCAACTGATTCACGCAGCATGAGTTAGTGGGGGAAAATAGAAAAATATCTAAGTTGACTGACAAGATTCAACCCTCTGCACTAAGCCTGCATGATGTGATCGCTTGATAGCAGACGATCGCGCTGCTTTGGAGAAACCTTGTCCTCCAAAGCGAACGATAGCAAGAAGCATCTCCAACAGATGATGCGTAAAGCGTTGGTCGAAAGGTCGTTCGTAGAGGAAACCCGGAAGTTCTCTGCCACGAACCTTACATGTGGTAGGTGTCCGCAGGATAGACGGATCCAGCAGATCATGAAGAATTGGATCGAGAACACTAGGTAATTTGCTTCAATGGGGCAGCTGGGCGGACAAGTCAATATACGTACCGCAGATATGACTTTAAGCTGCACCGCATCCACGTTTCACCCACTCGACGAAGGCTGGGGTCTTCACTCTTGAGCGTACCCAAAACGATCATCAAGGGAACCTTCAAACGGAACCCAGGCAAAAGATTATCCTCTGGAGTCATCTCTCTTTGTAAGTTGCAAAATTTCGAAGTCATACCAGACGTACCAGTCAATCGCCACAAAACTCCGAACGCTTCATATGCCTCTGAGACGTTACGAGATTCAGGCGAAGTCATCGATTGCGCCAAAATAGATTCAACATGCGAATGTGTCGTTGACGATTCAAGTGACCATATCAAGTTGACTGCACGCAGATGGTAGACCCCATAATCCGGACGGAGATATTTCAGAAGTTTGTTCACCATTTTGTATATCGTCGGCCGTTCATCAATTGTCAACTTGGGGGAGAGATATTCATTTCGATGGAGAGCTACGGAAATCGTGATAATGCGATCCACAGATGTAAAGTTTGCCGACTAAGATACAAAGTGAGCTACAACAGCTGCAGACATCATTGAGCGCAACGAACCTCGAGTTCAAAGGTTTGAAGAAGATCTTTCAGCCACTGGGAAGGGTTCCAGGAGACATCGGTTGGGGTTGCTAATCTGGCTATAAGTCGCTCGACGAGCGTCAATGATCGAGAAAGGACCTCTCGTAACACAAGGGTGTCATCCTGAGATTTCATCAGGGAGTTCGAGCATTGCGTGATTATCGAGATGAGGTTTTCAAATGTGGTGGCAAAAGGGACTGTGAATGTACCAGATGTGCTTGGAATGCCTTGGTTAGGTTGCACATCGTAGAAAGTGCATGCAAATAGATATGGAGATTGAGACCACCGTGCTGCGTCTGCATCACCAGCAAGTTCAGGACGTTGCATCAAGCCTGTATGAGGGACGTGCTTGAGAATTTCTTCCAGTAGGACAAAGCATTCCCGTGTAGATTGTGTCGTGATATTTTTCGGATTTTCTTGAATTCGGGACTTTGAGGAAATAAGCTTCCACGTTTGATGGCCCTTCAAAAAATGACTTACATTCACGACATCAAGGATGGCAGCAAAAATAACTGGGAGGTGAAGTGTTTGTATTTCCTCATCGTGTGTGAATGTCTTCAGAATAAACTGAACCAAATGGATTGCCTTCGTTGTGCATTAGATGGGGACGTGACTTCATCGCGGGCAGATGCATACCTCAAATAAGCTGCCATCACTCAAGAGTTCGGACACCACGGCGGTCAGCAGATGCTTCCAAATAATCTGAGGTTCCACTGCTTCGTATAGAGTACTCGCTGTCATGATCAGCTAAGACCTTGATCAGCGCGAATAGACCTGTGGATAAAGATGAAAGATTACATCGTTACCACTATCTCTCGGGCTTTCCACAAGATTCTTTATGGCCGTGAAAGAACCATAGACGATGACTGACGTCAATGGCGCCCCAATCTCCCATTTATCAAGCAAAGAAATGAAGATCTTGAACGGGCGTGATTCCGCATATTCCCCTGACGGTGAATCCATTTCGCTCTATAAAGCAAACAGACCTCGTCACTTGAACCCTTTCCATACAACGAAAATAATCACCTTCAATGTAGAGCTCAACAAGTCCAAAGCATTCTGCTTCAAATACGCCACCTGGTTCTCAGCCTTCTCGTCCGGCCCCAGAAGCCAGGTGTATAGTCGCCGATTAAGAGACAGGTCACGTCGTAGCACTACCCCTGTAGCAGCGCGCATCAGGATCGCGCGATCATCGGGGTGAGCTTTCTGCATCGCGAGGCTGTCCATTTTGAGAATCTGAAGGAGAATATCCAGAGCTCCTCTACGGACAAGAAGGTTCTCATCTTCAAGTGCTGCTGCGAACGCTCGAATCATGAGACCAACGTCCTTGCCCACGACAGATGTGATGTCTAAATGGCATCATGTCAGCAAATTGGTCGGGAACGCTAATGATGCTCACCTTCATCGGCATTAAAGCGAGGCAAACGACGGGCCAAAAGGTTAAGAGACGTTCCTCGGCCAGAGGGCGTGGTAAGCATGACCAACCATATGTTCTGGAAAAAGAACGAAAGGGAAACGGTCCCGGAAAGTCGATCCAAAAGGCTTAAAACCTGACATTGGATTTCAGGATACATACCGGAAAAGCAAATCTCAACACACCTTTTCGAAGAATTCACCCGTCTCCTCTTCAAGCCCAGGTAGCAGCGCGAGAATGAATGATTTCATGACAGGTCGTAAATCCCCCTGCAATGGGAGGTAATATGTATCGTAGATGTTCAATAGGGTAGGCTGGAATGATTGAGTGAATGTTATACCGCCAAGAAAGATACATTTCGCCCAGACGGACCTTCACAGAGGTAGCAGCATATTCAAAAAAGGGAAACAGGCCAGAAGACCACAACGGTAGGTCACGGTTCAATCCGTCGAGCTGATCAACGGCATTAAATCAGCCTCATCGCGTTTCGTATACGTTCAAAACTCCCTCACCCCAAGAACGGCGAGGATATGGGTATACACCTCCAACGCGCGCTGATGAACCCCCGTCGGCAATGCAGGGTTGAGACACTGAGATAGCCGTTTCGCCACGATCAACTTGCGCGGTATTTCCTTGAATTGCATATACGATTGAAATGTCTGCAGACAGAAATACGTCCACGGTTAAGTTCATTCATTGCCCCATGCTTACTATATATCGGCAAACGAACCTTGAGTAATTGCTTCAGAAAAGCAATACAATCTGCCCATTCATGCACGTTGTCGAACGAGTTGAGGCATTTCTCTACTTGCTGCACGTATTTCTTGAACTTGGGATCGGAGGAGTATGCATGGACCGACGCGCCTAGAAGGGATTCAGCAGATGTATTTGATGAAGTGAAGGTGAAGAAACATATGGTGAACTAACCACGGTCACCAGTTCTTGCGAAGACACCCTTCGTTGACGTTGCGGTCTCAACTTTGGACACCAATGGTGAGATCGAAGACATGCCAGCAAGCCTTCAGTGCGAAAACTCGATGCGCCTTGCGTGGTGGTGATTCGAAAAGAAGCCAAAAATCGGTGTGAATGGCAGTCGAAGTGCAAGTTATTTCAGGTCAATCACCGATGACCACATACACATTGGCGCCGTCACGTTACAACACACGTCGTCGTTGACAACAACTCATTAGGAATATTCAAGCCAGACACAAGTAATTACAATAAGATAGGGTATATGTATGGTACGTAGTATAATATAGTCATGAATCAGGGGGAGGTGCCATATCAGAATCACCAGCCTCAGAAGCAGCAACCTGCAGAATCCGCATTTTCGTAGGTGCACGGACAGCACTCGTCACCCCCTCCGGAATAGACGACCCCGAACGAGAGGGCGCAGCGCTCGTAGACAACGACGCCGTCTTTGACGAGGACGCCTTCAATTTCGACACGGCCTTGGGCGCACTTATCGAAATATTCGACAACTTGGGAAGTGTCATGCCCCCACCAGACGACGACTTCTCTTCCCCAGCCTTGAGCAAGAGCGCAGCGGCGTACTCCGACTCCTTCTCGCCAACCCACGTACGCGTGAACCACCGCCCACCAGCGATCCCGCGTATTTCCCGGTTCGCAGTCCGCCAACGGCGTACTTTCTTGCCGGATCTGTCGAGTGGTAGGGCTGGGGCGAATCCAGACGTCATTTTCGGAGGTGGCTGAACGGGGAACGGTTTCGTTGGTAGTGGATATTGCGGGATAGCGACTCCCTCGAGGTTGGTCTCTTCGAGCAACGGCATGCCTGTTGATGGCGGGGCTTGAGGAGATTGTGGCCTCGAGTGTTCATGTTCAGGTTCTGGGGAGTTGGCTTCGAACTGTGCCGTCACTGGGGAAGACGCAGCGGTCCCTGTGTATTCTGTGAGACGAGTGGGTCGGTACACGCGTATAGGATACCGTCAATACACACCTTCACTCAGCACGCCTGCATCCTCAATAAGAAGAGGTGGAATGGCCGTCTTCTGCCTGCCACATAAACTCAGCATGACATGAAAAATGCGTGTAGAGGCTTACTTCAAAGCTTTCGTCTTGGCCCGCGGGATAGCAGGCGGCTTGCGAGGGGAAGTCTTCTTCTTCCCTGGGACGGAAAGCTTTATCTTAAGAGGGCCTTCAACGCTAACTGGCGCTTCCGGTTCCACAACACCGTCGTGTGGTTCGGCCGGGTTGGCTTCAAACCATGACATGGTCGGAGGAACAAGGTGTGGTGCACCGCTTGTCTGGGGGATCTTCTCCCGTGTCTTCTTCTCCGCCGCGTCGGGCGGGCGTTTTTCACTTTTGCGTGGTTTCCTTTTTACGGCAGCCTTTTTCTTTTGAGAGGGATCTGCGGTAGAACGGGCAGAGGAGGGTGTGGGCACTGGAGAGGGTTTCGGGATGTCGTCGTCGTCATCATCATCAATGAGCTGGTCCTCTTCCTCCTCTGGCTCATCCGGCTCGTCCTCTGAGCCCGGACTATTGCGCTCAGCGACGCTGTTCCGTATTTGGGCCCAGTCGATAGGTTTTTTAGACTTTGGCAAGGGCTTGGTCTTACGTGTCGATGCAGCTTTTTTGGGTGACTGTGACGGAGGTGGTGGTGGTGGAGGTGGTGGGGAGTCATCCTCACGGAGAGTGGATATTTGAGGTGCATCCATGTCGACGTCTTCGTCCATCTCGTCGTCGGAGGGGTGATTCTGTGATTGGGATTGTGAGGTGGAAGCTGGGGGATCGTAAGTTACCCATGGCGATGCACGAAACTTTGATATGGTTTCTGACGGTGTCATTTGGAATGTTGTGAGAGAGGTACATCCTTGGTACAATTACAATTTGTTTCTACAACTCTCAACCTATTCTATCAGACAAACCTTCGTAGCCAGTCCACTTGCCCAGAGAGTCACCGACGTCCTGCGCACGCGTCTCATAGAAAATATGGGCGGTGGGCTGCAACACAGCCCAGCCTTTCGTCTTTCCATCCGAGTCCTTCTCAAGTTGATGACCCCAAACACTCCATTTGTCTGCTTTAGAATTGTACGACGCGACAGTGCACCCACAGTTCTTGCAGCGCCATCGAGTCTTCCAGGGCCTGGTCGGGACGGAGAAAGATTCCAGTAAGGCTTCATGGGGTTCTGAATGCGTCCATTTGAATACAGATGAGGGGAAGTGCAGGGTATGAATAAAGGCAGCAGCTATTAGAGGATGAGAGAATCCAATGCAAATATGATTCCGAGAGCTCACAGTTCAGGCTTTGACACAGTGTGCAATGGCAGTAGGCGCTGAGAATGGGAGATCCAGAGACGCTGTGGCTAACCTTCCCGCAGAGACAGCTGCCTCTGTGCACTCGGCTGCCCATGAGAACTGCCGTAAATATTATTATTTAGCAGTAGCTGAAGAGAAGGATGTGGTCATGGACAGAAAACCTTACATAATCACTTACCGAAATTCTCCGTTGCAAAGGTGTTGACCGAAAACTCTTTTCTCCACAAAAAGTCAGGTCCGTATATCTCTTGCCATAATCCCCCTTTTCTGCTAATTTTCAGTTTAGCGTCGAGGGCCGCCTGCACACGACCTTAGATTCGTACCACGGTCGAACGCAAAAGGGCTTTTACAATGGTCTCGTCAACAGTCAACGTACGTTTACCTCACTCTCCTACCCTACGCCGTTCTTCACACTATATCCCTCCCCAGGTCGTCCGGTACACGGCTCTTTTCTCAGGTATCGCTTATGGGTGGTACCACCGCCGAACTCTCCAAACGGCCCACGACCAACACAAGCTGGAGCATGCGGTCCACCATAGGGAACAATTGGTTGCGGAAGCCAAGGACGCATGGAAAAGAAAGCAGCAGAGCTCCATAAAAGATACCACCCGTGAGTTTCGCTATTCCCACCTTTGTCCCAGTAATATTTCATGGGTTTACCTTGGCCGGTGCCGCTCCTTCTTTTTCGCGACCAACTACTTCTTAATGCCCCAATGCTAAAACTACCCTTCTAAAGTTATCAACGACCCAGAGGATCCTCGGTTCGACTTAGAGAAGCTGATAGCGCATTGGGAAAAGAGCACATAATTCTGTATCTAATCTTCTTTCGGCCTGGCTGCGTATAGATTATTGCTTCAATGTTTTTCACAACACCCCGACGTTGCGAGTACACGTCTAGAGAGAGGGTCTCCGTAAAATAATTTGTGCCAATGACATGGTAATAGTATGAAATGGTCACTATTGCCAGTGACCGTGAGAAGAGCGCGTCGCGTCCCCTTTGGCATCTGCCATATCCTCCATCACAACCCTCGTCCATACATTCCCCTCGCACTCTGTAGAATCTCTCAAATTAGTTATATATCGAGCAACCACACTATCAAAACGTCCCATAAATCATGAAACCACAGATGGAGGAGGTCGAGGATGATCTTGCCGCCGAGGAAGAGAATAAACTGATAAATGAGGTCCGTTGACGCGTTTCGACTTTTTCTGTATCCCATCATGTCCTATGTTTTAGGAATACAAAACATGGTACGCTCCTTACCCTCATTCAAAGATCCCACCAATGCGCGCCACAGGAAAAAGAACGCACCATACCTCTACGACGTCGTCATCACCCACGCTCTCGACTGGCCAAGTCTAACCTGCCAATGGTTCCCAGACAAAGAACAGTGCGTTTTCATTCATCCTCCGCATCCTACTTACGCCTCTATAACACCCCACCCCAAGGAACCCCTCCAAATCATACACAACCCACCGTCTCCTCCTCGGGACACACACATCCGGCCAAGCCCAAGACTACCTCCAAATCGCCACCGTCCACATCCCCAAGCGCGATTCTGGCGCAGGCGGGTCGGGCGCGGACAAGCTCGATCGTGCAGATTACGATGACGAGCGTGGGGAATTGGGGGGACATACGATCCCACCTGCCCCGCGCATCCAGATCATACAAAAGATCAACCATGCGGGTGAGGTTAATAGGGCGAGGTATATGCCCCAGAATCCGGACTTGATTGCGACGAAGGCTGTTACAGGGGAAGTGCTCATTTTTGATCGGACGAAACATTCGAGTGAGCCGGAGAGGGGGGGAGTGTGTAAGCCGGATATTAGGCTTGTTGGGCAGCGGAGAGAGGGGTGGGTGGTGTGCTATCGATTTCTTACTACTGATTAATTTTTCGTTAGGTATGGGTTGGCTTGGAATCCTGTGAAGGCAGGCCATGTCCTGGGTGCGTCGGAGGACATGACTGTGTGCCATTGGTGAGTTGAATGCTTTGGATTGGGTTACCATTCCTGACTTTGTCGCGCAGGGATGTAAACTCGTACACCAAGGCTAAGAGCTCAATCGAACCTACAAACGTCTTCAGAGGACACACCTCTGTAGTTGGGGTATGTGATATATAGGCATCTCTTGTTTCTTGCTTACGCTGTAGTTAGGATGTTGACTGGCATGCGACCCAAGAAAACGTATTTGCGAGCGTTGGAGATGACAAAATGCTCATGATGTGAGTGTGCACGTAACACTCTGATCCTTGAATTCACAATTCTCCAGATGGGACACGAGAACACCAACAGAACCTAAACTCAAGGTCCAAGCCCACGATTCCGAGATCCTAGCTGTGGCATTCAGTCCAGCTACCGAGCATCTACTCGTCACTGGTAGCGCAGACAAGGTTCTTACTACCCCCCTCCTACCTAGGCTTGAAATCCCATTGACACCCCCTCGTAGACCGCAGTCCTCCACGACATCCGGTCCCCCACCAAGAAATTGCACGTCTTTGAATCGCACACGGACGAAGTCCTCCATCTCGCATGGTCACCACACAACCCAGCCATCTTCGCCTCTGCTTCAAGCGACAGACGTATTAACATCTGGGATCTATCACTGATAGGACAAGAACAAACGCCCGACGATCAAGAAGACGGGCCTCCGGAGTTGTTATTCGTACATGGCGGTACGTCGACTTTTCCAATCAAAAAAACTAAGTTACGAAATGTGCTAAACGTATAACAGGCCACACAGCGCGCCCAACCGACTTCTGCTGGGCCCCCGGTGTTTCTGAGAACTGGACCGCCGCCAGCGTGTCAGAGGACAACGTTGTCATGGTGTGGCAGCCTACTATGAGAGTGTGGGCTGGGGATGAGGTTAAAGTGGATGAAAAGGAGTTGGAGACGGATGCGATGGAGGGTGTTGAGAGTACCAGTACGGATAAAGGAAAGAATTCTGCGGCGAGTGGGGCGGGGAGTTTGAGGAGTCAGAGTATGAGTGTTGCTAGTGTGTCGGGGGATGATTAGTGGGGACGCTGAGGTGGCTTCATGTAAATGCATTTCGGTTTATATCTCTTGCCTTTCAATGGAATCGTAATCTTGAAACTTACCTCTGGTTCGTCTGAGAGACTATCATCCACCTGTACTTTCGTGCCTATACCTGTTTGCTGAATTCAAAACAAGCGTCAATTACACCATCAAATTGACGTCCTCCCGGCGGTCTGTCTATCGCAGGATTCCTTCATATACAGACGGTCACTGGTCCAACTATTACACTCTATCAGTCAAGCCTGGAGTGTCAAGAAGGATACAGTTGCCGTTCTTCCATGGTCAGTCGCCCCGTCGGGAACTTATGCTATTCAGTATTCACTTTTGAACACTTCAGTAAGTAACCTTGGTATATTTCAGTTCATATCATGTCGACCTCCCCTCTCATGGAGAAAATTCCCCTCAGAAGATACGAGAAACAGATTTCCATGATGCCACCTTTATCGGCCACAAGTTCCACCGAACCTAGCCCCTCCCTTTCACCTCGGATTCACGCTCTCCCCAACGAGCTACTGACCGCCATCTTTCTCCTGAGCACGGATGCAGCAGCAACGATTAATTCATCGCAAGTATGCCGCCGTTGGCGTCAGGTTGCGCTGGAATACCCAATTCTTTGGGCCCGAATGCTCAACTTCGATCTGAATTCCGCAGAGTGGGGTGAAGAGTTATTGCGTCGCTCAAAAGACCTCCCAATCGATGTCAGACAAAATGCCTTTAACTTGACGCAGCCAATACGGCACCTCGGGAGAGCGTTAGCCCAATCCCATCGATGGCGAACGTTCATGACCATGTTAGATGAAGTTGACGAGGCTTTCCTTCCTGCGTTATCGAAACCTGCACCGCATCTGGAAGTATTCTGCCTTTGTGTTCATCGGTCCATCGAACTGAAACTCCCCGAATCTCTGTTCGCGGACGATGCCCCCAGACTCCGTGAATTACGCCTCATCGGATGCGGTTTTAATCCAAGTAACGCGTCAATCTTTGGACACCTTACTTCACTCAGTGTTGTAGGGACGAATAGTGGGGTCCCTGCCTTGCGTCCAAACGTTGCAAAGTGGCTTCAAGTGTTAAGTGCTGCTCCATTACTGAAAGTGCTCAATATCGAACAATCGGTTGCCCCGCCTACATCAGCAGAGACCTTTCTACAGGTAACTCTCCCGAATCTCCGTTGCATGCACCTAGCAGGTTCGACGACCGTCTGCGGTCAACTTCTTGCCCACCTCGATACCCCTTCTCTATCCCAGTTTTTCATCTGGTGTGCGTTGATCCTACCAAACGACGATTTCAAATCCATTCAGCGGTTCCTTGCGGAGCGATTCGCTTGCGGAAGGCCAGATTTTGATGATACAGGATGTCATACCACGTTCGGAGATTCGTTCTTGACCATTAGATACGAGCCTCAAGAGTCCAACGTCCCCCAGTCCAACGACCCCACTCCTTATCTTAAAATACACCTCGATTGGAGCAACGTAACGGACACCCATATCCAGGAGAACGTTATATCCTTCTTCATAATTCCCGTGTGGCTGGCTCTTCATTCGCTTCTGCTGCAAACAACACATCTCGCCATGAGCGATCCTGATAATATCCCTTTTGGGGGCCTGCTGGTTGATGATGTGACTAGATTCAAAGTCGCCTCTATCATGGGTGTTCTAGCCACCTTCAACAAAATCCACACACTTCAAATGTCTGGGGAAATGCAGAGGATGGTTCTCGTGCTGCTGCTTTGTGTGTCGCTCAGCAGGCGTGACACCGACGTTGATTGTTTGCTTCCGTCGCTTCGGAAACTAGAGCTCAAAGTGGCAGATGACGGTGTTGACATGTACCAGGAAACCGAAACAGGGTCTCTGTTTGACTGTTTCGTAAAGGTTGTCAAAAGTAGGATCGAACAGGGTGTTGGAATTGAGATTGTGGAGTTTGATAAGGATTACTTGATCACTGCGCAGCAAGTTGATACCCTCAGGGATCTTGGAGTGCAGGTCGTTTCTTCATTACGTCAAACCAGCCCATTTCTTCCATAGAATGAAAGGAGTTCACTTCGTTGAAAAAGAAAAGTACCGCCGGATTGCAGGGGAACCCTCTTCGCTCAAAATAAATGGACACAGCGAGATACCCCTCCCGAGCATTCAAGCTTCAGTTGGGAGAGGTTGCTAGGTCCAAAGCCTGGCTCCATGTGGGAAACATTCGCGGAAAGGGAGGCTTCCATGGCGCAAGGTGACCTGAATTGCTATGCGAGAAACCGCGAAGTACCTCATCAGAATTTGACACGAAAAGACCCCCGAGATGTATCACGAGTCATGTTTATTGGCGTGGAGTTTGCTTTAGTGTTTCCCTATGATTTGCGACCATTAAATAAGAGGATAAGTACAGGTGTGATACAACCCGGAGCCAGAGCTTATTATGCTCTTGAGTAAAGCCCTAATCAAGGAACAGAATTCTCATAATCTCAAAAAACACTACGAGGGCGTCAGCCTTGAAGACAACTTAACGCAGAGCGTGCTCACCTCCTCCAATAACCACGAAGACGACAATACCAAGTGCCCATAGACTTAGCGGACTTTTCTGCAACATCTTCTCCTGCCGCGAGACATGTGTTGCTTTCTTTCCCTCCCGAACATCTTTGGCGAATTTCGCATTTCGCTGACGCATTTCGAATTCGGTTGGCTGTATCATTCATAATGAACTTGGGTAATTTATTGGCTGCTCAACGCTCGTACCATTTTTAATGATTATACGCGAAATATGAAAGAGTGTAAGAGTTTTTGGCTATACGCAGAGGGTTGAAAGACGAGACGTGGATAAATGGTAGATTGAGTAATGATAACGTGGCAGCAGGTGGTTACCTCATCGTGATCGGAGGAAATGGCACTCAAATTGCACCTGAACAAAAACCATACTTGGGCCTAAAACGCCTAACCCCACATCGAAGTGAGCAAAATGGGAAAATCTTCAAAGAACCTCAAATCTGCCCTCCAGTCTCAACAGTCGAGGATGAAAGCGAAAGCGAAGATATCGCATGTGGCCCAGGTCACGGAGCAGAAGGCGCGGAAACAGGCTGGACGAAGTGGAGGCAAGAACATACAAAATTCGGCTGCATCTGCAGGCACTTCTTCTATCTCTCTCGATACAAATAACAAGGGGAAGGGAAAAGCAAAATCCACAGTCAAAATTGCCTCAAAATCTACCACTCGCCGACCAACTATTCCGTTCCGAGCCACAGACAAGATTCTGCTCATTGGCGAGGGCAATTTCTCATTCGCGCGTTCTCTGATCGAAGATCCTCCGACGGAACTCCAATCGTTGCCTCCCGCCAACATAACTGCCACAGCTTTTGATACCGAGGAGGAATGCTACGCAAAGTACACAGAGGCGGAGGATATCGTCGCAAAAATAAAGGAAAGAGGTGTTCATGTCTTGTTTGGGGTTGACGGAACAAAATTGGAGAAACACTCAGCGTTGAAGGGGAAAAAATGGGATCGGATAGTTTGGAACTTCCCCCATGCCGGTGAGCGCAATATTTCATCTTGAATTTTTGGTCGGGTTTGATGATATGTTAAGGAAAGGGCATAACCGATCAGGATAGGAACATTTTGTCTAACCAGATGCTTATCTTGGGTTTCTTGCGGTCGGCAGAAAAGATGCTCACTGTAGGAGAGGCTCCATCCTTAACATCGGGAAAAAAGAAGAAGAGGACAGGAGATGACGAAGATGAAGATGACGATGAAGACATGGCCGCACCTGCGGAGGAAATAGCGCAAGATGATAGCGAAGAGTTTGCATTCTTCGTACCATCGGACGAATCAATACCAACGCGAGGGACAGTACTCATCACTCTCCGCAATGTGGTTCCGTACACGCAATGGTACGCGTCGTCATTGTAACATACTAGCCTCTACTTTACTAACTCTGTCATAGGGACGTTCCACGATTAGCAAAGAAGCCACCAGCCCCAATGGGCAGTACACCTCCAAACCCTCGCTACACTCTTCTCAGATCGTTCCAGTTTCACAGGGAGGCATGGAAGGGGTACGAGCATAGAATGACGAAAGGTGAAAGGGTCCATGGAACTGGAAAAACGGGAGAGGGAGGAGAGGACCGAACTTGGGAGTTCTTTTTTTGAACGCGTTGTTTGTAGTTGTCGTTTAAGAGCCTCCGAGTACAGAAAATTCGCGTTGATTCTTACAAGTCGTCAAAATGCTCTCATGTGCGCGTAGTTCACTGTCCTGGTCGACACCACGAATACCTTCTTCATTGCGCAGCTATGCCATTTCAGTTGAGCCACCAAAACTTATGCCAGGCAAGCGCCTGCCACGCGTCTTCAAAGACAAGAAGGCCTTTCAATATAACTGGTATTCACGTCTGCTGCAAGCCAGCTCTACTGCCCCCCTCCTTATCCTCCACCACAATGATTTCACGGCGCAACGACTAAAGAAACTCCGCCTTGATATCTCGACTGCATCACAGAAGTTTAAGCCTTCGCTAGCTGCCCCAGGTCCATCCGCCATACCTACCAACCCCGTCCAGCCAACGCTGACCGTCGTGCGGACAAGCATATTTGGTGCAGCCCTCAGGGACCTGCCCGACATTAATCTTCAAGAGGTCGAGCGAATGATTAACGGCCAGAACGGGGGATTCGCCGTCCTCTCGCTTGCCTCCCTTGACCCTCCGCAAATGGCCGCCATTCTCCGAGCCATGGACCGAAGTGTTCCTCCTCGGTCACCGAAAACGGAGGATGAAATAAAGCAGGAGCTTGCGGCGAAAAACGCCGATCCAGCGCAGCCAGGGAGGAGGATGAAGCGCGTGAGGCAGGTTCGGGTGCCCGAGCTGAAGTTGATGGGGGCGCTCATTGAAGGTCGGGTGTTCCTCCCGGATAACGTGAAGGTCGTGTCAACTCTGCCGACATTGGATACTTTGAGGGCGCAGATTGTGGGACTCTTGAGCGCACCTGCTTCGCAGCTAGCAGCTGTCCTAAGTGAAGCAAGTGGAGGAAAGCTGGCGAGAACGTTGGAAGGATTGAAGAAGAGTTTGGAAGGCTCCGAGAAGGACTCTTCTGCCTAATACAGTCATTGACCACATGTTCGACGATCTAAATTCTTCAACGTCGACTAATATCCTATTTCAACGCGATGTGGCTTTGACGACGGAGAAATTTGCCTTGCAATGCTTTAACCATCCTTAGGCTCCAAAAGCTTTCCCAATGCTCTAGATTCCATCCCAAGTCGTCTCTAGCACACGCGATTACAGTCTTGAGCCATTCGCTGAGAAAGCTCCAGGCTACATCGAATGAGCTTTTCGCCTGGGAGTAAGTAACAGTCATAAGCAGGCTCCTACACTTGAGACCGTGTCCAATGTGTGATCTACGCAAAGGTACCTCCATAATTGTCAACACTTGTAAAATAATAAACCTGTTGTGCATCCCACAAACATTGATTAACAAAATCTCAAACTGGTGAACAATAAGAACATCAGCCATCTTGACTGGCCAATTTCATTATTTTATTCTTTCACATATTCTTCAGCTGAGTGGTGTTGCCATGGCTACCAAGACTATTTCACAAAGAAATTGTTTAAATATGCAAATTAAATGTGGTTGATGTTCTTATTGTTCTTCCTTTTGTAATTTTGAGAATTAATGTTTTCGGGATGCACATTCACTTCATTATTTTACAAGTGGCTATGATTAAGGAGGTACATATGTCCTGATTTGTCCTGAATATTTATTGGGCCCTGTCTCAAGTGCTAAAAGCAGCCACTCGTATCGCTCGATGAGTTAGTCTCGTTCCCATCCGTTGTAGGGAGTGCGGTCCGCCGGACCGTCGGAGATTAAAAATACACGACATCAGTAAGATGGCAAAATAGATTCCGGGTTTTACTGGTTTTGGAAGTTGCCGGGGTGTCCGGAAACCTGAAAAGGAATAGTAAGGGTCTCGCCGGTCAGGGACTAGTGAACGTGTGCATCTTACGCTATTTGGGTGGCGGGTTTCCAACAAAGGACACATAGGTTGCCAAGTTTCAATATTTTTCAATGTTTCGAGGTTTTTAGTGGTTTTCGGAGGTTGCCAGGGTTGAGAAACCCATGGAAACTGATTTGCTCAATTACTGATGGACAGAATACTCCCTACAACGTCTGGTGCATTTGGTCGTCCTAAAAGCATTGCTCTCGGCTTCGCTCCCTGCTTACTAGGGCATGCGGGAAGTTGCCGTGATGAAGATGATGCCAAACAAATAAAGAAAGTTCAGGAGCGAAGCAAGAGAGCGGCTGCAACATTTGTGCACGGAGTTCTCAGCGATTCCCTTTTAAGTTGTTAGGACATGCAGACGCGATCATGTCTTTGTCCTCTTCTGCTCTCTCATATACCTTGTTGTCCTGACCATTGCTTCTTCTTCAAAATCTCCAGATCGGATGGGGGGTGCAGAGTGAGAGCAAGTTTGAGGGCATCAGAGGAGAGGGTGGGTAAGTGAGACTAGGCGCCCAAAGAGACTCTGAACCAAACTAAGGAATCCAGACTTCGCAAATGTTGCCCCACTGACTCTGACGATGTGTTGGGTCGATCGGATTCTTGGGTTGCAGTTCCTCAAGGTGGGGGGGGCCGCAGCGTTGATTAAGAGCAAACTTTTCATGGATTCCTTCCTCCCGAGTCACATTGAACACTATTTATTTATATCAAATTGGTCATTCGATACTCATAACTATCTTTCGTGTTGGGAGCAGTAGCAAGAAATAGATATATGTAATTGATGCGTATGTAGGTCAAGGTAATCTCACAAACTCAGAAGTGGTGATTGTGTTTTGAGAACAGACCTGTGCCTGGGCGGTGACGGTATTCACCTGAGTGGTACTTGATTATCTAGAGCAAAGTCTATGTGCCTATAATCAGGATACGAGAATATGTCGATTTCTATTCATACATACCAGCTTCCAAGTCTGCTAGGCCTTCTTCTGCAGGCTTGCGTGAGTCACTAGAGGCAGCAGTGCTATCTGACTGCGATTGGGATGGCCCTGCTCTGACTGTGCGCAGCTCATTGACATACTCAGACAGTTCCTTGCCCAACGCCGCAATCATTTTCTGTCTAACCTGGGTATCGAGAGACAGGGTGCCAGGTTGTAGTGGCTTTGATCGCTGCAGTGGCAGCAAGGGAGGGCAAGGCCACCGGAGATAGATCTTGTTGTGGGAGCCCTTGGTGAAGAATTGGGGAAGATGGAAGGATTCTGCGACAAGATTGTAACTGCTGAAAAAGGTGGCGCATCCATGGAAAGAGAGTTTCGATCCGCCGAAATAGCAGTATGGATGAATGTTGGGGTGCTGGATATGGTATGCAAGGAGGGTGCATTCGGCGTGAACGGCTGCTTGTTTTATGGATAGCTTCCGTTTCTCCATTCTTACTCCCTCACTTTTCGCTTTCTCTTGCAGCCGGTTCAGAATGTCGTCGCACACCAGTAGCTGCTCCTGTTCTCCCACAGGGAAAATGATGGGGAGGACAGCCTTCTCGGTCACTTGGATGGATATGTTGCAGCAAGCTGCTGGCACAGCAATCACAGTGAACTGTCTGTCGAGGAAAGGCGAGAGTCAGTGAGACCAGGCGATGCGCATGATGGTGCAAATGTGGTGGTGAAGGGTAAAAAGCTTCTTGAGCAACCGTCACAATGACCCTTTCCTGTTCCAGTCAGCATCTAAAAGTAAGATGAGCTATAGCATCATAAATTCAAAATGTGCGGCCAGGCTCACCAATGAAATTGTCCCAACGGGTCAAAATCTCCCCAATTCCTGCAGCGTCCAAATGACCCTGCCAACTCACACTCAACCTGTCAATCGTCCAAATCAAGCGACTGAGGTCAGGCGGCGGTCTCTCGCTCTGAAGCAGATCCTGAATGTGTTTCAATGCAAAATGGGTAGCTTGTAAAAGCCTGGCATCCTGATTGTCAAGTTTTGAGCTTTTTGTGAAATTGTCGTATGTTGCTAGGATATCAGGTGCCCGTTTGTTAAACTGTTGGCGAAGTTTGCAGTATGAATATTCATATATAGTAGTCTGGAGTTTAAGCTCGCCCTCTGCGCTCCTGGGTTTTGCTTGGATCGGGGGACGTTTCAATATCGGCTGGGATTGATTTCTTGAATACTAAAATGCTTTGGAGCTCCTTAAGCTGACCCTGTATTATATGGAGATGGGAGGTAACAGTGGCTGGTACAGTCTCGTTGGAAGATACGTAGAGGGTCGCAGCTTTCAGGTCCATGGTCGTGGACAATGACACGAACATGACTTGTCTCCGTTCTTTCCAAACGCAAACGGCAGCAAGAGCATCCAAGAGGTCCATCAATCGGTCGGGGTCGTTGGGAAATGGGTGGCCAGAGAGACGGGACCCAACATCGTTATGGCGTTGCTCTGTTGATAGGTGTGAGACATCGCCCTCCTGACCAGACAGTAACGACAGATAAAGCTCTGGCATGGTCATTGCGGAAAGAAGTGAAGAGAGTTATCAAACTCAACCAAACAACATTTCCCTCGACTCTGGTCAGAGCATCTACCTCTGTTCTAATCAGGAAAATGCTTAGTAATACTAACACATCCAAAATCTGATCAACCTGCCCGTTTGAAATTTGTTCTGGGTTTGAAGTTGATCAACATACTGCTGCCAAGCAGGTGCAGGTATATTTTCAAAATGCAAACACCATTTCTGAGTTTGTGGGACGAGAGGGGTGATTCTTTTACTGATTACCCCACCCACACATGTACATAACATTGTGACAAATACCATATAGGATATATCCGCATTTGTACATAATTATGTCCTATATATGTACATAAGCCACCTCCAGACACTGCTTATGAGCCAATCTCCCCACAGCAATCTTTTGCAAACTTATGAAGGAAAAAAAGAAAATGTGATGGACAGTGACTTGACGTGACACATTCATCACACCACACGCAAGGGTTTTCTCGCCTCGCATCAGCGACAGTTCGAAGTCAGCAAATCCACGCATACTGGGGATACCGAGACGTGTAAGCACTCATTTCTGCATCTGCTTTAAATCCAACAGGCCTCTTCGCCGAAGCTTGCTTGGTGGCTCTGGGATCAAACCTGGGACCGAGACAACAAGCAAGCTTCAGCGAGGAGGCCATTGGAGGTGAAGCAGATGCGAAGGTTGTGCTGAACACTTACATCTTTTGTTCAATTTTAGATGATGACTATGTTTTCTGACCGCCAGGTGTGCTTTTTTTGGACTGGGGAAGGCAGTGTGGTTGATATGTTGACAGATGCATAGTGGGCGCACATTTTCACCCATCCAATGCACTGAATCGCTTGATTTTCCCAGTCTGCTATGAGAATCCATTGGCTTGGAGTTGGCCCAGGACGTTGATGGGCTACCCGCACCTGCTACCTTGGCCCACTTTGTGATTGTGATGCCAGAACTCGAGCCAAATGCACCCAAAGTCTTTCGAACCTCAGCCCTCAAGCGCGAATACTCTGTGCTACCAGATTCCGTGAAGCCGCCGCTGAACCGGTCCCATGTGAAGTGCCGGCGCCAGAGGGAGGAGAGGAATGTCAAAGAGGGCCAATACCCTCGCTCTCGCGTCATTGAGAAGTATGCCCAGACTAGCAGGTCAGTTACCACTTCACTCAAAGTCAAAGAACTCCTGGCAACCAGCTGTGGATATCTTGCGAAGAATTGTGACCAGGTGATACGCGTTGCACGGGGATGACCGTGAAAGTGCGAAACACGCAAACAAGGATCAAGCGTGTCGGGAAAACCCTAAACACCTAAACACACACACACACACACACACACACACACACTATCACAATCTCAGTGCACGAGTTCGAGGGCCTTTGGTATTAAGAAATACCACTTTTGTCTTCTTAGGTTTAAGTCTCAAGAGATTTCGTCTCAAAATGGTTTTTTATTATAAGGTGTGGTTTAGAATAGTTCAATAGAACAAAGTATGTCTTTCTGGGAACTTGGTCTCTTAAATGCAAAGTTCTTTGATCACAGTTTCTTTTATTAACACAAAACACGACTTCAATTGACTTTTATGACTCCCGTGAGTTTTTATTATGTCACTATGCTCCAAAACTAAGGGTACGAGTACGCTGTCTCGTCTAAATGATACTGTGTTTTTAAAACTTCTTATTCAAAAGTCTCCAAGTAAGTTGACTCCCAAGCACACTGGCTTTGTTCACACTGTACTTTTCTGACCACAAAGAAATCTCCTTTTAATTGATTACAACTGTCCACCTCCTAAGTCTCTACTTGGAATGCAACTAGCTGGTCAACGGGGGGCGATTGCTTCCTTTTTTTGACCTGCCAGTGCCCTCCTTTTATACTCCAAAACTCCTATCTACGCTTTTACATGTGTTTTTCTAAGGTTTATATCGGTCCGAAATTACAAATGGAATATAAATAGCTTTTAATAATCATGTGGTATAGTTTTATAGTGTCTTTCTTTGATACACTACAGTTTTTGTAGTGTTGGTATCTTTCTCTTATGAACGCATCAGTATTTGATGCGTACATTTAATAGTCCGGCTTTTAATTATCCTTGGCCTGGACCGGTTCCTTATGCTTCTTTTCTCTTGGCATCAGTTACCAATTTGACGTATCATGTCATTTTAGCAATGGCCGGGCCGATACATATGCAGCAAGCTGCCGGCTTCTTTATTTCCGGAGGTTATTTGATTAAAATGCCTCGGCTCGGTTTCCGTATCATATGGAGATCGGATGGTACTCCGAAGGACTTCAAATGACTTTCTTAGTTATCAGGGGGTCTCCAGATTGGATTACCTAATGTCTTTCCAGGTGCGCATTTCATAGCGTCTTGGACGATGCTACGCATCACTCTCTGATGCGTACGCGGGAATTGCTGTACTTGACACTTTACATGGCCGCAGTATAGTCTTTCTAGTAGTAGAACATTATTTCACAATGTCCACATACAGTTTATCCTCTAGAAGTCTTGGAAGTATTTATCGCAGGATAAAAGTCCGAGTTTCCATATTAAAAATCCATTACATGTTTCTAAACCCTTGGTAGTAATGCAATCTTGTCCCTGCGTTGGGTGGTTTACTCTAGAGCTTCTCTATACTCTATTTCATAGTGGGTGAATCCTAGATAGGCTCCAAGTATAATGTCACGGCGCATACTGCTGCCAGCTCCAAGGCCTTAGTCCTATGTTCAGACTCGACGCATGTGCACTTTTAGTCTACTGAACTGGGTATGTTCAAAGACTCTTATATCATTGCAATTTGTATATAGTGTATGTACAGAGAAGACCATGTTAACGGTAAAATCGCGAAAATCGGATTTTATACGGCTGAATACTTTTCACCCGTATCACAGGACTGGCCATGGAGAGGGCCATCCAGTGGGATAGACCAGGATACACTCCTTGGGATGGCTAGTGAGTCCAAGCTCTTGAGTGTAACTACTCCTTGAAGCTCATAAAGCCTCAGTGAAGATCGACCCATTGTCAACTGCATGGGCAAAATTCTAGCCATCCTCATTGGTCAGTGTTGTTTGGTGGAGGCAGGAAGCAAGAGTGTATTAGACACGTAGTGACTCAGTACATAGGTGTTAGACTACGTAGTATAGGAGTACAACAGGAGCACATGACTTGTACATTAACACTCCCCTTCAAGTCGTCGACTGTAAATTCATTGGATAGGAACCGTGGGTGCGTTAAAAAAAAACCTCCCTGGAAGGGTAGGGAAAAGCTACCACTTGTTCTAAGTTCCTTCCAGTGCCGACTTCATTCCCATTTCTGCGACGTGTTTTCGATGTTTGAAGCGATGTAAAGCCTTTGTAAGTACGTCGGCTGTTTGTTCAGGATCACGGACAGAATCAATTTTGATAATGCCCTCTTGTATTGCATCTCGTACTCTGTGGTATCGAATAGCAATGTGCTTGGCACGGTGGTGGAATTGGGGATTCCTGGCCATTGAAATTGATCCATTATTATCACCTTTAATCATAGTTGGTGATTTTTGTGCAAATCCAAGTTCTTCATAGAGATTTCTGAGCCAGTAAGCTTCTTGAGCAGCTTCTGATAAAGCCACATATTCAGCTTCAGTTGTTGAGAGAGCAGTGAATGTTTGTCTTTTAGATCGCCATGTTATTGCTCCCCCTGCTGCGATGAAGACATAGCCTGCTGTTGACTTGTAGTCTTCTGTGTCAGCATAGGCAGCATCAGAAAAGCCATGAAAGAAACCATGGAATAAATTGTTGTTGTCACTATGAGAGCTGGAATATGTTATTCCATGAGTTTTGGTGCCTTTTAAATATCAAAGAATTCGTTTTAAGGCTGTGACATGTTGCACAGTGGGATTTGCTGTGTAAGAGCATAGACGGTTGATGGCATATGCAATATCCAGTCGGGTGGCATTGGCGAGGAACTGCAGCTCGCCTAAAATTTGTGCGAAGTAATTACTTCGGCTACCTTCATTGCCTTCCGGATTTGGTAAGATTTTGACTTTGGGATCCATAGGCGTTGATACAGGGTTGCAATCTGTCATGCCTTTGCGTTCGAGAATTGACTCGATATAGCGTTGTTGGGAAATGGTGACAGTATTTCCAACATGAGAGATTTCAATGCCAATAATTTTCTTTGGCTCTCCCAAGTCAGTTACGTCCCATGTGGCCTTGATTTCTTCCTTCATTTTTCGCATTAGGTCGTCACCTGATGCAAAGAGAAGGAGATCGTCAACCCAGACAGTAATTATGGAGATGTTGTCTCCATCGCGCCGTATATAGGCACAAGGATCTGAATAAAGTCTTGTATAACCAAGATTTTTGAGTTTGGAGTCCAATTTGTGGTTCCATTCACGACCTGATTGTTTCAAGCCATAAAGTGTTTTGATAAGTTCACAAACTCTCTTGGTGCCATCATTGTAACCTTCTGGTTGTTTCATATAGACCTTCTCCTTCAAAGTGCCATTAAGGTATGCACCTTTGATGTCCATTTGTTGGATTTTGTATCCATTTTTAACCGTAAGTGCGAGAATGGCTCGGACTGTTTCCATGCGTACGACAGGTGAAAAAGTTTCCACATAGTCATAGCCAGGACATTGGGCACATCCTTTTGCTACCAGTCGTGCTTTGTATTTGATGAGTTCACCAAGTTGGTCTCGCTTCTTGATATACACCCATTTATTTGCAATAGGTATGGCATTGGGAGGTAGATCAACCAGTTTCCAAGTTCCCATTTCTTGGAGTTGTTTAATTTCGATATCCATAGCACTTTGCCATTCTGGCCAGTCAATTGAGGCCTTTGCTTCTTTGAGACTGTTGTATTCATCCCCTGCAGTAATGGCATATATTATCTCATCATCACTGTAGATGATAAGATTCCCCTGCTCATCAAGTTCATCAGGGAAGGGATCATTTAGAGCTCGATAATCAACTCTTTTCCCTCTTGTTTTTCGTTCGAAGTTGTCTTCAGTTGTACGTTTTCCATTTTCATTTAATTCATCTGTAATTGTTACAGGTATTTTCTCCCCTTTCTCCCCTTCAGGTGCTGGATCAATTTCGATGTCATCAGCAGCTGGTGGAGGAGTTGTTTGGGTGAGGAAACAGAAATTCCATGAGGATAAAATCTTGCATGTTTCTGCACTGTAATAAAGTACAGTGATACGCGTTGCACGGGGATGACCGTGAAAGTGCGAAACACGCGAACAAGGATCAAGCGCGTCGGGAAAACCCTAAACACCTAAACACACACACACACACACACACTATCACAATCTCAGTGCACGAGTTCGAGGGCCTTTGGTATTAAGAAATACCACTTTTATCTTCTTAGGTTCAAGTCTCAAGAGATTTCGTCTCAAAACGGGTTTTTATTATAAGGTGTGGTTTAGAATAGTTCAATAGAACAAAGTATGTCTTTCTGGGAACTTGGTCTCTTAAATGCAAAGTTCTTTGATCACAGTTTCTTTTATTAACACAAAACACGACTTCAATTGACTTTTATGACTCCCGTGAGTTTTTATTATGTCACTACGCTCCAAAACCAAGGGTACGAGTACACTGTCTCATCTAAATGATACTGTGTTTTTAAAACCTCTTATTCAAAAGTCTCCAAGTAAGTTGACTCCCAAGCATGCTGGCTTTGTTCACACTGTACTTTTCTGACCACGAAGAAATCTCCTTTAATTGATTACAACTGTCCACCTCCTAAGTTCCTACTTGGAGTGCAACTAGCTGGTCAACGGGGGGGCGATTGCTTTTCTTTTGACCTGCCAGCGCGCTCCTTATATACTCCAGGAACCCCTATCTATGTTTTACATGTGTTTTAATGCGGGATACTTCGGTCCGAATTACAAGTATGAAATTTAATGAACGTGTGGTATATTTTGTAGTCTATCTCTGTGAACACTACAGATTTTGTAGTGTCGCGTCTTTCATTTTCAAATGCATCAGTGTTTGATGCGTACGCGGAGTTAGCCGACGTAGCTATTCTTAGCTTGGCATGATCTCGCGTGTTTCTTTCTATGGCCCGGTTTACCGGTTTGACAGATGACATCACAAAATGATTAACGTTTCCTGATGCGTTGATGCGCATGCGTACGCGTTTACCAATAGTCTTCGGCCTTCCATTGCTTCCGAGTTTTTAATTAAAATGCCTTGTCTTGGCTCATCTTTTCATTACGGAGGTCAGGAGACACTCCGAAGGTGTTTTTCAAATGTCTTTCTTAATTGTCAGGGGGTTCTTATTATATTTCATATAATAGAATGTGTCTTTTTCTCATGTTTGTACTTGTGACGTTCAGACGCATCAGTCTTTGATGCATACGCGGGAACTGCCATACATGACTTTCTGAATGGCTGTGAGCCACGCTAAGTCTTCGTACGTTTACTACCTAGGTGTAGTTTAGTCTTTCAATGTTTCAGACATGCCGTTTAAGCGTCTATGTCGCCTTTTCTGTATTTCTTGTATAAGCACAAGTTTTCACAATAAATCCATTATGTGTTTCTAAACCCTTTGGTAGTAATGCAATTCTTCTCCCTGCGTTGGGTGTTTACTCTAGAACCTCTTCGTGCTCTATTTCATGGTAGGTGAATCTTAGATAGGATCCAAGTATAATGTCACGACGCGTACTGCTGCCAGTTCCAAAGCCTTGCCCTATTTTCAGATTCCACGCATTTGCATTTTTAGTCAACTGCGCCGGGTATGCGTATTGACTCTTTGTATCATTGCAATTGTATGTAGTGTATTTATTAGAGATGACCTTTATCGGTAAAATTGTTAAAATTGAATTTTATACGGGTGAAATGGTTTCATCCGTATCATCTCCCCCCCACTATAATACTGACCGTCCTCGGTCATTGCAAGATTCCCTTCTGAGGACGTCTTTCTCTGGACTTTGTCTTGTGGTTCACACGTTTTTATATTGTAGCGACGGATCGCCAAGATTTTCCAGAATCGACTGACATACCACTGACATTTTCTGAAGTTGTCAATGTCCGCCACACCGACGTTTTTCCCGTTATAGTAGGCATCTCACGCACGTCAAGTCAAAAACTTCCGAAATTCTATTTTTAGACGCAAGCGCCCAATAAACTTTCTTAAGTTCTAGGATTCTCAATGATTCACAGGAACCGCAACAAATCGGACACGGAGTTCCTCTGGAACACGGAGGCCTTTTTGTTTTTCTCATGCTAGAAAAGAGGGCCCTTTTTGGTCGTCTTTCTTTCCCATAGTTCCCTTTCTTCCCTTCACATTCCCCTCTGCTTGTCGTCTTTATTTCACGATGACTAGCTGGCAAGTGCTTTTCGATGGCTCCATCTATACTCGCGCCGTATTCCACTCGGCTCTCTCTCTGTTCGGCGAGGACAGCCTTGCTGACTGTGATGGCGAAGACATCGCTAAACTCTTGACCATCGTTCATCCGCTCATGGTAAACTTCCTTTTTCTTCTTTCTCTTTTATTCTTTTAAGCTAATATACTTATAATAGCTTCGTTATATCCGTTCTCTTAACGATGGCGCGCAAGAAACTCAAGGCGATCTTCGCGTCCGCAAATCACTTTACAACGCGTGGGCTGTCTTGAGTACCGATCACGCCAATCAGGTATGGGATGAATGGATGCTCGAGGCACCTGATGGCGACGACGACTATTATCCAGAGGTATGATCTCTTCTTTATCTCTTTTTTTATTTTTAGTCTGATCTCTTTGTTTCTAGCAAGATTGTCTTACGGGGGACTTTGCTGTCCCTGAGCTTACCGACGACGAGCTCCTTCAAGTGCTCCCTGCGATTTGTGATGCGCCCGTCAAGGCCAATCCCTTTCTGGCCTCATCCACGCTTGTCGCTAACTGTAATCCATCACCTGTTAACAAGGGGTCTGATCAAGAGGACTCCCCAATCTTCGTAAGTTTTCTTATCCTATCTATTTCATTCTTTTTCTGATTTATTCTTTACTTCTTTTTAGAAACGTCGCAAAGGCGTTCTCGCGTCGCCAGGCCTCATGAAGTTTATGCCTTCGCCACCGAACAGTCCTCCTGCTGCCGGCCCTTCTCACACTTCCACCACTCCAGCCGCTGGTTCCGCTGACGCGCCCATTCCTATCTCCTTGTCACCTACGCCGCCTCTTGGCATTATGCCGCCTGTCACTCCGCTCCCAGCTGCATCTGCAAACACTCCGACGATCCTTGTGGTTCCCTGCCTCAATATTCCTAAGGTGGAGATGCACACACGTCGTGATCGTCCTGCAAAGGCTCTTGCCAAGATGAAGAATATGCTTGTACTTGCGCCAAGCACGAAATCCAAGGTGAGTAAATGCAAGCGGAGCCCCAGTGAAGAAGGAGAGGATGGGCAATCGGACAAGTCATTCATTGCTAATCCACCTCCTCGTAAACGTGGATGACCCCGTAAGAACTGTATGTTCTCTTTTTATCATATTTATTTCCTTTTTAAAATCTAACTTCGTGTTTTTATTGTAGCGCCGGAGGTCATCAACCCCGACTTGACGCGCGATAAGAAACGCCTCCGTAAGACTTTTTCTTTTTCTCAGTTCATTCCTAGTTACTAACTGAAAGCTTTTTTTCTTCTTTTTCTTAGTTCCTCCTCATCAGCGGTTTATCGGAGTGTTCAACGTCCCTACCGACTTAGAGCATCTTTTCAACAAGCCTTTTGTAAGTAATTTTATTATTTCTTCTCTTTTTATTTGCTCAAGTTCTCTTTGTTCAGATGCCTGAGCCTTGCATTCAATGCTCCATGGGCAAGAACCGAAAGGAGGAGAAATGCCAGTTTCAAGGCTGGGGTTACCCCTGCGTGCCCTGCAAAACTGCGCATTTCACTTGCTGTGAATACAGCCTCAAGCCTGTCCATTGTGCCGAAGTCCGCGGCATTCTGGGACGTCGCCCTGCTCGCTTGGCTCCTGAACGTAAGTCTTCGAGTTTATATTTTATAGAGTCTTTCTTTCTAACTTCTTCTATTCTGAAGTTATTGTTTCTCATATCCAAGACACTGTGTTCGATCAACAGCACATCCGCACAAATCAAGCAATCATCGACTCCCTTATGTATCGTCGGGACACCAACATGCGCCGCGCTGCCCAAGCGCTCTTCGATCTCGCCACTATCGAAGGCAAGGAGAGCTTGGTCGGTACTATTTTTCAAACGCAGGACGACTTCGACCATTATTTCCCTTTCATCATGTCCTTCCTTGGCGACCTCAGCGCCCCTGTCAATGATTCCGAAGATGAAGATGCCACCAAGAACTCTCGCGACAATCTCGCAGAGATGGCCATTCTGTTCGAGAAGATCTGCCCTGGTCGTCCTTCTGCCGAAGACTCTGACGATGCCTTGATGTAGGATCCAGACAGGTGCCCCAAATTCTCGAAGATGAGAGATGTTTGGCTTTTTATTATGCCAAATCTCATATGGTGTGTGGTCGCTGAGAGGTGAAGTGAAAGCTCGCTTTCTTAGGTAGGCAGCATGGGCTACAGCTAGTTCCCAAAGAAATTCTGGAAGACTGTGAGCATTAATCATTGCACATGCGAGCTCCACCAGTGTTCGATTCATGTGTTCAGCAACTCCATTTTGGGATGGTGAATAGGGAGCTGTTGTTTGAATTTCTATTCCCTGTTCTGCACACCAGTTCCGAAGGTCTTGGTTTACAAATTCTTTCCCCCAGTCAAAGCGTAGTGCTTTTGGGTTTCTCCCAAGAGTTTTAAGGCATGTCACATAATTTTTGACACTTTGAACAGCTTCATCCTTTCCTTTAGTAAAGTCTAGGGATGTATATCGTCCACGATCATCGACGAAAACAACATAGTATTGTTTTCCACTGATGGAGGAAATGTGGTATTTTCCCCACATATTGATATGCGTGAGTTCCCCAAGTTCTGTCACTCGTTCAGAAGATTCATTGAACGGTTCGACAGTTTGCTTTGCTTCTGTGCAAGTGATACATTCCGGTTTAGGTGTCCGGGTATCAACATTGAATCCATTGACAAGTTTGCGGTCTAATAATTTTTGTAGACCAGAATAGCTGATATGGCCAAATCTTTTGTGCCAAGTTTCCCAGCTTTGAGTTGGCTCAGAGGTGAGGTAAGTTTGAGGTGTTACAATCGCAGATTTGTTGGTAGAAGAACCAGGTTTTTGAATGGTTAATTTCATTCGATACAAATTATTGGTGACCTTCTTGCATTGAGCGATTGATTTCCCATCTTTTGTGATGAGAGTAATAGTGCCTCCCCCTCCGGTATATCTTCCTCCAGATGTATCCCAGCGCCCAAGTGAGAAAAGGTTGTTGGGATTTGAAGGGATATGCAGGACATTTTCCAATCGCAAGATATATTTATTTTCTTTGTGAATGGATTCAACTTCAACTGTTCCGATGCCGTGGACAGTGGTTTTTAAGCCTCCAACACCAGAGACAATTTTGTCACCCAGCGTTTGATAAGTTGTGAAGGCCGCGCGTTGATTACAGATGTGAGAGGTGGTTCCAGTGTCCGCAACCCAGTCATCATAATAAGAAATGCGCTCATCCATTGCCAAGCTATTGGAAACATCAAACGTGTCATAATTAAAGTCCTGTCCATCTTCTTCATTAGCGAAGAAGGTAATAATTTCATCTTCCACCACATTTGTGACTTCCTTCCTTTGTTTCTTTGGATCACCTCCCCCATTACCCTCAGACTTCCTTTTCTTTCCTCTGTCTGCCTTCTCCTTCTTCCTCTTCTCTTGACAATTTTTGTCGACATGCCCCTTCTTGCCACAGTATCCGCATGCCTGGGTGTCATTGAGGAAGTAGCAATCAGTACTGTTATGGTTCTTGCACTTGCAGTGTGAACACCATTTTTTGGATGTGTTACTGGATGTGGCGTTACTGCAGCTACTGATGCGCTGTGCGAGATTTGGTTTGGGAGGTTTATTATTGGGGTTGTGAATCGCAAAATTGGTCGATTCATCTTCACGCCCGGTCCTCCGCACATATTCCTCATGTATAATACCGATAAATTCTTGAGAAGTCATTAATTTCTTCGGATTTGTCTCAATGATGTTGGTCCTTCGTCCAATGTAGTCTTCAGTGAAACTATCCCAAGATTGGGGTAAAGATGAAGATATGATGACCTTGAATTGAGCATCAGAGATCCGGAAGTCTGGGTCAGCAGTGAGATTAATTCTAAGGTAATATTGTCTAGTGTTTGAAAGTCCGGTTCGGTCCGGTTTTTTGATGCCCAGGGGCGTTAACCGTAACCGTAACCGGTCTGTCTTTTCCCCAGAAGTCAAAAGACCAGACCGGACCGCAAAAAGACCGCAGACCGCGGTTTTTTGCGGTCTATAGACCGGTTTCGGTCTGCATCGGTTTTAACCGGTTTATGACCGGTCTTTAGGCCTATATTTTAAAATTATGAATCGGTAAATTTATTAACATCTCTAATAGCTTCAAAACGAGCCCAAGAACGTTAAATTCCGTTAGGAATTGGTGCTTCTATAAAATAAGTCTGGTACATCTATTATTCCCAAAAGTAATTTACATTTTAATTCATATCTCTCTCGTTTTTTTACCAAATCGTACGTTCTTGGGTGCGTTTTAAAGGGTATTCAAGGGGCTACAAAAGACCGGTCCAAACCGGTCAAGACCGGTTCACGTTAACCGGTTTTTTTGCGGTCTTTACATTTCAAAAATAAAAGACCGTAACTGCAGGTCCGGTCTTTTGCGGTCTTGGTCCGGTCTGGTTACGGTCTTTTTCCAGTCACGAGACCGGACTTCCAAACACTAATATTGTCGCAGTTGGACAAGATGTTTGGGGATGTCGTCCCCATCGGCCACTCGTAATTTGTGTAAATTGCGTGTGTAGGCGATGATGGTGTCATGAGTTTTGTTCTCATAAAGTGCAAGGAGTTGCTTCCAGCACTCGGAAGAAGTACCAGGTCGTCCGAGGTTCATCATCTTGGTGGTACTGATGTTCGACGTTAACAGATGCTTTGCATAGTTGTCATTTTTAGACCAGTTCCTCGCACCTTGTGGGTCAATAAGAGGGTTTGGTCTTTCGATTTCCCCCTGCATATATTCGTAGACTTCGCAGAGTTTCAGCATGATGTGCATGCGTTCACGCCACACGATCCAATTTGTGGCATTTAGATTATCGTCGCTTGATAATTTGATGATAGCGGTGTTTTCCATGCCTCGTACAGCCTCGATAGACGGTAGCGTATATAGATTATTGTCTGCATTGTCTCGTGGTGGTGGTGTGAATAGGGGTGATCCCTGAGGAGTAAGTTGTTGACTAGAATTTTCGTTGTGAATCGACATGTTGACAGTTTTAGTTCAACTTTAAAATGTTTGGAAAATCCAATACAAATTTAAGCGTCTCCGGGGCCCATAACCTGTTGTTTTGTGGAGGCAGGAAGCAAGAGTGTATTAGACACGTAGTGACTCAGTACGTAGGTGTTAGACTACGTAGTATAGGAGTACGACAGGAGCACGTGACTTGTACATTAACAGTCAGCCTCAATCCCAGGACTACCCCAAGTCTGTTCGGGAGGTCTATCACATCATGTCGGATGTTGCTGGCAAGGGGACATTCAAGCCAGATGAGAAGCACCACCAGCGTGGGGATTTTCCAGTTCTAAATCTTGGTGTCACCTTTGGACCTGGCAGCCAAACCCCTGCCAACTTGAATGCTGGTAGCCACGATTGTGCTGCTGCAGAGCTCCTCCAGAATCCGCATGTCATCTGCATGGCAACATTTGCAAGTGGTGAGCGAGGTCTCATAGTGCTGCTCTCAAAATCAGTAACAACATGCATTCTGACAGCATCCTTTGCTCTTTGGTTTCCTCGCACATACCGCTGGTGCAAGAGCTGCCTCGACAGACTCTGGGAGAGATCAGCCCATCTGTGTCGGAATTTCAAGAAAAGTATCTTCATGGCCCCAGGCTCATTGATCTTAATACCCTCAGCCATTATCCACTCCAACCTGCCCGTGAGAGAAGGTGAATTCTGTGCATCATCTACTCGATTTTGTGCTGGAAACCTCTTTCAGTACATTGACAATGGATTCTGGACTGAGAAGCAGTTTGCGAAGGAGGACCCATTTGGATTTCAACAGATGTGCACTGAAAGCAACTAGATGGCAGGAGGGTCCTGACCTCTTAATTAGCATATCAGAGTTCAAGGTGAAGGAGGCTGAGACGTCCAATGGTCATTTGCTGACATAGAGTATTGGTGAAACTTGTATTTCAATCATTACAGTGCTTGATGAGCGACATCGTGTCTTAGCATTGGAAATATTGTCTTCATCACAAAGGGATTTGGAGGACAATGACAAGAAAATCTATTTAACAAGTTTGGAGACAGGATTCATGACTTGGTATGGTTTTGGAAGAGTATTCATGGAAGCTTGCTATTGAGTATGAAGTCCAAACCATGCTTCTCTGGTTCCTCGCCCCCAGGATGTTCATCATCAACTGCATCGCCCTTGACTATGACATGAACATTGTGGAGAGAAAGACATCGACAAACCCAGTTTTGGTTGCAATCTTTAGCATGCTGGTCTCGATTTTTTTTGGGGGGGCCACCATCCCAATAAGCGGCACGATCCTCTTTATCTGGTGTGTTTCTGTTGTAGATTCATAAGCAGGTGTGTGATGGAGAATATTTCTGTATAAGACGAATGTGTGTGCCTGTGGATTGAACAAACACATCTTGCCATTGAAGTCATATGCACCTAGAGGGGATCAGATATGTTTTGGAAACATAGGGACAAAATGTGTGTATAATACCTCGAAGATCGCAAAATAGAAGATGGCTGTGGGAGTAGATCAACAAGAAGTGAGCAAATGCATGGATAGCTTTGGTCAGGTCATCCATAGCATTACCAATCTCGTCGTTTCTGGTAAATTTTTTGATACTCCCATCAGCTTTGCTACAAGGAAGAAGCTTGGTTGCAAGAAAATATTTGTGTGGTACGATTCGACTTCCTGAGGATAATGATGGTTGCAGTTTTCCGAAGAGAGAAGACTTGAAGTTAAAGTAGAAGGCTGAAGAGTGAAATTAGCATACTAGTTTGAGTGACCAGATTGAGTCTACAAACAGGGAATGGTCTGTACTTCGCACATTTCAGCGTGACTGTCAACCAGTCCTTGAACCCATCACATTGGCTTAAAAGTTCATATTCAGCTTTGAGGATTGCATGGACTTCGGAATCTAAGAGGTGGTTGTCCATTGGTTGTGTCACGACATATTCCTGATCCTGAAACCTGGCCTGAATGAGGAATTGGATGAATCGAAGGGAATGTTGAACGACATGAGGGTCTCACATAAATATATGCCTCGCTTTGTGTATCCCCTCCCAATATAACCTGTCTCATCAGAAAGACCCATTATCTTCACCCTCTTGCCAGTCCAAGCTTAGCTTGATTGTTTCCATTTCCGTTGCTTCAGAAAACTTGACTTGACCATCTGGTTGGCATACAGCTGCAGTGCGTAAGAATTGAAATGATCCCATTGGAGGGTCACGAGTCCACATCTTCTTCTTGCTGGGTGGGCGAAAAGCACTTTGAAGGATGATGGGAGCCAGGCTGCTTGGGACTCGGAGATGCTTGGCGACGCCTGCTTTGTCAACTACTCTGATTTCCTCAATTAAAATGTGAGACAAGATTCACAGAGCTTTCGGCACATGCGCGCTTTTTCAAGGGCAGAGCAGAAGATTTGGCGATAACTGCAAACCCAAGGTCATCGTCATCCTGAGGGTGCTGATAACCATTGGAAAGAATGAGTTCTAGGCCAAGATTCGTAGAGCTGAAATTTCACATACGATTTCATCGCAGTTGCAAACAAAGCGGACTTTGACTGTTCAAGTATTCAAGGCAGTGGCACCCATAAGACAACCATTTTTGAACTCATTGTACACACTGCCCCTCCTATCAAGATGTTGGAGTGATGATGACTTCGTGTTAGATTCATGAGCATGCAGCGAAACATTGCTCGTGTTCAATAGTATTAGCGACCAAGCATTGACTCCGAAGGTCTGCATGAGAAGATAACCAGCAGCTAAGTTGTGTTGCTTGTGGATGCCGCCCTTCATATATAGGCTCTTTGTTACCCGAATCTGCGCCACCTAGTCCAATAGAAAACTTCAACATAGCCTATGAATTCCAATGATGAAAGTACCTGATTGCATTTCTTCCCATCAAGCATCCAGATTGTGGCAGCAATCTTGATCCCTCCATCGTCTTTGGCTTTTGTCTCCAATTTCTTAGCTTTTCTTTCTGCTGCAACCTTAGCGGCTTTGTAAAGATTCGCAAATTTCCCAGAGGTGCTCAAGCTCATGCTTTGCATATCTGTCTTGGGGTGGCCCAGTCGAAAATCAGATGCATTGTGTTGGTGTGTGCTTGCAGATTCAAGAATACTTGAGGCAAGGCTGCTTGTCTCAAATAAAAGTGATGCCACACCACGTACTTGAAGAAGCTTGGATGGTACTTATGTCTTTTTGTTGTTCTACATGTTTCAATTTTGCAATACATCCACTGCATATTGGATTCTTGAAGCTGTTTGACTGGAGGCCACATCCCACACATTGCAGCTTTGCCTAGAAGACATGAGTAACTAGCAAGGGTTGCGAGGGATACCTTGCAGCTCTGCTGCAGAGAGACCTGGTTCATGTGCATGGCACTTGCTGCAGGTGGACCCATCTTCAACTTATTCAAGGAGCAAAAAATCAAATGCATTTGGAATCCAACTCCTGGGACGTCTGGGTTGGGTTGGGCATCAGGGCCTTGCAAAGTGTCGCATATATCCACAAACTGTCCAAGCCACCTTTGGCTTCCTGAAAAGACCTATGGCCAGGATTCCTGACCCTCAAGATACACTACCTGATCAAAAGTAATGTCACATCATTTTTTGGACAAAGTTGGTGCTATAACACAAGAACCAAACATTTTAAGAATTAAGCTCTGGTGTATGAAACATAGCTAAGGAGGTGTAGATTGTACATACCAAGTTTGGGGGTGAAAAAATGGAAACTGAGGATAAGGCAGGGCATTGACTGTGACAACTTCCAAAAATGGGATGTAACAAAATGGGAAATTCTGAATGACTGCAACCTACTGCAAGCAATTCACCATTTGAAGAAGAGATATTTTGAACACTGGATCTCCCTGCCATTGTTATGAGCTTCATAAAGTCTTTGGGCCAGAAAATTTTATATCCTCCCTAAAAGGTAAATTTGAACTTGTTCTCCACTTTATGTATTTTTCACTCAATATATTTGTCAGAATGAGGCAAATTAACTCCCTATTAATGTTTGTAGTGTGTATAATACAAAAGGTAGGTAGAAATGTTAAAATAAACATTGCATGATGTCTGTAGAAGTTAATTTCCAGAGTTTTTCTGAAAGTAAACAAGCATCTACACCATTGGTCCTTCTTTTCTGCAAGAAGAAAAAATGCTACAATCCTTTTGAGTTGATCCATGGAGACTCAGGATGTCCTTTAAACAACATCTGAAGTATAATATAATAGCAAATAAATTTACACTGGGTATAACTTGAAAAGTCCCCAACAAAAGTACATTTTGCATAGAGCAATCGTCCTGGACCAATCCTTGACATTTTTCTTCGTGAAGTGGGGCTGAAAATATTTCACAAGGCTCTTCTCATACCTAGGAACACCACTCCAAAGAAATAAACAGAGGTCCTATTTATACAAGGATCTGAGACCCCCAGCCCTTTCTAGGCCAGATTTAGACATCCCTCTGTCATGCTTTAGTGAGCTTTGCAGGCCATATGAGAAGCATTTGTGTCCAAAACTCAAAAGGTAGGTAGAAGCACTTACCATTGACAGTTCAAATTAACTATATTGACTGTAACCCTTTGGAAGTAGGTTTTCTGGGAATGATAATGATGATTCATTTCTTAATTTTCACACTTTGTTGAGTTTAAATAATGATTGCATGCTTAAATCTTGTGAATGGGGTCAGATAAGACTATGTAACAGTAATAATTATGTATCTGTACAATACTATGACAATAGATGCCTTCTCCTGTCAATCCTCAGAAACATTTTTAGCTGGAAATGGGCAAGGAGGGCAATAAATTTGAATTTACCTTTTAGAATAGAATATACAAGCTTATAGCATAGATACTTGTGGGAGCTTATAACAATAGCAGGGAGATCCAGTGTACAAAATATCTCTTCTTCAAGTGGTGAATTGCGTTCAGTAGGTTGCAGTCATTCAGAATTTCTCATTTTGTTGCATCCCATTTTTGGAAGTTGTCACAGTCAATGCCCTGCCTTATCCTGGGCTTTTATTTGTTCACCCCCAAACTTGGTATGTACAATCTACACCTCCTTAGCTATGTTTCATACACCAGAGCTTAGTTCTTAAAATGTTTGGTTCTTGTGTTATAGCACCAACTTTGTCCAAAAAATGATGTGACATTACTTTTGATCAGGTAGTGTACCTAGTCTATCAGCAACAAAGGCCCCTGCCAAACAGTTGCAATTGTGGGATTGGGACGAAACAAGGGTCGTTGTGTATGACTTGTTGAGAACCTTTGTGTCCACAGGACTACAGCTCCGACTATCGGTTCAGACGCAATGCCATACTGGAGGTTGGTTCCACAAAAATTGAGTGGGCTAAATTAGTTCACTTCCAATTCATCTCTAGCCACATCATCTGATAGGTCGTCAAACGTGGATTTGGGCTACACCAAGAGAGAAAGAGGTGCATTTCAAGGAAGACGGAAGGACTGGGCTTTGGATCCTCGGGCCAAACGAGCTGCGGGGTCTCAAACAATATTTCAATGCAAAGTTGAAGAATGAAGATGAGCTGACTCACATCAAAAGATGAGACCGGTACCAAGAAGTATCGTTGCCCATCACGCCGCTCAGAGAAAACGGGTTTCTTCATCTCTATATAGATTGTCATCACATTGTGTCTTCCAAAGATCTGCCTCCACCACCGACAATTGATCCTTCAACCGGTCCATTGGGGTCATCTCTGACATTGACAAGGGATCCAAGTACAGCGAGCGCAAGGGCACACCTGAACGTTGGCGGTCCTGGACAAACTCATATAATACACCTTGGTCATCAATGTCACGGACAGCGAGACCATCGAGCTCAGGCCAAAATGGCCGAGAGTCCATCGTTTTGGTAGACCGTACAAAAGAAGAAAGTTTATTGAAATTGGGAAGAATAAGCAACTTGATCCCTGGGAAGCAAGCGTCGGCGTCGGCTACAGTCGTCAAGACCGCACCGATGTTGTGACGAGGTGCAAGGGTGAGTGATTTCAACGCCGTAAATCGGGGAACGTTAGCAGTTTCCCGCCTAAGTTTGATGAGGTCGTCGTTAACAATTAGAGCGATGGTGAGTTCTCCAAATCCGGGGCATATACAGAAAGTAGAAGTTCAGAAACTTGTATCATATCTCCAAAGATGCGTAGGTAGCGGAGGAATGGCATATCATAGGTGTCATGGAGATCGGTAGGCCATTCGACAATGAGATCGTTGTAGACACATAACGTGACCAAGGATCGACAGGACCGTAATATGGTGGAGAAGTCAGCGTAGAGAATCGGGTGAGATGAGACCGCCAGATGAAGCTGGGTCACAGCAGTAAGAGGAGGGCGGCAATGCGTCAAACCCAAACCTCTTAAGCGTACATTCGTCAGGTTAACGGCGTCAGCTACAATTGCGAACGGTTGCAACAGACTCGTATCAAAGCCCTCAACACAGATGTGCCTTAGCATGGGATAATGGCCCGAGTCAAGGATGCTCGAAATCTCCGTGGTGAGTTCGTAAGAATTTTCAGCCTTGACTCTGATGGAACGGCAATGTCGGTAATGGGGTCGTAAGATACCTATGAGCTTGCTAACGGCGCTCTGGCGTATAAAAGTGATATCAAGATTGATGGGGGAGCCTTTTGATCTGCCAAGGTAGACCTGTAAACCGTCCAAATGTCTGCGAGGCGAGACATCCACGTGCGACCAGAGTGTAGGTGCCCCGTAGGCGACTTGGCGCCAATAGCGCGACACCTTTCCAAGGACGAAAGGAAAGCGCCAGGACAAATGTTGCTCCAATGGAAAGAACATGTCTTGTGCCATTTGAAAGATGTGCACGAGGAGTTCTGGCGGTAGTTCGTTGGCCAGAGTTGCCTTCTGACCATCCGGTAAGGAGGTCTTCAAGACTTCGGAGTCGTTTTCAATTTCCAAATTATTTTCAAGGGTATTAGCTTGGTATTAGCCATTGCGATCTGAATTCGAAAGTGCGGCAAAAACCACGAATATGTAAACCAACAGGGCTGAATGCGAAGTTGACAGTCTGAGAACGTACAAAACCAAATAACGTTAACCAAGCTATTCCAATTCGGAATGATAGTTTCTTTTGACGAAGGATTGACAATTGTGGTAGTACCAGGTAGTACCAGAATGATCCTCACTCTTTGGTGGAAACGGAGAAAGGGTGTGACAGGGCGCTAACTGGGTGTCACAACGTTCTGTCACTTTGGCAGTATTTCTCTTTTATATTCGACTACATAGCACATCCAGCGGGAAGAATGTTGGTGGAACTATACTTGCCGTTGACGATATCTGACGGGTCTACTTGACAGGGACGACGACGACGATTTCTTATATGGAGGTCCTTCAGGGCTAAACAGTCGACCATCAACTGCTGGTAAGACTTCAGTTGGAACTCATTTCGTGTTGGCTCGATGGTTTTATTTGCAAAAAAGAGGCGCTTTCTCTGTCATTTTACTATTCTTCTTGCCCAATAACATGATTTTGACACTTCCTCTGCTTTGTGCGTGAATTAGCACCCAAGCCGTGAGTCTTCGTCAATCACAGTGCACGCGTGCAACATTGAACGTATCCGATACTTTTTCTAGCATACCACTCGACACCCCGCAATCATCAAATGGGCTTTCGGTTGCATTCCTTGAAGAACAAGCAGAACAGGCAGAAGGAGGTTTTGAGGGACAGCACCTTCAAGAGGAAAACGATGATGAGGGCGAGGAAATGGAGGACAGCGAAGAAGATGTGGGTGACGTTTCCAACATCAACATGGGAAGTGGTTTGCTTAATAAATTGTTCAGGACATCGAATTCGTGATGGACGTGCCGAATCGGTCACTCGACTTTCGGTATAATCTTGGACTTCGTATGTCTTTGCCAATTAACGCGCATTTCTAGGCAAGGTTCAGGGAGACCGGCAGCAAATCGGTCTACTAGCGCGACAATACCGCCTACTCAACCTAAGGGTTTGTTTCTAAATTAATCTTGTAAAATATCCCATTGATAATTCCTTAAACGTAGCCCCCCAACCCCAACCTTCACTGACAACGGAGTATACTCCAATACAGCGAGGAGGTGTCACTCCAAACGCATCATTTACTACACCCTCCGCATCAGCACCTCAACTTAACGCCGCACCTCTATCATCTGGCAGTTTGACCGCACCCAGTGCGATTCTTGCTTCGACCGCCCAGCCATCCTCTGAACCTGCTGCAATTCAAGACGATGGGGTCGACCCCTCGACGTTGCCTCCTGTAACAGCACCACCCTCCCATCCTGCAATTGATCCCACAGCTACGGGCGTGTTTGATGGACGGTCAATCCTTGAGGTCGACTTGAACGCAATGGCAGACAAGCCGTGGCGTCGACCTGGGTCGGACATCAGCGATTGGTTCAACTATGGCTTTGACGAGATCTCATGGGAGGCGTACTGTTACCGCCGGCGCGACCTAGGGGAATTGGCCAACGTGCTGAAGACTAATGTTATCGTGAGTTTCTCGCAACATTTTTTGACTGAAGATTTCACTAAATGCAAACGCCACACAGAACTTTGCTGGCATGCCAGAAGACCAGCTGACCGCACTTCCGCCAGAGGTGCGAACGATGGTGATGACGGGCGCTACGACGATGATGAACGGCGCAGGACCTGGGATGATGGGGCCGGGGGTGATGATGGACATGTCTGGTATGATGGGCCCAATGAGCATGGGCATGAATGGCGATATGAGCATGGGTGGGGCAATGATGCAGGGTATGATGCAGGATGGCGGGCAAGGGCAACAGCAAGGCGTCGGCATTATTCAAGGAAGTGGGACTCCAGAACAAGGGGCTGGAGCGGTGAGTATGATGCAGGACGGGTTCAATGCTGGAGCTGCTGTAGGTGGTATGATGAATATGGGTATAGGTGGGGAATATGGGATGCAGGTACGTCCATGTCTTTTACTCTGTGCTTGAGAATAACCATGTTTCTATCATGACGTGCAGGAACAAAACACGATGGTGCAAGAGTTGTATCCCAATATGCAAGGATCGCAAACCGTTACACCAGCACCTGGTGCAGGACGTGGTGCCGCACAAATACCATTCCGAGGTAGGGGTGCCCCAGGCTTGCGGGGAAGAGGCTTCCCCGGAAGAGGTCGTGGTCGGGGAGGATTATATGCGGATGGTATGCATTTTCCTCTTGATCTCATATTGCTCCTAAACAATTGAGCTGTGTTTCCAGCTCCTCCACCAGTGCCTGTGCGACCTGCCTCTCCACTCCCACCTGGAGTGCCCACGGGACCTCGTAATCAAAACAAGTACAAGGATCGAGATGGCAATGCACCAGCTGTGGATGGCCTCGATTATGGAGGTGGTAAAGAAAGCAGGAGGACACCGAGTGGTGAGCCTGAGGAACGCAGTTCCAGCCGGTGAGTGTTTCGTCTTTGCGCGCAGCGTGAATCAACTGAGAGTTGTCATGTTAGGAAGCGGAGGAGCTCGCCTGGGCTTGATGATCGAGGCTCAAAACGACGCTGAAGGGATTGTCCTTCTTCGCATCTACTGCATATATCCTCGCTACTTAGTACTACCTGAGCTATTCTATTCGACTTTCTTTCGATATTTTCACTAAGGAAAACGCGAACTGTCCGGCGAAGGGCGATGTCCAACTTTTTTTTGTCATGGTGAGCAGGGAATACAGAGTTATGAGCGAAGATGCTAGAATAAGTCTTGTCATATGTAGAATAATGGATGAACGACGATTATGCTCCTTTTGCAGATCTTCCGCCTGCTGGTCTGCGTTTGCCTCCTCGGCCCGACCTCTTCGTGTTTCGCTTGTTTTTGCAGGTTTCACAGAACCAACGGCCTTCAGGCGGTACAGCCAAGCCAATGCATGCAAGATGAAACTGTTGGCAGATGTCGTTTGACGGTGTTTCTAAGCAAAGCAGAGGGAATAGAACTTACCCATTCCCTCTCACAATTCCCATCATCGCAAGCAATCATTTCGCCATAGCTAACTCCATCACAGAAGCAGTACGTCCTGCCATCGTCATTATCCGCATCAGCATCCCCACCCTCCGTCGCTGCTCCGTCTGTGCCCACTGCTGGCTCTGGAGGAATGTTAGGAACATTGGTAGCTGCGGAATGAATAGACGTGCTGCGCCCAACGGGCATCCCAGGCCCTTCAAGCTGCTGGGGGTGCGGTATTTGCCAGTCTTGGTGATGATTCACTATTGCCGCGTGATGCATATCATACGCGTTAATGACATGTGAATGGTGACCGCCATTCGCAGGCTCATTCGGCGCGGTTTGAGTTTGGTAAGGCAGTGGAAGGGAGGGGTGGGAGGAAGAGGACGGCACGGCGTTGTATGCATCTCGTCTTGAACTGGTCTCGTGTGGGGAGGGGTATTGCTCAATGGCGAGGGGTGTGGGGTTCCGGTTGGAATTGACGTTACGGGCAGCGCGTTTATTAGTTGCGGACGCGGCGTTATTGCTCCGTGTGGCGTTGTGACTTCCTCCACGGGCGTTGTGGGTAGCCTGGGATGGGAGATGGGATGTGACAGACACGAGAGATTCGGATGGTGAAGGACCACGTTCGGTTCTAGATGGAAGTACGTTAGTGCATGCTGGAATGAAACAGAGTTGTGTACCACAAACTTTTTAGCCCGACCGTTAGTGCGTCCTCGAACATTGCCATCGCCCACTCGGTCTTTTTTAGGTGACTTCATCACGTCGATTTCCTCGTCCTTTGCGACCCGTTTCCTTTTGGCTGGACTGGGATCTGGGTTGGATGCAACCAACAGAGAGCCAAACCCACCACGACGCCTTCGCCCTGGTTCCAGTGAAGCGACTGGCATGAAAGAACGCACTGCAACGTGAGGGTACACAGTTTTCCTGGTCAAAACCGAAGCATCGAAGCCGGGCAGGTGCTCGGATAACGTTCGAAGATGATTGGAGTGGGCTTTGAGATTGTCGGCCGCTTGACATGCAACACGAATCTTATCCTCCCCTCCCAGCTTCAGGCGGTTGGCCTCCTCTGCTATCTCAGTCAAAAGCCATAACCGGTCTTCTTTTGGCGCCACACCCTGCTCAATCATGAGAGTGAGGGCACGTATTTTTGATGTTATTGAGATCATGGAGGAAGAGAGAACTGCATCGAGTTCTCTCAGGTCGGCAAAATTTCGAGAAAGGTCGAGGGGTAGGGAGTCGAGGGTATGTGTGTACTCGGTTAACAAGGCCAGTGAGTGGGCCGTCGTCAGTTGGGCGGAGGGGTCAGTGGCCTGTAATCTTGGGGGAACCATGATAAGCGATGACGGGCTCGTCGTTAAGGATGGCGACGGGGGCTAACGAAGCAGCAGCACTGTGTTTAGCGCCGGCCTGAGGAGAGGTCACCAGACCATTCACCTTCGGCAAACGCGGGCCGCCGCAGCGGCACGTGCCAAGCTTATTTAAGCGGAAATTGAGAGGTGGCATGGTCATTGTTTCTTCGTTCATTCCACAACGTGTGAATATACAACTCCTCCGCTGCCCTCATCGTCCGCCACTGGAATTATCGTTTTTGCGTAAGATCCTTGACGTCTTTAGCATCGTTCGGTTCCACACAGTGTCCGATGTCTTCCGTGTTCACTCAGACTCTGTACGGACAGCCATCTTATAGCGGTCCCAGTTTTCCTGCTCCGCTTCCTCCCCCTCCGATGATGCCTTCTGGTTATCCTCAGTACCAGTACCAGTATCACCAGCCTCCAGCACCCGTTTTCCTTGACCCCATCGCGTTTCGCAGAGAGTTTGCCAGCCGCCTTTCCCAGCTGACGGTCAACTCTAGGCCCATCATCCAGGAGCTATCGCTTCTCGCTCAAGACTATTCTCGTTATGCAGACACCGTGGCGGAACTCATTGAAGGACACATTCGACGGGTGAGTGTTGATTCATTGGCGATTATTCTCTTTACTCGTATCCGCTGGATCAAGGGGTACAACGGGGATCTCTGGCTTAGCCGTTTGTCTTTTGTATACCATGTATATGTAGTCCTTTGTACACCTGAGCACAAAGACTGTCTGAGTTGCCCGTCGTCGCCTGCGTCGACCGCCCTTCTCTGCGATCCTCTCGACTCATTTTTTCTGATTATCTTCCCGTTCCGTGGATTGATGACTAATAGTTTCTATTTTGGTTCTCTTTCTCAGGTACCTTCCTGGGCGAAGCTGCCTGCCTTTTATCTGCTCGATGCTATCTCAAAAAACTTCTTCGAACCATACGCCCGTATCTTTGCGCCCTTCGTCGTCTCACTCTTCCTTCAAACTTACTCCCAGGTCGATGAACCCACCCGCGCAAAAATGGAAGAAATGGTCTTGACCTGGCGCACAGGTTCTCCGTCGCGATTTGAGCTTTTTGGTGCACAACATCAGCTCTCTATCGAGCAGGGAATATGGGGTGATGGCGGCAGTGGCCACGTAAGTTTTGTTAGCTTCTGTAAAGTGATCAACATAATTCATGATATTTGTCTAGTCGAACGGCAGTCAGATAACGAGAGCCCAAGTCCTCAGCGAACTTCAGTTTGCGCTCGGCCAAAAGGAGCGTGCATATCAAGCCAACCCATTCGACCCAAATGCGCAAAACCACATCGCCATACTGCAACAGGTGGGACACCTCCCATCCGCTCCTGCATACACCTCTAACTCTTCCTCACAGTTGAGAAAGTTGGTGGAAACTGGCGTTTCACAGACGGAACTTCAGCAGATATTGAATCAGCTCCGCAGTCTCATTCGTAGTACAGTACCGCCACCGCCTCCTGCCCCTGTAGTTCCACCCCCGTCGTTGCAGTGGCAAAATCAATCATTTGCAGGTCCAAGTCGGCCGACGCCACCCATTGCGCCTTACCAGACGAATCAACCTCACCCGTCTGGTTCCAACATCAAGACGGAAAGTCTTCCAGCTATGTTGCCACCCAGCGTCCCAGCGCTCCAGGACATCAACAAGCTTCTTTCACTCGTCAAGGCCGGCGTCGTTTCCTCCAGTTCGACACCGAACAACTCGACACCTCGCGGCGCCGGCGCCTCGCATGAAAAACGCTCTCCGACCCCAGAAACAATCGATCTCAGTCGAGAAGGCAAACGTCAATACAGAACGGCTATCCTCGCTCAAAAAGTCAAGCTCACAAGCTCTGATATCTTAAGGTTAGTCAACAATGCATCTTGCCGATTGCCCTGCATGCTGACGCTTGACGTAAGGACACGGCCTCGGATCGTAGACTTTTTGTATCATCGACTCACTTCCCAATGCAAGCAATGCGGAGTGCGCTTCTCAGGTACCCCAGCCGGGAAGAAGGAAATGAATGATCACCTAGATATGCACTTTAGACAGAATCGTAAGGCTGATCAGAATATTGGTCGGGGTCATAGCAGGAGCTGGTTCACGGGTATTGAGGTGAGTTTGATATATCATTTATCGTTCAGAACAACAACTAACACCGGTTCTGTAGGATTGGATTCATGACTCGTCTGATATGAAAGGCAAGGGTCGAGCAGATGGATTACGCTTAAATGCTGAAGCTGCTGCTAATGCTGAGAATGCGAAGCGCGATGCTGAACTGCGAGCCCAATATGTTGTTGTTCCTTCTGGTGATGAAGCTAAGCCTATATCTTGTCCAATTTGTAAGGAGACCTTGAAGTCGGAGTTCCTGGAGGATGACGAGGACTGGGTTTGGAAGAACGCTGTCATGAAGGATGAACGGGTTCGTGTGCTCTCTTCCCTGTGTTCGTCGACTCGACCTGACACCGAAGTTCGTCGTCAGGTGTATCATGCAACGTGTCATGCAGAAGCCTTAACATCAACGAACACTTTAGCAGCACGCTTGCGCACTGAGATTGCTAATGCTAGCCGCGGTACCACCCCAGAGCTGTCGTCGTCGGGTCCTATACGTTCTACAACTTCAAAGTCGCCGCCCCTCTCCCCGTTAAAACTTGGTGGCACAAAACGTAAGGCTGATGACTCGGAAAGTAATGTGGAAGACGAGGCCACTGGTACCCCGCCCCTTAAGAAACTTGCGCTGTCGATGGCGGCGAGCTGACTGATTTACGACTCTCTTGGATAATGCATCAACTCATTCATCGTTTCGTGGAAAGCCATTTCAATCATTCATTATTGCATCATTATCAGCATTTACTACCGTAACATACATAACATTGTATCGATATGTAGACAAAACAAATTTCATTATTCGAAACAACTTGCAATTGTCAACGTGAGGCCTGAAAGCATTTCGAGCGGATGTTCGTACAAAGCTTGTTTGATAGGTACGTACCCGCAGTTCGAACAACTCCCGCAGATACAACGCGTTGATATCGAGAGGTTGCACGGTATATTACAAGTGCATAAAAGCAGACTATTACCTGAGGTTTGAGATATCTTTCATAGAACAACTAACGAGTGCTCAGTTGGGTCAAGGTTGGTGTAATCAGATTTAAATTCGATTCAGACCCTTGCAAAGGGTATTCTGTTGGTCAAGATACATGGCAAAAGAAAGAGAGGTATTGATACAGTAGGAGGTGATCTATGCTTGGAATAAGATAATGCATGCAGGTGGATGGGTGTGGGTAGATAGGTGACAGGACGATAAAAATAAAAAGGAGGGTGTGGGTGTAGACCTGTGTGGACAAAGCGACCTTCCCGGAGATGTGGCGACGCGCCTAGGTAGTTGAAGGTGGGCGCGCGTTGTGAAATGAGGTATTCGTGTTCTCGCTCTCAAGAAAGCACACATGGGCCAAGAAGTCTGCGGTTCCTGACTCGAATTTGTGAGGGCCAATTAAGGCGTCATAAGCCAAAGAACCTCTTCAGCCCGCCCTTTCCGCTCTGGTAATGCTGACCCTGGGGCTTTTGGGAGGACGAGGAAGGGTTGAACGCGGTGTACATGCTGTGGGCCTCCCGAGGGTTCTGATAGAACGATCCAAACGCATTGGGGGAAGATGACCCAGAGGGGAAGAAACCGTGGGTGGGCGAGGCGGGAGCGATTCCGTAGGAAGGCATTATGTGTTTAAAGAGGCGTTACGAGAGGGAGTGATGATAGATAGGATGGTGGTATTAGCGACGCGGTACGTGTATCGACGCGAATTCAAGCTTGATGTGGAGGCGCGGGAGCGACGGTGGTGTGTTCGTTATTTTTGGACGATGAGAACAGCTGTGATGCTGATGAGGGGTTCCCCATTGTGCTCGAGGTTATATACGACGCGCCGGAGGAGCGGTGTCCTAGCGATGGACAAGGTAGCATCCAAGTTGGGAGGGGCCTTGTCCGCGTTTGGAAAAGATGAGGAGGTGAGATGCCACGTGTGGCGCAATTGCTTTATCTGGCTTGAAAGGGAGAGCCAAAAAGGGTTATAAGGACCCTGCAAAAAAATAAGATTTCGTATGTCACAAACTTCAATTGAATTGGAATTGAACTTGGATTCTATTCGGATTCTGTTCTTCCAATTTGCGAAGAAGGATTGGCGAGAGAGGGAGTTTTGTACTTCAGAGTGCCTTGTCTTCTTTTGTACAGGGACTTGTCATTTTCCAGTGTAGACAAATGAGTGACGCGACCCTCGTCCTGTGGCTCGATTTTTGAGAGCAGGAAGTGACATCAATTGGAAATCTTGATCAGAACTCACTTGACTTTCACACTCTTCAATTTCTTGCACACGTGACAAACTCACGACAAAGGAAGTGGACGCGTCATGATTCAGGGGGCTGGCAACAGTGGGGTGGAGGAAGCAGGGCCAGCAGCCGAGTTTCAGCTAAGGACAATGGAATAGGTGATACCAAAAATTTCAACGGTGAGATCGACAGTGAAAGTGGACAATGTCGCAGGCATGCATTGCTAGGGGAGATGTCATTTGATAAGAAAAGGAGGAGCTGATCCTTCGTTTCGACGAATAAAAACCATTGACTGTGTCGTCCTTGTGCCAGCATTCCTTCGCGGTAGAAGTTAGCATACAATACGGTAGGTAAAATGAATAAAAACCGCACATCTTTCAAGAACCACATCATGAACACAGATGGCAGCCAATTCCTCACTTACGAAGAAATCGATCCAGGACCCTATCACAGAAACGTAAGTCCCACCATCCTTCAAGGGTTGAGCTCTGAAGGATGTCCAGGTGTAAGGCCCAGTTAAAATCTGCAATCCCGGCTGTTCAGCAGAAAAACTTTGAGCTACATTCCAGACAATCCGTACTTGCCTGAACTCAACTGAGCGCTTTTGCGTTGTCTTGAACAGGACAAAACGCCTCCTCAGATTGTAAGCGCCCGCCGAAACTCTACCGTTTTTCGATGAGGCTGTCCAACTCTTTGGTTGAATCCAAGTCATCGTTTCAAACTGACTGTGTCGCGCATGACGCCCTTTGAGCTGACGTCGTACCCGGATCCTACAGCTGCACAGCCAGCTACACAGCCGCCTTCCTGTAAGTTGGAAGTCACCGATAGCTATTGAGAATGACATGACACGGATTGTATCATTGATTGACGCCATGACGCAATTGATAGTCCAGCTACATCATCGATGGTTGCCCCAAAGGTTAATAGCCTAACTGTTTTCAGAACAGATCGAATAAACCACGTTATCGATGCGCAAAAGAGTTTGAGGATTTGCAACACTGGATCGGGATGACAGTGATTGTGGATATACCTGTGTAAAAGCTTCAAAGATTTGCGTTGACCAAAAATTGGAACTGAAATCTGATGATATCATTAGACAGATATGTTAGCAGTCGTACTCCAAAAAGCTCTACGTTGAAGATCTAAAGCATCTCACAAGGAGGTGAATCTATGGGATATCATCTCCTCCTTGTCTTCGTACTAGTCCTTGTGAATTCCAATGGTGTCCTTGTTTCCATTTGTAGAGATCTGGTCGCGGTATTGTGTCAACACAAACACCAGCGTTCAGAACTTGTAGACCTGTCAACGCGTGGATTCGTCAGCAAGATGTTGCGTTGGAACTTAAGAGTGGTGGGAGAAAGAAATAACAGACCTGATCTTCGGTATATCCCAGTTCCTTGAGGATACCGCCAAGTTCACCTTGCTTCATACCGGCTTTCTTTCCGGCGAGCGAGGCCACTTGTGGTGGGGGGCCTGTTCATAAACGAGCAAGGTTAAGTTTTGCCGTGTAGAAGAAATTCCGACGGAACAACGCACCACAGACAAAGACCTTGACTTTGTCACCGAGCGTTGCGGGTGGGACGTGTTGCTTGACAATCTCCGAGGAAATGTACCCAGTAGGCCCTGCGAAGAGAAGGTTCGAATCGCTAGCGAAATGAAAGTGATTGCGGAACGTACCAGTCCAGGTCTCGCTAGGCTTGTCAAGAATGTATACAACGTCAAACTTCTTGGGGTACTTCTGCTTCAGCGCGTCGAACTCTTCACGGAGGAGGATATCTTGTTCAGTCACGTTGGAGAACAGGAGCGTGAATTTAGTCTTGTTATTCTTGTCCGGGAGAGCGTGATTTAGGATTTGGTAAAGAGGGGTGCTAACGAATGAAAATGAATTTAGTTGGCCTTGAAATGAATTCCAGAGAGTCAGAGACGCTTACATTCCGCTGCCTCCGCCGATCAATGCAACTTCCTCGAATTCATTAGCTGGGTATGAGTAAGTTCCAGACCGTCTTAACGCCACTGAAGGACTACAAACCTTTGTAAGGGAACTTGGCGATGGGGCCCTTCATCGCCAGGGTATCACCTTTCTGCAAAATTGTGATGAGGTCAGCAAATATGGCTGATTAAGAAAGAGCGACTTTGAGGTTGAAAATATGTTTTGAGGCGTTCCCGTTCTCGTAGCGTTTAACGAGGAGAGTGAGTTCACCCTTAACATCGGGTCCGGAGATGGGAGTGTAGGGACGGATGATGGGTTTGCCTTTGGCATCCTTCAAGGTCTCTGGGTCAGAGCTCTTCACAACCAGACACGACGCGACGGGGATCAAAGAAGCTTCATCTTTGGGCAGCTCGAAGATGAACCTTGAATGAAGACAACTTTAGAGTCATTCTCGCACGATGCTCGTACAATAAACATACTTGGATGTATTGTGGTTGTATGGTTCAGTTTTCTTCAGTTTAAAGTCGATGAACTGCTCTGGGTTAAGCGGGCTCTTCTCCTGCTTTGGGGCGAAGGTCTTAGCATTGTGTTCAAGATACCAATATCCGGCAGCGGATACCACACCAGTACCCAGAAGCCAGAAAGGTAGGTTGGAAGCCTTCTTGGGTGTCGGGGCTGTTGAGTAGCTGCGTGTACCAGCAACCTGTGACAATGTTAGCTGACATTCTCATTGAATATAGGCTACGTACGAATGAACGAGCAACAGCGCCTCTGATGAACGACATGGGTGAAGACGGTTGACCAAGTTCAGGCAAATTATTTCCAAATTATTTCTCATGTTTACTAATTTTTTGTCACACGAGGTCAGGGTAAGTGCGTCATCGAAAGGCACGCTCGCTTTGCCCTTCTCGAGCCTTCTCGCCGTCGAAATTTCTCGAAATACCCATAGATATCAAGTGTTTACAATTTAGATACGTGAAATGAGGTAGATGGTTTCTAAATATCGAAGAAAGGAAGGAATTTGAAAGATTTACGATGAAAAATGACCCAAAAACGGATCGGATTGCCACAATATACTTGGCTGTATCCAAACTCTTCAAAAGCCAGCTTGGGTTTATACCACGTCCATCAGCTCGATTGCCCCCTCCTTCCCCAATCATTCCTCCTTAGAATACTCTTTCCCTACCTTCTCCCGATCTCCAGTAATTCTGCCCTCAACTTGAAAGGTCTCACATGTCGTTCGTCAAACTCAGCATCTTTGGAACTTCCTTCGAGGTCCAGCTTCTTACGAAATCTCCGCCGCTCTTCATTAACCGCTCTACCCAACCTATAGGTCACAACAAGATATGTCGATCTCCAACCAGTTGGAATGGGTGAGCTTCGAGAGGCATTTTGATCAGTATCATGGCTAATGCCCGGTGTAAGGTGCATTTGGGCTCGTCTGGTAAGTTTGGTGAATGTCTCGTAACCAAGGCGTTTCTGACTGTGTCTGCCCGACAGTTCGAGCAAGGACCAACTTACGGGCGCGTCTGTGGCGATCAAGAAGATCATGAAGCCATTCAGCACACCAGTGCTGAGCAAAAGAACGTACCGGGAGCTCAAGCTTCTCAAGCACATCCAACATGAAAATGTGTGTGCCGCTCTTCGTTCCCTTTCCTAACCAACCAGCTCATTTTGGCCAGATTATCAGCCTCAGCGATGTCTTCATTTCTCCCCTTGAGGATCTGTCAGTCTCCCCTCGAGTTCGTTGGGAGATTTCTTGACGAGCTTTGCGACAGATACTTTGTGACCGAACTCCTCGGAACTGACTTACATCGACTGCTCACATCTCGACCGCTGGAGAAACAGTTCATCCAGTATTTCCTTTACCAAATTCTGGTGCGTTCCTCTTGTCTCTTTTCGTACCGAGTCGATTCTCATCATGATACCTCTGACAGCGTGGTCTCAAGTATGTGCACTCAGCTGGTGTGGTTCATCGTGACCTTGTACGCTATTTTGTTTACCGAGAAAAATCACGCGTATCGTTCAACTCGTGTTAGAAACCGAGCAACATTCTTGTAAACGAGAACTGTGATTTGAAGGTAATCGCATCTGCTGGTCACGTAACACGCTGCTGACCTCTCCCACATTTGCCTTTCAGATCTGCGATTTTGGTCTTGCGCGCATTCAGGACCCTCAAATGACCGGCTATGTCTCCACACGATATTATCGCGCCCCAGAAATCATGTTGACATGGCAAAAGTATGATGTCGCCGTCGATATCTGGAGTACTGGTTGCATTTTCGCAGAGATGCTTGAGGGCAAACCCCTCTTCCCAGGCAAAGATCGTACGTCACCATTCATTTCTTGGGTGCAATGTTACAATGTTTTCCGCCGTCAGACGTTAATCAGTTTTCGATCATCACGGAATTATTGGGTACACCGCCCGATGATGTCATCGAAACCATATGCAGCGAAAATGTGAGTTGTCGTCATAAATCAATTAACCACAACCTCGAGGCTAATACCGTATGTTTTTCAGACGCTTCGATTTGTCCAAAGCCTGCCAAAACGTGAACGCATTCCCTTCAGTCAGAAGCTACGCACAGCGGATCCTGATGGTCCGTGCGATATGATGTCATTAATCTCTTCTTTCTGATGTTGTTATCATAGCCATTGACCTTCTTGAGAAGATGCTGGTGTTCGATCCCCGGAAACGTATAGATGCCACCCAATCGCTAGGGCATGAATACGTTTCGCCGTATCACGATCCCACCGATGAACCCGTCGCCGCAGAAAAGTTTGACTGGAGTTTCAATGATGCTGATCTCCCAGTGGACACATGGAAAGTCATGATGTACAGTGAAATTTTGGGTAAGAGTTTTTGCGTTATTGCAGTTGAACCTTCATTTATTCTCTCGATCACCGAAGACTTCCACCAAGTAGGCGAAGCATCGATCACGGCGAGCGGAATTCCAGGGGGTGCTCTAGCTGGGCCAGATAATGGCACTCTCCAAGCAAACGGGATCGTTCTTACTGCATGAAACCAAAACATTGATTCCTCGTGTTTTCGTTGCATTGGTTCTGTTCGATGAAGCCTTGTCTTGGACTTTTTTTTGCCGGCTTAGGACGTCATGTAACCCTTTTATTTTCTTTTCCTCTCCTACGTATGACCTCTTGGTACCATCTACCTTATTACACGGCTCATTCAATTTTTCTTTTTCTGTTCGTTGACCGCCGATTTCTCGTTCGGATATCACACAACAAACTAACTGTAATTATAAACCCAAGCAACCGAAAACTTGTATGGACCACTATTGTTGTCTCCCTCGTTACTTGTAGTATCTATGTCTCTTTCCCCCTTACCTTCTTCACATTGATTCTGGCTCTGCAACTCAATACTTACACACGACTCGGATCTACTCGGATCAATTGTCAACATTCACGTCGGTACTCTACCCTGGTCGCCTCGACCTTCCTCATGGTCGTCATCGTCTGTAGATATGTGGGTGTAATCGAACGTCTTCATCACGATCTTGACATAAAGTTCCGGTTTGGCGGTTGTGTGATCTCTCTTGTGTGATTTTTTTTTGGTTATGCGGTGCCAAGTGCTCGTTAAACATTTCTCTAGGTCTCCCTCGCACATGTGCACGTAGTTGTATGTATTCCTGCAATTCATGACCTTCATTTGATTCAGTAACTTTGCGCATCAAACGTTGTTCTTGCGTTAACTTGTTTTCACGTCTTGTTCACTTCCAAGGTTTTCAAATTGATTGCTTGACGCGTCCATCAATTGGTTGGTCGAAGTCGACGCGTCCTGCCAACGTTTTACCAACGTGCACTCTCCGCTCGAGGCTCAGAAACGCTCCGACATCATGAAGTTAATCCAATCGATCGCTCAAACCATCGTGTCCGTCCCCGAGCTCACTCCACAGGATTCGAAGGCCAACCTCAGGGCTTGAACTCCATGTGCGACGGCAATGACGTTCTCCATGACGTTCTCCAGGTACCGTCAAAGCGACGGGCAAGATGAGGCGGGACTGTCTTGGCCATGACGACGACGAGTCCAAAACCTGAGACTTTCTGTGCCAGACGAATTTGGAGCACTACCAGGAACCTTCACCTCCTTTCCCTGCTCCAATCAGTATCATCGAGTATGGAACATACAGCCTCCCGCTCGCGCCCATGGTTGCTCGTTGTCCCTACCGTCGCAAATGTATATGATAAAGATGCCACCCTTCAAAGTTGCAGCATTTTATAATCTTGTTATTAGGAAGCTGTTGATGATTTCAAGCAAATCAATCTTCTCACTGTCTATTATTCTTCCCCATCGTTCGTCATCTTTTCTTTTCTTTCTTTTTCCATTAATAATGAATCAGTTTTTTGGAAACACTTGGAGGGCTCTATCATATCTACAGCCAATCAGAGAATCTCGGTAGGGTTCACAAGATTTTAGAGGCGTCGATCTTACAAACAGAAAAAAGGTCGCGTGGGACAACAAATATACATGGACCTCTGCGCCAATCAGCCCCTCATCAGCGACGTGAGTGACCGGAATGTATTGAGCTGAACAATGATGAAGACTTACCAATGTGCATGTACTGATCTAGATATATATCATTGCCACTGAGAGCGGGGCATATTTGGTGTGTATTATCATAATCGTATCCAGAGAATTTTCTAATCCTCCCTTAGATTATGCAGGTCTTGCGGTTTCTCATGGAATATGGAAATACTTTGCTGCATGACCGGGAGAAATTACATGAGAGATGGACACAATTCATTTTCCATGCCCAGCTGCCAAATCCCGATCCGGCACCCTTGGAAAACGAACTTCTGCGACTGGTCCGGTGAAAAATATTTCCTTCGTTCGCAGCGTGTTCAAGTTGATATTCGAGTTTTAGATCCGTAACCCTCATACACCCGTCCCTTCCTCCTCCATCCGGACTCCTTCGGCTAACCTGGTGCCTAACACAGCCAGGTCTTTATAGATATCGTAATGTTCCATCGCCCAACAACACCACCAGCTTCGATTGTCTGGTTATCTGGGTTAAAGAAATCAGCAACTATCTGGGACAACGCCACAGTCGAATGGATTGAAGGCGATGATGTAAGCTATTGTCGTTTTTTGTTTGAAAATGCCATTTTGACAATACCCCGAGACTGAGAGCGTGAAGAGACTTGTTCATAAGCACATCCTGGCGGAGGAAAAAGGCGACGACTGAATTGCGGCCTTTAAGACGTTCAATTCCGTCAAGGTCCTGAGGTGAGTCAGGCTGAAATGGAGGGTAAGAACCGCATCTCCAAAATCTGTGGTTTTGGATGGGAGTGTCGCCCCTCCTAGTGGATGCGTTGCCTTGCCGTACTAGTAAATGATAATCTATAGTCCATTCGCTAAATTTCGTACACCTGGATATGCAGACCTTATGTCGTAAGCCCAACTTGATTTGAAAAAATGACCAGACAAGCATTTTTGCTGGTTCCGAGTTGGTGTACATCCGGGCGAATCCATGGTTGAATGAGAGCTTTTTCAGATCAGACCTCTAGCGCCAAAGCCGCCCCTAATTATCTATGTTAGTCACGTGTACATATTTTGACCGACAGGAGTTACGGAGGCCGAACCAAAGCTAAAGCCAAGGTTTAAGCTCTTTTCTTCCTTGACGATGGCAAACTCACGACGGCAGCGACCTAGCGCGTTTGATGTTTCGTTTCCTGGAGAGGCTGCAACGCTATCAGCGCAGGAACGGGCCTCTACATGTCCTACTTCGTCCAATGGCATACCTCAAAAGCGCAGAAATAACGCGACTAACCACGACAGAGTATGCAGTTGTTCAATACGAACCGACGGGTAACTCACATCAGAACGCGATTTAGGCACCGAAACAACAGCAGCTGCCTCCTGGTACGTGCTAACTCTTCTTATATCAAAAATAGAGGTCTGAATGTGAGGTTCAGTTGCGTACTACCGGCATGAAGGACCTGAGGTGATCGAGACTCAGGATTTGAACCTCAACGGAGAAGACCTCGACGATGCGGAGGAACAAGAAGGCACCAATACGAAACCCATTAGAATTCTCACCAACTTTTCGTTCTTCGATCCGAGACACAGGAATGAAATGGTACCGTTGACTGATCTGGAGGAAGACCATGGGAAAGATCAAGCGTTCGAGGGGGCTGGTTATGCAGTGGCCAAACCGAGCGATATGGATGAGGATGAAGGACAGGAAGAGGAAGATGAAGATGAGCCTGTGTACCTTCGTCTGGGCGCGATCTTTCGCTATACAATCAGCTATAACCCAGAGGATGAGTGAGTTATCCGATGAATATTGCGGGATGGTCTGTACTGATATGCCACCTATGAAGGTTGGTATGCATCGAGACGTTATTCGCTTATTATATCTTGGAGAAGGCCTCAAAAGCGTATGAACCTTTCTATCGGCCTTTCTACACACCTCGGCACATTGCCAGACTGGTAATCTTGTTCGCTGCTGAGCAACATCCCGAGAGCCCCGAGGCTTTCCTCAGAAATTTCAAGGAAACGGTCGACATTTTTGGCCGTACATATGTGGAACAAGATCTTTGGGATGCAGTACGTTTCTATGCCATCTCAACCAGCCAAATCTGATGGGTATGGGAAGGTTCCTGGTATTCGACGGGCTATTGAAGAATTTGACCAGTCTGATCAGACTCGACTAAGAAAGGCACCTATCATCCGGTATTTGCTCAGTAAATCACTGCCTACGTCGGACCGGGAACGGCATTATATACCCCAGCCTGCTCGCCGGACAAGAATATTACAATCAAAGGCATTCATTGGCGATCTAGATACCGCCGTCCTGAAGAAAGAAAATCTCAATCGGACCACAGTCACGCCGTCCATATTCGCTTTAGCTTGGGGTCGCGTACATGAGAAGTTGGATATCATAGGGCCTCCTTATCACCCCCTCAGCAAGGCAGAGAAGGAGAGTCAAAAGAGAGAAGCCTTTCTACGCCTATGCCGGCTTGTAACAAAAGCAAAGGGGCCCAACCCAACCGATTGGTCAAAGGACGAAAGGGTTTCCCCGACATCCGAATTCTTAAAGTCGGCCATAGTTGGTGGCGAAAAGTATGAAGTAAGTAGCTTTTTTGTTTTGTTTTTGGAGTTTTTATTCTTATCATTGCACAGGTTGGGGATGTTGTGCTCGTAAGAAACGGTGAAGCTCCATTTTGGACGCTAAACGCGGATGTAAATGATCTGTCGCCTGAAGTTATTTTGCCAGACTTGTTCTGGTGAGCGTCAGTCTGAACATTTTTTGTTACATTCTCAAGTTCTATCTCTCCAGGTTTGCAAGGATTATCTGGATCTCTCACGCCAACATGATGTACCACCTTCAATGGTACAATCATGGCTCACAGATCATGCTGGGGGAGCTTGCCCATCCCCAAGAAATCTTTTTAGCCAACCAGTGTGAAGAAAAAGAGCTCGAAACAATTGTCGCCAAGGTCAAAGTTCACGATGGCCCTTTTAGTAACGCCGTGAAGAGGGAAGAGTTCTTTTGCCGGTACGTTAATTTTTGTCTGCACATTTGTCCACCTATACTAATCATTGCTAGATTTATGTTCGATGAAGGTTCAGGCGCATTTACATCCATTGATAGCGACCTCTTGGCCAACCTGAGAAGTCTCCCGCCAAGAGACAACTGCGCTTCTTGTCAAGTTATGGCGGAACGAACACGAACGGAGAAGATGGAAAGGGTTAATACCGATGGGAGGTGTCAAAACGGTGTTACATACAACGGTAAAACATACCACATAGACGACGTGGTTCTGTTTAGGGCGGAAAGCGGGCCAGCGCATATTGGGTGTGTCACAAGATTGGAGTTTCCTCGACGCGAAACAGACTCGAAGACCCCGACAATGGTTCAAGTGAGAAGGATCGGTCGGATTAGTTCTCTTAAACATATCCTGCCACAAGATGTACTCGTTGATGAGGTACGTTGATATTCCCTTTCGTTTTGTGCACGCTAAGTATTGTGGTAGCGACATCTCTTTCTAACAAAAGAGATGACCACTTTCAATGCTGCCGATCTCATTCAAGTTGTTCTCGCCCCTCCAATGTCGTCGCTGACGGGCGAAGACGACCTCGAGGAGTGGTTGGCCCTCTCGCCGGATCATTTCTACCTGCGCTACCAGTTCGATTCGCTCAACCCCGAAACGTGGAATCAGAGGCAAAAGATGCCGAAGAACGAGGATTTTCTTGTCTGCCAAACTTGCTGGAGGGACAGACTGCGAGAGAAGAAGCTGGCGAGCCAATTCTCTGCATATCTCGAGCGTGATCCCCTTCCGACTTTGGATCTTTTCGGAGGGGTTGGTGCCTTTAGTAAAGGTCTTGCAGAGGGCAGCGAATGCCTTCGTGTCACCCACGCCGTTGAAATCGGGCCAAGTGCTGCGAAAACCCTTGAGTATGTCTTTGTCTTTGTTCATGTAATGTGTTTTTTTATGAATGATTGACAGACGAAATTCGCCCGGTACCATTGTTTATAATCAATGCGCGAATACCATGCTCCGTTATGCGATCAAGTCTTGTGAAGGCCATAAACCTGATCCACCTGTGCAGTTATTTGATGGAAAGACACCAGTACCTGCACCTCCAAAACCCGGCGAAATCAAAGTGTTTACTATTGGTTTCCCATGGTAAACAGTCAATACAGTTTCAAACGTCGATTTTTGTCACTCACGCACACACAGTCAAACCCATTCCACGTTGAACAGGTTCCAAGACGTGAGAGACATCAAGAGCAACTTGATCCTAAACGCACTCTCCTGGATTGATTTCTATCGACCTATGTTGTGTTATTTCGAAAATGTTGCTGGATTTCTCCAGTTTCGTGTTTTTCATACGGAGAACTCAGACGTAGAGGGAATAGAAATGGGTGGGCTGAAATTACTCAAACGGGGTCTTCTTGACATGGGGTACTTGGTCTTGTTTTAAGTTTGTGAATGAGGTCTTAACTTGTGTGTAGATACCAAGTACGCGAAGGTCTCCTCCAAGCCGCTCATTACGGAACCCCCCAACGCCGGGAGAGGTTCTTCCTGATTGCCGCGCTTGATGGTACTCCTCTCCCAGCTCTCCCTCAGCCCACCCACGATTTCCCCAAGGAATTTTTCAAAAACACCAACAGTGACGTAACATACAAAACAACTCCATCGACATCACTCTCGATCGTCTATCCTAACAAGAAGAGGATACAACCGATACGCTCTGCAAACGGTACGGCACTCCATCCATGTGTTACAATTGGAGATGCTATCGATGACCTTCCGCGATTTGATTGGTGTGCACCCCTTTCCTCCTTGACTTGACTTCAGGCTAATGAAATTTGAACTAGGACTCATCGAGATGAGCAGCGTAGTCGCCGGGGAAGAGAAGGTGTCCCAGGATTTCCATGCGATACAGAAGCACTCGCTCGTCGAGGGGTTAAACAATGTGGCTATGTGGGCCGGCCACCGTACCATCATCCACCGAAAACGGTGTACCAACGTCAGGCTCGAATGAAACCTGTCAGGAACTTGCAACATTTTACCAGGATTCTCAAGGCTGATACGGTAAAGCGGTGAATCTCGTTTTTATCTGTGTTGTTGAACGTGGACACTGATTAGTCCATAAGGTGTATAAACATTCGATTGGAGCCCAATGCAGATTATAAAAGTACATTGCTTTTTGCTTTCACCATGGTTATTACTGACGAATGGAGAAAAGCTCTGCGTGCTGACCTATTGGAGTGGAACACTGCCAACCCGTCTTCGGCAATGGTGCGAAAAGGTTTCAAGTCTGGTACGTCTCGTCTTTATCTCGCTCGACAGTCTCACGACTGACATCATGCTCGTACAGGTGCATATGGGCGTCTAGATATGAACGCTGTCTTTCCTACCACAGTCACCAACGCAGGACCTACAGCCAAGCAATCGAGATGCCTTCACCCTGATGTGCGTCTTTCCTTCGTCCACACGTCATCTAGACTAATCCTTTCCCAGTCCCATCGGATGCTGACTATCCGTGAGTTCGCAAGGTCCCAGGGCTTCCCGGACTCTTTTGAATTTGTGTCATTGAAGGACAAGGTCATTACGGTATACATGTTTCTCTCTGTCTGGTGCTACTGGAGCTTATCGGCTGTTCTGCGTAGATACAAAGGCAAATCGGCAACGCCGTACCTCTTCCACTAGCCAACGCTCTTGGACGCGAACTCCGGGCAGCACTTTTCCAGAAATGGAAGCGAGGTCAGGAGGACGCCATCGTGATCGACGATGTCCCTCCAAGTAGCGACGATGATCCTATGGATATTAGTTAAACCCAAGTAGATTTTTTTGACCATGGTCATGCCTATCATCTGTAGATACCCTAATTATGTATAGTTTATGGACATCGCGGACAAAGTTCCGGTCATGCACTGCTAAAGATCAAACGCGGGCAATGTAGCCCTGCTGCGCTCTGTGTCTTCTCCGTCCCCGTTAAACTCACAATCCCAGCTGGTGCGAGTGCCAAGAGATGATTTTTTTAGGATGTGGATGATATAACGTGTGATCAGGGTCCACTCTACTACATACCACTAGCGCTGTCAAGTTTCATAACCTTTTACAACCTTTTCTACTTGTTCTCTTCTTCCCCTCGTGGCCATTCTTTTCTTGTTCTCTTTCTCTACCAGCTATGGACGCACCCACCCTGGTTTTGGTGCCTCCGACCCCAATGAAATTTGACAGACCATCGCCCCCGCTGACACCGGTCTCAGCACCGTCAATACCACTTCCCACACCCGGACAACCTAGGTTCTCAAGGAAAGAACCTACTAACAGAGCCTCATCCGAAACTGCCATATTTTCCATCTATTCCATGTACGGTGACGACCAAGCTGCGAGAACGAGTTGGGCGTCACCCAGTGGTCCAAGTTCCCGGACAAAGAGCCCACCAGCGCTTATGGACGACCGCCATGATTCTTACTTGGGTTATAGCGGCCGTGCATCCTCTGATTTGGCGTATTTCGACGCAGGCGAAGACACTTACTCACCTCCGTCAATGTCAACACTGGCCTTTCACAACGTTGTCAACGGCAACGACAGTCCTCGTGACTCTCAAACGACTTCATCCTCGCGGCCAACCTCCAACTATGCAACACCCACATCCATGCGAACACCTTCAATACGACAACTAGCTGACCGCGGCACCCCAACGAACCACCTCTCAACTTTTTCAGACGCAAACGCACCTGGCCCTTCGCGTCAAAGGGACTCCGAGCAGAGTGCTTCCCTTATCTCGCGGCGATCGTCGCGCAGCTCTCACGTCTCCCGAAATCGGAGATCATCCCTCTCCACCCGCGATCTCCCACCCCTTCCCCCGTCATCACGCACAACACCTTCTCCAGGGGACATAACTCCGCCTCGGCAGCTTTCACCAAACCACCTGAGCCCCAAAGCACCATCAAAAACTGCTGGGAAACATCCGCCACCCTCTTCCTCCCCGTCCAGCAAAGTGTCTTTAGTGCCTTCAGAAGGGGAAGACAACGACTCGTTTCATGTGAGAAATACCTATGCGCAACTGGAGGTCTCGGGCGTCAAGGGCGATGGATATGAGGAGGGGATTGAACGGACTCGAGCTAGAATAGGTACTAGTCGGCAAAGTCAGTTGGACGCAGAAGAAGCCCTGGGAAATGGGAAAGAGAAGATGAGAGACCTCCATCCGAAGGAAATTCAGTTTTTGGCGAATGTGGACCGGTGAGTTTTGCATTTTTTTAACAATCCATGTCATAACTGAAGGATGCGACGATAGTTATGGTTTCTTTACCATCCCATCTCACGACCGATTAATCCTACTCAATTCTGGCCCTCTTTTGAAACGATTGGCGCCGAGCTCAGCAGGTCCTCCATCAGCATCACCTAGCGCTACATCATTGTCTACCCTCCCACCTGTCCCACGGCCAATCAAAGAAGCTTCCCGAATAGCCAAGTGGACTCGCATGCTTATGCCGCTCAAACGCAGCCCAGGTGGCAACGTCGAAACTTGGCGTATAAAGCCGCCCAAAGCGTCCAAGCTCCGTGAACGCACGTACAAAGGCGTTCCAGACAGATGGCGTGGAGCTGCATGGGACCTCATGATGACTGGTTATTCAGGAATGACGCCACAGGGCTTGGAGAAGCTGGTCGACGAATACCACGACGCGCTGGAGAAACCATCAAGCTACGATATACAAATCGATTTAGACGTGCCGCGGACAATTAGCGGGCATATCATGTTCAAGACGAGATATGGTGCTGGGTATGTCCTTCAACACTGCGTGGTTGAAGGGGGATCTAATCATCCTACAGACAACGTTCCCTATTCCACGTCCTCCACTGCTTCTCGCTCAAATGCGAGACATGCGGGTACGTCCAAGGCATGGGCCCAATCGCCGCTACCCTGCTCTGCTACTTTGAGCCCGAACGAGTGTACGCCTCCCTCGTCCGCCTGCACGACGCCTACAACATGCACACCGTCTTCAACCCCGGCTTTCCCGGGCTTCTCGAAGCCATCTACGTCCAAGAGCGCATAACGGAACAAATGATGCCAGACGTGTACGCTGCGTTTCGGAAACACATGATCTCGACCACATCGTATGCGACAAAGTGGTACATCACGTTATTTGCCAATTCTGTACCGTTCCAAACACAGTTGAGGATATGGGACGCGTTTTTGTTGGAAGGGTACGACGTGTTTGTTGCGGTGGCGGTTGCTATTGTGTGGGTCTACCGAGGTGAGTTATTCATTTGTTTACCTTCCCTCCCCGCGTTTTATGATTATAGAAACTAATGATGCACATATAGACCACATAACATCCAACGCCGCCAACTTTGAAACCGTACTATCCCTTCTCTCCTCATTTTTCGTCCCAGAAGACGAGAATGCCCTCCTTTCCTGGATAGAGAAGACTCTGGGCGATAAAAAACTCAGAGCTAGTGTCCTGAGATGGAAACGAGACTGGAAAGAACTCGTCGCCACAGGAAAAGATGCTACGGCTCTCCTGTGAGCACGATTAACTTTATTCATTCATTTTACGTGTGTTTCCTTTTCTTCCCCTCTGTCGGTGCCCCTCGTTGGTCTTTTTTTTATATTGTCTATGTTTTGGATATCTGCTCAAAACTCGAATTTGCGCGTCACCTGCTCACTCTCGGTTTCCTCGGTCTCTCTGCTTGGATACTTATACCGTCACCGTCATCTATTATCGTTTTTCTTCGCATTCTGTCGCATATTATTTATAGAACCACTATCCTTTCTGTCGCACACATCAATTCATCAGTCTGTAGCATATCTTTATTCATGCACGATAGGTCTCTATAATTCAGCCATGGCGCGACCAGCAGCAGCACAACCTTGGGAACTGGTTACAACATTATTTAATAATTCATCTCTCCGTCATACGACAACAATGTTAGTGGGATCATCGAAATACAGCATTTTGAGTCGAAAACGTCCATCTTGTTTTATGGTTGCCCAATTTACTTCTTGAGCAGAGCAGGGGGAGTGGGTCCAGCGGAGAGACCTCTGGTACCAGCGTAGGTAGCACCAGTGCCCTCAAGTTCCTCCCTACAGATATCATTCAGGAAACATCAGCTCACATAAGAACGTGGTGACGTACTCGATGCGGAGCAGAGTGTTGTACTTGGCGACACGCTCGCTTCGTGCAGGGGCGCCAGTCTTGATTTGACCGACGCCGAGGGCGACGGAGAGGTCAGCGATGATGGTGCTTTCAGTCTCACCACTGCGGTGAGAGATCATCACACCCCAGCCGTCTGATTGTGCGAGTTGGGCGCTGTTGATGGTCAGAGCAGTGAGTCGCTATTTTTTAGATTGAAAGGCATCAACGCACGCTTGGATCGACTCCGAGATGGTACCAATCTGGTTGACCTTCAACAACAAGCCGTTGCAGGCCTTCTTCTCAATAGCAGTTTTGATTCGGAGGGGGTTGGTGACAGTCAAATCATCGCCGACAATTTGAATGCCGCTCTTGGCAGTGAAATGTGTCCATGCTTCCCAATCATCCTGATCGAAGGGGTCTTCGACGGAGACGATGGGGTATTGCTTAATGTAGCCCAGGTATAGATCGGCAAGCTCAACACCAGTGATCCACTTGCTGGGGTCGGAGTTGGGGTTCTTGAAGTCAAGATCATACTTGCCGTCTTTGTAAAATTCGGAAGACGCAACATCGAGTGCAATCTTGATCTTGCCCTCATAACCAGCCTTCTTGATAGCCTCAGACAAAAGCTCGAGGGATTCCTCAGCACCAGAAACGTTGGGAGCAAAACCACCTTCATCACCAACGTTGACGGCTAAACATATTTAGAGGAAGTCATTCTGGTGATTACATGCTTCGTTGTTGAAAACATACCATCAATACCATATTTGGCGCTGATGACCTTCTTAAGGGTGTGGTAAGTTTCCGTGCCAATCTTCAGAGCCTCAGTGAATGTGGTAGCGCCGGTAGGGAGGAGCATGAATTCCTGGAAGGCCAGTTTGTTACCAGCGTGCGATCCACCGTTTATAACGTTGAAGGCGGGGGTAGGAAGAACGAAGGGAGGCTTGACGCCAGCGAGGTCAGCGAAGTGCTGGTACAGAGGTACACCCTTCTCTGCGGCGCCAGCTTCTGAAACTGCGATGGAGACACCGAGGATGGCGTTGGCACCGAGTTTACCCTTGTTGGGGGTACCATCGAGCTTGATGAGGAAGTCATCGATCTCCTTCTGCTGGGTGACAGTCAGACCGGACTTGATGAGTTCAGGAGCAATGATGTCGTTGACGTTGGCGACTGCCTTGCTGACACCTGAACATATATTATGAGTATATGCGCGTCTTTTGCTTTTGTTCGACGCCTACCTTTGCCGACATAGGCAGACTTGTCGCCATCGCGAAGCTCAACAGCTTCGTGAATACCGGTAGACGCACCCGATGGAACGGAGGCACGGTAACGACCTGTGGTAGATTTTTAGCTTGCAGTACATATTATTTGTGCTGGGGCTCTTGCCTTTCGCGGTGTAGAGATCGACCTCGACGGTGGGGTTTCCACGGGAGTCGAAAATCTAGTGAGAGTGGTCAACGACACGGACGACGCAGAAGGTATTAAGAACAACATACCTGGCGAGCGTGGATCTTTGTGATGGACATGATGAGTAGACGGAGAGATGTATTTCTGGGCTTATCTCAATCGATCTTTAGTATCAATCTAGTTTTCTCACGGGTGATCGACGTCAGTATCTCGTCAGTTCTAGTCCTCCCGATTATAGCCGTCGGCGTTGAGTTCACTGTTCCCTCCAAACGGCTTTATGTTCGGATCCGTTGAACGTTCGTTCAGCAAATTTAACGCACAAAGACATGCCCATTGTCCAAGTTTTGGTGGGTAAGCATTTCATTGTAATCGATCTCAGTCTATCGGATTCCTACAAATTCAAACTCCCGATATACGCGATACCCTGGAACTTGTCGGTTAAAAAGCGGTGATAGATAATGGGGCTCCCCAACGAACCTAGTTACAACCCTCGGTGAATCAAATCATGAGGCGCCTTTTCTGTTTTTGCGACCCTCGGCCCTCTTTCCGACAGGCAGTGACTTAAGAATGGCTGCTTGTTTCCGGTTTTTGTTTTTGACGTTCGCGTTTGAGTAGAAGTTCGACACCTTACGCTGCGTAGGAATGAGATGAGCAATATAGCGTCAAAGTCGCGAACTTCGCAATACCTTGTTCGTTTTCATACGCGGCTCTTTCTGGCGCGGGTCTGTTTGTTCCTCGTCTGAGGTATCACCTAGAAGAGAATATAAACACTTCGCTTGAAGCAAGTGGTGTTATAAATAACGGACCTTCGCTCATATCGACAAGTTCCTCCTCATTTTCGTCTTGGGATGTTTCGCCTGATGCTGGAACGTCGTCCTTAATCCCTTCGAAAACATCATCCCACTTCAATTCCTCTTCAGAATCCTCAGCCTCGTCCGAATTGCTGGCAACATCTTCGTTTTCTTCCTCCTCGTCATCGTCTTCTGCGACGTCTTCAAAGTCCTCATCCATTGGCTGCACATCCTCTGCCACAAATGTGTTCTTTTGCATCAGTGACTTTAGATTCTGCTTCACTCCAGGCACTTCGCCCTCCGCAGCCTTGTTTTTCCCCTTCACATCCTTCGCCTTGCTCAATCTCTTTTTCTTTGCCTCAGCTTCGTTAAGCTCTTCGCTCCTCTCAGGTGGAGGTACGAAATACGGAATCCGACCACGAACCCAATCGCTCAGTACAATCTTCGCGACTGCGTCCAGATCCGGCTCTCCGTGCTTCAAAAGTCTCCCCTTCATCCTCGCAAGCTTGTCCAAGAAGACTTCCGGTTTCCAAGCCTCAGCAGGATTGTCCTTATTCGGTAAAGGAACTCCATATGTCCTCGAGAGATAGATCGGTTTGACCCGATCCATAAGAGCTGGAACATGATCTGACGGTGTTGGGAGGGCTTCAACGCGGACAACACCTTTCAAGACAGTTGATGTTTGGGAGTCGTTGGCGGAGGTTGGGACGATTCCAGGGCAATCGATGAGGTATATTCTCCGAGTTAGAGTGATATATTGCCAGACCTGGTATTCACCATGATCAGAATCGTATATTTTATTCAAAATTGCAAAATCTTACTTTGGTCTCGCCGGGCACAGGTGCGACGCGGCACACCTTTCCGCTTTTGAGTGTGTTAATTACACTGCTCTTCCCAACATTTGGGTAGCCAATAAAGCCAACAGATATCTGCTTCTTGTCGGAATGAAGCTGGGCGAACTGTCTCAACAGTTGAATAAGAGAACCCTTTCCGAATGAGTGGTTTGGCGAAGCATGAAATGCAATTGTTGGGTATCGTGGTGTGAGATGTTGAATGTATCTTGCCTAAGTCACGAGGACCTTAATTCGTCTCCCACATCAGAAGGATAGGCAACTAACCGTCACCCAGTTTGGCACTAAATCGCACTTGTTGATGACCAAGACTATTTGTTTATGCGATTTTTCCTTCTTGACGTACTCCAGCACAGATTCGCACATCGTCCCGAGGGGGTCGCGCGCATCGAGGATATGCAATATCACATCCGAGGAATCAATAACTTTATAAAGCTCTCCGTAAATCCGACGTGATGTTCCTTTCGCGTAGATGGGCTCCATGTAGTCCGCATGAGTAGGGGCTTCTACTACAGCTGAAGCCAATGGCTCTATGAAACCAGACTGTATGAGTTATCAACCAAACCGTTAGAAGCTGTTGGCCCACCAATAACGCCTAATCCAGAGTGTGAGGCTGCACTGGCCGCCTCATCAGCAGCAGCGGCGCCGATTTGACTCAGCTCTTCGAATGTCCCAGCGTATATTCTGGGCTTTTTACGCTGAGCTTTAGGACCAAACGTTTCTGAAAAAGGTTCCGTCTCCACAATGTGAGGACGCTACAGAGAGCTTGAAAATCAGCAGTTCCTAGATGTCAGGGCTCACATACCTTGCGACTTGCATTGGGATTGGCAGCATCATCCAGTAACGCCATAGGCAGTTTATTCCGTCGTAGAAGTACCGAGTAAGGATCGTCCTTTTTGTTCCCAAGGCTTGTCCTGAAATGATCCAACGCAGTCTGTGATATTACTCTTGTGTTACCTTTTTAAAAAAATCAAATCTCCTTTAGCCTCATGCTCGTAAAACCAAAATAAGGAACGATAACGTACCAAACCACCTGCGATCAGGTGCAACTCTGCCCGGCTTCGTCTCATCCTCTCCCTTCTGGTAGGCAGCAGCTTGGATGATCTTTCCATCCTTGTCACGGATGGGCTTGCCCCCATTCAACAACTTTAGTCGGGCAACCTTTTTCGCATCACGGTAGAAGTTTTCTCCCTTGACCCGGGCAAGAGATACTTTTCCGGTCGACGTGGATGACCTTGTTTTTGAAGGAGAGGTCGTTTTCTTGGTGGGCGCCATAATTGCACACTTTTGAAAACCTATCAAGTGCCAAAATGTGTGATCGAAATTCCCACGGATTCCAAAGCAAGTGATAAAATCCAATCCTTGTTACATATATTCTACTATCCAGAACGATATTGCTTTCAAGTTACAGTACCCCGTCACTACCCGCTCACAGCCTGACGAACAACGAGCATCTCCTGCGCAGTCAGCTGATCAACAAGGGCACAGAAATTGGTTGTATTGTGGGTTGCATAATCTCGTAGGAAAGAAACGAGATGGGCCTTCAAATACAACTTCAGGTAAGAAGTAATTTGGAAAAGGCCACGACTAACCTGCATGTCCATCTGCGAAACAGGATCATTCTTGAGATCCTCATCATCATGATCATCCAGAAGTTCATCATTGTCAAAAGCCATGCCCTTCGGTCCAAGCATTTCAGAAAGAAAAGCAAATTCGTCCTCTTTGAATCCTTGGTGCAACTTTTCTTCTTCCGTCCAATCTTCGTCCTAGCATTTCCCGAAATAAGTTGTGTGAAGCACCTCATGAATGGGACTATGCTTACCCCGTCATCCGAATCAACGTCCTCGACGGTATTGCCTTGTGCGGAGATCGTTGCTGCGTCTCCGCCTGACTGTAGATCATGGATAATGATCTTGAGCGCTTTGACGGGGAAGGGCACAGAGGTGAACTCGTGTGGTGCTGTCATTGTAAGTTAGTGAAGATGAACAAATGTTAGGTTAGAGAACATGGAAAGGTAAAACCAAGAATAACTGCATACTCTTTTTGGTTTTCGAACGAGTCATAATAACTAGCCCAAGAATAAGTATATGGGTACGCACATTGACGAATCCGTCTCTCACCATTTTTGGTCTCCGGTTTGATGATGATGTCGCCCTTAACCATGAGGTTTTGGAGGCTCGGTCGGCCACATATAAACAATTGTGTCAAGGCCAGAGTACTGATACGTGAGGGCCAGAAGCCTTGGAAGGTCTCCGCATTTTCGCACCACGTTTGTACCAGGATATCGAGACCAGAGCGATTGCCAACGTTCATTGACTCTAAGAGCTCTAATACAGTGTCTCGTTGGTTGTTGATCAAGAAGGCGAATGGAATGACGAGACTCTAAGCAGCATGGCCATCAAATATCGTTATCAAAGGATGACAAAATTCAATATACCTGCAAGAACGTGGCAGTTTGTGCGTTTGTCATGCGAGAAACCATTGCTTGAAGTAACTGAGGCAGAACCGAAAGAACAGCCTCGCCCGCTCTCCTGAAGAGATGTATGATTAAATCCCCAATCGGGAGTCCACCAGATTCGTCTTGACTCTCCAGCATCTTCGCAACCAACGAGAGGACATAGTCAAGTCCACTTCGTCTATCGCTACCACTCCACGACAGAAGTTGCTTGCAATCTTTTCGAATTATGATTGTCAAGCAGGCGATACCGTTCTATGACAGTTCCATTAGGATGCGATCAAGACAGCTGGATTACCACATGCCTGTAAGATGTCCCTATCTTCTGCCACCGACAAACACTTGAAAAGACTAGGTGCAAGTAGAGGGAAAAAGCCTTCTCCGAGACCACTCTCAGGAGATCCCTTTACGAGACTGCTGACAAGTTCAATGGCTGAGCCTGCAATCCAAGACTCTTCAGGCTTGGCAGCCCCAATCGCGTTGCTCAGCAGGGGCAATGCTCGCTTGACTGCCGTTTCATATATCCCAGGAGTGGAAGAAGAAGCAAGCGTTGCCAAAATGTCGGTCAATATGGAGATGAAAATCGGGTCTGACATAGTATTTATCTTGGGTAAGACTTTGTCTCTTATCAGGCAGATGAAAACGCACCTTTGTTGTTCTTGTGCCAAACTTCAAGGACGGCGACAACTAAAGAGTCTGCCAGATCATGGGTTAACCATTTACCTTGGTCAACTTCGACAACAACAGATAATGTTTCGAGGACCAGAGATAGAGTATCCTCCGAGGTAAGCAACATGAACGGTCCCAGGTCTTTGGCTATCCGGGGCGCGAATGGAACCAGTACAGAGTCATCTCCTGCTTGGAAGAAACTAGAAGATACTGATAAGAGTCAAGCGAGGAAGTTATTGAAGTTACTTACTTGTGGACGGCTTTAACCGCAGATATTTTGACAGGGATTCCAGCTTCAGTAGATTCTACTACTTGTATGGTGGCGTCTAGATAGTGGCCTGCTGAATCCAGCGGAAGAAGTTTCGCATATTGGCTTGCAAAGACAAAGCCTCTACCCTGAAGGAACGGATGTTCTAGGATAGCGTGATCAGCATTGTACTAGCAAAACAAGCGGATTTGGTCCTACCGGAGACATTGAGGATGGAGGGGATGACATTTATAAGAAGGTATTCGATATCAATGGGCTTTCCTCGGCCAGAATCATGTTCGTCTTCAATGCAGTCAAGCACCGATTCTGATTGTGAGCCAACAGCCGCCAGAGCTGCTTCTAGAGGTCGCCACCTACAAGATAGTTCAGCGACGAGGGAGGGGCCTTAGAACGTTTTTACCAATTTTGTTGTCCAGCCTCACGAACGTGGAAAGATGTTTGAATAACTTGCTCAGTCGCGGTTTGGAAAGTCCGTGTAATTTGGGCAGGGGCTCGATCAATGAGGCACTGAATAATGTAGCCGCTGTTCTCAATGATGTCAAGAAAAAGGGGGCTAAGATACCCACACCCAGCAGATCGAAGCCAGCCACCCTCACGCTGTACGATTGTGTCTCATCTTCCTCCTGCGCAACAAAGGCGTTGGCATTTTCGGCCCAAGTAGCCTCCTGTTCTGCAGTAAGCCATAAACTCGGATGTCACAAGAAAATCACACTCACATCGTCATCTGTCATCTGGACGAGATTGAAAACCCCTATCACCAGCCCGGAGAGGTTGGCTCCGTCAAGCCAGTCTCTCGCCTTCTCACCTCGCATCACTGATGCAACAAAGTCAAAGATGGGACAAATCAGCTGGGGCAGCTCAACGGCTTCGTCTTCTGAAGTGCGAGGAGCAGTGTCAACGGCTGAGAGATAGTAGTGAGCGAACGTCGGGTAGAGGCTTTGAATGTGGTTCAAGGAGGCTGCGAGAAAGCCGTGTAGGTATGAAATGAGGGCGCGGGGAAAAGAGGAGTGAATGGCATCCAAGGTCTAACAATGCCGTTAGTACCATAAGGTGTGGCAGGGGTATGATATACTTTGAAGACTTGAATGCGGACTGTCAGACCATCCCAATTGTTTGCCTGTGCTACATCTTGGAGAGGGTCGATATCGAGAAGAACCTTGAACGCGTCTAGCCAGATTGGAAGGACTGATGCGATGGCTTCTTTCACGGCCTGAGGATGCTGATCCTTGACCATAAACAAAGCGGTGACACATTGACGGAACACCGATACGGTTCGAGATCGGGTTGGGGCTGAATGGGTCTTGCCAAAATATTCGTAAGTACGTCGTAAAGAAGAGGGCCGAGGGTCTAACCTCGGTCGAGCCTAGGATGTTGAGTAGAACAGGTAAAAGTTGACGAAGCACCGGTAGGATCTGATCCTCAGTGAGATCAGACTTGATGAATTCCGTGAGCACTTGCATCGCGCCATGGACCGAGTCAGGCGAGCCGGATGAGAGAAGGCCGATCAAAGAATCCAGAAGCTCTGGATATTCATCTGGCCAGTCACAGTTTGCTATTGAGGAGAGGGTATGCGCCTGAACCAGTCCGCAACGTAAGAGTCACGCGAAACGGATGTTAAAGGTCTTCAACTGACGCAGAGGGAACGAATTTTTCGATCTTTATCTGAAAGCCCTTTGAATACTGCGTTTCTGATTTGGGCTTTTATCTGAGCGGTAGTCATATGTAAGTACATATTTTTGCAGTAGGTGGAAGAAATTTACTTCAACTGGTGGAGCAGAGCCTTTGAAACTCGAAAAAAATGGAGACCATCTCTCTTTCACATATTTTCGCAGGGCAATGCTCGCTGAGTAATAATCCAAACATCATCAGATCAAGACGCGATTCTGCCAGAAAACACGAAAATCTTATCTGCCTTAGAGACATATCAGCACTTTGCGCAAGGATAAGCTGCGATATTGATAATCCTGCATCTAGGGGACGCGAAGGAGGCTTCTTAGCGCGTATTCGGTTTAGGGCATTGATGAGGCGAACCTGGGGAGGCAAAGTACTCTGCCAACTTGAGTTCTGCAGCTATTCTCGTGTTGGTATCTGGGTTCAACGTCAAGGTCAAGCATTCGGCAATCTGAGCAGTAAGAGCCATGTTGGACGAAAAGGAACGAACGTGAACATTCAATATTCAAATTTAGCGCGTTCACGTGTCGACGCGTAGCTTACGTAAAACCAATTTCACCAATATAAACCTTGGCATAAACAAAAACCTCGCTATCACCGTCTACAACTACCACCGTCTCCGCATAGAACCATCTCTGAAATTATGGAAGCAGAGTCTAGCAAGACGGCTTCGACACGGTCTCGAAAGAAACGCAAGTCAGAAGGGAACGATGATCCATCCGACCCTGTGCGTGAGGACACAAAGAAGCCAAAGCCGATGAAGAAGAGAGCCGCGAAACTGGCGGGTCTTCTAGATTTGCCCCTCGACATTCTTTTTGAGGTTTGCCTTTCCTATCTGTGAGGTCACTTTTTCTCTAAAAGTTCAATCTAGATATTTGGGCAACTGTCTCCATATGATCTTTTGAGACTTGCGCGGAGCTCAAAGGACTTCAGACGAGTCTTGATGCATCGATCCTCGCTAACAGTTTGGAAAATGGCTCGCGAAATATCGGGTACTCCAGAATGCCCGGAAGGCGTCTCAGAGCCCAGTTGGGCGAATCTTGCATACTACCCCCATTGTCATGTATGTGCGAATCACAGTTGTATTTGTACGCATGCTTACAGCATCTTTCGTAGTACTGCCAGACGTCGAGTGTTCGCAACGTTGAGTGGAGGTTCAGAGTCCGCATTTGTACCAAGTGTGCCAAGGAGCGGTAAGCGAATCAACTTGATGACATTTCACACAGTTCTAAGCCTTTCGCCCCAGTGTACGGGAAGCAGATATTTTTTCTTACGAATTTCGAGCAGAAGGTGGCGTAGCTTTCGACACATTGATCCCAACCCGTTCCGGCAGTGAGATATTCAGTCATCTCGATTTTGAATACCACTCCAGCATGACTTTTCCGAATGCCAGGGCGACATGAAATATATTACTTGTCGGAACAATATGATGCGGTGAAGGCGCAGTACTTCTTAATTGAAGACAAGGCTGCTCGACAGGAATTTGTCAAAGAGAGGAAGAAGATAGTTGCAGGCATCATCAAGGTAGTCAATTTACTTCGCCACCAACTTCACGTTTTGATGATCCCGCCCTCCTAAAGCACGCAAAAATTTGTGAGCAATGGTCAAAAGAGCAGTCATTGGATCGTTCCGAAGAACTGGCCCAAATCAGGGATGAGAGGAAAACAGCGTATGTTGTGCATTGTATCTATAGTCGATGTCACTGACCCCAATGAAGCATCATGAAAAAACTAAAGGAACTGGGTTGGGGGAAAGACATAGAGAGCATTCGATATCCAGATTCATTCGACGATCACAAACTCATTTCGCGGCCGCAACGCTTGACTGATAGAAGTACGCGCTCCGTCTTCCGTGACACTTCGAACTTGACATATCCCTAGTTTGGAAAAATATTGAGGGTCCTCTAGTCGAATTCATGATGGAGATGCGAGTTAAACGGCTCGAGCGGGAGCACGCAGCCCTCATTCTTGAGCGCAAGAAATACGCAATTGAAGTCCTTCGAATTTTCAAAAATCAGCATCTACCTTGCACCGAAATCATGCCTCAAGGACCCGATTTTTGCGATTTCAAGGCGGTGCGAGACATTCTTACGCAACCATCTAATGTCGAAGTCAACATATCAAGCTTTGACGACATCATTCCCAAGATACCCACCATGTTTAAAGCTTGGCAAGAAGGCGTGCACCTGTCCATGCTCGATGCAGTTCAGCGCAGTTTCAAACCCAAAATCTCTTCAGGGCTCGATTTTGGCTTCATGTTGGATTCAAGCGACTACGGCGATGATTCGGAGGATTCAGACGAAGAAGATAGGCAGGATATGTTCCGTTCACTGCCGGAAGATGAATGCCGCATCAAGATGAAACTCGCCGCCACAGTGTACAGTTGCAAAACCTGTACCCATCGTGCCGAATACGGATACGACTTCGAGTCGGATGATACTGATACCCCATTCTATTCCTTCTCCCGTTCACAATATGGCTTTGATAGGCCTCTATTCTATCCACAAGTTATGGGCCATGCCTGCCTCAGCAGAAGAATGTGTGCGTACGACTTTTGGGAAGGCAGAAAGAAGGCAGATCCGTCAACAGAGCTCGCTGATTCTGATTCTGCTCGAAAGAAGTGGGGATGTTCGAAGATTTTTGTTGACAAACGCGCCAGCGAGGTTGCTGCTCAGATCGTAGAGCTAGCCGGCTTGGACCCCACCACCGCGACATCGGATGATATGGATAAGCTTGGGCTCCGGTTTATCTGCCCCAAGTGTAGAACTACCAAACCCAAGAACCCACAGGCTGTTGGCATTGAAGATGACGAGGAAGGAATGCCGATATTTGACTGGAGAGGGGCGGTATGTGAACACGAAATATTTTTTACGCATAAGGTTAATTTTACCGAGTTTTTAGGTCCAACATGAGCTCACGGACCGGTATGTCGGGGTGTCGATTTTTTCGAAGAGAAAACCCATCGTGTTGAAAATCGAGCCGAGCCAATTACCCGAGGTAAACGTGAAATGTGAGCTCTTCAGCGAGGCGGCCCTCGACCGTTGGGTATGCGCTCACTGCCGGGATCTTCCTGACGAGGAAAACCCAACAAGTCTCCAAGATATCAAAAGTCACGTCACTAAAAGGTATGGAATTGCTCAAACCTCAAAAACCATCTGTAAATTTATCCCCTTTTTTTAGGCATGATCAGAAGTTGCCTTCCCTCAATGAAGACTACTTTCAGGATTTCGCTGCGCTCGACATACATCCAAAAAGGGGTGCGCTTCGCTTCCACGCACGCGTCAGTGATCTTGAAGACTTGGCAAAGTTACCAATGGTATTGAAGCCAAAGAGCTATAGTGCCCATCGTCACTGAGGGTACAGCGAAATACTTAAAATACACCGTAAATACAATAGCGACCAATAATAAATCAAGTCCTGCATCATCCAGCTACCTCATTGTGCCGACACCGTCAAATGACAGTGTAGCCTCGCAATGTCGAAGTATTCAATCCTCAAACTCAGCCGCCGACGCTGAGGCTGGTAGCTGGTTGGTCTTGGAACGGCTTGCAGTCTACATTTATCTATTTGAATTCCTGATATTTAGGCATCAATCAACATGGAATTCTCTCAACCCCGAGATTGATTATGATCTAGGTGGAATAGAGAATCGGCGACGAAGGGCCTAATCGCCTGGAAGTTGAATTTGGCTCTATGGATAGCGAGTTCAAACGTTGACATCTACGGAACCAGGCTTGGATATCATTTTCATCTGTGTAGATTTCCTGCAATTGCCTCTAAGTAAGTATTGTACTCGAAATAAATCATTAAAATGGTGTTCAAAGAACGCCCCTTGTAAATCAAGCCTGTACCAGCCATTGAATAATCAAAAACCTTCCTTCCCAAGATCCCACTCCCGAACAGACCCTCTCTTCTTGTACTCGATCTCCATAATACTAACAGAGTCACCACCCCAGCGACTAGCAACCTCTGCGCTCGAACTAGTAGTAGTCACTGATTTCTTCTTCACCTTGACCTTCTCTGTCGAAATGCCCAACCGTTCCAACCGTTTCTTCTCCATCTTGTCCTCTCGTCGCTGACGGATAAGCTCAAGCATCGCGTCCCAGCCTTCAAACTCCGCGTTGTCAATAAGACCAGTGGCAGGAACCTTGGGCGCAGCGAGAGGCGTGACGTCCATGCGGGGATCGTATGACTCTTCGAAATATTTATCCATTTTTGATGGAAGCTGGAGAGCAGGGTTTGGGCCTGCAGTGGGTGAGCGGGAACAGGATCGAGAATGGTTACGGGTTGGGAGAGTCTGGGAAGATGAATTAGTTTTGTATCGTCTGCGACGGGGTTTGGCATCTGAGGACACCGAGGAGTCATCGGGTGAGATGCTGCGACGACGCTTCGAAGGTCCTGCAATGGCTTGTTTACGAGAAGCTTCTAATTTCCGTCTCAGGGCTGCTTCTCGATCGAGAGCGGTATTTGGGTCTGAGCTGGGGAGTGGAGGTGGCGGAGAGCGCGGAGGAGGTGGAGGTGGAGGTGGCGGAGGAGCACGTGGAGGTGGAGGAGGAGCACGAGGAAGGGCACGCGGAGGGGAAGGGGAGTATCGTCGTTGAGACGTGGAGCGTCGAAGAGAAGGAGAGCGACGTGGAGAAGTAGAGCGTTGTGAAGAAGTAGAGCAACGTGGAGAAAGAGAACGCCGTGAAGAAGACCGTCGAAAAGAATGAGAACGGCCAAGAGAAGGTGAACGTCGAAGGAAGGGTGAACGTCGAGGGGAGAGTGAGCGTCGAGGAGATGGAGTTTCATTGTGCAAATCGTCCAAAGCATACTTTTGTGACCTTTTCTCCCGATTTTTCGGGGAGATAGACTCCTCCGTACGCGATGAAGAAAGTGGTCGCGAACGACGAGGCGAGGAGATACCTAGAGAGTGCCTTGACGAGCGGCCTCTCCGAGAACGCTTGTCTCTGCTTCTATGTCGTCTATGCCGTTTATGGTCCTCTTCGTCGCGCTCGAGGGAGTCACGATCGCGTTCGCCCGGCTGCTCTCTTCTTGACGTCCTGCTTCGCTCCTGATGAGACCGCCTAGACGTCAAATCGTCTCTATCAGCATGAGATCGCGAGGAATGGTGCTTCCCCTCCTTTGCCCGTTCCTTGCTTTTTGATCGCGAACGATACCTCCGCCTCGTTCTCCTCCCATATGCCTCTTCCTCATCAGAATCAACATCATCATCATCGTTCCCAGTCCAAGTCGCCCAATCCCGACTCTTCCTCGTGCGTTCAGCCGTCCTCCCATCCCATCTATCCCATCCCTCCTCCTCATTCGCCCGCTTCCGCTTCTTACCCTTCCCTGACCGCCGCCTCCGCTCAGCATCAGCGGCCTCCTCCGCGCGCGCTCGTTTCTCTCTTTTCTCCTGGGCTTCCCGTTCACGTTTGATCTCCTGCGCTGCAAGAGCCTGAGCTTTCAGAATCGTCTTGTTATGGTCATCTGTGCTCTTAATGATAGAAGTTAGGAAGCGTTTGTTTGTCCTGGGCGCATTGCTGTCTCCCCTTTATTCAACGAGTGATTAATGTCAATAACCTTCATTTTCATTCGGAAGGCAGACTTACAGGTTATTTGATATGTATGCTCGAATTCCTTGTTGTCCGTAACGCTCTGCTTTCTTTTTGGCCTCCCTGAGGATGAGCTCTGCTACATGTCGGTCGAGATCAGCATCTGTGACGGTGTTTGACACTGAAGCTCCCATGGAAGCCCGAACGAGGTTGGACACCACCGAAGACAAGGACGAAGACGAGGCCATTCAGTTGTTGCAGGTGAAGGGAGTCAACGTTGAACGTCTATTTGAATCTATTTGTTCTGTGCCAATGGTGAACGGATATAATTTCGTTGGTCAAGAAAATGCTGCAGTGTCCTGGTAGTGATACAAGAGTCCGTAAATGACAGTATGGTATGTTATAAATTATAAATGTAGTGGTCAGTGAACGAAATATGATGGGGGCACGTCGAGTGCCCAATGCAATGTCCTGATGAAATAGGTAATGCTGTAAGGTAGGTAGGGAGGGCATGATAGGTATGTTACGAAATTATGGAATCGAATTAGAACCAACTTGGCATGTTGAATGTACGTGAGGATGGTGTTGCGTTATGGAAATCTTATTTCCATAGCGAGTGGTCTCTGTGTGGCAAAAACTGAATGGCTGAAACCCGAAAAAAAAGCGGTTTGCTTACGGCAAGCGTACGGAATGTGTTGACATCATCCGACATCCTCAAATCAATGCCACGGTAAGCACAAGCGATCTTGAGGACATTCAATAACTTGTGTTTCTCCCCCCCTCTCCAGAGATGAACAGTGACCGCCTTCAGCGTGTCTCTGGTTTTCACAATATCGATGACCGGCTGGAGCGCCGTATCCCTATCCAGACCTATGGCAACGTGTTCCAAACTTTCTGGAAGTCTCTTGTAAAGGAGAGGTTGCGTAGAGGGGTGATCGGTTCGCAGTGTTCGAAGACGCGTGCACCTATTCACGCTGAGGGCGTGCTCGGTAGAGGAATAGACAGGAAGAGCCATGGATTGGAGAGTAAGTCCGTGTGCGCGTGTTAGGAAGTCCAGGAGATCTGTGGATGGATCTCGTTCAAAGTCCAACACGCGCAACGTTCCCGCGGACGAATGGAGGAGCCATTTCATAAAGTCGATCGATGGCGACGTCTGGAAATTTAACCGAAGTTCCTCAAGTGCACATGAGAAGGGTTCTGGTGAATTGGGGGGAATTTGTGGTAGCGTGCCACCAATTGACAGGGACTTGATAGAAGGCCAAACATCAAGCAGCTGGACAATAGACTGTTGATTCTCGGACCAATTGCTGAACTGAAGTGTGGTGATCTTTGGTCCTGATTTGAGAAGCGATAGAGTGTGTGCGTCAAAAGAAGGTGCTGGGCGACGCATACGTAAAATATCAGGAGCACCAACGATGTCCACACCAGGTGCAGCGCAACCATACAGCGCGAGGTTCAGTTCGCAAAGGTTGGGGCACATAGTAAAGGCGAGGGCGAAGGAATGCTGGTGTAGGGATGAGGGCTGATTATGATCTAAAACCACATGCAGTCGCCTAACTGCGTCTCCGAGCACACGTCCGTGCGCCGTTGAGCGGTCTACTGCCCTGCTGAAAGGCTCAAACGCGGACTGTGTTCGAAGCGTGACATATCTGAAGAGAAGTTTCTGAGCCGCTGAGGACCACGCTCGACAAACAAGAGCACAAGATGATAGGAAAGAATTATGTTCGTCATCGGAACATGCCGCTTCAATGATAGAGAGCACCAGCTCAAGAGGCATTGCCGACAAGGGTCGACCTGAAGGGCGGGGAGTATAGTATGGGGGCGCATTAGAAGAAGAATAGGAAATAGTGGTCGTGAGGTCGAATGATACATCGTGTTGAATAGCCTTTGGCGTCGTGAAGAGCTTCAGAAGCGCGTCTGGATTACGGTGAGGTTGAGGCCTGGTGGTCGTGAGTTCATGGAGGAAGTCGAAGAAACCCATTGCGGGGGAGCAATTGCTTGGATATCAGGGCGATATTATGGGAACTCGACCACCAGCACCTGGCTGGTGGGAGGTATTTATGCAAAAGCCTTTTTGTCGAGTCCAAATAGGTGCGTTCCGCGCAGATCTGAGATGGAAACAAAAAGTACAGACGCCGTGCTAGAAAATAGATGACCGTGTGACCCGACTTCGGGCCCCAGAGCATATCTCGGTCAAGGTGCGGCGGGGAATCGCCGAAAATACTCTCCACCATTCTTTGACCCGTGAAACACTCTTTCACCGTCCATTTCAGAAACATCGTCCATATGGCCATTATACCCAGCCCTGGAAAGGTTAAACAGGTGTGAGCCAACAGAGGCTCTTTTGCACAATGGCACTGGTCGTAAGGCCTTCTCAAGACTGCCCTAGATCGTAGCTTCGCCTCGCGGTCAGGAAGGGTGGTTGGTTGTCATTGTGAGTTTCAGTCTTCCACTCCAAACTACTTGTCCTTCCTCGGATTTTAGTCGGATTGTCTTTCGTAATTACCCTATGTGGTCTGTTAGGTGTTGCGTATCGACTCGATTTCTTACGAAACGGTGGCCGACCCCCGTCCAGGCTTGCCCGTGCCATTCCTTTCATGGCTAGTCTCCTACCTTCCACCGACTCCGATTTAAATGACCCAAGTTTGAATTCACACAAGTGTCTCACCCGCGATACTCCGCCGGATGGTCTAAACATGTCTTCTTCCCTTGCTTATTTTACGCTCAGGCATGATTGATCCTACTGGCCAACCCAATCTCTCCGACTCCGATGGCTTGATGATAATCGACTGGGCCGACGTAAGCCAACGTAACTTAGTCTGGTGGCCTGCTCCTCAAGAGGGCTGCAAGGTGCTCCTGCCGCGAATCTGCTCCTATCCTTTTCTTTGCCTTCATGCTCCACTTGGATTGATCATGTTCATTTCATGCAAATGGAACAAAGACGATCCGAATTTATCACGGCATCTCTCAATAATTACTCTTATGCGCCTTCTATCTGACTTGGGCCGACAGCTCACATCAGTTAAACTTCATTGGCCGTACAGTGACGTACCCCGCTCTACTCGCCTCGCCCGGTCGAAAGATACTGATCTACCATTCCACCCGGGTGCACGCTCAACACGGTTGTATTTTCAAAAGGACAGAGCGTCGAGCCGTGATCTCCCTGAGCCGCAAACCGCAGTTTTTCCAGGTTTTTCCTCGCTGAATCAAACCTACTTACTGCGGCTTTTACACCACTCCCATACACGCACCATCCACGCCTCGATTCAAGCCTGTTCATATTCCAGCAATATCGTACATTCCGCTTTGCTTACCCTGATTAGTAAAGTGAAGCATTTGGAAAGTTCAATCCTACAGGTAGGCTTTTCGTAATGCTTATGTGTTCAATATTAAACCTGTACGCACGGATAGGTACTAAACACCAATATTTTTGGGCGGCATTCGTTGGTTCTCTATTATACTGGAAACTAGACCTCCTCATTCTACTGAAGTCCTCGCAAATCACGTCCGACAGACCCTCTGATGCTGTCTTAGCTTTGCGCGCCGCACTTCTGAAATACGTAGTTGGGTGGCTTTCTTGAACGCTACCACATTCTGGCAACAATCCTTCCATTTGCTCTCGCATTAATCTACGACTCCACGAAAACCAAGGAGAACGAGGACAAAAATCGGACCGTATAGACGACTTTCTCAAGCTGCCCAGTCTCTTATTGTCGTCCATCCGACGGAAAGCGGTATCTCCTGGATCTTTGCGCGCTTCGCGCCAAAGATATAGGTCTATAGCCTCCATCGTGACGCTCAATGTGAGATATGATCACTAACTCCCACTCCTGTCCACTCTCATTTCCGCATCGTGGGATTAGGTCGCGTTTTCTCATATTGCCTCCATTCTCGGGGGTCGTGCGTGTAGTTCAAGACGTCGTTTTGGGGGGTGAACGTTTGAACGTTGAACAATATGTCCCGAGAAATCATCTAGAGGAGCGTGGGCGGGGACGAAGTCGCTTCTATCATGTCATGTCATACGAGATTAATACTGCGTGCGCCCTTCTTGACGCTTTAGTGGTCGCCCAGAAATGTCTCCGAGTCAACACGCAAATACATCCGACGTCGACCGGTCCGTTTTGGAACCTCGTTGAAATGTCTTATCGAGATCATAGTGATTGGGTTATCATTTTATTTCTGCTGGTTGTTGCGATCTGGGAGGGTGGACTTACGGCAGAGATCTAGAGACATGAGGATGACGTCACGCTGTTGCTACAAGTGAGCACGAGAGGCTGCCATGTTCATGGATCCAGAGAGAGCATTCATGGGTACGTCTTGCCAGCACGCATGCATAACTCTATTGAAAAATGAAAAATGATATGAAATCAGTGAATGATTGACAGCGGAAAAATTATGTACTTTCTGTTCATGTTCCTCCTGAACCCTCCCTCCATCATCTCACAACTCCTGCAACACACCTGAAAGTACATCTACCCAGCCGCCCTCACTGCTTTCTCTCCTCGTTTCCTGATTGGCATTGTCTTCAATGCTCAGGTATTTGATGCTACAAAAATGATTTATACTGTAATCCAACCTGTAGTAAGTATGTATATTATGAACCAATTGCACATATCACAATGATGGACTTGCTAGCTCAGATGGAATATCATACAATACACCCTGTGTATACCCGTGTGTGTCCCCATCTTTGGGGGGATACCAAAATATGTGATGCACATCAGGTCAATAAATGACAATTTTTTTTTTAGTCAAGCACTCACCATATGTTCTGCCACTCATTCATTCAAAAAACAATACATTGATAACATCCTACACCTCAAACACAGGACAATCGGGCAGTTGAGCAAAGCCTTTGAAAGATCCCTTGAGGATCATTTTTGCACCTTTTGTGTAATTGGGACAGATCTATTGGACAAGTTTAATTTTGACAGTGCATTTGCTTATTGTTCAAAGGGGCTGACAGAATAAAAACAATTGATGCACTTATTGTTTAAATTTGTCTGCAAGTGTGTTCCCAAGGTGAAGCATTGCTCAGAATAAAAGTTTTGCCAAATGCAGACAAGAACAATTGAATTGTTCTTGAAATCTGTCTACTGTGCAAATTTTAGTTCTTAACATCATTTTGTCCTTGTTAGAGTTCCTCAACTCGTGCGTTGGTGCATTCCTGTGAATACACGATAGTCACCTCGCTTTAGCTACAGGGTCTTGCATAAACAAGTTCAGGTGGAGATTTCACAAAATGTTGTTTGCGAGTAATTGGTTGTGGCTGAGCTGTGACTATTGTGATGATTATGCATGACATTCATCACAAAATTACACTCTTTGGGCACGTAAAAACATGGGCAAACAGCTTTTTAAAAACCATCACCTGAACTTATTTATGCAACACACTGCAAGTAGGTCTCCCAGCTTCATATTTCTAAGCAAACATTGAGACCAAACATGTCACTCTTCTGCAAACATGGTGCAAATAATACAACTTCCTGGATGTCATGAGGACATCTGAGATTTGGAAATTCCGGCAGTCCAGCGGATCGGCGGATCCGGCACACAAACAAATGAAGGCCATTGCCAAATAGTCGGCTACAGGTGGTCACTTATCAATCAGCGCTCCTTGAGCGCTCCAAGTCCTCCCTTCCAATCTTTGGCTGTTTTCAATGTAAGTATGTAGTCTGTAGTGAATGGCACAAAGAGCTCTGGTTGATAAGGAATCCGGACCTTCCAATCGAGCTGCAAGAATAGTATAAAACCTACTTGTTATCGTGTGCAAGGAGATTACTAGTGCACTTCCCCATGAGTGAAATACTCCCAATTGTACAGCTCCTACACCACTATGCAAACTTACAACCTCCAGTTACCATAACCTTTGAGCAGCTCATCAAATTCACTGCCTATGCCTCTCGTCTCAAGGATGATCTATTACTTGTCCAGCCATCCTCTTATTCTCTCTCACGGGGGCCACCAATCTTATCTCCTGCGATACAGTTATTCCTATCAGAAGCTTGCTTGATACCCCTTGATGCCGTCCCCCAAATCTGGGTAGCACTTGCCAATATTTCATGGACCACAAAGCTTGAGTTGGCGTCAACTGATGGAAATTTTGAGGCGGCGTATAGAACCTTTGGACATACCCAAGGAATTTGTATGTACAGTTGAGTGCAAAAAGAATGAAGGTTGGTTCATTTTTCTGGTTCTTTCTAAGAATCTATTGTACCTCAAATGTATTTGTGTATTCTTTTACATTATGCAGTTGTGTTACACTTCCCTTGGTATGGACTAATTTCAGAGAAAGCTGGAGCCTTGAGAAGGTTTTTATTCTGGAGGCCATTTTTGGCATCTGAAAAAAAAAATATGTGCTAACTGGAGAGGTAGCCAGAACATACCTCTGGTCAACCTGAATGAGCCTATCAAAGAATTAGTTAAAAATACTGAGCAGTTATGCTTGTAGAGCCTCCAGAAAATGGTCATTTTGTGCTATTTTGGTCATTTTTGGCCTGTTTTAGACAAAACAAGCCATTTTCCAAAGCCTCTACAGACCTAACCGCTCAGTATTTTTGACTGATTCTTTGATAGGCTCATTCAGGTTGACCAGAGGTATGTTCTGGCTACCTCTCCAGTTAGCGCATATTTATTTTTTCAGATGCCAAAAATGGCCTCCAGAATAAAAACCTTCTCAAGGCTCCAGCTTTCACTGAAATTAGTCCATACCAAGGGAAGTGTAACACAACTACATAATGTAAAAGAATACATAAATACATTTGAGGTACAATAGATTCTTAGAAAGAACCAGAAAAATGAACCAACCTTCATTCTTTTTGCACTCAACTGTATCTTAAATTAGCTCTAATGCGTGGTTCTCACCAAAGTCTAAATTATCTTGCCCTGCAGCTTTTCGGACAATAGCGCCACCCTCGCATTACTGCCTGAATAAGAGTTGTCGACGCAACCAACAAATGATGATGAAAAAATGTGAAGTCCGGAAAGCAGTCCTTTTCACAGCTGGGCATGGTGCGATACCTGTCCATTCACTTCATCTATATTGTGAATGTGAGTATGCATTTATCAAACATCATGAAATTTTCTCTCTAATTACTTTTTGCAGACTGCAAAGTCAACTACCACCATAACTTTCGTGTCGTTGAAGGACAGTGATTTTATTATGACACACTTCCTGATATCATTCAGGTCGGTGAACATCAATTTGCAGAAAGAAAACTGATCAATCTGTGGATATCAATGATGTTAATGGCCTGGACTTCAGCTACAAACTGTGCACGCATTTTTAATGCATCAATGACAGAAGATGTCTTCCCTGACTGGCAGTTCAGTCTCTCCGTGACCTCAGATCAAGTTTACGATGGCTTTACAATTCTATCCCTTCTTGAAGACTGTATCTCTCAGCAGAAAACTCTTGTCGTACCACATGGGGGTGCATCACGAGATCGTTTCACTGAAGCAATCTGCATTCGAAACAACCGACTCTGACTTTGCAGCCAACCAGAGTTATACCATTATTGTAAAAAGTGCACACATATATTTGAAAGTAAGTTGTGCAGTCCTTTATATAAACTTACTGCTCAGGTTTTTCAACAGATCCCCATCGAAAGACATCTGTTATTGTCATTGATGGTGTGACTGTCTCCCATCCGTGTTGCGGTGTTCCAAACTGCAAGACTCCTTTAGCTAATAACCATCACCGATTCTGTCCGGGGCACTCTCACATGAACAGTATCTGTTCAATTGTTGGTTGCTCAAACCCAGCTGTTCCAGGGAGAAAGTCTTGTGGTCATGTAGATCATCAACACATCGAGGATGTGCACAACGAGCGTGGCCAATCTTGATTTCAATTGAAGGAGCGATATGAACATTCACAGCTCGCACATCCAAATGATGCCGTTGGGGAACAGGTAACTAGTATATCCGAAATTATTGACGATGATGAAGAGGAAGAATTTGAGCCAGGAAGGGAAGGTCCTGTTCCTGTAACACCAAACTCGACCGCTTTGAAACCCCGCATTCACGCTCAGTTTGGTCGATGCCGAACGCATAATGAGCAACTATTTGTTGCGCCGTGTGGAATTATTGTTGCTCGAGAAACCTTTTATCACGCTGAAGCCCTCTATAGTGTTATCGTGCATATTTATCAGATTTTTTCATTCAAGTTTTTATTTGGTTCACGATACTCTCTAGGAAATGATAAAACGAACCTACCGGCTGCCGGGTACCATGCCAGAACACATATTCTTCGACAACAACTGTTCTATTAAAAAAATTGTCAAGAACGACCCCATTTTTCAGAAGGTTGGACTCACAGTGGATGTCTTCCACTTCAAGTGCAAGCATAGCATCGAGGATCTGTTCTGTCAAAGGAACTGCAATCCTTCCGCATATCCAGAGCTGCTCGGAGAGAATGGGAAAGCATGGTACTTTAATTCCTCCATTGCAGAACAGACGAATGCATGGTTGGGAGGATATCAGTCAATTTGTCGCGAGATGACAGCACATCATTTTAATTTTTTTTTGGATGAAATGATCCGTCACAGGAATATAGTCATGAAGAACAAGCTTGAGAGGGAGGGGAGCCAGCCCAAGACATGGATTATTCCGACCGTCTAGTCCTACATACATTTCTTATTGAGTGCTACATATTATTGGCTACATATTTGCTATCAATTGCTAAGCTCAACTACATCTAATGACGACGAGGCCTGTGCCCTCATATGTTCCTTAACCTCTGCAGCAAACTTGTACCAGTACCCTGCTTCCTTTCTGCTAGCACACAGGTAGTGGTGCTTAAGGTGTTGTGGTGCTTGTCTCCAGATGGCTTTATTGTCGGAGAAGGTAGATGAGTGGAAGGCAAGGCCGGAGAAATGTTCACAAAAGATAATGGCGGCAGTACGAGCGCGACACCCATGGACAGAAGTCTTGGCATCACGAAAGCAGGGCACAACGTCACAGACAAAATAGTCCCTCGGCCACTTCTTCTCTTCGCCGTCACTCAACTCAATGGGATCATCTACCAAGCCAGCAGCTGATGTCGGTGATGTTTGTGAGGGAAGGAATGACGTTCAGGCACTAGGCAGGGATGGTGACAGTGGAGAGATAGATTCAGGCAACGTTGAGCATGAACACTTACATTTGACAGCGTGTGGGAGAAGGTTGGGTGGGGATGCCGCCTTGCGCTTCTGAGGTGACAATGAGCCATCGGCAGGGATAAGAGACCTCCATGCATTACGGACATAAGCGCGTTCTTGAGGAAGGTTGTTGCGGAGGTGGGGGCGGGAGACTTGATTGAAGAGTTTGTCAAATCATTCACACTTGCGCACCGAACGGTCCCTGAGAAAGACGTGCTGACCCTCGTGAACCTCAATGATATGATCCACGCCGACTGTCAACCAATATCCCTCCGACTCATCATACATCTGCAAAGTCCTAGACTCCACTGATGCTTGAAGCCCGACAAGAGAGAGAGTGGCCGATGACAGCTTCAAGAAGGGCCATGTAAACCCTTTTTGTAATTGACAGCTTTCGGGTTCAGCATTATCAGGCCTCCAAGCATGTACAGTAACCTTTTGTACAGCTTGCTTGGCGCTAGTGATGCGTTCGGCATCAAGTTTGCTCTTGGAGAGCTCAAGCGCTTGCTCGCGTGCCAACGACTCGACGTAAATGGGAAGGAGGTGTGATGCGAAGCGTGCATCGCGTGCTCGAGGGGTTGAGAGGAGATGTCGTTGGCAACAATTGCCGTGGATGGTGGCTGAGTTTGTGAGCCATATCTCTCAGCAATGGGCAACGGGGTTGTAGTAGAAGGGTCGCAGGGAAGAGGGAGAGAAGCCTGTCCAACTTTCCTGTGCATCTTGGAGCTGCAACCACCTGCGTCGAGGCAGTGCTTGCTACAGAACCGGCACGTACAGTCATCCGCGAGGCGCGTCTGCCCACAACCTTGAATAGGGCACTTTGAGGGATTCAGACCACTGGAAGTGGTGGTAACGGGAGCAGGGGCAGAGGTGTAGGTGGCAGCAACAGGGATGGAAGGAAGAGTGGGGGTGGCGAGTGTAGGAGGCGATGCACTAGGTGATTTGCTTGAACCTGGGGCCCAGTGAAAGAACTGGCAGGGTTCGCCTTGTTCATTCGCAAGGTGGCACTTTGGAATGGTATCAGCCAACGAAAATCATCAAGAGAAGGGGATAAGCACGTACCGTTGCTATAAGGTGCCCCCTGTTCCCTTTCGCATTGCTCTGGCAGATCCTAAACTTGGCAAACTGACCACAGTTTGTGCAGGTATATCCAGTGAGCCCATTTGTGGCCTTGGGAGAACTCGCACGGAGATCGGATTCTGAGATTTGCGACATGAAAAAGACGTGAGGACACCTAGGGAAGACATTTCGAGGGGAAAGAAAGTGGCGGATACATTGTGTGCATGTTGAATGAGTAGTGACATTGATACTGTGGATGATAATCAGTTGAGAGGAAGGAACAGAGCAGGATAAGACTCACAACGAATGCAATATGGAAACTTACAGTAGAATGATGAGGAATTGGGAATAAGAGAGTGGGGGAGGAAAGAGGTGGTGCAATGAAGAAAGTGGCGTCGACTCCAATTTATGCTGTTGAAAGGCTGGGGATGCAGAATAGGATGGAGTTCTCGAAGCATGCCTCTGAGACATTGGGGAAACGCATCTGGAAAGAAGGCGCGCAGAGAACAGAGTGGTCAATGACATTGCTAACAGACAAATTGATGAAATTCAGCATGCTGACAAATCCGCCAGACGCCGGATGCGTGGAATTTCCAAATCCCAGATTTTGTGGATGTCATATTGTTCAAGATTGGACCAAACCTCTCACTCTTCCACAAACATGGTGCAAATAATAGGATGTTGTGGAGGTCATATTGTTCATATTGGACCAAACACACCACTCTTCTGCAAACATGGTCCAAACACCCTACCCCCCCTCCCCCCCGCCAGCTGCTGCGAGGAGTTGGCCAAAGGCCAGGTGATGAGCAGCAGCCTCTTGACAAGCTATAATGTATATTCAATCCCTGAAGGAACAAGAAAAGATTCTGCTAAGATAAACAGTGGGTGATGGGAACAGTTGAAATGTGTAGGACAATTTCAATTAGTGCATTTTGGAAGTTTTTTTGTTGGGTGAAGCCGAGGGTGTACTAAGAGCCCTTACTAACATATTTAAAATACAGAAGCAAGGTGTTTGTTGACAAAGTCAATTTCTAGTTAGTAATTTAGAAAATTGATAGTACTCACTAGAGATTTGGCTTAAGCTTTAGTCAAGTCTGTGATTGTGTATGTTAGAGTTTGCAACTCTGCATTGGTGTATTCCTGTGAATACAAAGTTAGTAGTTGATCCTAGTTAGACAATGTGACCTAAGATTGAATAGTGAAGTTCAGAGTCAGGTGTGTCGTATGAAGAATGTAATAGAGGGTGAATATTCCTAAAAGCATAGAGAGTCTTGATATCCGATGATGGCATCACTTAATGATTGGAGTTGTTAGTGCTTAGCCTTAATGGTGGATTGGAGTTAATTGATTAGTGTGGAGCTTTATCAGTTGACTCAAGGATGCCCCCTTAGTTCTTAGAACTGAAGTCAAGTCAATTTGGGATCAAGTAAGAATAAATCCTACTTCTTTGCATTTCACTTTCTATAAATACAAGTACAAATGTAATAGAAGTATCTCGACCTTTCACTTGAGACAGGGCCCAATAAATATTCAGGACAAATGTACCTCCTTATTTGTGGCCACTTTAAAAATAATGAAGTGAGTGTGCATGTGATACAGGATTGGAAGGGAATGCCCAGAGGCCATAGTCAAACAGTGGTATATAGCTAGATTTGGATATCTTACATAATTGCTTCACAGTGCATCCCAAACACATTGATTCTCAAAATTACAAAATAAAGAACAATAAGAACATCAACCACATTTAATTTGCATATTTAAAGAATTTCTTTGAGAAATAGTCTTGGTAGTCATGGCAACACCACCACTCAGCTGAAGAATATGTTAAAAAATAAAGTAACAGATTTGGCCAGTCAATATGGTTGACATTCTTATTGTTCATCAGTTTTAAAATTTGTTTTTGGGATGCACATAGAAATCTACCCTGAAGGGTAGATAACATTGTTTATAATAGGAACCAACAGAAATTGACCGAGTATGGGTTGAGGAGGAAGTATGGGTACAGGAGATGAAGATGCGTATGAGAAGGGGACTTGGAACCCACACACCTAAAGTCAGAGTTTGAAAATTTCCCATGCCACTATGTTCATGTTCATGTCAAGTAAATACTTACTTACCGTCTATGTAGTATCAAATAAAAAGGTTTTTCATTGCAGTGCCAGCTGTGCAGACCCCTCGCCTTAGCCTGCAGCACTTTTCTGCTGCACTGGCCGTTACACTGTGCTAGCCTTTCTGCTGTGAAAACCCCCTTCTTGCCTTTGGCAGGCCCATTTTGTAGACTTTATGTTAGTATGTTACATTTTGAGCAAGCACAGCCAAACAATTGCACTCAGATTGTTTCTTGACGATCTTGTGTTGTCTTCAACACATCGAAAATTGAACATCTGTTTTGACCTAGTAAAACATGCCTTTTGCCCTTTGAAGATTTTGTATTTCATTCATCCATCAGTTGTCAGTACAAAAGGTAAGCTCTGAAAATTTGTATCAACACAATGCAACTGTTGCATATGTTTAATCGGGACAGCCTGTGGTGGTGTTGTTTATTTGGCCCTTAGGTGCACAAGTCCTAATTCCATGAGAAGGTGGTGGTAAGAGTCCAAGCATATGTGTGCATATGAAAGAGATAGAAATATGAGAGAGAAACAATAAGTCCAAACAAGAGAGTAATCTGGGACCAGGATTACACCCTCCCCCACTTTAAAAAAAGGAAAAGGAAAGGAGAAAAAAAGGTTAGTAATATAGTAAGTAAAATCTGAATGCCAGGTGCATCAAAACCCAATGGGAAAAAGCTACTGGCTGGCAAGAAGGAAAAGAAATCTACCTAAAAAAATCAAGGAGATCCATTCTGCGAGGCCAGCCAGACATCAAGCACTTCGCAATCCTCTAATTCAGATCCAGGTAATCACTCGTCATGTTCTTGGCCAAATCTGTGCCAATGAACCAGATATTGGTACACACAGCCATGGTGACGCACATCTAATATTTTGTCAATATATTGTTCTTCATGACCGTCCTCCATGATAATTGGATCCAGTTCTTCAAAATGGCAGGAAGGAAATTTTTCTGTGTCAGATTCGATGTAGGGAATAACTTGTGAAGTATGGAAGGTGGGGAATATGTTCGGGAAATTAGGGAGGTCAAGTGTTACTGTAGATTGTGCTGCTCGTGTTGTTGTTGTTGTCACAGAAGTCATACGGATGTTGAGTGGATGTCTGGGCCTGTGAGAGGACATCAGGGGATGGAAGGCATGAGAGTGTGTCCACAACAGTGTTTCCTTCGCCTTTAATATATATGACCTTGGCATCAAATTGAGACATGAATTCCATCCACTGCACCTGACGGCACGACAGATCTTTTTGAATATTAAAGTTCTCCAGTATTTTACGGTCGGTGTAGATGAAGAAGAGGGATCCCAACAAGTCTACTTGCCATTTTTTCAGTGCATGGGTTATAGCCAGCAGTCCTTTTTCATGTACAGGGTAATTTAGTTCAGCATTCTTGAACATCATTGAGTCAAATGCGACTGGACGTGCTGTTTCCCAAGAGGGGCCAAAAGATAACACTGTGCCCGAACATTTATCACTTGCATCTGTTATGAATATTTTGTAATCTGGCATCTTGGAGAAATCTATTGTTGTTAAGCAGTTGCAGCCTGTTACAATTTGCTCAATTGCATCAAATGCTATTTGATCCTTAGGTGGCCACGATGGAAAATTCTTTTCGGATTCTTTTGTTATAAGTTCGGTGAGTACGCCCATGTGATCAGCAATCACTGGTAAATATGTGGCAATGTAACAAACTAAGCTGAGAAAACCTCTTACTTCAGTAGCAGATTTTGGTATTGGCCAGTTAAGAATTTTGTCCACTTTCTTGTTGTCAGCTTTGATTCTAATATGATGTCCTAAGAAATCAATCAATTTCCATACAGAACAGGTGTGTTTTGTCAGGGTTTACATACAACCAAGCTGCACACAATGCCTCCAGCACTGTGCACACATTTCGCTTGTGTTCCTCAAGTGAGTTTGACCAGATCACAATATTGTTGAGGTAAATATGACAAAATTTTCCAATCAGATTTCTCAAAGCAGCAGTTACACACTGCTGATGGATTGCGGGTGTGTTCTTCAAACCCATTGGCATTACCAACCATTCATAGAGACCTAGGGGTGTGTTGACTGCCATGAGATAGACATGATCCGGGTGCATACACATTTGAAAAAAACTATTGGTCATATCAATAGTACCCCAATTCTGCCTTTGGCGCAGTTGTTCAAGATATTGTTGATGCGGGGTAACAGATGACTATCCGTAATTGTGTTCTCATTAAGTTGTCGGTAATCATTCACCCAACATGGTAAGACATTAGGGTTCACCTTGGGAACAATGAATGCAGGTGAGGCACACAGTGACAAGGAGGCTCAAATATGTCCAGCATCGAGATGCTGTTGAATTAAAATTTGCCATGCTTCTTTGTATTTCTGTGGCAATGGATAAGAACATGATTTAATAGTCTTTTCTGCATTCTTAATATGAATTTCTGCAATGACATTTGTAGGCAGTTCATCAGCATTAGTGTTTGGAAGTCCGGTCACAAGACTGGAAAAATACCGTGACCAGACTGGACCATGACTGATCAAGACCGGAAATTATCAGGACCGATCAAGACCGTAACCGCGGTCTGGTCTTCGGTCTTCCAGCTTTGGGAAATTATGAAGACCAACAAAAACCGGTTTAGACCGGTTTAAACTGGTCTTTGGGGCCCTAAAAATACAAGCAGGTAGCTTCGCATAAGAGCTTTCGAACAAATGTAAAATCATAATTTTTGCTTGAGAATGAACAAAGTTATATCTAAATTCGTGTACAACTTATTTATGTTCAAGCCCCTACCATCAGAATTTTCCAGATATGCGATCAACTACCATGTACATGCATTGTTGATCACCACCATCATTAACCACCATCCCTTCCCTCCCTCGCATCTTCCACCTGTCTCTCAACCCCGGGAGCCTGTCCAGGTCATCGGTAAGTACTAAGTTCTCTCTCTACTGATATTCCAATGTTAATTAGTTTCCTTTTAGCTCGTCTAAACTTCGCCATGTCACGCGGACTCCACGCATCTTCCAACAATGTGGGCTTACCTTAGGAGGTCATAGGTGGCAACAGAGGGGTCAGAGATAATGAGGGGAGACCCGAGCAGAGGGAGACCCACAAGGTATGTGGCAGAACGAGTCTGCATTTCAATCCCCCCTGGCTCACCCTTCCACCCATGCCCAGATCAATGGCCACGTGAGATGAACAACGATGACTACACACACATGAACAACGACAACGACGATACACAGATGAACAACAACGGATGGCGTATGTTGACGACGACCTGGTGTGTCACCAGATGGTAAAGGCACAAAACAACCACCATAACCCTCGAAAGCCCACCAGCAACGAGGATCACCCACTCCAACCACCCACAAACAACGACTGCCCACCACAAGAAACGGGCACAACCACACACGAAAAATGAGGAGTGCCCATCCCCCGCACCCATGAACAAAGGCACAAAACAGACATGAACAACGACAACTGCCCACTTACTCCAACCACCCACAAACAATGACCACCCTCCACAACACGAAACGGGGACGACCACCTATGAACAACGACAACTGCACACCCTCAAAATCCCTGAAGGATGAGGAGAGCCCACCTCAATCACTCACGAACAACGATCGCCCATCACACAAAATGTGCAGGACTGCCCACAAACAACCTGCCAACAACATGGAACATCCACCCCAATCACCCAGTCTGACTTTCCGATCCTCGCAAGGCTGCACGGCAGTGTCAATTGACACTTGCACTGCTCTTGTGAGGTTCATTTGTCTTTTCTGGAGCCATAACCCCGGCGAGTTGGGGTACCTGTGGGTTTTTGTAAACCCTCTACCTGTACCTGTGAAAACGCGCGCGGATGCAGGTAGGGGTTATGACGGTTACAGGCACAGGTTACTTTGGAAAACCCCAGGGTAGTCCGTGACATTCCCTATGTATACATCACTACCAAGTCGCGTACACTGACCCCTCATACATTACATGTAAAATACATAGGATATTGTTCTTTCATGGCCCCCTGACCCCTACAAAGACTGGTCTAGACCAGTTACAAACCGGTTAAGACCAGAACTGGTTAAAACCGGTCTTGTAACCGCAAAAGACCACAAAAGACTGGTCTGTTGCAGTTCGGTCCAGTTTTTTGAAGTTTCTCGAATTGGGAGGACCGGTTACGGTTACGGTCTAAGGCACTGGGCACCAAAAGACCGGACCGGACCAGACTTTCAAACACTAATCAGCATGTGGTATTGGTTCAAAGATATCCTTGTATTCAGTTTTTAAAGTTGCTTCCCTTGACACTAGTTGTTCTTGTGCTACAAGCATGTCAATGTGGTTGTGTATTGCACCAGCTACAGTCATTCACCAGCTAATGAGACACTGAAAATAAAAATTGATAGGTGTGTCTAGGTACATATCCTCTGCAAAATATACGTGTACAAGATGGTGGACAAGGTTAATGTGAGTGTTGAGAGAAAAATTCAGCCGAAACGAACGAGACTGGGGCCAACTCCACCGAAATCACTGTCAGGAACGGAAAGTGGACATATATGGGTGAATGAGACACCCACATTAGATCTGAGATCACCCTGATCTGATAATCAGAGATAAGCCTTATCTGTTGCTGTTGTTGCTTTCGTCGTCGCCATTGCTTTCGTCATCGTTGTCGCTTGTGAAATGTTCCCCTTCCTCCTCCTCTGCAAGCCCTGTTCCAGTCCGGCCTGCTAGAAAGTCCTTCAACAATGGTGGAGGCACCCGTTTCGGAATTGTGGCCATAACTGGCTTTTGTCCAGCATTACCTCCACCACGCCCACGCCCGCGCCTGCGCCCACACCCACGCCCTTGCCCCTCATTCGCCGCTTTCCATACTGCCAATGCTTCCTTGTACTTGGCAGTCTCACGTTCTTTCAGCTCCTTTTGTGGATCCTCAGCCTGCTGCCACTTCTCCTTCGCTGCTTTCCACTCTGCTCATAAGTCCTTTCTATTCTCCTTTTCCCTTTCCTCTGCCTGATGCTCCTTCTCAAAATTCACTCGTTCCTCATAGAACCTATCCCCTGTCAAGACACGTGGTAAACCATCTGGAAGAGTCCCTTGCCGCTTCTTTTTCTTTTTCTTCTCCTCCTGGAACTGAAGTGCACCCTTTGCTTTTGCACAATACGCCTCGTTCAGCAAATTCCCTGCCTGCAGGGCGATGTTTCAGTTTGTGAGGTATTCGTTACTTTTGTGGGACTCTTGAAGTGCGGCAAGCAGCAAGACCTCGGTCTCAGTCGTCGGCTCAATGGAGAGAAGAGGAGATGGTTGGGGGTGGGAGATAGTATGGGTGATGGTGGTAGGCATCGTATCATGGGATGTCGTCAATGTGGTTGAGATGAGGTGAGTTTGTGACAGCCCTTCAATCGCTTCATTGATCACATCGTGTTTAGTGTTTGATGGACCGGCAATCGGGGCCTCGGAGATGGGTTCATCTTCTGCTTCATCGATCTTGGCAAGCTTTCGTAACATTGTCACAAGGACATTGATTGCGGGGTCGTCAGGGGGAAGAGGAACATGTGCCTCACATGAGGTATCCTTGCTTGGTGCAAGCATTTCTGCTGTTACGATGTTTGGGTTGAATGGCCACACCCCAGTCTTCTTGAAGGCGGCCTTGATATTTTCGGGGGTGAGTGCACGAACATGGGCTTTTCCATACATGGTGAGGAAGCTATTCTTATCCATGGCTGCCCCATTTTCTCGAAGCCACTTGTCGCGCTCCTCGCCAATCAATTTCTTGAGTGGAGAGAAAATAACCACATCAAGGCCTTGATAGATATGGGTGCCATGTGGGATGTAGCATAGAACAATAATGTAGTTCTCGCATGCGTAAATGAGAAAAGCAACGGTGTAGTGAGAATTGTGTCTGTCAACCAGAAGTAGGCGATATTCTCCTGGCTTGACCTTGTGCTTTGTTTGTTGATCAAAGATTTTGATCCATTCAACGCCAATCTCGCCGCACGTCCAACCTTTCTTTTGATATCCAATGCTATGAAAATGTCAGGTCAGAAAGAAAGAAAAAAAAAAAGAGGAAAACTCACGAAGCATTGAGAGGATTATTCTCTCCCCAACTCACTTGGTATGCAGAACCCTTGAAAATAATGGTAGGCAGTGTCGATGTTCCATCTGCGCAGATGGTAACAATAACCGTGGTATTTTCTTGGGTACCAGCCTTTTGCTGATACTGTGGTCCTTTCTGTGTGCGTGAAGCAGCGACACACTCGCGCTCTTGACCATGTGATTGGAATCCAGCTTCATCAGCCCCGAAAGTTGTCTCAGGTCTAATTTTATACGTGGTAATTGTGTCATGAAGGAGATCCCAATAGCAGCCATTTGTGTTGGGGTTAGTGGCCTGTGCACGCAGCCTTTCAAGAGGGCGAGAATCCACCATTTTGATGCGATCGGAATGCCTCTGCATAAAACGGGCAGTCCAATTCTTGCCAACACCCTCATTTGGAAATTTCGGTCCAAGGCAAGCATTAGCAATGAGATTGACATGCTCTCTAATGCGGCGATGGTTCTCAGGCCAACCGAGCTGACCCATCTCCAGAAGAAAATTAACAACAACATCTTCCTCGATGTTTGTGAGCCACCGGCGATGCTCCTGAGCCTCCAGATGAGTGTGGCCACCGTCAGATAAACGTGCCAAGGTAGCATGACTAAGGGAGATCTTGACACCTGTCTCATTGAAATATAGGTTCTCAAAATCTCTACAGATTTTGCGAAGCCCACGACAAGCACGATGGTTTGGATTTTTCAATTCAGTGAGATAAGCCTGGAGAGCACGTGACATGAGATCATCATGCTGCCGACGCATGACTGCAGCCTTTTCAGCTAGAGATTTGGGTCGTCCAGGCATGGGTAAGGTGAAGAGCACTATGTGATTTGGATGCTGAAGTAGAAAAATGACACTGAATATAAAAACCATTGAGAGATGTGCATGCATCCAACACATGTTTTAATCTACAACCCCTTGCACAGTCTCTGTGCTTTACATAGCCTATTTGAATGAAAAATGGATAGTTTCGAGGCTGACAGAATCTTTTAATACTAAGGCAATATGTGGATGTGAATTGCCCCCTTAATAGCTCCTCAAAACCATTGGTAGTCCATCAATGAAATTTATGTCACTACAAATCAGCAATTTCTTTCGCAAAAAATTGCACATTTCACAGTTATTAGCCATTCATTTCATGTATTTCTTACATGAATTTATTTATACTACTCCTGTACTTCCAATGCAACTTAGTTCAAGGAAAAAATGTATCCTTGTCATCTTAGGAGGACCCAAACAAGTTTCACTGTCTCATGGTCACGTGGTGTCTCATTGGCCAGTGAATGACTGTACATCAAAGTCTTTTATTTTTTCCAGTTGCAACTTTTTATCTTTCAGACAATCATGACAGACCATCATCAATTCTGCAAGGACTAACTTCTTATCAAATTTAGTTGCTTTTAATTGTTCTTTCAGGCAAGGCTTTGGAGGCGGTGGAGGTGAAATTTGCGAAGAGTTCAACAGGTCATAACAATTAATTTTATCTATACAAGTCCTTGCAGCATGGTCTGAAACAATGTGATTATGCTCTTACCAGGGCAAATGGAGAATGACAGGTAAACAGAGACTGGGGGTAACAACAGCTTTGACGACATGAGAAGTCCATGCAGAATCTAAAGAGGACAGCGAGAGTTTGACATAATAGTACAGTTGGGTTTTCTTCTTTTCATTACTGAAGGCAACATCAAACAGTTTGGGTTCTTTCAAGCAATACTTCTTCAAGCCAAGGTGATCTATGGGTTCAGGGCAGATAAGAGCAAGATGGGTGCCATTGTCAATCAAGGCATGTGTTTTGACAGGGAAATCATCCATCAGACTGTTAATTTGACAATTCTATATCAGATGTTTACTTTTCAGTGGTATTGGACTCATCTCACAGCACGAGACATCCCAGTCCTCATCAGAGTCCAACCCATTTCTGCTGGGAGGGTTGGGAGGGATTGCAGCCATGGCAGCAAGTTCGTCTTCAGAGTTGACAGCCTCAATGGAAGCACTGGTGGCGGCGACAGGTTTGGTGTCTGACTTAGCAACAGCTTTGGATTTCTTTGCAGTCAGCATGTTTGTCACAGTCAAGGTCTTGTAGCCATTGCCAGAGGGGAATCCATCAGGGCATGAGTGAGAATGGTGGTCTCTATAAAAATGATGACACTTGGTACAGCCATCATGTTCGTTCAAGAGGGTACATTCATTATCAGTGAGGGGGGGGAGCTTAGCAAAAGACAAGGTGGAGGATGCAGGGTTCAATTGAGAAGTGTTTGCACAGCGAGACAGGCCATGCAATGTGTCTGTCTTCGTGTTCTGGCATTTAGCTTGATGGTCTATAGTTTCCTCAATGAGTTTGCAGTGTCTCTTGTTCTCCACCATGTGGGCTTTGTCAAGCAAACAAACAGATGCAATCCAACTTTTCAGGCATTTGTCCTTACATGCTTTGCTGTTCTTGAGATGCATGCAGAGCTCTTCATCGAGGTGTGCCTCAAGATGGTTATGGAGGGCCGCATCGTCAAAAACTGAAGCAGTGCCACACAAGAGACAGTTCAATTTGATGAGTTGCTGGGACCAATTCCAGAGGAGAGCTTAGATGATGCCAAGGTTGATGTGAGGATTTGATGCCAGATCTGTTCTCAAGGCATCCAGCTATGAGACTAAGGAGAACTTGAGGATGTAGCAAATACATCAACAGAAAAAACATAGTTATTGTGTGTTTGTTTTTTTGTAAAAATACATTCTCCTGATGAGGAGCAGGTCAACCTTCAGAATAAATGAGTAGGCCAACTTTCAGAGGCAAATATAGAAGGCTCAAAGGCAATTCAAAGTAAACATCCTTCTAATCATTTTGAATCATAATTTGCTGATGAAAAGCTTCACAGGATGCAGAAAAGCAAGTTGATAAACTATGAAACTAAGCTAACACTGCTTAAGCCATCCAGTCCAAAAAGATTATAGGGAGGATGTAACAACTTTTGACTGATTTTGCAGATACCCACGATAATATGAACAACACATCTTCTCAGGCTCCAGAAGCCAAATAGACACCCTTCCATAACTATGGTCTTAACAGAGGCACCCAGGAAAGAGGCAAGTACCATCATGATTTTCTCAATTGCAAATTGCAAGCTCTTCAGTCCAGGAAGTGGTCTACAAAAAGCATGGATTAACAATAACAAAACAAGACTTTGATTGAATCTGGAATCCCAGAAGCTGACCTTGAAATTTTCTTCAATTTTGATTGATTACTTCTTCATATTTCTTACCTTTGACTTCAAAATATACCAGAAACTGGAAGACCAAGATGAGTGCTAACATTATAGATGCCTTCAAAAATGATTTACCACCATCCTAGTGACCCAACGCCTTGTTAATTGAGTCCCTCTTTGCTTTCAAACTTTCATCATCACCCTGGTTTGTTTCATCTAGTTTTTGGGTTCTGTGGCAGAGTTTAGCATCTTTTAAGTAACACAAATGTCTACATTGTCAAATCAGAAGTGTGGCCCATTGCATCACATATCACAGGAACTTAAAACAACAATGACTAGCTAAAATTTTACTTACTTTTCAAGTCACTCCTCATGCACTCTGTTGATGAAGACTTTGATGAGGCTCAATTTTTTGTAACAACCATCAATTCTGCCAGGGATCTCAATTCTGAAAATCAAAAAATGACCACTTTGTGAGTAATTTTTATCTCAATTTCAAATTATTCTGTTGATCTACTTTTATAAGATAATGTATTTTAAATTGAACTGGTGCATGAAGCTAATCAGACAGATATATATGTAATCTCAGAACATCTTGGTATGTTTCTGGCTATTTGAATCCCTTTACAGTTTCTCATTCCAGGCCTCATTGCATCAATGGTGTTGCCAACCACAAGAAAAATGTTTTGTATTTACCCTTGAATGTCATGGGAGCTGAGTTTTTGGTCAGAGACATAGTTTTGAAATTGTATCTATCTTATGCTTTGCATGTAACACTTTCAATATTTATAATGGCATGGCATCTGCTGAATCTGAAAGCCTGAAAGCAAGTGCCTCTCAAGCCGATTGAATGCCAGAATAAGAAATTATTCAAGCTATGTCATAAAGTCACAGACATGTACAGCCCTAGATTTCATTATGTGTTGTGCACTCAGTACTTATCTTGTTTGAGGCAGGGCCTCATTTTTAGAGACCTTAGTGATGTAAAAGAGAAGTCAGGGTTTGGAACAAAAATTCTTTTATCCTGATGAAATTAATTTGTTCTCATTTGAGGACAACTCAAGCCAATGAGCAGTAGTACATAGTTCAATGAAGAATGAAGTAAATATGTTACACTAAGAGTATGATATACAGCCAAGAACATCTGTAATGATATAATGAAATTCTGCTTCTTGTAGAGCTACACAGGCCATTTGGAGAATCTCTGATCACTTTTAAAAAGTTTATTATGTTAACCCAATTGTTCTTTCATGAAACTAATTCATAGACCCCCAATTTTGCAATATTTGTCAACAATATGGCTGTCATCATGCAACTCAATGTCCAACAACTGGGCTTCAATCCATTATTTGCCACCAGTCACCTCACCAAGGTCCTTAATGCTGTTATTGTGCTGGTGGCACCTCATAACTCAGATGTAAGGCAACAGAGGCTATGATGACTGGTCTCACCACCTTGCCTCTTTGACATCTCCTATGGCTGTGTGGCCCTTCACACTTTGAGATGGCAGGAAATGCAAGATGTAGACTTGGCCCTCCACACCTGGGGATGCCTCACTTTGTGGACTTGGCTTGACAATGTATGAGGCATGTTTGTGGACTCCTCTTAGATCCTTGACTTTGCTGACATGAGCTTAGCATTATAGATGCACAATGTGAGGAAGGGTCAGCATCTAGCAAGCAAAGGCAGAACAGACCCAGGAGAAAGTCCAAACATGGCTGAGTCAAAAAATGCTGTAATTTAAATTTTCTTCAATCAACTGTTATAAATTTTGCAAAACATTGTAGGACAGGGAGAAATGTTCTACATGATTGACTTTAGTCATAAAATATATGATGTATTTCAAATAGATCATTATATTTTTTAGCATGCAATCTAACATCATGATGTTATCTAGATTGCTAGTGAGATTTGTTCAACATGAGGTCAGACAAATAATGTAAATATTTTGTTGCCACTGTCGACACAAATTTAAGGTGTTTGAAGTATCAAGCTGCTCATTCACTACCTCTATTAATATTTTAAATATATAATTTGATAACTCATGAGCTTGACTATTGTCTATCTTTGTGCCAGAGAACCTGTTGAGTTTGAATCCCTGAAATCACCAATTGGAGATGGCAGACACAACACCACCTGTGATAATTCATCAACAACCTTTTCTTGCCTTTCTCCAATATTCAGCTATAGTCCTCATTACAAGTGATGCTAAGTGCTACCTTCAATTAAATATGCATGCTCTGGAGAGGATTCTTACAGACTTAGACCTGCTCTGTTGTGGTGGTGGCTATGTTCAAGAAGTATTTATTACTATTATGGAAGACCTCAAGACTGAGGGTGACTGCTTGATGATGCAAAAAATCAGCAAGATCATGTCACCTTTCTCTGGGGTCATCCAAATGCCATGGTGTTTCTTTCAAACACTAATCTTTAAATGTGATGGCACAGTCTGGAAAGATTACAATAATTTCATTTGAGATCAAGTTGACACCTTTGATTCATTCAAGTATGACAGTACAAAATGTCTTCATATTGCAAGCTCCCATGAGGTTGAAGAGCTATTGGTCGATCAGGAGAAAGAGTTGTCAAAATCTGAGACTAATATGGCGACTACTTCAATATTGGTTCTGCTCATACAACTGGTGATGGAAATTGTAACAAACAGGCAAAGAGTAAAACATCAAAACCCAATAGTTGAAGAGTAACCCCCTTCTGATGTCATACAGTAAGACCAGTGGCTACACATTTTGATAATTTAGTTGGTGTGCTTTTTAATGCTTTCATCTCGCTTTGGCAGGGATCAAACACTAGACTTTAGAGGTTATTTATGACTGGATCACTGGGCTTACATCCAGGTGTTACCTCCATCACAGCTCTGGTAACTTCGCTCTGGAGGTCTGCAATCATGCTCTCCTTGATAGTGTACTTAGTGTAATACCAATAAATCCATTTTCCCCCCTTCTGTGCCTGCCCTCCTTTTCCTGAGGTTTTCCTGCTCCATGCACACCAGGTTTGCTTTCCCTCCCCCATCACTTGCTGACTGCATCTTTTTGCAGGCTTCACATTCATGCTCTGTGCAGGGTGGTGGCAATTTTGCACCTGGGAGTGAGGAGATCTCACTCAAGGATTCCTTGCTCCTTGAAGATAGAAACTGTGAATGCTTCCCTGATCAAGGACACACTGAAATACCAAGCACAGAAAGCACAAACACGTCCCTGATTGAGGACTGCACAGGGATGTTGTATGTGATGATGAATTTGAGGAGGATCATAAGGAGGAACATGATGACACAAACCTTTTCAACGGTGATGGATATCAAGATATCAAGGCTCTCCTATCAAATTTCTATTATGTCTGGTTTTGGTTAGTTAGTCACAGTAGCTATAATAGTTATGGCCCCAATTTCAATCTTATAGTGAATGGTGTGGTACTCATCTAAGTGATTGCTTTCCATGGCTTAAGACCTGTTTTTAAGAAAGACAGTTTCCATGCATCACCATGGACCTCCTGAAACAAGACCTGGGAAGTATAAAAATGAGACAATAACTGTGATGTCTATATTGCTGGTCATACCTGCTGCAACTCATTGTGTCACCTTAAGGTAGCATGTTGAAGATATGTGAAACGAGTAACTTCCTCCTGTTCATTAATGTAGTCATTGAGTGCATCACAAAGGGCTTGACCACCAGGCAGCATGATGTAGAAATGATGATGAGAAAGACATTAAATTAATGACAAGGGTAAAGATCTCCAGGACCTGTAGTGGATGGAAGCAAACAGCAAGAGAGTGTTTGGCATTCTCTGATGCTGTCAGAACGACTCTTGCAAATTTGTTATGGAGGGGGAGGTCTGTTACTTTGTAGCCCAAGAAGCTGACAGATGTTGTGCTTCTTGAGAACAAGCATTAAAAGCCCATGCTTCCCACAGAGTCAAGAGCATATAATCAGTCACTGATCTCAAACTGTTTTAGTTATGAAGAAAAATCTATAAGGAACAAATTCTGCATGTTCATTTGGCGTATGGAAGTCTCTCCTGGTGAGTGCTTGCCAGTCTTTATCATTGTTTTTGCTTTGGGTGTTTTAAGTGGGTAGTTGTGTGCAAAACCCCAGTCATTCGCTATCTGGGCAAACTAGAAGAAACCAGAAAAATCAATGTAAAACACGATAGTAATATTCCCAACCAACTGACCAGCTCCCCCTCCCTATGAGCTACCTGACACAATCTTCATCTTCACAAACAAGATAAATAACTGATTATATGTCCCAACCAAGTAACCTTACCTCCATCTTGATGAGCGAAGTTCGTGACCATGCCAATGCAATCCATTCTGCTGGTGTGCCAATACACTTGGTGAGTCTTAAATAGAAAGTTGATTATATCAGAACTCATCAACAGATGTTCCAACAACAGAATCATAAAAGTTCACAGATCGATGAAAGGGAGGAAAGAAAAAATGGATGGAAGATAACAATATCTTGGTCTTCTCTGTCAATGATTAGATAATGAACATGTTTTGTGCACCTGTCATCCTCAACTAGTGGAACAGTAACTTCCTTAATCTGGATAATGATACAACTTGAACCAAGTTTTAGGAGAAAAACAGCAGTCGCAACTGAAGCTGTGATAATGGCTAAAGATCAACATGGTTGAGTGTCAGTTAAAGCTGCTGGTTAGAGCGCAGGTGGGTGAGAAACTGAAGTCAAAACTGAAGCTATGATTGAAGGTAGGGATCTGGGACAGTTGACTCATATTTTGGCACTTTATGGGCTTCCACCTATTGACCAGAACAAGCCAAGGAGATCACAAAGAATATTTGAAATGGCATAAGAACATCAACCAACAGCCAACTAACTTCAGCATCAGAATTGTACTTTCACCAGTGACCACAGCTTCATACCTTTTACTAAGTCATGGCAATCATCAGTTTATGTCTTTTATCCTGTTGGTATCTATAAACTGGCTGAACAAAATTTCATCTTTTTTTTCAGATTTGACATGACAAAACTGCCTGTTAGCTGATTTTTTTGATGTTGAACACCTAAAATGGTATGTCAAGGTTGAGGGATTGCCCAACAGTGACAGCAACTAGTCATAGATATTGAAAAACAACAATCTATGAAATGATGAAAGACAAGACATACAGTATAATTGTAGTCACAAGAGAAATAACTTCTAAAGCCAATGTTTTGAAAATTAAGCTGACCATGAAACAAACTAGATTTGTTTGATGTAAATGGCGAAGGTTAGGGGTAAATTCAGGCCTCTTTGTATGATCTTTTCTCTGAGTTAAGATTTTATGGGCACACAATATCTAAAGTAGCTTGATATCAGAGAAGTAAAACCCCTGAAAAACCTCTGACCACTCAGAAGAGTCAAGAGTTTGTTGAAGTCAAAAAATCTTTACTTTGACTTTTACCTCCCTAACCTCTACCTCTGACCCTGCAAGGTTGAAAGGTTGATAAATTCTTGCACATCACTAGACACCATTTGTGGATCTTGGATCTCAAATCTAGGATGAATGCTGGCAATTTATATTTGTGGTGCCAGATGACATGGTGGTGACTTTATAAAATAGCCTTCTAAAGGTGATACTGATGATCAAGAGTGGTCAAAGAAATTCAACTAGTTGCCATTGGCATCAAGGAATTATTTACAGGATGATCAGATCTGCCCAGTGGACTATAAAGATTCTTTGGATCACTTCTGCTTTGTGCAAATTTCATGTTACCTGCCACCAGGTAATTAGTGATTGTCACGGGTTTCGCAACCCGTGCGGGTTGCGGGTAAGGGTACGTGTGGGTAGGGGTACGGGTTTGATCTTCGCTACCCTCGCCAAACCCGTACCCATGACAGGGGTTGGCGGGTACCCGTAGCAATACCCGTCATGTAAATAGTCATTATTTCTTTGGGCAGATTGTGGTCCGTGTCACTAAGTTACACGTAAAAATTACATGCAATATTTCCAAGTTGTTTAAAAAATATATAACGAAGGTTTTCATTCTAAGTTCATCTGTTAAGTCATTGTTTGTTTGCCTCACGGTCTCGCATGCCTCACAGCCTCGCATTAAGGTCAAAAATATGTAGATTATCAATGTAGATTATCACCAAGATATGCGTATAACATACAAAAAAAGTCTCTAAGGTATTTATAATATATCTATGGTATGGGTATTTTATCGCCGACTATCTCGGGTGACTACCAGTTGATTGGTGGCGATTTTGACATCAACCTTTCTCAAAAGCGTTGTTGATTTCGAAATCGAGCAGCCGCAAAAATTTTCGCCAAACTCCTTGATCCTAAACTGCGACCCCTTATGTGGGCCGGTAAACGCGGTAACGACCTGGGATTTGCACTCTGGCCTTTCAGGTATTAAATATGGAAATGGCACTTCCAACATTTTGAAACCGATCTGGACCTTCACCGCATCTCTGACTACTCCCTTGAACTCCCCGCACTTATCTTTGTGCTCGCCCCTATGGAAATTAGGGTTGGTGTTGATGAGATGAAGGCTCAGTCTCATGTTGGCGAAGCAGTCATCTCTGAGCCAATACGGAGAAGGGGCTGTCACAATTGCATCAGTATCTATTGACTTTGAATTAAATACATAATTACCATCATCACCACGGCGGGGGGTTCGTGAGCTTGGGTTCCAAGCTGGGGTTGTAGGGACATCTTCCGAGTTAGGAAGCGGAGTAGATGGCCCTGCAATGGCCAGAGTCTGCACAAGGAAAGCAGCAGGATATGGGACTGAGGGTTGCGGTTCCGGCAAGGGGTAACCAGGGAACAAAAAGCCTGCCAGAGTACCGGGCGGAGGTGCTGGTTCGAGTGGGTAAGTGAAATCGGTGAGAAGCTCTCGAGGCCTGGGAGGCTGAAGCCTTTCATTGGCACTGGAAGCTGATCAGCATCGATTTCAAAAAATAAGATAAAGGGCTTGCATAATGTGTAGAGAACTAAAGTCAAAAACTTGTGGGCATTGGAGGCGCGCCTCGAGCTCGACCAAGACCCTTTTTTCACCAACCGTGCTTTTTATTCTGCCTCGGTAACCTCTTAAATCCCCTTTGCTGACCATTACTTGTTTCCCTACAAGATGACTGTTAGAGTCCCCTTTCATAACATGCTTTTGCCCATCTGTGAAGGGAGCTTTCAAATCCGAGGACTCTGTTCCAAAGACGAAGGGGGAGGTGAAGAGCTGAACAATCCCCGGAGATACCTCTATCTAAAGGATGACAGAATGTTAGAAGAAGTATAATATATTAAAAAGCAAGACATTTACCTCTGAACCGGTCCTGTCATTGAAGACGCACACATAGTCGTTGTCTTGATTCACTACCCAACCCGTAACACCTTCGTGGTCTCCCGAAAGAATACGGACTTCGTCCCCTACTTTGAGATCTTTTCGAAGGGACGAAAAGGGCACAGTAGTTGTTACATCTTCCATCGTTAAAGAAACAACGGCTTCATTTTCCGTTATATCCTCAATCGTTCCAAAAAGCCCCCTCGAATCTCCGTGAGTGATTTTCACCCCATCGCCTATCCGAAGGATCCTGGCTGACATTCTTGCCATCGTGTGCTGTCGGACGTTGAGTGGAATGTCCGAGCAGGCGCTAAAAAGGTCAAATTCCCTCGATGTTGGTACTACATCTTCTGCGGTGTACCAATCTGTGTCGACTTCCAAGAAATAAGCATATCCATCCGCATCGTACAATACTCCGCGGAATAGAAATAAGCTGTTGCGTTCTTGAAAGGCCCGATGAAACCGTTGCTTCGCCAGTGTTGGATTGAAGAGGGCTTGGGGAGGCCGCCCTGGTGCTGAAGCTCTTTTATTTAGCTCGCGATCGGGCTTGTAGGTCGCTGCGAACTCATCGTCTGTCTCATCATTTTTGTCTTCATCTGCGATAAGCCGGCTTCCTTTGACTTTGGCGGCAGGTGGGTCGTAATCAACGCGTGGTACCACGAGGAAGTTGATGAGCAATGTGGAAGAAGTGTGAACCTCCCGGATGAAGGCGAGATCTCCTTTGTAGATCCCACGGTGCAGCCGAACCCATGAATGAGGCTTTGGTCGAAAGGTATCCGGGACATCGAAGATGGAGGGGTTGGGATCGGGTATGTGGAAAATCTTGGAGGCTGTCACGTTGGGTATGCCATTACACACTTGTCGAATCATCTCCTCCGAGCCGTTTTCAAAGAATACTCTACCAGGTAGAGCTTTCCAGCCGAAGACCGCTGGGGGTCGAAACCGCGCAGGAAATCTAGGGTCCATGAGCCGCCGATGGACTCGACAA